GGTAGACTACCTGAGCGCCCCCACAGTGCAGCTTCTGCCCCATACCACCCCTCCTCGAGACGTGTTTGAATCGTACTCGTTCATGAACACCTCTACCAGCATGGTTTCTCCCCCCGCATCCATCCACTACACCTTTGCTGTTCTTCCTCTTCCCACACACGTTCTGCCTCCCTTTCAGGAGTTTGTCAACTCGAGAATGCGAGAGCTCGTGCCTGGAGGATGCATGGTGCTTCTGTACCCCTCCAACCTGTCTTTCTTCACCAAGACAATCTCGCCCAATCTCGACCGAGCCCTGCGACAGATGCTGGCGCTCTCCATGATCAACACAAACACTTGTGAGCTCATCTCGCAGCTGCCTCCCACTCCCCCCACTTTTGAGGAGCAGCTCTCGTTCCTAAATTCGGTGGGAGACATAGAGGTGTTGTTTTCCAGCGCACGCAAGAACGTGGAGATTGAGGACTGGGGTAAGAAGTGGACCTCAGAAGAGTACAAGTGGTACGCAGCTATCATGGCCCAGGAAGGCCACCGTAACAACACTCTGATGGACATGCTGCAGGGACTAGAAAAGAGAGGCGAGGTGGCCACCTCAGACGTGTCCATGTTTGTTCTTCGACGGTGTTAAAACTCACACAATCAAACATCAACTACAAACTACAAACTACAATCGACGATCGACAAACGACAAAACGATCAAAATCAGACAAAAAAATAGCCAGCAGGCTGGTTGCATTATATAGGTTGCATTGGGTAATATTTATGTGTATATGTTAATAGTGAGCAAATTGTAGTCACCAGACTGTACGAGTAATTTATGTATGGAGACACTGACTATGTATATGTAGGGGCTTGTAAAGGGCCCAGATTGCAAAAAGAAGGGTGTGAGTGAGTTTAGAGAAAATCAGGGACTCGGATTGTACCGCTTTTATTTGGTTTCGATTCCTTATCCAGGTGGTGGTAGTTAATGATGAAATATGATGAAAAATAAAAAAAATGCGTGCGTTAGTTGGGAAGTTGAGTGTAAAATGTTCTTGTATGAGTTCTTGTAGCTAGTTGCAGAGTAGAAGGGTTGCAATGGTTAGAGTATTTGTTAATTACATGTATATATATTAGTTGAAACCTTGTTGGAGTTTTGTAGGTGTCAATATAACGAAGAGAACCGCAAAAGCAATGGTTTGATAGATAAAAACATTTAGTTAAATCTCGATCTCTTAAATCCTGACCTATTGACGCTGAGACTCTTCATAGTTGGTGCTTATCGGTATCATAGAACTGATATATACTGTAGGATGTCTAGAACTGAGTACAAGTAATTCACAACGGCGAGCTGAAGATATCGTGTTTCAATAGGTTGTGACGCTACACTGTAGCTATATCATCATTTCAGACAAATGTGACTTCCGAAATTTCAGCCTGGTTTCTGTACCAGTAGCTACTGTGTTCTACACTGATAGGGGTTTGCGAAAGTACTGCACTTCCAAATCAGAGATGTTGACTACACTGTACACTGCCAGCATCTACTGTAGATGCTGGCAACCAGGGCTGGGGAGTTGCAAGAGAATTGTATGAAATGGTGCAAGTGCTATTATAAGTGGCGCTGGGAGCTTTAGCCGAGGGCCTGTTTCAGAATTGAACGTGTCCTGTCTATGTTGTAATGTGTCTTCGTATCCATGTCTATGATTGGAACGAATGTAGTACAGGATACCTACATCCGGACGGCATCCACTCTAGCTCCTGTTGTCGAACAAACAGTCCCGTTTACATTACAACATGTAAGTCCATAATATCGTCGTCCAAGGCCTGTCCAACATCAGCCCATTTTCATGAAATTATGGAGTGCAGTAGCGCGTTTATGTGGTACATTTGACGGTATATAAAGCGGTGGAAACGGTGGAAATGGGTTTGGAATAGGTCAGTATCATTCAGCAGTACAATAGAGTAAATTAAACGAACTCTTCTTAAGGTGGTAACCCCAAGTCATGTCCATTGAAGAACAGCATGAGCAGGCATTACTGTACCACGATACTCGGGTATAGAACACAATAACTAGGGGTAAAATTAATTCTTGGCTTGGCAGACTCGATAATACTACGTTGACAGCTCCAATGACAAGCCTAGACCGGAAACCGACAGTCTTAGTGCCAAAACCCGCATGATGCAGACTGCTGTCTACATGTAGCAGGGTGTAGGCGTGTGGAGGTTACTGTAGGTGTACAGTACTAAAGATTACCCTGGGAGACGAGTTGGGGTCGGGGGAATAATAATAGCGCTCATTTATCAATGTGAAGACAACTGAAAAGAGTGAATTAATATTGGAGGGCTCAACGTTGACGTACAGGCTGATGGTCCCTCTCAGGGAGACGACTAGTAGGACAGTAACAAAGGGCTATAGAAGGTCGTATACCACCCACTTTCAGGGTACCCACACTTGATCGTTATAATATTCTTGCGTCTAAGAGTTACTTGTACCAGCTTTTGGGCTGCAGAAATCTCCGACTACAGCAAATCTCCGATCCAATAGCACCTGAAACTGCAACCCAGGTCACTGACATGTATAGGAGTAGTAATAGCACAATGTGAAGAACAGTATAGACCGTACCGACACCATGAAAGCACGAGAACACCAAGCGGCATAGACCTTGGTTGATACAGCCGTTTGCCGCTAAAAAAACAACATCGCAGCCTAGCAATGCTTTAGTGGGTTGGTGCCTACAGTAGCGTGTTTCATATGGTCCCAGTTCCCATATAGGTGTGGGGAATGAATAGAGAGTGGAGGTAACTGATTACATTGACGCATAATTGCTGTTAAGATACTCACAGACGGCTCTATTACCAATTTGTATCCCTGAACCCATTACAAAATTCACCAGCACACATGCCACCCCTGCTTTAGTTCGAAACGCATCTAAAGTAGACTGAGGATGATTAGGTTGATGTAGGGTAGCCGAAAATGGGGGTATTCCGGGATAGACGGCCACTAAATGTTGCCCTACGAGATTGCCAAACAGTTACATGACGAGGGACGGGAAATGAGACGTTTTGTTTTGGAGTTTGCTTGAGAGGGTTTCCAGTGTTGTGAGAGAGGGACAGACCGGGTAGAGTCTAGGGCACAAGAAGGGTTTGCAACGACTCATACTGTAGACTGGTCGAGCAGTAATGTTCAGGTTAGTTATTGACAGGGATAGTATCTGCTGAACGTGCTGTTAATGAAGTGTCGTAAGTGATGAACACAGTATGATGGTCCAGGTCCATCCAATAATTGATCCTAAACAGAATAGACAACTTCTTAAACATCTTCATGGTACTTAGCTTCTCATGAACTAAAGTCAACGACTGGTGGAACAAAAAAACAGGCATAGAGTCCAGTTGAGATGGCCTAAACAACCAAACTAACCTTTTAAGAAGTCTATTATCACGAGAATGTTAGCTTGACGTTCCCTCATAAAAACAGTTGGGCGCGAACGCCTCTTAGCCCAACAGTTTAGTTCCCGGACTTGATGTTTACAGCAAAGATGGCTACATGTATATACTGTAGTAGTCCCCCGAGGATTGTGGTCGCCATTCGAATAATACAACAATGATTGATGTTCGCACAGAAAAATTTCCCAAAACATTCGTACCAAAAACACAGTGAGACAGTCTCACCTTTCTGAACTGATTCATAAATCATAACAAACGAGCAACCACTTTCAAGCAGTAGCGCCTCTTCATCTTGGAGACTCAGTTGTCACCATGCTATTGGGGAGATCCGGGCCGTCATTTTGGTACCATGCGAAGCCCAAGCCCCGCAATGGATGTTGCGCCAGGTCCTCAATAGTGACTCTTGGCGTGGTGGGGTGTGTGAATGTAAGGCTTTGACCATGTCTTTGGCTTGCTTGTGGAATGTCAACATCCGCAACTCTATGTTTAACGAAGTTACGACGTACTCAACGGTTCCCATGGTCTGTCTGAGACACGCTGGAATGCTTGGAATGGCTTGTGATTATCACCAGCGAGTGAGAGAAGTTCGGAGGGGTATCTGTCAAATTTTCAGCCGGTTAAGTCCATTATTGCGCTTTCTGGGTCATCTGTCAACAACATGACAGAACCTATTTACGGAGGTGTAAAACTTGCTGAGGAGCTTCTTAAGAGACTTGTGGACATGCTGAAGAAGGCCAGGCCGACCTTAACGATTGGCCGGCACTCTCTTCAAATAAGTCGTTCAGAATTGCTCTCATGTTGCCCTATATGAACACCCTGCATCATTGCAAAAAAAACAGCCACCAACAACAACTAGCTTCATTCCTCCACTTGTGCTGTACTGTATACGGAAAAGCAACAAGGGTATTGAAGTTTCTTGGACAATAGAGTGTGACAGGGCTGCAAAGTAGGACCATGAGAGCACGAGTATCTGGTCCAATCGATGACTGCTGGAATGCTAACGACGATGAATCAGTCACCTGAGACTAGTTGCACCTTTTATTACCCCAAATATATCGCGCCCACGTAACTCGCACGGCTCATCGTACTACTGTACTGTTCTTTAGCCTCGTCTTTTTTCATCATGCCGAATCATGCGGGGGAAAATAGTCTCATGCAAAACACTCTGATTATGCATTGAACTCACGCCAACCTACGGTGGTCTTCGGAAAGCTCCATAGATGATCGACTGATTGACGATGCGTAATACGAGAGCAGCCTGAGCAACACGATCAGAGATACTCAAAAATTCTTTTCCTGAGTTGTCCAATACGCCAACATATCACACTCTGAACAAGTACAACCAACTCCCCCTCTATTAAACCCCACTGGTGAATGAGCTGCCTACACCCCCCGTCATAAACTCAAGCCTTGCTTTTTGCATGCTAGACGGGAGTTTATTGTCCTTGTTTACGGCGGCGGCGTGAGCCGTTTAGGACCCTGGTACTGTAGATGCATGTCGTCGAACATTGGAGAGCCTACTTAAAGACCCTGAGACGCTTCCACGGAGTGCTCGTCTTTAGCTACTACCGTACATCTCAACAATGAAGTTCACCACACTCGTTCTCCTCACGGCAGTCTTGCAACAGGCCAAGGCTCAGAACGTCATTGCCGATGGCGCCATCGACGGCTTCTCCAACGGAGTCATTTCCGCCCACAACTCCGAGATCAACGACGCCCAGGCCAAGTCTGAGGTCGATCAGCTCGTCAAGTACATTGCCTCCAACCCTTTCATCTACGACATTCTTGACCAGGCCGGAAACTCGGTGCTAGTCGGCTTCGATACTGACTCTTTCCCTGCCTTTGTCACAGCTGTTATCAACTCTGCTAATTCCTACGAAGAATCTCCCGACTTTACCACAGCTCGTTCGCTCATCTCTCAATACCTGCCTCACTACAACGTCCAGCAGGCCATTAGCAACGTCCAGAGCGAGAACACCCTGTACTGGAACCTGTTCACCGCCAATGTGAAGTCTTTCACTACCGACGCTGGCGTCGCAAGCGCTGTTTCCTCCGGTTCTGCCCGTGTGTCCAAGCTCTTCTCCGACCTGGGTATCTTTGCTACCCCCACAGGTGACACCTCTGCGACTCCTACTTCTGCCGTACCTACCACTTCAGCTTCTCCTCCTTCTTCCTCAGCCGCTCCTTCTTCCTCAGCGGTGCCTTCTTCTTCCGCCGCTCCCTCTTCTTCAGCCACTCCTACTTCCTCTGAAGCTCCTTCCAGCAGTGAAGCAGTCTCTTCTACGCCCCCTTCTTCCGAGGGCGTTTCTTCCACCGCCGTCTCTTCCACCGCCGTCTCTTCTGAGACTCCTTCTTCATCCACTTCTCAGGGCAACCTCTCTTCGACTGGAGCTTCTTCTTCTCAGGCCCAGTTCACTTCTGAGACCCCTATTTCTACCGAGACTGGCTCGTCTGCTGTCTCTTCTGGCTCGTCTGCTGTCTCTTCTGGCTCCTCCGCTGTCTCCTCCGGCTCTGATGTCTCATCTGAGGCTTCTGCCACCCCCACTTCCTCTGGCGCCTTCGTCACTGTGACTTCTGTTGAGTCTATCACCTCCACAGTTGTCCAGACAATCACCCACTGCAGCGACAACAAGTGTGTCACCCCCACCATCTCTCTTACCACAGTTGTGCCCACCAACCCCGGCATCACCACCATCAAGACCGTTGTGGAGGGCGTCACGCTCACCATAACCGTTCCTTGTGATACCACTACAGCAGGTCCTGAGCCTCAGCCCACTACTGAGGTAGTTACCTATCTGCCTACTACTATTGTTGTGGGTTCACAATCTTTGGTCGTGACACCCGAACCTGAAACCGTGACCTACTTCCCTACCACTCAGGGCAACAACAACCCCCAGCCTACAAACGGCGGTAATCAGGGAAACCAGGTCACTACTGTTGTTGGTCCTCAGCCCACCAACACGGACTCTACTACCTACATCACCCAGGTCATCACCCAGACCCTGACCCACTGCGATGGCTGGTTCAACTGGAACTGTGTCACTCCCACAGTCACGCTGACCACCGTTGTCCCTACAGACCATGCCACTGCCGCTGTGCAGGCCGTCGTCTCGGGTAACACCTACACTCTGACAGTTCCTTATGATACCAACACCGCTCCTCGAGCACCCCAGCCCACTGCCAACTCTGGCTCCACTCCCAATGTTCCTGCTGGAAATGGTGGAAATGCCGGCATTGGCGGCCAGCAGAACGGTGGCCAGTCTACTCCTGCTAACCCTACTCCTGGTTCTCAGTCGGAGAACCCTAAGAACGGCATTCAGCAGGCCAACGGCGCTTCTGCCGTCGGTGTTTCTATTGCTGCTGCCGTCGCTGGTGCCTTTGTTTTCCTTCTCTAGACAGTTTAATATTAATGTAATTATACCCATGGGAGATGTGTGTACGAGTACTCCAAGCACTGTTGAACGAGCCAGTCACACACAACGCTAGGGACAGCTCAAATCGATAAATATTTATTTACAACCACATGATAATAATCACATGGTAACGTCTATACACCCAACTGCTCAGCAACACCCTCAGCAATCTTGTCGTAGTACTTTGCCTGAACACCTCCACTCACAGCAACAGGAACACCCTTGTCTGACTGTGAGCAGATCTGAGGATCAAGAGGAACGTTACCCAGGACCCCCAGACCACGAGACTTGGCTTTAGAGACTGCTCCATCAACACCAAAGATGTGAGTCTCATGGTTGCAATTGGGACACACAAACACAGACATGTTCTGAACCAGACCCAGAACCTTAGTGTACGTCTTTTCAAACAGGTCCAGACCTCGGACGACGTCCACAAGAGCTACATCCTGAGGAGTACTCACAATGATGGCTCCGTCAATCTTGACAGTTTGGGCAATAGTCAGTTGAACGTCTCCCGTTCCGGGTGGCAAGTCCATCACCAGAACGTCCAATGTACCCCAGTCCACGTCCTGTAGCAGCTGCTCAAGCGCCTTCTGTACTAGCAGTCCTCTCCACGCCACTGCCTTGTTAGGATCCACCAAGAACCCCATGCTCATGACCTGTATCCCGAATTTCGACATTGGAATCAGTTTTCCCTCGTGTGTCATACGCGGCTCGCCTGATAGCCCAAACATTGTAGGGATGGAAGGTCCGAAGATGTCCACATCGAGGAGTCCTACCCTCAGACCTCGTTTGGCCAGTGAGAGTGCTGTGTTCACGGAGACGGTTGATTTGCCAACCCCGCCCTTTGCCGAACTGACGACAATGGTCTTCTTGACCCCAGCTATCGGTTCTGGGCGTCTGGTTGTCTTTCTGGGGATTCTGGGCGCAGACGCGGGTGATTTCGGGATACCCAGGGGGTTTTCATGTGATCTGAGAGCTGGTGAAGAGTGAAAGTTGGCTGTGATCGGTTGTAGACGGCTAATAATGGCTATTGAGCGCTGGATCGGCGCAATTAGCCGAAAACCGCGCATTTCAGAGACTGTGTTGTTATGAGGGTCCTAGTGCGCTGAGAGACTGACTCAAGATTGGGAGGTTGAAATCTTCATGCATAATCATAAGAGGAAGAGTTAAAATGGAGGGTGTAGAAGCATGGCCAAAGATGAAGCAGGTGGAGATGATGAAAGGCTGTAAATGAAACAGCAACCGATAGGATAGTTTGGTTCTTCCTCTTTTCTCAAAAGTTCGTCACCATGACCACTCCTTCCTCTCACATTACTGCATTTTATCAACTGTACTATGAACTCTAATGTCATTTTCTTTACTGACGCTCGCTCTCACACTCTTCCTCTATATCCTCTTGGACACTGCCATATCCCCCAGAGATTCCATTCCCTGCTTGCATCACGTTATCAAGTCAGTCGGATATGCTGCGAAACACAAAGAGCACCATTTATGCGCTCTCTTCCGCCTCGGGAAGGGCCGCTGTCAGCATCATTCGAGTCAGTGGACCAGACACCAGTACCGTCTACAAGCAGTTGACCAACAGGACTAAGACGCCTCCTCATCGTGTAGCTACCCTTGCTACGTTGAAGCAGCCGTTTTCCAACCCTCCAAAGGTCTTGGATCATGCCCTTACTCTCTTCTTCAACGGTCCAAAATCATACTCAGGAGAAGATCTGCTGGAACTTCATGTCCATGGAGGTCCAGCAGTCGTGCGAGCTGTTTTGGACTCCATTCAGCGTGTGAAACCCAGCAGTGGAGTTCCTATCCGGTACGCTGAGCCAGGAGAGTTCTCAAAGCGTGCCTTTTACAACGGAAAGCTTGATATGACCCAAATCGAAGGAATCGGAAGCATGATTGAAGCTGAAACAGAGAGTCAACGTCAGGCATCGTTAGAAGCATCGTCTGGACACAGCAAAAAGGTCTATGAAGCCTGGAGAGAAGGAATTGTGGAGAACATGGCGTTGTTAACAGCTCTGATCGACTTCTCAGATGACAACCAGGGTATAGATAGTGGTGAGGTTCTGGTGGGAAAGACAAAAGAGAATGTTGGTCGTCTGCTAAAGGATATCAAGAATCATCTGGCTCAAGTTCAGCGGTCTGAGATTCTGCGGTCGGGTATCGTCATGTCCCTTCTTGGAGCGCCCAATGCCGGAAAGTCGTCTCTACTCAACATTTTGGCTAAACGGAACGCTGCTATAGTTTCAGAAGAAGCAGGAACTACTCGTGATGTTGTGGAGATTGGTCTGGATGTGGCTGGATACAAGGTAGTTCTTGGAGACACTGCAGGACTAAGAGGAGGAGAACAAGTAGGCATGGTGGAAAAGGAGGGAATCAAAAGAGCAAGAGAACGGTTCCAGAAAAGTCACATGATTATGGCTGTTCTCCCCGCTGATGGTTGTGACCACAGCAGCGACATCATTGCTGAGCTCAAACAATTGCATGCTGCAGAGAAGCAAATAGTCGTGGCTATCAACAAGACTGACCTGGTTGAGGATCATGTGGTTGAAGCTTTTAAAAACAGACTCATGGAAGAGATCGGTCTGCCTCGCGATTCCATCATTCCGGTCAGTTGTATTGCCAGCTCTGGTCTCGAGACTCTCCTCGCTAAGCTGTCCTCTGAATTCTCCAAAATTACTACAATTGAAGGCTCGGATCCCGTGCTTGCCAGTCAGCGAGTCAAGGACAATCTGATCGCCACAGTAATCCCCGCGTTGGAGACATTCATGGAGTATGATCTAGAAGCCGTTGTCTTTGCCACAGAAGAGCTGAGAATGGCAGCAGAAGGAATCGGTATGATTACTGGCCAGGGTATTGGCATTGAAGAGGTTCTCGGGGCTGTTTTCAGCAAGTTTTGTATTGGAAAGTAACAGACAGTCAAGCTGCGGATTCACTGCTCCAAATGTAAATAGTATATGAATGGATCTTACATCACCCAAACGTGTCTACTAGACATAACCGCCTATAAAAACAATCATACATTTGATTTTTATGTACTTGCCAATGGGCACTTATAGCCACTGACCCCTCCTTTTGTAAGATATCATCATCACATCGTCCCCGGTGGTCACTTCTTACCTGCTTCCCGATCCAAGAACTCAGCAAACTTGCCAAAGAAGCCAACTGCCGGTTGTCTATCCCCCCCTTGTCCACTCAACTGAGTGGAACTACTGCTTTTCTCTAGCTTTCCATCTGTTACGAAAGACGATCTGGAAAGACCAGCCTGGACCTTTTCTTGCTCGTCCCACTCCAGGAAATTGGAGATCAACTGCAGCACCTCGAACTTCTTAGTATCTCCTCTCGATAAAGAGACAAAGGACAGAATGAGGTTGGATACCAGCTGCTTATCGACTGTATCACCCTCTGAGCTCTTCTTGATCATCTGCAGAGCGTTAGTGAGATGCTCATTGAGAATCACAGCCTCGTGTCTCAGCTTTCCGATCAACAGAGACTTGTCCTTGGATTCCTTCTCAAAGTCTGAAGCAGACGCCAGCTTATCCTCCAGCTTCTTGCATTCACTCTTGAGCTCTTCTGTCTCCTTGAGGGCGCTATCCAGATCCTTCCTAAGACTGTCAGACACTGTCTTGTGTTCCAGAATCTGTTTCTCGAGCTCCCCCGAACTGGAAGTTTTCTCATTCTTGAGTTCTTCGACCTGGTCTTCAAGGTCCTTCCTTTCTGCGATATATCTTTGCACCGACTTCTTCAGGGCGGTGAGTTCGTCTTGCAGAACACTGTTTCGGGTCTCCAGATCTGAGTTCACCGTCTTGAGCTCAGAAAGAGCAATCTCATACTTGGAAGACGCACCCTGAGACTTGTTCGCGGTCTCCTGGACGACTAGAATCTCACGTTTCAACAAATCTCGTTCACGTGACAGTCCGTCAATTTCACTCTGGAACTTCTCCCGTGCCTGTTTGAGCTCCTGGTTAAGCTTCTTACTCTCCTGAGACTGCTCAACGAGCTCGTCCTTGAGAAGAGCAACCTTCTCGGACTCCTTTTCAAGCTTTTCACGTGTGTCTGCCAACTCAGCGGCATCCGACTTGAGTCGTTCGCCCAGGGTGGATTTGATTTGTGTGATTCGGTCCAGCAAGCTATCATACTGTTCCGTTTTCGCCTCCAGTTGTTCCTTCAGGGAGGTAATTTCTGTAGAATTGGTAGTACTGGTGTCAGAGTTCGCCAGCTCAAGCTCAGAGACCTTCTTCTGAAGCTTTTCGACTTCGTCAGAGGAAGAATTCGCCAACTCGGCCTCTTGCAACTTCTGTTTAAGCTCAGATACTTCCTTCTCAAGTGATTTCAACGACTCTGTCTTCTTATGAGCCTCTTCGACCTCTTTTTTAGCCTCCGCTAGGTCCTTTTTTAGCCCAGACACTTCCTTATCTCCTCCCTTCTTAGCCTCTTCCAATTGTCCTTGCAGCTTCTTCACCTCCCCCTCAGATTGGGAACTGGACTTTTTATACTCCTCAATCTGCTGCTTCAACTGAGCCACCTGCTCCTCATTGACCTTGTCGTCCCTATCTCCGCTTTCCATCTCTTTCTTCAACTGATCAATTTCAGCCTCCTTGCGCTTCACGGCCACATCTCGCTCCACCTCCAGCCGTTTTGTGGTTGTCGAAAGCTGCTCTTTCAGAGCCGCAACTTGCTCCTCCAGAGAAGATCCGTTGGTCTCAACAGTCTCCTTCTTGGACTCGGTTTCCGGGGTAACAGGGGTCTCCGGAACGTTGGTATCCTCAACAACAACGTCCTCAGCAGCTGCGTTATCAGGAGCCGCTGACGCGGCCTTCTTGTTCTTGTTCTTCTTGCCCATGACTGTAGCCGTGTCTTGCCCTGGCTGCTTCTAGTGTCGAGTATCAAACTGTGATATGTTGTCCTGGTTTGATGTTATTTGATTGATGCACGCTGTACCTCGAAATTTAAAAATACGTGTTAAGATTGGAACTAGTAGCTGACTAATCAGAGGATGAGAGAGGGCTGGAGTGTGCTGAGGAGTGTTAGTCACGTGATACTTGGTAATATAACCAATTATATTGATGCTACGACTCTTCCAAATCAAAACTTATGTTAGTCTGAAAATATCGTCAGTCGAAAATGTCTACCGTGGTCCGAAAATTAGGTTGCAGAGGGAGGAAGGTGGAGACTGAACCAACATACAGAAGCTTTTTTTCTGTTACTTATTAGACTTAATAAAACAGTTGAAAATATTTAATGTTTACTTATCATTTCCTCAGTATCAAATCACACAGTTATATCATCACCCCATCATCCTATCACAAATTTGAATGGCTAAGAGAAGATGTTTTGTCAACGTTCTTTTTCAATCTCTGCTCCTTCACTCTCTAACCTCCTTCGGTCACGTGTTATATCCTCCCCCTAATCTCCAGCCTAAACTGAGTTCATCGTTAGTGAACGTGGAGCATGCACCTGTCAACCTGATCAGGAGAACACGATACTAATCACCAATATTTCGTTGTCTTACACCACAACGTCTTTCACACCACTCTTCTAAAATACCAACGGGCTTACTCACCAATTTATAGCCTCACGTGACTCACCTCTTCTCCACGAAGTCAGCAAGATACACACCCACCTTATTGAACACCATTGGTAGAGCATCGGTTACGACGCCACCGGAGCCCTTGCAATCAAGTGAGCTGCATTATCATCACGTGACATAACCACAGAGTCTCTCACTCACGTGACTGGACTCTCTGGCCGTTATTCCAACACTTTAGTGACTTTTTCGACACAGAAAGCTCCTATTGAGACCTCCACAACAGCATCGGTTTCTCAGATATACTGTCACAGAACAATTGGTCTTGATTTCTGTTCTCTTGCAGCATTTCCGATCGATTTGAAATCTCACAATCACACCAGCTACAGTTCAAGACATTAAGTGCACCATAGCTGATCCCTCACTACCAGAAGTGACCCTCTTCCCGCTTCCCAATCCCCCCACACCCGCATTACCCCCTTTTTCTCATAACCGTCACTCACAAAAATGCCCCGAGCAGAAGCACTAACGCCTCTCTCCCTTCTCAAACAGATTCTCCTTCTACAGACGATATACTACACGATTATCCTCATTCTGGTTGGGTTTTCGTGTTGGGTTTCTGGAGATGCATTCAATTTGGGCCTCATTTTCGATTGGCATTCTGTTCGGTTTGATAATACTATCGGATGGACGATAAGTATGCTGTGGTTGATCGATACCGTGTTTACAGTGTTGGCAATGACAGTCATTGTGGGACGATCCAAGCTTGCTTTGGACTTCACAGTCACCCTGCATGTTATTAACATAATTGTTTCCACTATCTACACCCGTGCCCTGCCTACCAATGGCTTGTGGTGGTTGATCCAGGCTACCTCGACGGTGCTGATGACTATCCTTGGTACTTGGACTAGTCAGTGGAGAGAGCTGCGCAAGACTTTCTTCGAAGAGGGCTACGAGATGGTAAGCAGAAACACCAACCAGCCATCGAACCCTGTCTAATTGTTGGTGCATGCACTCAATTTGTACTGGATGTATTATAGAATGAATAACGATCCATGATCTAGCGCTTGTTAAGATATTGGATGATACTGAATAGATTACGCGTACACAGCAGTAGTGTAGATCGTGGTTGCTATATATCAGTGCACTATACTATACTACAGTCCTCATACAGTGCTGTATCTTACTTGGTCGAGATAGTGCTGATTAGTAAGAGTGTACTGTACTTTTGCTTGTACTGAAGCGAGATCACATATAGTCTAGTGGTAGATATAAAAATTGAAATAAATTAATTGGATGCGTATGCAGATTCTGTTTATGAGCACAGAGTATCATCGTAGGGCTCGTGTTCTCGTATTGGAGCAGGGAGTGAGTATGTAGCTAGTAGGAGTTTCGTAACCGCCGCTTAGTCCATCATGTTAATACAGCAACGACAGAATATTCTCCACTCTGTCTCTCATCTTTTCCACTCCAGCTTCTCCCAGTTCCCTTCTCAGACTGAATTCTGCTGCTGCAAGCACATGCTTGTATACCTGTCTTCCCTCCTCGTCTGTTCTGATTCCTCTGAGTCGCATAGCAGCTTGAACAACCTTTTGTAACGTGACTACAGCTGGTTGGGGAGCCACCGATGACTCGCTCACCAGCTCCTTGAGCATCTTGGCGTACTCCAGAGGGTCTCCTAACAGCGTCAGTGCCACTCTGTTCTCCTCAGAGGCATGCATGAGGTATAGGGATTCTCTGCACGAAATCAGCAGTCCTGAATCGCCTTGTAGCAGCTGAGAAAGGTGTTTTTGAAGCTCATCGTGGGTGCATGACACCCATAATGATGTGAGAGGCGTTGGTGAGACTTGGATCAACATCCAGAGCGGCAGTTGAGACACAGAGACGAGTTTTTCGGCCACCAGCTCGTCGCGTGACGACAGATTCGTCTTGTGCCAGTCCCACAGCGATATGGGGACTTTCTGTGAATTTTTGCGTAGTGGACTGACGTGTTTTGGCGTGTCTCCCAGCTTTTCCAGGTTTAAATACCCTTTCCAGACTTGTTTGAGCTCAGACATGTTTTGTGGTGAGAGTATATGTGATTAATAGTGAGGTTTCAAAACTTTGGCTGCATTGGTGGGCTGTAATGGGGTTTCTGAGGGTGCTGTGAGGGGTGTTGACCGTGTCTGATATTGGATGGACGATTTTGAGTTGTATGCATGGTGAAGATTTTGGGTTATTGGTATGGGGAGGAAGTGGGCGAGGTTTGAAGATGTTGCGAAAGCCTGAGAAGAATGAAAATTTGATGACCATGGCTCTGGCGTACCATAAGGATTTAGTGAAGTTTCTAGCCTGTTTGGTAGCTTCAATAGCTCATGGTGAATCTCTTATCATGACGTCTCTATAACTTTGTAGGGAATAAGGTGACAGCCGCCACTGGGTTGATGGGTCTGAGGACAGTAGCACAGCGAGCTTCAACAGACTTACCAGGCAGTTATATGGATGTTTCAGTATACCATTCTGCTAAAAATGAACAGCTGAACATCATTGTATTGTATTTTTTCTCTGTGACTCTATATTTGGTGGAATCCCCTTCTATAAAGCGGATCGGGGGTCTTAAAGAAGTGGCCACATTTGTACTGGTAAGCAGGAGCCTTTATAGCTGTATTGTAACATCTACCTGACTTATGTGCGGCGAGTCAACGTTCTTCCTATCATACTATACAGTACCAGCTCTGAGCCATATGTCTGAAAAATGAAAAACAACCCCGAAAACCTTGAATAAGTCGTCAAGTAATGGGTCCCGATTGTCCAAGTAACCAAGCCACATTTAAAGAAGCTCAGAAGTGCATACGACTGTAGTCAGATCTATTTTGGGATATTTATTAGTAAGCATTAGCAAACCTAAGCCAACATTAATAGGCAGTCTAGAGAAGTTACATCTGATGCCAATGACCATCAGCTTCACCAAACGTCTGTGTTTTGAGGTGCCGCTCGTACGGAACAGGGACACGACTCTCCAACATCTCTCGATAATTTGACTCTTAACCCCAACAGTCACTATCTGCGGCTGAACCCTAAGTGAAATAACGGGGTATAATATAGCACTCTGTGGACGACGTAGACGAGGAACATACGAGGAAACGTGGCGATGGATTCTCCTCATCTTCGTGAATCTTTTAATACCCTAACCTCCCACACACCTCTCCCACAACCTCCTCCTTTTATGAGACCCTCTGACCACTCCTCCCAACGATAGAGTTTGGGTGCATGATAGTGATAAAAAAAACACCCCTTGGCCAGAGTCATCCATCTGCTCAAACAGACACAGAAAGACCCGACATCCAACATGAGCATGGAACCGCGATCGAAAAACCCGTACTCGGTTGCGCGGGTATTTGCGGACGTCAACGCCAAAATGCCCCAGCAGTACTGGGACTACGATAACCTCACGATAACCTGGGGCAACATTGACAACTACGAAATCTACCGCAAAATCGGCCGGGGCAAGTACTCGGAGGCATTTCAGGGCGTTTGTGTGGTCAACAAGCAGCAGTGTGTCATCAAGGTGTTGAAGCCCGTGAAAAAGAAGAAGATTAAGCGAGAAATCAAGATTCTACAGAACGTGGCGGCTGGCCCTAACATTGTGTCTCTTCTGGACGTGGTGCGTGATCCAGTCAACAAAACTCCCTCTCTCATCTTTGAGTACGTGGAGAATGTCGACTTCCGACAGGTGTTCCCCAAGTTCAAGGACTACGACATCCGATACTACATCTACCAGGTGCTGGTGGCCCTGGAGTACTCCCACTCCAAGGGAATCATGCACAGAGACGTTAAGCCCCATAACATCATGTACGACCCTCGACGGGGCAAGGTGCGACTCATCGACTGGGGTCTGGCCGAGTTCTATCACTCGGGCACCTATTATAACGTCCGAGTGGCGTCTCGATGCTACAAGGGCCCCGAGCTGCTATACGACCTGCAACAGTACGACTATTCGCTGGATCTGTGGTCGCTGGGCTGCACTCTGGCCGGCATCATCTTCCGAAAGGACCCCTTTTTCCACGGCTCGTCCAACCAGAACCAGCTGGTGGAGATTGCCAAGGTGCTGGGTACGTCGGACATGTACAAGTGTCTGACCAAGTACGGCCTCAAGCTGCCCGACATTTACAACGACATTCTCGGCACATACCCCCGACAGCCGTGGGAGAAGTTTGTCACCAGTGCCACCCAGGCCATCGCTAACCCCACTGCCATTGACTTTCTGGACAAGATTCTGAGATACGACCATCAGGAGAGACTGACGGCCCGGGAGGCCATGGACCACGAGTACTTTGACCCGGTCAGGGACGACTTGCGAAGTATTAATGCTCAGTAGAGAGGGTAATGGGGAGGAGATCGGACGTGTACACAACACCCAAGTTTAACTGCATTGTATTCTAATGGCATGTATGATATGAGTAATGACAAGAGAATGAGCCCCTACAGTAGTAATCGAGTTAAGATAAGCATAAATAATAATATCTCAGTTGACCTTTCACCATGCTTGTATATACTGTAGATGCTGAGTCACCTCCAAGAAGCTTCGGAGTTACGATATTGTAGCTTTATCCTCGAGTACGAGAGGCACATACACGAGATATCGCGTTCTACGCTATGATCAACTGCTGAAATCTAACAATTTACAGGTATTCAGCAAAATCCCCAGCCCTAATATTCTCAAATTGACTTCCGAGATGTTTTCTTTTTACCTCGCACTGTCTCATCAGTCTGCCTAATCCAAGGCTTATATGGCGTAAGCGAAAGTCTAAGGTGGAAAAAAATAGAGTACAATTGGTGAGAAAAGGAATGTCGAAGGGGAAATATTAATGACAGACTTGGGACTGTCAACATTTGTTGTTTTTGCAGTGTATGTGCTATGTATAGAAGGTCCGTCACTTGAGATCGGATGTGTACAAGATCGATCTTGCTCTTGATCTTGATGACTAGCTCTGAGTGAGATCAGCCTGACAGGGAGGTCCATTACCATGAACAGTAATTGTCAGCTAACTCTTTGGCTTAATACGAGTATTTGTACTGTACCTGCCGTACATCTCTTGTGGTGTGTATGTGAGCTTTTATAATAAAGACAAGCATTTACTGTGGGTACTGAGTTATTCGTCATAAACAATTGATTAATTATTAAAAGTACACTTTCCAGCCCGCCTGCTACTATACAACATAAATATCCGTTATCCATCCCTCTCTCTACAAGAACACCAGCTTGGTTCCGTTATCATGAAGCTGCCACAAGTACAGGTTCTGGTACTCTTCGATGGCGTCGTTCAGCTGATCGGCAGTATATCCCTTACCAGTGACTCGCTGCTGAACACGGTCAAAGTCCAGCTCCTGGGTGGCCATCTCTCGCTGCAGATCCTGCACAATGGCTAGAATCTTAGACGAGATGGACTCTCGAGACTCGGTGTCGTCCAGAGGGTCGTCGATGGACTTTCTGCACGCGTCCATGAGCCGCAGAGCCTCCTCGACGTCGTGTGCGTTCACATGGTTGTCAAGTCGAAGTCGGGCAAGAGCCTGAGACATTCGAATAATCGCTAGTAGAGTTCGGGGAGTGACAAACGAAAACTGTTGCTTGGAGCCCTGTTGTTGTTTCTGTACCTGACGCTTGTTGACGTAGGCGTTGACAATGTGCTGGTTGAGTTCCTCAGACAGGGTAGGTCGGATGGTCTGGGTGTGCTCGATGAACTGTCGAATGGCAGCGGGGGAAAGAGGCTCGAACTCCATCTGGGGGTGTCGGCCAGTCTCGTGCACGTGAGTTACGTGCTCCGCGAGTCGCTCATCAGTTTCACGGTTGGGTTTATCGAGAATCAAAAACAGAAGATCGAAACGCGACAAAAGAGCGGCGGGAAGGTTGATGTTCTCTACAGGCGACAACTTGGGGTTGTATCGGGACTGAAGAGGGTTAGCTGCCGCCAAAATGGAGGTTCGGGCGTTCAGTGTGGTGGAGATACCAGCCTTGGAGATGGAGATGGTCTGTTGCTCCATAACCTCGTGGATAGCAGTTCGGTCAGAGTCGGGCATCTTGTCAAACTCATCGATGCAACAAATACCGTTATCAGCCAGAACCAACGCTCCTCCTTCCAGCACCATCTCGTCGGTAACGGGGTCTCGCATCACAGCTGCTGTAAGACCAACACCGGACGAGCCTCGACCGGTGGTGTAAACTCCACGAGGAGCAATCTTAGAGATGTACTTGAGCAGCTGCGACTTGGCCACACCTGGATCTCCAATCAGACAGACGTTGAGATCTCCTCTGATCTTCATTCCATCTCCCAGCTCCTTAGTGACTCCTCCAATAAGCAGCAGCAGCAGAGCCTTTTTCACGTCCTCATGGCCATAGATTTCAGGAGCGATACTCTTGGCCATATGCTCGTAAATGTTTCCCTCGGCCCGAATCTGCTGGATTTGTCGAAGAGAAGCAGCGTCTAGCTCGCCACTGTCCCTTTGCTTGTGTTGACGCACATCCTGGGCCTCCACGTAAGTTTCTGTCAACAGACCTGCTCTCAAAGCACGGTATCCAGTGTAGAAAGCTGGCAGAAGCACACCTGAAATAGAGACCTGATCTCCGGGACCCAGCGAACGCACCAGGGAACCGTTAATGTGCACAGTCACCGATCGAGGGATGTGACCAGTGGGAACCTGAGAAGTAAGCTCCTGGATACGGGCCTCCTGGAAGGGCACAAACTTGGAAGCTCGGGTAGAAATGAAGAGTTTTCCCTTGGTCTGATTCTCCTTGCAATCTGCGGAAGGACAGTCGACCAGAGGGTTGAAGGTCTTCTGTTTGACCTCCTGGAAAATTTCATGACCACACTTGTCACAGGTGTAAGCATTGATCTTTACACTGGGCTTGACATCAGAAACTCGTGTGACGATACCCTGCACAGTCAGCAGGTGGCCAATCTGAGCTCCCTTCAAGTCTCGCACTCGGAATGACTTTCCAGTGGTGGGGGCACCCTCCAGCGCCTCGGAAGGAGGCTTAAAGTAGAGAGAGTATCGTCTCAGCAGCTCAGGAGCAAATGACGGCATGGGATTGAGATCGTCCATGAGATTGTCGTCGGCATTGGCCATTCCGTTTTCCCGTCGTTCTCTTCGTGCTCTCTCTGCTCTCTCATGCATCTGTTGTCGTGAATGAATAAGAATGTCCACAGCATCAGCATCAGCGCCCAAATCACGTGTAGGCTGGGGCATCAGCTCATCTACAATGTTGCAGAAGATGTCGTGAAAGTGCCATGTGTTGTTGCAGATGTTTTCCAGCAGAGAGTGTCCTCTTTGGGCCAGAGGCTGGTCAATGTTCACGTTGGCCTCCTTCTCCCAGGCCCGCAGGTCGTCCAGTTCGATTCGAATTGTCTCCTCGTGTCGGTTTGCCACTCGTTGGAGAAGATCCATGTATTTGAGTCCCGATTTTTCAGGTCCATCGTCTTCCATGTCGTGGTCTTGCAAGTCGTCCAACATGGATTCGGGCGTCTTGAACTCGCTTAAAAACGACTTGATATGTTCTCGCGCCTCGTCATAATTGACGCTAATCGCCATCACGGTAGCTCCAGCAGACATGTTGAAGGTGTATTGTCGTGTCTCGAGCAGTGTGGTTTTTTGTGGTTTGGAGGTTTTGAGCGTTCGGTGGTTTTTCGTGCATGGCTGGTTGGGAGCACTTTAAGCTTTTGACGCGTTCCCAAAAGGGGTTTAATGAAGGGGTGGGAGACGCGTCGGAAGCTAGGGGTGGTTTGAGAGGTAGTGATGGATTAACACAGTGCTTCTAAATAGTGAATGATGGTTGAAAGTGATTGTTGACGTTGAAAATGGTTATATTGTACGTGTATGACTCGATTTAAGGTGACTTATAATACACATTTGAGGGACTCGAACCGGCGGTCGACAAAGGGAGAAGTTAATTTGACAACCAAAACAATGCCCATGCAGACACTGTATAAAAAGAAATGGTGAACCAAAAACAGGATTAATTTGGGAAATTCGAAATAAATTAATTCCGAGTGAGATAAAGATTGGATTGGGTAGCCACTTGTAGTCGTTTAGTAATTTTCTTCGGAAAGATTTAAAGAGCTTTACAAATTATCTTGCATTAAGAAGAATAATCGTTAAGCTGAAATTAATCCACAATTTCCTTGACTATTTAATAAATTCCATTAATTCATATCTTTTCTAATTCAGAGAGAGCTCAGACAAGGCCGCCGTATTAGTGGCATCGGTCTGTCAAATCTCCTTCAAAGTTTATCTACAGTACTTATACTTGTACCCCCACGACGACAAATACAAGAATCAATTATACAATTAGATGATTAGATAAAGTAGGCGACAATAACCACAATGAGCATGGCCATAGAAGGAGAAAGGTTGGAGCCAGCATTCTTCTTCTTTGTTTCCGTAGCAGAAGCAGAGGCAGATCCAGAAGCGGCAGCGGAAGAAGATCCACTGGAACCAGTGGCTGAAGCAGAGTTGGAGGATGTTTCACTGGAAGAAGTAGTGTTAGCAGGGCCGATGGTGGAGACGACCTTTTGTCCTCCGGGACCAAGTAGAAGCACCTGGCCATCCAGAGTAACAATCTCTCCAAGACCAAGCTTTGTGTTCTTCATCATGTCCACGGTAGAGGTGTTTCCCATTCTGAGCTGTTTAGCCTGGGCCAGGAACTGGTTGATTCCTCCCTGGACGCCCAGAGCCTTTGCTTGGACGCCAGAGTCGTTCAGCAGACCTCCCAGCTGGGGCAGGAGAGCGTCGATTTTGTTTCCCACGTCTTCCTGGGCCTTTGCAAAGATCTGGTCGATTGCTTCATCGTCGATTTCAGTGGTAGCAGACAGTCTGCCGACAAGGGCCAGTAGCTGGTCTGTATCGTTGGACTTGAGGAAGCCTCCGAGAAGCTTGCCAATGTTGTCCAGCAAATCGGCAGCGGTAGTGGTGACGTTGGTTCCATTCTGGGCAGACAGAATGGTGCTGAGATCGCCGGCGACGGGCTGAACAAGCGGGTTTTCGACCACGTTGGTGGCTGCGGCCGCAAAGTCGCTCTGGACTTGAGAAGACAGGTTTGCAGGGGACGCTCGGGACGCAAAAACGTCGCCAGCGTAGCTCAAAACATCGTTGAAACTGTCATTGAGGGCGGCTGCGGAGGCCAGTCCCATGGACAAAAAGAGCACAAACTTCATGTCTGGGGAATGGGTGGAGTCGTGTGGTGGAGATAACGAGAGAACGGACCACGGCAGGCTTCCCAGCACAGAGCGGCACTAAAAAATGGACTGTTGACGTTGTCTAGTGTAGCGCTACTTTGTAGGCTCAAGTCGATGTATGCACCTTTATGCGGGGCGTGCATAAAGTGGGGCTGGGGAGGTGGCATTTAAGGGGGTTGCGAAAGTGGTATAAAAATGGAAATTTCTTTTCAAGATGATTCAGGCTAGTCCAAATATTTTCCTCTTTTCCTTTGGTTCCTATCTATTTCGCCATAATCGCAATCTCCATTTTTTTCACCGCAAAATATCTCACTCACGAAACTTAAATCAATAGCCATCAACAATACATACGTCTTGTTTATCGGTCTAAAAGTCGTCTTTTTGGAACTTGAAAGTCTGCTCTAGCATCTCCAGATGTTGGGTAATACCCTGGAATGCCTGGTTTTGTGATACAGCCCTTGTAGGGCCAGCTGTAGACATCTCAACAGAAATTTGATATACGGCACGGCCCGCATATACAGAAAAGGTAGGTGCTGCTGTAGAGACAGACATAATAACGACAAGACACAAGATGAAAGAAAACAGAAGGTGCATATAATGACGTGGATACCGTGGACGTTTGTAAACTACGAAAACCTGTCTCCTGGAAGTGGTGATGGCACAACTACAAGTACCGTGCACGCCTGTCAAAGCTCATCTTATTACTGTCTCAGATGCACATATAAAACTCAGACCAGCCACAGTATAAGCCCTCACCTAAGACACCGCTCGTATCAACGCAACACCATGTGGTGTGCACTGAAAAGTACATACTGTACATGCTGGAGCACTCTTGTCGTGAAGTGACGTAGGACTGTCAGGGAGACACTAAAGCGCTATTGTAGCTCGACAGACACTTTATTCGAGGCAAGCACGCGCTTCATTCTTCATACTCGTAGCTACTGTAGCTTAATACTTGTAGCCTGTTTACTGCTTACTTTTTCCACTGCCTTGCTACAAATACAGTATCAGTCATGTCTTCGTCAGGGTTATTTTCGCCTCGCAAACTTATGGCAGAGTTCATGTGCAGAAGGCAGGTGGAGAGAGTGACTAAGTAAGGAACAGGTTATGAAGAGAGAAAGAGAGATATGAAACGATTATTATGATAATTGGGGTCAAGTGAGTACAAATTTGCGCTTCTGGGCGACTCTGTTGGATATTGCGGATTCTAGAGACGTGAACGAATACATCGTATGAATCACAGTAGGTACCTACAAGTAACTTGGATAGCTCCAGTATACAAGAACCAACCAAATCTACACATTAATGACCGACGATTCTTTCGACAACAACTATTGTACCAGCTTCATCCATACCCTGTCTATACAAGAAACCATCTACTTTAGCTGTCCGGTAGCATTATCTAATATTAGCTATTGTACGCAATAAGCGAGACGTCCCCACCTATTATGGAAGCCATCATTCCTGGTACTTTTATTATGACAACTTGTACTAAAGAATATATCAGTCCACTGTGAAGTCCATACTAATTCCAGTAATGGAAAAATATAGACCCCTTAGAGTACAAAAAGAGCAAGTCATGGGCGCTCTATCCTCTCGCAATGCGTCACACCACTCCACCCCTGAAGGTGTAGCTACTAAAATGACGCTATAGAACAGGCTATATAGAACCCCCACAGCGACCGCAACTGCACAATTCCACTATAAACACCCTGTCCGTGCTAGTACAGAATGTACTACGGGATGTACTAACTGCACACTAGTTAGTACAATCACCCACTACAACCGCTTCTAGAATCAAAAATACAATACATTCTTATTTGCTTTTCCCATTCCTCCATCCATCCGTTCTTGTTCCTGTTCCGTTTTCTTTTTCCTTTTCCTTTTCTTTTTCCTTTTCCTATTGTTTCCCTAAATGTGTTGATTTGTAGTTTTGAATCTTGTTAGTGTTCCAGTCATCCTCCTTCTAGTTGATTTCCTCCACCTGGACGCTGCTCTCCATCTCAGGCTGTCGCTCATGGTACTGCTGGCCCTCGGGAACATAGCGGATTCCTGTGAGCTGGGCAACGGCGTCAAGCAGCTGGCCGATCTCAACACCGTGCGTAGAAGCCGAGGTGTTGACGTTGTCAATGTTGATGGGATCGAACCCACCAGCTCGGGCAACAGTGTGACGCATGCACAGCATCATAATGGCGTTCTCGATTCGAGTGACAATATTCTCAAAGTACACACCAAGTTCGGACTCGGGAGTAGGGGCAATGTGCTGGATAGCGTGCCGCTGAATGTCCTTGAGAGACACGGGTCGAGACTGGCCATTGAATCGAGCACACATGTGCTCGAGCCGCAGCGCAATCTCCAGCACCTGAGATAGCAGGTCACTAGTGAAGCCGCCAGCCTTCTTCTTGGGGTGAAGAAGATCCTCCTGCATGCCGTGACGAGAAGCCAGAGGGGCAGAGTAGACGAGCGACAGAAACTCCGGGTTTTCGAGGCCCTTGAGTTTGAGCTCTCCAATCTCCTTGACAATCCATCCAAGAGAGTCCAGCATGTCCAAGTTCTGGGTGATCGCCTGGCCAGTGATCTCATCATTAAAGGCCTCGCCCAGAGAGATATTCTCTGCGTTCATCTTTTCCCGCAGACTCTGAAGCTTCTTGACCTTGGAAATGAAGTCAGCAGAGACGGTAATCTGGCCTCCATCGGCGACGGCAGACACTCGGGCTGCCCGGTTGACCATGGGACCAAAGTAGTCCATTCGACGGGTAATGGGATCAGGCTCACATACAGGAGAACCCCAATGAATACCCATTCGAACAGACAGACCTCGGAAAACAACATTTCCTTCGTCATCTCGGACCTCGTAGCCCTCCTCTGATTCCAGAATCTCCGCAGGCCAGTCAGCGGCCAGAAGCTGCTGCTGGACAGAGAAACACCACAGGAGAGCAGATGTGGGCGTCGTGAATGACACCATGAATGCATCTCCTTCCGTCTTGACCTCGTAACCCCGCAGAATTCGCAGCTGACGTCGCATGATCGCGTTATGAATTTTAATGGCTGATCTCATGGCAATGGGATACGTCTCCCATAGCAGAGTGGAGTTCTTGATATCCGTGAAAACCATGGCCATCTCTCCTTCAGGCGGATCGACTTCAGAGCCTAGACGAGCGAGATTCGAGTCCTCAGGAAGAAGAGACTTGTCCCGTCGTTTTCGGTATGGCTGGAACAGCTCGTCTTCACCAACAGGAGGCAGACCGGAGATTAGGTTGGATTGGTTGGCTGTTCGTCGCTTCACTCCAATACCCAGCACCATCACCATGAGCTTGTCTGATGCGCCGTACGAGATGGCAAAGTCTCGCAGCTTAGCCGCAGCAAGCATGGGGTCCTGAGACTCTGTTCGAGCAATGTCGACGGCCGTCTCGTAGCTCATCACCTCCCACAGCTGCTTGGATCCGATAATCAGCAGCTCATCGGAATCGTTGAGCTCCATTGACACGATATCGGGCCGAGCCTGGATGTGGGGGATGAGATTGTAGAATCCAAAGGCTCGAGACACATCGCAGACACCGTCCAGCTTACCGTGAGCGGAAATGAATCCTCCTCCGGCTCGAACTCGGCCAAGCTCCTCGGGCTCGGTGGGGTCGTGTCGGGTGGTAAGCAGACGATGCTCTCCAGTGCCCTTAGACAGAATGCACATGGAGTCACCAACGTTGGCCACGTACAATTTGTTGTCGGAAATGTAGCAAACTGTGGCACAGGAGCCGGTGAGGCCATCCTGCTTGTTGAGGTGCGTGGTGGTACTACTTCGATGAGCAGTGTGCGACTCCACCGTGGTCAGAGCAGCGGCACCAATGTCTCTGTTGGCAGCCAGGAAAGACCGCTTGAGAGCATCTTCAATGGTGTCGTCGTCACGCATCTTCTTGAGCTCATCCTGGAGCAGGGCACCAAACATCTCTTGTAGCAACTTGGCAACCTTGTTGCCGGCCCGAGGGTTGATCTCGTTACGTCCATCAAACATACCAACAACAACCTCATTCTCATTGCCCCGGAAACGCTCCACAACCATGTCGATAATGGACAGGTTCTCGTGTTGGCCTAGAGAGTCAGCCATGCCATAGGGCATGTTGTTGAGCTCGGATCCGTACGTACGAACTCGACAGTTCTCCGTCTGATCAGGAACCGAGGGGGTGGTCAGGGTGACATCCATCAGACCGAGGACTCGGAGCTGAGAGAGAACGGTGAAATCAGAAAGATTCTTCTGTTCCGTCCCATCGCCATGCCGCATTAGGTTGTTGGCAGCAGACTTGATTTCCAGTCGCTTGTTGCCGCTGAAAGAGAGGTACTTGAGATCCAAATTCCAGTTCCAGTTCCAGTCATAAGGCCAGTTGGAAATATTGTACTTGAGCTGGTTGGACGAGACATCAAGCACAGTCAGATGCAGAATCTTACCCAGCTCGGCTGGCAGAGAGTGCAGCTTGTTGCCGTTGACATGGAGAGTTCGAAGAGTCTTGATGTTCTCGAAATCGTCAGCGGGAAGAGATGTCAGGTTGTTTCCAGACAGATACAGCTCTGTGAGCCGGTTGAGACGTCTGAGGGCTCCATAGGGAATATCCATCAGCTCGTTGTAACTCAAGTTGAGCACCTGCAACGAAGTCAACAGTGATAGCTCCTCAAAGCACTCGTCATTGAGCCGGTTGTCAGCCAGAGACAGAATCAACAGAGAGTTGGCGAGTGTAGTACGAGACGACACAGGAGCATCACGTGCAAAGGTCATGGGAGAAGTACTCATCTTGGGGCTGTTGTACGCCAGACTACCTCGTCTGCTGGTCTCCCCGGGGCTCAACGTCGAGGTGATGCTGAAGGCCGAAGGACGTCGGATTCGCATCTCGTAGTTGCTGTCGAACTCGCTCTCCAAGTTTCGGTGGAAAGCATCGCCTGAGGACACACTGGACACGTGGAATTTGTGCTTGGGGAACGAGTCGAGCAGATTGGATGACACGTTGAGAGTCGACAGGACGTTGAGGTTCCAAATCTCGTCGGGCAGCTTTCGCAAGTTGTTACTGTGCAGATCGAGGAACTGCAGAGTGGTCAGCTGGCCGATAGAAGAAGGAAGCACACTCAGATTGTTACCGACAGCGGACAGGTAGATCAGCTTTCGCAGAGAACCAAGAGAAGAGGGCAGAGATACGAAATGGTTTTTGTCCAGCACCAGCTTCTCGAGGTTAGGAAGTCGATCGAAGAAGTTTTCCGGCAGTGTAGACAGCTTGGCCTTGGAGAGATGCAACACGGTCAAAGTATGAAGGACATTGGACACATTGACCTCGGTGAAGGGGTTTCTGTCAAAGTAGAGACACTGCAGCGACTCGAAGTTGTGCTCGTAAGATGTAATCTGGTTCTTGGAAGCATAGAGCACTTCCAGAAGAGGCAGAGATGATAGAGCATCAACGTTGTTGAGCCGGTTGTATCGAACATCCAGTTCCTTCAGTTGCACCAGATTCTTGATGTCGTTGGGCAGCTTGCTGATGTAGTTGTTGTTCAGCACCAGTCGCTCCAAGTTGACCAGCTTGGAAATGCTGGCAGGAACACTGGACAGTCGGTTGAACGAGAGATCCAGCTCAATCAGGTTGGACAGGTTGCAAACGGCCATGGGGAAGTCCGTCACATTGTTGTTAGACAGAGACAGCCGTCGCAACTGCTTCAACAAGGCCACGTTGTTGTTGATTCGAGTCAGCTGATTGCAGCTGAGATCCAGTGTCGTCAATGCAGACATTCGCTCAAACCGAATCTGAGCCACGTCCTTGATCATGTTACGACTCATATCAAGATACTCCAGGAAGACTGCATGCGAGATGTTGACCGGAAAGAACCTCGATCGGTTTCCAGAGAACCGCAGATTCTTCAGGTTAATGCAGGATTGAATAAAATCAAGCGGAATGCTGATACTGGGATTGTTGGAGACATCCAGATACTCAATCTCGTTAGAGAACTGGTAGAAGATGATTGGAATAGTCTGCAACTCTAGGTTCTGGAGATCAGCATGCACATAATCACGGGACATGATGGCCTCTTCCTCAGGAGTGAAGGTCTGGATGGAAGAGGGCAGGAAAAGGAATCGGCACAGATAACTCAAATCTTCTCTTCCAACTTCAACCAGTCGATCCTTCTCGGTGTATCCCATGAACTCGAGTAGAATTTTCTGGTATAGCAGCGGCTTCTCCAGCAGATCGAGCACACGGGTCAAACCGCCAATGCGAACACACAGCTGGTACCCCTTGACAGACGGCAGGAAGAACTTCTTACCGAGAATCTGAATCAACTCAGAAACAGTGGTTTCCAGGGGACACACAATGGTTCCAAAAGAGTCATCCTGTCTGAAAATACGGACAAAGTAGTTGATTGGCGGCTTTCCTGGGATGTGTGTGCTCACGTTGGTTTCCAGTCCGTACTGCTCACGGGTGGGGTCAGCGTAAGTCTCTACTATCTCTTCAGGCTCCAGTTTCGAACCTCCGCCTGGACCAGTATCGGCGACTGCCCAAGATTCTGGCGCAGACCATTGGCCTGCATTCGTCTGGGGCGCAGTGTCATCATTTCCAATGAATGACAAATCGGTTCCTACGCCAATGACTGGAGCAGCCGTAGTGCCGGATGCATTAGCAGTGTTGACCACTGGAGTTGGAGATGCGACGCCAGACACAGAGTTGTGGTTGCTGTTGTTGGCGTTGTTGGCGTTGTTGGTGTTGTTGTTAGTACTGACGGATGAGCGGTCGCCCACCATGGGGCCACCCATGGGCCCAGAGATGCTGCCTCCGGGCAGAACAGGCATACCGGGAATGGAGTCGGCGGCCGCTGAGCCTGTTGAGGCGTGTCGGGGGAGAGCCGACGAGTTGGCAGAGCTCGAAGCGCCTCCGTCCTCGACAATGCCAGCCATGGAGTCCAGGTCAGTATCGAGATTGTAGAAGTTTGCATTGGCAAGAGAGGGTCGCTTGCTGATCATATTGAGCACCTGCTCTCGCGACGAGGAAGCCGTATGGTCACGAGACGACGAGGCCATGTGGTCACGCGACGAGGTCGACGAGTTTCTGTGCGGGTCCAGATGGGACACTGTGCTTGCTGAACGCATTGTGGGTTGTTGTTTTGGGGCATGGGGTTCCGGGACCGACGCCACAGATGCATTTCTGAACGGTTGTGCGTGGGACTCCAACGGGTTGATAGGTCCATCGAAGGTATGGCTTTTCTTCTTCTTGTCCTTGTGATCTGAGTTAGTGCTTGTGGATAATTTTGCGCCATTGGTTTCGGATACTCACGGAAAACCTTGCCAATAATGTTCTTGGAGCTCTTCTTGGCCTTGTGTGCCAAGGCAATGAGAGTGTCGTCTTCATCTCCACTAGGCAGAGTGGAGTGAGACGTGGCTCTGTGGATGCTATTGGAGTCGTCGAAATGGTTCGACGTGGCCGCCTTGTGGAAGATTCCGTGATCAGGTTTGTTGAACGACCGAGCAGCTCGAAGCTGGTGTCCATCACCTGGGTGAGACGTTCGCTCTGTGCGTTCACGGCTGTGCTCCGACCGGCTGTCGTCATCATCATGCTTTTTGAAGAAGAACATTGATTTGGACGGCCTCGGCAGCTTCACCTTGTGATGCTTCTTGGACGACGACGACTGACCATCGGAATCAGCGCTGGTGTCGTCAGACACAAACAGATCCATGACCTTTTGCGGGATACTCTTTTTGGAACCAGTGGAGCCGGTGGTACCCTGAGAGGCATAGGAGGGGCGTCTGTCGACGTTGGTGCTGATCGGAGTGACAGCACGCGACCCACCAGCTGAGGGTGTGTGCGTTCCTACTGGTGTGATGACAGTGGGTCGCTCTGGGGGAGGCCGTTGCCCTGGTGGAGGAGGTCCTGGAGCTGAGCGGGTCAGAGATGCATTTGCTCGAGCGTGAGGATCGAGGGTGGAGTAGAGAGGGTCATCGATTGACGAGTTGTTGTTGCCGTGGCCGGGTTCCCATTTCGGTGCAAACTCGTAGTCCGGATCGATGCCTGTGAATGCTGTTCGGGAGGTGGGGGATGGGGGGAGTTCATCATGATCGTAGGAGTTGGATGTGGGCGAAACTCCGTCGTTGGAGAATGCGTTGAGGCTGGGTTAGTAGGGAACTACTCGCCAAATTTCAGGAGTAAACAAGTGCTGTACCAATGTCAGAAGTTCTAGTGTCATCGAAGGATGGCTGAGAGATTGCCCCCGAGACAGTACTTCAGGGTAGGCAACGAATGAACAGAAAACAGCAGATGAGTAGCAAAAAGAATTTACCAGTAACTGTCAGCGACTACAGACACCAGCAGCCAGATTGGCATCAACACCACTCCGCCCTCATCGCCACTGGGGCCTGTAGCTGTGATGAGCCAAATACAGCAGAAGCGGCGTCAGAACAATGAGAAACAGCCGGCTGGTCGAAATACCTCCCACAGAATCAGTACCACTCCCTGTGAGACCAGTCAATCAAACAAAGGCACAGCTTTTGTCGTCGTTCAATGGCTTTTCTGCCTTCCCAGCAATTGCCACAGATGTGGCCCTAAACAGAGCCACAGGTCGGTTAACAAGCTAGTGACACGGACTGGAGCTGTGTCGAGCTGATCCGGTTCGTCTCGTTTAACACCTTGCAGTTGCTACGACCGTTCAATCGACACGTGTCTGGCCTGGTCTGCGGCTCTCTGGTTCGTTCATCTCTCTGTGGCACTATGATGCACGGGCTCAATTGTGTGGATAGCGCGCAAATCCGCCTGAGACACCGTCGGGTCCGTTGTACTCACCGGTTCCAACCCTCGCGAGGCTGGCTGTTGCCGATATCGAGTGGGTCCATTTGTGCGGACAAGTCGTATGCCGGTGACTATGTCGACATGCACGGAATGGGAGTAGTTAATTTGTTTTGCAGGCAACGAGTACCGTGAACCTTAATCTGAGCCTACGACTGTAGCGAGTGGGTTGAGAAGCGCCAGGAGTAATGGGGGGGAATTCACATGAAATCGAATAAAAGGATTGTAAAAGAAATAAAAAAGGGAGTGGATTTGGGCGAGAAAATATACTGTTTATTAATCCTCACTCTGCCTCGCGAAACGGGCCCCATAACTCCCACAAACCTGCACCGCCTACAAGGCACAAACGGTGCAGCTAACATGTGATGACAGGAGAAAAGATGATGTATAGAAGAGTCTATAAAAAGGAGTGCGTAAAAAAAATGACGGGGAAAAAAAAGCCTGTACAAGTGCTGTACAGTACTGTAAAAAGGGGCATGAGGGTGGGTGTCTTGTACCGTATTGTACACACAGTACAAGCACATTTATCATCCACATAAACGCCTCAGATAGATATCAGATCTTTCTATTGCAATATATATATATCTCATTTATGAACCTCGCCTAGTAGCTTGGAACCTACACGTGGCACACACTCACCAACAAACAACAAACGAAGGGTGTCTTGGTCTTGTTTTTTTTGTGAGTGGGTGACCAACAAGTCCATCCGTATCTCGTATCGAGTATGTGTGTGTGTGTGCATGTTGGGCAAGATGGGAGTGTGAAAGTTGCCAAAGTTGAGAGCATGCCTGGTTGGCCAAGAACAAGGAGGGCCATTGTAGGACTATAAAGGGCGGTGAATTAATCGACACAAAGACCGCTACTTGTAGGGCCTTGGTCGCGGCGCACGAAGATCCCGATTCGGCCTTGCTGCTGCTGCTTTTCTTACCCACAAAAAGAAACCCTGGAGAGAGAGAGATGTGTTTGTTTCGACTGTACCTCAACCTCAAGCTTCACACCTCAGACCTGAAAGGCTGCTAAAATTGAGACGGGAAACCGAAGGGTGGGGATGTGCAAGTAAGGGTCTTTTCTGCTGCAAATATGGGGGCGGCAGGCGATAATTTAAGAATCCGAGTGGGATAATATCTGGGTAAAAGGCTGCGGAAATGTCGCCAAAACCAGGACAAACCGGGGGATTATCCGCACAATTGTATACGCTCTGTAGACCCTGCTGGACGTGATCACATGGCCCAGGGCCGGGATCGTGGACAAGCGGAATATATGTAAGCACAGGGATTGACTTGGCACGTGTGGATCAAGAAAGCAACAAACGACAATCAGCGCGCATGACACTCTTGGTTCATCCGTAGGTCCTGTTCTAGACCCCAAGCTGTCTCAAAACGGACACGCTGTTTCACATTGAACGACAAAATCGCGTTCATGGTGATATTAACGAAAATTTGCGCGGCTATCAGCACTGTAGTACAAGTACGGTACGATACAGTACCGGTAAGCGGAACCAACGAGCCGTATTTATACTACAGTATGATTACTGTAGTGTTGTTGACTGTATTCAGACACTAAGGATACTAATTACTATTTGTAGTACATACAGCAGATGGATAAGACAGCCTAAAGTAAAGTACGAGTACGAGTACGAGGAAAGGAAGTCAGCTTCTATGTCTAGGTAGATGGAAAGAGGAACTATCTCTGTAAGACTTGAATGAGACATAAGAGGCAGTGAAGAATAAATCGTTGGGGTTCTTTTGTTACTTCTGTTGGCTTCTCACATGCCTCTACTTGTAGTATGTACATACTGTACGAGTAGGAGTATCGGAATATATGTACTGCAGTGACCTTCCCTTTATCTACCCCTACTGTTTAGAATCATTTGGAGGTGTTGAGGTGATTCTGTAGACTGTGCCTTGGGGATAGTTCTATTTTGGCTTCCTTCACATCCACTGGTTTCAAGTACAAATACGAGTCGACTGCTACGCTGGCTCCACCTCTAGAGTCTTCTTCGCACAATCCTCATTAGTTTTTACAATCATTCTCGTATAATATGAGAAGCACAGATGGTATATTTTCCAAAAAAAAGCACTCGCCCTTAACCTGTGGTGGCTGTAGGTATCTTCTTTATTCTTCGTCTCTCTCTTGCACATCAGTACAGAATGCACGGTAGCTCATATCATGACTACACAAGCCATTAACCACAGCCAAGTCCATTAATACTGAACGCGGCCAGCGTTCCCATTCCCATTACCTATAAATAATCCTAATAACAGCATCCCGATTTCGTCTGCTGGGCTACATCTACCCTCGAGTCTGCCCCTCGCCCATCTAACTCAATGGGTTCCTGTTCCACTGTACTTGGGCGTCGTAGCAGCGGCGTGTTCGAGTTCTTGCGGGAACTAGACCTTCCGCCACTCTCTTCTTTATCCTGCTGGTCCTTCTTGATCTCCTCCTCACCAGCTCTGTTTGCAAAAAACCTCGATAACGCAGAGAAACCCTTTTTGGAATCCTTCTTCCTGCTTTTTTTCGTCGACCGGTCCCACCGCGGAACGTCTCCATATTGTACACCGCTGTTCATGTCCTCTGGATCGATTTCGCCCAGCTCAATCTTGGTCAGGAGCTGAGCAGCCACTTTGTCGAACAAATCCTCAATGCCTTTGCCGGATTTGGCCGAACAAGTGGTGACTGTGATGTCGGGATTCGACTGTGAAAAGGTGCGCACTTCGGCTGGAGGGACGATCCACGTTCTATCTGCCTCCTCAATCAAATCAGCTTTGTTTCCACATGCAACCATAGTCACTTGAGGAGATGTGAGGCTTCTAACGTCCTGAATGAACTCGGCAAGTTGTCTGAAAGTGGAACGGTTCACCGTATCGTATACTAGAACCACTCCTGCGGCTCCTCGGTAGTAACTACGGGTCAGCGCTCGAAACCGCTCCTGTCCAGCAGTGTCCCATAGCTGCAGCTTGATTCTGGTCAGGTTGGACCCTGAGCCCACACGGACGATTTTGGAAGCAAACTCCACGCCTATCGTTTGCGAAGAAGACACCTTCCATTCGCCCTTGACGAATCTGTGCATGATACATGACTTTCCACACCCAGAGGGGCCCAGGAGAATCACTTTGGCAATATAGTCATAGCGAAGGTCAGAGTCAAAGTCCGAAGCGTCGGTCGAATTCGACGTTGAATTTGAAGGCATGTTTGCGATCGTTCTGGCAGTTTTGTGTTGGTTTCGGGTCGAGTATGTTGCCGTCCACTTTTGTTGTGATGCTGTCGTGATGTTGTCGTGTGTGGCGTGTGTTGCTCGGTTACCTGGTTTACCGCTGGTCTAGGGAATGAAACTCCTCGTTGCAGCTGAAACAGAATAAAACACAGTCGTACCACGCTCAACCACCTTGATATGCTGTTGTCAAGGTCGGTTCTCTTTTCCTCCAATTTTTTTTGCAATCTCGCACACTACCGCGAGCTAAGGTGAATTAGACGTGCATGTGGGGGGATCGTCATGTAATAGATGATAGGGGCTAGTTGGGCTCACGTGACTGTGATTATAAAAAAACATATATCGACGAGGTTGCTGGGTTGAGCTGAATTCAAATATGTGGTCCATTTCGCCCCAACCCCTCTCTATCGATTACCATGCCCTTCTCATGTCATATTGAAGACGCATAAGGCTTAGCGTCAAAATAAACTTCCTACTTTACGGATAGGAGAAAAACGAAGACATACGGAAGTCCCAGTAACATGACCAATAATGATGATATCGAGATGATCAAAATGCCAAATACATCACAGGGGTATTCGACACTTATATAGACCCCCTGTTATTACCCTAACCCACCACAAATACCTGTTAGTGTCCCTATCACCAGCCAATCAAACTTCAATACACCAAATGACAGCACCACTATACATGTCACTTATAGGTCGTGTGCCGAGAGCAAGAGCAAGATGGTATATCACGTGACTGAAGGAAGCGTCAGCAACAGAAGAACTCATCTTTGAGCTTGGTACTTTACTCACGTCTTTTGGGGTGCTGTTGGTTAGGGTTTGGTGATGTTGGAGGTTGGTGGTTAGGGGTACAGTAGTTGGTACGACTCATTTGACTGATAATTAGTGGTGACCAAGTGAATATACTCTGCGGTTGAGGGTTTGGAGTACAAGTACTGTAGTTGGAGCTATCTGCTGGTTACTTTTACATTTGTTTGATATTGGGGTGAACTTCGGCGTGTGCTCTGTGCAGTATGTTAGCATCAGGATGTTAAGACCAATGTTGAGTATAACTCAGCGAAGAGCCGGGTGGGGTTAGATTTGAGGTCATAGCCATGCTCAATGGAAGAAGGGGATTTGATTGATACCGCTAACAGGTGTTTCATCACTTTTTCCACTATTATGACATGCTCAAAAAGCTCTTCTTAAACAGTCAATTTTGGATGTGTATATCATTACAAGATGGTAATGTACTTGTGTAAGTATTGAATTTGGGGGAAAAAGGACACAATAAATTCAATCAAATCAACAAAACCAGTCAAATCAACAGATTCTCACCAAAATTGACCTTTAAGAGAACAAATACAACAGCCCATGGCAAACCACGCACCTTTAGCCACCAACAGCCTTGTAGACCCGATTCCAAGCCGTCTGATCCATGTTCAATTACCCGCTTAAAATTGAAAAGTGTCACTGAAAAATGCCAAGATCGGCCCAAGAACAAGCCCTTCAAAAGCCCATTCTCGGCAAACGACGGCAAAGCCATCATAGTATCACGTGACCCAACTCCCAACCCCGATCACATGACCTGCTTCCCCACAAAACCACCGTCCGCACATGTACAAGTACTGTACGCTTTGTGGCATCCGAGAAATGCCGCTGGAGTTGAGAGTATGTGCAGTGTGCATGTCCCCACAATAGGTCCGGCGGGTAAGAGTGTAAAAAGCCGGTGGACGTATGGAGATACAAGTAGGAGGTGCCACGTGATGAATAAACCGCGAAATACATATATATGGAATTAGTTCCCTAACCCTGGCGGTAATGGTCTTCCATTTTGTCTCGGCTTTATGAATGATTCCGTATCGCAATGTACCTGAAATCCATGTTTGGATCTGTTCTACCATGCTGCAACCCTAACCACTATTTGTCACGGGAGGTCCCGAAGGTGTGAACCTAATCAACTTCCAAACTGTGGGAGTGGTTGGAATGAAGAGGGGTAAAATGTGTGTTATTGGGGGGTTTTTGAGACTAAAAAACACATAAAATGATAATAACATCTGTATATATCTCTTGTTCAAACCTTTAGCTTCGAATCGCCTTTGAAACCGTCTCAAATACCTCGTTCTGCGGTCGGCCGACACAAGGCCGAACAGAGTTTTTCAACTGAGCCCGGGTAAGTTAGCATCCCGACTTTTCACTTAGGGAGAGCGGGATCCTATTCCATTCTTGACATCTCTGATCTGTGATCTGTGGAACCATTATCGACATGACTTCAGAACAAGAGGAGGTTTCTAGTGAGTATGACGACGGAGTGAAGCCGGAGACATTGAGAGCAACCGCCAGGGAATTGCAAGCGACACAACCGAACGAGACAGTCCAGTGCGACAGACAGATCAATGCTGGATCATTTTCACCCCAGATTTTGTGTTGATTTCTGGGCGACCATTTGTGTTATTGCTTCGGCTGCTGACGTCCTATGTAACGAACCAAGCAGCGACACTATCACAAGGGGTGCACCGTGGGTCGTGTGCGATGAAAATGGACCTTTGACATTATTTTCCCCACACAGCCGACATTGCCCTCAATGAGAGAACATGGACGACGGAACACAAGACGACAGTAGTTGCAAATGGTGGTGCTAGACTCGAAACTTTATGATACTGGACACTAGTTGCGCTTCTGATCTGGCGACAATGATGCTTTTGGCAATGCTGACCGCACTGTGACGATTTTTGCTCTATGGTGATAGGACAATTTTTAGTCCCATAGTTGAGTCAAACTCAGTAGCGTTGTTGAGTCTAAGTGCGGATCTCAGTTTAAATCACCAAGTCTTTAATCACCTCAATATCGTGCTGTTTAGCTGAGCTAAGCTGCCAATTTGTTCTCGGCCATTTTTAGACTGAATTTCGGTCTAGCAGATGTCTTCAGAGCTGCGGCGTGGCCACTCAAGAGCTGTGTACCGTTCTGAACAAGCTCAGTTTGGCAATGTCATAGCTGAAACCAAATTGAGAGAGACAGTTTCACAAGAGCGTTCAACAACTCTTCCGCAATAGAATCTCTGAACGTGTCCCACAAGCTGATGGCTTATCTGATCTGTCTACTCACTACTATGAGACGCTTTTTTGGTACCAGGCTCAACCTCTCTGTCAGTCCCCGCTCGCCTGTTCATATAACTATGCTCAACTCGGTGTGCACTCAATTTGTTCGCTTCCGTACTAACCCAGTCCTCACCCTCCAAGTCACCTTTCCCGACCCGGAGCTCCCTCCCCTGTCCCTCACCGTCTCTCCCGAAGAGTCTGTGCAGGAAATTCGAAACTACATTCGAGACGCCTTTGTCCAGGAGCGATGCATCACTTCCTTCACCCTGAACCTCAACGGTCAGCCTATTGACGGATTTGAGAGCCTTGCTGAGATTGAAGGTCTCGAGTCTGGTGCTACCATCGAGCTCACCAACGCTCCCTACAACGAGCATGAGGCCCGTCTGCATGTGATCCGAGTGCGAGAGCTAGCTGGCTTTTCCAACAACTCCCACGCCGCTGTGGGCCAGGATGCCGGTATGACCGCCTTCAACCGAACCGAGGGCATCGACAAGACCCCCAAGGACTACATGCAGGAGGTTGTCGAGACCAAGGCCCAGAAGGAGGCTAAGGCCAAGCTCAAGGCCGAGCAGAAGAAGGCCAAGGCTGCTGCCAAGGCCGAGGCTCTGGCCAAGAACGAGGAAGTGTCTGAGGACGAGGAATCGGAGCCTGAGGATGACACTCCCATGAAGCAGTCCACCCAGGTTCTTGAGGAGAACTCTCCCATGCACGGCTTCAAACTCGAGGAGTCCAAGTCTCTGCAAGAGCTGTTCCCCGACCGACAGAACCTGCCTGCTCCCGCTCTGCTGTCTCTCCACCTCTCACACTGGAACCCCCCCACCCAGGCCCAGCAGCTCAACGGCGAGCTTCTGTATCTCCAGTGCGCCACTCTGGAGGGCGAGTCGTACCAGATTGTGGCACACACCAACGGTTTCTACGTTGCCAACTCCACTCTGGGCTCTTTCGACCCCTCTCCCAAGCCTCTGATGGTCAAGACCAAGGCCAAGAAGCAGAACGGCGGCAAGAAGGGCGGCAAGAAGACTGAGACCGAGATCTCCTACGTGCCCATCACCACCGAAAACATGCACCACTCTCTCTACGACCTGCTGGTGTCTCTGTCCGACAAGTTTGCTAAGAAGATTGCCTCCAACTACGCTGAGCTCAACGCCGCTGGTATGCTCTCCGTTGTGCCCCCCACCAACTGCTTCCTGGCCAACCCCTGGCTCACCAAGCCCGCCGGTTTCCGACGACCCGATATGGCCCGAAACCAGGAGCTGCTGTCCCTCAAGAACCTCGAGGGCCAGGACGATACACGAGAGTGGTCCGAGGACCTGCAGTCGCTCAAGGAGCTGCCCCGAGAGACCATCAATGACCGGGTGGTGCGGGAGCGACATCTCAACAAGACCTACTTTGACTTCACTGAGGCTGCTGTCGCCGGTGCCGTCCAGGTTGTCCATGGCGAGATTCAGCCCATCAATCCCTCTGAGCCCGAGGCCTCCCACATCTTCCTCCACAAGGGTATCTTCTACTCTGTTGGCGCCGACGGATCTGGCACTTATGCCGAGATTGGAGGCGACGAGGCTGCTCGAGTGGCCTCCGCCAAGGACCTCCAGGCTGTCCAGCAGCTTGTGCAGTTTGACTTCCCCGAGATTGCCTCTCTGTGCACCACTGTGGTGGACTACCAGGGCAAGCGAATTGTCTGCCAGTCCCCTGTCCCCGGTATCTTCAGACAGCCCGAGAACGCCCCTCCTCAGGTCAAGTACGGCTCTGTCGAGGGTGCTGAGGAGATTGCCTCCGAGCAGGAGTTCGGAGACGCCTTCAAGCCCATCGCTGCTGCCTTCCGACTCAAGACCCACACAGTCAAGGACGCCAACAAGGAGCACTCTCTGCACCTGGCTTCCGACTGTAAGGGTCTTGCCGGTACTGACGGTCGAAAGTACCTGCTTGATCTCTACCGACTTGCTCCCGTCGACATTGCCTTCCTCGATGCCAACCCCTCGTACCCTCACCAGCTTGCTCTGCTGCGATTCGAGGCTGTCGAGGCCTACTTCCGACACCAGGTTCGAGCCGAGATCAAGAAGCAGTCTCTGGATGAGGACGAGACCCCCAAGTTTGAGGTCGAGCCCTTCTACCTCAACCCTGACGCCTTCGTTCTTCCTGCACCCAAGGAGGATGAGGACGCTGTGCGAGCTGCCTCCGAGTTTGTCTCCAACACTATCATTCCCGAGCATGTGGAGGCTGTGATTGCCGGCTTTGGCACCACTCCTATCGACGGCCAGCAGCTGACCCAGTCTCTGCACGGCAAGGGTATCCCGATGCGACACCTTGCCTCCGTCATTGCAGCTGCCAAGAAGAGCGACACTTCCAAGGCCCAGTTCCTCGCCGAGCTGTGTGAGCAGGAGATTGCCGTGCGATCCGCCAAGCACCTGCTGCGAAACGAGATGGCCAAGAAGGGTGCCAACCCCAAGTACGTTGTTGCTCACGTCATGAACCTGCTGCTGGGCTCCACCTCCAAGGTGTTTGATACCCCCGCCGGTCTGCTGGCTGTCTCCGACTCCGTCAACCTTTCGGTCGACGAGGCCAAGGCTGCTGTTGCCGCCATTGCCAAGACCCGATTCGGCTACGACCTCGATACCTCAATCTTCGCCAAGCGACCCGTCCAGCTGCTCCGAGAGCTGTCTGGAAAGCTGGGACTCCAGTTCCTGCAGAAGGAGTACGAGTTTGGTGCCGAGCCCTTTGCCGTCGCCGACGTGGTCAACATCCTCCCCGTCTTCAAGACCACCACCTTCCGATCCAAGCTCGTGGAGGAGGCTCTGGAGGCTGCCCGAAACTCCGTCAACACCGACAAGGACGTGGCTCTGCAGCTGCTGCGAGAGTCCATTCCTCTCGCCGAGCAGGTGTACGGCTCCGTTAACCCCGAGCTCACCAAGGTGTACAACACCGCTTCTTACCTGGCCTACGAGATGGACGAGGCTCTGCTGGCTGCCGATCTCGGCCGACGAGCCTGCATCATGTCCGAGCGATGCTCCGGAATCGACTCTGTCGACGCCATTCTCAACTACCTCAACCTGTCGTTGTTTGAGCACGCCATCGGCAACTACGTCGGTGCTCTGCACATGATTAAGCACGCCGTTTCCGTGTGGGTCACCGTGTGCGGCACCCATCTGCACCCCGATATCATCACGTCGCTGTCCAACGCCATCACCATGCTCACCACTCTCAAGCGATGGAACGAGTCGCGACAGTGGCTGGAGAAGACCATTGTTATCACTGAGAGTGTGGCCAACGAGAAGGCGCAGGCCCCTCTGCGGTTCCAGCTTGCCCAGACCATGTGCCACGAGCAGCAGTACAAGGAGGCTACCGATGAGCTGCGACGAGCCCTCAAGCTCTTTAACGCTCACTACGGTGAAGACGACCAGAACACCAAGGACTGTGCCGTGTGGCTCAAGTCTCTGACCCAGGCCGCCGTCTCTATCCAGCGACAGAAGCTGTGGGAGCAGGAGCAGGGCCGACTGGCTCGACAGGCTCCCAAGCCCACTGCTACTCATCAGAAGGAAGCCCCCAAGAAGGCTTCTAAGAAGACCAAGGGCAAGGGCAAGGGCAAGGACGACAAGGGCGAGAAGCTCGTTGCCGAGCTCAAGAAGAAGAAGGCTGGAAAGCGTTAGTTAGTGTGTAAATAGTATGGCCCGTTGGTGTCAGCCAGCAGTCGTGAAATGAATGTATGTAGCAATGGCCAAGTCATTGTGATTAGTTGATGATTGTGGTGTTTGTAAATGTAGTAGTAGCAACTCAAGTGGCTACCAGGGTGCTAGTTATTGCTCTTGCACACAAAAATATGTAATTATCTACACAGATAAAAAAGGATTACAGCACCCAGGATTCTCGTATGGTCTCCCACTACAATACTAACTAGGCTCTCTGGTGCTTGACTATGGCTGATCGGACGGGAAGCCGTATTTTCACCAGGATATGGCCGTAACCAAACTGCGCCGACCCGGAATCGAACCGGGGGCCCATCGATGGCAACGATGGATTTTACCACTAAACCATCGGCGCGATTTTCATGACCTGGAAGAAATAGTGACAACCACACAGTGAAAAGTGTCATTTTTTTCGGGTGACGATTTTTGAAGTATCTGGAGGTTTGTGAAAGAGAAAAAGTAGCATTAAATTAACTATAATATCTCCAAGTATGCCCCAATATTACTCTTATGTCTCCTGTGTGTCTTCTTCGAATTTTTGAAACTGTTCTGGATGTGACCTGCTATAGAGGGGTGTGCGTAGAGAGTGTTTTGGAGGATATTTAAGATGAACTGAGCATAAAATTGTATGGAATGATAATGGCGATACTGGTAGCACTTACGTGACCCGTTTAATCATTCTTTAGTTATATACAACTACTGATTTTTGATTATCATGAAATTGCAGGACAGCAGGCACCATGAGAAGTTTGAAACTTGTCTAAGATAGACTGGTGTGGTACGCAGACAAACAGCATCAATTGATCAAGGCTCTTTGTGTTCTTTTAGTACCGGTAACATTTGATTGAGTCCCATATCTCAAACAAAGAGATTTTGTATATACGAAGAATGAGTGATATACAGCACATAGTGTTATACGCTCTACGAACGGAATCATTACAATGCCCAAACTAATACACTTACACCCATTGTGTTATGTTATCTAATACTTTTGTTAATCTATATTTCTAATTACTGGTGAAGTTCGTTCATGGGTTTGCATCGTTCATGGGCTAATCGTATCGAACAGCTCGAAGTCTATCATTCTCCCACCGACGCTCCAGTCGCTCCACCTTTGTGTTGTTGTCCTTGGTGTGATCCACCTCCTTCTCAAACTGCGAGAAGAAACCAGCAATCTTGGAGGGGAACCATCGTTTGTCCTTGCCCCAGTGGAACCAGCCAATGTGTCCTCCATGATTGGTGGCAGCCATGACGGTGTAGGGGTTTCGCTTGATCTCGTGGTAGGGCAGCTGGAAGCCGGGAGCCACGGGGTCGTCCAGGGCATGCAGAATCAAAGTGGGGACTCGGATGTTCATGATTCGGTTACACGACGAGCCATGTCGATAGTAGTCGGTGGCGGTGTCGAATCCGAACATGGGGGCGGTGAACAGGTTGTCAAAGTCGACAATGGACTTGACCTGCTTAGTCAGCGACTCGTCGTAGATGGGGTTTCGCTTCATGACCTCCCGGTGGTTTCGGAGCATTCGCAGCAGGTTCTTAGCCATCTGGGGGTTGTACAGGTGTCGTCCAGACCACGAGCTTCGCAGGGCGTAGTATGAGGCACACAGGTCCCAGGGGTTGGCAACAACACAGGCAGCCTCAATGTCGATGTCCTCGGCCTCTTGGCCCAGGTAGTTAGCGAGAATGGAGGCTCCAAGAGAGAAACCCACCATGTAGAATCGCCGGTTGGGGTATCGCTTTCGCATATCCTTGACAAACCTTCGCACGTCCTCGGTCCAGCAGCCGTTGAACAGCTCGGGGGTCTTGATGGTGGTTCGGGCGCATCCTCGAGTGTTCATGACAACACACTCAAAGTCTACAAGGGTTCCGTCGGCAGAAGCGTTGTATTGAGAGGTGATTTTAGCAACAACAGCTCGCACGTAGGACTCATAAGAGCCGCCGGTGAGGCCGTGGAGAAGAATCAGCATGGGCTTGGAGTCGTCGCTGTGGTCGAGCTCCACTTCCTGGGGCTGCTTGTATCGGGTTCGAACTGGGAACTTCGGGGTGTTCTCCTCGGGCTTGTACTCGAGTCCCTTCTTCCAGGCCGCCTTTTCCTCAGGGGTCTTGGGGGCGGGGACGACGTAATCGGCGGCAATCTGAACGCCGTCGTCGAAATCAACCATTCGTCGGGCGTAGTAGACCAGGTCGGTGCCATGGAGGTCGTTCTGAGAAGCCATGATGGTCTGCACATGGTTGAGGATCTTGAGAGGGTTGTACCACAGAGTGTCGCCGTTTTTGAGGCCGGGGACCTGCTGGATCAGAGCGTCGAGCGACTCAGTCTTGCCGTTCTTGAGATGCAGCTCCAACGGTTTTCTGGGCTTGGTGATCTTCACATGGTCTCGTGACTTGAAAATGAAGTAGGCGGCCAGAAACAGGCCAACCACCACCTTGTGTGCGCCCAGAAACGACCAGACGTAGTCGGCCAGCCGTGCGGATCGTTCGATAGTGGGGTTCATGATGTGCGAAGTACGATTCGGGTCGGGTCTCAGTAACAGAAATGGCTGCACCAGATTTTATATATGTGATGCGAAAAAAATAAGCCTTGCAGGCCGCCGTTAAATTGCTGCATGACGAGTTAAAAGGGGCGTGATAGATAAATGAGGGATAGGGGGAACGAGGCCGAGAAGCGGGAGCGGGTTGTTAAGCCGAAAATCACGTATACGACTGATCATTCTATGAGATATTATCATGTGATTAGTGCTCTTGGGGAATTCGGGCTCGTTGTGCCGCTCATTGCCCACTGTACCTCATCAGTCATATCGCCAAAGTCAACGTCACGTCAGCAATGACTTTGACTGGACGTGAGTTTAAGAGCCTTCACGGTTGACGCCAGAGGGATATTCCGAATAGACGTGCGATTACGGTTGCCGGTTACGAATTTAGCGCAGTCCGACTTTTGGACTGGCTTCCGTTGCGTAGCATGTACCAGCATTGTCCCCTCCGCAACGACAAGACTCCCCCGCCCCCTCGTCTTCTCGGATCGGCTTTAAGCTACGCTAACGCCGATTCCGTCTCCAGCCGGAGTTTTTGTCTGGTGCTGCGTCTTGTTGAGTTGAAAATCCGCAAAGTTGCGTCGAAGAGCCCGCGTATACGCACAGAATGCGCGCACCCAAACAGATAAGCCGAGGTATCGGAGGTTGGTGTCGGCAAAAGGGACAATCTCGCACACGGTGCACGAGACACGTACAGTGCTAGTAATTATAGTAAGGCCAGACAGGTCTTTTTTTTTATTTGGCTGTAAGAGGGAGGGGGCTGTGCACACGTTTGCAGGTCAAGATATAAAATGGGGACGGAGTGTGAAGAGTGGGATAGGTAGGGGATTATGCACCGAGTCGCGAAAACTCGGCCTTCGGCTCATTGGCATTGTTTTTGCTTCCCTGGTTGCCATCGTTATCGGCTTCCAGAGCCCTCCTTTAATTTTGACTCGGACGGATTAATGTAATTGTCCGACAAGCCTTGATCAAGCAGGGTCTCGGTAAGAGCGGTGGAGCACAGCAGAGCAATCTCGTCCGGTGGAGGAGTACTTGGAAAATAAAAGCTGAAATTGTAATCACGTGATCAGCTCATTTGATTGGTGTGTTTTTCTTCTTCCACATTGTTCTCTTTTTATCACGTCGTTCAACAAACCTCTGACTGCTCCACGAACCTCCTCCTCCCAGCTGCTGCCAAACTGCTCGCTTTGGAACTGCCGAATACGAACGTTTGAAACAAGCAAATATTGCACCGTCCTGCGCCGCCTAGAGCCCGATCTGTAGCTGGATTGATACCAGCACGTGGTTGGACTGCAATGGGGATATATAATCCAATCAGACACGTATAATTGCCAACCTCCTTTGTCATAAACCAAGTGCTGGGCCATGCCCTGTTAAGTATGAAGTACACACTTGACTCCATCAACTAAGTATATTTGACTTGTATGATTCGCCATAGCTCCCTGATAATACCCAGAAGAGCGACATCTGGAGACTAAGATCGAAAAAAGTGTCTTATTGTTGCTCTTTTCAGCCTTACTCGTCCATCTGAGAATCACTCTCTTCCCATTCAAGCCACCTCTCCAGCTGCTCACTTTAACTCTCGTTTTTACAACAGACTCGACGGGCAGACTCGGGCCATAAATGAAAGCTATAAACCTGAGCTCCGAGAAATGCCATGAAGGACCAAAGGAATTGTAGGGTGGAAGAGGCTGTCTGTGATGCTGAATTCCAGACGGGATTGATTTCTGCGTAGTTAACTTCACTTCAACGAGCCCACCCACTCAATTTAAGTATGATCCCAACTAGATTACTTCGAAGGCAGCTACAGTACAATGTGTAATTAGTTATAAACAATTAGTGGGATAAATGAAGGGACAATAAGAGAGCTGCATTCTTGTGTGTATGTACTACGGTAAAGATATCGAGTAGAGAATTGAAGGGCTGAAAGACAGGGTAAAAGAGTATAGCATCCACAATGACGACTTGCCATCATCAGCCCTTGAGCTGAGAGACGGGAGATGCTACATCTAACTGTCAACCGAACAACAAGTGACCTCGGAATGATAAAACAGAAGCCTGAGAGATGGTTTGGATGAGGTCCAGTGACATCAATGTAAACCATCGCAACATCAATCATGGAATCTCTTTATGGAAGAAGGACAAGGGTCCTGCAAGATATTCATACACATGGAGGTTTCACCAGGTGCCTTTTTTGCTTCTCGATCTCATTTGAGCCAGTGATCATAAACCAATTCTGCATTGAGGAAACTCCACATGTCAGCTGAGTTGTTTCGACGGAACTTTTGATTGATCAATTGAAAAGCTCAGCTATCTCCTCTATCCGATTTCTGTTCTTGGGCTACACATGACAACTTTACAGCTAAGGGGTATGGGTTAAGTACGAACATCTCTACTCGTACAAACTGGTCAATTCCCCTGTCACAGTCTCCGAACGCGATTGAAGGCCAGTTCAACACATTGTAAACAACAGAAAGTCGCATCGCATGCCCATCTATAAGAACCAGGCTACCGTAGCCGGATTATGAAGTGTAATGAACCAACCGTTACTTGTACATACTGTAGCAACAGAAAGACATTAGGGATAGGGAGATGTACGAGTAGAAATATATCTGTATATTTCTGCTGAGAAACTTCGTTTGTGAGAAGCCCTTGTCGTATCAATGTCTACGCAATCTTACAAGTGAAGTTCAGGTTCGAGTGTGTGAAGATGTTTCCCAGTGAAAAAAAATTGAACTGTCAAGCCTTAGGGAGTTGTCGGTCACCATTGAAGCTTGGATGTTGGACATTGGAATCGCTCGTCCTGTAGCTTGTCATCTGTTTACTAATATGGCAAGTGAAGATTGCGGGCTACAGTATGTAAGAGAATATCAAGGAAGCGGCGAATGACATTAAATTTCGCACTGCAATTCGGTGCCTCTTTTCCCTTTTAACCCTCATTTTGAATGTATTTTACCTCATTTCGCCTAATAAATAGGTAAAACACACAAAAAAAAGTGGATTAAGTAAAATAACACAACCAAATCGCCGATAATACTCCCCGTGAACAGTTGAAACACCCAATAGGAAACGTCGAACCTCTTGCGACCCGCAAATCTCCCTCACCCTGGCTTGCTATCCTGGAATGACCCCAATTAAACTCTGTTCAACGAATACGCGAATGTTTCAGATACAATTCGCGTAACGGTGGAAACGGTGCACAAACGATGTACGTGTTTATGGGACGGTCAATCTGGAAAAAAGGACGATATTCAATGGAATCTCAGAGTGACTTTCGATTTTCCAGTAATTATCGTAAAATCCATAACACGTACAGACCATTCTCATGTTTTTGCGGTACGATGGTTCTGCACGTTAATATCTGCGGCTTGTTATTCGTTGGGTTCTCGGATGTAATCGGAGATAATACGGACATCATTTTCGGCAATTTGAAGCGACCGCAAACCAGGAATGGAAAAGAAGAGACGTGAAAGAGCACGAGACACATGTCAATCACATAATCACGCGGTCTCAAGAACCCCACGTTTCTCATCGAAGTTACATTGGACAATGTAACGATGAAGTCTTGGTGTGTTAAACTGAGTCTGATTGAGTTTCGGACCTAAGGATAGGAAGAGTATAGACGACGTTGTGGCAATTTAAACCGGATGAATTCGATATAGAAATGTTCCTCTTATCCTGAGGAATCTATTAAAACTTTCAGAATTCAAATACCTATACTATTCGCCAGAGTTCCACTAACTCCTCAGGTGACAAGCGTAAGGTGTAGGTTACGATGGGCTGTACAGAAAGACCACCAAGAGGTCTGTCCTACTTCTTAGGAGACAGGTGTGTCCATTTTCGCGCCAGGATTCCGACGGAGTAATCTGATTGATTCTGACTATATTATTGATGGAGATGGTAGCATTGAGCGGAGAGAACCACCTTGTTTGGGTTTGTCCATTATTACTCCACTACTCGTAGCTACAGTCACTATGGAGATCAGCGAGACGAGAATGTGAAGAAAGCGCAGGGTAAGCCAGATACCAAATACCGAAAATTATTGGTAAAATTACATTATCTCTATCTGAAATTTCCCTCACTACCCCCTTTTTTTCCAACCCCATCCGACGCGCTATTACTCACTACCCTCTCATGACGTCTGGACCACTCAGTACCGTTACTCCCACACGTGCAGCGTAGATGCACTCCCAAAATTTACCACCAGGATTTCTTTCACCACACACATGAAACTCGGAATCAAGGCGAAAACGGGTCTCGGCCTTGTTGTCGCGTACACAGCGTACTCAACGTATGTGCATTTACGCACCCATTACGAAATCAACGATCGGCTGGACAAGAAACTGAAATCCACCGACTTTGGACTCAGCTCCAACGTTTCTCTTCGAGACGGTATCCCTCCTTCTGTGCAGTTTCGACCCATGGTTGTCGGAGGCAAGTTTGTCAATCCCTTCAGCCAATACCGACACCAGACTCTTTTCGAGTTTGTGTACTGCAACATTGTCAACCTATTCCACTTGACTCCCCGAGGAGGTCTCCCCAAGGACCCCAAAGAGCTCAAGAAGCTGCTCCCCAGTGTGACCCCCGACTTCCAGCTGCTATCCGAGCCCGTCAAGCAGGTCTCTGCTCTGATCCCCTGGAAGCCCAAGTCTTTCATTCCCAAACCGCAGGATCGAATCACCCTCACCTGGATCGGACAGTCCTGTGCGTTTGTGCAGCTTGGAGGACTCAACATTCTCACCGATCCTTTCTTTGGTGACCATCTGGTCACATCGTGGATGGGCCCCCAGCGACTTTCGAAGGCCCCCTGTCAGTTTGAAGACCTGCCCAAGGTCGACATTGTTTTGGTGTCACATGACCATCCCGACCATCTGGAGGTGGACACCGTGAAGAAGATTGGAAACTCAGCTCTGTGGGTCGTGCCTCTGGGTGTGAAGAAATTTCTGGCTAAATACGGCGTCTACAACGTTGCCGAGCTCAACTGGTGGGAAACCATGGGTCTCGAAACCCCGAAATCGCAGGAACTGGGCGAGAAATGGACCGTGGCATGCACTCCAGCCATGCACTGGAGTGGCCGAAAGATGTACGACGCCAACTCGACTCTCTGGGGCTCTTTTATGGTCATGAAGGACGGAAAACCCCACTTTTTCCACGCAGGAGATACTGGATACTCACCAGAGCTGTTCCGAGGAATCAAGGAGGAATACGGACCCGGGTGCAAGCTTGCCATGCTGCCCTGTGGCGCTTACAAGCCCAGATGGCATCTCAAGAGTCAACACATTGACCCCCAGGAGGCCGTTAACGTAATGAAGGATCTGGAGGCCAAGAATATGGTCGGTGTGCACTGGGGAACGTTCATTCTCAGTGACGAGAAGTTCACAGAACCCCGAGACTCGCTGCACAAGATTGCTGAGGACGCTGGGGTCGGCAACTCGGTTCTGGCTCCCAAGTTTGGACAGACACTGGTATTCGATACCGGTGACGGCAAGGGTGGAAGCCATCCTCCTGAGGAGATTAGAGAGGGCAAAGCGCTACTTTTTAGATGAAGAGCGAGCTTACTTGAAGGGTTGTGAGAGAAGTCGCGTGTATTGCCCGTGATTTGATTCAAGAGGAACTTGACTACAGTACACTGTACTCATACTAGTAAGTCAACCGCCTTAGAGGATAGATAGAAGATAACTTATAGATGATAACTGAATGATGTTTAATGTTGATGAGAATTACCCAAAAGAGTGTCCGAAATGTCTCAAGAGTATTGTACTAACAGGTCTGTAGTTCAATCGAGTGTTTTGATACAAGTATACAAGTATTATGATATGAAGATCATACGTTTTTGATGTCGTCCTATAGACACCATACGTATTCCACACGCACCCCACAATCATCTAGGTAACAGTTTCTCCACTACCTCTCCCTGTCACAATAATAAAAGCCGATTCTGTTTTTGTTTTCTATTCTGGTGTCTGTTCTGGTGTTTGTTTTGAGGTTGATCCTGAGTGTCCTTCTTTTACAGTATTGGACCCATGGACTTCTTTAAGGAGTCTTTCAGAACCTCAGAAGACCCGTTGTTTAGCTTAATCGACTCATTACCGAGTCCTCCGGATGTCTTCCGTAGCCTTAACCCTCCCCTTGGTTGCACCAGGTCAATGTCGAGCTCTTTGCGAAAAACAACAACTAAACTGATCCTTCACAAGAGACCATATTTTCTCCAGGTATATCTTCTCCAGGTACAGTAGTACGACCTTGTACGACCTTTTAATTACTAACAGAAGAACAGGCAACTCTAGTCTACTTTACGCCAACCAACTCCTAAACTATCGTATCGTCATTAATATATATACATCATCCTGGGGGGCAGTGAGCAGCTGACCGTGGACAACCACTCACTCACCTATCATATAATCGGCTCGCTCGTTATTTCAGTTTAGCCGCTTCCTCATCACCCATCTTATAACAATGCTCCTGGGCAGGGAACACTCCACCCTTGACCTCCTCATGGTACTGCTTGACAGCTCCAACATTAATATCAAGAAACTGCGAGTACTTTTTGAGAAACTTGGGCGTGAAGCTTCCAAATCCTCCCAGCATATCGAGCATGACCAGCACCTGCCCGGAGGTTCCGGGTCCAGCACCAATACCGATGGTAGGGACCTCTAGCTTCGAACTGAGCCATTCTCCAACCTTGTCGGGAACTGCTTCAAGCACAATAGCAAAACATCCAGCCTTCTGCAGTTCATACGCGTCTTCCAGAATACTCTCTGCTCCAGAGGCAGTCTTACCCTGCACTCTGAATCCTCCCAACGACGACTGACGCTGGGGGGTGAGTCCGATATGTCCCAGAACAGGGATTCCCACCTCGGTCAGTCGCTTGATAGTGGGCGCCAGTTCCTTGCCTCCTTCCATCTTGACAGCCTCCATTCCTCCCTTTTGGATCATCTGAATAGCAGATCGGATAGCTTTCTCTGGGGACTCTTCATACGAACCAAAAGGCAGGTCTGCAACCATAAACGCGCTCTTAACACCTCGAGAAACAGCCTTAGCATGATACACCATTTCCTCGAGCTCGATTTGGTTGGTGTTGGGGTACCCCAGAGCCACCATGGCCAAGGAGTCTCCGACCAGAATCATATCAACACCGGCTTTGTCAGCGATCAGACCGGTCACGTAATCATGGGCCGTTACCATGCTGATCTTCTCCTTGTTTCGTCGCATCTTGGCCAACTCGGGAATAGTGACCTTTTTTCGAGTTTGATCTGATGTCTGAGGAGAGTGATGGGCCGAGTAGGACCGGGCCAAAACTGGTGTGACAGGCCGGGCCGAGCCCAGAACGGGCCTCAGAGTGCGCAAAAGAGACATTTGTGTGCTGGCGTGCTTTCGGGCGCTTTTCGGAACGTGGTTGAACGACTTTTGGACTACTGTGCAAGGGCTTATGTACCAACGGCTAATCTCCAAATTAGACTCCACATTTTTTCAGACCAACAGTTTCGAAACTTTATCCGTGAGTTAAAAAAACCTCCCGAGGGATGTGGGGTAGATGACATATCGATGATAGCGACAGTCGGTCATGGAGGGGTATGCTAAGGGCTCGTGACCAGCTATGACGTCATCAAATACTGGCACGTAGGCACACTCCTGTGCCGCCATCTGCTCCCCTGTATCATATGACCCTCAACACTTTCACAGCAACCGGGAGATACACTACGTAACCTATACACCCACTGCGGCGGTCATACCAAATGTGTGAAGCACACGATACAAGCGACCAACCCGAGCAATACAAGTAGCACAAAGACACAGCCCCCCCAAAAGTCGGCCCTAGATCGCATGACAAATCGCTCACGCGGCCCTATCCCCGCCGCTCATCCGCTTCCACCATGCTTTCACGTTGTTTACACACGTTCCGGTTGTTTTGTCTTTTTTTTTGCCTCCTATTTTCACTCGGCCCTGACTCACGGAATCTTCGCGGTGATGAGCTAAACCCGGACGAAAAAAATCCCCCCGGCGAATAACTCGGGAGGGAGAAATGTGTAGGGAAAACGGATGGCACAGAAATGTGCGCAAAATCAAGATCTCCTTAATAATATAGGTCCCTAAAAAAATATGTACGTGAAAAAAGTTGGTCATAATCTATGATGGAGAGCGCTTTGGACTAAGGTTACGCACTCGGGAGTTGAATGAAGTTGAACCTGATATCCCCCGTAGAGAAATACTATGGTGGGTATAATAGAGATTTATAGATATATAATATGGTATTATTGTATGTCAATAGATAGCTATTGATGAGCAGAATCTACTAGTGTTGTTAGATTCTGTATATCAATAATATTGGGGCCATTATGGACAATAGTATGGAATTTTCAGGCGATTGAAATATAATTCAATTTGATCATACTCTATTCATCTCTCTATTCTTTCTATTAGTACGAGTAGCCGTTTCACACTCCCCACTTATGTAACTATCGAGACACAAAACAACCACACATTGTTGAACGGCTCTTCCCAAATAGGAAGGTCCCAAATACATAGATCAGATGAAATACGCAGCGTCTAGAAGGATATTGCGGTGATTTAGAGGGAAATGAAGTATTTCTTTGGAATCAGCTAACTCAGGGCTTTCGACTGATATAATTTACTTCTGTAATTCTCGTCGAGGGAATATTCTTCAAAATTGACAGTGGAATCAAGTTTGGGTTGTGATTATGTAATCTGATTTTGATGTCTTTATAAACCCGAATAAAAAGTATTCTACTCTATATTTGACATTATACATTTTATAGAATGGAATCCTTTTTATATTGTCAAAAAAATATCCAGCTTGACTCCTCATTTGAGCATTCTATGGCCCAGTTCGAAACTCCACTTCCTCATGTAAGGTTTCGCAAGTGTGACATAATTGACGTTGATAAGACTCCACTCCGCCCATCTTCAACCTACATACACACACCACCATGGCTCCGAAATCTGCAAAACAGGCGTCGCTGAGCTTCAAGAGCACCAAGCCCAGCATCAAGCGGGATTTCAAGGTCGTCAAGCAGCAGCAGCAGCAACACAATGATATCAAGACCAAGGACGTCAAACCGCCAGTACAGATAGAGTCGATTGAAACCACCATCTGTGACGAGCTGGTCAGGGAGGAGGCTGAAAAGATCAATTCTCTGCCGGAATTGGATCCCAGTGAAAAGGTGTACTCGGACGAGGCCCACAAGATCGCCGAAAAGAGCATTGCACCACCCGTGCATCCCGAAGAGGTCAACAACTGCGAAAAGATTCTCAAGAACTTTGACTTTACCGTCGACTTCGGGCCTGTTGTCGGTCTGACCCGGCTGGAACGGTGGGAGAGAGCCAACAAGCTGGGACTCAATCCCCCAGCTGTGGTGAAGAAGATTCTCGAGACCAAACAGGGAGAGACAGAGGATGTCTACAAGCAGTCGTACCTCTATGATCAGCTTGTGTAAGGCACAAGAGGTGCGGAATAATGTGACTGGGTAGCAACTGGAGGGCTAAAACTATGACAGTTTACGTTCACGCTGGGTGTATGTTCTTGCAGTTTACGGATGAGTACTCTTACAACTGTTCGGTTTGAGCCTGCCCTTTAAGAACATTATGGCTCATGGAAGACAGTGGATTGTGAGAACTAGATCTTTGCCAGCAACTGTACTTTGACGCTCGACCTATTTATCAATGTACTACAATTGTAGGTAATTTAACAACGAATGAAGTATTCTATGAATCTGCAGCCACGAGGAAGAGTCCAGAGTAAGGTCGAAAAAAACCAACAGGGCTTTTGAAAGGGAAGAAACACAAGACGATGGTGAATGAGATTTTCATTGGCGGGCCACTTCTTGAGAAGTCAGCATGTCCACAACACAGAAGCATCCTCACAAGATTAGCACTCTCTTCTCCATCATTATTTGATATCCTTAACCGTCTGTTCCCCTCCCTTCAGTATTCCATTTACAACAGCCTCAAGGTCAAATCAGCCTCACATATTTTAATAGTGCATCTCCACCTCTACAATAGAGACCAAGTTGATGTTTTGAGGCCAACCAATGGCGGTCATATGGGGCCAACTGAAGTGTTACATATAATCGACCTTCCAGACTCTTGTTTCTCAATAAAAACAAACAGAAACTAGACGAGCTACTGGTACGATACGTACGGTACAAATACTCACAATGACACCTGCCGAAACCATGATTGTGTGGACTTATGTCAATGAGTACCCGAATGAGACCTCCACCGAGTCTGCTAGACATCTTCTTGCTAGATTCGAAGACCAAACCCATCTTGGGTACCACCGTATCTTGCACGAGATTCGCTACTGGAAGTGTGAGTTCTTTCTGCACCCTTTCTGAACATGTGTAGTGGTCTACAGGTGAAGCGGAGATGTTGTCTTCAGATACCTCGGTTGTTCAGGTACCGTTTTTTTTAATTTTTATAATAACATAATACATTAAACTCTATAGAATATGAGAAGACTACCAGATGTCTCACTGTAGGGTAAGACTTGTGTTGCTGTGACGACTTCACCCCACCAGGTTCTGTGTTACCAGAACAACCCACAAATCCCACACTATTACTGCAGTGAGCTTGTCCAGGTTTCTACTGTCAAACTCAAAATCATTTAGAGTTCGGGAGTGCAGAATGTCCTGATGGTCATGCATTTGTGTCCATGGGTTTGTGTCCGATACTGTAAATCTATAGTGTAAAAAGTGAGTGACCGTGAACTCCACTAACGCGCCAACCACGAAACTGAGTCCTAACAATGATGCCTGCAAGGCCACCAAGCGAGCAGCAAGATGCTCCTGGTGCTCCTCTACAAGGGGTTCCTCTCGAGTGTTTCAATGACGACATCTCAGACTGTGACGACGAAGGAGAGGATATCGAGCCCGACGACGACATCGACCCAGACCACGCGGAGTTGGAAGTTGTTCCTGACCAACCAGAGATTCGTGTTGGGCCCGAGAAGGTCCATAGGGTTGTCAGCGACTACCGAGAACAGATCAGCAATCCACAGCCCGACCTGACCCCTCCGAAACGAGTGGACGACCTAAGGTGTGTTGCGGAGAAGTACGAAGAATTGGAGGGATACCGCCGCGCTGGGGGGCTCACTCAACAGCAAGTCGGCGAGCAGCTCCGCGAATATGCCCTCTCGATCAACGTGCGTTTGCCTAAAAAACCCTCCGATGCCAGGAAGGAAGTCAAGAGGAAGGCAAGGAATTGGCTTGACAAGCAGAGACCTGATAGGGGAGTCGCAAAGAAGCGTTACCATGATCTGGAGGAGGGAGTGATATTTGTGTTTTCCAAGACCACCAAGGTCGCCTCACTCGACATGCACACTGCTACCATTATTGTCAAGAAGCTTCTAGACAAGATAGTGGCCCTGGTGCCTGACTACAGGGAGCTGTGCGGCATGAAAAACCCCGTGCCCCACCGCCATTGGATCAGGGACTGCCTCATTGAGGCAAAGAGACGTCAGCTTCGCGAGTATGGCGAACGAAGCTCTGTGATTGATGAGAAGGCCGTTGAAAAATTGGGGTACATTTGGCTGGCCATCGAGGGCTATGCGGCAAGCCAGATCCTCAATGCAGGCCAGACGTGCATGTACCTGGGCTTCGACGGTCAGGAACACAAAGTCTGGACCAGCCAGCCGTTTGTGGGCGTGAAATGCAAAAAGGGCCAGTTGACTTACACCTTCATGTTCTGCTTGAGTGCTGACGGGTCGTTTCTCTTCACGCCTCATGTCTATGGGAAGCAGTACTGGCCCATGTGGTGCTCAAAGGCTCAGGACTTGCACAACCCGGCTCGTGCGGTGGTCCCTGTATCTGTCACGGAAGAGTGTACGGCAGAGGCGACTCTCTTGCTGCACGCAGAGGCAGATGCGGTCAGAATCCTCGAGTCTGAGGTTGAGCGTGCCACCAGTGAGAGAAGAGAGGCCCACGCGGTGTGGCTATCGTCTCCGAAACAAACTCAGACAAGGATAGACAACAGGGCCACGTGGAAGAGCCTTGTTGCGGAGGAAACTCGGGCTATGGCCGCTCACGATGCAGCGCAGAGGCAGTACTCGGCAACTCATACGGCGAAGGTAAAGGAACTGGTTTTGGAACGGTGGACACCTCCTGATACCTCTGCCGATGAGGGTTTCTATGCACACGACGACTTCGAAGCACGTTCCGGTCGTGAGCTACAGCTGCCTGTTGTCTTTGAGAGATCTCAAGATGTCAAGAAGTTGGAGAAGAGACTCGCTGCATCGGAGTCTGCTCACAAGTCGTTGCAAACGAAGGAGTATGCGGCACGCAGAGCCTTGAAAACTTCCGAAAAGCTCTTCGAAAAGCACGAGAAGAAGGAGGCCGAATTGCGAAGGCAGATGGATGAGCAAGACAAAGTGATTACCCTTCTCAATGAGGACCTCGACAAGACTGCGACCCATGGCCAGGACACGAAGCCAATCGAGAAGGCGATCGAACTGGCCGACAGTCGGCGCCGAAAGTTGGCAAGCATGCGCTCGATCGCCAGACAGAGAGCTGGCAAGGCGTGGGAGAAGATCTCAGACAACGAAGAGCGGCTCGAAGTCATCGCCACTGAAAAAGAAGCTGCATGGGAGGAGATGGTCAGGGTCATGCACAGCTACGCACTTTCTGACGACGACGCTGTCATGAAGACGGGGCCTCTCAACCTGATGGACTGCAGATACCAACAGCAGTCTAAAGGTTGGATGGACACCCCTACCATGGTGAAGTGGTTTGTTGCTCTCGCCAGGGCTGTTAAAGCGAAGGAGAAGCCTGTCATTCTGATTCTTGACAACGTTGCGTTCCACCACAGAGCCTGGAACATTGCCAAAGGATGGGAAGAGCTCGAAGGAGTGACGGTTGTCTTTCTGCCTTCCGAGGCTACGTCTTACACCCAGCCTTTGGACTTCGGTATCTTTGCCTTTACCCAGATGACAGCAAAGAAGCTACTGAGTCAGTTCTACATGGCCACCCAGATCGTCTGGGGCGATTCCTCCAAGGTCGGCGCGCTGCACAAGATCAACTACATGGTTCAGGCGTGGGAGAAGCTGAAGCTGAAACCGGATACAGTTGCTGGCTGCTTTGGGAGCAGCCCCGTCTTTGCAGACCACGAGCATGTCTTGCCCTCCAAGACCGTGCAGAAGCGGGTCGATGAGAGACTTGCCAAGGAGGCCGCCGCAAGAGCTCTTCGGCAAGCACAGCAGCCCCAGGAGCACGTGAGGGGAGGAAGAAATGATGGCACGGCTCCACCGGTGGCCACTATTCAATCGCCCCCCGCGCCCGATGGGTCCACCACCTCTGAATCCTCCAGCTCCTCTGGAGGCTCAAATATGATGCGGAGCTCTTCCGATCAGTCGGATACCCTGGAAGACTCTCTGATGGACTCCCCGATGGGCTCTCGAGAGGAGTCCTTGGGCGACACCCTGGAATTTCCGGTGCACTACGAAGATGGGGCAGATGATGAGGCTGACGATGCGGCTGAGGTTGAGGATGGCGACGAGGTCGAACCCGTGGCACCTGAAGAGGAGATCGGAATCAACGACGCTGAGTTCGGAGAAGTCTCTAAAGAAAACATGCTTGACCTCATCAGCAGATTGGACCTCAATCACATCTTGCCGCACGGCACTCGGAGACTCATCAGAAACACCAACGCACGGCGTGCTCACCTGGCTGACAAGGAGAAGGCCCGAAAGCGGGAGGCGAACAGACTGCGAAGACGAGCAGCCCACTTGAAACGGTATGGCTTTCTGATCAACATGGGGCGCGCGCTTCCTCAAGATGCGCCTGATGGCTTCCCACGTGCAGATATTCCACGTGCACGCAACCTCGTCGAGCCTGCCCCCGCCTCTTTCCAGTCTCCGCACGATCACGTTGAGCCTGCTGTGGTTGCCATGGAGGTGAATGAGGACAGCATGGATATCGACACTGCTGATCACTGGGACCAACAGGACGTGGAAGCCGCCGCTTCGCCCATGGTTCACTCAGAGACCCCAACACGACTCCCTCCCGGCGACGCACAAGAGGACACCCCGTACAACCCGTATCCTCCTGGACACCCCTTGGAACACATTTACGGTACCCCTTCTCCTCAACCATCCCATGGATACCGCCCTTCGCCCTCTGGATACCCCCTCCTCTTCCGCCTTCCATACCCAAACCGATACCCAAGCCAATACCCAAGCCAATACCCAAGCGGATACCCCCAGTCTCACTCAGAGCAGCTTCAACCAGCTCCAGTGGGCTACTTGTCTTACGGCCTGGGCAGCCCGACTCGTGGTGCCAGCTTTGGCACTCCTGGCAACAGGGGCGCTAGCTCCTTTGAGCTAAGGCGGAACCTCTTGCCGGCGTTCCAGGGGCACTGAAGTGTGATAGCTAACCTCCTACTTGTAGTAGCGTTCCTAATGTAGTTTAATGTATTGATGACCTGTGGTCCTCTTGGTTCCGTAGAAACAACCGTGACCAGAGGAGAAAATCGGACCAAGTTTTTTTTAAGATTGGTTAAAGACCACTTACAATGACATTGTTTGACAGTCGCTGCCGAGTAGGTTAAATAGACTGATTAGTAAATGATTTACAACAACAACATGACATTGTTGGGCTGATTTGTGACCCTTTTGGCAGAAGTTGTGCAAAGGAGGGACAAAATCTTCAATAATCAAGAACCTCGTTTATAATGGAAATTATCCCTATGAAATAAAAATACTGTACCCCTTCTCCCCTGTAACCTGACGTAGTTGGCATCCATAAAGACTCTTGAATTACTTAGTTTTAGTTAAAACAGATATCCCTGGTTAGAGCTCAACCATAGTAATTAGTTCCAAACTACAGCACCACATCACAGCTGAATCACAGCTGAATCTCGTCTTCCATCTTGCGCACCCGTGCATGCAGTTGGCGTCTTATCTACATTCCCTCCAATCTACAAGCTACCACTACAGAAGGTAGCTTCTGATCTGTACAGATGAGCAGCATTCTGAGCAACGGCATTCTGAGCCATAGTCGAAATATCGATCTGAGAGTTCAAATTCTGTTCAGAGCCGCCTCAGTGGCAGATATACAGTTATGTACAGTACATACATACTTGTCCTGTATTCCTACTCATACCCGTAGACCAACGTCACAACTCTTTCACCTGAATCCTCGCAGCATCCACCGCAATACATCACCGCGGCGTACGAACTCCGTCTGCCTAATTATCACGGTTCATCCAGCCTGCGCAAATGGTGTTCACGAGTCTACAGTATGCAACAAAAAAGTATTCATTTTTTTTCTTATTTATTATGTATTATTGCACCTTTTTCTTTGTTCCATACGATCCTCCAATTGTTTATTTATATTCCATTTCGTCAATATTGTACGTACAGTATATCAGGCCCACCTTAATTTCCTCCTAGCCAATCTCACCATGTACTTCCTCTTGAAACAATCCACACAGAAATTGTTACTGCCATCAAAACCGCCCAACTCCGACAACCATTTTGACACCCCAAAATACCAACATACCAGGGCTGGAGTTGCTAGCCCATAATTTATCCGAGCACCAACCAAGGCGAAACCTACTGATAGCTCCAAACTCTACAGCAAATCACGTGACAGATTGGCCGATCTGGGGCAATCTGATCGACGTCAGCAATGTTGCATTGGGTGTTTCTGGCCGTTTCGGGACTCGTAATGACACAGCAGCAACAATGAACATGGGTGTTTGCTGTATTGTAGGCTGTAGAGATACGAAAACAGTTGCAACTGTGTCTACAAGTAACTGTACAGAGTTAATGAGGATAGAAGAAACGTGTTATGGGCTAGCAAATAATATCAGAAGACGTGATACTGTACATACAGTAGCGCCTTGTGCAGTAGAGTAAATGACAATCAAAGTACGAGTACTTGAGGAGAGTGTGGATGGTATATAGACACGAGATCGGATACTGTTCGTACTGGTGCAATTCCACCATATTGGTGAATCTAAGATTACTATTCATCATAATATCAAACCCATTAATAACACACACGTCCAAGCGGAATTCTCCATCATGATCTCCTCGGAACGAGCTATTGTGAATATAAAACATACCCACATAAGTTTCTCCAATATGTTTCAACTTGCAGATCTACACGACTCCACCTGGGAAACACATCCCTGATCATATACTATTGACACTACTTGCACTGTATAGGACTAGATACACCGGAGTTTGCCCTTATCTACCCGTACTTCGATACTTCACCCTGAATTGTCACCTACCAACCGTCTGTCCTCACAAATCCAACTAAAACCGTTCCAATAGAGCTATTAATACCCTGAGACAAACCAACCTCTGGACCCCAGTGGCCAGTGCTATATTAGACCAGACATGAGTTATTAACCAACCCTTACATAAGACTATAGGTACCGTACAGGAAATACAAACCCTGCAATGACAACCAGTCCATGATAATGATCTAATTCAATTTATATATTAATGATATGCAATGTCAATAACCCTTGGTGAGCCGTGACTCAATGAGCCGCTCAACCTCCCATATAAACAATAGACAATGGAGTGAACGGGTCTAAATCGCAACAGCACCTCGCTCTCTCCACTGGTCTCGCAGCACCCGTCGCTGCTCGGCCATCTCCTTCCATCCATCGTCGTCGTCGTCGTCATCGTCATCCTCCGTGTACACGGGCATGTGGGTCTGCGACATGACGCGTCGCTGTTGCTGACCCAACTCAGGTACGGTGGCCGACCGGTTGAAGGCCCGCACGTTGAAACCAGGTCTGTACCGGCTTCGGTTACTCATGCCGGAGCCTCCAGAGGCAATGGAGGTGTTGTCGCTAGCAAACCGAGGATTGGGTGTTGACAAATCGTTAGTGCTCCATCTGTGCTTGAGCCCATGGATCGAGGGGGGAGCAGTGGTAGCTCCAGCCGAAGAGGGAGGGCCAGCAAGCCCTCCGCCAGGGAATCCGCCAGGTACTCCACCGCCCTGCATCTGCTGCTGCAAGGTCATTTGCATCTGCATTTGCATCTGCATGAGCTGGGCCATCTGGGCCTGCAGACCGCCAGGAGGAGGGGCTTCGTAGATACTACTACTATCGTTCAACGAACCAGCGTAGCCCCGCATGCCACCCATAGACATGGCAGAGGGCATGCCACTCTTTCTCTTGATCTTCTCCTTCTCCTCACGCGCAATTTCGGCCACCAGACCCCGGTTGGGCTGGGGTCCGGACAGCAGAGGATGGGGCACGCCGCTGAGGCGCGATCGGCCAAAGGGCATGTTACGGGAAGACGCCGAGTTGACAGACATAGTGTCCGAGTCCCGAGGCTTGAACATGGGCGACGTGGATGCGCTCTTGGAGTACATCATGGGCGACGCCGCCAGCTCAATGTGTGAAGACAGATTGGTGTCTGACGACATGGTTTTGAGTCGCTGAGAGTCGCGCGGGAAGCCGTGGGCCTGCAGGATTCCCAGAGGCACGTCGTCGAGGTCATCCTCGGAGTCAGAGCCGCCAAAACTGTGGCCTCCGGACATGGGAGGAGTCTTGAAGGCCGGCGTGGATGAAGCTCCCGTCACCTTCATCATCTTCTGTCGGTACACAGCAAGGTGGGCCTGTTGCTTGGCCCGCATCTTAGCATTCTCCAGCTTCTCGTCGTCGTCGTACGCGTAGTCGTCGTCCGAGTTGTCGCCGTTCTCGCCACCGGAGCCAGGTCCGTCTGTGTTCATGGCATTCAGATCCACGGACGCACGTCGGTAGTTTTCGTACTGCGCCTTAGTCACCACCCGACCTGCAGGAGGCGTGGCGGCTGGTCCGGGGCCACGTGGACTGGCGTCCTTCTTGCAGTACTTGTCAAAGTCGAGCTCTTGCGCAAGCTTTTGGTTGTACGCCTCTAGATCAGAGACACCACTAAGGTTGAGCTTGTAGGCGTTGGGAGGAGGATTGGCGAACTTGTTGGGAGACTTGTCTGGCGACATGACGTTGGTAACCTGGCCAGGCGAAAGGAGATACCCTGGAGTGGACTGACCGGGAGTGGTGCGGCCAGGAGACAGAGGGTTCGTCAGCGGTCTGTGTGCGGCGTCTTCTCCAGCCCACGCAGAAGACGTTCGGTCGTCCTGGGCAGTGACACGGAAGGTGTCTTCGTACTCCTGCTGCCGAATGGCAGCGTCATCCTCCAGGCGCTGCTGGTATTTGCCGTTCTTGGCCATGCCGCGCGTAATGTCCTCGGTGGACGGCACCACAGTCGCAACACCTCCGCCCGTCACGGAGCGTCTGTTGGTGGCTCGGATTGTGTGGGGAGCGTCCGACTGGTCGTGTGGAGTCTGGCTCTGTGTCTGTGGGTGCTGCTGTGCTGTTGTTGCGTCCGTGCTTGTGTTCAAACTGTCGTCTCCAAACTGGAAAGAGGACACGGAGTCGTTTCGGTATGGATCCTCAGACTCGCCGTAGGGGTCGCCGTAGTTGTACTGGTAGTCGTAGCCGTCGTCGTGAAGCTCCCGCGTCAGCGCCTCGGTGTACTCCTCGTCCTCACCCTGCTTGTTGTACTTGAGCGTGCCCTCGGTCTGCTCTCCTGACAGAGAGTCGTAGGGGCCCTTGAAGAACTTTTTGAACGTGTCCTTTTTGGATGCAGCCTTACCGAGAATCTGCTCGGCAGGAGGGGAGGAGCCAGCCTTTTGCAGAGGCGGCTCGGGCGATGTGTGTTCCGTGGGCATGGTGTACGACGACGCCGCGGAGTTTGTGTTGAAGCCGGACTGCTGGATTTGTGGGCTGGGCTGAATGGAGTCGTCACTGTGGTCTCCAAAGGAGTCCTCGAGCTCGTGGGGGTCCATGTTTTCGCGGGTCAGGGTCTTTGAGGCCTTTGAGGTCTTGGTCAGCTTTGTCGGATCGAGAGACTGTCGTCGTGCGGGATAATTTCCCAGGTGTGCTGGGTGGTGTGGTGATGGTGTGGAGGTGGTAAGTGGTGTCAAATGCATCTGGTTGTGCTTGTGCTTTTCCCTTTCCTCTTGCGAAATAAGGTTTGGGGACCACGACCTATTTTTAGGTTGCGCTGTACCTCCTGCAAAGCCATTGTCCTGCACTGCAGAGGGGGACTGCTGTACAGGCGAGCTTTGGGGCGACCAGCTGAAGGACGAATTGTCCGACGCACTAGCAGACGATCCAAAGTGGGGGAGAACCCATTCGCAAGCGGGCAGATTGAGCGGCAAATGCGCTGCGGAGTCGGACCCCGTCACGTGCGTTTCGCTTTTGAGGCTGTTGAAGGTCAGGCTCTCGGACGACACAGAGGGCGAAGAGATGGACGGAGAGGTGACCGTTGGAGACGCCACCGACGGGCCGCCGTCCCCTTTATGCTCCTTAGAGACGTGTCGCTTGAAGATTTTCAGCATACCAAAAACGGGGATCTGTGAGAGAGTGGTGGTGGTTGTGGTTGTGGTTCTGGAGTGAGTGAGCGAGCGGTTTGTGTCACTGTCTGTGTGACTTGGAAAGTAGCGACTGGCGGAAGAATGTGTCTGTGTCGGACTGTGTGGATAGGATCGAACGAAAGAAGAGGGGTCGGGAGAGCTCAATGACTCAGAACAAGTGTTACGGAAAAAACGGTTTCGGCCTCCTATCTGATGGTTGCAATCCTGCTGAAACACACTGTGGAAATGTGTACAGTAATAGGGGGCTGGGAGAAATGCAAAAGTGAGTGGTTTTTGAATGCCGGGGAGTTCGCGGGGGGTTGTGGCAACGAATGGGGGAGAAGACGTCGAGGTCTCGGGGCAAACAGAAGATGGTCTCAAAAGATGGGATTCTGGAACCTCCGCCTCCTTATATTAGTGCGCCAGCTAGTTGGACGCAATCGACTGACATGGTGAAGCACATGTATGCATGCATGCGGCCGAGCTTAAAGATTGCTAATTTAGAAACAGCTCCACTAACCCTTAGACACGGACGGTAATGTACAATGGTTACTGTCTGCGGCTCCTCGGGGTTGTGATGAGCCCAACTAGACCAAGTGACGCACACTCAAACCACAATATGTTTGCATGCAGCCCTCATTCCCGACTTATCGATAACATGGATACAGACAGGTACACATGTGCATGCACGCTACATGCATGAAACTGCACATAACACATGGAACTAGACATAAAGGGGGAGGGAGTCTCATCTTTCCAATGTCGCTCTCCAATGTCGCTCTCCCATGTCGCTCTCCAATGTCGCTCTCAATTCCTTATATTGCTGCTCGTATATTCGTCTTTCGCTTGCTACGTATCCCGTTCGAGAATCCAAAATAGGCAACCGAAACTGTATTGTCTGCCACACTTGATTGTCTCTCGTCTATCGCGCCAGCCAGGTTGGAGCAAGACTCTCCACGGTCGTCGTATCGACCGCGAGACACGGCTGTCGCGCAGAAGAATAATATCCTGGAAAATGCCGCTTCTCGGTCACCCCATGTGTGGAATGTGTCTCTTGGGAACGTGTGTGCACGGATTGCAGAGTGCTTTTTTTGTCCGAACCTTGCCCTAATTTGGATATTTACACTGGGAAAAAAGGTGGAGATTAAACCCAGAGAGGGAGGACTCGTTGCCTCTTTTCTGTAACGGTCGAGCTGTCCAGCCCTAGCTTTGGGCACGCAAATGGTTGGTTTTCGTCCTTTCACGGGGTCACCGATATTACTCTGCTCTCTTCAACAATGGAACGTGAAGAATACGATACAAGAAATAGGTTTCAGTCTTATAAATATGCGTTGGATATAAAGATATTGTTTTGAGTCTTTTGTGGGGTGTCTTGGGCGGTTGGACGTATTGTCTGAATTGCATTGGGGCGAGGGGAGAAGCTGGGATTCACTTCAACATGGTCTTAGCTGGGTCAGTTGGACGTGGTCTTCTAGCTGAATTTGGGATTCGGCGATTGGGGAATATTTTGTCCCATTTTTTGCAGATTTTTGATCGAATCGCTCCGGGCTGAAAGTTGCCTGAAATCAGATGAAAAAATCTGGTGCCGATGAACTTGGGGTTCTTCGGTATCATGATAAATACCGTACTCGCACCGCACATGTCTCTTGTCGTACGTGTTTACTTTCATCTGCCCCCATTATTCTATATTATCAAGAAATATTATTTCATGGAGCCCCTGAACAGGGTTGCACCGATTATATTCTGGATATTATGTAATAAACATGCACCCTCGGCGTATTACCTCGCTACAGGAATGTCTTAGCACAGAATGTACCAAGTACATACGTCAGTGCTCAGGAGCTGTTGCAGCTCTTCCGCGGAGCTCATGAGCATCAACAACTCATGGTGCAAGTATCGATATCAGGAGAACTCACTTTCGATCCAAATCACATCTACTTGGAGTTCTGTCCTTGAAAAATGCTATGGGGACTGTCCAAGACCTTTGGCGGCACATTGAACGCTTCAAACACTTCGTCATTCAAGAAATGGATCCTTTGAGAGACAAAGCTTGGGTCGATCACAGACACCAATGATGAAGCCGTATATGGCTCCCGGTACTCGTTCAGCGTAGTCCATCAGTGTAACTAGAGAGACTTACAATGTGATTCTCAGCTGGAGATATCAAGTCCATCAACTAGAGTATATTAGAGTAGAGTATATTAGAGTATATCTTCTGTCCTACACCCTTACGAGGTACTCCAATGTTCCCATTCTCCTAGGGGTCTCTAGAGCACGCTGAGATGGCCAATAGCCCGATGTTGGTGGAATGACCATCAAGCTCAAGGATACTGTTCCTCGAACAGCTTTCTGCTCACAGTTTTATCGTAAACCACGCTGTGTTCGACAAGTCCCCAAATCTGCCGAGCAACAGATACACACACAACCCCGTTGAACGATTCGCATGTCGTTCATATTGGACCCTTTCTCGGCGAGGATCTTGTTGGACTCTGCGTAAATCCACTTTCGCAATACGAGACGCTGCTGAGTCCCCGACCAACTCGTTGAAGGATACTGGTACGAGAACGTCACTCATCTTAGGTATATCCCTCCCTCAACTCGTTCGTACAGCTTCAAGTTGAACATGTAGGGTCCGAATTACGATACAAGGACAAGTATACCGACCAAGTACTGGAGGTAAAGTGATTGCATACATCGGATCGTCGTCTCCGAATCTTTCTGCCGTGTCCACCCAGTATGCAGTATTCTTCAGGTCTCTTGCTACAGTGCAACGAGAATAGTTACTTAGTCTGACCGAGCTATGGTTCGTTTTCTTACTTTCTGGTTTTCTAACTTGTTGTGTCTGTCAGTATCACTTCAATGAGACGATTTCTGTATCAGTATCGTCATACTCAACATAATAGCGGACTGAAAGACTCTCGACGAACCGAACCACCTCTTTGCGGAATTTCAAACTACAGCACTTTGTGATCTCGACACAGCCAAGACATAATCAAGCGCTCTGCAAGAGAAACTGGATGTCATATCCAGAAGATTGAACTTCACCAACGAATAAAGGGAACGACTGTGAGAATAGATATACATCTTCACCCAATTCTGCAACAATATGAGTCCACAATGCATATGAACACCAGAAAAACATCATCACGATCACCCGTCTCTTTTTGGGTCGTATTTATTTGTTGAATTTGCCGGTGACCACCTTTTTTTTTTTTGATGATTGATGCCGCTCTTGGTTCACGTATGACCACCAGTGATTTTTATCAGGTCTACCAGTTCTGACAGTCAGGAGTCCGTGAACCAATTGAAGTGGAGTATTCAGTCGGCCTCAGTTAAACAAAAGTCTTCTCAGGGCTATGAATAACGCATCTGAACTATCTCTGGGCGTTTATGGGCGTCTTCAGCTCATCTCCTGTCCTTTCTACAGAGATGGTGAGGCAGAAGAAGGAGGTTGATAGTGTGTGAGCCAGTAATAGAGCTTTTCAGCTGTCCACGATGAACACTGCCATTTCGATGTCCATAGAACCTCTGCTTTCCAGCGAGTCTGGTCTATCTTTGTTCAGCGAATCAGTCTCTGAACCAATTATCAAAGGAGCTAGACCATAAAGACATTGCAGAACCTGATTGATTCAGTATTGTGGGATTCACATAAATATGCTCGAGTGCGACCTATTAACCAGTTCTGAAGGACATTCTCCTCATCTAAAGCCCTGATCAAGCTTCTGTTATGATGCCCTCTACCACTAGGAGCTTTCCAATGAGAAAATGGAGTTGTCTCATAGTAGGTGGGTGAGTTGAACGGACTCGGTAGTAATAGATTCGTTCTATAAAGACGGTAGTAAGTGAATCGAGAAGTGTTCATTAGATTATGTGGTTCGCAGTTGTGTGGAATCAATGGTCCAAACGTTTCTGAGTCTATGGGTTCTCATTGCACCCACAGCTGACTCAGCAGAACACCAGAACTAGTTTTGGAGACAAGTCGTCTCGGAGACATTCTGTTGGCATTCTGAACAGTCCAAGAAAGTCCAATTACCAACCTTTGATTCTACCTTTAGTCCCTGCTCCATAATAATTGACCTCCATCACGCTAATAGCTTCGAAAATGGTACCATTCGACTGGTTGTAAATAGGCGATCGTTTTGGTACCATTTTTTCATACTCACTACGAGTGCGAAACCCTTCTCCCATTCCACAATCTGGCCAACTCGTGCTCTGATGCTGACTCACAGCAATATGCCTTCTCTTTGAATCCTCTTTCTTCTTTTGGCGCCATTCAGACAAGAATAGGTCTTCTTAGATGTCTCATCGTGCCGGAGATGCCTCGTCTGGGTTCAGTAAAAGCAAAGTTCCTCAGAGAAGAGAAAAGAGAAAGACATTCAGGGAGAGCAACAAGAATGTACAGAGTACTTGTAGTTCTAGTAACGTTTCGGATCGTCTTTGGTGAAGTGACGGTGCCAACATGTTCAAATGGTTTAGAGGTGCGAGTGTTGAACCAGTACTCGTTCTGGATCCATGGTCACCGATAGCCGAATCAGCTATGGCTAGACCGCTACTCCACGGTGAGGGATGTATTCTAATCGCCTCTCGGTTTAAGTCTTGTTTAGTCTTGCTTTAGCATCGATCAGAGTTGCCAACGGTTCATGATGAGATCACAGAGAAAGAGAGAGAGACTGGAGTCGGATGGATGAGTAATCACCATAAGCAGACACAATCAGAGTACAAGTACGAGTACGAGTACTTGTTACTCGCAACTACCACTCCACCCCCATAGTTACGCTCGACTTCTCCCCAGCCAATATGCCTCTATTTAGTCACATCTTGGGTTAGTCACATCTTGGGTTCACATGTCAGCGGCCAGCCGAATTGCTGCGTACGCGCTTTGCTGCTCTTACCGTGCAATTAGTGATCGTCCTGGGCTGCAAATAACCTCATGTAGCCATCTAAAACAAGTTGCGACACAAATTGAGCCCGCCAGAGGGACGCCACCTCGATTGCTCACCCGCATCTGGAGGCTGTATCATACTTTTGGATTCTTTTCTTTCCGTCGGCAAACAGGATTCGAACCGAAAGTCACCTCAACCAAGACACAGGCACCAAACTTTTTCCACGGGCCACAAAAAAAAGAAAAAAAATGGCCAAACTTGTGCATCGTTTGCGCACGCTGGATCCTCTTCTCTTTTTTTTTTTCCTCGCCCTCGAGGGCCGCTGAGCCGCCGCCCCGCCGCGTGTGAGACATGGTGCGGAGTGGTGCAGCCCGCCTGTCGGGTTTGTTCGTGGTTGGATGGTTCGAACGGCAATAGCCAAGCAATATGCTACAGGCAGCAATCGAGCAATCGAGACGTGCATCCCATCCGAGAGAGTGAACTGGTGAATAGGTCCGTTAACAGAGTCGCCATACTTGTATAGGTGCTGTACTGGTCTCAACCCATATCTACCTGTAGCTATCATTTTCAATTAGTGGATCTGGCGATGACGCGGCACCCTTTCTCTCTCTATTTGTCTGTCTCTCTCTGCGGCACTGCTGAGACGCGACCTTTTTTCCCGATTTTCCCCCCATTTTTTTTCCTTTCTTTCTTCGCACAGAAATCGAACTCCACTCCTTCAACTGGGTTTCGATGGCTGCCACGCAGTTCGATTCGTGCAGAACCAAACTAAAAATACATGAGACGGGAAGAAAAAAAAAAAAAGAAAAAAAAAAAAAGGAGTCTGCATTTTACAATAAATCATTTTTTTAAAAAAAAATATCTTCTGAACCATGCGCCAAGCGACAGACTGACAGAAACGTCATAGCGTCAGAATTGCCAGCCAGACTTTGTTCACCAATCCCGGAATTGCTTGTATCGACTCCATTCCCGAATAACCACCGCCCAATGAATAATTGAACGCCCCTATCCTATAGTATCGTAGCTATAAAATATAATTATGACACCAAAAAAATTACGGTTAAAAGCTACAGCAATTACCCCAAACAATCAGTGTACGAGTGAGTACTCGTAGGTACACACAAGTGTTTAGGAACCCAGGCCGGACTGAGTCCGCTCTAGCCCCTGGAGGTCAACAGCTCATATAATACACAAATATTCTTTCGGGTCCGACTGTTTTATGTCACTTGGCGCTAAGCCCCTGTCATTGCCATAATGAACTGAGACGGTGAAACCCACATAGATTTCAGTCAATTATGCGAAGTGCGTGAAAGTGAAATGTCAAAACAAGGCTCTAAAAACCGCCCTAAAAAAAGGCTCCAAAAGCGGTCCCCGAAACCCCCCATCTGACCCCCTCTAGAGTACCACCCGTAAAATCCCGCCATCACTCCACTCCCTACCATGACATCATCTCGCCGACGTTACCGCGCCAGCTCAGCCAAACCCTAACTCTAATGATTCGATGCATGTCTAATGCGGACCAAAGTGAGCCAACATTTTCATCTCTTTCAAACCCCGAGCTCAACTTTACTGGCGGAAAAATGGCGGATCGGAAGAGACGCGAAATCAGCACAAAATCAAAAAAACAAAATTGGCCAAAAACGCACAAATCAAAATAAAATCAAAATAACAAAAACAACCGCACATGCTCTATCGTCACAACCTCCTGCATACACCCACATGTCGCGACACGCAAAACGCACCATGACGACCAACTACATGAAAGACCAGACAGGCCAAATCCCAAGAAGCTGAGAGGGTCGTGTGAACAACCCTAATTCAAACCCAAACCCCAAAGAGTCTAATCCTAATTTCCCACTCCGACTCCCATCACATAACCCTAATCCACGACTCGCTTCGGTACACCGACGTCCTTCTACGTTTTAATTATGCCCTGGGATCGGAAGAAAAAAACGCACCGTTATGTGAGTTGTTCCGGGGACCAAATGCCGGACACGCACATGGATTTGCATGGACAAAAACGGTCGAAATCGGCCGAAAAAACGCCGGTCTCACATTGGGCGCCTCCAGCTGCATTTCCGAATCGCCTCCATTTTCGGCTCGAAAATCGGCTCTTGACATCCAGTTCAATTCTTGTTTACTGAAAAAAAGTGCAAATTTTCTGACAAAACTCTATTTTGCCTGCAAAATTTGCAAAAGTCTAATTTCCAAGCGGCCGACCCATCCGGTAACCCGCTGATATAAACCTAATTTAAAGACGTTAACCCCAACCCTGACCCCATCACGTTTGGTATTTATTTTTTGATATTTTAGCAATGTCCCAATTAACCAAAGCAGGTCCGATGAGGTTTGAAATGTGCGGGGATCCGCGGACAGGAGCAATATGAGACGTCTGAGGGACCCAATGGCGGATGTATCTGTGTTTTGGGTCGATCAGAAAACATTTTTCCATCAACTCCACCTCTCCTTCAGTCTATTTACTTTTGTTCGTTGCTCCGAAAGAGTACTTGAACCCTAGCCCCAGGGATGCATGAAGAAAAGAGAGGCCCATTGTTTGGGGGGCAAGGGGTGGTGGAGATTACCGGTTAGAGGGTTTGTAATTAGGAGAAAAAGGCGGCGAAAAAGGCGGATATTTCAGGACATTTCCTACGCGCGTTTCAGAATTGATCTGGAGATTTTCCCCCAACATGCACATCGACGTCACAGCAATCAATATCATCTTGAAAATAGGGTTTAGCTGCACCGACATGCATAAACTCAACTTTATCTGCGTTTCTAATTATCCTTCTACGGCTATGGAGAGAGCGATTCAGTAGTGAGCCAGAGGCCTTGTGGTGAAGAAAAAAAAAAACTACTTATATGAGTGGGGTCCCCAGAGGTGGTTTTGTGGAAAGAACACGGACATTTGCAAAATGAGTGACACAAAGTACCCCGTCGAGAAACACTCAGCCATCAACCAGGACGAGGAGCTGGACATGGACATGAACATGAACAAGTCCATCTCGCCGTCCATTACCAAGGAGCAATTGCATCCGCACCAGTCGTTCATGGACTCCAACTCAGACACGGATGTCGACAACAACTCGATGGGAATGACCGGCAACGACCGGGTTCTGTACGAGCAGCTGCGAATTGTCAACGCCGCCATTGACGAGATTGGTCTGACGGCCTACCACTGGAAACTGTTCTGTCTCAACGGAATGGGATACGCTACCGACTCGCTGCTGATTCTGCTGCAGTCGCTGACCCTCAAGTCCGTACAGAAGGAGTTCAACAACGACTTCCCCGCCTCCACCATGGCTCTGTACGGCGGCGCGTTTCTGGGCGCGGTTTTCTGGGGCTTTTCCGCAGACATTATCGGCCGAAAGTTTGCCTTCAACACCTCTCTGCTGCTGTCCGGAGTCTTTGCCATGATCACCGCCGGAATGCCCAACCTCGGCGGCTACTGCGCCCTCATTGTTCTCACTATCATGGGAGCTGGAGGCAACCTGATTCTGGACACTACCGTTTTCCTCGAGTTCCTGCCCTCCTCCAAGCAGTGGATGTTGACTCTGCTCGCCTTCTGGTGGGGTATCGGCCAGACGGTCGCCGTTCTCGTCACGTGGCCCCTCATCAAAAACTATTCGTGTCCCGACGACGCCCCCGTCTGTCTGAAAAAGGACAACATGGGCTGGAGATACTGCTGGATCACCCTGGGTGGCCTGGTTCTGGTGCTCGCCATCCTGCGAGTGACCGTCATTCGACTCGTCGAGACTCCCAAGTTCAATCTGTGCGAAGGAAACATTGAGCAGGTCGTTGAGGACCTCCACAAGATTGCCCGAGACGGCGGCAAGGAAATCTCCCTGTCTGTGGAGCAGCTCGAGGCCTGTGGAAGACTGGACGAAGACGAGGCCAAGGCCCCTAAGCAGCGAGGCGCCTGGTTCAAGCAGCTGTTTGAGCATCTGCACCTTCTGTACGCCACCCGAAAGCTCGCCATCTCCTCTTCTCTGCTCTTCCTTTCCTGGACCATCATCGGAATCTGTTACCCTCTGTACACCGCCTTCCTGCCCTTCTTCCTGGAGTCCCGAGGAGCTGAGCTCGGAGACGGATCGGTAGACACCACCTACAAGAACCTGGCCATTGCCAACGCCTGTTCGGTGGCCGGCCCCATCATCGCCGCCGCCCTGCTCTTCATCCCCCCCATTCCCTACGGAAAGGGCCGAAAGTTCACCGTGGGCCGACGAGGAGCCATGTGCATTGGCGCTCTGTTGTCCATGACCTTCCTGTTTGCATACACCGCCATCACCAACAACGCCCAGAACGTGGCCTTTTCGGCCGTCACCAACGTGACCATCTTCATCTACTTTGGAACCCTCTTCGCCTTCACTCCTGAGGTCCTTCCTTCTCGATGTCGAGCCACCGGTAACGGTATTGCCATTGCTTGCACCCGAATCGCAGGCATCTTTGCGCCTCTGATTGCCTACTTTGGAGACACCTCTTCTTCGGTGCCCATCTATGTTTGTGCTGGTTGTTTTGCCGGTCTTGGACTCATTTGTTTCTTCTACCCCTTTGAGCCTGCCGAGACTCGAGCCATGTAATTGCCACGAAGCTCTAGGACTCACAAGCACCATTTGCACTCACAAGCACCATTTGCACTCGCATTTCCTGCACATTTCTTGCACAACTGACTCACACCGGCCCTGGCTGGACACAACTCACAAAAACAACTCATTGCATTGTATTTATAAATTGATTTTAATGGACCTGTCCTTTGAGACATCATTGTAGCGATATTATTGTAGAGAGACATCATTGTCATCGATCTGTGCAACTCCAAGTTGACGCAACATCTCATCATCATACTCACTATCAAGTCAGCCTTCGATATCACTGACCGTTGAGTGTACATACGTACATACTACATACGGTACTTGCAGGGTCGGTCCCTCCAATGTCTTCTGACCGTGATACCTCCAGATCATACTGACCAGAAAATCGAAGCTGTTCGCGTCTGTCGTGAATCTGTTGAAAGGACCACTTGCAACACTCCCTCTATCTATTTGTACCCTGACTACTGCCCCAGATGTGGCTTGGACAAGATTCGGTCATCTCTGCGAGATTGGTAATTCTGCATGATTGGTAAAACCACCGGAAGAGCTTTCCCGAGGTTGTCCAGGGCGATTTTGAGACATTACGGGACGGTAATCCCGTCTTAATTGCGTCTTAAGATGGTGAATTCCTTACGGTACAACTACTTGTGTTTGGGTGTACCTCTTTGCACAATCTGAATGCGACAGATGATAGGAATAACAGAAACACTCTCTCACGTACATACTGTACTTGTCGTTACAAATCAATGACCTGCTTGGAATGAGCATTCACTGACCTTCCTCTGTTTTCCTAGGTTCATTTGTCACTTTGCAGTTCGTGTTAGACGGACGACAGACTACTCCTACAGAACAGTAATCAGACGCCAGTGCGGGTCCGACTACGAAGAGGAACAAGCCTTGTCGCTCTCCCCATTCTCGAGTCTACGGCAACGATAAGCCATGTAATAGGTATACGCTTTGCTCACTCCAATGCAGCAAGCTACTCTGTCAAGGCTACTCTGTCAAGGCTACTTGTGCTCGTACTTGTCTTGTACGAATGTATTCGTCTAGTATGTACATACTTTTCTTGCGACTACAGTCTTGGTCAAGTCGAAAGAGCTCGTTCATCCCTCTCATCATCCCTGAAGAATAGATCCATGGTTGACTCGTGAGAGCAGCAGCCAACTCTTACTGGGTCAGGATCGACGGTAAGGTCAAAAGATTTGTAATTGACGGAATACCAATCCCTGCGATCATGACCGCTTACAGCAACTACCTATATGGTGAAGTAACTGAAGACATATGATGGAAAATGGCCCAATAAATAGAACACACTCCAGAAGTGTAGTAAGATATAACCAGATGAAGACCGAATTATTCCAGGAGTCAAGGAAGGTGAAACTTGCCGTTTTCAGAACTGAATCATTTGTTACTTGTATTCGTAGTACTGTATGAACTCGTACTCGTATGTACAATACTCGTATATGTTGTACCACTGCACCGAGTGGATTTGTCATCACGAGATTCAGCTGATCTATTGGGTTTTTGTATTGAATGGCTAAAGATTGTATCGGTTCGAGTACAGTAACCACCTCATCTACTTGTACCATCTACTTGTACTTGTACCAAGAGCATGTCTTGATTGTAAGAGGGACGCTGTCCTCACAGAACTAGGAATCCTAACAAAAAATGGGGTGATTTGGAAGCATGTGCAAATGAATAATACCATTTGAATCACACGATCCCCAGCTCTCACACTATATCATAGGTGTGCCTACTCGACTTCATTTGAGTCTTCTGAACGACTCTAAAATCCTCCTACAAGTAGCTGAAGTCACCAAAACCCACCTCATGGACTCAATGTTGAACACCAGTTTAATATACATGTACAAATGAATAGATAATTGACCCAGAATGACTATGATACTTCTCACGTATCTATTTTCCCGATAATAAGCCATTTACAACCGATTATGTAAGCACTAACTGAACCACTTGTCCATTAATTGAGACGAATCGTATCAGTTGGCGCTCAGATCGTTTGAATCACATTCCTATCGGCCTATCTCCGATCAAGCAGCCACCGTTACGGTTATCTACTATCTCACTGGAATCTAGAACCTAGATAGAGAACCAGAAAAAAACCCCTGGATCAAGTTCAAAGGCCAAAATGAGACTCAATATGACGTTGCAGCATATTGAAATGATCGCCCGGACCGTGTTCGGTAGTTTGGGGACATTTTGGCCTCTTTTTGGCATCCGAGAATCACAAAAAGATCGAAAGGCTGATTTTCATATCGCTAGAAACCCTGAAAAGGGCATTCCATTATAGTAGTGTTATTGGACCCCTCTTTATGGCAACTTACGTCATTGCTGTCCCATTTACGCCCATAAACTAGTTCAGGTTGGCTATCATAGATTGGAGTTAGGGCCTTATATCCGATCTTATTTGGTTGTTGCTCCAGAACGGTCAATTTTTGTACGGTACTGTAGCTTTGGAAGTAGTTTCATTGAATTTCTCTACTGTTGACCATCATTTTGATACCATTAAATAAGAAGCTGTGATTTTTTTCTAATTTACGTGAATTTTTACCCCCTCGCACACACACGAGGCGCTGAGTTCACGCTAGTGCAAGTGTATATATGAGCCAGCCAGTCTGACGTCATGAACTAATTTAATGCCAAACCAGTATGTAATATTCGAGCAGATGCTACTGTAGCCACAGGCAGGCCTATCGTGTGACTAGGTAATGTGAGAATGTTGGGCTAACTGCGAGGAGAGAATCAAGATTGCGCGTGGCTCAAGAGAGAGATACCATTGGTGCAACAGAGCGACAGCAAGAGCAGGGTCAATATCAGAACAGATGTAGACCTGGGCCTGATCAGGTCCGAGCAGGGATTTCAGAATTATCCCACACGCCGCTAACAAACAGAAACAGTCTCCGATTTAGTCCATAGACAAAGACAGAGGATAATACAGACCCCAGCCACCAAATAGACCTCTAGAAATGTAATGGCATTGTCCTGGGCTAGTCTGTTTATCCAAGCCCTGTCCAAATCATACCAGTTAGAATTGAATGTGCTGCGGTTTTGAAGGAGGTTGAAGGGCCAAAACTGGGGTCAGGTAGTCCTAAATACGATTAGTAATCGGTGTCTGAGCCCTGTAAACTAACCCTGAGACTGCCTGGCGTATCAGTGCACCGTTTGAGTGCTTGTTGAACTGTTCAACTCTATCGCCTTTAAATTCACACCCGGATCCCTCTGTTGAAGGCTATAGGCATATTGTTGGGAAGATTTTAGTAGCGTCGGAATACTCTAAACGAGGCGGTTCTAGGGGTCTTGTTGATGTGCTCCTCCAACTCGTGGTTCTTCCAGCAACAGCATTTCGCATCTGCAAAAAGTGCAGCTTTTACGCAACCGAGACATGTGTAGATCGTGTGGGAGGGGCTGCAGAGTGTACTACTTGTAGTACTAGTACAAGTACATACCCGTGTGAGTGCTCGTACAACTACTCCTCCGCACGACATCAATAGCAACCTCTTAATCATAACCACCGGCAGCAATACTACGATTGCTATAATGCACCATTGTATGCAGCCCAGTATTGGTGCGGTGAGCAAACCAAGCAGATAGCCGCACTCGCCGCATCTGTGGCTTGACACTGGAGGTATTCTTGAGACGAACGGTTGCATTTTAAACACTTGGTTCGCTGGTTTTCCATTGGTTCAGCCCAAAAGTCGATTCTTGGACGCCCCTGACATGCAACTGCAAAACTGAGTTGAAAACCGCACTCGTCGCGCCTGTGGCTTTCTCCTGACAGGCTGCAAAAGCCTCATGGAGCCCATGTGTGGCATTTCAGCCGTCTCCCAATTGGTCCGAGTCGTCTGCGTACTGCACGTGGGAGACGATAACGTTAGGGTTCGAAGAAGAGCTGTGGGGTTATGACTTCGAAGGGGGTCTCTAGAGCGTGTAGGGGGAGATAAGTGGGTGGTAAGAGCATGTCATCATGTTCATAACAGCAAGACAAGTTGATTCCAGCTTTCAAAATCGAAAAATCTCCCAAAATGAGTTTCAAAAAACCTCCTCTCCTGAAAAACCCCCATGCCGTAGCTCGCAGTAACTCGCATCAATGCCTACGTATTGTGTAATTGTTGCCAAAGGCTATCCAAAGCCGACTAATGCATCATCCATCTGTCTCAGTTCCCCTCAGGAGTTGATGAGCCGTGAGGTTGAATGGTATGTGTTTCTGTAGCCATAGTGGGCCATAGAGGAGGTTTTGCAGCACGAAAATCGATCCACAAGCCACATTAACTCGCCATATCGACCTTTTTCACGGCGGAAAATCGTCATAAATCCCCTTAATGAAGATCTCCAGCACGGCATGTCGCGTACTTGTAACCACATTTAAACCATGTCCAAAAAGTTGGTGTTAAGTTGGTAGAGTTCTCACGTGACCAGCCACGTGGGGGAAACCGCGATATGATTGGCAGGTTGCCCAAAGACGAGCAGTTGCCCTTGTGGACCAGGCGCAGCCGTCTGGGGTGATTTATTCTCTTGGTACTCCTCACGTGGAATGGTTACACCAATTTTCCCTTTTCGGCCAGCTGCAACTCTATCATGCAGGTGTTGAAAATTTCGGCAGTTGCCAGAATGGCGAATATTGCTCGGATAAGAAAACCAACAAGTTCGATAGATTCCCATGGCTCTGGGTACTTGATTTGTGTTTCATTTTTTGGCAAAATCTCACTTTTACGCCCTCGTATGAACCCCCAAACGCGGTCGCACAAACTAGGTTTCGCTTAATTAATATATATATGAAATCGGAAAGTCGTGTGGTTCCTCAAAGATGGCGGAAAAAAACGACTTTCTGGTGGAAGCCGGGCTCAACGGCTCCTCCGACGTCAAACATGAGGACTCCCACTCTCTGTCTTCCACAGATGTGGACAGCACGTCCATGGACATGATTGCCGACGACAAGGTGCTGTACGAACAGATGCGGATCATCAACAACACAATTGACGAGATTGGGCTGACGGCTTACCATTGGAAGCTCTTCTGTCTGAACGGAATGGGTTATGCCACCGACTCGACTCTCACCTTTATCCAGTCTCTCACTCTGGCTCCTACCCAGAAGGAATTCGACTTTGAGTTCCCCGGTCCTACCATGGCTCTGTACGGTGGTATGCTTCTTGGTGCCATTATCTGGGGCTTTTCGGCCGACATTATCGGTCGAAAGTTCGCCTTCAACTCTTCGTTGATCTTATCGGCCGTTTTTGCCATGATTGCCGCAGGTATGCCCAACCTGGCAGGGTACTGTGTTCTGGTGGCCATGAGTGCTGCTGCTGCTGGAGGAAATTTGGTTCTCGACACCACAGTATTTCTGGAGTTTCTGCCCAGCTCTCAACAGTGGCTCCTCACCCTGTTGGCTGCCTGGTGGGGTGTGGGTCAGCTAATTGCGGTGCTTGTGATCTGGCCGTTCATGGCCAACTACCAGTGCGAGAGCAAGGACTACTGCCCCAAGCACATCAACATGGGCTGGCGGTACTCTTGGATCACCCTCGGAGGCATGGTTCTCATTCTGGGAATTCTGCGTATCACCGTCATTCGACTTATTGAGACCCCCAAGTTCAATCTGTGCGAAGGAAACGTCGAGCAGGTGGTCAAGGATCTGCACAAGATTGCCAACGCCGGAGGAAAGACCATTTCCCTGACCGTCGAGCAACTGGAGGCCTGTGGAAAGCTAGATCCCGCCCAGCTGAGAAAAAACCAGAAATGGAAGTGGGTCAAGGACCTGGGAACCAACGTCAAGCTGCTGTTTGCCAACCGAAAGCTCGCCCAGAGCACCACTATCTTGTGGATCTCCTGGACGGTTCTTGGTATCGCCTACCCTCTATACTCCTCCTTCTTGCCTGCCTACCTCTCGTCTCGAGGAGCCCAAACAGGAGGAGGAACCATCGATGATACTTACCGAGCCATGTCCATCTCCAACACCTTCTCCATTTTCGGGCCCGTGTTGGCTGCCATTCTTCTCTTTGTCCCCAAAATTCCTCTATGGGGTCGATTCTACATTCCTGCTCCCGGAAGAAGAGGAGCCATGTGTATCGGAGCCCTGCTGACTATGACCTTCTTTTTCGCCTACACCACCGTCAAAACCGAGGTCCAGAATGTGGCCTTCTCCTCAGTCACCTCCCTCACCATCTACACCTACTACGGAACGCTCTACGCCTTTACCCCGGAGGTCATGCCCTCAAGAGCTAGAGCCACAGGAAACGGAATCGCCATTGCCTTCACCCGACTGGCTGGTATCATGTCTCCTCTCATTGCGTACTATGGAGACACGAGCTCCAGTATTCCCATTTACGTGTGTGCCGCGTGCTACGGCGCCCTGGGTCTGGGATGCTTCCTGTATCCTTTTGAGCCCATGGTCAACCGGGCTATGTAAACCGATACAAGCAGAGCAGGTGTTGACAACGAAATTTGCTGTGGGATTGTTTTTTTATTATAATCACGTGACGGCAGCTCAGCATGCCATCGCGTGAACACGCACCTCAACGTGCTTATTTATTGTATAAAAGTAATTAATTAATGTGTACTCTGATAAGCGATAAGGACCAAGGAAATATGGTTGGATCCAGCGGAATTGGTTCCATCCATAGATACAATAATCTCGCCTTTGCCCCTTTCAAAAATTTGAGCGACGGAGATATAAAGACATGGTAGTCTTATCCTGAAAGAAAGTCCTGTAGAGACCCACATGTCTTTATATCTCCTACGCCAAAGATATCATTTATTACCATAAATGTCGACTCTCAAGACAATAGTGTCCTTCTTGTACTTTATCTCCGATTGCAAGGCACTTGGGTTTCTTGTAGTAGGACTGGGAGATAAGACAGACGAGAGAAGGGGCCATGTTAGGCTGTTGGATAGGGTTGGCAGAGTGTCAATTGATTGTTAGTTATTGTCTGAGTTGTATCTCAAAAGGGGTTCAATTCATGATACGATGTATCTAACAAGATAACTAAAACCCCAATATTAGTTGATATATCAATCAAAGCAAACATCGAGGGGATCCACTGGCTCTCTATGGAGGTATCAGAACACTTCTATGGAGTATCCTATCTTGAAAAAGCGAGATGAATATAATATCATAGTATATTACCCCTCTTGTAGTGGAAAATCCCCCTTCAGCCGTTATGTTTGCAGCAGAAACGCCCCTCTCCATCAACCCAGTCTTATCTTGTCTCATTTTGAGCGCAGTAGCTGTCGTACAAATACGTCATAGATGATCAGAAGTCTCTGATCTACATCTGGCCTCATCTGCTACTTCTTCCTAGTGAATGTATTAGTTGGTTATATATAAGTTAGATTGTGAGATACCCAGTTGGTCACAGCTCAGCTCTAAGCTTGAGGCCTACAGCTTGTACTCAACCTCTCCCATCTGCATTAAGGTATGAGCAATCCATTGTTCCTGTTCCTCAAACAGCTTCATGGTCTCCTCATTGCTCAGCTCCCCACTTTCCAGACCCTCATGCATCTTCTGGAATCGCTTACTCAGCACGTCTGCTCGGTAGCTCATCCACTGCTTGAACAGCTCCTTCTTATCGGAGATAGGCTTGACAGTAGTCAGCACAGAGTCGTCCTTTGTCATGGCGTCACGTGGACGGAAGCTGGTGACCAGTGTGATTCGCTCCCGGTCAAGCTCAGCTGGTCTGGAAGCCATGTGAAGAATGTAACCTCCTTGAAGGATGGTAGCATGTCCCATCTTAGGATCAGCAACCTTTACCATTTCTCCAGAGCCCTTCTGTAACACGGTTTCACCGCCAACCATGTTGTTCGTGTCGCTTACCATGAGAACACACACGAATGGGTAGCTGTCATTGTGCCAGCCAACAACGGGCTTGGTGTCTCCGGCGGTGGAAATGTTCGTGTGGGCGATTTCGTACTCAAAAACAGGCACGAGATCAACTCCGGCCAGCTTGGAGACGGTTGCAATGGTTCGGGGATGGGTCCAAGCAGCCGTGGTGAAGGGGGTTTCTTTGGAGAAGCCCCGCACTTGGTATGAATTGATAGAAGAGGCGAACGAGAAGTTGTCCAGAACGTGGTCAGACAGAATCTCACGACGCATAAGATGAACGGCATCCTCGGTGAACAGACTGAAGGGGGCTGTGACTGCAGTTTTGGAGATGCCTCCGGAAAGACCCAGTTCCTCCATGCTCATTTGGTATGCTGGAGAACCAACATTCAAATGAACATCCGGGTCGAATTCGACCATTGGAAGCGTCAAATTCACCGTAAATATGGGCTTATGGGTAATGGAGGTTGCAGTGGGGGTTTCCATGGGAACTGGTTGTGTTGTGAAAACGGTTGTGTTTTGTTTGTTGTAAAGAGAAGCGACACACGGGCAGCAACCTAGGCCGCCTTTATAATCCCCATTTGTGTTTGTGTCACTTGTCTTCGGTTGCTCCCACTCGTCCTACTGGTATGAAGACGGACCAGGAACCGTTTCCTAAAACAGTATCGCACTCCAGTAGCGCGTGTGGGGTATGTGTGTGTCGTGGTCTTCCTATGATAAGGTGCAAGTGGCGGTCCATTTCGGCGGTCCAGAGACAAACCGACAACGGCGTACTATCATTGGTTTTGTTCTCTTGAGTCCCAGTCTCCCATATCTCTCAGTATCACCCGTATCTCCTGTCGACTATCTTCTCTCAGATTAGATAAACAGATATGACCAGACAGAGTTGGCGGATTACAGGAGGCGAAACTTAGACCAGGGAATGGAAACAGAAACAAATCTAGAATGCGCTATAGTGAGGCTATGGCCATTCTGGAACATATTATGTAATCAGAATCACTCACAGAATATGTTCTCACTTTCAGATTGTCTCTGGCGCCACTAACGCCTCCTACACACTGAACCCCCACATCACTGATAAAGTTCACTATCAGAAACTCTGCCTTTAATTTTGCAATATTTTGTTTGGCTTTGACTCTCCTTGTCTCCGATGATTCCACCACAAGACCTTCCTATCTGACCCACTAACGCTGCAAGCACGGGTAGCCTCTTCTGCCGCGCTTTTTTGCCTATTTGAGAAGTATATCTGTATCGTGTTTTTGGGGCTTGCCAGAATTGGGGGTTTGTAGATCAAGGAGTGGACTTTTCCGACTTTTCCGACTTTTCCGACTTTTCCGACTTTTCCGACTTTTCTGACTTTTCTGACTTTTGAACTGGTGATGCCCCGGACAAGAGGATACAAATATCTGATTATTTTTATCCTGTCGCATCTACAAGTGTCGGTGACTTTGCACTTTCGACAGCCAAAAATCGCGATAACCACATCCCACATCTCGCTTTTCTCCTCCCAACGGATACATGTCCTGAAAAGGAAGGGCTAGAGGGGGAAGACAGTGAGTCATGGGGACAAATGGAAGGATATCGGGCCCTTTGACGGTACCATTTGAAAGCCCTCGATTCCAGGAATCCATCCATATACTTGGTTTGTCTCTACCGTCGCTTCAGCGTCCATACGGGAACCCCAAAACATTACCCCACGTCCAGAATCAGAAGCTACATCGTGACCACTAGTGGTTTTGTAATTGGCTGCTGACGAGGGGAATCTATAGCCAGGTCCCGAACACGTTGGATTTTAATTGGCGAGTCAGTTCAAAAAGGACAAGCACGTACCGGTAGATACGACGTGAGACCTATAGGTCTTCCACGGATGTACAAGGAACTTGCTCCATAATAACGATGCAAGAACCAGCATCGTCGTGGTACGGGACTGAGGGTCTCACCAGTCCGTATTGGAGCTTCTGGTATTATTCATGTCCGACTCTGTGCAAGATCAGAGCTTCGAAATATATAATATGTCTCCTGTTATCTCTCTTTTAAGCCGTATTATCGTGCACTTTTACTGTAGCCATGTGGGAAGTTGAAGACACCTGCACAAACCAACGATGTCTTACCTGGTGGCGAGGGACTACGGTTAATGATTGGAAAAACCTTGACGTGGGTGACAAACCACTAGTTTCCATTCTGAGGGAGCAGAATTTGGTCACCCTGATGGCGTGCTCAGTCCCTTCTTCCACTAGGGGTGCGGAGACTCTCTGAAAAGTCTCTCTGATAGAGAGAAGAGTCTGGTTATCAGAAAGCCTCCCAGAAATAAGTCGTGAACGTGTTTGTTATATAAAATTCCACTTATTCAACAACTACAAATAGGTGTGTCTGGGAGACGACGTGAGATGAGCTGTGTCGACGATACGTGAGGCTCAGCGTCAATTCACGTACCATATGTTCGTCCTTGTCCAAGTTGACCGCAACATTCAGCGAGTGCAAGCTCGCCGGAGCCCGTATTTGCATTTTATTGAGCAATATGGAACCAACAAACCTTTCTATTGAATCATATCAACTCCATATGGACCTCTGGAACTCTCAACCCAGCCTAAAGAGCCCAAGTCTTAATCTCTAAGTCAAAGATAGTCAGACATGACATAGCAGTCAAAAACAGACGATCGCGTAACTCTTGGTTTGATGGTTGCAAAAGGTTGCTTTTCGGCAGGGCTGTTTGAAACGTCATCCTGGTTGACCCTTTTAGAACGTGTCTGTATCACTGGACAAGATGTCCGCACATCCTCATTGTCTCTCGTTGTCTCTTCCTCAAGGCCTTGAACTAGTCCATAACCAGAGACCTGATCATTTACACACGAGCTATAGCTATAGAAGACTTGCGAGACTTACTATAACTCGAGTTCTCAGCAGAACTACCGATGTGTCGGTTCCAACTGTTCTACCTCCATGACTCTCATGTGAATGCTGGAGGCCACTCTGTCTCATCGAAGTCAGGTGTTTTCACTGGTCTGTGGTAGTAAAAGCCACCCAGACCTTCCATACTAGTTGAAGGCTGCTATACTTGTTTTATTGCCCTATATAATGCCCATTTGTCACATTCACTATCTGTCACGTCATCAAACAGCTACAAGTGGCAACAAGATAGCAAGTTCCAAGTCACCCTTCATAATACTGCGTAATAGATACCTCCTAAGCCTTCTTACGTTTCCCACTCCAAGTCTGTCTTCATTCACGCTCAACTAATAACACACAAGCCAGCTTCATCCTCCTGCTCATCTTCGCGCTGGTACCGCTCAACCTCCCATTGAGTGGTTGTCATGGGCGTTCGGGGAGGCGGCGGAGGCGGTGGAGGAGACGCTGTTTTCATCTGTGTAGTTTGGTCGCGCCTTTGTGTGTTCGTTTTTGTATTCGCGTGTGTCTGCGATCTTGTGTGTTGTGATTGTGCTGAGTTTGTGCGGTGTTTGTGTGGTTGCGGTGTTGTGGTGTTTATGAGTGTCGCCAGCTTGGTCACGTGTCGTGTTAATATGAGGACTTTGAAATTACAAAAAGTTCTTTCCGCCTGCTGTCAATTGGCCCTACCGACAAGTGGTGTTGTTGCCTGCTCTGGTATAGGGGTCACGTCGTATAAATAAAGTGCAGAATCCACGCAAGATAACCTAAATATTATGACTGGTGGGAAACCGTTTTTTTTGAGAGTCTACTGCTGTGGGCGGAGATGACGATCTGAGAGACTGAAACTTTTTCCAACCATTAATTATCACCATTTCTCCATCCAGTTCAAAAATCCCAGCTTTTTCTCCAATATTGAGGGTTCTAGCCATAGCGAGTACAGTATGTACATCAAACAAAGATCATAACAGTCACTTGTACAACACAGGTCACTCATCTCTTCTACACTATCAAACATGAAACCAAGTACTGCTCAACTTCTCTTCGAAAACCTCGCTAATCACAACCCGGATGTGCTCTCAGACACTTGCAAGTTCTCTCTTGAACCGGTGGATCTCACCTTGTACGGCAAAGACGCAATTGCACACTTCTGGAGCACATCGGAGTCCATCAATGACATCTATCCAACAATTTACACCAGCGGAACCACTATCATTGCCGAGACTCTCAGAATGGTGAAGCTGGACGCCGAGCACATGCACTACACGCCCAGCTGGAAGGGCTTAAAAGGTGCAACTGTGGCTGTTGATATGGTGAGTGCTGTAATACAACGAGACGGACTTGTTAAAGCACTTGAACTCAGTAGCAAAAGCTGACTGTTTTTTCTGAACACACTTATTTCCCAACAGCTATACTAATACAGACAATAATCATATCCACTCGTGACAATCTCGTCACCTCCGTGCGACACAAGTGGAATCACGTGGACGTGCTGCAACAGTGCCACATTTTTGACGGCCGAGTGAATCTAGACGTCGAATGCGACCAATTTCTGAACCCAAAGCCTCAGAAGCAGAGGTATTCAGGAGGTCGAGTGGTCAGTGAGCCTGTCAATGGAATCACCTGTGTCTCTACCACGGCCTTGCAGACTAGTTTTTTGACCTTGAACGTTTAGAACGGGGCGAGTGCAATACTAAAAGTCTGTGCAAGTCGTGCAGAGAGCAACATCATAGCCTACTAGTACGTACCTGATATTTATTCAAATCATCAATTCATTACATCTTCAAGGTTCGCAGACATGGGTGGTCTGCATGTAGAGTCTGGGTATATCATAGAGGCATTGACCCACTTGTCAATTCTAGGTGCCGTTAGTCTGTATGCGTTCACGGCTCCGGACTACCTCTGTTGAGTCTGTCTGCGGCCTCCTGGCGAATCTGTCGATGCCGCTCAAACTCCAGCATCATATTGGCGGTCTCGCATCGCTCCTCAAACATCTTAGAGAGCTCCTCGACCATCTTGCCTCTCTTGGTCGATGCCACGGACCTCGATCGTGGTCCAAACTTTCGAGGTGGAGGGGGAGAAGGAGGAATCTTGAACGTGGATGGGTCGATATCTGCGTTAATCTTGGTGGAGGGCTGCAGCACAAACTTGGTGGGAGTTTTGGGTGTGCTGGGAGGCTCCAGTTCAGCTGCCAGCTCAGACACGGAGTTATGTCTCGATCTAGACTGCAATTGAACGGGTTTTTTGGGCACGGGAGGCGGGGGCATGAGCTCCACTGACGAGAGCAGCCCATTGTTGTTCATCTGCCGTCCACGTGACTTGACAGGTGAAATCTGCGCGTCGTCGTCTGCGATATCTACGAGCGACTCAACAGACACAGAAATGGGGAAAGGAGGTACCGGCGCAGCGTCGGACACGTTTCTCTGTCTCAGCGAAGGAGAAGATTTGCTGTTGTTGAGGAAGGTGAGAGGAGCGGATACTTGTCTCTTCGACATGTCGTACGCGCCGTCGTATGGAGGGTATGCTGGAGCAGCACCCAGGCCTCCGGCGTTGGGAGCCAGCTGCTGAATTCTATTCACGTCAGTGACGTTAATTCGGGTGTACAGCTCGTTCTCAAGCTTGGGGGCCAGAACAGCCCAGTGCTCAATGACATTTTTGAGCAGACGGATACCCACTGCCGTCGAGTCACGCGACGCTGTGATTCCCAGCAGTGCAGGTGCAAAGCACACGGATATCGAGTGTTCCGAGTGCCGCGTCACCTGTGTGTTTCTCACAATGCTTTGGAGAAGAGGCACCACGTAGAGGAAGATGAACAGCGAGGTGACGGGCAGCTGTCGGATCGTATCCTCTGTGTACTCTGCGTCATCCTTGATGGGCAGTGGGATTCTGTCTGCTGGAAGAGCTGGTTCGGGGCAGTCTCTAAGGAACCGTTTTAGCAAGGAAGCAGCCACGTGAGGTCCATAGTCTGCGAGTTCAAACATTTGGCCTCGATCGCAGTTGCATCTGACAATCTCCAGCAGATCTGATCTTGGGGACACTCGAAACACGCCCTCCACATACGGAGCCATCTGTGTAAGATACTCGAGCATGACGTTCCAGATTCTGGGAGGGTTTCTGGGGTCAAACAGGCGGCCAAACACAGGTTCAACGTGTCGCGGTACGGTGATTTCATCCTCCACCTTGCGATTGTGCAGCAGAACACGTGGCGGGATGTTGATGGCTGTGACGTCGATTTCTCGGGCGAGTTGCGACAGCGACGAAACGTGGTGGATTTTGGCCTTGAATTTCGTCGAGATGAAGCCGCCTAGCATCTCCGTAACCGCTCGAACCCACCACGACTCGTGCACTACGTAGACCTTTCGGACTCTCTTTTTGACGTCTCGTTCGATCATGGCGTATGTTTTTGTGGCCCAGGACCACGAGGGCCGCTGGGGAGCGCCACATGCAAAGAAAACGAGCACAAACGGCGTACTGGGCAGGTTGCTGACGAGATGCGGGAACAGAATGGCGTGCGACTTGCTCGAGGGTTCCGGAAGAGCGCTGGAGTCGATAACAACGATGGGAAGTCGGGTCTGAGGGTCCACAGTATCGGTTTGGTAGACGATTTTGGCAGCCACGCGCTTGGGATCTTGTGGCACGTCGTTGGCCATGTCACTCGACACGTCCTTGGACTTTGTCGGCGTGGGGATGGCCTTCTTGAAGACTTTCTCTTTAATCTCCATGGTGACGGTTCTTCTAGTGGTTGCACTAATTGAGCCCAAAAAGGCCAGGGCTATAGCGACTGCTACAGCTGCGAGAACGGCGAGTCCGGGCAAGAGGGAGTGGCGGCTTTTGGGAGGCAGCCGACCGGTTGAGAGCTGAGAGGAAAGCGTTAGCTCGTGGGTAGTTGGAGATGCTGTACGTGTATGCGTGATGCGTGTAGGTAGCGTGGTTTGTTTCACGTGATGTGGGAGGACGAAGGAGAATAACAGACGCTATAGAAGTGGTAGAAGTCTGATTTTTGGTAAATATACTAAACTGATGATTCTCTATAATTATCGGTTTTCCAAATATTGATATTCCGCCCCCATCTCCTTTAAAAGTCCGGCCAATTTCGCCTCGGCTGTAATATGGAAATCTTATTGGGCCAAGAAAGCCAGGTGTGCGAAAATAAAACCAAGAAAAGACCTGGGATTTGAAGGCCCGTAAAACACGGCAAAATATTGCGCAATTGCAGAAATTTAACAACGGAACCATGCCTACTGTTCCCAAGAACCGCTTGTTGTGTGTGTCTAGCCTCTCCGTCACAGCCGGTTTGTTGACACTCCGTCTCCCAGGCAACGGGCTGCGTCCCAGACGTGCATACCGTACTACCTGAGAGCTGATTGGCACTTTGGGCATTGATTTCTTTTTGCCTGGGTTGAGTCCATGCCACCTTGCTGTGGCAATTGAAACCTACGGCAGCCTTGTCTGCTGTTTTTTTGTGGGGGAAACACTGTAATGTAAAACCCAACTGCCTTACCTTGTTTCAGGTTGCAGAACAGTTGTGTATCTGAAGCACATTGGTTGCGAACTGCTGCCATCAGGTAAAGGACCTGGGATTCGCAGTATGCACTTGTAGCTGCGCAGTATGAAAGCAATTGATGTAATAGATAAAGATTCTATGACACAATCGCACTCCGTTTATTATCTGCTACAAGTGGCTTCTCTTCAAGTATCGCACAGTAGATACAGTACAACTACTCATTATGAGACTTGTGCTGGTTGCAACCGAGCAGTTAGTGGACGGACTATATATATATATATATATATATATATATATATGTCGGGATGTTGCCGGAGAAACGAGCACGTGGACACGTGTGGGATTAAGGGGGCAGTTGTAAGTTCGTGTTGACACGTGCAATCACGTGTATATCACGTGGTTTGGTAAACATATGATACGCGGGGAAAGTGGGGCGGAATTTCCTTTTTTTTTCGTTTTTTTTTTTCGTTTTTTTTTTTCCTTTTTCTAAAAACCCAGGCTGGCTACAGTTGGTGGATGAATCGAACTCCCTCCCATTTGATTCGGCTCTGGTGACTGCTGTTTAAGGGCTCTTTCGGCTCACCAAAAATAGACTACCAAAGCGCGTCTGTTCGAACCACGGTTGGGTGGAGGATGAATATGTTTCGTAGTTTGATGATTAGTAGGTGGATTCGGATTGTTTAAACTGCACAAGAATCTTTGGGATCCCTTTCGGTTTCAATGTTTTTTCAATATCCAATTTGGCTCATATATCGCCATTTCATGTCTATTCCCTACTGGTATCACTCTCTAGGTCTCTTACACACTCTCGTACCAGACAGGCATCAGAGATACATCTCTCGTGAGTAGTACATAGTACAAAGCTCAATAGTGCTTTTTGGAGTCTGATATCCCAATTTATCTGATTTCTCCGCTTCTTTCCAGACAAATACGTCCACAAAACCTCCAACAAAACATTGATATGTGAGCTGCTAACAATCCGTTCATACATACGCAACAATGTGTGAGATAGCTTAACATTGTGTGTAAACGCGCCGGTGGTGCTCTGATTTGTATACTGCAAGTTCTGGGTTATTTCAGGTGCAGTAAATAACCCCCTGGAGCTACTTATATCCCCCTAACTCCACCCCAACCTCTTCTTCTCGCCAACCGGAGTTTTGAATAAAGTTCACGTAAATGCAGTGTTCATACATCACGATATTGGAACACCGTTTTGCAATCAACCCCATTCAACAACAACATGTCGACGTTAATGTGGTCGGCTGAGCAAAGCGCGGCGGCGGCGGCGGGCTCGCATCTCCAGTCCGCAGCCGAATGGCCTGATCGTGTGCTTACTAATCTCATCCGGTACATGAGTCCGCGGGACGTTGTGACCTTCGGTTCCACGTGCAAACGGATCCGACAAGTGTCCCTGCGGGACGACCTGTGGCAGTCGCGTCTCGAGGCTATGGATCTGTGGGACGACGCAGAGGCCAAGCGCAAGAAAAACGATGAGTTCCATCAGCATGAAGAACAGGAGCTGGACAAGGAGGAAGAAGAGGATATGACTGGAGCTGGACAGAAGAAGGAAGAAGATACACTGGTGGATCTGCTTGATTTGAGTCCGACCAAGCCTGTCACGGCGACATCTACGCCCTACATGCCCCCGGCAGATTTGTCCAACCAGCCAAATCCATTGACTCCCTTTGATGGCCTTGAAAGCACATACGGGAAGGCTCTGGAGACCTATTCCTCGGTATATCGCAATCTTGCACCCTTCTACTATGACATGGTTCAATCTGGAGCGTTCCAGGAACCGCTGCTGTTCAAATTGTACGATCAACCGGAGCACCAGGCTAGAGCACTCGTCAACTTAAAACGACTGTCATACTCTCTGGGAGACAACGAATTTGAGGATGAGAACCGAGATCAGCTGGCAAGTATTGCTGAGACGTTCGAGAATGCTGCACTGCGAGAATTCGAACTGGGAATTGACGAGGGAGACTTTACACCTGACTCGAGAGTCAAGCGATACGCCCAAGTGCTCAAACAACTAGGAGCTACAGAATCGTGTGTCGAGCTGTTCGTTCACAAACGAGCCATTGATGTTCCACATAGCCCTGCTATCCTTGGAGATAAGGGTATTAACATGACCGCTCTACAGAACCATCTAGATCTCGTGTCGAAAACTATAGCCCAACAAATGGAGGCTATTGATACCGTGTTTGGGCTAGAGATTGACAATGTCAGCTACCTGTTTGCGAAAATCGTGCTGGAAGATGCAGTCATTGATACCATTAATCACGTGCTTGAAGCTGCTCGTGAGCAGGAGACAGTCTACTACCTTGATGCGGTCCCTGACATTTATGCCAAACTGCTGACTATCACTGACACTCTACCTTCCTCCATTAACGGGCACCAGGACAAGTACAAGGGTGCCTTGAAACGTCTGCTGATTAGTCAGTATGAGTTTCATGTCGATCAGTTCATGCAACTGGAGCTTGACTCGTTTGAGACCTACGCCAATGACCTGGTTGATTCCTGGGACAAGGAGACTCATGATAAGGAAATTGCCACGGAACATTACTATCTGAGTAATGTGACCAAGGAGAAGGATAAGCGGGACTTCTTATCGTCTTTCAAGGACGTTCTAATGATGCCCATCAATGTTATTGGTGTGGGAAGTTCCAAGGACGCCAGCAGGTCGGGGACACCGAACCCCAATGCCAACGGTAGCTCCTCCAAGTCAGGCACTCCTAACCCTGGAGCATCTCGCTCCGGCACTCCCAACCCCGACCAATCATCTGCTGATGGTCATCACGTGTCTTCTCCTCCTCCCGAGCTCGAGACAAACCTTCCCACCACAGAGTTGGACGCCAAGGCCGCTATTATGAACGACCGTTTGCAGGGCATCAACTCGTTGTTTAACCTCGAGCTGGCTCTCAACATCACCAAGGCTGGAAAGGCGTCTCTAGAGCGAATCAAGCGATTCCATGCTGCCGGAGGACAGCTGGCCAAAGACTCCAAGGAGCAATGTGAGCGCGTGTTCGTATCTCTTATCGATATTCTTGGTAAGCGGCATATCGGTGGTGGTTTCGACAAAGCTCTAGGACGTTTGGATTCGTATAAACCGCATAATCTCGGCTTTTTGGACGAAAAGAAGAGCAAGAAGGGCAAGAAGGAGGAAGTCAAGGAGGAATCGTTGGAGGAGAAGAAGAAGAAGGAAATGGAAAAGAAGGGAGGTCTCGAACCTCTCGTTGTCTTTGCTGAGTTGGTCAACATTGGAGATCTTATTCAGCAGATGATCCACGTCTTCTTCGAAGAGGAGCTGGCACAAAAGAAGTTCATCGATCGAAATGACTTTGTCTCTCCCTCGGTTCAGGCCAAAAAGAAGTTTGAGAAGCAGTTGGATGAATATGTGGCTCGAGGTCTGAACCAGGGTATTGATGTTCTTTCCGACCAGATGGACTTCCTGTTTGTCACCACTCAACTGGGCTCGGATTTCAACCCCCTGCCTAACATGGAGCCCAATATGGGACCCACGGAGTGCGCAAAGGGGCTGGTTGACCTGTTGTCTGTTCACATGAAGATTCTGTCTGGAAGTACTGAGAAAACTGTGCTGGATGTGTTCCAACAGGAACTGGGTATGCGGTTTTTTGCCAGCATTTGCAAGCATCTCAAGAGAAAGACAATTTCTGTCGATGGAGCCATCACTGTCATTTCTGACCTCAATTACTACTATTCGTTTGTGTTGGGACTGAAGCAAAGACCTCTCAACCAGCCGTTTGCCGCCCTGAAGGAGGTTGGCCAGATGTATCTGATTGATACCAAGGATGCAAAGGCCCTGGGCAAACTGCTGTCGGACATGAACCGGTTCAAGGGCGTGTTTCAACCTGAAGAGATTTACGAGTTTGCCCACTCTAGAGCAGATTGGGTGCTGGTGAAGAGAGAGGTGGAGAAGGCGATGTATGGACTGGGTGTGGATTGTGTCATCTCGTAGAGCTCTTCACACCACACTTCTAATGACACTAGTGTAAATAAAATAGTTCGCAATGATAGATATTCGACATAGCAAGAGGTGTGGACGCTCCATATTGGTACCATCGTTCCTAATTGTAGCTTCAAGCAGTCTGAGAACGTACGTATGTACTACAGTAGCAGATACATGCCAGGGGACCTCAATATTGGTCTCAGAAACAGGTATTACTTCACTGAAACCCATTTATCAAATCCCATTCAGATTAGTAATGAGTGCGTAAGCCTTCAATGTTCATGTCATACCTACAAGTCGAAATATTCGCGTGCAGAAATGTTCTCGTGGAGGTGCGTCCTTTGAACTAAAATTCAGATAAGGTTGGTCTTTTGAGTAATTAATTCGTGTCGCTCTTGAAAAATGCTGTCATTTGAAGTATACCCTAGACATAATAAATGCAAGATATTATGCACCATGAGCTTAGAATTAAATCTGAAATAAGTAGTAAACAATTATATAAATGCGACTATTTGTACTACTAGTGCTCTAAGAAAAATTCTAAAATGTCCATAATTTGAATAAAATGCTGAAGTTTCTTTCCACATAATTCATATAAGTATTTTTGTAACAGAAACTGATTTATCAAGCAGTATACACTTCAGACTGAATTCTTGCATACGACGTGCATATTATGCACGTCCTATGCACTTTTAAGCACACCGGGCTAGCTACTTTGGGAAGATGATATTTGCCGATTTGCCGAAGTAACCATTTGGCCATGTGGTTATTTCTATTTAGCAATATAAATGAGTATACATGAGGCAGATATAGTTGTGGGGTTAGCGATATATAGCAATATAGATCCTCGTGACTTATATTCTCAACATTACTTGCTCACCCCCTTTGTTATGCACAATGAGGAACTCCATGGTCTATGCTGAGTATTGTGAACAGTGAACATATCTTCGCTGAAGTGAAGAGACAGAGCGATTTGAAGACAGCAGTACTTTCTGATTATGTCAAGTTTTGTGTGATTAAAAGAGTGGCTCAGTTTCAAGTGTATTTGGGTTTATTTGAAATGCTCATGGAAGGTGATATAATGCTGTGGTTGAGGGGACTCTCGCAGTATTAAATGTCGACAGATGGTCTCCTGTAATGATATGTTTGACACTGACTTGGTTCTACAAGTACAGTACTGTATTTGCACACTACTCGTATTTGTGGTTCCCGAATCGTCTATTATTTCAGTCATCATACTTCGTCCAGTGATACTCGCTGATTCTCGCTGTGCTGCGACCCACTTGAAAACACACTAAATATCCTCCGTGTCATAGCAAATTCATTAATCATTAGTTAGTATACATCCTGCCTATCTATCTCCTTCAATAACACCTGCGTCAGTAGTTGGGTAGGGCAAAAGTGGGGGGTTCTATGGAAACCAACTTACCGACTAGTTCCACGTCGAGGGTGCGCGCACGCGTGCTGGCCGTGAACGTGTCGCGGTAGCTGTCTGCCTGGGCGTCCAGTCGATGGAACATTTCTTTATCCTGCGTGAGTCCCACTTCGAAACGAAGCTGTTTAAGGGATGCAGGGAGCGCCGCGGCAAACTGGATGCCGGGTAGGTGGAAGCCCTTAATGGACAAGTACTCCAACTGTTTGCATCTGTGGCTCTTAAGAGGAGTCCACGAGAGCTGCTGGTGATATGGCTCTACGGGTAGGTCGATGGTCAGTCGTCTGACAGTGGGAGGTGGCGATAGAACGAATGAATGGAATCGTTCGTTGTCTGTGTTAATAAAGAAGAGGTTGGGACTTCTGGCTGATCAGGGTGGTCAGTTTAGCCAGTTTTTGGAGCTTTATGCCTGGGAATTTTTCTTTTGTGATTTTGTGTTGGGTATGTTGTATCTGGTGTGTGGGTGTGATAGAAGCAAACGAATTGCCACAAACATTTCTGGACCCAGATATGATGACCCTCAGCATATGGAGTGGCACTTGATTCTCAGCGCATTTAGCACGCCCAGTTATACTCACGTGAATAGACCGTGTATCCCTTACTCAACCTGACCTCCAGCTCCTCAATACTGCCGAAATCCTTAACGTCATAAGGATACTGCCAAATGCAATTTTCCAACACCAGTCTCTTGACCGCCACCGTCTCGTTTCTTGACGGGCTCAGCCTCGTCACTGGTGTGCTTCCATCCTTGTCTGCCGAGATTCTAGACAGCGGAATGATCTCATGGACGCCATCCTTATTGAGAATCGAGTCTCTCTGGACTGTGAAGCCCTCAAGGGCAAGTGTCTTAACAGCTGGAAAGCCCACGAGATGGTCGATGTCAAAGGAGATTTGTTTTGCTGGCGCGTTGACGTTGTTGAAGGTCTGGAGCCGTTGCACCTGACCGGATATAACAGTCATGTTAGTCACTCGGTCGCATCCCACGTACTTGAGCCACGCAGAAGAGCCCGAAATGACCATTGTCACGTCGGACAGCTGCGGACACAGCGACATAAACTCCGTCAGCAGCTCAGGATAGTGCCACTCGGCATAGGACGAATGTTTGGTGATGTGCAGAGTGTGGATATATCCGGCTATGCCGCACGAATCAGAAGCCAGGTAGTCTCTGGTGGGGGCCAAGGAGTCCCAGCTCAGGTAAAAGTCACCAAACAACTTGTCGCACGCCGCGTGGCGAAGATCGTGACTCACCAGAGACACGGCTCTAATGTCGCGTTTGGGCAGGAGGTCACAGATGGCATTTTTGAGCTCGGCCGGCAGTCTGGTTAGTGGGGACGCCGTGGGCCGTTTGTGGCACGTCTCAGGATCGTTCTCTAGACGTCGCTTGACCATGTTAGAAGTGGCTGTGGTGGAACAACTAGTGCCGTTTGTATATCGGGTTCCTTAGACTATAGGCCAAAAGATTAAAGAGTCACTCCCAAGGTTTCTTGTCCCAAGGCACGTGATGATACCATTATCTCAACTTTATTTGACAGAGAAGGGCAACCAAAGAGCTGTATGCTAACTTGAGCTTGGTTCAGAAGAGAGCAGTGAAATCATATGGAGATGGGCTAATGACTGCGCCTTTTAATCTACATGGAGCTCGTGTTCTTCAAGCCGCTCTAGCGCTCTGTCTTGGATACAATGATGTGTGCCAAGGAGCAGTTGATCTGATTGCCCTATCAGCCACTCGAATACTGTATACTTCAGTAGGGTAGATTGATATCGAGCTGCTACTTGTACTATTGTTTCAAGGGACCGATATTCCAATGTTTTATTATGGTTGGTGTGTTATTACAGTAGATGCAGACTTGTATTCTAACCATCCATCGTTTAACTTCCCTACCGGCTCTTATATAGCTAACTCGCTCTATCCTTGTCATATTTATCATCAGTAGTCGCTGTATAATCGCAGCAATGGAAGCCTGTCAGAACAAACTGGTCAATGGCATCTGCAGGTCCTCAGTATGTACGAGAACAACAGATTATGGTCTCCCAGCAGCAAAGTCTAGAATACCACACAACCACGAGCGATAGCAGAAAAATATACCTAGTACTCATTGCTTGACTCTCACTGCTTTATGGGGTTCATGGCAGTGGCAACCTGGTGCCAATCTCGCACTCCACAGGCCCACTGATCACTGGCGAGATCGGGCACCCGCTCATGGCCCCAGATGACCAGATGATCGAACGAGCCTTCGGCGTTCCACGACCGCATCTCGATGGGCTCGTTGTTTCGGTAGTCATCGGGATTTCGCTCGAATCCATCCTGGTCAAAGTCCTGGGTGATGTCGCCCAGCTGGGACACGGGGTTCGAGTTCTCGAAGAAATTGGTACCCTCGGTGAACCTGTAGCCACGGTACGTCTCGGGCAGATTCTGCTCCACTCCATGAAGCTTCCTGCCTCGAAAATGGGTACTCAATGGAGCTGAAGAGGCACTCTTGTCTTTTGGATCCTTTGAATCCCTGTTGTTCAATCCAAACTCTTTCTCGTCCTCCTCACCCTGCTCTTTCGCTGCATCATTCTCTTCGGCCTTCTTAGCAACCTCCGGGTTCTCGTCAGCCTTTTCGTCTTTGGTCACTTCCACCTGTTGCCCGTTCTTGTTGTCACCACCCTCGATGGTGAAGTACTCAGCCACGTTGGCAGGCCCTGTGTAGTGGATATGGCACGGCAGCACGTGACAGACCGTGTTCGGCTTTTTTTCGCTCTGCTGCTCGGGAAATAATCGAATGTCCATTGTGTGAGAGACTGTTGTGGTGGAGACGTGTGCTAGATCAACTGCGACCAAGACGTCAAACATTGCTGCAACCATGCATGAACATGCGTGCGGTGTGATGGGCGACTTCCGATTAACAACGAGTTCAAGGAGTTCAAGGAGGCAAAAGGCAGTTCATACAAATTCTTGTAGTAGAATTATATCAATCTTTCGTTAATGAAAACAGTTCAGACAAAAAAAAATCTCTAGAAAAAGAGAAGAAAAATGGCGACATCCGCAGGATTCGAACCTACGCGGGGAAACCCCAAGAGATTTCTAATCTCTCGCCTTAACCGCTCGGCCAGGATGCCAGAAATTTAACAATTTAAGAAATGGTGGCCTGGACTATCTAATGTATGCTTAGTAATCATATCGAAATGAATCATTAGAATAAAAAAGTAATGAATCAATAGGAAAAAACACTACTTTCCTTCATAGCCGGATATTTGGTGGATTGTTGTACTTTAATACCACATTACACATCCATTAAACAAGTCTTCGAGACTTATTGTATTACCATGTGGAGGTTCCTGATGAACGTCAGCTTGAAAGCGACACTAGCAAGCAATTCCATTCTTCAAAAGACCCTACATGTAGAGCTGTGGTAACTCATATACGCGTACTTTATTCAGGGCTCAAATATATGTGCCTTTATCATCTATTGACAGACATCCTACTTCATACATCATAGCCATTTTTGACACCTACAAATGCCCTTAGCTGTAATGCGTTAATGTATTCTCTCTCTTATTTGTTCGAACAAGCCCAGCCATTCATCGGTTATACACATACCCACATGTCTTGAACCTCTTCAACCTCCTCCATGAAAAAAATGTCTAGGGCTTCGTTCACAGCGTCGATGCCCACCTGGTAGTCCTCCAGCTCGTTATACACCTGAGCAGAGAACCGCACGTACATCTTGCCATTGTGGTAAATGGGAGGCACGTAGGTTCCTCGAGTCAGGGGGTGGTCACAGATGAGCTGGAACAACTGTTGCTTCCTCTCTTCCGACGCAGCAGCCAGAAATTCCTCTGGAATGGGCAGACGAACAGTAACCATGGCTCCAGCGTGCCCCAGCACTTCAGTTCGCCATTGGCCAGCAGCCAAGTCGCCAACCTTTACTGCCAGATCGTTACAGTACTTTCTGATTTGGGCTTCTCCTCCAATCTTCTTCCGGAATTCAAAGGCAGCAGTGATAGCGATATAAGGGGAAAAATCCTGCGTTCCGATGAAAGTGAACCGGTCAACGAGTCGTCGTTCCTCCTGCTCGGGCTCCAGGTCCTCAGAGTCGTCCAGGTATGTATGCGAAACAGGCAGGGTGTGGATAAGTCGGTGGTGCTCCTCTGCGACATACAAAATCGCTCCACCTCGTACTCCGTAGCCCCACTTGTGCACGTTGGTGACGTAGAAATCAGGCTGGGTTTTTCGCATGCTCACGGGGATCAGACCAATGCTATGGGCTCCATCGATGAACGAAAGCACCTCTTTCTCTCGACACAGCTTCACGAGCTGGTTGTACGGCAGAATGGCGGCAGGCATTGAAGACACTGTATCAAACAGGCATATAACGGTGCTTGGATGGGCGTCAATAGCCTTTCTGTACACGTCCACAATCTCCTCGTCGTTCATGGGGTACTCAATGTCGACAGACACATGTTTGATACCGTGTCTGAGCTCCAAGAACTTGAGAGTCTTTTCGCAGGCACCATACGTGGTCGAGCAGTAGATGATAGTGTCACCTTTCTTGAGTGGCAGGCTTCTGATGACGGTGTTGAAGCCGACAGTGGCGTTCTGCACGAACACCGTGTTGAGAGGCTCCGAGTCGATCCATTCGCATGCCGTCGCCCGCGCAACCTCGATGTCCTCGTACAGAGTCGTCCGCATGTACAAATCGGGGTTGGCTTCGATTTTGGCGAGAATCTGGTTTCGCGCCTCTCGCACAGGCAACGGACAGGCTCCAAAAGAGCCGTGGTTCAGCGGCGTGTTTTTGTGGTCAAAGTCCCAGTACGCCTCGCGGGCAGCGTGTCCAAAGGTCGTGGCCTGGCTCTGTGGCAGTTTGCTTTTGATAATCATGCTGTAGTGTGTGGTGGTGGAGAGATTAGTGCGATGCCGATAATGTAGAGATTATGTGGGGAGTTCTGGTTGGAACTTAGTTTGTTGGGGTGGTGCAATTCCGGGGAGGTATAAATTCAGCATAAATTCAGCATAAATTCAGTAGATGGAAAAACGAGATGTTGTTCAAATCAATACTCATACAATACAAGTACTGTAGTTTACATAGAGTGGCTATTTTTGCACACCAATACCCTGACGAAAACCCCCTAAAAGCTCACCCTTTCTACACGTCAGCTTGAACACTATCCGTTACTGAATTAAATGAAATTCAAATTCAGACTGATAAATGCACCCAGAGTTATAAAGGCAAAAATTAAAAAAAACGCAGGTGCGCAGGTTCATAGTGGAATGAATGGTGCCGTTTATCCCTGTGGTGAATGTGCCAAAGAACCCTTTCACTGAGAGATCCTGCACTGTTATAACTACATTTCAAGATGCTCCATTACCACAAGTAGTACATACTATAGCTCTCAAGACCATCTACAGCGCCAATGTGTTCGATCTCATGTCATCCACAATCATTAGTTGGCTACAGTATGTGCTGTACCATCTACCAGAGCCAATTACACGATATTTGCACGAATGCAATACACTGAATACATCTTACTAATACAATAACTTATAGATTTACACACTTGTCACCAACCACCTGCAGCTAGGTGACAAGAATAAAGGGAGACATGGGAGAACCTGGGCTCTTGGACCGGCCATTGTTCCCCTGGTGGTTGGGGTCGTCGAGGTCAACCGTCAGAAACTTTGTGTTTCTGCTTCTTCCGGGCGCCACGGTGTTTGTGGGATCGAACTGGTGGCTCTGGGGAGGGGTCATTCCTGTGTCTCGGTCGATGAACCCGTCTCTTATTTCTCGCCGATCACGTTCCCGCAGCTCTCTGAGACGTTGGTCGGTCTTGTGAGCCGCGTGGTCGTTGGGAAGCAGAGGAAGAGACTTGCTCCATGAAGTTGTCTCGTCTTCGTAGGAAGACGAGGCTACCGAATCAGGGTAGGGTGATCTTGTGGAGTAGTCCTTCACAGCCTTCTTCTTTACGGGGATGGGAGTGATGGGGGTATCGGGAGAGGAGCACTCTTCAGCCACAAATGAACACACCTTGGCAGTCACTGGACGAATGTAGTTGATCTGGACGCGGTGTTTAGTGGCCTTGGGTGCATGGATGGAATCTGTAGAAGACACAGAGTCTCGGGTGGTGCCTTGGATCTTGTCAACCAGCTTGTTGAGCTTGGGGGTAGACAGAGACGAGTCAAATGATACCTTGCGCATCTCTCGAGCAAGATCCACGTCGATAGGAGTGGGCTTGGACCTTGCGGGAGGCGATCCAGTGGCCACCGTGGCGGCATTTGACTTGATAGAACCTCCAGAACGGTTCACAGACTGGTTGGCGGATCTCTGGCCAGTAGACGCGGGGGGAGTTCCGTAGTAGTCGTCAATGTCGTAGATGTCATCTACGTCGTCGGACCGGCCGACAGACTCGACAAAGGAGAACTCGGTGGAGTCTTCGGGAGGGGGAGACGAGGCTCCAACCACGCCTCCGCCACTAGAAATCTCCTTATCTTTACCTCGGAGCAGAGAAGCCATTTGTTCGCAGCCAACAATGTTCTTGAGACGGTTGTCGTGGATGGAGAAGAGGCAGAACTCGGACGAAATCTGGTAGATTTTGTACGTCTCATTCATTCGAGCCATTTTGACAGTGGAGGGAAGGTCCACCTCCGTGGTGGAGGTGCCTGTGACGGGAGCTCTCGTGCTCTGGCTTCGATGCACATTTGCCGACGAATGGGGGTGTTCTGCAACAGAGTGCGCATGGCCAGTCGTCTGGCTTCGGTGTAGCTGGCTGGATTGGGTATGACCTCCTCCTCCCAACGTTTGAGAACGGCCCAAGTTAGGAGTACCGCCATTGTTGTTGAAATTGGGTGAAGGTCGATTAGCAGGAGAACCTCGCATACTGGGAGACTGTCTGATACCCAACCCCACGGGTCCAACATTGCCACTAGACTGTTGGGCAAGTTGCTTAGCAGCCTCCTTTTCGGCTTGAGACACATCAAAGGTGTTGGTGTAGTTCGCTCCAAATCCCATCGACGACCGGTTTCGAATATTGTCCTGTAGCTGCTGCTGCTTGTGTTTCATCGACTTGGATCGTGCCAGCGACTTGGATCGCGACAGGTTCTGGCTCTTAGATCGAGACAAAGACTTGGACCGTTGAAGACCGTCGTTTTGGGACTGTTTGGTCGTGTGAGTGGCTCTATGCAAGGAGTCCTTGATGGCGTTGAAGTAAATGTAAGCCTTGTCGATTCTGTTGTGATCAGCGGACCACTTGTGTTCCTTGCCGGCTCGCGACAGGTCAGACACTCCAGGCAGAATATCGCCACTGTAGATCTTGGCCATGGACTTATTGAACATGACCTCGCAGCTGTAGAGGGTGAAGTTGAGGCCTAGTGGCTGGTAGTTGATCCAGGTGTTGCCTCGCATGTATTCCAGACACTTATCCCACTCCTTGGCGGCTTCCGAGTACTTTTCCTGCTCAAACAGACACTGTCCAAACAGGAAATGAGTGATGCACAGATACGGGTCCTTCTGGAGAGCTGTAACGAACCACTTTGTGGCGCGCTCGTGGTCCTCCATCTTGTAGTAGATGGCGGCAATGTTGTGGGCCACCTTGCTGACTTCTCCAGAGTATTCTGGCGAGTTGATGAGCTGGTTGAACTGCTTGAGAGCTGGAGCATAGTCTCCTTTGGAGTACAGTTCCACGCCCTTGAGCCATGTGACCACTTGTTGTAGGGTGAGCATGGTGTGGTTGGGGCACTGTCAAACCTGCTGGAGTGCTCTACTTGTAGGTGAGGCTGGTTGGTGGTTGCACTGTTTCCGACGGTCGCCTATGGGTCTTTGCTTGATGACGCTGATGCACACTCTCCTGTGGGAGTCGCTTGAGATGAGGTTTCCGAGCTGTAAACGAATGATGGGAAACGAGAATGATGAGGAGTGCGAAATGTGAATCTATCTGCCACAAGTCGTGTTGATGATCGACACCGGTCAGGGCCACTAGATCTTGTTGTAAATAAAGTGTCAACTCAAGAGCTCAAAAGTGTGTGTTGCAAGAAGGAATGTGTGGGGGCCAAAGAGTAATATAACGTCGCTACGCGTCTATACATAATTCTGTGGGTCTCATGTCACGCGGTCTGGGACGCCCACTTGTTCCTTACAGCTGTGACACACCACTCCCGCAGCAACAAGTCAATTAAACGCCTTGGCTCCTAATGAAACAACAAAAAACCAATCCAGGCTACTCCGTCTTACAAAACTGGTCTCCTCATTCCGTGGGTAACCCCTTTTGGGAGAGCTTGGTCTTTGTCAGCCGTGTACGCGTGCAGTAGGGTTTGAGAGAGGTGGATTTTTGGGGCTGCCAAAGAGGTTGAAAAGGGCGTTTCGAGGCCCGAAACCCCTGAATTATGGCCAATTTTTTGCATATGGACACGTTCTGGCCACCTTCGCAACCTCCACCACCTCTCAACCACCCGTGCTTCGTCACATCCTCACATCATCGCACGGCAGACAAGCTCTAGGAACAAGGACTAAAGTCACATTGGCTCTGATTTATGTTGGGAGGAATGCAGCATGACACAATTTCAGAGGCTAAAAAGGAAGGCAAAAAGACGAAACAAGACGAGAACAAGACGAGAACAAGACGAGAACAAACAGTCCAGCAGTCCAGCAGCCCACATAGCCTCAAAGCACCGACGTGTCTGACAGCGACAGGGGTATTTGGCTGGTGGAGGACATACGAGAGTATATATTTATCTGTGGTAGTTTCCGGGGGAGCTCCAGTGTCGAGCCCTTGCTGGTACATTCCCAGCGCATGTCTCGGCAGTTTGTTACGGGTGTCTCACAGGCACCTCCAGACTGATACAAGTACAGACGTTTCATGTGCAATACGACTCAGTTGCGGGCTGCTTCATATTAGTCCAAATGCTAGGATGGTAATTAGCCCATATGTTTTCCAGTACGAAATGATGCGAATAATGATCTATTTGCTCCACATCTATCGTACTCGGGCTTTCGGCTACGGCAAAAGAAACGTGAGCCCTCCCCTTTAGACTTACCCGCCCTACAATCCTGCTGTAGATCAGACATGAAGATCCAAGACCACCAATCGGAATAAGTATCGTAGCTACTGTACTTTGTCGTGCAATTAAGTCATTTCGTACCTATAGAATAGACCGCTCACAACTTGAAACAATAGTGGCATTCTTTGGGTCGGATTGTGGCACATTTATTCGTTTGCTTTCCGCCTTACTCACTGCAAGCTCAAGAATGTTCCTGCGTAATAACTCGCACCCTGAAACATGCACCCCTATACTCGTTGTCGGGTATCGGACCCAATCTGTGACAAGAATAGGAGTAATAATATTGGTCGCCGGGCGTTTGGCACGAGGAAGCAAGAGCGGAGAGATGTTCTTTATAGTCAGCACATGACATGGACAAAGTGTGGCTCACTTTTGTCTACCGTAGGGAGATTTTACGTCATACTTGGATGTGAAAATGAACAGTAAGTTAAACACGAAGATCGCGAAAATCACAATAGATTTTTCACACTTGTAATTCACGTGAGACCGAGGGAGGGAGAGTCTAGACCAAGCGCTGGCGTGCCGTTTCATAGATGCAGAAACCAACATGGACAAAAATAATATCGCTTTGGCAGGTCAGGGCCCGAGAAAGTGTGCTTTTGAAACGCATCTCCGGTAAGTACGAGTATTGTTAGATCGACGTATGAAAAGGAGTGCTAAGAACACCGCTAACCACTCGTAATTCGGAAGCACAATAGTGTCCTGATCGGTCATAAAGACGTTATGTCGGTGGAGTTCGGAGGCTAGCCGCATAACTGGCGCCCCACGTGGTTCGGGCCGTGTGATCTGGACTGTACTGAATGTACAGTGGGAAGATGTAGATCACCATGTTTACCACACTGAATCATCGTCGGCTTATTTTTAACATGAAACAGTAGCTACTGTACTTGTAGGCTACGTACTTGTACGTACAAGCAGGGTAAGTCGGACTATAGTAGAATGAAGCAGACGGCCAAACAGAACCGAGCCTGTACTTGTCGGTGCTTTTTCCACGATGGACACACGCAGATCGTGCACCTCCTGTTTGAATGCTCACAGTGGTCCCTACAGCCAGATCCAGATTCAGCCAGATCTTCATTATGTAATCGGCACTTGGTGCATGTTCATAGACTTACAGTATGAGTACTCTTACCGGCACTTGTAAACGTTCTCGTAACACCACCATGCGCATTATCGTGCTCTGGTTACGACCATAGCGTACGTTATTACATATAGCACCGGTACAAGTACATGGCACAGGATGTACTGTACCAGTAGGTACAAGAACCCACCATCGCTGTCTGGATGGTGTAACAGCACCCACCACTGCCACCAGACTCACACCTGAAGCGCGTTTCACGCTGTGGTGTTTTTCTGCTCACAGCAGCAACCGCATGGTACATGAGAATGGGTCTCCCCGGTGACGGTGATAGTCAGTATTGTGGGCGAGGCTGTAACCATTCCACTGAAAAAGAAACGACAGGGTGGGAGGGCTGCCATTGTATCAGTATCAGACTGTTTAGTAAGGAAAACTGTACGTACAGCAAATTGTACGAGTGCAAGTTTTATAATGCAATTGTACCAAAGGTGCAAATATTACACCAATATATGTAGTTAATCACATGACCAGCTCCCTTCTCCACCTGACTGGAATCACCTTCCCTCAGTCTCTCGCCATGTACAAGCAGCTTCTTCTCTAGATACAGCACGCGTTGTGCAAAGCTAAAAGTGGCTCTTTCGGGCGACCCAGTGTCCAGAAAAGTCTTGATTAAAAAGCCTAAGCCACGCTAAATTCCGTCTGATAACTACATATTCAACCTTGACGGCGTTTGGATTCAATTCGGTGCGTATAGAATGTGTGCTTATTGGCAAGCTTGCCTGGGGAGTGCATTTCCGACAGGCGACTTGGGTACAGTTTTGCAACGGTGTCCTGGGCTTGTTTGTCCCGTCCGGCCTATTGCTTGTCCCTAGCTTGCTGTTTGGCCCTGCCTTCGTGCCGTGTTTACCCTTGGGTATCGTAGAGTATGTACGATACATTCCACAAGCCCTTTGTATACCCTGGCCTCCATCTACTGCAAATATACGAGGAGCCTTGCACCCTGGTGGGTAACGAGACAAGGAGACTTGCACTACGAATACCAGCACTTGTACGGTATGGTATGTACGTCAATACTACTGCCTCACGGAGCCATCGCATTCTTTGTCCTACCAGGTACGGGTATACCAGAAGATGTGATCGGAAACATCTTCTTATAGGTATCGGTACTCGTACTATCGCACTATAGTCGTGCCCGGTCACTAAGCTATAACTGCCAAACAACGTAGCAGTCTAATATCAAGAGTTTAGTGGCCCGGAACCACCGGTCGCTCTCTCTCCCGGACCTCTCCAGGCTCATTGTAGCATAGCCGTAGCAACATTCACCTAACCCAACCAATATATGCCGGGATCGACCAAGTCAGGCTGACAACCGCCGTCGTAAAGCTACATAGGAACGCGACACCCACTGTGGAGCTAAACATGTCATGGAAGACAAGCAAAAGTACATACGGTACAAGTGTACAAGCAATGGAATACGTGATGTCTACCGGACGTCGAATGGCCGGATCAGGTCATTGTCTGACGTCACTGTCTGAGTGTATCGTACGCCATCCAATGCAACAAGCCTTAAGGTATCGACAACGAAGAAGTGAGAATGAAGCCCCATCTGCCCCATTCTGTCCCATCACGTGACGGGGAAAGCCTCTCCCGGCCCATCTGTATACAGAGCGCGGCCTCACCAAACCTACCGTGAGCCTTGTTCGCGTTGGTTCGCGCTTGTCAACGCTTGTTCACCCACTGTTGTGTTTTGGTGTTTGACTTGTGCCAATGTTTAGACCTTGTTTGTTTGTTTGCACGCTGTTGGGGCAACCGAGGACCATTAGGGTTCGGTCTCAGATGGAATGGGCCCGAATCGGTAGGTTCCAAGCCCTATTGTCCCAATTGGAGCCAACCTTATTTGACTCGCGAGCGTGGGTTTTTGGCGACCCAAACAAGAGACGGTGGCTAACGGCGGATGGAAGGCTCCATAGAGCTGCTAAGACCGCAAAAAGAGCGGTGTTGGGATTTATGGGCCCCGGGAAGTAGGGCCAGATGCCTTTTCTGTTTGTTTGGCCCACCAAAACCCGCGTATAACCCACCGCTGTCACGGAGTGCTGTGCAGTAGCATTGGCTGTTTGTATGTATCTCTGTGCGCTGTGTGCTGTGTGCTGTGTGCTGTGTGGGTGTGTGTGTGTGTGTGTTATTTTACACTGCTTGCAAAAAAGCATCAAAACATTATTTGGCACACAAATGCAGACATACCAAAACATAAACACCACACTGAAGCCTGCACTTATCACCACCACACACATTACGTTTGGACTCTTCATCCTGACAACTGTTGTGGTATAGGAGAGAAGGAGAAAGTCACCCCTCGTCGTCATTCACGGCAATCAACAATCTTCAACCAACAATCTGCGACACTGTCTCACGCGCCCTCTCTACATTCGTTACCATCTGACCGTATAGACGATACATCGACACAGCAGACACAAGTCACACATCAACAACACATCCAAGAACCGACAAACAACAACAGCTCATCTTGCACACAACCCACAACTTCCGCTAATCGACAGCCTATGCATTCTCTCTAGTCATTGAAGTCACCGCCAAAACATTCATTTTAATCTTCCCTCACTAATATCTTCAGTAATAGTAATTTTCGACCTCTTCGACCTCATTGACAACATCGAACCACTTCCGCTTCTTTTTTTATTCATCACCTTTGACATTTATTCTCGACTTACACAACACATGCCATAATGGACAGAGTGAGTACCTCCACAGCAATGTTGTCACCTTCCCTACTAACACAGACACGAACCCACGACGAAAACTCGCTACATGAGTACAGAAAGCCGACTGCGGCCGGAGGAGCCCCCACCAAACGAGTGGCACTCGGAACAGTGACCAACACCGCCTCGGTGGCTACCAAGGCCAAGGTTGCCATCTCCAAGCCACCCCAAAGAATCACCCGACAACCATTAGTCGCACAGAACCAAAACATTCCCCCATTAGCAGCACAAACGTCAACTACCTCGCTTGTGCAGCCGTGCCCTGGTTCTGACGACACCGTGGACGAGGAGGTGGACACACAGACGGCCGATGTTGAGCCAACACAGATAGAAGACGACTTCTACGAGTCCGACGAGGAAGGCCCCACCCAACGATTTGCTGTGTCGGAGTCCAACCCCCAGGCGCTGTACCCCGTGGTCGACAAGGAGTCCATGGCCGAGCTCAACCGAGTGGCCACCTACTTTAGCACAAACAACGGCGTGGATCTGGATGAGAACGACGACGACACTTACGACATTAGCATGGTGGCAGAATATGCGGAGGAGATCTTCACATACATGAAGGAGCTGGAGGTGCGGTTCCAGCCCAACCCCGGATACATGGACTCGCAGACGGAGATCCACTGGGCCATGCGGTCCATTCTGGTGGACTGGCTGGTGCAGGTGCACCACCGGTTCTCGCTGCTACCCGAGACTCTCTTTCTCACCATCAACTACATTGACCGGTTTCTGACCATCAAGACAGTGAGTCTCAGCAAGCTGCAGTTGGTTGGCGCGGTGGCTCTGTTTGTGGCCGCCAAGTACGAGGAAATCAACTGCCCCAGCGTGCAGGAAATCGCATACATGGTTGATAATGGCTACCATGTAGACGAGATTCTCAAGGCCGAGCGATACATGATCGACTTGCTGGATTTTAATCTAGGGTGGCCCGGCCCCATGTCGTTTCTGCGACGAACTTCCAAGGCCGACGACTACGACCTGGAAACCCGGACTCTCGCCAAGTATTTATTGGAGGTGACCATCATGGAGAAGACCTTTGTTGGCGCCCCACCATCGTGGCTTGCTGCCGCAGCACACTTTCTGTCGCGGCGCATGCTTAACCGTGGCCATTGGACCGATGGCCACACTTATTACTCTGGCTATACCGAAAAGCAGCTGCTGCCCGCCGTCATGCGGATCATCCAGTGCTGCCGGGACCCGCTTACCCACCACAAGGCCATTTTCGAGAAGTACAAGGACCGCAAGTTCAAGCGTGCATCGGTCTATGTGCAGGAGTGGATGGACCATGAGGAAAACAACCACTAAGATACCATATATATTCTATACTTTCGTTAATAATACTTTCACGGTAATATACCGCCCACGACAATGAGTGGTCGAAGTCATGAGCAGACAACAGTAAGCGGTTGTCATTAGTAGGAGCTGTTTGTCGTCAGTAGTATTCTGAACACCACTCCACACACAAGTGAGGACCTCGTCTTGGTCGTTCGGGTAGCTACAAGTACTTGTAGGAGGCTCCTTGTTGTAGACCTGGGACGCGCGATTCGAGGGATTTGAATACGACGACACTGTACGACAGTATTGCGCGCAAGTACTCTCTATGATGCCTTGATCGAAACCGGCCCCAAGGGTGAATATCGCTATTTGTCTCAGAGTGTCGCGCTCTGTATTGTATTGTACATACATATCGTTGCCTGGAGTGCTTCCATCCAGAGTCGCCTGTATAGCTGGGGTTCTTGGACTCGTACTCATAGCTAGGGGCAATGAGAAATGCAGATCCGCCTCCTCCAGTCTTATCCTCTCCAATTGCCCACTGTACTACTGTGTCTGTACTGTGTGTCAATTCTCGTCTGTGCTGTACCTATTGACACGCGCAGATCGGCTGTATGCTTTGCCCCTGGGCTCGAATACATCACCGTATAATGGGTATCTGGCAGAATGAAGCGACATAAGTCCGGGGATTTGAAGTCACGTGAATTTCTTGACATTTGTGATCGGATAAAGTGCTCAATCAGATTGACGACGAGTGTTGGTCTCGTACAACTCGTTTTGGTCTCGCTTGGACCATCTAAAATGTCTCAGGAATGCGTCAACGTCGCCTTGTTAGACGCTAAAAATAGGGTGACTGGGGGTGCTCGTAGTACGTGATTTGCAGCTATTGACTACGCAACAAATTAAAATGGGGTATTTGGAACAGGACCACTGAGACGATGGTTGTTTTTTTCGGCTTTTGGTTGGTCTAGACTCCCCCTTCTATGTCAATTCGAGCTGTGCTGGTAGGTTCACAGTTGTATATGTACTAGTACATACGATTATATAATGCCTAAATGAGTGCCATTATAGTTGTGCTATTAAATGCACACAAGTGTCATCTACAGTATGTACAATACTTGAACAAGCACTTTAACCTATTCCTCTATCATTGTTCTATATATCTATGCTAGCTTGAGAGCCGATTACTGTGTCCCTACTGTGTCTCGAGTTCTTACTGTACAGACAATGCGAACATGTCTGAGCAGAGCGTCGACAAAAGACCAACCCGCTCCAAGTCCTGGAAAGCCTGCACTTTAGACACCTTGTCTCGTGACTCGAAGCAGAGCCGGGCAAACTTCTGTTGAACGAGCTGGTTTTCTGCCACGTAGCCCCGGTACCAGAACAGCACTTGCTGGTGGGTGGAGTAGGCTGCTGAGTTGCAGATTTGAGAGGTGCAGATGTCTTCCAGTTCCGGTAGGTCGTAAATGTGGGCCAGAATCATCACGCCGGCAACCGTCTCTAAGTCCAGCTCCTCAATTGAGTCGGTGTAGAGATAGTGGATTAGAGCCTTGACCCATGGGAAGGGTTCTTCGATGTGTAGGCTTCGTGAAGACGACTCTTGCATGCCTGAGTCGTACAGGTTGGCAAAATATTTCCATCTGGCATATAGAACGGCCGTGTGTGCATTGAGACTGACTGTTTTGGGCTTCTCGTCGCCTTCCTGTCTGTCTTCAACTATCGTGTCTCCTCCACTGTCCACTCCTGAAATTGTGAAGTCTGTACACTTTCCCTCCTTGTAGAGGTTGTAGAGCCCGTTGACTAACGACTGAGACTTTGAATCGGGCCCCGACTTTGTGCGGTTGGCCATTCTCAGCACTGTTCGGTCAACCTTGGATTTTTCTATGCCGTGGTAAATACCATATTCACCCGAATCGCCAATGTAGAGCGATCCCAGTTTCTTGGGGATGTTGGAGTACTCCTTGAGCTCGTCGCGTTCAATCCAGACGCGTTTGCTGAGGTCAAAGACGTAGTACTGAGTGAGAGACGAGAACTCGGAGGATGTCTTCGGAGACCGTCCTCCAAAAACAAGAACCAATTCATGGTTGAGCGGAATAGCTGTATGTTCTGCTCTGAGGCCGATACTGTGTTGCTTTGAAGCTCGGTAGGGCTCCTCCTTGCTCAGAAACGTCCAGGCTGCGGTTTTCAGGTCGTAAAGATACACGTCGTCAGTGTAGCACAATTCGTCATCTTTGAGAGCCAGGCCTCCATGGTGAAACACAATGTTTCCACACACTGCTGCTGCTGAGCGGATTAGAGTCATATTGGAGGTGGTGGATGTTTGCGGCGGACGTTGGCGCCGTTATAACGTCAGCTACAGTCTGGGTCATTTAGCACCAGTGTTGTGAAACATTTTGCTAGATTTCGGCACTCCTTAATTCACATGCCTGATGAGGCGCATGAGACATGCAAGATAGTCGTGTGAGGGGAGGGGCAAGACATGAGAAGAGAACGACCAGATAATGGTCTCAAGAGCTGCTTTTGGGACTGTAAAGACTGGCTGTGGATATTCCCGTGATCCTTATATCGTATTGTTTCCACAGCTCTGTTTTCCTCCTTTCATAAATACACTGGCTCATTGACGTTGCCCAACAAAGTTCGTTTAATAGGCATGGGTGAAGTGGGGGTGGCCAGCACAATGACAGGGAGGATCTACAAACTGTACAGGTACAGGTACGTTAACTTTGTATAATGTGGAGTAATCAAATAAACAGCTAGTGTGTCGTCGGTTGGTTCCGAGACTGGAAAGATTGGATAGGAAAATTGGTCTGAGAGAGCTGTATACATGTTTGGCCCGTGGTATATGTGCCTTCTACTCGCACAACGACTCTATATCAGTACGACACGATGATATCCTGTACGATACATCCGCTTGATGTCAAAACGTCAAAATAAATTCAGTGGCGAAACAAAGAAGCCTTCGGGACATACCACAGTGATGTGTGTATATCATTGTGCACGTCGGAGAATTCTCCACACAATCTCCGTCTGTCTGTGTCACCTTTAGCTGGGGTGAATACATGTCTCAATTATAAGGGCCCAATACGGCGGAGCTATCATCAGCCGCATGGCTTGTGCCTGTCTCCGAGCTGGAAATGCTGGAATAATTACACGATCTGATGCAAACCCGACCACTTTTTGTGCCGGTGGGCGCAAGCTGGGGATTAATTAGTTCTGATAGCTGTGGGATGACAGCTACTATTAGCCAGGGGAATGTGTCAGACTTACACTGCAATTAGTCCTATAGATAGAACTGCAGAGACTACTTGTAGTGATTTGTACCTTGAGACACCGCTAAATATCGTGTTTCTGGAACTACTCGTACTGAGCCACCTCCACCCTTCGTCTATTCCTTCCCTGCATCCTTTTTCACAGTCTTGTTGAGTAACTTTCTCCCCTGTTGGGTGGACTTTGAAAGGGACATGTTTACGAGACTGTAAAAGGAGATATGACAAGAAGTGCGATGGGATGTTCAGGGGTGGATGATCGTTTTGGACGTCAACTGTCCGCCTCTGTTATCGGCACATGCTCACAATTATTGATGCAGGGTTGCTATTCTGGCATCAGACTATATACAGGGGTTAACAGTATGTAGTGGCTACAGCTGAAAAGTGAATGAATCAACGACACTTCCCGCTATGATCCCCTGTCACACCCCATAACTACAATTATAACACTTTATAACCAGTCGATTTTATCACCTATCTGTACAATGGTGTACCCGTACATGCTAGGCTTGTAGCAGATATGAGTAAAGCCCACATGTCACTCTCCCTACAGATCTCACTGTCCTAAAATGCAATATTATTATTATAAATCTATATTTTTGTCTCATGTCTCATTAGTAATTTTTTGTGGTGTCCTTAGACACGGGTCTCGGACTTCTTGTCGGACTCAGTGTCCAACTCGAGTTTCTGCTCGTACGCGTTCTTCTCAATATCATGCTGTCCGTTGTACTCGGGAGCGAAGGCGGCGACGGGCTCGGCTCCGAAGCCACCAACAGGGTTTCCTCCAAAGTCGCCAACAGGGTTCTCGTCGGCCTGGTTGGCCTTCTGGGACTTGCCGAAGACCACTCCCTTGACCTGCTGCTCAATCTCGTCGAGGTTGATATTAGGAAGAGTCAGGGAAATGACAATCATGGCACCAGCAACAATCAAAGGACCATAAAGCATGTGTCGGTAGACCTTGTTGAAGGCGGTGACAATCTGGGTTCGCTCAGGAGAACCCCAGGTGTACTTGAGGGGCTCGTTGATGTTGTTGATGATGGTGTCAATCTCGGTTTCGTTGAGGAAAGAGGCGTACTCCCGCAGTCGCTTGGGGTACATCTGTCGGTACATGGCACCAGAGATGGCGTCTCCAACAACGTTACCAATGGAGGTAGAAGACAGGTAGACGGCAGTAGCAGCTGCGACCTGGTTATGAGAGACAACAGCCTGGACCATGACCTGGGTAGGGGATCCCAGCATACCAGCTCCGACACCTTCCACAGCCTGTGAGACAATGAACTGTGCCAGGGAGTGGTAGGGCTGTCGGTAGTTGTAGGAGAGACCCAGACCAAGCAGGTAGATGCATGATCCAACGACAATGAAGGGCTTGATTCGCTTGGTGTATCGGATAGCAATAGCAGTGAACAGACCTCCGGCAGTAGAAGAGACGGTGGTAGTCACGGAGGTGTTGGTAGCAGCAGTAACACTCAGGTTCTTGCATACCATCAGCCAGGAATAGTAGTAAGGCTGGTAAAGATAAAAGGCCAGGAAGTAGAGGGCGATGTAGAAGCAGCAAGTGAGCAGAACTCGGTTGCGGAGCACTCGGAAGGGCAGGAACGGGTATTTGGGGAAGATTTCCCAGATGGGGAAGAGGGTCAGACAGATGGGTCCGACGATGATCATGCCCAGAACGTGGGGCTTGTTCCAGTCGGCAGAGGTCTTGACGAGAGTAGCAGCCAGGAACAGAGTGACGAGGCCTGCAGTCAGCAGAATCAGACCGATGAAGTCAAAGTGCTGGACGGTCTTCTTGAAGTTCTTGACTGCCAGACCGGCCTGCAGACCCAATCGTCGGGCCTTGAGCTTGTTGACGAACATTGTGGTGAGCACAGGGATGGAGACCACGGGTACGATGATGCACCACATTCCGTATCCCCACTGCCAGGTGGTGTGCTTGAGCACGGCGTTGGTGATGGGGGCAGCGCACCAGGGCACAAACAGGTAGCACAGGTTAGGTAGAATGACGAAGAAGGTACGGTTCTTCAGGTCGGAGGTATCAGCAGCAAACACCTGCTGCATGAACTGGATTCCGACCTGGCCAAAAACGTAGAAGATCTGGGCAGCAAAGTAGGTACCAATGTTGGGCGAAGCTGCCAGCATGATGAATCCAACAGTCAGGATGACAATGGAGAGCAGCAGACCCTCGAATCGACCCAGGACATCAGCAATCTTGGCCATGACAGGTCGAGTAGCAATGTACATCACGGACTGCACAACTCCGAGAGCAGACAGCAGTGACATTTGGTTGAAGGAGGAGGTGGCGAAGGTGGAGTAGACGAAGACAGTCTGGGCGTCCAGAGCAATGGCAACGGCCAGCAGCAGCATGGAGCCCCAGGCGATCCACAGACCCTTCTTGGACCAGATGGAGGTCACGTTCTCAATCTCCTTGACTCCTCCGGGACCGTCGAGATCAGGAGCGTCCTGGGCGATGGTCACCTCCGGGTTGAAGATGGTTTTCCAGATGGCTTTCCACTCAGGCATGATGATTGTGATGTGGAGATGGTGGTGTGATCTTTCTGATCTTGATCAGGGACAGCGCCATCTCTATATATATTCCATTATCTGATTACCGAAAACGTTTGTGCATGGAGGCTGCACGGTGTGGGCAGGACAAACGGATCGGCAACAGAAATTATTGTGCACAAGGTTGTCAGAAGAACAAAAAACTAAGAGTGAAAAAAAAAAAAGAGTGAAAACTTTTTAATGTCCTCATCAGTTATTTTTGGCTATCTCGAAGCTGGAGTCGACACTGGCAGGGGGGAAAATGGCGTTTGTCAAGTGTTTAGAAGCGTGTATCCTTCAGCAGACCACATGAATCGCTCCCCTCCAACTCGCTAGTCTTTCAGATGGGCTAGATCAGATAACTTCGTCTGATCAGATTAGTGCAATCCCGATTTATGAGCACCACAAAGAGAGTTGGGTGGGTCTCTGCAACGTACCGGTTCGGGTTTAATACGAGATACCGTAGACAAATCTGCCGGTAATCTGATGCACTTTGTGCAGTCTCGAGAGAAAAAAACGAGAAAGAAAAATGGAAAGTCTTCGTCCCATGATCATCTATCGGTGATTGACTGATCGTGAGTGTGCTTAATTACTGCCTGGAAGGATAGCACAGAGCGTAAGAAGAAATCCAAGCGCCGTATCCCTACTTGTTGGACACCCCTCCCCGCACAATTATGCTATTAGCTAAAAAAAATTAGCGTCTATGATAGTACCATCTGATAGCATTGGGTCACTCTAAGACAACACGAGCACGCACTACTGTACGAGTAGTCGTACCAGCACTGGTACTACCCTCGCCACATGCAGACTCCGGGGTCGACATACATAACGTCTCGCGTTGTAGGTCAATTAATTTCATTTCCTCACTGCGACATGTCGATCACTTGAGATTCCACTCGGAGAAACCTCCGTGGGCGCATTGATGTTTGAAACGGCATCTCAGATCCAATATGGAAGCAGTGGCGATTGCTAGTCTGCCTTTGTTCCATCTGGGTTTCTATCGGATGTCTTTTCTTTTTCCTTGCAGATGCGTTATTGTGGCTGTTGTACTGATTCATCGCAGAGAGACCACCTGTTTGCATGACTGAGACTGTTTTCTTTGTGTGCTAATTTATGGCAATACCATGCATGGTCGAGACATGAGGTTTTCAACGTTGCTCTTATCTGATGAGAATAGGAAGGGTTGTAGGAGGTGATTGAGAGTAGCAATTGATATTCTGGCACGTTAAATCGACTTTTTGGCCATCGCTTCGCCAATTTACCCTTTTAAACTGCTCAAATACATCCAGTAATACCTCGTCACATCCTTCTCGATCCCACCACATCTCCCCCCATTGTCGAGAACTCTCTTGTCAACGCAGCGTAAACCCTGTTTGGAATATAAAAGCCTGAGAAGAAAAAAGATGCGTGAAAAAAGCATGGTGGATGAAAAGTTTGGCGATGCAACATAGGAAATATACGTAGATGATCGCATGTAGATGATCGTGATGAGATCGAGGTGGCGGTTGCTTGAACTTTCGTGGGGGCAGGGTGGGGGTCCAGGCTAGATTAGCAAGCAGGTACATACAAGTACCATCTTTGAACTCCGTGAACCTGCTAATTAGTACCACTAGTACATGTAGGACATCAACCTCACCTAACCTCACCTTCGACTAAGCCGATCCAACCCCCGGCTTGGCTTGGCCTTCTGCGCTGCGCGGTTGGTTTCTTATTATTCGGCAACTCTTTCTTTCGTTCCATATCCCGTTTGACGTCACAGCTACTTTAGGCGTCTGGTCAGATGATAGAATTCGAGTGTATAGATGTGCCGAATCCTATGAGTTGGCAAGGGGAGGATATGAGACATGTTGGTTTAGATACGACGGCATGTTGGCGGGTAATGCCTGTGTAAACTCGCATCTGTGTGGCCCCTAATAGTCTCATCTCGGCTAACTGCCGGAACAGATATCAACTGTAGCCTTGATGGGTGAGCCCAGTGCAGGTGCAAACCCTACAATCGCTTTGGGTTGCTCTGAACTGGGCGGAGTGACTGGGCAGCGAAAGAAGACGACAAGAAAAAGAAAGAAAAAAAAAATTGAAGAAAGAAAGGGTAGGGAGTTGGGAAGGATGGAGAAAACCTGGAAGGAAAATCACTCTACGAGCTACTTTCTTTACAATGAGGTAGTTCTGAGCCGCGCCGACATTGAACTTACACTTGTGGGTCTGTTGCTACGGGGGTATGGCATGTCGAGACGCCATGACTTGTTGACCATGCCCCCATGCCGTTGCTCCTGACCTCGAGAAAAAATGGTTTTCAGTTGTCCCTTTTCTTGGCGTATGGAAGAGTGTCCCAGATGGAGCGAAGCGCCCGCCCAAGCTTGGCGACGCTCTGTAGCAAGCACGCGGTACTCGTACTACATCTGCCGATAATCATTACGTAACCGGGCCGAATAAACGCGTGAAACTGGTCGCGTCTTGGTTCCGCTGGATATATACTTTCATTGAAACTGACCTCGACCGTTGTGAACCCAACAAAGACCCTCCCTCCTGTACTGGTACAAATACTTGTACAAGTAGAGTTCTGAGTATATGCATGCAAAAAAACCATCACAACAGCACTCGAAAGCAATGGAGAGTTCAAGTTGGGTCCGATAACAGAGCGGACTCTTGCAGTTGAACACCGACTCAAAGCACAAACCTGTCGTGCTTTTTTTACTATTATATTATTCCAGCGAAACACATGTCAGCTACTTGAGGCCTAAAGACAACGTTATACCTGCAAATCGGGTTCGGATTCGGATTTGGTTGTTCAGAAGAGTGCATGACGTTCGTGTTCGCTTGTTCACATTTTTTTTTTTTTTTATTCTAGGGTTTTTTCATTCTAATAATTCATTACACCTATACACCTACAGTAGTAAGTCGGGTTAGTGGCGTTCAATAGATCATACACTTCTGAATCATTGCGTTGTGCGCTGCGAGGCGCATGTCAGTTGGTTTGTCGACGCTTTGTCTAGTTCTTGTCCTTGTCGTGGTCTCGTGGTAGTGAATCATGGCTAACAGATCAAGAAATCATATCAACCGTTCCATGTCTTATCTTTTTTTTATTTTTTATTCTAATGATTTATTACAGCTATATATTTTTCCGGCGATTTTTTCTGTAATTTTGATCCACCAGCCGAGATTTCCAAAATTCGGAAAATTCGGTTGTGTAGTGTAGTGGTTATCACTCCAGATTTTGATTCAATTTAAAGTTCTGGGAACCCCGGTTCGAGCCCGGGCACGACCTTTTGTTTGGGTGTTTTATTTTTGCACTTTTGCCTTATTTGGTCTGTAAGCCAATCACATCGTTCCATGTGGGTCCGTTGCCACCGTTTTTCCTGCGCGCCGATGTATCAGCACGAGACCTCGCTTAAGCACGTCTGAGAGCCAAAGATAATCGGCATCGTGTCTCACATTTTCAACCTCAAAGTTTCGACGGTCAAACAGAAAACTCTGCAACGAAAGGTACCCCGTTTTAATTTCAATGCATCTTGTGAGCGTAATAATTCAGATGCAATGACACCAACCGTTGGAAAAAGCTGGCGCATATGTGATCGTTTGGGACTGGCAGCGCGTGGGGGTTACAAAAACTCGTCAGAAATGGTTGGTGCCCGTAGACTACACGAAGAGCCTCTTGGGGAAGGGGTTCAACTCACGCGTCGCAGCAGGCTCTCAGTTGCTCCTTCTTCGGACCTCTATTTACATACCCTAATTACTGTAATTTCAAGTACAAGTACTTGTAGTGTTTCTTTTTTTTGATGCCTACTGTAAACGCTTAGCTTTCTGTTGAGTTGTGAGTTTAGGCACAGCCGGCGGATGAGATCTAAAGATCCGACCCGAAATACCGCTGGCTTTTCAGGGAGATGAATGAGTCACAGCATTTTACGGTAGGATGGTGCCACAACTTGAAGACTGGAATAAAAGATCGAGGGCAAAGGCTTCCTCGATTTCTTACAATCATTGGCAAAACTTCAAGCAATCTACGATACTTGTAGCTCTCTCTACAGCACGCATCAGTTGTACACCTCCACACATGTATTAACAAAACCGGCCTCTCGAGTCTTACAGTACTTCTCAACCTACTCGCTATGCCCGTGGACCTGTCTCTTCCACCAAGGCAAAGTAACATTCGTTTTCGCTTCCTGGAAACGGTTATTAGCGAGGACATTAGCTGCTCCATTGAGTTCCCCTCTAACGTAGTTAGGCACCGCCGTGACGAGACCCTCCAACTCTGCAGGAGACAGAGGAGTGTCGATGACAGACTGGAAGTACGCCATGAGACCAGCCACATGAGGAACAGCCATTGACGTGCCTGAGCTGCTGAAGGTTGCATTATCACTGGTGTTATAAGTGGAGTCAATGTAAGCGCCCGGAGCGAACACGTTGACACACTTTCCCCAGTTGGATCCCCACCAGGTCGGAAACACAGCAATATTGTCCCACATGTCTGTTGCTCCGACAACCACGAGTCCCTTGAGGGTTTCTCCGTTGTTAGCCGGTCCAAAAGTGCATGCGTCTCTCTGTCCGTTTCCAGCCGCCACAGCAACGGCCAGCCCAGACTTGACAGCATGTTGGAAGACTCGATCATAGGCAGCAATTCGAGGTCCTCCCGCTGAAAAGTTAAGAACTGCGCGCTGACCGGGATTCTCAAGATGGTCTTGAACCACCCATGCGACAGACGCGGCGATATTAGAGACAGGAGCAGCTCCGTTCTTGCCAAATACCTTGACGACCTTGAGGGTTGAATGGGTGTTTGAAACGCCGTACCGAGACCCAATCAGTGTTCCAGCCACATGAGTTCCATGGCCGTTGTTATCTTCATCGTCTTCAGAAGGGTTGAAGTTCTTGACTCGAATAGCCCGTCCTCCAAACTGCTCATGAGATACTCTCACACCGGTATCGACAATGTAGATGACTGTCTGGTGCTTGGACTTGAGACGTTGGTAGCTTCTGCCCTCACAGTTTACCAGGCACGTCCGGTTGACCTGGTTATCTCTATGGGAGATTCGAGAGAGACCCCACTCGTAGGTTGGAGCAGTCTCAGGCTCACCAGAGTAACTGATGTTAGCTGGAATGGGCCCACTAGCCGTGATATGGGTCTCAAAGTCCTTCTCAACTGCCTTTATACGACTATCAGACCGCAGCAGGTCCACTGTAGAGTCATCAAACAGCCCGTGGTATCCTATCAAGCCAGCTCCTTGGTAAGCAGGAATGTCCAGAGGTTGCAAATCGGCGGTGGTCAAGTCGACGGTCGCTTCCAGACTCTCCAGCTGGTCCGCACTCTCATCGATCCGCTGCTCGTGGAAAGTGATGATGTACCGGTCGTTGAGCGTGGAAGACTGCACAAACGACGATTTTGCCCGTGAAAAAACCGCCTGGGCCCTCTCATAGTCCGAGGGCAAAGCCAGCGCTCCAGCCAGCATGAAAAACGTGACCTTCATGTTAGTGGCAGTGTCTATGAGAGTAAGTAAAGACACTCGCTAGTATTTAGCGAGCGTCAGGTTTATGCCTTCATCGCGAGGAGTAAGAGAATACAAGTAGATTGGGTAAGTATTGGGCCAATCATCAAGTATATGGTGGTTATGGACTATGTGAATTACACTAATGTTAGCAGTGGGAGTCTGCAAAGGGGGAAATACTGTGGGGGATGGGCCGATATCTTATGGCGAGAAGCAATAGCTTGAAAATAGACACTAAATAACAACAAATAGTTATTGTGGAGATCGCGTAAGTATAGGCATCACAGAGTAGCTACAGTAAAGGTTACTCCAATCTAGCCTAACGAGTATACTGTACATGTACTACAGTACAAGTAAAAGTACAGCTGAAGTTATGTATGTATAATGAAAAGCCTAGTACGTACAGTATGTACTACTTGTAGCTACTATATGGGGTTGGGAGACATGATGAGAAGCGTATCCATAGACCGTATAGAAAAAGGCGAATCCAGTGGCTCTCTTCCGTGTGACGTCATTACTGTACTTCGTAAGACTGGTGGCCTCTCACCATCAGCTGCACTACTTGTAGCCATTTCCCAGTAGTCATAAATCACCCAGCCTCCAACCTGTAGTTACGGATCCGCATCCCTGCTACATTTGTGTGGCACCCCTTTCTTGAGATATGCGTACCAGTAGTGCATCGGTTGTGTCTTTCTCACAGTTTGTACACGAGATATCGGATGGTGGCTGGGTGCATCAACAGGGAGGGCGTGGGTAGATGAGACAAATGGCGTATTTCAAGCGAGACAGGTACGTATATACTCTGTTGAGAGTGTGGTGCTGATGCCGTCGTTGTAAGGGGGGCAACCAGGACATCTTCAGAAGAGTAACAGCAGGCCTATAAGATCAAAACGGGCCAAACCATTAATGTTTCAGATACGTTTTTCGTGGACAAGTGGCGTAGCTTAGGGAAAAGTGATAAGCTAACTGGGGCGTGTACATACTGTACATACAGTAGTGGAGAGATGGCGAGGAGTTGTGTTTGAGGGGTGAGATATAGAGGTGTTTGAAACCATTGGACAGAGTGAACAGAGACATCAAGAATTTAGTCTATACCATCTGTGAAATGGGCTGTGACTGGTATCATCTGATGGTCGACTATGAAGTTTCAAGTGTGTATCACAGTGTAAACGACAGCAAGGTCGTGGTTGACGAGAGTTGTGAGTAAGAGGAGTTCCTAGAAATGTGCCTCAGGATGCTTGGAAGACTGCGGGCAGCCCAATTGTTAGTGCGCGTAGTTTACTGCTTGTTTTCTCAGTCGTGGTGTTGTGTATGTTATATCTGCGTCAGCTGTGATAGGATAGATTGGCAAATACTCCGATTTTGACTCGTGTTAAGAGTGAAATCTGCGGTCCAAATACACGTGGTACTTGTAGCCGTGCTTGACTAACCAGTTCAATCTCCTAACGACGGCTGTAGTTCAGGTGTTTCGAAGAGGTGTATGAGTCATTGGCGTAAGAGATGTCGATGTTGAGAGAAGAAGGGTTGAGATGTACAAATGCTGACTACTAATGATAATTAATACCAAAAGACTGCTTTTCACTTGCTAGAGGAAAAACCCAAAGCTGACTCGGCTCTCCAGCTTAGTAACAGCCAAGGTGTGATACAGGCCAACGACAAGAAGCAGAGAGGTCAGAGAGAGACTGTCCATATTACACACTCCACAATGGCTTTCTACCGTTTCGTCCACATCCTTGACACTACTTTTGAGACCTCTCGTTGGCCCATAACAGTATCTGGGTATGGGCAGAGGTGGAACCTTGGAATGAGTCATAGCTCAACGACATGAGATGAGAGCAAGGCAAGCGGGTCTAATATTGTTCGAATCGAGCCGGGAAAGAAACAAGAGGGTATCATGAGAGTGTAGATTATGATCTTGCGCTGTGTGGACCGCTATAATCATTCTCTCGAGACTATGACTCATACTGCTGCCATCACGTGAAGTAGAGCAAGTGCGGAGCAAAGACAGTAACAACCCCTACGCAGGGACTCACACGGCTGGCAGAGGGGCCTCGTGCACCGGTACATGAAAAACCGTTATACCAAAGAGTTAGGCGAACTAGTTTTTCCGGCACCGGACGTCTCCGCTTTCTTTTTGTGAATTCTCTTTTTGCTGGGCTCATCGCTCCTGCTGCAGACGTGCATTGATAGTGTATGTGGGACAGAGAGAAGGGCAAGAAGGGCAATTATGGGGTGTGGAGTGAAGGACATGAGATTGATGTGGGAATCGAAGCGAAACTTATCGTAGCGGTATACAAGTGGACTGATAGTCTGGTGCAGTCGTATGGTCTGATTCTCCAGTTTGTTTAGGTGTGTTTTGAGCGTTTTGCCGGGAGTTGTTGGGCTCTCTTAGGTCTGATTTTTGGCTAGACTACAAGTAGAGTGAGTTCATCAGTCCTCCCAACACAAACATCAGAGTCCATGGCGATGACGGTTGCCATTAGAAAGCAACCAAAAGATAGCCGAAAGCTGAGTGTCGCAGCGATATCGGAGATAACGCAGCGATACGACGGGGGATTGCACCGAGATGCAGGCTAGGTTGCATGGGGTGAAGCGGGGAAATAGTGTAGCGTACAATACGTGGGGAAGGGGGGACTTGTTTGTCAGTGGTTGACCCGAACCTTGATACTCCCCTCATCAACCTAACCCCAGTGGACATTTCTCTAACGGCAGTCCTCGGCGACATTGTTTGATGGGGGTTCCCCACATTGACCGAGGTGGAGAGACGCTAACGGCGGAGACGCGGAAGTTATCTCCACTTGGAGAAGTAGCGGAGATTGTGTGCGGGACTCTAGGAGTCTATGTGAGCCAATCAAATACCAGCATGTGCACACTTCCGCCCTGAATAAGGACTGAATTTAGCATGCGGACATGGACGCTGAAAGTTGGAATGAGTAGCTCAGAAGGGAATGTGAAGGAGGTGTCTAGTGGATTAAATCTGGGGACTGGAATGGTAAACACACGAGGTAATAGAAGGAAACCAAACGGCCCATCGTTTAATATTACTGGCCCTTAGCTCCTCAAACGCACCCCACATGGATAACACTATCATATGTGGATGCACTGCAACACGACAGCCAATAACATGAATCCACGATTGATAAAGCAGAGCATGCCTGAGATACCAGTTGTACAAAGATACAGGTCCACACTCGCGTCTTTGTCAGTTATACGAGGCAAGACGAAGACGACAGTTTCACTTGATAGCCGTTGGTAGCCGACCAGGGGGGGATCTGTCTTAGAACGTTGCTCATGGAAAACTTTTCAGTCTCACCGGCGCAAACTGTAGATAAGCAAAGTCTCTATGCCTCGAGATAGCGGGTGAATATCCGTGCTCAAGCTCAAACTAAGAGCTTGTCCACGGTTGATTGACGGTGTCGTAGGCCGAGCTAAAGGTCGGGGTCCCGACTCGGCCGTTTTTTAGACTCTGCCTTTGTGCTTTATGCTCCAGTCGCTGTCAAGAAAAAAGGCTGATAGAATATGGTGCCAGGGCCGAGGACAAGAGGGTTGTGGCTGAGACAGACTAGGGCCTGGGCACGGAAGCAGGGTATAGAGGTGGTGATACAGTGGTACAGGGGCCGTGTTAGAGCATCAGAGACAGGTTCTTTGCGTTTTGTACCTGCGATCCATGAGCGCTCGTAATTTGAGTAGTTTTTGGGGCCCTATACCTCTCTCATGTTCACTTCCTCCCTCCTTATCTAATCTCGTCCAATTACCAAAGACTGCAAAGTTTTGCTTGCCAAGACAGGGCGTCATCCAGCCTGGCTGACAGCAGATGTTGACAGCGATGCATAATCGTGAGTGGGCTCCATATGTAAAATCAGTAACAGGGCAGACCGCGTATTGGGGTCCCACCGCTGCGCCGTCCTTCTCAGATGCCCTATATATGTTTGTCTCTTGTGTGTGGTGGCTGGACCCACTCTAACTCAACCTCTGGCTCCCAGACCTTTTCAGACAGACTCTGCTACGAGCCTCGCGCCCCCCCCATGAACCATAGAATAGAATAGCTACGTTAGGAGAAGACGCACGGCGATGATACGGGTACCCCTCATGACATCAATATCCGCTGCCCCTCTTGCCAGCAAGGCGTCAGCAGGTGCTTTTTTCGCTATTTTCACCAGACCACAGCCTTTTTCCTTGTGTCTCATCTTGGATTCCTTCAAAGGCAACTCACCGCACCTCCGAGTCGTGTGAACAATGTAATAATAGGCTATTGACTTTTTTCCCACCTGTTTAGCGCCAAACCCAAAGCGCTTTTCGCCCCCACTGCAGCCCGATGGAAGGCACATATGGCAAGGGAAAAGTCTTCAGGTAATACATGCCTGCTGCAACTATATGTACTCTGACTCATTCCCTCAGACGTGGGTCATAGACAGCTGTTTTAAACCGGGCAAATCAATCTCTGTCGCACAGGTATTTCTGCCCTTCAAAACCAGGTTGCCACATCAGATTCCATCAAAGTTTTTCAGACTAACTTCAATCTTAAACGGCATCTCACAACAAGCGAATTGGACGGAAAAAAAGCGTCTATCATTACCGGCACCTATCCACACTAAGACAGTACTAAAGGACGACGCTCCCCACGAAACGACGTTTCGACCTTAACGACCCTGCCGTCTCCATCCATCCGACCACAATGGAAAAGACATTTTCAAACGATTACCCACCCTCCGGGACTGAGGCCCACATCCACATCAACCACACGGCCCACTCGGATGACTCAGAGGAGGTGCCCTCGCACAAGGAAAATTACAACACCAGTGGCCACGACCTGGAGGAGTCCGACCCGGATAACCATGTCGGTGAGACCCTCGAGGTCAAGCGAGGTCTCAAGATGCGACACATCTCCATGATCTCGCTTGGAGGAACCATTGGTACCGGTCTCTTCATTGGTACCGGAGGAGCTCTCCAGCAGGCCGGTCCCTGTGGCGCCCTCGTCGCCTACGTGTTCATGGCCACCATTGTCTACTCTGTTGCCGAGTCTCTTGGAGAACTGGCTACGTACATTCCCATCACCGGCTCCTTTGCCGTCTTTACTACCCGATATCTGTCACAGTCGTTTGGTGCCTCCATGGGCTGGCTATACTGGTTCTCGTGGGCGATCACCTTCGCCATCGAGCTCAACACCATTGGTCCCGTGATTGAGTACTGGACTGACGCCGTTCCTACTGCTGCCTGGATTGCCATCTTCTTCGTCATCCTCACTACCATCAACTTCTTCCCCGTGGGCTTCTATGGCGAAGTCGAGTTCTGGGTGGCCTCCGTGAAGGTCATTGCCATCATTGGATGGCTCATCTACGCGCTCTGCATGACGTGTGGAGCAGGTGTAACAGGTCCTGTGGGATTCAGATACTGGAACCACCCCGGACCCATGGGAGACGGAATCTGGACCGACGGCGTGCCCATTGTGCGAAACGCGCCCGGTCGACGATTCATGGGATGGCTCAATTCGCTCGTTAACGCCGCCTTCACCTACCAGGGCTGTGAGCTGGTCGGAGTCACTGCCGGTGAGGCCCAGAACCCCAGAAAGTCCGTCCCTCGAGCCATCAACCGAGTCTTTGCTCGAATTTGCATCTTCTACATTGGCTCTATCTTCTTCATGGGCATGCTCGTGCCCTTTAACGACCCCAAGCTGACCGATGACTCCTCCGTCATCGCCTCCTCTCCTTTTGTTATTGCCATTATCAACTCTGGCACCAAGGTGCTCCCTCACATTTTCAACGCCGTCATTCTCATCACCCTGATTTCGGCAGGAAACTCCAACGTCTACATTGGCTCGCGAGTGGTCTACGCCCTGGCTGACTCCGGAACCGCACCAAAGTTCTTCAAGCGAACCACCAAGAAGGGAGTGCCGTACGTGGCAGTCTGCTTCACCTCGGCGTTTGGTCTGCTGGCCTTCATGTCTGTGTCCGAGTCGTCGTCCACTGTCTTCGACTGGTTCATCAACATCTCCGCTGTGGCCGGCCTCATCTGTTGGGCCTTCATCTCTGCCTCCCACATCCGATTCATGCAAGTGCTTAAGCACAGAGGGATCTCCAGAGATACGCTGCCCTTCAAGGCACGATGGCAGCCATTCTACTCATGGTACGCGCTCGTCTCCATCATCTTCATCACTCTCATCCAGGGCTTCACGTCCTTCTGGCACTTTACCGCCGCCAAGTTCATGACTGCATACATCTCCGTCATTGTCTGGGTCGGTTTGTACATTATCTTCCAGTGTCTGTTCCGATGCAAGTTCCTTATCCCTATTGAGGATGTGGACATTGACACCGGCCGACGAGAGATTGACGACGATGTGTGGGAGGAGAAGATCCCCACAAAGTGGTACGAGAAGTTTTGGAATATTATTGCATAAGAAGATCGGGGATTCCCGACGCTCTCTCCTGGAGCAAACCACTCTTACCAAGCATATAGCATATATAATAACGTATTGAATTTATTAACTGATTGAATTGAGAGTAAAGCCAGTAGCGTTGTACGGCTGTAGCTTTTTAGAAAAGTGGCAGATGAGCGATGGTGGATATGAAAGTACCTTTACGGCATGTAGCGACACAAGATCGCTTCCAAGAACTCGACATTCAAGCCCAGCTCGTACAAGAAAATGAACTAGCCAATCATATGAACTAGCACATTGAAGTCACCGCATCATCTCTGTTGGAAACGACGCGCATGTACTCGTGCGTAGTAAATCCGTATCTGTACACTCGAAAGATTACAGTATGTAGTAGTAGCATGACTAACGATGTAACGTCCAAATAACGCTCTGTGCCTACTCCTGTAGATGCATTAGACCACCTGCTAACGTCTACACGTTATGTCCGTTAGCTCCAAGATTGCACTTTTCCCTCAAAGACTCTGCTGGGTTACGTCATGGTCTCTTTCGGGTCTCTGGTCCGTTCTCTGCCCGCCCATATCCGCCCAGGCTGCTACGATACAGGATAAGCTCATAAGCTTAGATTATTTTTCCGGAATGACATCACGATGCAGTGGTGGAAGGATGTATGGGGAATGCTTTTGACGACGCAATATTTACCGAAAAGCTCTGAAAACTCATAAAGTAGACATCGATGGTTCTAGTAGTGATTATGAACATTTTCAACCAAATTTGAGCCTTGGATCTCGAGAGAGAAGAACAGTACAAGTACCGTAGTAAATCACTCATGGATATAACCAAACGTTAATTTCCAAATTCATCAATCTCGTTTACTTCAGTCATCACTACTGTAACGGTGCTTGAATCGAGTGCGTAAAACATGTCGAATGAAGAACGAAGAAACGACCTTTACAACATTTGCGTGCTTATATTACGTCTTCCGACGACACTGTAGATGTACCGCCCGCTTCGTACTGTATCCATAAATGGATGTACCGGCACAACCTCGTACCTACCTGGTACGTACTGGTTTCCCAGTTTGCTGACAGCCTTACTCTTCACAGGCCATACTCTATCGTACATAATAGCTAACTAACAGTCCTCTTGAAAGGATGTCGAACCGTAAATAGTCCTCGAGTTCAGTGGTTCTCATTTGAACATAAGGGTGGAATAGTCCGTGTTTTTTCTGATCCACGCCTAGAGCTGACCAATAACATCTTGTTGAAATCGTTAGGTCAGGTCAGCAGGATGTTTTCTTGATGGAGAGCAAAAGTGGGCGCGCATTTGCTTTTATGCTTGGGACGTGCGGCCGGGTAACTCAACCTAAACAAGGTGTTTTTTCAGTCCGCCCAGTAGGGTAATAGGGCTGGAGGAGACCTCCAATAATTATGTAATGACGGATCAGTGAACAAGGGCGACTGCACTGAGTAAGCGCCTGGCCTATCACCTCGCTTAAGCTGCAAGTTATACATGAGATAAAAAGTAAGAGGTAGATGAGAGATGTCGGGGAAGCCCTCGGGGGATGTCATGTGACCCCACGTGATAACCCAATAGGTCCCGTAGCCACTTCCACGGGTCTTCGTTGCTACTTTCAAGCCAATTAATAATTAAATTACTGGACACACCCTATGACTGCAACTCCCCACACAGCCGCATGGCTCGCTTAAGATATATGCTACTTGTAGCTAGCAGCAGAATTTCTATCGCAGCAGCCAAGTCGCTCAAAACACAATGACTGGCGAAGGAATCACCTACAAGGATGTCAAGCACGCACACAAGCGACTCGACAAGGTCGCCGTCAAGACACCCGTGCTGTCGATCCAGCTCGACGACACTCAATACTTTCTCAAGTGCGAGAATATCCAGCGAACCGGAGCCTTCAAGTTCCGTGGAGCCTACAATGCCTTGTCGCAGTTCTCGTCCAAGCAAAAGGCCGGTGGAGTACTAACGTACTCATCTGGTAACCATGCTCAGGCCATTGCCCATGCTGCTGCCATGCTCGGAATCAAGGCCACCATCATCATGCCCACGGATGCCCCTAAAAGCAAGTTGCAAGGTACCAAGGACCTGGGGGCTACAATTGTGCCCTACGACAGATACAAACAGGACCGTGACGAGGTAGCCAATGCAATTCTCACGGAACATCCCGAAATGACGCTCATTCCTCCATATGATCATCCCGACATCATCGCAGGACAAGGTACAGTGGTCAAGGAGCTGCTAGAGGAAACAGGACCTCTGGACGATATCTTTGTGCCGCTGGGTGGAGGAGGACTGCTGGCAGGCTCCCTTCTGGCAGCAGAAAAACTCGCTCCAAAGTGTAAGGTGTGGGGTGTGGAGCCCGAGACAGGAAACGACGGTAAGCTGTCACTTCAAAGAGGCCAAATCGTGCATATTGACACCCCGGTGACGATTGCCGACGGTGCTCAGACCCAGCATCTGGGAGAACTCACCTTCCCCATCATTCAGAGACTTGTCACGGATATCAAGACGGTCAACGAGGGAGAGATGATTGCTATGACGCAATGGTACGCCCGAAAGATGAAGCTGGTGGTGGAGCCAACTGGATGCATGGCTTTGGCAGCGGCGTTCTCGTGCTGTGGAGGCACCCACAAGAAGCGAGTGGGAGTCATCATCAGTGGAGGAAACGTGGATCTCGATAAGTATGCCACCTATCTAACCACTCCGGTCGTTCAGCATTGATGGGGTGGTCCAAATATGAGATTTTTTTATAAGTAACAGCATTCTAACAGAAACTAAAGGACTGTAGCAAGGACTAATAGGCTGTGGCGAACATGGCTTCAGTGTAATGTGCCCTTGATGGACCTCTTCAACTGTGAGCAATTGGTGAGGTTCCACTGCCCTCAACCAAATAGACAGTCTCCCTATAGTGTACTTGTACTGTCTTGCAGAGTAATCAAATGTGATCAGAAAACCATGTACCGAATAATTGCATCATCTACTTGTAGTATCTTCATTTTGAACCATGTTCCATTCAAATCACATCTGAATCGACTGGTAGCATGTGGGTGAAAGTCTGGATTTACTTACAACTTTAGTTGGGAATATTGTTGATCCAAATGATACCAGAAAATACACCAAAATATGGCCGCAATGGGGCATGAATAGCACTCATATTGCGCTAGACCAGCTTCCCAATTCACTATATTGCATATACAAGTAGTAGTGCTCGTTCAAAACGCGTCCCGAAAACCTGTCCACCAGTTGCACTGTTGTCTCCTTTCTGCTTGGCAGATATTTACAAGCCTCGGTTGACGATCACTTATTTATCCGAAATGCCGCAGTGAGAGAGTGCACCTTAGATCGCGTGTTTTCAGGTGTAGTTTCAGCAGCTGACTACACATACATGTCACCCACTCATCAACACAAGCCCAACTATCACCCGATACAAGACTACAGTATTGTTTTACTGTAGCAGCCCTGTTGGGTTCCGGCTGTCCTTTTCTCAATCTCAACCGTCTCCCAACGTTGGGAGCAGCATAAGGTTTGGAAACAAACGACGCAGGAAAAAAAAGTTGGTTTATCAGTTGGGGGAGGGCGTTCAAGTAGGGAGAGGATATATGGTAAATGGGCGCGTGGAATGAAGTAGAGAATGGTTTGCTTGAGAAAACGACCCTTAAATTAATCATGGCCATTTTTTCCCCACTCAAAATCCCCCCACAACACCCTGCAACATACACTTCCCAGCACTCAACAAAGTTGATCCTCCCTCAACGTATGCCACTGCATGCATGATACGGGGGTCGCGATTCTAAATAAAACGACTGTCGTGCCTCAATTGAAACGTCACGAGAAATCTGTGAACTACACACACAAACAGTTCATTACGAGTGAGTCTTGAAATATGGGATATGAGGAGGGGTTTGAAGAGGTTGCAATCGATAACTCACGACACGGACGAAAAAGAATAAGGACCAACACGATCTCCAGACAACCACAGATCAGCAGTCGAACCCCCCTCAACAGCAGACAAATGATGTTGTGGAATTGCAGTAGATGATTTCTTCTGCGACGCTAGTATTGGCTGTCGGCGACACTATTCTCTGACAGTGCCCAATGGTCTTTTTATTGTGCACCAACCGCTGATTTGTGGCTCAGGTTTTGTGACGGCGAGAGTCATTCTCGTGATGCATGGGATGATTGGTCTCTTTGAAGCCGACAGATCGACATATTTCCACACACAGCAACGACAATGTTATCTTATCCATTGCCATTCTAACCCAGTGCACCCCGAAGTCGAACAAGAACTCGCCCACGTGCTCCTGACGGAGCTGCTGGCCTACCAATTTGCCTCGCCCGTGCGATGGATCGAGACCCAGGACGTGCTGTTCAAGCAGTTCAATGTCGAGCGAGTCGTCGAAGTCGGCCCATCCCCAACTCTCGCCGGCATGGCCCAGCGAACCCTTAAGTCCAAGTACGAGTCATACGACGCTGCTCTGTCTCTGCAGCGAGAGATCCTGTGTTACTCCAAGGACCAGAAGGACATCTACTACCTTGCCGATGAGGCCGATGAAGCCCCTGCCCCCGCTGCTGGTGGTGATGCCCCCGCTGCTCCTGCCGCTGCCGCTCCTGCCGCCGCTGCCGCTCCTGCTGCCGCTGCCGCCCCCTCTGGCCCCGTTGCCAAGGTTGAGGACGCCCCCGTCAAGGCCCAGGAGATTCTCCACGCCCTGGTCGCCCATAAGCTCAAGAAGACCCCCGAGCAGGTGCCCCTGTCCAAGGCCATCAAAGACCTTGTTGGTGGTAAGTCTACCATCCAGAACGAGATTCTCGGTGATCTCGGAAAGGAATTTGGTGCCACCCCTGAGAAGCCCGAGGATACTCCCCTTGGCGAGCTGGCTGAGTCCTTCCAGGCCTCCTTTGACGGCAAGCTCGGTAAGCAGTCTTCTTCTCTCATTGCCCGACTCATGTCCTCCAAGATGCCCGGAGGGTTCTCTCTCACCTCTGCTCGATCCTACCTCGACAGCAGATGGGGCCTGGCTGCTGGCCGACAGGACTCCGTTCTGCTTGTTGCTCTGATGAACGAACCCAAGAACCGACTTGGCTCTGAAGCCGAGGCCAAGGCCTACCTCGACGAGCAGACCCAGAAGTATGCTGCTTCTGCCGGTCTTAACCTGTCTGCCCCCGCTGGTGGTGCCGAGGGTGGCAATGGCGGTGGCGCCGTCATTGACTCCGCTGCCTTTGACGCTCTCACCAAGGACCAGCGATACCTGGTCCAGCAGCAACTCGAGTTGTTTGCCAACTACCTGAAGCAGGATCTGCGACAGGGCTCCAAGGTGGCTGCTGCCCAGAAGGAGGCCATGGATATTCTGCAAGCTGAACTGGATCTTTGGAACTCCGAGCACGGCGAGGTCTACGCTGAGGGCATCAAGCCCGCCTTCTCTGCCCTGAAGGCCCGTGTCTACGACTCGTACTGGAACTGGGCTCGACAGGACTCGCTCTCCATGTACTTTGACATTGTTTTCGGTCGTCTCTCCACCGTTGACCGAGAGATTATGGCTAAGTGTATCCACCTGATGAACCGAACCAACCACAACCTGATCGACTACATGCAGTACCACATGGACCACGTCCCCGTTCACAAGGGAGCCACCTACGAGCTTGCCAAGCAGCTCGGTCTGCAGCTCCTCGAGAACTGTAAGGAGACTCTCACCGAGGCCCCCGTCTACAAGGATGTCTCTTACCCCACTGGACCCCAGACCACCATTGATGTCAAGGGTAACATTGTTTACAACGAGGTGCCCCGACCCAATGTCCGAAAGCTCGAGCAGTATGTCCACGAGATGGCCTGTGGTGGTGAGCTGACCAAGGACCCCTCTTTTGTTGGAGAAGGTGTCCAGGGCGAGCTCAAGAAGCTGTACTCTCAGATCTCTGCTCTTGCCAAGACCCAGACCGGCTCTACCCTCGACATCGAGGCTCTGTACTCCGACCTGGTCGCTAAGATCTCCCAGGCCGAGGACGCGTCCAAGCCTGTCGTTGAGAACAAGGCTGTTTCTGCCTCCATCACTCCCGGCACTCTCCCTTTTCTCCACATCAAGAAGAAGACCGAACTTGGTGCCTGGAATTACGACAGCGAGACCACCGCCACCTACCTCGATGGTCTTGAGGTTGCTGCCCGTGATGGTCTCACTTTCCAGGGCAAGACTGCTCTGATCACCGGTGCTGGTGCTGGCTCCATTGGTGCCTCAATCCTCCAGGGTCTCATTTCCGGAGGCTGCAAAGTCATTGTCACAACCTCTCGATACTCCCGAAAGGTGACCGAGTACTACCAGTCCCTCTACACCAAGTTCGGTGCTAAGGGTTCCACTCTGATTGTTGTCCCCTTCAACCAAGGCTCCAAGAAGGACGTGGACGAGCTGGTGTCGTTCATCTACAACGACCCCAAGAACGGCGGTCTTGGCTGGGATCTGGACTTTGTTGTTCCCTTTGCTGCTCTGCCCGAGAACGGTATTGAGCTGGAGCACATTGACTCAAAGTCCGAGCTTGCCCATCGAATCATGCTCACCAACCTCCTGCGTCTGCTTGGTAACGTCAAGAAGCAGAAAGTGGCCCATTCCTACGAGACTCGACCCGCCCAGGTCATGCTGCCCCTGTCGCCCAACCATGGCAACTTCGGCTCCGATGGTCTGTACTCCGAGTCCAAGATCTCTCTCGAGACTCTGTTCAACCGGTGGCACACCGAGTCCTGGGGCTCTTATCTCACCATTGTTGGTGTGGTGATTGGCTGGACCCGAGGTACCGGTCTGATGAGCGCCAACAACATCACCGCCGAGGGTCTGGAGCAGCTCGGCGTCCGAACCTTCTCCCAGACTGAGATGGCCTTTTCCATCATGGGTCTCATGACCAAGGACATTGTGCGACTGGCCCAGAACTCCCCCGTGTGGGCCGATCTCAACGGTGGCTTCCAGTACATTCCCGACCTCAAGGGAGTTGTTGGAAAGATCCGACGAGACATTGTGGAGACCTCCGAGATCCGACGGGCTGTGGCTCAGGAGACTGCCATTGAACAGAAGGTGGTCAACGGCCCCCACGCCGATCTTCCTTACCAGAAGGTCGAGGTCAAGCCCCGAGCCAACCTCAAGTTTGACTTCCCCACCCTCAAATCCTACGCCGAGGTCAAGGAGCTGTCTCCTGCTGGTGATGCTCTGGAGGGTCTTCTGGATCTCTCTTCCGTCATTGTTGTCACTGGTTTCGCCGAGGTCGGTCCTTGGGGTAACGCCCGAACCCGATGGGACATGGAGGCCAACGGTGTCTTCTCCCTTGAGGGTGCCATTGAGATGGCCTGGATCATGGGTCTGATCAAGCACCACAATGGTCCCCTGCCCGGCATGCCTCAGTACTCTGGCTGGATCGATACCAAGACCAAGCAGCCCGTCGATGACCGAGATATCAAGACCAAGTACGAGGACTACCTGCTTGAGCACGCCGGTATCCGACTCATTGAGCCTGAGCTGTTCCACGGCTACAACCCCAAGAAGAAGACCTTCCTCCAGGAGGTTATTGTGGAGCACGATCTCGAGCCCTTTGAGGCCTCCAAGGAGTCTGCTGAGCAATTTGCTCTCGAGCAGGGCGCGAACGTTGAGATCTTCGCCGTCCCCGAGTCCGACCAGTGGACTGTGCGACTTCTCAAGGGCGCCAAGCTCCTCATTCCCAAGGCCCTCAAGTTTGACCGACTTGTGGCCGGCCAGATTCCCACTGGATGGGATGCCCGACGATACGGTATTCCCGAGGACATTTGTGACCAGGTTGACCCCATCACTCTGTACGCTCTTGTCTCCACTGTTGAGGCTCTGTTGGCCTCCGGTATTACCGACCCCTACGAGTTCTACAAGTACGTCCACGTGTCCGAGGTCGGTAACTGTTCCGGTTCCGGTATGGGTGGTATCACCGCCCTGCGAGGCATGTTCAAGGACCGGTTCATGGACAAGCCTGTTCAGAACGATATTCTCCAGGAGTCCTTCATCAACACCATGTCTGCCTGGGTCAACATGTTGCTGCTCTCCTCTTCCGGTCCCATCAAGACCCCCGTTGGAGCTTGTGCCACTGCTGTCGAGTCTGTGGACATTGGTTGCGAAACCATTCTGTCCGGCAAGGCCAGAATCTGTCTGGTCGGTGGTTACGATGATTTCCAGGAGGAGTCTTCTCAGGAGTTTGCAAACATGAACGCAACATCCAACGCTGAGACCGAGATCACTCACGGCCGAACTCCGGCCGAGATGTCTCGACCCATCACTTCCACACGAGCCGGTTTCATGGAGGCTCAGGGTGCTGGAACCCAGGTGCTGATGGCCGCCGACCTCGCCATCGCCATGGGTGTGCCCATCTACTGTATCGTTGGTTACGTCAACACTGCCACCGACAAGATTGGCCGATCTGTGCCTGCTCCCGGTAAGGGTATCCTGACCACTGCTCGAGAGCACCAGACTCTCAAACACGCCAACCCTCTCCTCAACATCAAGTACCGAAAGCGACAGCTCGATTCTCGACTCCGAGACATTAAGCGATGGGCTGAGGGCGAAATGGAGGCTATTGACATTGAGCTTGACGACGTGTCTGACGCCGACAAGGAGTCCTTCATCCAGGAGCGATCTGCCCACATCCAGTCTCAGTCCGATCGAATGATCCGAGAGGCTAAGAACTCTTGGGGTAACGCCTTTTTCAAGCAGGACGCCCGAATCTCCCCCATCCGAGGAGCGCTGGCAACCTACGGTCTCACCATTGATGACATCTCCGTCGCTTCTTTCCATGGTACATCCACCAAGGCCAACGAGAAGAACGAGACCACCACCGTCAACGCCATGCTGGAGCATCTCGGCAGAACCCGGGGTAACCCTGTCTACGGTATCTTCCAGAAGTACCTTACTGGTCACCCCAAGGGAGCTGCTGGTGCCTGGATGCTCAACGGAGCCATCCAATGCCTCAACTCTGGTATCATCCCTGGTAACCGAAACGCCGATAACGTGGATGCCTACTTTGAGCAGTGCCAGCACGTGGTGTTCCCCTCGCGATCTCTGCAGACCGATGGCCTCAAGGCTGCTTCCGTGACCTCCTTTGGTTTCGGTCAGAAGGGTGCCCAGGCCATTGTCATCCACCCCGACTACCTGTACGCTGCCCTGACACCCTCCGAGTACTCCGAGTACACCACCCGAGTCGCCCAGCGATACAAGAAGGCTTACCGATACTACCACAACGCCATTGCCGAGGAGTCCATGTTCCAGGCCAAGGACAAGGCTCCCTACTCTGCTGAGCTGGAGCAGGAGGTCTACCTGGATCCTCTTGTGCGAGTCCACCAGAACGAGGACACCGAGCAGTACTCCTTCAACGCCAAGGACCTCGCTGCCTCCGCCTTTGTCAAGAACTCCCACAAGGACACCGCCAAGGTGCTTGCCAACCTCACCTCCCAGGTGTCCGGTTCTGGTAAGAACGTTGGTGTCGACGTTGAGGCCATCTCCGCCATCAACATTGATAACGACACCTTCCTTGACCGAAACTTCACCGCCAACGAGCAGGCCTACTGCTTCAAGGCCCCCTCCCCCCAGTCTTCTTTCGCTGGCACTTGGTCTGCCAAGGAGGCTGTTTTCAAGTCTCTGGGCGTCAAGTCCCAGGGCGGAGGAGCTGAGCTCAAGTCCATTGAGATCACTCGAGATGGCAACGGAGCTCCCGTCGTGGTTCTTCACGGAGCTGCCAAGGACGCTGCTGCTTCTAAGGGTATCTCCACCGTCAAGGTGTCCATTTCCCATGACGACTCTCAGGCCGTGGCTGTTGCTGTTGCCGAGTAGATCGTGATGAGCGATGTGAGATGAAATGAGGAGGATTTTATATGTGTTTTAATTGATTGATTTATGATAGGATGGGCCGTAATATGTACATACAGTAGTTCAACAGACTGGTCCGTACGTCAAGCCATGGGACGACAAGCCTGTTATACAGTATGTACTGTAGTATGTACAGTACAATTTGTGAGAGTTCGTGATTCAAAAAGAAGATGATGCCTCTCACAATAAAAGAGACAAAAATAAATGGTCCCTAGCAGGATCGAACTGCTGATCTTCGCGTTGCAAAGAGGCTAATTTCTTATTAGCACGACGCCTTAACCAACTGGGCCAAGGGACCTATTTTTATACAAAATAAACTGTGGCCCCTACTATCCAAATTCAGTCAATTTCAAACCTGAATCATCAGAATAAAAACAAAACAAAAAACGAAATCGCTTCAAAACGACACTGATGTCAAGGTGGCAGTTTTATAATACTGTGATGATACTAAATTTTAAGTCAAGCTCGAGTTTCCACTACTCATAACGTATGGTCATGCGGCAGTGTCTTGTGACATTGAACTCCGGATTAATAGAGCTTTGAAAGCCGAAATGTGAGGAATTTTGGGTAGTGGGTATAAATTGATCTCGTTATTAAGAGGAATACTGACGTTCCCCTTCATCTCTTGTTGTACTGTCACTTGTCAACACACCTCCAGCGATACATGCGCCATGTTATCACTTATCGTTATGTTAGGGTTCTGCATTTGCATAGTGCAAGTGCTAAAAAAATATTTGCCCTGTAGAGCTCTACACGACAAAACCACACACTCATAATCGATACAAAATGAGCTACACGATCTCAGCAGCAGCTCTATATTCTGCAACGATATACCTGTTGTTTCTGCGCGACAGAAGTCGACAAAGTCTCGAGCGAAGTGAAATTCTGGCTGCAAGGGAGGCTACAAACTACAGCATCAGCAATACGACTATTTTCTCCGGAGTGACAGCTAAAAGCTACGGTTTCAATGCGCATTACAGAGGGGTTCCCGCAACGTACTGGTCGTGGCTGCTGTTGGTCCAGGGTCTGTTTGTGCTGGGCATGTTCTACATGGACTGGCCAACAGTTGGATATGGAGCACTTCTCGTCTGGAGCTTTTATGCTTATGCCACGGAGCAGTGTGACAAGCAGGGGCGCATGAGTGGCCTCAAGATCCAGAGCATGTTTGGTCCGGTCAAAACGTTTGCTGGCCGGGACAAGTTCCACTGGTACGCTGTTGTCAACACGGGTACCTCTCTTGATCTGTTGCCAGAGTCATCTGATGATGAGCTTTCTGAGGAGGAGGAGGAGGACGTCGAGATGGACGGCGACGTCAACATGGAAGAAACTTACCGGACTCTGAGACAAAATATGCATAGTTTCGAGGAGATTATGGGGGAGGGAGAAGAGGTTGTGTTTGAGGTGGACGAGCCGGTCGAGGAGGACTATGGAATGGACGAGTTTGATATTGAGGGTGAAGACGATGAGCCCAAGTTTGAGGGGTTTTCACCTGTTCTGTCTCCCCATGACCCTTCTGATTCGGGTGAGCAAGAAGAGACTCGCATGCTCGACGAATGGGACAGAGAGAGTTATGCTCCTTCGGTCGGAGGACGAGCCATGGAGGAAGAGAACTCCGACGAAGAGGACTACATGAGCCCTGATACACCCGGCTCGATTCAGCTTGTTTTGAAGCGCGTGAATCTTCCGCTTCCTCCCGTCCACCACTTTCAGGGATACATTGGAGTGTATAGACATACCAGGCTCAAGAGATCGACCGTGGTGCACACGTGCCTTGATCCCATGGACTATGAAGCCATGGAAACGGTTGTTCTCTAGAGACACAGTGCATCACGAGTGGAATTGTGACAGGATAGGCAAGAAAATACGCCAGAGGGGACATGGTGAACCAAAAGTGACTTTATTTGCGCAGAATATGGCGGCATGGTACAAGTATCATGGTTTGTGGGTGAAGTTGGGGTTTGTGGGTCCAGGGCAGTTGGTTCAACTGGGTCCACTTGTGAATGCGGGGTTGTTGAGCAACCCTCTTGCCTTTTCTTGGCCACCCCATACTGCTTCTGAACTGGTCTGATGGGGATCTGACGCGGTGTCTGAGTTTGGTGTCTTACTGCTTGTAGGAGAATCCTCAGACGAGTACATGCGGTAGGGTTTCTACACGCTCAATTGCGTGCTGGGGCGTTATTTATGCACTAGTACACGGGTATTTAAATACAGGTTGGATGTGATTCGAGTGGGCGTAGGTACCTATATATGCTCAACTTCTAGACAGTATCATCATGTTAACGAGGTGTAATAGGCTCGGAGATTCATCGGGCCCTTATCAATATCTATCTTAATAAAAGTGTCTCATCTCGGCCTGCCTGCTGCCATCAGTAAATGACTCAAGCGGAGAATTCTCGGGAATTCTATTTGAGATGGACAATGATCCCATCACACGGTGTGCAGCCCTGGAGGCGGCAAAAAGTACCAATCCTGGAGAGCTATGCAGGCTCCCCCAACACTACTGATTGAACAGTGAAGAATAAGCAACACCAAATAAGTTAAGCTAATAAATAGGGTAGAGATAGGGTGCGAGGCTGGAGCAGCTGTGGTGTGTTAGATAAGGGGAAATAGTGCTAGGCGATAAGCCTGTTATCAGTGGCTTTCAAACTTACGGTACTTGTAGTCGCGTTCTGACGTCTTTCCCATACTAATAACGCACTTACCGTCATCAAGTGGGTTTTTGTACACATGCCACAATCCCCCGTCCCGTCACCCCGTCCCGTCACCCGAACCAACTCTGCAACCTGTCGGCTCTCATACCACCAAACAGGAACAAGAAACAACTTGAAATACGGTTCATGCATTTTCCCCACACCGACAAGCATCTGAATAAACCTAATCAGTCTTGAAGCTGGCAAGATAGTCTCTGGAGGAGATCACATACAAGATCACAGTGCAGTATATATATCATGTACTATACCCCATATAGATGCGCCTTAACAACAGTCTCCAAAACAACCGCCAAACACCACTCTCATGCCCATCACAGTTTCACAAGAAGTGACGGAAACAGCCCCCGAGGTATCTTGGGCCGCCACCAAGACCTACCTGGGCTCCCGTGTCTCTACCCTCAAACCTCCCAAGTTGTCTGCTCAAGAAAAACGTTGCCTGAATCCCATCTACGTGCTGCGTCAGCTCGGCAAGAAACAGTGGCTCTTTTTCTCCGTGGCCATCCTGGGCTGGATCTGGGACGCCTTCGATTACTTCTCTGTGTCTCAGACTGCGACCGAGATCGCCAAGGATCTCGACATGTCTGTGGCGGACATCACCTGGGGTCTTTCTATTGTGCTCATGCTGCGTTCGATCGGAGCCATCATCTTCGGTCTGGCCTCCGATCGATTCGGACGTAAGTGGCCCTTCATCGTCAACATTGCCATTTTCTCCATTCTGGAGCTAGGAACCGGCTTTGTGCAAACCTACACCCAGTTTCTGGCTTTGCGTGCACTGTTTGGAATCGCCATGGGCGGCATGTTTGGCAACGCTGCCGCCACTGCCCTGGAAGACTGTCCCCCCGAGGCTAGAGGTCTGATCTCAGGATTCCTCCAGGCAGGCTACGATATCGGCAACCTGCTCTGTGTGATTTTCACCCGAGCAATCGTTCCCAACTCCAAACATGGCTGGAGAGCCCTCTTCTGGTTCGGAGCTGGCCCTCCTATTCTCATCATGGTCTTCCGAGCATTCCTGCCCGAAACCGATACCTATATTGCCTCCCGAATCAACAAGGAAGACAACAGCACCGTGGAAATCGATCCTGAGACCGGCCTTCACATGCAGCCCGCCCAGAAGGTGGGAACCTGGGCCTCCATTGTCATTTTCATCAAGGGTGTCGGACACACACTCAAGGTCCACTGGCTTATGTTCACCTACCTGGTTGTCATGATGGCCGGTTTCAACTTTATGGCCCATGGCTCTCAAGATCTATATCCCACCTTGCTAAAAAACCAGCTCAAGTTCTCCATTGACCGGTCTACTGTCACCAACGCTGTTGCCACTCTCGGTGCTCTTTCGGGCCAGGTGACTATCGGCCATCTTTCCAACGTCTTTGGTCGGCGACTTTCTGTGATCATCTCCTGCGTCATTGGAGGAGCTCTCATCTACCCCTGGGCCTTCTCTGGCGGAGGAGCCGGTATCAACGCCTCTGTCTTCTTCTTGCAGTTCTTTGTTGGCTGCTGGGGTATCGTTCCCATCCACCTGTCAGAGCTGACTCCTCCTGCCCTGCGAACCTCGCTTGTCGGTGTCGCCTACCAGCTCGGTAACCTGGCGTCTGCTGCATCTTCCACTATTGAGGCCAAAATCGGAGAGCGGTTCCCTATTCTCGATGAGCACGGAAACCACCTCCCTGAGGAGTATGATTACGGCAAAGTCATGGCCATTTTCATGGGCTGCGTGTTTGCCTTCACCATGATCGTCATGTTCCTGGGACCCGAGAAGCGAGGCTCCGACCTGTGTGCTCCTCAGTACGAGGTTACCGACGCCCAGACAGCCGCTGGAGACGAGAAGTTCGAAGACAAGGAGAAGGTCGAGGAAGTTGCCATCGAACGAATCGACACCAATCTCACTCGTTAATTAGTATATGTTTGCATTATTATTTGATTATTTACATAAAATCTGAGCAAGGCTCGATTCTCATACGACGCATATGTATGTACTATTTGACGGCCACCAAAAGTAGCTAGGCACGTACTGTATCATACCAGACCTTATCCGAGAGTCGACCCTCTTGTTCTAATCATACATCTCGAATTATGAGCTATGGAGAAAAATCTGCTACTTGTAGTAATCTAGCATCTTGCCGTTCCCCAAATACGACGTTCTCGGGGTTAATATTATCCCCGACACCGTTCTTAGACTATGGCTCCTTACGCTCCACATATAGTAGCATCGACAAACGAGCGCAAGTATAAAGTACGAAACAAGGGTATCAGTATGCTTCATGTTATAGCGAGGAAGATGACTAAGCCGTAATTGAGAAAGCTCACTCTTGCGAGATTCAGAGCACACTAATAATAGTATTAATGATTAAACCAACTGTCAGATTTTGAGCATGTGGTAAACGTCGTTTTGTAATTCTGTTGTTCTGTGAGATAATTACAGTAGGTCTTATCATATCAACAACACCCCATAGATAAGAGTACGTACAGTACGACATACGAGTATACCTTGGCAGTTGTCCCGTCTCCACCGTAAGTAGCTATTTCAACAGGGACTTCGAAAGTCAACTTTTGTACAATCGTAATTATTGCTTGTATACAGCCTCATCTATCCAATAGTCATGTGCTGAAGAGCCACCATCTCCGTTAGCGCGTTACATAGTATACTGGCAGCCTACCTTATCCTACCAATAGTCTCGTGGTGAACCAGTTAATGGAATCCGGGTGCCAAGGAGCTACTAGTACTTAGGTTTGGGCTTCGAGGTTTTTGTACCCCGACGATCTCGACGCGGACTCAGTGACAGCTTCAAGTGCGTCACTGAGTCAGGCAAAACAATAGAAGAGAAGGACTGTCAACGGCTAACTATTGTTATAATTTAAGCAACTGCTAAAATCAAGGCTAAAATGGGCCTTAATTCAAAGCTGTGTAACATTGCTGATACACTTTTACACGCGCCAGGGATGAGGGGAGATAAGACATGATCTGCCTGTAGACCAGAACAGTAGCTGATAGCGGATGGAGGGAAGCTATGAGGAGGTGGGGAAAAGAAATTGTTGTTGAGAGGAAAAATAGTAGCTGACCTGGCTGGGCTAAGCGATCGCGTTGGGTGACACTGTTGTGACACGCGTTGGATACGGGGGTTGATCAGAGTTGGTAAGTATGACGTTGACTATTGGTACAGCAAGACTTGATTGCTTCGAAATCCTTATTCACTCGTCTGACCAGCCTGTGCCCGTACAGTTACGTCATGATTGTATCTAATCTGCCTCGGCCTCCTCGGTATATCTAACCGCGACTACCCCTTGTTCTCTGCGTCTTGTCTTGCTATGTAGAGCAGCACAAAGGAGAGAAATACGACAACTCTGGTTTGTTCTTTTCTTTCTTCCTGCAAAAGGGAAAGTGGAACCACGGTGGGGCGTTGTATGATGATATGAACATTAAACCAACCAGATTGTGTGGAACGCCGAAACGCCTGCTATTGGACAGAACAGGTACATAATCTGGCGTGGTAGACATAGACTGAGTACAACTACGTACATCTCAAATGTTCTGATATTATATCAATCCAAGACAATCTCGTGACTGTTCCCAACTCAAGAGCACACCTTAACGCCTTGGATGGACGATAGTCAAAGTCTCCACTTGTCAAACCCCGAACTGTCTCAGTTTCAATCTCGCGTCTCATACTAAACACCCCTTCCCCACCTGTGGCCACATATTTTCCATTCATCCCCATCAACAACAATATCGTACCAGCATACGTGCGAGATGATACATACAGCTGTCTGTCTCCATGTCTCCACTATGCTTCCTACCACAACCCTGCTACCAGTACTGTACCTAAGGTTGCTGCAAGGTGGAAGTCAATACCGCACGGCTCTACTCTTTGAGTTTTACCCCAGAATTTGGAAGCCACAAACGTCTATCTTTTGGAGCTATCGTAAGGGAGCATTTCGGAGAGGCAGAGAGGCGATCACCAGGACATGTGTTAGCCGCTACAAACAAAACCAGTGTACAAGGTCATATTATATGTTTAAGTAGCTCCGGCTACTCGCCATGGCTTTCTCTAAAAGTCACCTGCCAGAGTGGCCGAATTCATCCAAAACAAAAAGTTTGCAATTCAACTACTGTATGTACTGTTCTGTTGGCTGAAACTTTGAGTCAATCCCCGCTGGAGGTTATTTTAGGGGGAACAAGGCACACCGGAGAAACACACCAACAACACACACACATTATCGTAAGCACCTGACATTAGTGTCGAGAAAAGAAGAAAATCTCTGTTGGACGTTCTTGGCTCCGAATCTACCCCGGTCCGAGCGCCCATATAAATTGGGTCCCCGACACGACCCACACGAGCGCAGTTGAGATGTGGGCCCGTTAATTTCCCGCCAAGCCATGCACAGCTCCTTGTCAAGTCATGGCCACGTACAGCAAGGGAGAGAAGTACAGGCAGCATGATAAGCGAGCCCAGGAGGGGGGCCCGGATAATTGAGACAGAAGTGCGCTTTTTATGTTTTGTACGTCGGTAATAAAAGTCGTGCAATACTGTACTGGTAATTACATGGAGCATGAAAAAAGTGCGCATCTAATGAACCCTCAGAAGAAGCCTCTTTTCAGCCGCGCTATCTCAACCCTGATCTTATCTTATGACAACTCTACAACCAGCTACTTGTAGTGAGACGACACCCCATACGATGTACCAGTACGAGTCGACAGATGGCGGCTATTGAACGGTGTCAGTCTCCCCTCCTTGTCTGTTGCTTGTCTGTGTTGCGCATTTCATCTTTTTTTCTTGTTCTAATATCTCCTATTCGCATCCCCACATGTCCAACCCCTCTTCCAGAAAGACAAGGTCGGACATGAAACCTTGCTAGTGAGAGAGTGTGTCTAAAGGAGCTGGACCCGAGGCTTATCTGGGCTTTGGGTTGTCGTGTCAGCCAAGAAACAAGCCCCGAAGCAGGCACAAGTCTAGTATCGGCATTGAGAAGTGTCATATATATAAATACCGACTCCCCGGTGGAGAAACCGGACCATCCGTTTCAACAACTTCCAAATGGAAACCGAAAAAACATTTACAACGACCACGGTCGACTCCGATCCCGACACCCATGGAGAGGTCGTGGTCAACACAAAGAAGATGAACGCGTGGCAGCGGTTCAAGGACGGCTTTGGCCCAGCTGATGTGTCCCACATTGACACTGAGGGCTTGACTCCTATGGAGATTGCCGCTCTCAAAACCGCCAATGCTCCTCTTAATAGAGGTCTCAAGGGCCGTCATCTGCAGATGATTGCCATTGGAGGTTCGATTGGAACCGGTCTGTTCGTCGGATCGGGAGCTTCACTTGCCACTGGCGGCCCCGCAGCTCTCCTCATCGCCTACGGTATCATTGGATGCATGTTGTTGTGCACCGTCCATGCCCTGGGAGAGCTGGCTGTTGCCTTCCCCGTCTCTGGTGCCTTCTCCACTTATTTCACACGATTTATTGATCCTGCTTGGGGATTCGCCATGGGCTGGAACTACACCCTGCTGTGGTTTGCCATTCTGCCTCTGGAACTTGTAGCTGCCTCCATTACCGTGGAGTATTGGAACGAGCAGAACGGCACCAATATCAACCCTGCCGCGTGGATCAGTCTCTTCTGGGCCCTCATTGCAGGAATCAACCTCTTTGGAGTCAAGGGATATGGAGAAGCCGAGTTTGTTTTCTCCATCATCAAGGTGGCCGCCGTCATTGGCTTCATCATCATGGGTATCGTCTTTGTGTGTGGAGGTGGACCCAAGGGGTACGATTACGACAAATACATTGGAGGTAGCATGTGGCAGAATCCCGGAGCCTTCGCCCATGGCTTCAAGGGTGTGTGTTCTGTCTTTGTCACTGCCGCCTTCGCCTTTGCCGGTACTGAACTGGTTGGTCTGGCTGCTGCTGAGACTGAAGACCCCCGAAAAATGCTCCCCACCGCCACCAAGCAGGTCTTCTGGCGAATCTGTCTCTTCTACCTCATTTCTCTGACTCTGGTCGGTCTTCTGGTGCGATTCGACGACCCCCGGCTCCTCAACGGAACCTCCAACGTCGACATCAAGGCTTCTCCTTTTGTCATTGCCATTCTGAATGCCGGAGTCAAGGGCCTGCCCTCCGTCATGAATGTGGTCATTATGATTGCCGTGCTTTCTGTCGGAAATGCCTCGGTGTACGGCTTCTCTAGAACAATTGCCGCCATGGCTCTGCGAGGAGAAGCCCCTGCCTTCTGGGGTTACATTGACAAGAACGGCCGTCCCATTTACGGCATTTTTGCCGTGCTGGCCTTTGGTCTGTTCGCCTTCATTGCGGCTGCTTCTGCCGATATTCGAAACAAGGTCTTTATGTGGCTGCTGGCTCTGTCTGGCCTGTCTTCGATTCTTGTCTGGGGCTCCATTAACCTTGCCCACATTCGGTTCCGACAGGCTCTCAAGTTCCGAGGCCGAGATACTTCCGAGCTGACTTTTGTGGCCGGCTTTGGTGTCTGGGGTTCCGTCTTCGGCCTTACCCTCAACTGCTTGGTACTCGTAGCCCAGTTCTGGATCGCCCTGTATCCTATTGGAGGCGAGCCCAACGCTGAGGCCTTCTTTGCCGCCTACCTGGCTGCTCCCATCGTCATTGTTTTCTGGATCTTCTGGAAGGTGTGGAAGCGACCTCCCTTCCTCAAGGTCTCGGATCTGGACATTGACACTGGTCGAAGAGACACGGATCTGGATCGGGTTCGAGCCGAGACTACCGCTGAGCGGGAGTACATTGCATCCAGAAACTTCTTCTACCGGGTCTACAAGTTCTGGTGTTAAATGGGGTCTTGGAGTGTGTGTATTTGAATGATGATGTAATTAATAGTAATAATCCTTCTCTACATTTTTTCTGTACAGTGAACAGAAGGTCTTATAAATGGGACTCAGAACAATGAATGATATTGGAAGTGTACCCCCTGATAGAGCATCAGAAGAGCTACTGTACACACGTGCTAGACTCTAAGACCGCTGAAAACCGCAACAGCCACTGAAACAGCCCCTGCTCGGATCGACTTCCGTTGTAATTACTTTTGTCTCCAGTGGTTGCTTTTTGGGGAAAAATCGAAATTGCTTTTGTGATGGACCAATATGTGCATCCCTGGTTGCTTTTGAGAAGGCAGATGGCAAACACAGTCGATCCTTACGGTCGTACATACAGTAGCCCACATGGTGGTAGCCTACATAAACACGCTGCTCCTTGCCCTTTCTTGAGCCAATCTCAGAGTCTCAGAAGTCTGACGACAATCATACAACGTTTGATTACCAGTCGTTTCTTGTTTTCGTTCCTTTCACCTCGTCCGTACATACAGCTCAGAGCAATACTGTAGTATGGGTCGCGCTATTAAAAGGAAATATTTGTAGAAAAAAAAAGAAATTGGATACACACTCCAATTGTGTTATCCAGCATGTGTTTCCTTGCACAGAACCCCATCGCATATGGGACCTTGCAGATCATTTGTTTTTGCCAACTTGCACACTTTTGTGTTCACTTGCGGGAGTCATTTTAGATCACGTGACGTTGACTGTTTTCTATTTTATTCTAATGATTCATTACAACTATATACCTAACAAGCCGGGTTATTGGCGTTCAATAAATCATTCATTATTTATTTTTATTCTAATGAGTCATTATTATGTAATCCGACGACCCTGACTAAGGAGATCTCTCCCTAACAAAGGCAGAAAAGCTGGCCCGATGGTTTAGTGGTATAATTCTCGCTTAGGGTGTCCTAGGCAATTTGCGAGAGGTCCCGGGTTCAATTCCCGGTTGGGCCCAGTTTCTTTTTGTCCCAGATAATGCTTTTGTTGACAGCAGTATGTTTTTGACCTTACTAAGCCGCATTACTTTGAGGAACTACGAATACTTGTGTATGACTACATCTGGCACGGTCTATGTACAGTAAAGAGTGTCTATACTGTATACACCCTTCATTAAACACAATAATCAATCTATCTTACATATCCTTTTCCTCCTCGCCTATGGGTCTCCACATCATGATCTACATAGGATGTTGTTCTGTAAAAGTACATACATCCTTGTCCATTTTTGGCCAGTAGTTGCCGCAGGTCACTTCCGCTTCCTTACCACTCAGGGTTCTCCTTTCGTCGGAAGCATGCAACAAACTTATCTCCCTCGTTTCGGGCCACCTTCTTGCCCTCCTCGGTCTCGACCAGCATGGTGGCCACACAAGGATCAGCGTCCTCCTCCTCCTTGGTCAGTCGCTCAAATAGAGGGTGAGCGGCCAAATGCTTGACCATCCACTCGTGCAGATCCTTAACGTCGGTGATGGTGTAGACGATTCCTCCAGGTCGCACAACATAGGCGTACTCGGAGCACAGGGTGGTGGTGACGATTCGAGCCTTGTGTTTTCGCTGCTTGAAGTGAGGATCGGGGAAGCAGAAGAAGATCTTGGACAGCTGGCCTTTTTCGAAGAAGTTGGGCAGGAACTTCATAGCGTTGCCTCGCAGAACACTGATGTTCTGATAGCCGTCGGTCTCCTTGTTCTGGTGTCGAAGAGCCACAATTCGGTCCTCCACGTAGTTAGTAACCTGCACTCGGATCTCCATTCCCAGGATCAGCTGGTTGGGCAGCTGGGGGGAGAGAGCAACCAGCAAGCCTCCGAATCCACATCCAATGTCTGCCACCTCGACCTTCTGGCCTTCCTTTCGGTTGGGGTAAAGTACGTCCCAGTCCATGTCGGCGGGCGACTCGGGATACTCCAGCTGATGGTCAGAGAAGGGATTCGAATGAGCTCGCTGTCTGTAGTATCGCTTCTTGGGGAGCTTGATCTCGCCGTCCTCGGGCTGCTCGAAGGATACTCCCTTCTTGGCTGCCAGTCGCTTCTCCTCCTGCTCTTGTCGGTACTTTTGTCGCTTGTGCACAAAGGATTCCTTCTCCTCCTTTCCCATGTTAGCAGTCTCCGCCTCAATGTCCATTTCGCTCTGATCTCGTTTCAACATTGTGTGATTTGGGGTCCAAAAAAAAATTAAGCCTGATTAAAATTCTGCATGAAGGATGTGATAGAGGTGAGGAGGAACGGTAGGAGAATAGGTGAGGGGGTGGTAGAAAAGAATAAAAGACAGCGGCTCCTCTAAAGTTTGCGTCATGGAGCTGATTTCCATCACCCCTTGACTGTTGTTCACTCTTGTCAGATTATGACTTAGTAATCAAATTTTTTTCACTAATGATAACTTAATCGTGGTGAGCCTTCGGATTCCGACAGACGTCGAGTGAGACAGAGCTAATTTGAGAGGCGAGTGGGCGAAGAAGCCAATCATAGCAAAACGGTTTAAAAAAAGGAAGCCGTTGTTGCTTGCAAGATTGATTTCTTTTCCCTGTTAAGCCCGCGGATATTAAATGTTCTTCAAGCCTTATTGTAAGCCTCTTCGAGGTATTTACAGTGGTGGTGTTGTGTTTGTTTGCCTCAAAATGCTTTGGCCTCAACAGGACGACACGTCACGTCACGTAATGTACCGATAATACTTTTACAACAAATTTGGACAGGTCCCAGTACAAGGTGAAACAGATTGAAAGTGTGACGGACAGAATAACCCCACGAAGCTACAGATACACGTGCCCATTCATTCAGGAAATCTGGTTGGTCCGCTAACCCCAAGCATTACTCTACACGATGATTCACGCACGGCATCTCTTCATGCATGTCAGGCCTGTGCCGTCTACTTGTACGGTACTTCGCGATTCATAGAGTCGTGATACGTCCACATTAATGGATTGGGATATAAGGTTGTGTCTCGAGTGATAGAAATGGGAGAACGGGATGGATAGAGAGAGTATCCCACTCATCACACTGGCCTTGTGGTACGTCCATCGTTGTCTATATATACCCAATTAATTGCCCTAAACCCACCTTTCCTTTACTTATCTCTTCCACCTCCCAGACCTCACAATGCTCATGTACAGCACAAGTATTGTAGTCCTTACAGCCACCACAACCCCACTGCAACTTAAACTTCCTCTCGCACTATGCTTCGCCGCTTGAGTAGTGCCGTGCCCCATCGTCTAGGACAAGTACAAAAGCACCTGACCACTTTCAACCGTCTTCTCTCTACCTCATCCTCTACAAATATGTCTCTCAACGACACCAAAGCACCCCACATCCAGCTCGCTATCAAGGATCACTTTGATGCTCTGTCCGACACTGAGAAGAAGTACGCCCACCACTTCTCTCGAGCCTCACATCTCGGAACCAGAGTTGTACTCAGACAGGTTTCGCCCGAGTCCGAGGACATCTACAACCTGATTCTGGCCATCGCTGAGGCTGTCAATCAGGACTACTCCAAGCTCGAGTCGGAGTCAGTGTCCAAGGAAGACGTTCGATCCTTCCTGGAGTACTCGTCCCAGTTCCTGTCCAACCTCGGAAACTTCAAGTCCTTTGGAGATGCCAAGTTTGTTCCTCGACTGGAACGTGCCAAGTTCGCCACCATTGCTGCCACCGCCGACCAGACCGCCAACTTCGACAAGGTGGCCGACGCCATCTACTCCACCGACAAGACCCTGCTGGGCTTCCTGGACAAGGGCCACGTGACCGCGTACTACGGCGGCGACATCACTGAAGACGAAATCACAAAGATCAACGACTTCTGCGCCTCTAAGACCATCTACCCCGAAAACACCCGGGTGTGGAAGACTGGCCCCAAGCAATTTGAGCTGCGAATCGCCTCGGCTGATACCGGCATCGCCCAGGATACCCAGTTCGATCCCTCCTACGAGATTCCCGATGTTGGAACCCTCAAGCTGGCCTACGGAGACTCCAAGAACGAGTTTGCCCAGATCTCCGAGGAGATGGCTGCTGCTGGAAAGAACGCTGCCAATCACGTTCAGGAGCAGATGATCGCCGCCTACGTTGACTCCTTCAAGACTGGCTCCATGGCTGCTCACCGAGAGTCCCAGAAGTTCTGGGTCAAGGACCTGGGTCCGGCTGTTGAGACCAACATTGGTTTCATCGAGACCTACCGAGACCCCGCTGGTGTGCGAGGCGAATGGGAGGGTCTTGTGGCTGTCGTCAACAAGGAGCGAACCAAGAAGTTTGGCGCTCTCGTTGAGGGGGCCAAGGAGTACGTTTCCCAGCTGCCCTGGGACGCCGAGTTCGAGAAGGACGTTTTCACTCCTCCGGATTTCCTGTCTCTGGAGGTTCTCACTTTCGCCGGTTCAGGTATTCCCGCCGGAATCAACATTCCTAACTACGATGATATCCGTCTGACTGTTGGTTTTAAGAACGTGTCTCTGGGCAACATTCTGTCGTCCAAGTCCAGCAACGAGAAGATCACCTTCCTTAAGGATGAGGACCTGCCTCTGTTTGAGCAGCTCAAGGGTCCCGCCTTTGAGGTCCAGGTCGGTATCCACGAGCTTCTGGGCCATGGTACCGGTAAGCTGCTTTCTCAGGAGCGAGACGGCACTTTCAACTACGACAACGCCAACCCTCCCATCGACCCCAACACCGGTGAGAAAATCACCACCTACTACAAGGCCGGCGAGACCTGGGGCAGCGTGTTTGGTGCCATGGCCGGCTCCTACGAGGAGTGCCGAGCCGAGTGTGTGGCCATGTACCTGCTCACCAACAAGAAGCTGCTGGAGATCTTTGGTCATACCGGACAGGAGGCCGATGATGTCATCTACATTGGCTACCTGCTCATGGCTCGTGCCGGTCTGCTGGCCCTTGAGTTCTGGGACCCTGCTACCCGAAAGTGGGGCCAGCCTCATATGCAGGCACGATACTCCATTATGCGAAGCTTCGTTGATTGCGGCGCCGTGGAGCTCAAGTCCACCAAGCCCGACTTCTCGGATCTGACCATTGTGCTTGATCGATCTAAGATCCCCGCTGCCCAGAAGGCCGTGGGCGAGTACCTCAACAAGCTGCATATCTACAAGTGCTCCGCCGACTTTGAGAAGGGCTCTGCTCTGTACAACGCCACCACCAACGTCTCCGAGGAGATGGCTGCATACCGGGAGATAGTTATGGACTCGAAGCAGCCCCGACGAATCTTTGTGCAGCCCAACACTGTGCTGAGGGAAGGCAAGGTCGAGCTGGTTGAGTATGAGGCCTCCGAGGAGGGCAACATCAAGTCTTTCCTTGAGCGCCGTGTCTAAAGAAGGTGTAAATTGGCTGATGAGCGAGTTTACGATGAACCTAACGGAGGGTTGACTCGCTAATCCATGAGTCAGTTCCATGAGTCAACACTCAGACTAATGTCCGAGTCTGCATTGTTTATAGTCAAATTCTGGATTGTACCTGTTTGCTTCTGTGTACCTGTGTGTACAAGCTTGTGGCTGTCGTAGGTTGTCGTAGGTTGGGGTGTGTGGTTTGTTTTTCGGCACGGAATGTTAGTGCAATTGGTTTTTTCCCTGCTGTGTAGAATGTGGTTTGTTTTTTTCTCTCTCTGTATGGAATGCTCTCCTTGTGTTCTTTCGGGTGAAATACTTTTTCTCTTGTTGCTTCTTCTCTTTCTCTTATGTGCTTGTGATTCTTTTGCACACATTGTCATTGTTGTGATTGAATTCGAGAGCACAGTATTTGTTTTTTTTTCCCACACCACACACAAGCTCGACATTGGATTACTATTGCCCCTTGCATTTGTTTGTCTGAGCCCCTCCCCCTGTCAGGGACTTGTTCGAAACATTCCTTTGCCTGTCTGGCCCTCCTTGGTTACAGGCTTCCAAGTTCCCACATATTTGCATTGGAATCGGGCTCATCCGAGTTTTAGTGTGAAACTCAGCATGTGTGCGTGGTCATATTCCACACTATATATCTCTCACTCGGCTTTATAATGACTGCGATGGTCTGGTATGATCTGTATGGTGCATGTCTATATCCGATGAGGTGTATAGGTAACCTCGGCTGAACCTCTGACCTACCTTCGTACAATGTAGAAGTATTTTTGCGGTCATTGGGAGCCGTGATGAAGGAAGTGCGCCAAAGACGCCCGAGACATGTGTCTATGAATAATAAAAGGACGTCTATTATCCTCACGCGTACTCGTTGCCATAGCTGGAGGCCTGCTGCCCTTCGGCCCGTTGTTTGGCCCTGGGTTCTGTTTTGCGTTTCACAAGATTGGATGATCTTCGGTAGTTGACACACCGTGCCGATCTCCTTTACAAGCTTGAGCAGATTCCATGCAGCGGAAGTGACAGAGATGGGTGTGCTGTGCGAGCGAATACGAAGAAAAGTTGGGAGCCAAAGTTAAGCGGCGAAGCTAGATTGTCCCAGAGTTGCCCACCGTCTTTTGTATATACAAGTAGGTTGGCAACGTTGGGCTCAGTCTTTGTCAGAGGTGTTTCACCGAGTGAGTGGGCTAATTAATTAGTGAGGAGAGAGAAAGAAAGAGTGGAGTGGCTCTGGAGCCAAAAGACCCACCGATCACGAAACCCAGCTCAGCTGGTAGATATAGATTATTGTCAGCATCTATGCAAGCAATGTTTCTTTTTCTCCCTCTAGTGCCGTGCACAAGGCTTAGCTCTGTGCGTGGCAGGCCCTACAAGACTCGCACAGACCAGGCACGGCACGCCAACAACGGCTATCATCAGACGTGCTTTTTCTGCCCAACCCGCCAAGCAAAGCACAAAACCACCGGGACTGTCCCTAGCGAAGATCGTTGCAGTGGCGATCCACCGCTCTTAAAACCGTAACCACTGGAATCCCCGACCGATGTCCTTGGTCTCTTGGGTGGACCCTAAACATAACTGTCTTCTCCGAGCTGTCACAGGAGCGGCCACCAGGGGCTTTAGATTATGTGGAGCCAAGCTTGAAAGTGAGCGCGGTGGAGTTTTCTTGGGGGTCAAAACCTCGAAGGGAACAGCCCAAATCTGGTCCGAGAACTTTCTGTAGCAAAACAAATTGCTTTGCTTATCGTCGGAAATTACCCGGTGATTGGCATTGACAGGAGAAATGAAAGCGAGATCAGAACATGAAAACCCCCACGCTCCCTGGGTACAGAACGCTGTACAGCCACCTTGTGAGAGCAAAAACATGAAATTTACAAAACCTGATATATAGGAAAAGGCTCCGATGGCAAATATTACTGCCACTGTTACGTCGCGATTCGCTGTCACTCTGCACTAGAAAGACCCTGCTTTCAACGTCCTTCGGCTTGTTTGCCGAGCCAAAAGGAAAAAACAAGAACCAGCTTGACCGCAATCACCCAGGTCGTCTTTCCTACGCCTATTCCTGCCCAACCGATTATACGGCCGATAGATGATCATGTGACAAAAGCCGACCATATGCGCTACGATATTGCTATTTTCTCAGAGATGCTGCTGCTTTCCGTCCAATAAGCTCATAAGGTTAACTTTCTCGTCAATACAAGCTGCAAACTGTGTCTTTGTGTTAATCTATCTCGATTTTGCGAATCTAAACGGAGAGTACGAGGTGAACGATAAACGGGGATGACTCGAGCTAATCAAATTAGTGGAATCTCAGCACCTGAATGTATCACGGTCAACTGCTCCCTGCTGCCGCTCAGAGTACGCAATGGCACGTGGCATGGCTGCATGTGGTTTTCTGGGCACTTTGCACCTCAGAGGCGATGTGTTGTAAATAAGGTCCACCCTAGAAGCTTAAGCCAAACGGGGCAGTCCTAATTGTGCTATCAACCACAAGGGACATGATCAAGAGCACCGACAAGCCCATTTTGGAAAGGGCAGAAATTCACACCAAAAGCGTATATCTATGAAGACGGAGTTTTCTAACTACCCAGGCTCTTCCTCTGCGAATTCTGGTGAGCTTCTTTGTTGCCTGCATTCAGTCTCTGAAACGGCTAAAAGTAAATCATAAGGAGGATGTGTTAGCTACAAGTAGCAATTGCCTGACACAGTCTAATCAGGCTGTTGAGGGTGTTGAATGTCTCATTCTTACATGCACTTGGTCAAGTGTGCAAAATACCGAGTGAGAAATCGGAGTTTGGCCGGCAGGATGCAGTGACTAGCAAAGTACACGAGACAACGTGCAATTCTCGGCAGATTTACATCAACAGAAGCCCCCACCACTATTCTACATACTTTCGTAATGCAATACACAACTGTACAGGCCTCCAAAGTGCACTGGTGATGACCTAAGTCAGCATTAGCGAGGTAGTGCGCACTAAAAGCAAGTTGCCATAATTCAGGGACCAAACGTTTCTTGTTCCCGGTCCAATAACCGGTAAAATTTATCACCGTAGAGACTGCAAGCAGGCTTTTCCTCCTCATTCGCCACTCGAACCGCTCTGTGTGATATGCTGCTGCTTGATACATGCCGCAGTTGAAGATGTAAAAACAGAACCACGCCATTTGCGCGGACGCAAGCAGATCGTACGGTAAATTGTACGTCTCTAGTTCTTGTATATTCGGACCTTGAGATTAATTATCAAGTGTGCGATAGGTTAGAATGACTCACTAAGCATCATGTAGCTGTGCATCAATGTACTTGTATCTGGTAGGCAACTCTTTTCGATTTTCGAAACAGAGCACGTGAATGGGGTCAAATGTAGTCTGTGTAGGAAATTATACTTGTCGGAGAACTTCTCCGGACTGTAAAGTGACTGTAAGGGTCACACGTCTTGGAATAACAAACCATTACTGCCATATAATTCCTTTTTCGAGAATATCCCTCGAGTCTCGAGACATTGCCTGTCCCTATTTCTGCAGGCGTACATTCCCGCTGTCGCTTCCCTCCCTGTTTTTGATTCCCGCTATCCCTGCTGTTTTGTTTTTGTTTTTTCATTCCTCTTGACAACAATGCTGCGAGCACCCCCAGCCGACAGCTGTCTCACTTGTGGTATGTGTGTGGTGCAGCATAGAGAGATTCAAAGGAAATTAATGGGTAGAGAATGTAAATATTAAGTGGCTACTTGCTATTGTATGAACACGGAGCGCGTGAAAAAAATGTGAGAGCCGGTCTCTATAATACAACTAAATACAAATTTATGAACCAGTGCAAGAAGTGAAGCCTGAAAAGTGTTTGTATGTGTGTGGAAGAACAATTAGCTACCGTAGTTTCCGGGGGTCCCGTAATGCGGAGGAGGAGGCAATTGCTGCTGTTGATGCTGCGGTTGCTGTTGATGCTGCGGCTGCTGCGGCTGTTGTTGGGGAGTCTGGCCGGGCTGGGGCTGGTGAAGGCGCAAGGGCGGTGGCAGAGACTGGTCGGAAGGGTAGCCGTATTGTTGATGATAGTAAATTTGGGCATGGCGCATGTTGTTTTCATGTGTCGAGGGAAGCGACGGGAGGGGGTAGGGGTCTCCGGTGGTGATGGGCTGGCCAAGTGTCCCAGGCTGTTGCTGCTGCTGCGAGTGCTGCGAAGACTGGTATTGTCCCATGGTCATCTGGGACTGGGGAGGGGTTTGATACTGAGAGTAAGGAGTGGAAGCGGAAGGGGTGATCTGAGGTTGGCCAGCGACCTGAGCACCCTGTTGCTGGACTCCCGGCTGAGCAACTCCCTGGGTCAATAGCTGGGTGTCCATGCCGGCGTGGATCTCCTGCAATTGTTGAAGTCGTTGTTGTTCGATTTTACGCCGCTCGGCGACCGCCAGAACCAGGGCTGTCCGCGAGTAGTTGACAGGGTGGTAGAGCAGTTCTTTAATGTCGGACACAAACAGAGGGTACAACACGTCAACGATCCGTTCCCGTTGAGCAAACGCCAGCGCTCGCTCATACGGAATCCACACGCCCTTGAGATGCATGGCGCCAATTTTGACCACGTGTCTGATTTTCTCCGTCTTGAGAATGCCATCCCGCCGGCCTCGAGTCATTCCCACCACATTGAGCAGCTTTGTGCCATTGATCATGTTGTTATCTTCTCGACGAGCCACGCACACGCCTCGTGCTTCAACCTGGAAGCACAGCGTCCCTTCATCTTCCCACAAAGTAGTGGTTATTCGAGCTCTGAATGGAGCGTACTGGGCTGCTGCGGCCGCTGCGGCTGCCGAGTGAGCCACGCCCCCAGCTGATCCGGCCTGGGCTTCGGATGAACTGGAAGACGAGTGTCTGGAAGGCGGCACCAGGGGCTGGGATTGCCGATGAGGGTGTCCCTGGGACAGTTGGGGCTGAGACGGGGGCATCAGAGGGTTATGGGGGTTTGAAGGAGTTTGAGGAGGCTGCTGCTGCTGCTGGGCATGCTGGATCTGGGAAGGCTGCTGTTGCTGTTGCTGCTGGGAGTCATCTTCATAGTACCATATGTCTCTCTGCCCCTCTTCCATCTTGTCATGGGGGCTCGTGGTTAGGCTTGGGGGACTTGGATAGTGCTGAGGGTAATGCGGAGGCGGGTTGTTGGCTTGATGATGTTTGAGGGAGTTGTATGATGAGTATGGGCGGTGGGGGTGAGCTACGGGTGTTTTGGGAGACATCCAGTTAGTGCATCTGTGTCGTCAGCCAGATTTGCAGGAGTGAAATTGGTGGGTTGGTCCTTTACTTTTATATGAGGTGAAGCGCGAGAGCGTTGTGTCTTTTTAGTTTTTTGATTTCCCCTTGGCCATTTTTGTCTTTTTCACACTTTGCCTTTTCGTTTTTCTCACGCTTTTGTATTCTCAGAAGCCTAACCCAATGCAACTACTAGGTTAGGCTCCGTCTCTTGGCCTTGTCTGAATTACGTCCACACGTCTTCCGCATTTCATTTTCCTCTCTGCCAACCCAAATAAACAACTGCTATTGTTTGGCCCGTTGCTGAGTGGGAGAGAGATTCAACATCATGGATAGTGAGTCTAATGTATAGTGGAGTGGATGGGGTCAGTTGTAAAAACGACCTTGGGAGATCACCCACAACGGCTCTTGCTCATCAGACTACCGGCTAGCTTCCCGCTAAGAATTGTCAAGGAAAAGAAACGAATTATTATACGTCACGTGGATATGGAAACTTGTTCCTGTGCCGTTGCTGTCACCGTCTCCGCCAAGCTGCATTGGCTGTTTCACGTTTGCATACGGCTCAGAAGGTAAGCTGTACCCCGGGAACAACTACCTCAGGAACCAACTTCCATAATACAGCATTCCCGGCCAGAGTTGGCTCAGTCACACCTCCAGGTGATCCGCCCAATATTTCTGATACAGGGGTACGGCTACGCATTTCTGGGGGTCTCTCAGGTAGTCCAAGACACGGATGTGTCAGGTGTGTGCTTGCTGTCAGGGGTGCAACATGTGCTAGACCGCACTACTTGTAGTAGACTATTGTTATCTTCTGTCATTTCTGAAAAGAGCCACCTAATGAGAGATACATACTGTTGTGATCTTCACAGCGTAACTGTCATGTAGGTACAGTACGAGGCCAGCGCTGTATGTGCCGGTACGAGTACCAGTACAGATTCTAAACGTGAAGTCTGCATCGGCCTACAGTGACAGGCAAGCAAACAACAAAAGATGGTTCTGCACAAGACTTCCAGAAGAATGTTGCTAGCAACTTTAGCCAGGCGCAACCGGACCATACACAGCACTGTAGTCAGAATGAGTAATTGGCGGTTGTCCAACAAAACCCTTCCAGTGCGCATATCAGACAGCGAGAAGCAACTCTGGAGATCTTTCTGTAGACAGAAGAGGCCACTCTAAACGACAATACCCACCCTTCAACCGAAGATCGCCAGCCACCAGCTGCTTCTTCCCTGCTCATTGAGCCAGGGTGTATGACGGTTCGCAGACGGCCCCCCTGTGTCAGTTCATTGGCCAAGTAGAAATGTACCCCTGGCTCTGTGCAAGTGGTTTTCGGCATTTCAAGCTTCGCATCGGACGGTTCACGCTATGGACATGCTGTCCCATCCCACCCCTACAGGTTACAAGAATTGTACATTGTGTTTCAGCTTAACAGAGCTCGTTTCAGGTTGTGTAGGATCAGGAACACCCGTTTTGGAGGCCTAATGCGCACGCAAGCTGTCTTTCCCACAGTCATTTCTTTTTGGTCTGCAGAATCACGCCAAAAGCCTGGCCATGCAGCAACCACACGATACATGAGGCATTAGAACAAGTTGAATGTAGATTGAGGAGAGAGAAACACGAAAGGTGACACGAAGTTGGCACGTACCTAAGAGAGGTCAGCTGTTTTGAGTATGCCTTCCGTCCATCCGGTTCATAAGCTCACATTATCATACAATCACGTCCCAAACAACCAACAGCAGAGGCGTTAAGCACAATCTTCATTGCACAGCAAGCACAGCACATAGATACAGGTGTACACCAGCATGTACTCCTCTTGGTCTTATCCCATGCGTCTGGACATCCTACAATGGCAATGCTACGGCACTCGGGTCGACCTGCTTGCAAAAGTATTATTAGGGGTGCCGGAAACGCTTTCCAGACACTGTCCACACTGTCTTGAGCTTCCTGCATGAACGTGTGTTTGGTTCTCAGAAGTTTGCAGATCAGATAACAAACCAGTCGTATTTTCCACATTTGGCGTCGGTTAATAATGGTCGGAACGACGTTATTTGGACCGGCTACGTGCCGGATCAGCCGCCTCTCCAGTTGTGAAGATGCTACCCTGGCCCTACTTATTTTTTTGCTCCTAGTTGCAGCCGAGCGTTACATTCCAGGTCCGATTTGGGACTATTTGGGCGGTTGAAGAACGAGTGTGCGCGTCCAGACGTTCGCTAATGCGTTGCTGGCAAAGAGGAGTTGATCTCAAATACCACAGCTGTGTTTTTGGTTTTGTCTCCGCCCATTTTGGTGCGCCTTTCCCCCCAAGCAATCTACAAGGTTTTCCTGTCTACTTGTGCGAGTCCTTTAGCACTCACTCTACTTTACTTGTATATTTTACTTGTATGGTCTCTTTATGTTAACCTTATCGACGCTGATCCTCTGATTGTCATGTTGCCCACACGTCTCTCAGGGCCGAAGGTCGCATAGCCAATGCTAGCCCCAGTTGTCGCAGCTGTTCCACACCTCCTTTTCTTGGGTGTCGTGCGCGCTCCTGTTGCAGAGACGCAAGCGCCAAGCTCAACAACGGAGCTGGAGAGCTGTAGACCAAGGAACTGGGCTCTCACTAAGAGTTAGTAATAGGGGTTCGCTTCGTCTCCAAGATTGGATGATAGGCGAACCTAGACAACGGCACAGGGAGATGAAAAAGCGCATAAAATAAGGGCTCTATGCCCGATATTTTGACCCCTAAATGTGCGTAAATACGAGCCCAAAACCTTGGGGACCAATAGAATTCTCCGCCAACTCGCTTGCTGGAAAAAAAACCCCACTGCGCGGGTCCGCGTTCCTTGTGGCGCTCCCCACCCCCTTATTTTCAAACAAGACAAAAGAAAAGAAGCTCTGTGAGTTTTTCAGTTAGGTTCACTTTGCATTGTATTCAAACCCAGTTTATATTTTGTAACTGCCGATCTTTCCTGTCTTACCGTTCCCGTACCGGCTGGTGTCTAACCACAACACGGGCCATCGACCTGGCGCCATACAGCTTTAGGGCGTGACAGCCGTATTCTCCGCACCACCCTAAAGGACAGGAGGTAAATCCGTGGAGATAAAAGAAAAGCGCGCTCTTTTCCACACGTCTCAAAAATTATCATACCTCCGAGCCGTTATGCATTTTTTGCTCCATGCTCCACTTACCCCCCATCGGGGGTGCAAGCGTCGGAGGTATTGAACATATTGGGAACCGCACCTCAGATTCCCACTTTGTGTTTTTCCGATTGTGGTGTCAGATATAGAACCAGTACGACTTGAGTGATTGCCGTCCCAATCGGTCTATGATTCAACGCAGTTGTCAAATAGTGCCTGTATCAGGGTACTGCGTGTGCCTGTAACAGCGCTGGTCTGGCTGCCTACTTGTACAGTAGTCCCACCCGTCGTATATACTGTATTTGGAGGTGGCTTGATTGACGGGACCGCCAAAGTTGGAAGCATGAAGTCAATCCGCTTCTTTATACCTCGCCACCAGATAGTTAGACCTCGTACTTTAGTAGGGCCTGAGTTTCAAGTGAAACACCCTGAAACACTCAACATGATTGACGCACTGGGGGTGTGACCATCGGTGGTTTAATCTTGCTCTGTTGAGACATTGGTCTTGGCCACATTCTGCCTCTCATACCCACCTCCAAACCCATGTTTCATAATGAGACAGGGGGACTCAGGTGGCCCGACTAATCTGAGCCCACTCTCTGAAACAAACCTCCACTGTTGGCACTGGTGAATACCCGCGAAGCTGGCCATTGTTATTCTCCTTCCCGTAGCTATTACATGGACCTTAACTGATATCCAGGTGTAACATGGTTGAAAGCTACAATTATCTACAACTATCTACAACTATAAGTAGGCTTCTTGGACTTGTGTGTGGTTACCGTTTTGGGCAGGCGTCAGACGCCAGGGATCATATTGAGCAGGTGTGCTCGAGCTGCTCACGTGTATCAATTGTTCCGTCGAGGGGAAAGAGCGATGCTGGATCCTCGCGTACCTGTTTCATCATTGTCATAACACAACGGCTGAAGCTAAATCGATGTCGTAACAGCAGTGTTCGGAACGTCCATCCGCATGGTGTTTGTCGCCAACAGGACAACAAATCTAGATCCGCTTGCGACATGACAAAGCCCAATCGAAAATCGAACTGCTCCTTAGCTTTAAATGTCTCGTATTCCTGTATGTGTCAAACTGAATCTTTGCAGTGCTGGTGGCTAAGATATGCCGCTACAGTGCAAATTGATACACTAGAGCAATGAAACAAAAGGAAAGAAGCTTGTGGTTTAAGCAGCTTTGGATTCAGGGCTCAATCCCCACCTAAACCCTACAATAATCTCATTGAATGGATCGCTAGCCTTGTTTGGCCCTCGGAGTCACCCAGTCAAAGCGGAAACGCATCTACACCCATGCATGGAACATTGGTTGATAGGCAACTAACTATATCGTATGGCACGGCACCAAAACAATCTTGTTTCGACAATAGCCCCTCCATCCACAGTCAACCTCGTGAGGTACGCGAAAAAAACACGTTGGGACAATGGGCTCTCGTTCAATACACCTAAAATGCACCTGGCAGGATGGACATGGTACATAAGAGAGACCTACAAAAGTAACCCGCTGGTAATATTCTGCCATCGTGGCACAGCTGTGTCTCATACCAATGACCGTGCCTGGCCATTGTAGTCCAAGCATAACTGAGATAGACTTCGTGGGCAATTAATTACTTGTCTATTGTTCAAAGCTGCTGTAAATCACGGCGCACAGCCCATTGTACTCTGCAACGCTGTTGATTGCGTCAACGTAGGGGTTGGGCTGGGCATGAGAAATCACAGACGACTGTCGTGTGGCCACAGATAGCAGGGACGCCAGTTTCACCTTCTTGGGGCCTCCAGAGATTATGGGAGGCTGTAGCGCGCCCACAGCAATACGCTTTCCGCCTGTGGACGGTGGGTTGACGTACTGGCTCTCGTTCACCTTTTCCAGAAAGACCTTGAAGCTCTGGTCAATGATGGCTCGGAAAGATGACATTCCCTGTGGCGACTGAATGTGTTGAGCTGACTCAAATACGAGATCCTTGAGAGGCGAGCCGTAAGTGTAGTTGGGTGACAGACTTTGCTTTTCTTTTTCGAGCCTCAGCTGCTCCAGTTCTCTAGGTGGCAGGAGCGATGTAAGGAACGTATTAGGGGTGGTGGAGTAGGGTGGGGAGTTGACGAGAGTCTGTACACGCTTGAGAAGAGTAGCAAACTCGTCAAGAGACAGGTTCTGCCGCGGGTTGACGCCAGTAAAAACCTGTTGAACTGACCGTCGCACATTATCCACCACCGACTTCCATCCTCGGGTGAGCAGCCACGTGTAACATTGTTCCAGTGACATGTCGTATGTGGCTCCCGCAGGTCCAGCCTCGTTCTGGTATCGCTTTCGTCCCACAATGTTCGTCTGCAGTCGGATGAGGTAGTTGAGCAGAGACACGCAGTAAATGAGAGTGACGATTCGGGTGAGCGACTCAATCTTGAGCTCGTCCCACAGCTGAATCTTGCTCATTTTCTGGCCGTCTGCCATGCTGGCCGTCGTCTCTGTGCCTAGCGACAGCACCGAGTGCTTGTCGTCGTCCATGTTCTGTTTCTTGCGCTTCTCCGCACGCATGTTCTGGAGCTGTTCGGCGATCTTCTCGACAGCCACAAACTCCATGATTTGTTCGCATAGCTGGGGAAGCACTGACGCCGTATGGAACGCTGCCTCATTCTGTGTCTGTGCAAACAGTTGTTTGAGTCTGTGTTAGTACTGGTATACCCCACATAACACACCAATATATGCATGAAGTAATGATATGGCGTAAGTGGGGCCGATACACAAGCTGCGAACACGTTTCGTTTGGCAACCACTTCTGGTCATGTCATTAGCCACATCTCTGTTTCGCTTGTGTCCATTCTTCTGTCTGTCGTGCCCCTAGCTCCTCTGTGTTTGTGTACTCACCTCTCCTTAGCACGCTCCTCTTCGAGCTTCTGTTCCTGCTTCTCGATGAGCCGCTTTGTGGTATAGCTTATGACCACGTAGGCCACGGCGATGAGGCCGGTCGACACGGCCAGCCGTTTCTTGTTTCGGTTGAGCGACTGAAGCATGGTAAAAGACAAGTCTGTCGTGTGTAGAGTGCCAGAGATTTATCATCACCCCGCTAAACTCAAACTGAACGTGACGTGACCAAGTCATAGGGCCGAGGTTTAATGAGACTGGGGGTGTGAATGGATGTTGGTAGGAATGTAAGTGGTGGCATCACGTGACTTTTCTTCTGGTATATCGATATGGAGTGATATGGGAGCCTCTGGGTCGACTGTAGCAGTATTTGTAGTGTTTTCACTATATATTATCACCTCTCCACCTCCCTATATGCCACCGTTGTACCTCTCATAGTGTGAATATCCTGGTTGCTTGTATCGGTACTTGTAGCTGTAATGAGGGATCGGCGAGTATAAATGATAGTAAAAGTAGTTGTACCATGGGTACGACATGTAATCTACAAGGGAAGATGTCATTTCCATTCTAAGTCATTGGTTATCAACACCAATACAAACACTCCACTCTCAACGACACGTGTTGCTTTTTCACGACCATCAATCCACCACACACAGGAATCGAACCTACAAGTCCCAACCGACATATTTTCAGATCATACATAATCCTCGAGGCTCGCTTTAATTACCATCCACACAAATGATCCATAATATGGCCTCCAGACGGCTGGTGGTCCGGCCGTTCAACATGGCCGGCCACCTGCGAGCCACATACGCCCCCGTGCGATTTGCATCAAACAACGCCTCCAAGAGCCAGCGTCTTGAGCTCAAGCACATTGGTATCATGAATGAGCCCATTATCCCCCTGTCCCATGCCCCCTGGACCAACCCAAAGGGTCTGGTGAAGCACTTCTACCGACGAATGTACGCCTTTGTTGTTAACACATTCAACGTGGCACAGTACCGTCTCAAGACCAAGAAGAAGCCCCGTTTCACAGAGTGGAAGAACGACGCTATTCTCAACTACATTGCCGTCAACAAGGCCTTTGCTGCTCGAGAGCTTGAGTCTGTTGATGACAAGATGAACACCTGGGTCAAGAAGGCTCTTGTCGAGCGATCCAAGACTCTCCCCGACGACGTCAAGTTCCAGTACGGCCCCATTGAGTTTTCCAAGGTCCCCAAGGTGGTCAACTTCACCTACCTGCCCCTGCCCAACCACGCCCCTGGTATCACTCTCATCATCTATCGATTTGACATGACCCAGAAAATTCTTCGGTCCCAGCGACGATCTGATGAGGTCAAGACCACCACTAAGAAGTCCACCGAGTACATTGGCTGTGTCTACGACAACACGTACTCGCCCGCCAAGTGCCTGCTGGCCGGAACCGTGTTCGAGTCCCCCATTGATATCCCTCTGCCCGACCCTGACATGTCTGATGAGCGAGTTGTCATCCAGTCCATGCACGACAAGGGAGACATTTTCCGAGAACCCAAGGCTATTAAGGCTTAAATGTACATAAGAGAGCGAGCCCGAGCAATGCAAAGGCCAGCGACTGTAATAAAGAAATTAATCGATCATAGAAGTAGGGATCCACTGATGTCATTGCCCACTTGCGGGACCCTGTGCGTATTAAACTGTCCAGCGAGAGTACCAAGCGTGCCTGTTACACCCAATAAGAAAAAAGAAGTGAACGAATCAAAGTACAGTAGGAATCACTAGGGGCTGTACTTGAAGCACTGGTACGTACTATGTAACACTCATATAGTAGCTATTGATACAAAACAACTCGCTCAGAGGATCTTGAATAACCCACTGATGCTACAGGTAGTCCTGGCAACAGCATACTGTTTAAAATCGTTTAATGAACCAGTACACCCGTTAATTATGTACATACTAAGAGCACTTGTAGCAAGTGCTTATTCCGCGGCTACAATCGCAATTGGGCTCTATCTACCTATCGACATTACAGTATGTACTTTAGTTGCACTTGTGACCATGTACTGTACATATTCTCAGCTACAATGGCTTCTCAGCCCTAAAATGCTTCAGCTCTACGACATACCAGTCTATAATCCTTTGGCTATTTCGGCTTAGTGAGAAACACCAGTGGAGTGACCCTGGGGGACGTGGCTCTCAGCAGCATCGACAGCAGACTGGGCCTGGGCCTTGAGAGAGTCGGAAGGTCCGCCGTGAGGCTGGATGTTGACAAGCTTCTGAGCGAGGGGCTTGACAATGGCCTTGTAGACAAGCTCGGCACCTCCGTACTGGGGGAGACCAATGTACAGAAGGAAGGCGGTCTTGAAGAGGTAGTAGAAGGGCACCCAGTAAAGGATGGCCTTGGACCAGAACTCAAAGACGTTGAGGGTGGCGAAGACAACCCAGTAGGTCAGGTACTGAGTGTCATCGGCCTTGCCGGGGGTCTCCAGAGCCAGCAGAGAGTAGTAGCCGGGGATGACCAGACCAGCAATGTTGGACAGAAGCTGACCAATTCCTCCAATGTTGAGGAAGATGAGGATGAAGTAGAATCCAACGAAGCCAAGCAGGATGTAGGACTTGGGGACGGCTATTGTTAGTTGTGGTTGGGGAGGCACTGTGGTGATCACATGAAACTAATCACAGGCACTATTGACAGTTGCACCTGTCTTTGCATAACAGCAGTTTTGGGGAGTAATGGGAAATTATCTGAATTGTTTCTGTGCACTCCTGTCGGTTATCAGCTGCTCATCGCAGCTGTCTGTGTAACATGTAACACTGCTAACACGTTCCAATCCGATCACAAAGATCGCATTGATTGCAATACTCACGAATCTGCTTCTCCAGCTCCTTGAGAGCAGGGTACTTCTCGAGCTCCTTGTCAATGTTCTGAAGAGCGGCCTGAACCTGATCAATGATTTGAGACATGTTGAATATCGTCGGTGGTTACGTGGAAAATGAAAGTTGCAGACTGGACAGAAGAAGGTCGACGCACATGGTTCGGTAGGGTAAGTGGGCGGTGAGAAGACTCTAAGGGGTGTCTAGAACAAAGAGAGGGGGAAGGTCCAAAACTCTGTTTGGCTGGACAATGAGATGCGATTAGTCTGTCAGAGATGCAGCCGAGGTCGTGTGAGCGAGGTGCACGACAGTAGAAAGTCACGTGAAACACGTGATACATACACTCACCTGGAAGAGTCACGTGATAACCTTGCCCCGGTATGTGGTATAGAGCGCACTTATCTATGCGTTATTACGATGCTATCAGAGGTTCAAACTTCTCATATTATGAAACGATTGTACATACCTGTAATACATACTGGTGCGTACATGTTGACGTGGTAATATTTGTCGTTACAGCATGTACGGGTATGTGGTTTTTTACGATAACTGTACACATCTGTACATTGGGATGAAGTAGTAAAACAAGGCGTAGCCTACCGTACCTGTGCGACGGGTGACGAGTCGTATAAAGTCGACACCTGTCCTCATCGTACACTATCTCGCGCAACTCGTACGGTACATACACAATCTATTTCTGGAACATGCGTGCGGCTATTGTGACAACAGAAGACTGTAGAACATAAAACACGTGAGAATTCATACTTGTGGATAGAAACACTCGGATATTGTAGTGTCGAGATCCAAAACAGTCACGTGACTTTCACATGAGAACGCGACCTCTTGACTGTAACCCCCCAAACACCAGTTACTACTTGTAGTACAACTCGTACCACACTCCACCATATACGTTATTCAACATACACAACTGCAAGTCGAACGTTGGGCTCCGTGGATCTTAAAATAGAAACTTTTGCGAACCTGACTTGCGCCCGGGAAACGCTCATAGCAACTGCAAATATGAGACCGATGAGGAACCAGACGTAGAGTCACAGGACCATGAGTTAGATGAAATCATTTGATTTCCTTCTAGTGGCCCGCACGTGACCTCATGGTCCTCGTAAAAAAACCACAGCACAGACTGTGGAGGACACTCTGGGACCCACTGACCAACCTTTGATCAACGGTTCCTAATTCTTATTAGCTTAAGTAGGTTATCACGAGACCTAAAAAGAGAGCTATTGTAGGCGATTGGGTGGACTTAGAGAGACGGCGAAAAGTGCTACCGAAACAACACTGCCCGAATATCTATTTTTCACACCCAAACGCGCCCCTTCTACGACCCCTCACTCGTGCACAAAGTGCCCGCGAACTCTGATACCCATAGAATTTACAATCATCTGATATGGTTGCAGCACATCCACAGTGGAATTGGGACATTCGCTGCTTGGATGTCCAAACAAACGGCTCTAAATTGGGGAGACAACTAGCGTCGATCTTTGGCGGGAAAAAAAAAGAGACGCAAGCTAATGGAGAAAAAATATATATATAACTAGAGGTAAAGCAAGGTCGGACAGACGGCTGAAAGAGGACGGATATATACATTCAAATCGTCGCCATGTCTCTCTCACACAATCAAAGTTGTCATGCAGATTCGCTTACATCGTACCTCGCAACCTAACTCAATTTCCCCACCCCACTTGCCAGTAAAAATGGAATATGACAGGGGGGAGCATTCAGAAATACAGGCACAACAGAAGACCGTAAAAACCACCTAATATACATTGCTTTAGTTACTTGAGTTTCATTATTTCCATCAGAAACTGCTCAAAAGACAGGTTGACGTAGCCCGTGTGATCCGTGTCATACTGGACAAACGAGTCTGTCATCCTTTTTAGCGAAATACAGCTCTGGACAAACAAGTCAAAGCCAATGACTCGCTCACCAGAGCTGTTGAAGTCTGAGTACTTGCTGTACATGAACTGGATGAAACTGTTAGACAGACGGTATCCAAATGCCTCCAGGGCTCGCACGTACTCGTCGTACGAGATGGATCCGCTCTTGTCCAGATCAAACTTGTCAAACAGCTTGCGCCAGTCGCCCAAGTAACGCCACAGGTTGCAAAACTCCTTGAATTCGATGGTTCCATTGCCGGACCGGTCGAACATCTTGATCATGACTCTCACCGTCTCCATATTGAACTTTGTAAAGTCCCCGTTGACAAGAGCGTTGCCCAGCTCCTTTTCCGAAAGCCGGCCATTGTTGTTCTTGTCCACGCCGTTGAACAGCATCTTGAGATTCACATCAGGTAAAGGAGCGTATGGAATAGGCGACTGTGTTCCTGGCTTTGTGCCACCGCTGTTGCTGTTGCTGTTGTTGTGGCGACTGGGAGGAGGTCTGTTATTTCCGCTGGGTCCTCCGGCCTGATGCATGGGCGGAGGCTGTTGCAGCTGCTGGTTGTGAGACCGTGGGCTGGGTCGTAGCGGCTGTCCTTGAGGTGGTGGTGGAGGGGCAAAGTTGTTGTTGTAGCCGCCAGGGCCACCGCTCGAACCTCCTGACCCTCCCTGGTTGTAGTTGTTGTTGTAGTTGGAGTTGTTATTGTAGCTGTTGTTGTGGCCCTGGTTGCTATGGCTGCCGCCCGAGGGCTTTCTGGGAGCCTGATGACGGTTGGGGCCGCCAGGAGGAGGCCGTCCATACTGCTGCTGCTGGGGAGGTGGAGGGGGAGCGTCCGAGAAAGTCTCCCCAGGGGTGGGGAAATGGGGAAGGTCGTCGTTACCGCCACGGGGATTGTTGTAGCCGGTGTACATCTGCTGTCTCTGTTGTTGCGGTGGCGGAGGTCCGTGTCTATACGAAGGTGGGGGTTGTGGGACCGAGCTGAAGGTCTCCTGGGGAGTGGGAAAGTGCTGTGTTAGGGAAAATGGAGAGGAGTACGGGGGAGGTTGTCGATCGGGAACACTCACGGGAAGCTGGTCGTATCCCATGGCATTAGCTGGCGAAAGAAAGAGGTTTTTTTTTTTTTTTTTTTTGGTTAATAGGAGGACAAAAAAAAGAGAGTGAGAAAAAGAGAGTGCCAAGGATCGTGGGGGAGAGTGTATGTATGTCTTGCAACTGTGGAGTATAGAGTCAGGGCCACACTCCCACTTTGACTTTCTTCACTATGCCTAACAACAAAGCTCTTTGGGACACCCATGCTGCAACCCTAACCGGGGTTTGAATTCAATCTGACATGCAAGCATTACAATCGATAACCAATTAAATTATTTATTGACCATGGACGAGGCGCTACGGAAACAGCAATTCAGCCAACTACAACCACTCACAGTGGCGCTATCCAAGGAAGTTCTGTTACCGCCAAAACAACGACTACAGAAGCAAGATGCCATCTACACTCGCCTCAAGGACCTAAGGGCGTTCCTACAGCAACAAGACCTGATTTGGTCCAAGAACCTCGCCGATTACACATTTTTCCCCATCATGCATCTTCTACAAGGAATAACAGACATTTTAGACCTCCGCGACGGCATTCGAGAATGTATTCTGGCTATCATCGACATTCTGATCTCAAAAGTGTGGAATCTGGACATGAATCAGACCTTAGCAAGGGAGCTACTGTCTTTGTCTGCAAACCTATCATCTGGAGATGACGACAAGACTAGCGACGAGACCAGATTGGAAGCGGCTAGATGCTTTGGAGGTATTTTCCCTTCAAAACCGGCTCTAAATGATGTGGGCCCTATCATCATGCTGCTACTGCAATGGGGAGAGAAAGGCGGGTCTGTGGAGCTACGTGAACAATCATGGATGTCTTTATTGGCACTATTTGAGGGACTGAGCAGCAAGGAAACCGCCCAGATCCTTCCGGGAGTCGTCTCTGGAGTCTCAAAGGTTGTCAATGGGCATTACAAGGTGGCGGTGGCCGCCCTCAAGGTGCTACGACAGGTGACGGTGACCGCACTACACAATGGATGCAAGGATGATGAAAAGTGGCTTGAATACACCCGAAAGCAGTATTTGGTGACCCTAAAGATGATATCTACCCGTAAGCACAACCAGACAAACACTCAGTTGATCCTATTGTGCTCAGATATCGTTGGAAAATGCAACGAGAGCCTGGAAAACTGCTTGCCTATCTGTGTCGATATCCTGCTTAGCTTAGACGCTACTGAAGAGTTTATCAAGTACCAAAGCAAGCTTGAAACGGTGCTGGACGAACGAATGTATGTCTGGTTGGACAATCTGCCGTCCCTACTGACGAGAAACGACGATACAGAGCCACTGGCGGTACTCAAGTGTCTCAAGGGGGGCATGCAACTACAAAAGGACGACGGATCCAGAAGTCTGCTGGTGGAAAAGCTGGTCGAAGCGGTCAATAGTATCAACCAACATGCCATTGCACCAGCCAAGAACAAGATGCTGTCTTCAGATACACCAATCAACTTTGTTAAGCATGAAGGAATTAACAAAAGAGCAATTCAGGTCGATCATAATGCCAAGCACGTCATGCCGTTCAGAGGCTTCGGTATCACCACGTTACTCAATGACGAAGTCCAGACTGCGCTGGAGGAGGTTGTAGTTGCTGCAGATGTATCTTTCGAGGATATCCAGTCCTCCGACGAAGTATCACAGTTATGGATGTCCAATCTGATGTTGAAGTCTGACGACTGGCTTGTGGGGATGCCTGGTGACAAGTTTGACGCCTACGAGCTGGAAAACTACTACATTGACGCTCTCAAATCCCCAAAGCAGCAGTATCAGTATCTTGCTCTTCAAGGAATTGGATTGATGGCTGCTCAGACACCTCTGAATGATTCGCTGATGGACATTCTGTACCCAATCCTTGCCCTGGTCCCTTCAGATCATGGATTAGTGAGTGATATGGCTCGAGAGACCCTCCTACAGCTGTCTACGACCTGTGGATACACTTCTGTACAGAACATGATGGTGGAGAACGCCGATTACCTCATCGATTCAATCTCGCTTGCGATACAGTCAATGGATGTTTCCCCTGGCACATTTCAGATATTGACAGTTTTGATCAAGCTGACTGGATCTGACATTGTGGGGTACCTGGATGACGTTGTTAAGACGCTGTTTAGGTTGCTTGACAGCTACCAAGGGTACCCCCAATTGGTGGAGAGTGTGATTGGTGTCTTCACGGCTCTGATCGAGGTTATGGAAGCGTCAGTCAAGGTAAAACGGGTGGAGGACATGAAGAAGAAGGCCCTGACGCTGGAGGGGGTGCTGGAGGAGCTACGTGAGAGACAGAAAATGCCTGTCGAAGAGGAGCATGAGTTCGAATCTCATCCCAACAAACCATTTGGGGAATCAGACGATAAGATGGATGAAGAGGAAGATCAAGCCCAAGCAGATGCAGGCGAGGAGTCCGAGAAGTGGACAGGAACACTGGCTAAACCTACATATAAACTTGTGAAGCAGATCTTTGACTACGTTCAGAATCTAATCACCTCTGACTCACCAAAACTGGTTGTGTCGCTCTGCAGACTGGTTTCTATCTGTGCTCCTCTACTTGCAGGCATTGATGAAGATCAGCAGAGCGAGTATTTGCCCAGCATCAACGATCTGTACCCTTTGCTTGAGAACGGTGCCTTCTCAGATGACATTGTGGTAGCCGAGTCGTGTTTAAGGACAATCAGTCTGCTCTTGCAGTCGGTCGACGCCTCGTTTATGCGGTCGAGAATGGTAGATCTGTTTCCTCGTCTGCAAGGTGCGTTCGACAAACTGTTGGGAACAGCCTCCTCAGCTGTCGACCACAAGACCCGACGTGCTTCCTCCCTTTTGTCCACCATGACAGTTGTGGTGGAGTCTGTCACTCTGCCCACCATAGTTTTGACAGCCGCGTGTTTTACGTGTCGAGCCCATTTGGCCGGCAGCACTTCCCGGGAGACTGTTTCATATCGCCGGGCTCTTGAAACCGCTAATCCGGACATGTATCAGCTGTTTCTAACAAGCACCTAAATGGAATACCTTCTCTAGTTAACGCCATCCAATAGAGTATCGCAGAGCACTACCGCATATCATTGTGTTACACGAATGTGTGTCTTGGCAACCCCCTGTTTTGTCCGTCGGTACCTTACGTGACAGACAAGTACGAGTACATGTACAAGTCCTTCAATGTGTGATTGTAGCTGTTGATAGGTGGGGTGGGGTCAACCACTCGTACATGTTGTAGCTTGAAGGAAAGACAGGGATCGTAACACCATGGTGTACTCGTAATTGTCGGCTCAGCGCTCCTATCGAGACGCGTAATTTACTCGTAATTGGCGTGGGATCGACACCCACCTCCTTCGATATCCCTGGATCGTCGGATTTTCACGCGCTCGTTTTCCTTGCACTCTTTTCTGCTGACGCTTGGAACCCGTCCATGCAGGTAATTGACTTTGGAGGTGCAGTAGTTCTACCGTTTGGGGAAATGGGCCTACGGGCGGGGTAGGAGGAGGTTAATAAAGAGGGAAAGTAAAAACGGCAATAGCAAGCAGAAAACCAGAAATAATCGGATAAAAGGCGTAATAAATAGCACTTGGTCCAAAAGAGGAACTTTTAACGCGTACATATGTCCAGACTCCTGGAAAATACACTCTGAGACCTCTCCCGAGCGATCCCGTGGGCTGCCCCTCACCGCGACTAACCCCCTGACACTTATATATAGCATGAACCCTTCACATTAGCTTTGGACAGACAAAGCTTGACCGAGGTAGGCGTTTGTGAGACTATAAGCGTGGTATATGTAGGAGGGGGCGTAGTGGGGGGAGAGAAGCGAGACATTAGCGAGTAGTAAGCGAGAAGTGAACCAAATAAATGAAGCGAATTTTGGCCAGAAAAAGATGCAAAATTGCACACGTCATGCGACCACAAACCAAGGAGACCCCTCCGGCCCCCACATGGAACTAGCACCCTTCCCATTATCCACTAAACACAGCCGAAGCATGGAGCTAAACCAAAACTCTAACCGAAACCAGAAACGATCTCCGTACACGAGGAGGCAGAAGGGAGCAGACAAAAAAAAAGAGAGTGGCCCATATATATACTTCGCGTGCTTCCCACAACTCCTCCTCTTCATCTACTACGGTCCTTCCTTAACACCACACACACACTCCTTAATAATGTCTGACTCGTCTATCAACCTGGCTACTGTCTCTCTGCCCGCCGCTGGCGACATTGGTTTTGGTACCTCCGCCTCTTTCCCCACCGACATCTCTGCTTTGCTTACCATGACCGAGACCTCCTACGACCCCGCCGCTGTCTCTTCTGCCGCCGCCGCTCTGATCCAGAACGGTGAGCAGCAGGCTTCCATTGACGCTGCTCTCTCTGGCCTGGCTGAGAACGGAACCTCCATCACTGACTCCGCCGCTCTGGCTATCCTCGCTTCTGCCTCTGCTCTGCAGTCCCAGAACGGTACCGCCGCCGCCGCCGAGGCCACCTCCTCCTCCAACGGTACCGCTGTTGCTGGTGCTGGTGCTGGCGACTCCATCTCTGTCGCCTCTGCTCCCTCTGGCGCATCCGGCGTTCTCACCAACTCCGTCCCTGCCTCTGACTCTGGCTCTGCCCTCGTCACCGCTTCCGGCTCCGGCAGAGCTTCTGGCTCTGCCAAGGCCTCTGGATCCGCCTCTGGATCCGCCCGAGCCTCCGGCTCCGGCTCTGCTTCTGCTGCCGCTGCCTCTGCCTCCGGCTCCACCGAGAAGGCCAACACCGGCGCTCACATGGTCATCCCCGCCATTCTGCTTGCCGCTCCCCTGGCCGCTCTTCTTTAAGCGATGAGTTAGATAGATATTTATTTAGTAATTGACCCTTTTGGCTAGTCCGACATTCTTAGATGCAGGTCAAGGTGTTTGCATGTTGGCTACAAACGATAGATCTACGGCATTCATTGTATAGGGTGCTATTAACCCCTCCATTTCAATCAACAACCATTCATTCAATCATACATGTATGTTCTTCACATTCATCGTATAACGGTCATTTTATTTTCCAGCTCGTGTCTCGAGCTCAATGTGAAACATAACAGAGACACAAGCTTGGTGGGATGAACGTTGGAATGTACAGGGGTGTGGCTGACTCTGGGAGACTCAATGGAAAGACGTGATTCAAGTGTGTGTTAGGCTACATACGACAGTGCGGCTGTAGAATAAGGAAGACATTCTATCTACAAGTAGTACCTGCCCACAAAACCTGTTAGCACACGGTACACGGCTGACCTGTCTACGGCATACTACAATACGACTAAACGGGTACGAGGGACCTTGTAAAAAGGTTAGGGCGCGTATTAGTGCACTTCGGAGGGCTAGGGCATGGTCCAGATGCTTGTAGCTTGTGCTATGGGTTGGGGGATGTCGCTGATGGTTGCTGTCCTGTTACAAAACACACCATCTGTTATTATTTACTTCCAGACACGCTCGTGTTTATATACGAAAACAAGGTTGCCGCTGTTTTCAGATGTAAACATTGGGAACCTAAACGAGGTGGTGAACATAAAGTTGGGATAACGTAAGACGAGAAATGTGGTTGCTGTGGTGATAGAACAGCAGTGAGATGCATAGACGCTTAGTCAGCTCAAATTGTATAATAGCGTTATCGGGTGTCTAATACGAGAACGAAACGAGAATATAAGAAAGACGTTCTGTTGACCACTACATGTGGTCGCTACTCGTCCCGTCCCAGTAGCTACGTACATACTGTAATGTGTGCTGCTATGGTTTCTGAGTTGCACGGCTATGGGTACAAGTGCTTCAGAAAATACGATACTCATTGGAGGACCAAGGAATATAGACAAAAGTTTGGAACATCGATCAAATGAGATCGGATGGTGGATCCCAGCTATATTTTCATATCATATACCATGTACAGTAATATCCCATAATGACCCAGAGTGATAATACTTGTACCTACAAGTAGAAGTACATACTGTAGTTATGGTGTCTCCAGCTTTCCAAACATCCTGAGCTTCACTACTTGTAGTCACACGGCTGCAGATTTGGAATGTATCAAGATGTTCTGGATTTGATCGTGACAGTACATACTGTGCAGTAGCCGACGGACAGTAATATACATGAGTGCTTTTTGACTAATTCTCTGCTTCCCACAGGACTGTACCGAGTTCTGTCGATTGTAACTGACATTACTTGATATTCTTCTTGATAACAATTTCAACCTTGTTAAGCGAGGTGTAATACAGCATTAAAACAGCATCCTAACCACTCTGCTACAAGCGGTAAAGAAGCACTATAGATACACATACGACAATACAACAGCCAAGTACGACTCTGTCTCACGCAGTGCCAATTTCCCGTAGGAGCCACTGTATGATCGATTCACCCCAATACCCCTTTCCTCATCTATGCACTCAGTGGATAGTACACTTACGCTTGCCCAGACGGATGGTTACTCGGACCGATCGACCAATAAGAGAGCCGTTGTTGCAGAGCAGTCACTAGTTTAGCCTTGTATATGTCCGCGAAACACCAACACGTATCAGCCAACAAGTCAAAGGCATAGACACACTCAGTCCCACCTCTATAACAGCCTAAGAATGGTCCCATTCAGCAACTACTGGATGCAATTTGCTGTCAATTTTTACAACCTGGTTGTCTGCCATGCACACATTTAACTCAATCTGCTTTTCAGGTGCCTTTCAGGTGCCTCCTTTTCCCCCAATGATAGACGTTAAAATTTGAGCCTTTTGAGTGTGCACTAATAGCGAGTCTGACTGTATTAACTACAGTACAAGTAGATGAATTTTAATGCCGCCGGACGACGTAAACAAACACCACGCCGTTATATGTCATCTGGTTGTGGTTCTGACAGGCGTGCTTCTCGTAAATGCCGCAGGGCATCGCTTGGCGGCCTATTTGCACATGACGCCGCATCATCGGGGCAGACGACATTAATATCCCGCTCCTACACAAGAGCTCTTTACCCAAAAAGGAAGGCGGTCTTTGTTGGTGTGTATGCGCATGTCTCTTTTGGGCCGACTTATGCCGTTTATACACCCACAAACAAAATGTAAATACTAACTCCGAGGGGTCCGAAAAACTGTGGAGGGCTGAAGACTGAGCAATTGAAGCTGATAATATGGGTCCTGAGCGGACAATTACTGTTTTCCTGGTTTTACTATCACTTAATTCCTTCTCTATCAACCCCTTTCTCGCTCCGTTAAGTTGCACACACCCGTGTGTAGACACTTTCTCGGAATCCTAATTGCGCGATTTGGCTCGCTTTGGCTCACAGCTTTCTCATATATACTCTCTAGACCCATCTCACTCCACTCTCCTCCCACACACTTACCATAATGCTCGCCCTCGCTCTCCTCCCCGCCGTTGCCCTGGCCGCTTACGTGCCCTCTGACGCCGAGTTCGCCACTGCCACTATTGCCACCCACCACGGTGCCAAGGAGGCCCCCTACAGCGCCATTGGCCCCGATGCTACCTGGACTGCCAACACCTCCGTGATCGCCACCACCTCTTCCAATCTCGTCTTCGCTCCCCAGGACGCTGATGCTACTGGATCCGATTCCCAGCCCGCATACTTCCCTAAGGCAGCCACCCACCACAAGAAGAACGCCGGTGCCATGAAGACTGCTGCTCCCATCGCTCTTGCTGCCGTTGGCCTGCCCCTTCTCTTTTAGATTCGAAAAGCGCATATAGACTCAGTAATATTTATCTAATGACGAAGGCCGTGAACGGCCGAACTTCTTGCAGTCACATTTGCAGTGGTTTCAAGTTTCTACAACTACAAGTAGGACGAGTATTCGTATTTGTAGCGTGTTTGTATTCATTCTGGAATCTACTGATCGTGACAATTGTAAACAATGTAGATCGATTGGAACACTCTTGCTGGATGACCCGTGTGCGTTAGCTAACACGCCGGAATCATGAGCTGATTCATTATTTAGGACAAATACGAGAATAAGGAGTTCTCTCAACGCTCACGTATTCACGATGAAACATGACTTTGAAGTTCCTGAATCATTTCCGCCTCGCAATGTTTATTTACGTACGCTAACCCGATGTAGAGTTGGTGTCATAGCGGTGTATGGAGCTAAATGAAGAACTGTGTCGAGTTGATAGCTCAAGACGAAGTGTAGAGATAGGAAAAACAATCAATAATTGTGTGTATTTGTTCCATTCTGCAGGCCAATCGGGGGTGTACTCTTACTGTAGTTAAATCAGGGTCTAGAAGTTCCGTTTGAGCTGGAGACACCAGTGCCATGCATACGCCTTTTTTTAGTAAAAAAAGTGGGGTAGAATCCTTCATTATATTGATATCGAGGCTATTTAATACACAATGAACTTATGTAAATGGTTGTATCTATCTCATTAACAAATCTAACCACCTGTCACAGTCCAGCTAACCCGTTATTCATCCACACTACAAGTAGTCAAAATTTTCACCCCTGAATTTACAATTTCACATTTCGTTTCTCGGAGATGAGGGACACGGCTGACGCTGTCTGTGGATCATGTTGCAAATCGCTCAGATAGTCAAAACTCAGCGAGGCTTCTGGTGCGGATTTACCGAGCGCCGTTCACGAGCTGGCTAACTGATGCAGCGAAGAGACTAAATACATCGCGATTCGAGGCATTACGGACTTAAGGAATTGTGGATGCCTCAAGGGACCGTACAATGGACAAACTACAATTGTAGTAGAGAGGAATATTTGTGCAGGGAGAAAGGCACAAAGTGTGCTTGGAGTACAAGTACCAGTACGAATACTGTACGTGTAATGTTCAGCGAATGGACTGATATACAGGAGGTTACGTGTAGTTATCTTTCATAACACTCATAGAAGCATGCATCCTCTCACCATGATACTTCTGAGGGCACGAGTAAAAAGTAGTTGAATCAAGGTAAAGAACGAGTTGCAACAATCAGATGACTATTCCCCTATCATAACCTTTAAGGCTGCTCTTCCTGGTCTATGGTGTACCATGAAGTTCCAGTACAGTATGTACTTCTAGTTAGCCCATCAACACTAACCTATACACTAGAAACCATATACATTGTATTCTGTAGGAGGCTCTCGGGGTGGTATCCGTGTCTCGCTTGATTCATGATCTACTGTACATACTTGTGTACTCGTACTCGTGGTATAGACCGCTCCACTCACAAATATCCTCTCACTACTACGAGAACTCATACTATGTACACAGTATTCACATATACGTGAATATACAGTATTTTTTCAAACATCATTAATTATAATAAATAAAGGAGTGTTTCCAAGAAATAAATTTCTTGAAACGTTCTAACACCAGGCCTTGTAGACTCGGTAGAACCACTTGCGCTGGGAAAGCTCGTATCGCTCCTGCTCAAGCTCGGCCTCCAGCTTGACCAGATCGGTGTCACGTCGTCCAGTATCGATATCGAGCTGGTCAATGGAGAGCCAAGGGTCTCGCTTCCAGACGAGCCAAACGAGAGCAAAGAAGAGGACGACAGGGGCAGCGAGGTAAGCGTTGAAGAAAGCCTCAGCAGTAGGCTTGGGGGCTCCAATAGGGAACAAAGCGATCCAGAACTGGGCGATCAGAACCAGACAGTTGAGAGTAAGACCAAGAACGGAACCCCAGATACCAAGTGCAGCAGTGAAGACAAGCTCTCGGGTGGTTCGTCCTTGTTTCTTAAGAGCCAGTCGGAATCGGATATGACAGAGATTGATAGAACCCCAAGTGAAGATAGAGGCGAGACCAGACAAAGCCATGAGCCAGCCAAAAACGGCGTTCTGGGTAGCGACAGGAGCGGCACAAATGAAGGCAAACAGACCCCAAAATGAAACAACGAGAATACCGACAATGGGCCGTCCCTGTCGGTCAATGTAGGCGAACCACTTGGGGGCATGGCCCATAGCAGCCAGACCAGCAATGGTTCGAGAGAAACCGTAGACAGCGGAGTTACCGACAGAAAGAACAGCAATCATGATAACAACATTCATAACGGAAGGAAGACCAGAAATTCCAGCGTTTCGGATGGCAATGACGAAGGGGGAGGCAGTGGCATCGACGGAAGAAGAACCCTTGAGAAGATGGGGTTCATCGAAAGGAACAAGGAGACCGACCAGTGTAAGAGAGACGATGTAGAAGATGAGAATTCGCCAGAAGACCTGCTTGGTGGCGGAGGGAAGCATCTTTCGGGGGTTCTCGGTCTCGGCGGCAGCCAGACCTACCAGCTCAGTTCCAGTGAAGGCGAAGGCAGCAGACACGAAGGTAGCACAGACACCCTTAAACGCGTGGGCAAAGGCTCCTCCTCGGGGTCCGACGGTTCCCTCGGGAAGTCGGTGCCACCACTTACCTCCAATGTAGCCCTGATGGGGTCCTCCTCCTGCGACCAGCACGATTCCGAGAATGCAGAAACCGAGAATGGCAACAACCTTGGTAAGAGAAAAGACAAATTCGGCTTCTCCGTATCCCTTAACTCCAAATAAGTTGATGCAGACAATCAAGGCCCAGAAGATGGCGATCCAAGCGGCGTTGTTAATATCTGTGTGGTTCATGTCCTGCCAGAAGTTGACTGTGATGGATGCGGCGACAAGTTCGAGAGGAAGCACAACAAACCAGGACATGGTATAATTCCAGCCCATGGCAAAGCCCCAAGCGGGGTGGATAAATCGAGTAGAGTAAGTAGCGAAAGAACCAGCAACAGGGAAGGTACAAGCAAGCTCACCGAGAGCGTGGACAGTGCAAAACAGCATGACTCCAATGATACCGTAAGCAATCAGAAGAGCGGCAGGGCCACCGGTGGCCAGGGAAGTTCCAGAACCGACAAAAAGACCGGTACCGATAGAACCACCGATAGCAATCATCTGAAGATGTCGGGGCTTGAGACCTCGAGACAGGGGAGAGTTGGCAGTAGCAAGGGCGGCCTTCTCGACCTCGGTCATGCCTGTGGTGTCGTATTGCGACAGATCAGCGGGCTTGAACGAATCCTTGAAGTTCTGCCACTTGCCAGCCTTGTGCTCGTGCACAGAGCCGATGGCTGAGGGCTCATCGTCATAAGCCGGAGCATCCTGCTTGGAGTAGGAAGCCACCGATGCGGCGTCTTGGTTTTTTTCAATGTCGTTCATAGCACAGGATGAGTGATGGGTCTCATTACGTAGGATTGTATGGCTCTATATATACGTGATGAGTTCCCCACAACAGGTGTATGAGTAGTGTGAGAAATGTGAGTTTATTGGGTTCATACGTCAGAGCGAAGCTTAGCCCGTAATAACCTCCTAACGTTAATGTGTTTGGAACGCTAATATAGATAGCTCTAAAGACGGCAGTCCAGAGCCGTGCTATTTAGATAAGGCTTGGAGATAAGAGGGGATGCTTAATATTACGCTGTGTCCGTGCCTTGTGGGCGCGAAACTGACATTTTTACTGGGCCCGCGTATCTGGTCCTCTAACCGATATATGCCTCATAGTGCATGACGTCTTTATTCCGCAAGATGACAAAAGTAAAATGACCCCGGTGGGCTCGGCATAAAGTTGAAATGACCATGCAACCGACCCTTCGCTTGTTGGACGCATGGTTCCTTGATAAAGAGGCTGGGCTGTGATTGGCTACGCGCCAGATAAGTTGACGCTCCAGAAGCATGGATCCAGCGTTAGCAGCGATATCGGGGGGTGATAAGGCTGTGCCATGTGACGCTGTGTGGCTGTAGGGAGGCCCCAGCGGGTGGCTATAGGTAATGATATTTACGGGGATTGCTTGTCTCAGTTCAGTTGCCTGACATACCCGACTATAACTAAAGCCAACCCTGTTGACCTCGGCCAGCTCCCCTTGTCTATTGATGAGCACAAGTCGCTATCTGTTGTCCTTCTCCTTTTGGCTGTCAGGAGCTTATACTGCTGCTAAAGATGATAATGAAAAGAAAAGTCTAGCGACTGTAAAAAAGGCAAAAACATTGCCACGCGAGACAACGATAAAGTTTGCCGACTGTCCAAAGTCGGTTGCAGAAATCGAAAAGTCGACTTTGTGGTGTGAGAATGAAATGAACTTGATTTGAAATAGATGGAATAGAACCGATACATTTCGTCTTTCCAACATTCAGTGCATTCAAAGACGCTTGGGAGAGTTGGCGCTCTGGATCTAGAGGTTTCACACTAAACACACCGCTAACCAATAAGCAATGTGGGGAAGAGTTTGAGGAGAAGGCTGGCACGAAAAACTACGTCGCGTTTGTCTCGACGTCACGGAACGGCATCGCCGCGGCTCATCTGTCTCCATCTTTCTCAGGTCACGTTATCAACTTTGCCAAGCCTGCAAACACGCTGTCTCCCTCTGACCACCGGGCAGCATTTCGTTACAAGCTCCTTTTTTGAACATTCACATTGGCCAACAGTCCAAATAGCAGAATTTACGCAGGTGTGGTGTCGTCATAGACCCGTATGTTGGGACTAGCATGACACTAGCCGTTCCAGATCGTAAGGCTCCAATAGAGAACATGGCGGGGGAGAACACAAATCAATTACCGTGAGACCCCCCATGAGGGGAAACAAAATGGTAAGCCACAGAAATTCGGATGTCCAAATGCCGAAACTGCCCCAAACTGCCTGGTAAGGTAATCCAGCCTCCAAGTGGGTCTTCGTCCCCTCGTTTCAAGATGCAGTATCTGTGTGTACTGTAGCTACTTGTACATGGAACGTTGGCAGGAGTATGCACTACACTTCTGAGTACATGTCGGGAGCAACACAAGGAACGTACAAAATATCGTACTCGTACATATCTCGTAAGAGCAACGGGTTTCATTCTCAATAGTCGTTTATTTAACTATTGCGATAATATTTCATGGCTTGGCGATGATGTGACAGGAAACGTCCCCTCATTCCATCAAAGCTTGGTGTAGGGTGCCTGGTAGACAAGGCGCTTGACAGGTGGCGTTCCTACAACCCAAATTCAACAGGGTTAAGTTTGCTAACAGAGTTGCAGGACGTTCATTTGTCAGTTCGGGCCACTCGCTCTGGGGCACCCGACCGATATTATGCACGTCAAAAACCGTATGCACATTTAGGCTCCAAAGTGTGGAGCGCCCGGCAGAGGGGCACGCAATAATTTCGTATTCGAACAAGGAGGGCGAAACAAGGAAGGACGGAAGGAAGGAAAGCGAGGCGAGTAAGGCGAGTGAGGTCTGCTCCCCCGGGAAGGAATATTGTTGTGTTGAGGGGATGGAAATGTCAAATGTATGGAGAAGTCGCGGCCCCAACATACTCTGGTGACTCAAGCCCACTTCTACGTATGTCTACTTGTAGCAGAAGATTCATTCCTTAAATCTAAGCCTCTCACATTCCCTCGCTATCTTACACGCGATTCAAACGTTTCCAGGAACTAAACGTCAAGAGGAGAGTCTAACCGACCGTGTCTTACTCCAAGTAGCCATATCAAAGCTCATCGAACTCTGTCTTTTTTTCCGCCCAAGGTCGGGTTATAGGTCCTCTAGCAGCAAGGCGGTAGTTATCAATCTACAAGTAGCCCAGAATCACAAGCCTGTTTAGACCAGAACGATGACCAAGAGAAACACACCAAGGTCACCTGCACAGAGGGGATGCTGAGTCTTACAGTTACGATTTTACCCATTGGCTGTGGTTAATTTGGATTCACAACTGTCAAATTTTTCGTCCTCGTATAGCGTCACGTGAGCCCAGGTCGAGGAAGACTGAGTTTTTTCCGGTTTTCCGGTCCGAAAAAACTGTTGTTATCACTGGCGATTGCCCAAGTTTGCGTCTTTCGGATAATTCTGCCTCCCCTCTTATCTATAGTTATGCTCGGCACCTTGGCAGAAGATCTAGGAAGTGATTGACATGCTGCCCCTGAGGAGAGCCTGAACTGCGGGTGATTGCGGGTGACAGCATAACAACTACAGTAGTTCGAATACCAGTTACCGTTGTGCTCCTTTTGGGATCCCCAACAGGAACGAGCGGGGAAATCACCTGAGTCTTCCTTCAGACTATAGGCCAAATGGACAAAAACAGACAGTGGGACTCTCTGCATTGTCACTGTTAATTCAGTAGATGCCTGATAAAAGAGACCTATGAAATGATGGTCGTAAGCCGGGTAAGCTGAGTCGAGAGTCGCTACGCTATGAGAAAAGAAATATGGAAACCATGTCTCAAAAGTAATTAGCAATAGACATGTTGCAAGTCTACATGTAGATAAGTGTCTGAGCTCTGATAGTATTATGCTTGTGGCTGACAGAGGGCGTCGAGATAAGAGTATTAAAACGAGATAGGGAATATTCATTTAACAGTACATACCCAGCGAGATCCCAGCGTACTGTAGCTCCTTCGGAGAACACACCCATTCGTCTCTGGCCACTGTACGTAAGAACTGATACAGGGTACAGCATGTACTAGAAGTAAGACAGATATTTCTGGATAGACGGAGTCCTTTATTTCTTCATTGAAGAAACGAAATGATGTGATTGGACTACATGGGTATTTGTTATCATGTTACTACTGTGGCAACTCAAAGGTCCACCCGACTAACACCATCCTCATACACCACCTCGTCCTTCCAGATTGAATACAGCACATCGTAACTGTAAATGTGCATACAAATTTTGCCCTGTGAAATCCCTACTAGCAGACGGTCGCTCATGGTGACGGTACAATCCCATGTGATCACCTTCCTCTCCAGCATGTCAATCACGTACTTGGCGTTATAGACGCCGTATATCACCACATATCTGTAATTCTGACAGGGGTCATGCACGGCCCACCAGTTATAGTCCATGGTGATGTTGGAGTCCTTCCACTTCTTCTTGTCATGGCTTGTATCGTACTTGAAAGACATGCTTGGAAGATTAAAGAACAGGTCCTGGATGACCATCATGCCCTCCTGAAACTGGTCAAATATCTCCCAGATGGTCCCGTCGTATATGAAGTAGAACATGCGCCTGAAGACTGGCTTTTTGCGACTGTACAGAGGAGTGGCTCCTGAACCTGCCAGAACGTAAAACTGCTCTATAAAATCTTCATCTACTGTTCGGAATATAGCCACTGATCCAGCTGCAAATACAAATGTCTCTGAGTCGAAATCTTTGTTGTAGTCGTCAACCACATAAGTCGTCTCCTGGCTCTCCGCATACTTGATCAGTATCTTGGGTTTCTTCTCGTCAATAAGCACAACTAGCATTTCAGGAGTCGACGCAATCATGTGAAAGTTTTTTGCTATTCCTTCGTGATGGATTGTCAGTCCGTACTGACCCGTGTACACATCGTCTTCAAACAAGGTGTCTATCCACCATTGCTCATTGTAAAGGTTGATGGTAAGAGGAGCCACTCGAAACCGCGTTGAGTCATGCAGGCCGTAGTTGTGGGTATCTAAGCAGGAGACAGAGTAGACGTTCTCGATATCCTGGGCTCGAAACTTGCCTAGACAGTAGAAGTCCCAGGGAAGCTTCTGGTCATGTTTGTGTTCACAAAAGCTCCAATCGAGGCTCAGAGGTGTGGACAGAGGTCGTCTGTCAGACTTCATTCGAGCCCTGTGAGTCAATGCACAGTCTCTGAAGGTTTTCCGGAACGTCAGACTTCTTTGAAACAGCGGGTTTGTGTCTCGAAGTGCCTCTTTGAAGTGATGGTCGGTAATGGCAGATCTCCAGTCTTTGCAAACCCAGCTCATGTCGACCAGAGTGTCGCTGTCAACGTACTGGGCAACAACGGCAATGACGTCAGGCGGCAAGCTAGCTGTAGCAGTAGTTGTTTTTGACATGGCGGTGGTTTGCAGTGTATGGATCCCGGACCTGGTACTCATATATCTCCAATGGGGCTGATTGGGGCTGTTTCCGGATATTGGGAAAAGTCGGAAAAATGGTGATGGAAATGATCTAGAAAGAAGGAATGATTTGAGAAGGTTGTCAATTTAACAAAAGGCTTCTTATTGTTCAAATTTCTTCTCATTCAATACCATCTACCAAAAATTGAGAGTCATGACAAAATTCTGGCACGACTCAATTCTGGCACGACTCCAATTTTTTGAGGTTGTCTCAGATAAAGCCAGATTATGCCTGTGGGGATATCAAGGGAGATGTTGGCATGTTGTGTGCCAATATTTTTACAAACATGCACAACGGCGTAGAACTACCCCATATTACGGAGAATATGATCCTGGAGGAATATCTAATCAAAAGACAGGCGTGGATCCAGGCTTACAAGATGGAAACGAAGGAAGCAGATGGTCACCTTCAAGCTCTCAGGGAAGAGATTGATAGTGCCTTCTGGGGAAGGAAGAAGTTGACTGAATGGTTGAAATGAGAGAGGAGTATTGATTGAGTCAGGTTTTGTGTTGAATTTTATTTGAATTTATTCGGTTTGTTCTGATTTTGTATTTACTCTGCACAGTGTTCGTATGGGCATTTGAGTGGGCTGCAATACTGGCATACCCCCTCCCACTGATGGTCTCGTCAGTGACATATTATGCATGGTGTTCTCGCACATTGGTGGGGTTGTTTCATGTCTTCCCCTCCCCCAAGTCCAACCATTAAGCCCCTAAATTCCAACCAAAAAAACCAACGAAGTAATTACATAATTACATTAATACGGGCAATATCATAAATTTAGCACAACTATTTGATGCGCACAGTACGAATACGCGAAGAGTGAGAATACCGTACAATAAACGAGGAGTCGAACGGAATTGATTGTCGGAGCAGGCTCCGCCCTTGGAATAAGTCTAACCACCTGCGAAACTACTTGTACATACAATGAAACACGTGGTGCCCAGTTGGGGCTGCTTGTTAGGATGAAGTCGAGATAGACGGCTCGCCAACTTGTGGCAAAATGGTGAGGCAGTAGCGGTGGAAGGATATATAAACAACAAAAGCCTACAACAACAACCTACAAAACAACCTAACATGACTTCTTCTACTACCAACAGCCCCAGAGCCCACCCTCAGACTCGACAGACCACCAAACGATCCATTCATGATGCTGATGGTGAAGATGAGAGAGATGTGAAGTTGCTAAAGTTCGACGATTCCAGTGACTCAGATTCTGATAGCGCATATTTCAGTGCTGACGACAAATTCGACTGTAGCTACTTCATCGACAGCGATTTCGCTCCCAGCGAAGACGAGAGCTCCTCTGTATCAACCTTCCTTAACTCCATTGAACGGGGATCCATCCCTTCCAGATTCAGCTTCACTGGTCCGGTGCTGTCTATTATTCAGGAAGTTGCAGACGGCGCATCCGACAGCGATGTACCTGACAAGAAGCTCCTACATCAACAGCTGGGGTTCGCAGAGAAGGCCAAAAAGCTCGGCTTTGGGGTGATTGAGAAGAGCGAAATCGACAACGTGATCAAGGAGAGAAAGAGACTTAAGAGCGACAAGAAGGACTTGACACGAGTGATCAGGAAGTTGGAAAACGAAATCGAGAAGCTACATGATTCGAGCGAGAAACGGGACGCAGACAACACCATGCTGAACCACAAGAACGGCACGCTGAAGGCTGAAATTACTGACCTCAGAGACCAACTTCAGGAACTCCACACACAGATTCAAACCCAGACTTTGACGACCATCGAAGGTAAGGAGGACGAGGTGGCTCAGAATCAAGAGAAGGAATATCAGGAGGACATAACAGTCGTAGGAGAAGACGAATTTTCTACGGACACCTCTCTGGACATCACCAAGACTCCCACAAAGATTAATCTCATTGCCTCCGTCAGTCTCAGCAGACACATGGAGATTCTTCAAGTCGTCAACCACCTCAAGAGCCTTTTGTCAGAACTGGCAGGATATAAGCAGTTAGTCCCAGCCAGCTCAGAGCTCGAAACGTACCTTCCCCAAGTCAACTCTCTCAGTGAACAGATCCACACCTTGGCCAATGCAATGTTCGAGTTTGAACAGGAGGTTTCTGAATCAGAGAAGCTTTTGAAGCATGGAAGTGAGTGGAGTCACCACTAGGACACTAACAACACACAAATTACAAATACTTGTGAGAATGAGATTGAGCAGGGTACAGTAGTCCCCCTTATAGCGTAACAGAACACAACTTCAAGTACATACTGTACATTCTGTACTTGTATTTTTATGCATGAAACTACAGTATGGTATGCTTGTACTCGTACTGTTTTGATACTTGTCCCACCACTCACGATTGGAAAATATTACAATAATAAATTATAATTACGTATATAATACAGTCTCTGTGTAAATGTGTTTGTGTCGTGTAAATGTCTCATCGCAGCTGTTCTACGCCCACATGTCATCCTCGTCATCGTCCCAGGCAAAGTTTTTGGACTCGGATAGCTTGAGGTGCTCCTCAAACTTGATTCGCAGAGCCTCCTTCTCCTCGGCAGTTGGCTCCTTGGGTTTTGAGGAAGCAGCTGTCTTTGCAGGAGCAGGAGTAGGCGCCTGTTTCTTAGGTGCCTGTCGTTCTGGGCGTTCCTGTCGCTCTGGCAGCCGTCCCTTTGGTTTCTTTTCGAACCGCGCGTCCAGTTTTGAGTGGTGGTCGGGTTTGTGGTGGTTCATCGAGTCCCGTCTGACGTGACCGTTTCGAGAGTTGCGTCGTTCTTTGGGCTCATTATTATGGCCGCTATGGCCGTTGTGGCCGTTATGGCCATTGTGCTGAGGCTGGGTCTGGCTTTCATCCCATTCACGAGTGTGGCCCATCTTCTTCTGTCGATAGGTCTCCCGCTCTCTCTCACGTAGTTCTCGTCGCTGCTGCTTTGCCACATCGTCGGGAACAGTCTCGAACGGAGCTACACGTGCTGACGGAGGTGCTAGGCGTGATCGAAGATCGTTGGCAGATACAGAGCCGTTCTTTTTGTATTCGGAAGCAGGACCTTTGGGAGGCGTACTGATGAGTGGCACATCCTTGGGGTCGATTTTTGTCTCTGTCTTTGCGTCTGTCTTTGTGTCAATCTTTGCGTCGCTCTTCTTGGCCCATCGTGACTGGCCCAGGGTCTTCCGGGGACTGGTGGTCGGCGTATGTGGCTCTTCCTCCTTCTTGGGTTCAGGCTTACTAAGACGAGCAGCAAAGGCCATCGCTGCTGGCGACATGGTCGACGAGTTGTCAACGTCGCTGTCGGACTCTGACGAGTCCTTCTCTGAAAAGACAGAGACTGTCGAAGAGGATACTGGTCTGTCGTTTTTGGAGGGCGAGGCAGCCGATTTTGCTGATGTTGTCGAGTTCTCAGTTTTGTTGTTCTTGTCTGTGTTGCTTGCGGCGTTTGCTTCCTTCAGCTCTGCCGCCTTTTTCGCCCATCTGGATGCCGATAATCCCGCCATGTTGTGTGTGATATATTGGAGATTTTCTGCGTGTGGTGGAGTGAATGTGGGTTTTGTCAAGTGGTGATTCTCACGCGCCTTATCAAAATTTCCCACCTGCATTATGCGAGTCAACCTCACAGACCCTTTGGACAATGTCGCAATGCTATACAACAGAACAAGAGCTAGACTATGGGCACAAAAAGAAGGCTAATCTGAATGTTAAACCAGTTGCTGTCAATTACAGCAGTATGGCTTCCTCATGAAACAATGACATTCCATTCATACCACCTAACATCCAGTTCTAGAAGGTCCTCTCTGCTCCCACTGTACAGTATGTACTGTCCTTCTGTTAACTTCTTTTAGCGTGCAGTTTGCCTCACCTTTTTGGGCAAACAAATTGATGCTTAGAGTTACGTTATTAGGCTGGTATGGGCTGGCGGTAGAACCTGACAAGCAGTGTGAAAAAAATAAAAAAACAGGAAGAAGCAAACACATGTGCCTGAAAGAGACAATAGTGGGGCGATTTCAAGCGTAGAAGTAACCAGAGTAAGAGGCGTACCAGTAGTAAGCGCTCTGTGTGATTGTCTTCTCTATCCTTACAGTGATCTGAGGAGATGAAGTGGGCGAGATCTCGCCAGAGTAGCTACAGTAGCTAGATGTTCATGAATGGTGGGATCTGCGTGAGTCAGTCTCAACAGACTTTTGAAGGGTCATTATTTTTTCTGTTTTTCCAATTGATGAAATCCCATGTAGCCAATTACAAGGAAGCTTACTAAGCAAGTGATAATTCATTAAGGAAATCATATTGTAAGACGCTACTGTACAAGCAATGTTTGCTTCCCGTTTTCTCTGTTTTCAAACAGGGCTACTTGTATTACAGCATTATTTAGTGTATTCCACACATCATTATCCTCTCCACGCACGTTATCCCAAGCTGGCTCTCACAACTTAATCAATCCCAATCCGTGATGCGTGAAACGCGTCTTCACCACCATGTCAACACTCGAAGAGCTCAAAGTACTACGCAAAAAGTTGTCTGACGCGCTCAAACGCAGCCAGGATGAAGCCAAGACGCAAAAAATCAAAGAAAACCTTGCCAAGGTGTACAAGAACATGGCGTCCAAGGTGGCACCTACAGACTTCACCAAAGCCATTGAATACTCCAAGTACGTCATTGATCTGATGCCGACACAAAGCCCAGGGTACCTGACAATAGGCAAAATTTTGCAGGAGAACAACAAGGATGACGCTGCTTTGAAGATGTACCAGATAGGGCTCAAACGGTGTCCTGAGGACGACAAGTTGAGACATGTTCTCAAGAGTCAGATGGAAGTGGTTCAGAGGAGATTGGATAGCAGTTTTAAGCAGGAGAAACCGACACAGACGACCCAGAGGACTTCAAAATCGTCACTGACGGAAACAGGGAGTCTTACCGAAGTAACGCCAAAGACATGCATAGATCCTATGACCACTTTACCTGCAGAGGTGGTGGAAAACATCTTCACGCATGTGCCGTTCCGCACCGTTGTGAGAAGCATGCGTGTATCTAAGACATGGCAGACGACCATCGAGAGCATGCGTCATGTTTGGAACAGCCGGATCAACTTCTCTGCTGCTCCCAAGGACCGTCCTGTGTCCGTCAAGGCTATGGAACGGTACTTCAAGCTGGCCACCAAGGCATCCCCCACAACTGACTTGGACGAGCTCAAACACGCCAAAAACAACATCCGTGTCATTAACTTACTAGGCATGCATTCAAAGTCGCAGGAGTACGCCATCAATCAATGGCTGGGGGCTTTCTGGTTCTCCATCGAAAGGATTAATTTATCTTTGGACGGGATCAACACCATCAAATTTGCATCTCACCTGAAGAAGCGAGCTGAATTGATTCCTGAACACCGAGCTTCGCCATCGGATACCATCACACATCTCAAGCTGTTCTCAAGCTCTACCAATGTAGATGCTCTTGTCAGAAACATCATCACGTGTATGCCTAAACTTATATCCTTGGAAGTTATCAACAATCACAACCAGAAAACGCTCAACGTGGTCACCCCAGAGCCCTTCAAGGCTCCTCTCCCACTTTCCCATCTGAGAGTAGAAGATAATACCATTCCTCCTCGACTAGGGGCAACCTTTGCTCCTAACGCATACAAAGAGATCGCCAGCATCGTCGAACACTGTTCAGACACACTGACAGGTCTATCACTGTCGGCCATTCCTATCGAATACACAAGGCCGTTATCAAAGCTGACACATCTGGAATTGGCAACAAGTAACCATCTGATGGAGATCCGCTACCTTCCCAACTTCATGGCCAAGCTGCAACACGTGAAGCTTGACAACCATCATACCCCGCATTTCCTTAACTCGTTGAACAAATCAACATCCCTGCATCAGCTAAAATCTCTGCATTTGGACCTCCTTGGACCTCTGAAGCTTGGATCTACCCTTGTTCCTTCCCGAGTCCATGATCTGTTCAACCTGTCTCTACCCAGTCTCGAAACACTGAGCTTTACAAACTACATGTCTAACATTGTTCCTGGCTGGTTTGAGCTGCTCACAGACCGTCTACCCACCCTCGTTCACCTTGATCTGACAAACTGCAAGCTTGGAGACATTGAGATGAACGCTCTCACCAAAAGGAACAAGCTAACCAACCTGGAGTTCATTGGATTGAAAGATACACAGGTGACTGGACCTTCTTTAATTGCTCTGGCTAAACGCAAAGTCGGTATGGACGTCACTGGCCTGGATATGCGAACAGACACTTTCAGGTGGTTGGCTTATGAGAGTGGAGTCACTGTGAAGAACGACCAGAAGTAGTAGTATATAAAGCAATTAGTTTCATTAACAAATGAACAAGTGAATAATGAAAAATCAACAGTACATGGTACAGGATCCGTACGTACAGGTAGGTGTAGTTAAAAATGAGCGACTTGTTGCAATATTGGCAGAGGGCCAAAAATAAATGGTCCCTAGCAGGATCGAACTGCTGATCTTCGCGTGGCAAAGAGGCTAACTTCTTATTAGCACGACGCCTTAACCAACTGGGCCAAGGGACCGTCGAATTATTACTCAAAAAATTGGACTTCCTTCTTATTCCTAAAAATGTGAAATTTCGCCGAAATTTGCTGAAATCTGTCTGAAGGTGCTTTTATTATAATACTCTACGCATTTTATATGTGGAAAGATGTTAAAATTCACGCTTACGTATGATTTATGGAACATTACACAAGTTAAAAGTTCAAAGAATGGGTTTAAAATGAAGATGTCGGGCCAGCTTTGAAGAAATCGTACTGAACGACATTGATAATACTTACAGGGTAAAGCGTAAGGCTTATAATAATTTAAAGGGCAATTTATCTACCATTTATCGGTCTTACTTCTACAAGTATCACTATCTTTGACATATGTTATGTTTGAATATCTCATCTATAAGTTACTGTAATATCAAGATCCTATTGTACCTACTGTACAGTACTATAGAGCTGATAGCTTATTTGACCTCGTGCTCCTTGTGCTCCTTGTGCTCCTTGTCGTCACCGTAAGCCTTGGTACCGTAGTGACCGTTGATACAGATGATATCCTGGGGTCGGTAGTCTTGCTTTCCTGAGAAGAAGACCTCAAGGATTTTCTTGGTGCCCTCAGCGTATCGGCCTTGGGCATCAATAGAAGTACCAGAGATATGAGGGGTCATGGCGTTTCCTCCACCGTACTTGTTTCGCATTGTTCTCCAGGGGTGGTCCTTTGGGGCGGGCTGAGGGAACCAGACATCACCACCGTAGCCTCGAATCTTTCCGGACTCGAGAGCCTCAACAATGTCCTCAGTGACACAAATAGCTCCTCGAGCGGTGTTGACGAGCCAGGCGCCATCCTTCATGTGGGAGATGAGCTTCTTGTTGAAGAGGCCCTTGGTGGAGGCGTGCAGAGGACAGTTGATGGTGACAACGTCACAGAGAGAGAGCATCTCCTCGAGAGACTCCACTCGTCGACAGCCAATCTCCTTCTCGACATCAGCGGGCATGGGCTGGTAGTCGTAGTAGAGCATCTCCATGGGGTCGAAGGGCTTGCATCGCTTGAGGACTCGCTGACCGATTCGCCCACCTCCAACTGTACCAATGACCTTACCCTCTAGGTCGTAAGAGTCCTTGGCGACAGCGGCAACGTCCCAGCCACCAGAAATGATCTGCTCATGAGCAGGGACGAAGTTTCTGACCAGAACAAGCATGGTCATGACAACATGCTCAGCGACCGACTGAACGTTGGAGCCAGTGACTTCAAGGACAGCAATGTCTCGGGCGTTGGCGGCATCTAGATCGACATGGTCAGAACCAACACCGGCAGTGATACAGATCTTGAGCTTCTTGGCCTTGTCAATTCTCTCCTTGTTGATGTAACCGGGATGGAAGGGGGTAGTGATGACAACATCGGCATCAACAATCTCCTTGTCGAGAACGGAGTCGGCGCCATCCTTAGAAGAGGTAGTTACCAGGGTATGGCCCTGGGACTCGAGCCAGTCTCGGATACCGAGCTCGTTTTCAGTGCATCCAAGTAGCTTGGGCTCATCCTTGGCGTGGGAGCCGGCGTCGTAGAGAACAAGAAGGACCTTCATTTTAGTTGTTGTTGTAGTTAGATGTAGTGGTTGCTAAAGACTGTGAGTCGATGAAGAAATAATGGATGGTGAGGACCTCTTTTTATATCTTTTCACAGTCTCCACACCATGTCCTGGGCATTGATCCGCGGTTTGCTCATTGTGCGGCGCATAAATACAAGGTTGGAGGATCCGATTGAGTTTGTCAACATGTTCTCACTAACTATCTGTATGCTACAGTAACAGCGCATTTAGCGGCTTTAAATGACAAGATAAGTAGGGTTTTTATATAAAAACCCTTCATTTTTCCGCACGAAAATGTTTATATTTTACTTCATTCCTCCCCATCCAAACTACCACAACTTCAAACACCTCTTTACTCCCCCGCTTTATCCGAGACAATCATTTTCGAGCCGCACGACGGAGCCGAATTTCATTTCCAAGCCGCATGACATGACGGATCAAAGGCTGTCAATAATGATGATGCCTTGAAAAGACGCCTCAATGTGGAGATTTAAGCGAATAGAAAAATATCGTGACGCCATCCAACTCAACAGAATTATTTGCGCCGCTACCTCCCCTGTCTATGTACTTCCTGGGTCACTTGGAGTCACCATCTGAGTCTCATAAATCCATCTCATCATCTTCACCGACATTTTTTTGTCTTTTGGTACCCTATAATCTGTAGTGGTGTACAGATGTGGCACTCAGAAAGTACTAAAACTGTGGATCCCCAGTATATTTAAACGGCGTTGCTTCGGTAAAGCTGGATGACTTTTCAACTAAATTGGTTGACTGGTTCACCATTCATCCCAAACGTCCATAATATTCTCGATTTTCATTGGCAAGAGTTACTTGTATACTTCAGTCGAATAGCAATGTATTGTGGCTCACCAACAGGTGAAGCTTACATGAAATACGTTGATGGTGTTATTACATAAATTCTTTCAATGATGAGATGTTCTCTCTTAAAAAGTCTACAGTATAATCCCATACAGTAGATACTCCATTCTGGCTCTCTCAAGTGGTAAGACATCAGCAACTCTCACAGATATGAGGTCGCCTCTTAACAGAGAAAAAAAGAAAAGCCCGCCGCTGTGGCAAAAGAATTGCAGCACCTAGGATTCTCGTATGGTCTCCCACTACAATACTAACTAGGCTCTCTGGTGCTTGACTATGGCTGATCGGACGGGAAGCCGTATTTTCACCAGGATATGGCCGCAACTATAATGTATGATCCCAAATTGACTCATAAGGTATTGTGTGCTTAGTAACCCATTGAATTAAAGAAACACCACATATTGGTCACGTGATTTTCCTAGAAGACGTCATGACCCTCTCGTACGAATCTGACTACAGTAACAAACACAACTACAGCACAGTTTACAGTATCGTATATATCCAGTTACAGTACTTAGTTCAAACTGTACAACCTCAATAACATAATAAGATACAATCAATTAATAATAATAAACAAAATCCTTCACATCCTCCTCACGATCCATCTATTTGAGCTTGAGATCTCGCTGCTCAATGGAACCGTTACCGGGCAGTCGAGTGCATCCCATAAGGAAGTGATCAACAGCTCGAGCACACTGTCGACCCTCTTGGATACCCCAGACAACCAGAGACTGTCCTCGTCGACAGTCACCGGCAGTGAACAGGTTGTCCTGGACCTTGTAGAGTCCAAGATCCTTGACATCGCCGGTCTGAGTCTTGATGTTTCCTCGTCCGTCTCGCTCAGCAGCGAGCTCCTGGGCCTCGGGACCAACGAAACCCATGGACAGCAGAACCACGTCGGCGGGGAAGAACTCCTCAGAGCCGGGAATCTCGCTCATCTGCCAGGCGCCAGACTCAGACTGCTTCCACTCAACTCGAACAGTCTTGATACCCTTGACATTGCCCTCTCCGTCGTCAACAAACTCCTTGGACAGGATACCGTACTCTCGGGGATCCTTGCCGTAGTGAGCAGCCACTTCAGTGTGACCATAGTCGACTCGGAAGATTCGAGGCCACTGGGGCCAGGGGTTGTCCTTGGGTCGAGCAGGGGTAGGTCGTGGAAGCAGCTCGAAGTTGGTGACGGACTTCGCTCCGTGTCGAGTAGAAGTACCCAGACAATCGTTACCAGTGTCTCCACCACCAATGACAACAACGTGCTTGTCCTTGAGGGACTCTCGAACCTCATCCATGTCACCGTCAAGCAGAGACTTCGTGTTCCATCGGAGCAACTGCATGGCGAAATTGATGTTGTTGAGAGATCGGTTCTTGATGGGCAAGTCTCGAGGAATGGTGGATCCGACACACAGAACGACAGCATCATTGTCAGCTCGCAGACCAGACACAGAAACTTCCTTGTCCTCACCGACCTCGGTGTTGGTAATAAAAGTGACACCCTCGTCTCGCATCAACTGGACTCGTCGCTCAACAACCCGCTTGTCCAGCTTCATGTTGGGGATACCGTACATGAGGAGACCTCCAATTCGGTCAGCTCGCTCGTAGACAGTCACAGAGTGGCCTGCCTTATTGAGCTGATCGGCAGCAGCCAGACCCGCAGGACCAGAACCAATAATGGCAATGGTCTTACCAGTTCGAGTGGCGGGGGGCTTGGGCTTAATCCAGCCCTGCTCGAAACCGTGATCGATAATGGCACACTCGATGGACTTGATACCAACAGGGTCCTCGTTGATACCCAGAACACAGGCACCCTCACAAGGAGCGGGACAGATTCGTCCAGTGAACTCGGGGAAGTTGTTGGTCATCAGAAGTCTGTCGAGAGCATCCTGCCATCGGTCCTGGAACACGAGCTCGTTCCACTTGGGGATGACGTTGGAAATAGGGCATCCAGTGTCAGACTGGCAGAAGGGGACACCACAGTCCATGCATCGGGCAGTCTGATACTTCAGCTCCTCCTTGGTCAGTCGGGTGTTCATCTCGTCCCAGTCCTTGGTTCGGTTCTTGGCATCTCGATACTTCTCAGCACGTCGAGTGTACTTCATGAAACCTCGGGTCTTATCGAGCTTGACCAGCTTGGAAGCCTTGGCCTTTGTGGCGTTGTGGTCGAGAATGGCGTCCTCCAGATCCTGAACAGGAGGCTCCTTTCGGGACCGAGGAGTGGCACAAGGCTTGGGGGTAGCAGCTCGCTTGAGCTCACCGTTGGTGATGTCGGCGTCAGGGTCCTCCTTGATGGCATGCATGTAGCCAGAGACCTCTCGCTTCTTGGCCTCAGCAACCTTGGCAGCTTGCTCCTCCAGAACTCGAGCGTAATCGGTGGGCAGTACCTTGACAAACCGGGGCAAGATTCGGTTGAAGTCTGTGAGAACTCGGTCAGCCAGCTCGGAACCGGTGTAGTGTCGGTGGTCCTCAATCAGGCCTCGCAGGAAAGCAATCTCCTGGGGATCAGAGACAGGGCCCAGCTCAACAGTCTCGGAGTTGACGTTGTTGACAAACTCCTGGCCCATGTCAAGCACGTAGGCAATACCACCAGACATACCGGCGGCAAAGTTTCGGCCAGTGGAGCCGAGAACAACAACACGACCTCCAGTCATGTACTCGCAGCCGTGGTCTCCACAGCCCTCAACAACGGCAGTGGCACCGGAGTTTCGGACACCGAAACGCTCGGCACCAACACCTCGGAAGAAACAAGTACCGGAAGTAGCACCGTACAAACAAGTGTTACCAACGATGATATTCTCCTCAGCCTTGAAAACAGAGTTCTTGGGAGGATAGACGACGATTCGGCCTCCAGAAAGACCCTTACCAACGTAATCGTTACAGTCTCCCTCCAGTTCCAGAGTGATACCGGGTGCCAGGAAGGCACCAAACGACTGACCCGCAGAACCCTTGACATTGACGTGAACAGTGTCGTCAGGCAGTCCAGCCTCACCAAACCGCTTGGAGATTCGGTAGGAGAGTGTGGAACCAAGAGATCGATCAGTGTTGATGATGTCACAGTCAATGGTGACGGGAAGACCCTTGTCCAGAGTGACCTCAGCCTCGTCAATGAGCTTGTTGTCGAGTCGGACATGGAGTCGGTGGTCCTGCTTTCGAACCTTTCGGGTAGCAACACCAGGTCGAAGGGTGTGAGCAGGAGTGAGAATGGGAGTCAGATCCAGGTTCTTGGTCTTGTGGTTTCGAAGATCGTCTCGGACTCGCAGCATCTCGGCGTGGCCAACCATCTCGTCAATGGTTCGGAATCCAAGCTGAGCCATGATTCCTCGAAGCTCATTGGCAATGTAGTAGAAGAAGTTGATCACATGCTCGGGGGTACCCTTGAACTTCTGTCGCAGCTCGGGGTCCTGGGTGGCAATACCGACGGGACAAGTGTTGAGATGGCACTTTCGCATCATGATGCAGCCCATGGCAATGAGAGGAGTAGTAGCAAATCCCCACTCCTCGGCTCCGAGAAGACAGGCAATGGCAACATCTCGACCGGTTCGGATCTGACCATCGGTCTGGACAGTGACTCGACCTCGCAGATCGTTCAGAACCAGAGTCTGGTGAGTCTCAGCAAGACCCAACTCCCAGGGGAGACCGGCGTACTTGATACCGGTCCATCGAGAGGCACCAGTTCCACCATCGTGACCAGAAATGAGAATGTGGTCAGCCTTAGCCTTGGCAACACCGGAGGCAATGATACCGACACCGACTTCGGACACCAGCTTCACAGAGACTCGAGATCGAGGGTTAGAGCACTTGAGGTCGTAGATAAGCTGCTTGAGATCCTCAATAGAGTAAATGTCGTGGTGGGGAGGAGGAGAAATGAGACCGACACCAGGAGTGGAGTGTCGAGTCTTACCAATCTGCTCAGACACCTTGTGTCCGGGAAGCTCACCACCCTCACCGGGTTTGGCACCCTGAGCCATCTTGATCTGGAGCTCATCGGCGTCAGAAAGGTAGTACGAAGTGACACCAAATCGACCAGAGGCAATCTGCTTGATGGCAGATCTCATAGTGTCTCCATTCTCAGCAACAGCGGATCGCTCGGGGTCCTCACCACCCTCACCGGTGTTGGACTTACCACCAAGTCGGTTCATGGCAACGGCAAGAGTAGAATGGGACTCCATTGAGATGGAACCGTAGGACATGGCACCAGTGACGAATCGTCGAACAATCTCGGTCCAGGGCTCAACCTGATCAATGGGGACAGGGGTAGCGGCATCGAAGTCGAAATCAAGCAGACCTCGGAGAGTACAGTCCTTGATGGCTTCGTACTCGGCCTTAGAGTAAGCCTCATAAGCCTTCTCGTTCTTGTTTCGAACAGCATCCTGGATGTTCGAGATGGCAACGGGGGTGTTGACGTGGGGGTCTCCACCATCTCGGTAGTGGTACTCTCCAGACTCGGGCAGAGACTTGGTCTTGACAGTCTCTCGCGAGGGGAAACCTCGCTCGTGAAGGGCAATGGCATCCTCTGCAATGAAGTCAAAGGTGATACCCTTGATTCGCGAAGCAGTACCGGCGAAGCACTTGTCGACTACAGAGTTGTCGATACCAAGAATCTCAAAGATCTGGGCACCCTTGTAAGACGCGAGAGTAGAGATACCCATCTTGGACATGACCTTCAGAATACCGCCGTCAACGGCTGTCTTGTAGTTGGCCACAATCTGGTCGTCAGAAAGAGGTTCCTTGATAAGACCCTCCCGGTTCATCTTGGCAAGGGTCTCGATAGCCAAGTAGGGGTTGATAGCGTCAGCGCCGTATCCGAGCAGAACACAGAAGTGGTGTACCTCTCGGGCCTCGGCAGTCTCGACAATCAGGGCAACTCGAGATCGCTGCTTCTGCTGCACAAGGTGGTGGTGAACAGCACCACAGGCCACAACAGAAGAGACAGGGACTCGGTCAGCAGAAGTCTTCTTGTCGGATAGGATGATGATCTGGTGCTTGGCGTGGATGGAGTTGGAGGCCTCCTCACAGATTCTGTCAAGAGCCTTCAGGTAGCCAGCGGGGCCCTCAGATTTGTCAAAAGTGATATCAATGGTATCTGTGGTCCACTTGGGGTAGTGTCTGTGCATCTCGTGCAGCATTGCAGTCTCCTGGATGGTCAGAATAGGAGAGGGAAGCAGCAGACGGTTGCACTGGCTGGGGTTCATCTCAAGCACGTTACCCTGGGGTCCAACGTAGCACTCCAGGGACATGACAATAGCCTCTCGAATGGGATCGATGGGAGGGTTAGTGACCTGAGCAAACAGCTGTCGGAAGTAGTCAAACAGCACCTTGGGCTGCTTTGCGAGGCAAGCCAGAGGTCCGTCGTTACCCATAGATCCAAGAGCCTCCTTGGCAGTGGCAGCCATGGGTGCCAGCAGCAGAGAAAGCTGCTCAGCAGTGTATCCGAACGCAGGGAGACGGGGATCGCTCTGGACAGAGAGCTCGTCGATCTTGACCTCGAGAATGGAGGGCATCTTGGACTCAACCTTCTGTCGCATGTCCTCCATGGTGATGACGTTGGCGTGGATCCACGACTTGAAGTCCACTCGGCCAGCAATCTTCTTTTTGAGCTCTCGGTCATCAACGACTCGTCCCTCCTTGGTATCAACCAGCAGCATTCGTCCTGGTCGGAGTCGGCCCTTCTGGATCACCTTCTCGGACTCGATCAGAATGACACCCACCTCAGAGGCACAGATCATTCGGTCGTCGTCGGTGATGTAGTATCGGCAGGGTCGTAGACCGTTTCGATCGAGGTTAGCACCACAGTACCGTCCGTCGGCAAAAGTGAAAAGAGCAGGGCCGTCCCAGGGCTCCATAAGGCAAGCAGCCCACTCGTAGAAAGCTCGCTTCTTGGAGTCCATGGTGGTGTTGTTCTGCCAGGCCTCTGGAATCATCATCATAACGGCCTCGGGCATGGACAGGACACCATTGATGACCAGCAGCTCAAGGACGTTATCAAAGGCAGCGGAATCGGATCCTCCCTCCTCGACAATGGGGTAGAGTCGCTCAAGTTCGTCTCCAAACAGACCAGATTTCATCATTCCCTCTCGGGCTCGCATCCAGTTCTTGTTTCCTCGCAGGGTGTTGATCTCACCGTTGTGTGCGGCCCATCGCAGAGGCTGGGCTCGGTCCCAAGAGGGGAAAGTGTTTGTGGAGAATCGCGAGTGGACCAGAGCAAAGTGGCCCTCGTAGTCGACGTTGAGCAGATCGTAGTAGTAGTTGTAGACCTGGACGGGAGCAAGCTGGCCCTTGTAGACCATGTTCTTGTTCGACAGCGAACAAATGTAGAACCAGTTGTGCAAACCAATGGTGTGAGTGGACTGCTTTCGGAGCACGTAAAGCTGCAACTCAAACAGCTTCTCGAACTTGGAGTCCCATTCGTCCTCAGTGTGAGGGCCTGACTTGAAGGCCTCAGACAGCACAACCACCGGCTGCAGGATCAGAGGCTCTCGAGACAGAGCAGCGGGACCAAGAATAGAGGAGTCTCGGGGGACGAATCGCCAGCCGAGCACCTCAAGGCCCAGAGACTTGGCAATGGACTCAAACGTGTCCTTGGACTTCGCCAGCACGTCCTGGTCGTTTTTGAAGAAGAGGTTACCGCAGGCGTACTGACCCATGGGAGGCAGCTCGAAGTCGTAGAGCCGCTTAAACTCCTTTTTGATGAACTTGTGGGGGATGGAGGTCATGACTCCTGCTCCATCTCCGTCTCGTGCGTCGGATCCCACGGCTCCTCGGTGGGTCATGTTGCAGAGCAGATTCTTGGCGTCGGAAATGATCTTGTGCGATTGTTGGCCCTTGATGTTACAGGCAAAACCGACACCACAGGCATCTTTTTCGTACTCGGGGTCGTACAGGCCCTGTTTGGTGGGGAGCGCGCCTGCCCACGAGCCATTGTTCTCGTTGTATGAGATGGGGTTGTACTTTGTTAGTTTGGAACGAGGAATACTAGAGTATAGCGGCTTGCTAGAGATCAGTTTCTGGGACGGTTTTGCTTGAAGCATGACCCATGTCGCCGAGTTATTTTCTCTGCTCGTCTATCTACCTGATTTCTATGGTGTGGTTTTGATTGGTGCGACAAGTGGTCCTTGAAATGCAGTAGTGCATGCCAAGGGAAAAGAGGGGAGATAGTGGCAAATGAAAATTGAATAAAACGACTCATTCACGCCATTGGAAGAGTCGTAGCTCCGAGATCGCTGCATCTCTGAACACGCGTCTGTCTCTAATACGTATCTTGTCATCGGATCACCCATTTTTCCACTCCACCCTCTCACTCTGAGTTCCCTCTCCTTTCACAACCTTAACCTGCGTCACCACGCTTAAGCGAATCCAACGATAAGCTAAGCGAAACTAGTCACACAGATAGTGAACGGAGTGCACTAAAGCCACCTAAACCACAGTAACAAAATCAATAGCAAAATATCGCCACCACCATCCAAAAACTCGTCGTCCTCCATTACTCACTTCTTGTTGTTCTTCGTGATCCATGCTAGTTTCCTCCTTCTTGTCGCACAGCGTCTGTGGTTAGTTGCTTGTCTTTTTGGTCGGGATGTTGTAGGCGTGGTCGCCACGTCGATACTCACATTTTCTCAATCAAACTGGCTAAGGGTCTGAGAGCTCTCAATTCTGGGGATAGCTTATTATGTATATCGTGTCGGGCACCTGCGGGGAAGGTTGGAGTCGGGTTGAGATGGAGGCTAATCTGGCTAATAGACGGGCTTCCATTGGCCCAAATAAACGTGGCTAGTACGCCAGGCATGCGCCCTCCTGCACCCGTCTCTTTGTCCCCCGGCGTGATTGATGGCTTCAGACTGTTATCAGCGGACTCTCCAGCCAATCAGAGGTCTTCGGTGACTCATGAACGTTGATACGAGGAGAGAGAAGTGACGGGCTTGGTTGAGATGTAGATAGTTGAGAGGCGACTAAAATCTTACTTCTCATTAATGACACGTGTAGGGCCTATTTGTCGTTTCCCCATGGTTTTATGACGTTCAATATCTCATACACTTGCACTGATTTCATACACCAAAGTGCACCACAGCAGCGAGGTCCAACCCACCTTCCCCTCCACAGGTGGAAATGTGAAAGTTCGCCTAACCACGAGTAACTCGCGCCAACCTAATCAAGTGAAAAAGTGAAACGGATTTTCACCCTAAAAAAAGGGTATGAGGAGCTACAAGTAGTGGCGAAGAGAGCGCACAAGAGCGATTGCGGTGAATTGAGTCGAATTGTATTTTTTGACAGCGGCCACGCCTGTATTTACAATCTCACTTCTTATCTTCCTGACGCTACTTGGGCTCGTACTAACATCGCATGCCACGGATGACGGCCTCGGCTCTTCGTTCAAAAAAGCAAAATCAAAGACGAAAACAAACGCTTTTTGACAGACGACAAGAGGACAAGAACTGCAAGACTACAGCTGCGCCAGAGTGACAGTACCTTGTGTAGTGCCGGCCGAGGGAGACAAGATTCCCGGTCTTTCCGGTGGAACATCGTACTCACAGATATACCAAGATTTCCGTGATATAGCCGTGCCAAAGCCAACCTTGACATGTAGATAAGCCTGGCCAGTGCCTACAACCTGTGACCATATTTAAGAGCGAAAACACTGACCCATGGCATTCATGTCGAGGACCACTTTGTCGGGCGAAAAAGTCCGGGGCATCTCTGTCATTCAAAGTTTAGCTGCGGCACATCCGGGGTGGCACGACGTGTGAGAGTCGGTTGAGATCGGTTTAAGGGGTCCAAAAATGCGGTGAAAAAATAACGGACAAGTGAAAATTTAACGGTCTGTTTAACGGGCGATATCGGGCCGGTGGTGGGGAGACTACGAACAGTGGCGGTATGTAGGAGTGGCCAAACAACATATACTTGTAGTGGCGTCACCTGGCACTGAAACATGGCCCCATTTTCTAGGCACTTCTTCAGCTATTCCTTTTTCCTCATAAAGATAATCACATTCGTAGTCCACTCCATTGGCCCGTGTAGCGGCTCAGGTGCAGCTGGACCGCGGCCAGAGGCATGTCAAACCACCTGTTTTCGTGAGAATCAAACTGTAATGTGACGTCAGTGGAATGGGAGAAATGGGGAAGAAAGCAAACAGCTTTTTCGTCAAAGACGTTGCATTTTTCGTCGGCAGTACAGACGGTACCGGTACGAGTACCGGTTACAGATGAGTGCGGTCTGGCGTTTTCGAAGCTGTCACTGCATACGTCTTGGTTTCAGCTACAAGAATATGAAAGGACTCTTGTCGAATCGCCCCATTCCACACCCCACTTAAATAGCACATCGAAACACGATGATGGGGAGACACGAACACATTTCAAAAAATTACGAGTACGATACATGTGTGTACTCAGGCTATGATCGAGGGCAACACGAAACGACTGTACAGGTACCATTATGTACATACTGATATGGTACATACTGGAATAGCATATACTGTATCTTATCCGCATCCCCGCCATATGCGTAGCGGGAAAGAAAACTCGTCGTGCTTTGGTTTTCACACTTCCACGGTTATCGTGCGGGGTGGACCAAGGGAGCGTCCTTCTCAAATAGGATGAAAGGACCAGGGTGGGACACAATTACAGTAGATGGCATATGAAACGTCGCTATAATTCGGCGGATAAGTGTCTGAAAACCCAGCTGTCAGCTTAAATCGACTCACACGACTGTCGTTAATACAATGGTAGTTTCTAAATCGCTATACCTCCACTGGTTATCCGTTAAAGCAACCCCTTCATTACACGTCTTACTCCTTCCCCCAGCTCAGTCTAATGGTACAGGTCCTTTTGTAGCCTAACCTCCCAACTTACAATACAGTATCCACAAGAGAGGGGAAACAGGACAGGGTACCCTGCGAACCGCACTTGTGGGGTGCTTGTGGGGTAAAGGAGTATATTTACGTGCTCTTAAACAGAGACTGAATCATATAATCCCATGATATCAAACTGTCCCACACAATATCTCGACCTAGTCCCTTTCACCCATATTCCCCACCAGCCTGTTCTCCATTCATCCAGAACTCTATCGGATAATATAGAGTGAGGAGCGTGAGCGAGGTCATTGTACGACTCATGATTGGTGATAATTATCCGACACTAGTCTACTGTACTTGTAGTATAGACATTGCAAAAACATCAAGCAATGTACAAAAGGGGCAGTAGTAACACAAGCTGTGGATCTCTAGACGTTTTCACCCTGCTGTAACCCTCTCGTCCACCAAAATTGGCACTTTTTGCTCTTCTGAATGACTTCAATTGCTGTTGTGTAAAAAAAAAAACTTCACAACGCACATTGGATCTGACTCAGTGATGTGCTCGACTCAATGGCGTCCACAGTCGAAAATCCGAACTGCAAGAGCTATAAAAGGACAGCTATGAAACGGTGATGAAAAATTAAGAACCAACTGCAGGACGACAAAAACAGGAAGAGAATCGTGACAACGTCTATCAGTATGGCGGTACCTTGCAGAGGCTGGCTGCGACTCTTGGCTACGGCAAGGTACACTGTTAGTTACAGCAGCAACGCTGATCGTGCCCTTAGTTCCTAACAAACGCCGTACATACCTCCTTTAAAAACGTCTCTGTGACGTACGAGTACAAGTACAAGTACGAGTATAAGTGCCGTGCTCATACTGAACTTGCAGATCTTTCATATAGCAACTGGCCACAGAATGGTACGGAAAATACGCATAGTCACGCACGTGGTATGTATGGCTTCGAGTCCGATATCGCTGCGTGGAACGGTGTGATGGCAGGGAGAATATGATGGTGCTACAGGTGGAGAAAAAGGGACCTTTTTGAGTGGAGACAATTGTTATTCAAAGTCCCCGACGCCAAAGAAAATCACACACCTCATCTCTTGCTTATGCTACAGTACCACTTGCATGTAACGTGGTATGACTCTATACTTTTTTCGCTGACTCTATTCAGACGCTTGTAACGTTATGTTAGCAGCCCGGATAAATAGAACCTTGTTCTCTCGGGGCCTGGAAGAACGAAAGTAAGATTTTTCATCTGACGAATTCTTGACAACTACACAAATCACACATCATGCCCGCTATGCACAACGCTTCTAACGCTCAGGGAGACCGAAACCGGACCGAGGACTGGCGAATCCGGGGCTACAACCCTCTCACAGCCCCCGATCTGCTCCAGCATGAGATCCCTCTGACCAAGCAGTCCAAGGCCACCATTCTCAAGGGCCGACAGGACGCCTGTGATATTCTGGATGGTAAGGACGACCGAATCATTGTTGTGGTTGGCCCCTGTTCCATCCATGACCCCAAGGCTGCCATGGAGTACGCCGAGCGACTCAAGCAGATCTCTGACAAGCTGTCTGGCGAGCTTCTGATCGTCATGCGAGCCTACCTCGAAAAGCCTCGAACCACCGTTGGCTGGAAGGGCCTTATTAATGATCCTGACATGGACGGCTCTTTCAAGATCAACAAGGGCCTGCGAGTCGCTAGAGATCTCTTCGTGAAGCTCACCGAGCTCAACCCCATTGCTTCTGAGCTTCTGGACACCATTTCTCCCCAGTTCCTGGCTGATCTCTTCTCTGTCGGAGCCATTGGTGCTCGAACCACCGAGTCCCAGCTTCACCGAGAGCTTGCCTCTGGTCTGTCTTTCCCCGTTGGTTTCAAGAACGGTACTGACGGAGGTATTAAGGTGGCTCTGGACGCCATCCAGGCCGCCGCCCACCCCCACCACTTCCTTTCCGTCACCAAGCCCGGTGTGGTTGCCATTGTCGGCACCGACGGAAACGAGGACTGCTTCCTGATTCTGCGAGGAGGTTCCAAGGGCCCCAACTACGATGCTGAGCACGTCGCCGAGGTCAAGAAGCAGGTTGGAGAGACCAAGGGTCCCCGAATCATGGTAGACTGCTCGCACGGCAACTCATCAAAGAACCACAAGAACCAGCCTCTGGTCGCCTCTAACGTGGCTCAGCAGATTGCTGCTGGTGAGAAGTCCATTTGCGGTCTTATGATTGAGTCCAACATCCACGAGGGTCGACAGGACATCTGCGATAACAAGGAGGACATGAAGTACGGTGTGTCTGTCACCGATGCCTGCATCAACTGGGAGGACACTGAGAAGGTGCTCGAGGAGCTGGCCCAGGCCGTCAAGACTCGACGAGGTTAGACACTGAAAAACGAGGTGTATTATTTAAAAGCTAATAAAATAGAATAAAGCGTATTGATGGAGTGATAGGGGTACAGTACATAGTGAGTGTGGACTTGTATTCGTGGGTGGTACTGTAGTGTGGTGGCAATGCCCTTTTTTGGTTTTGGTTTTTTGCAATTGAGCTGTTGATACATTACTTATATTTACTTAACTAACAATTGATTTTTTTCTAAGTAATAAAGTTCTCAACTGCGATAGGCCCATCTTACTGCACAGTGAGACTTCTGGGATTCTCATATTTTATAGAGTTTAATGTATTATGTTGTTATAAAATAAAGATGTTGGAAAAGATACACATCTACTTGTACAAATACTTGGAAGTCATTGGTTGAAGACATGTGGAGTACATGTACAAGTACAAGTACTTGTATTGGAATTGTACTTGTAGAATCACCTTCATATACTGTCTCCGATCAACCGCTCCAAACATCGCATCCAATATGCAGAGTGCATGTGTTGACGCGAGTTTGATGATTATTGATCTGCCGAGAGACTCACAAATTCGAAGGATTACAAGTACTACAGTACTTGTAAAATGCAGATGTACTTGTACAATTAACAATCCAGGTTATTTATTCCTACGATGTCTTCTGAGTTAATGTATCCGTGGATCTACAACAGGTACTTGTACGATACTCGAACTGCAAACATTCTCGAGACCTACAGACGTCCTAAAAATGCGGGGTGGACTGCAGATCGGAGGTTCGGCGTTTGAAAACTACGATCTCGATTAATTCGTGATGAGGATGTTTTCTGAGGAAAGATATAATATATTTTGAAATCCCTGATTATCTAGGATTATATTAATATGTTTGAAAGTTGTATTTCACTTAGTGTGTTAGAGAAAAGATGCCTCCAAAATCTCATTTATTGATTATCTAACATGTAGGCGAGCCGCACTAAGTTGAGGTATGTAACATCTCTAACACAGCCTCGAAGCCGCAATACTTGGTTGATTTTTATGAAAAAAGAGTCCAATAACAACAACTACAATCAGCATATCTCCCTATGACCTTTTATCCGGCTTCAAGTGCTTCCTTACCCCCACTTTCACACCTCCTTCAATTCAAGGTTCCCCCTCATCAATAGCCTGTCTCAAAGTATCTTAGGGCCAGGATAAAAGAAACTGGAGGGCCTCAATTTCTTCATGAATCATGTTACCTCACGAAATTTGCAGTCTCTTTTTCACTCATTGCGATCTCGAGGAGTGTCTTGCGCTCGGTGAGACGTGCACAGCATTCCGCGACTCCCTGATGGATGTCGATGACAGCATTATGCGTCGCAAGGTGAAAGACCGAATTCCCTGGATGGACATTGGGGGTGCTAAGACGGGAATCAACACATGGATGGATTGTGCAAGGATCATTAGAGCCAGAACGCAATCGATGAAGGATGAGGACAAGGAGGCCACAGTGGTGCAGTATTCGGGCCTGCTGTTGCACTATTGCACAAACACAGTGTCTTACTGGATACTGTTACTTTTCAAAATTTACGTGCTCAACTTGCTGTTTCCAATTTCGCGCATGTCATTCAAGTTCGTACTTGACCTGGTCAAGGGCAGAGAGAGGAAGGAATTGAAGCGACTGAAGGTGTAGCACCAAGGACTCGAAGCCTTTTATTTATATAACGAATAAATTATAACAACCAACTAGAGCAAATAGAGAGACGCAGTCGATGTAGAAGTAGCTGTTCTACAGAAAATGGCCGAGGTTCTCTCTTTTTCTAGGTTCATGAACACATCTCTCTCCGTATTAACCATGGACCACTGTTACCTCCGACAAGACAAGCAGCATGACTGCTTAACTAAGACGTGATACGAAACTCGAAACTTCCTGTTAAGTACTTGGTTAAGTCAGATAGTATATGAGATGAATGTATCCAACCTACCAGTAATCTATCTGGTACGTCTCCACCCATTTAGCCAAGCACATCTACACACGAAGACGTAGAGACTTTTTATGGCAAAATGCAGGGGCCTCTGGGAGCTTTGTGTCACCTTCATCAAAGCGCTCAGTATCATGTTCGCTATTTTCATGAGCGGCTCAGTATACGAAATCATTTTTTGGTGTTCCTCCTTGGGCACAACATAGCGTGTATTACAGTAATTTGTCTCAAAACAATGTAATGCCCACATGCTCTACATGTTGATTATTTACAAGACAATACAAAGCAGATCTTTGCATCGATATATCAGTTTGACGACAATAAATTAACTCATTGTATCATTATAAATAACACTTACTCTTCCTTTTTGGACCATTTTGGCAACTTGGGGAGGGTTGTAACCCTCTCATACACAGCTCCGACAGCTCTTCCAGCAATGAAGTTGTAGTAAGCAATCTTGCCCCAAATGTTGACGTCCTTGTTGGCTCTGATTCGAGCCTCAATAGCCTCCTTATCTGCTGCCATGTAATCAGGTCCCTGACCAGGACTCCAGACTCGACCTGAGATGAGATCTGCATCTGCTGATCGTACAAACTTATCAGTCTTGTAGTTCCAACCTTTCCATCCAAAATAGCAGATGGCAAAGACCGCAACTCCGAGATATGTTCCAAAGGGGTTCTTCCAGGAGAAGGGGTCTTGCTTGACAGATGCGTAGCCCATACCAGCAAATAGAAAGCCTCCAAGAACGAGAATGAGGATAGGTAGCAGAGGGTATAATGGTTGCTTGAGAGGCAGGTCAGTCAGAGGGATTCCCTGTACTTTGAGTGCCTGTCTGAATCTAATGGAGACAAAACCAATAGACATCCAGGTAAGAATAGCAGAAGCTCCAGTGATGTTCATGAACCAGGTGAAGACTACAGCGTTACCCCAGATGGTCGTGAGGAAAACAAGACAGGAGATTGCAAAAGTAAGCAGAAGCGCTCCAATAGGCACGCCTCGCTTGTTGACAAGTCCAAAAACGGAAAACATTCGCTTGTCATGAGCCATATTCATGAGCATCCGGGACGATGCAAAGAAACACGCGTTTACAGCCGACAGAACAGCGGTCAGAAGAATGGCGTTAACCACATGTTTGGCTGCCCCAAAACCGGCATCTTCAAACACAATTGTGAACGGACTCTGGGCGACATCCGAGTCGTATGCCGCTTTCAGAAGCCTGTCATCTTTGTAGTTGATACACAGTCCAATGACGAACACAGTCATGACTAGGAAGATCATGATTCGCCAGACAGTAGCTCTCACCGCGCTAGGAATAGATTTCCACGGCTTAGCTGTCTCTCCAGACGTCAGAGCCACAAGCTCTGTTCCTCCATAGGAATAGAAACAGAGAACAACGACCTGGAAAAACCCGCTAAATCCCCCGACCCAAGCCTGTCCGTTTTTCAGGTTACTGAGACCAGGCGAGGGTACGGCATTCTTGAGTCCGTTCATAGCACCCCAGTCGTAAAATAGGCCGATGATAATGAACGCAACAACAAAGAATACCTTGATAATGGCAAGCCAATATTCAGTCTCTCCATACGTTTTAACGGAAATCAGCTGCAGGAAAAACATGGGCACAATAATAACAATAGCCCAGACCCAGGAGCCAATATGGGGCGCCCAGAACTGAATGATAATTGCAGCAGCGGTCAGTTCACTCGGAATACTGAACGCCCATTGTAGGTAGTAGTTGATTCCCAGAGCAAAGCCGAAACTGTCATCCACGAATCGACTTCCATAGTGCGCAAAGGCACCTGAAGAGGGGATGTAAGAGGCCATTTCACCCAGACAGATAACAACTGAATAGACAAATATACCGACAATAATGAAACAAGTAAAACAACCCATAGGGCCCACAATAGTGATACCTTGACCGAGGGATAGGAAGACACCAGTACCGATCGTTCCTCCTAGAGCAATGAAAGTGACATGTCTGGAAGACAAGCCGTTCACAGTCTTATTCTCTTTCTGACCAAAGATCTTTCCGTAGAGCCCTGTTGGCTTCTCTTCGGTTTTCGAAATATCAGATTCGCCGGATTCGTGGCTTTGAAATGCAGTGATCTCGTTGATGTCCGTGTCGACGACGACTTTCGACTCGTCTTTGCTGTCAAAAGCTGGGGGAGGCTCAGCGTAGACGCTCGAGAGCTCGAACTCCTCGGCAACCACCTCTGTTTCGTTTTTCATTGGAGCTGTCTGTAGAGTTACTGACGGAAAAGTACCACATTTTATAATACATCATGTTTTAGTACGAGGTTAACCTTGTGCACAATTGAACGACCTGAAAGTAATAAGGAAGAGACCTTGAAAACATAAAAGCAGAAGGAAAAGCATCAGAAATGCATAAAAGCCCTGTATGTTGACTGACTAACGTGATAAATCTACCAGCAACACAGAGATAGCAGTGTCGTTGTTTAGATCAACACTAGAAAATAGACTTGTGACATCAGGGGGGGGTGTGCTCCAGCCCTCTTGGTAGAAACCACACAGATTCAGGGAACTCAGGGAGTCGAAAAGAAAGTGATTATGAAATGGTTAAGAGAGCAATTCCCTTATTATCAACCACGATCGACTAGTTCTGGGAACGACTGATGGGGGTTTCGAAAAGTGCAGAAGTAGTGAGGAGTTTATGTGGGTTACAGTTACCAGCCGCCATATATGAATCGATTGTTGAACAGAGCCACGACAGAGTGGGATTTCGGCAATATATCTAAAATCTGACTACATATATATATTCTTGAGTTCATTAGGAGTTCGGTTGTTGTACATTTTTTCTACAGTGCCCCCCTAACACTGTGTAGGGGTACCTCGAAACAGCAACAAAACGCCGTCTTATCAGCCACATTACGCCATCCATGCATCAACCTTGGGGAAATGAAACTTTCGTATATAAGCTAAAGTGCGGCTGATGGTTGGAAAAATCTGGTGGTATTTTAATCGTACAGGTGTCACGTGCTGACAACGAGGCAATCACCCCCTGATAGGTACATGTAACTGGTGATCTACACCGAAAACGGCGGTATGCATCCACTGAGACTCTTATCTAAGTCTCACGTTGACAAGCTCTGATCTGATCAAGACTGTGAAAAGTCGAGCTAATTACAGCAGTTCGCTTAGTTGGTGTAGGTTGTGTTTTAATGCCTTGAAGACAGGTGAAGCTTCTAAGCACGAGTATGTTTAAGCCCGTGAAGCCTTTTTGAAATCTGTTTGAGGTCTTATCGCATAATAGAGTAAGGTGTGCTGAGAAATACGAGCAGCTTGGAAAATCGAGAAAAGAGGAGAAAATATCAGATATTTGAGTATGGGGGTATTATCTAATGCAAGTTCTACTGAAGAGCAAATTGCATTGATTCATTACTTACTGTGCCTTCATTAGTTTTTCTTACTATTTCATCTAAATCAAAGTCTCAGCGACGCTTAGTCCTATAGTTGAGAAGATAATGACTGAGATGTGAAGTAGGGCTCATATACTACACGTGTGGTATCCTGGATGGTAAAGTCTTACTTCGGAAATTGGTCGCGCGATCAGTACACCCTTCGAGAGCTTCATTGCAGACAATATGAGTTATTAAACAATGGTTGTAAGTCGTTATAAGACAAACAAGCCACAGTTCATTGTCAAACTTGTCCGGTGTTTTAAACCCAACTTCATGGGATCACTCTATTTGTTGTGATTTACTACTCTGAGCGTCTAACTCGCAGCCACACATCTCCATTTATTTCTGTTTTAATGCCTTATGCTTCATTTTACTGAGGTCATGAGGTGTAGATTGTGTCACAGGTGAGCATTTCACAGAGTAGGCATGATAATCACCGAGCTTTAACAGTATGTAGTACAGAATGTCCAATGATACATACTCTTAACTCACCAAGTTTCTATTATTCGACCTGACTCTCAGTACCAATGATCTTTGGGCATCTCGGACACTGTTCCACTCAACTCAAATCGCATCGCATATCCATTTTACGAAACTCTCAAACAATATTCACGTTGGCATTCGTAGAGTTCCACATTACTCATGATTCATACTCCTGTCTTCTTCTCATATCATCATACATAGCATCATGCTTCGCACTTGTCTATGCACATCTTTCACTATTTACATACTTCACCATCGCGTGACACCCCCTTAAACGTAAGGTCCAAACAGCTCACTCTTGCTAAGATCTGTCTGCTTCTCAAAGTGGTCCTGGAGTCGTCCCTTGACGACGTTCCAGTCAATCTTCTCCCAGAAGTTGTCGAGGTACTTTCGCTTGCCAAACGCGCCGTAGTCGTTGAGCCACATGTGCTGCCACACGTTGACGTTAAGCAGCGGCTTGAGATCGTGCAGAATCTTGGGCTGTGCCTGTCGCATCTGCTTGGCCACCTCCATCTTGTAGATTTTGTTCTTCAGAAGCTTCTCCTCCAGAGCGTTAAGCTTCTTGTTCTGAGCCTCGGCCTGGAGCTCAGCCAGAGCCTTCGCCTCATCAGCCTCGACGGCTCGCTTGGCAGCAGCCTCTGCAGCCAGCTCGGCAGAGTTGGTGCCCTTCTTCTGGATGAAGCCGTTGTTGTAGGTGTTGACGAGATGTAGTCGGCCAGAGTGCTTGCTCAGCACTAGCCATGTGTATCCATTGCCGAAAATCGACTCGGCCTTGGTCAGCAGATGTTCTCGGAAGGCCTCCACAGTACCGAACGACGTCAGGATCAGGTCGTACAGAGCATCGTCAGTGCCGGGGTGGTTGCCCCAAGCAGGGGTCTCTCCGGTGGCCAGAGCAGGCATCACAGTCTGGTAATCGGGGTCTCGGGGGCTGACGTAGAGTCCGTGGTACGCATCAATGGGCTCAGAGACCTCACCGGGCTTGACAGTAGAAGCTACACCCTTGAAGAAGAAATCGTTGGCAAAAGCTCCAGAAGCAAAGTGGTGGAGAGCATCCTCGGACCGGTTGCAAGTTTCCAGAGCCAAACTCTGCAGATCAAGACCCTCCAGCTCCTCGCTGCTTGCCAGACCCTCGTTGACTCGCTCCAGCATCTCGTGCTGATGTTCAAACCACGCAGACTTGACGGTCTCGGCCGACAGAAACTTGTTGATCTGAGTGGGAGCGGCCTGAGAGCCGAGGCCAGAGTATGCAGGCATGGTGTGCAGAGCCCGGCCCAGCCGGGGCACCAGAAGAGCTCGTCGAAGAGATAGCATTGTGGTGTGGTTGTGCTGTGTTGGTGTTTGTACAAATCGTTAACCTGAAATTTTCACCCAAAGTTAATTTGTTGTGTTTTAAGGTTATTTAGGTGTTTATTGGGAAGTTGAGTAATAGTACTTGTAGTCGGGTGGTGGAGGTCGAAGGATGTCAGTCGTTCAACTAGAATAAGAAACGGATGACAGTTATGACACAGCAAATGTGCAGTACAGGTGAATACACGAAGGATATGTAGTTAGTTCGGAATATAAACCTCTACGGAAGTTCGCATCACAGAAGTCCAAAAGATGACGTAAGCTACAGCCCATTGTGGGTAGAGTTACAGACCAGAGACTGACGTAGAGGATGTTTACGATTGAGACCAGCTACTTGTACATACTGTACAGAACATTCTCAATATATCAGCAATTTGTTATAATATAGAAAGAGATGTGTGTGGTGTTATTTTTAAATGTTGTTTCTGATGAATGACAGCCGCAAAGAGATAACGGCTTCCATGAACATACCATTCGAATAAGAAGGAAATTCCTCTTTCCATTGATATGCTACAAGGCTTTATTAAACCACTCCAATGTCGTCGCATTTGCGAAGTCGTTTTCGTGCTGGTTTTATCTCCACTACATATACAACCCTAATACTTTAATACCAAAGACCAGGGCAGATAACACAAGCCACCTCTGGGAGAATCAACCGAAAAGATGGTAAAGTCGGAAGCGGAACAAATGTTCTACTTTTAATACCCTACTGTAGGTGAGTCCTGTCTCACATCAACTACAGTAATAGCTATTGGAACGTGAGAGGGAGTTGAGTTGAATGTTGTGAACCACTCATTATTAGCACTCATAATTGGAAAATACTAAAAATAGCCATGGCAACCATTTCAGTGTTATCCAAGTCCCTACTTGCATGGTACAGTAGGTAGAACAGTTACCCTATCCTTTCTTTATTCTACCTCCTCTGTCAATATTATGATGAAACCGGGTCTGTGGTGAAAATATTCATCACAGATTATGAGTAGATCTGTCATTCTGTTCGAACTGATTACATTTTCTCTTTACAAATGGAAACTTTCCCGTTTTTACCTCTGCCGGATTTAGATCTACACCACTATTTCCCCTTCGGCTCTGGATCCACAAAGACACTGTTAATCAATACGCCAGTCGCTGAGACACGCCAGCACTAAACAGGCAAGCGTAAGTAATAAACACGAGGAGTTATGGCGACAACATGATGGTGGTTTTCAGATTGGAGCTTCAGTAGGGGGACCAGAGGTGATCACAGGATCCATTTTTAGCATCGTCTAGCACCTAAATTTCCATTTCTGGAGCATTCATTTGCAGTACCTCGGTACAATATCGATTTCCGATGCTTTCATTTGGGCTGTAAAGCGATATCAGTTCCAATGCATAAAATATATCTCCACGCGATAATACTACATATGAGAACAGTGGTTACGAGATGAATGGTCGATGCCAGCCTGGTGTGCTACACGAAATCTTTCCATGAGCTATACCACTCTGCTACAAGTAGACCTTGAGAACTTCTGAATGTCCATACCATTTACTTCTAGGGTCCAAACAGTCGGATGTTTACACCTCCGCTTAGACCTGGAACGCCAATATTCTCCGCCCTTGCAGGAAGCAGGTGTGTAAAAATATAATTACAAGGTGCACCGAAACGAAAAGTGAGCAAAATGAATAGAAACAATAAAAATAGATGTACCAATGTGTACATACAGTACGAGTAGCATTGTACAGTAGTACAGTGGCCCAAAGTTGGGCAAAATGACTCAGTTCACTCGAGCAATCCCAATTGAGCCGTATGTACTATAGGGCTAGCCAATAAATCTAGAACTTCGCAATCCACAAGCTAATATAATTATGATCTAGCCTACTGTAAGCCGACAGGCCATGATGATGAGTCGAGGAGTGATACTTTGGGTGGTTCCTGTTCATAGAGCACATACAATGCCACCATTACAAGTACTCGTAGCAAACTCCAGCTCGTATTACAAGTAGACTACAACAAGGTGAAAATAATCATATCCTTCTCCTTATCTTCCATCAAACACTCTATAACTACATACTCATTACATGATATCGAGACTCTAGAATTCTAGGTCATAATTGTGCAGGTTGTGGGTCGAGGGCAATTGATCTAGTTAACCGGTAACTGATCAAGCACGCCACGGGAGACAACCAAGTTGTTGTGGTCTGACCACTCAGCACTAGCTGTTGCGTGCTTGTGGGTGTGAATCAGACGTTGTGGTGTGCTCACTTAACTCCTTCTTCTCACCTTGAGACTCTTGACTCGTCTCAGGAGACCGTTGCTCTCTGGCGACACCGCCTTCTCTCCATAGTATTCCTTGCCTCCCTTCATGTCACTATCATTCGAGTATGTTCGGTAGACACCCTTGGACGAGTCGTTTGGTCGAGGGGGAGGCGACGAGTCGGATCCAGTGACTCCCTTACGCACCCGCTGCACCAGCGACTTCTTTCGGCCCAATCCAGAGTTCTTGTCCTGGTGATATGACGCCTCAATGTCAGCCTGTGATGCTGGGGCACCGTCCAGGAACGTTGATGTGCCGAGTCCCTGCGACGCGGTTCCGTGCACCTGGTCGGCCTTGTTAGTGGGATCGAATCGGGTGTTGCCTTCGGCTCTCTGCACTTGGGGCCCCGAGGGAGCCATATGGGGCGCCGAAAAGTCGGAAAATGCCTCTGTCTCTGTTCGTCCCCAAGCGTCAATCTGTTCTTCAGAGGGCTTGGCGGGGCCCAGAGCATTGTTGGCGCCATTGACGGGGAAGGCCGCCACGGGTGCCTTGAAATTGGTGCCCTTGTTTCTGTGGGGTCTGCAAGCATCGAAGGGACCGTCGTGGTGGAAGCCAGAGCCAAAACCAAAGCCCGTCACATCGAGCTTGTCGATGGTGTCCAGAGGCTGGCCGGTCTTGGACAGACGGCCATTGGGCTTCTGGCCAGCTGCAATGGCAGCCTCACGGTCCTTTCGCTCCTGGTACCGCTTGAACTTTTCGTACTCTCGTTCCTTCCGAGCACGTCGTTCTTCAGGGGTCTCTGGCTTTCGTCCTGACCGCTGGCGCTCCTCACGCGAGTGCGAGTGTGAATGCGAACGGGTCTGCGACGAGTGGGTGCCTCCCGAGTGGTCTCGTCGAGAACGGGGAGGTGGAGGAGCTCCTCTCTCGTTATCCTTTTCGTCGCCTCTGCCGTACTCGTTTTTAAAGGTTCGGGGAGGCGCATCGTGGAGCACGTCGTCGTAGCTGGGCAGGTCACGTCCCTGGAGGTCGGACGACGAGCGAGGTCGGTTGGTGGTACGGTTGGACATAGCAAAGTCGCTGTCCTTGTTGTCTTCAGTGGCGTAGTAGGTCACGGGCCGCGAGTTCTGCTGCTGCTGAGGGGTGCGAAAACGCGTTCGTGAGGCGGGAGCAGAGGAGGGCTGAGACGAGGCCCAGTCTGCGGTTGCTGCAACGTTAGAGTTGGCGGAGGGCGAGCCCACAGGCAGGTCAGGGTTGGGGTACGCGGGGTCCTGGGGAGACAGGTCTGCCAGGAATGGGTTGAGCGACATTCGGTTGTTGTTGTTGCGGTTGGGCGCGGCGTAGCTCCGGCTGCGTTAGTGGTTGGAGAAGAGATAGAGGTATTTTCTTGCCAGAAAGTGAAAACCAAAACCAAAACCAAAAGTAATGCTGCGTTTAGTTTAGAGTGCGGTGAGACGACACACTCTACTCTCACACACGCACACTTCACAACATGGCTGGCGCAACAAGGTTTTGGGAGCATGCGATGTGCAAAAAAGGGGCAGAAGACCTTCACCAGGAGGGCGAGTGAATGAGGCAGTGTAGCGAGGAAGCCATAAATGGAGCTTGATAACGGAGGAATCGGCGAAGCGGAAGGCTATAGAGGGCAGTGTTTATAGCTGAGGCGGTATGCACACTGCGGCACACTGGATTGGATTGCAATTGCTGGCTATGAACTGTGAACTGTAGTGTGGTGTTGAGCCCAAATGGACCGCCTTCCTAACAAGTAAAACACGCACACAGCACAGAACACAGACACCCGCAAGAAGAGAACACAGCAAAGACGACCACGCCACACATAATACCACATGACGCATGGAGATTGCCACACAGCCTCAGTCCGGGGAAGAGAGATCACGTGACTAACACCACACGAACGCGAACATAATCACCAGCGCACAGCCCGCCACACACAGAATTGGCACACACCACTGCTGTGGACGCGCCAAGTATCATATAAGTAGCCCACAAACTCACCTGTGCCGCGTGCCATGGTAGACGTCAGCTGAATTTAGTGTGTTGTGGCACCCTTGGCTTTGTGTGTTCGTTGCTCTCCCCCCCTCCTTTGCTTTGCTTTGCTGTGCCATACTCCAAGTCTGTAGTCTGCGCTATCCGAATCCGTCAGCAGAAGATCGATTGCCTCAAACTGGGTTGCCATGCTCATACTTTGATATGTTAGAGGGCTTAATCGCTCAGCAAGTGAACCCTACGAGCAACGAGGTGCATCTGTCGTCATTTAATTCGTGCGCGTGTTCCCTTTGTGTCGCTTCTGTCATCCGGTTCCATTCCCGTATTCTTTTTTTTGTTTTTAGACCAATTTGCCACACGATCCCCGCTCTGTATGTATGTGGTGCTGTGGTCTGGTGTAGAGATTAACATGACTAAGCCGTGTTAACACGATTTATCAGTAAAAGCCATAAATGTGGACTTCGTTTGACACAGCTGATAAAACAGAGTCGTCATTAGTCTCCGCTTCAGCACCACTACACCTGTGTGGGGGTCCGTTCACTGTCTCTGCATGGCTGATGTAACCATCTCTCCAAACCCAGTCATCATAACCATGAAACCGTCATAATAACGCCGAACCATTGGTGAAATCACAATACTCACTTATCAAAGGAAGGAGAAGCAACCCGCGTCTCCCAGATGTCGCCAGGTTCAGAAAAAGGCGAGTTGCTGCGTTGATCCGACACAGATCGGATCGTGGGCGGTTGCAGACTGCCGTATGAGCTATGTCGAACCGATCCGCTTCCCTGCGACGAGTCGGAAGCGGTCCGTCTAAACGGGTTCTTGGAGCCCGTTGTATTAGGGGACATGGGCGGCGGTGTGGCCGAGCTGAACCGAGCCCCGGGAATGTGCATTGGGGGGGCTGTAGACATTATGCTGAAGATGAGTGAAGAAGAAAAGAAAGGTGGTGGTTGATTAGGTGCGATGTAAGAAATGTGCTGTGTGCTGATGTACGGGTGCGTACACGTTGTCTGTGTCTGTGTCTTTGCACGCTGCTGATGCTGGTGCTGTTAATTGTAGTGTTGGTGGGGTTGATGTTGTTCTACTGGAGATGTGGAAAAGGAGAAGAACACTCGGCTTTGTCCTTGTCCCGTTCGTACTATGGCACAGCCCAACCAAGCTTTTGGTTTGGCACGTTAAAAACGTTCAACCCAAATTGGCATTTGGCGCTACACGAGAGGCGCCATAAAATGGTACCCGGAGAGGCGATAGAACCGTAGTGGACGCGTATATCTGTTCTATGATCACATATGAATGGATCAATCAAAATCCTGACTCTTTTTATATCACTTTGACCCATCTAGAGGCGTCACATTCGTTCATGTTCATACTCCTACTCGGCTTTATGTAGCCCGGCAACCGTATTGTGGATCAGTACGACAAAAGGAGTCATCGAGAGAAGAAGTTAAGGACCTGATGGCAGAGGAGATAACACATTATCCAAACAGTAAAAAAACTCTCCTTCAGGATCCCCAAGCTCTCCCTTGCAATCGCCCCTTGAAGATGCGGTATTTGTGTGTGCCCAGATAATATTGTCCAGTCATCCTCTCCCTCTCCTCCACTTACCCCTGATGGGAAACTGACCCTAAAATATGCAGGTGTGGTGCGCGCTAATTCGCGTGCCAGCTCAAAAAAAGAGTTCCCCACTACTTGTAGCTGTTAATAGTGGCTTGGAGACGTGTCCAAGATGCGAAGCCGGTTACCACGTGGATAATAATCCATCGCATGTGTTTCTGGCACCTCTAAAGCACCATCTTTTCCCTACATGATGACGATCAAAACCGTTGTCGCTTCTTTCCACTTTTCAAGACATGCCCTAAATTAACGTTGCCCCCTTGGCTCAAATAGACTTGGGATCGGAACCAGTAACAAAAGCGGTAGTGACAGAGATGGATAGGGCAATGATATTGACAGCTGTACAGCACACGCCCAATTCGTGTACAGTGCAATAGAATACATACGGTACGAATATACATTTGAACTGGTAAGTCACAGCGTCACGTGACATGAGAACATTAAGACTGTGCTGTAAGCGTTACATTATGCCCGATGCAAAGAACTCGGCTGTATTACGACAAATGTTTCACACAACTCCCATCTGTCTGTTTGGTTGCATTTAAAAAATGAGTTTAATGAGCCTAATGTCAAGTCGCCAATCGAGATCGACAACAGGAAGAATGGTAAACAGAAGGGAGGCGTCAGGGGATTTATGGCAAGATATTAGTCCTGACGTAGAGTGCAAGTGCTGTAATATCGTACTCGTGGGTCGGGGTAGGGTTTATCGTATTTCTACTTGGTGTCTGTAACATCGCCTTTATTAGAGCGGTGATTCGAAAATTTTTTGATCCACCCACCCCCTCCCATCGGCCCCTTGAACAGCAGCTTGTTCTCCCTACAGACAAACCCAGAAACACATGTGGACGTGCAGAGATGACGCGGATCGCGCCAATCACGTGGGCAAAACACTGTCACATTCTTGGAACAATAACAAAAGCTCGATAGACTCTTATTGTTTGCGATGGAATGTCGTGAGCAAAGTTCGTACAGATGCCCAGCCAGCAGTCGCGTGGGCCGAGCACCGCAAAACACGGACATCAAACAATAACAAACTATGCGAGTTGGTGCGTTAATTGAATACAGCGCGCACCTCTATCACGCCCTTCTTTAGAAAAATTTGCACCTGCGTTATTGCACGAGGCCTGGCGCGTTATGTACACCCCCCGCCTCTAGTCAACTTCGCGACGAGAATTTTTTTCAACGTCGCGTTCCCGAGGCGACACACGTGATATAAGGGTTTATATGGATAAATCACGTGTTCTTTAATACAAAGGAAAAAATTCCGACCCCAAAGCTCCTTTTAATTGTCAATTAAATTCATTTAAAAATAAGGTCACGTGACTTTGGAAGGTTTAGATTGTATTGGTTCAACGACAAAAAATATAACGCGTGTTGATGTGGTGGCTCAATGGTAGAGCTTTCGACTCCAGTCAACTATGGTTGTAATCGAAGGGTTGCAGGTTCAATTCCTGTCCATGTCATGTTAATGACAGTGGAGGAAAAAAGGCCGGTTTGATTCCGGTAGCTTCTCTAAGCTGATCAACACTATTTTTTCACGTCAGTAAGTGAGAATTTTTTTTTTTTGGTCACAATTCATTAACTTCTTACTACAAGTAGTACTTGTAATCATTACATGGTCTCTTCGAGTTCTCAGATGTTGTCATTGGCTCCAACAGCAACAATGTTGGTCTCGTCAGTGTAGACAGCTTGAGCGACACCGATCTGGTAGTTGTCGAGATCGTAAACGGCGTATACAGATCTGAGGAACACATCGCCAAACAGAATGTTATCACTAGAATAATCTGTTGATTGGATGCCAAAAACACACTCTGTCTGGGTCTTATCGTCAAGCAACTCAGATAGGTGAAGAACGAGCTGGTCAGCTCCAAGAGTGATGTCGGTGTTTCCAAATGTCACGACAACATTGATATCGGCATCGCAGGCGATGTACTGCAAGTTGGTGTCAGCATTGGTAGTTTCGTTTAGGTTGATATCACTGGACAGACCGTAGAAGACATCATTGGGCATATAAATGTACGAGGTTCCAGAGTCAAAAACAGCAGCACTGGCTCGTCCATACGAATTTCCGTTCCAAGACACGTCGCTGTAGGGAACGGAGAAGTCGTCGTGGTCAGCCAGGTCCAGCACCTCCAGGTGACCAGAGTACTTAGCCGTATCAATGCCTCCTAGCAACAGAGTACCCTCAGTAGCATTAATGGAGTTCAGGTAAAGCGAGTAGACGGTTCGGTCAATCCATCCCTGGTTGACGAGCTGAACGGGGAAATTGGGGTACTCGTTCTTCACGAACACAACAGACTCAGAGCCCTGTAGAGAAATTCCAAGGATACCGCTCTGAGCAGAAGTGTGAGTTACAGCAGCAAACTGGAGGTTCTCGAGCTTCACCGACCCGATGGACAGAGTGTCAGTTCCCCAGTTACCAGTAGCATTATCACCAGAGACGTACTCGATAGAGTAGTTATTTCCAATGAAATGGTAGGAGGAAGAGTCGAGGGCATTGAACTGGCCGGTGAAGTCACAGGCGTGGTTCTCACAAGACTGTGTAGCGTTGGATGCGAACACCCAGAGGTCAGAAGATCCGGTGTCCAGAATCACGTTAAAGTCCTGAGCAGGAGTTCCCAGAGACAGAGCAACGGAGTAGTAGTACTCCTTGTTGGTGATTGGGATCTGGTAGGTTGAGGATCTCTTTGAAAGAGCAGGGTGACGAGTGGTGTTGTGGTGTCTGGTCACTGGCAAAGCCACTACCTTGGCAGCGGTAGGAGCTGCAAAAACTGTGGCAGCCAGAGTAGAAAGGAGGAGAGTAGATAGAAGCATTGATCTTGTTTGTCTTATTTCAATCGAAGACATAAGGGTTGTTTATATAGATTTCGTGAGCGGGCACTCCTCGAATTCAGGGTGGGCATAAGGGTCTAACTCTTGATTGAAGTTTCTTTTATCAGATCAATCTCGGAATTTTAACTGACCAGATGCAACGTCGAACGTTTATTGTCTCACCAGTCTTCGGGTTCATCTAAGTTATGTCTTCGTAAGTCATGATGAGTATGTATGGATTCACTGTTGTCTGTCTTAACTGGCGGTGTCGTGGTTGCCTTGGTTGCTTCGATTCAGACAAGGACGTGGCAGCTGCGAGACTACCCAGAAAGACTTTCGGTGGAGGAAGAAGGGTCTCGTTCAATTTGACTACTTCTTCCTAAGAGACGCTTTGATCTGATTAATATCGACATCCATCCTTCCGTAGCAGTAATAACAGTAAGATTCAGGGTATGTACTGTAGTCGTGTGTAGCCTTGAAGAGGAACACTTTGGATAGCAGACACTTGAAATTACTCATAATGAATGTTGGTGATTGTTGTAGCCTCAACAATAACCAACTTTATCAGCCAGACCAGAACAGTTTCCAGTAGACCATGGAACCATATCCACCTTGGTTGATGCCGTGAGCAGGAATAACTGTCACACGCTCGATTTACCCATAAGGCTTCTGTTAGTTGACTAAAATAAATGCAAGCGGGCAAACTAAACGCGAATACCTTCAAAATCCCTCTCGCAATTCAGAGGGCCCACTTTTCTGGTCTTTCTCCAACTCAATTCGTACTTTAATCCAATTGAAGAACTATTTGAAGAGACTGTAGATGGAGTAGGTGCGTTGTGGCAGCTGAATTCAAAGGAAGGCAGGATCTGTTCTGTCATCCGGAAGTGTGTATCATAATCACTTGCTTCGATGACAGTCTGGCTTGGGGGTTCTCAGAGACCTTCTCGAAACACGTTACTGTGACAGTGGAACACACAACACCTAATCAGTGTAGATCAACTTTGAATCAAACGGCGCTGGCCAACTTATACCGGCTGTAAGTTGGAGAGATAGATAAAGCAATGTGGATATCTGGTATACCCGCTTGGGCTCATATGTGCTCTATTGATATATGGTGCTCGTGTGTTTCCTACTCCAGTTTTCATCACAGAAGTATAGATCTATATTGAAAATATTAAATCATTGTCAAGGATTAGCGAGGCTTTGTTGAGTAACGACCAGGCACACTCTTGTACTCGTAGTCTCAGCACACCTTGAAAACTTTCCATACACGGCATGGGACGGTATAACTCTAGCTACAATGTAGAATTTGTAGATATTTTTGTTTGTTCTCTTCTTTCTTGTTCACAGCTCTCAGATCCTACCCCATAAATGGAGACACAATGCAATGTTTCTGAAGTCACCACAGACATGAATTTCAGAGATCTTTGCTGACAAAAGACAATCCTTTTCTTTCATCGTTACTGCCGCCTTGATGCCTCGCTGACCATAAACTGGCTACACCTACAAGTGTGTATCTACACCATGAATACTGCACAGTAATTATGTATGCACACTTGCATTGAAGATCTCAACAGAGAATATCAAAGATGGCCATCTCTGGGAAGTCAGCAATCGCGGTGTACTATCGTACATTGCACCAAGTACTGTAGTTACATGGCTGGGGAATACCGAGCAAGATTATACAATATGGTTAAGAAGATCACATATGGCATTCTACGTGAGCCACTCGGCGGCCGAATGGCTGACTGTTCGAAAGAGCATTTATTATCTAATCTACTACAGTAAAAACTGCTTTTTTGTATCACTGTTCATACCCCTCTTTATGCTCGTCGAGATCGGGTAGTGGTCTGGCCTCGAGAAGCACCAGTCTGGGCGTTGACGCCGCCAACAGGGCCATCGACAGCAACAACAGGCTTGGAAGGTCCCTTGGAAGAGGGCTTTCGGTAAGAGTTGATGTAGAAGGCGATGAAGAGGAAGAGGTAAGAGGTCAGCAGACCACAGCCGTAAATAGCAGCAAACTCCTCGCCGGCACAAGAGCCCATGTTGGGCATCCAGGGCCAGTAGGTAGAGGTGAAGTAGGTGTAAGAGGCAAAGTAGACAAATCCAAGATCGATAACGAACTGGATGATCTGGAGCCGGGTGACCCACTCCTTCCACCACACTCGGATACCTCGCGCAGCCAGGAAGTAGTAGAAGTACATGACAACGTGGACAAACAGGTTAAGGGTGATGGGGACCCAAGAGACCGAGGTCTTACCAATGAGCTGGGTGTAGCACAGAAGAGCAGTGGCACCATGGTGGTAGGTGTGGAGGAAAGTCAGCTTCTTCTTTCGCAGCACAAGGAAAACGGTGTCGATCAGCTCAAAGTACTTGGTCAGGTAGTTGAGGTAGTAGCAGAAGACAATGGGCTGAGTCCAAGATCCGTAGTCGCAGATGGCGTAGAGGATACCCTGTCGGACAATGATGGGGAAGAGCTGCTCAACGAGGAGGAGGAGGAGCATACCGGACAGAAGGGTGAGGAAGATGTTGTGGATCTGGAAGAGCCAGTTGAGTCGGATGGGAGACAGGTTTCGCATCACCTCTCGGCCGCCAAAGATGACAATGTAGTACACAATGATGGCAATGATCACGGGAGGGGTAGAGGAAAAGGGGATGTTGGGGTCATTTCGCACGAAAATGAAAGAGGACGCGGGCCAGCCGAAAAGCTTCTCCCAGGCCTGGTCAAAGATGGCCCAGAGGTAGATACCAAAGGGTCGGTCCACGGAGGGGACGTTGAATTCAATAGGGACGGCGCCTGAGTTAGTATAGAGCGGATAGTAAAGGTGTGACAGAGGTCGTGTCCCAAAAAGGACGTCACGTCAGTGTTGTGGCGGCCACCACATAGTAGTGACACGAGGCTTGTTGTCACGTATATGTTCGGGGTTTGCCTCACTTCGCCTTGTATGGATTTTGTCAAACATGAGATCGGAAGTAACGATATGGATCATGCGACATGTGAGAGACGTAGATAGATCAAGGGGCGAGGTAGGATTTGTATTATCCATCCGTTACTGTCTCTGCGTATTCGTTTCTGTTGTCCGGCGATTAAACCCCAAATCTGCCACGTTTTGTTGTACGCGACGCGTAGATCAGGGGTCAAATCACCCCGCGACGACGATAACAGCGCTTGAGCTGAGTGTTGGTGACACAACTACCGGTAGTATCCCCGGTCGATCATCTTCTGGCTCGAGGTGTCCTCCTAAAACATCTGTTTCGTTGACTGAATGGTCGATTACACAGGACGTGTGTCCCATGTCGACGTAACGTGTTCATGATCACAGGTGCAAATCCGAGGCATTTGTGTCACCTCCGCGCTGCTGCGTGTATCGGTGTCGGGGCGTGTTCGCTGCTGGGGGCATTTGTTTTGTGGGAAATACTCACTCATTTTTCTGTCGCCAAGCAAACGTGTTTTCAGTGCAACGAGAGTACAACTGGCGAGAAGCGAAAGGAGGTTTTGCTTGTGCGGAAAACGAAAGAGACTTTTGCGTTATGCCGGTTTTGGGCTTCTCCGAGGTTAGGGCACGCAGGTCATGGAAAAAAAGAGCGTGTGAAAAAGCCAGAGCTAAATGGAAAAACCAGCAGAGGTAACATAGAATACAGTACAAGTAGATCCAATGGGTACAGGAAAGGCAACAAGTGAAGATATTGACACACTTTTGATAGCATACATCACTTCTGTATATCCTTTATTACAGCTCCAACGAAACAATACCCCTCAAACTAAGGTAGTGCCCCCTGAACAGTATACTGCCTCTTGGGCCCAAAAGTCACTTTACTTGCCGAGCTTGTTAACCCATTTTAAGCGTGGATTAACGTGTTCCATAGAGCAAGGTAAAGATGCGGTGGAGACGTATTGTGGAGGAAGTTACAAAGATAGTGCAAGTGCTATGGGATTCTCAAAGGGTACGTTTTTCAATCTTCAAATTTGTGGCCAGATCCGACCGGTACTGTCTGAACCAGTCCCTACAATTATCGACACAGTTTAAGAGACTCTTTTTTCACACTTGCCAAAATGCATTCCATTCATGCACGACAAGAATGTAGATTCAAGTAGACTGAGAGGGGGCAAGCTGGTGGGGGTCCAAGCAGCCACGTGAGGGCGCGTGGGTTTCATGTGGCTGGGAGGCCCTTGCCATTAATAATATGTCACGTGATTCAGACTCAGTTCCGGAGCGGGGTTGACGTGTATGGTGGCGTAGTGCCATTTCTCCATGTCACATCACCCCACACTGGGCCTCGGCTCGGACTTGCAGCACAAGCGAAATAGACTGACTTTGAAGAATGGCTTGGTGTTCCGATTTCAGTTTGCCCAATCAATTGTACCTGCTTACAAGGCATAAGAGGGGGCTACAACCTACTGCACCGCCGCTTTTGAGTGACCGAGGTTGAACCCCGCGTACGCAGCAAAAACAAGAACCATCGTTAGGACGGAAATGAGAGACATTCCAGACATGGTACCCGTACGATTATGCAGTGTATTCATGACATGATAGATTAGCGTTGTCTAAGTACAGCAGTTAAGTACAGTACCATTACGATACATAATCACAGTGGATAAGGTAACACAGATCGCTATCCGTCATCCGTCATACAAGTCAAGGCTATAGAGGACTGTAACTGAGATCATCAAAGTACACACCACAGACAGGCATTTGCAATAGTGCTAGAAGTATCGTGAAGATACTTGTACTTGTAATGCAGGAGTAACAGTCCCGCATTGACAGGAGGGTCGAAATATATATGGTCTGATGTTCCAAGTGTGGGTTACATCCGCTATTTAAGGTCTACTTGTACAGTTGATATTGTACAATTAAGTACAGTAGCTACTTGTATGTACTTGTGCTTGTACAACGATACACGATACTGTGCAGTATATAATAAAACTGCAGTACGTATGTACAGAATTGTACAAGTACCAGCTGCTGAACGAAGGTAATTCGAAAAGGAACTGCTGTACTTGTACTTGTACTCTTCAGGATATTCCTTCGAGCAGAAACTCTCGTATTGTCACCTTGTATCCATCACCCCAATTCAAATGCTCCATATTCTCGTTTTGTGTTATCGAACAACCATTAGATCAGTCGTTTGGGAAACGTGGGCTGAGGTCAACTGAAGGGGCCAAGATGAGGCATTTAGAGAAAGTCATGGCAAAGCTCTTTTGCAGCTACAGTACAAAGCGTTTCAGAGGAGGCATGGGCTCTTACTGGTGCGTACAATACGACATTCCGTACACTTGTATAAAGCTGCTAAATCATGTCAGCTGTATATTCCAGCTGCTTGTACCAGGTACATACACAACTTACGATCACTCATGTCTTATAGCTACTTGGAGTATGTCTTGTTGCCATTTGCGGCTATCCAGACTGCTCTATTGTCGCTTCTCTTCATAAAGTAAACACTGTTGCTGCCGTACTTGTCTCTTGGCTCGGCGTGTAGGTAGCTTTGCTGTCGTATCGCCTGCACAATCCATGCACGTGTGAGATTAGCCTGGTGGGAGTGCATAGCAGAGGGTTGCATGTCAAGCTGTAGCTGTATCTCTCACATGACTGGGGTCATTGTGTGGAAAGCAGTGTAACTCTCTAATTGAGATCGCACAGAAGCAAGTGTTCCTGATCCTTCGTGTTGAGATTGCAAGGTCTATTGAGACCTTGGGGCTTAGGTGTGGCGGACTGCGCCACAGGTCGCCCGCTGCCATTGGAGGGCTTTGTGTCGCTGGTGGTCTTTGTGATGGTTGTCGCAGTAGGTTGGTTGGTCTTGGAAGAGAACATTTTGGTTGTATTTGTGACGAGAGAAAGATGGCAGAGATAGCTCTACTTATATACCCCGCTTTGTTTGGGGCGGCGACACAAACACAGTCTGGGTGGTCGTTATCGTTGAGCTCAACAGGTTTATGCCAGTTGTAGCAGAGAGTATGATAGATAAAGAAAGCAGATATTTCGGAATAACTAAGTAAACATTTTCCTGTGTCTCAGCATATGGTATATAAATGGATGTGTGCAACTAAATCAGGTGTTGCTGGGTGCCAATACATGAGCCATAGCGGATCTAGACTGTGAACACGTAGCGTTCCCTTCTGGAAGCCCAATTGCCTCAACAAACAACTGCCCATCTTGTTCTGGGTCTCCCTTCTTGACTGTTTTTGTCCCTTGCTGATAATATTGTAATTCCCAGTCCCTTGCATACGCCATTTTTTTGCCACCGATCTTTGCATTTTTGGAAGTATATACATAGGAGCATGTTGAGCAGGAGATAGCGCAGACGGAGTGTCAGAGGAGAGACAATGTAGGCTGTCACGATAAGTGACCACAGTAGCAAATCAAGATTTACACACGCACCATGCTCAGACGTTCAATATCTACCTTCTGTCTACAGTTCTGTCTATAGTACACAGTAGCTTGGCTTTATTCGCTAACCTGTTCAGACGATAAGTACAATTAGCGTCAGTCCATATACCCCTCTTTCAAAAGCGGAAAAACTAATGGATGCAATAATACGACAACCTCCACCGGATTATTCCACACTCAACGTCCAAAAAAGAAAGTGTCACCTTTGGACCTGTTGAGTGACGTCCAAATCGAGCTAAATGAAACTCAATCGTTCGCATCGTTCATCTCGCTAACCATTGCGACTGGAGACATTCTCACCCGCTGAGCTAAAAAGGCAGTGAGTAGCGAGGTGGAAATGGTTGTGCGGGTCTTCAAGTCCTTGTACGCTGCCATTACCACCTAAAGCACCCTCTTACAAGTACCGGTACATACTGTACTTCTATCGTACAGTAGATGACAGATTCACTATTATCATCACATTGCCATAATAATCCACTCAATAAGACAAATACCCTTCCACCCTACACATCGCTCTGAGGCCACACCTCTTCACTGGTTGATTATTAAATAAATAAATGTACATACACTCCCCCATTAAAACTGATTTTTCCTACGCCGCCACTCTCTTTTGACTCTTTTCCCAGAAATCCAGACAGGCAATCACATCGTTGCCCCGCTCGTCCTCGTACGCGTAGATGATCTCCCGCGACGACTCGTGCAAGAACCGGATGTTCTCGCCGTGGATCACGCTCACAATCTCGCCCGTCTTGACATGCCGAATCTCCACAAAGTTGGGTTCGAAAGCCAACAGGTACGGGTACCAGATACCAAAGTTCTGAGGCACGCCTTCCCAGTCGATTCGCCACATGGGCTGCTTTCGCCAGCCATGGGCGTTGGCGTAGAACGAGAACTCGGAAAAGTTGAGCAAGAACTCGCCATCAAGTCGGTACACTGCAATAGGCTTGAGTTGCTCCTTGCCAATGACGAAATCCAGGGAAGTATCTGCAGAAGACAGCAGACTCTGAGTGTCGAAATTGGTGAGGGACACCACCTTGAAACCGTTAGCACAGCCAACACACAAGTTGAGAGACAACAGTGAGATGGAGATAATCTCTGAAGAAATGTTGAACTGCTGGAACGACCGGAACTCGGTGTCCTGACGTCCCTTCTTGAGAGACAGGAGGGTTGTTTGCCGCTTGTTCTTGGTTAGGGGTTCTGAGGGCTCCAGGACGTTGATGGTGGACGAAGTGGAGCTCGACTTGACTGTGCAGACCAGCATTCGGTTATTACACACACCAGCCTTGAAGAAGTTGATGTGACCAAGAACCTTCTTACCCTTTCGCGAGTTGGATACGGGATCCGGAGTATCGATGATATCGGACGGCCAAGCATATAGAGTCTTGTCAGCAAGCGCCAAAATCGTCGTGTACTCGTCCAGAATGGCCACCTGGATCACGTTGCTCGTAGAAATGAGCTTGACAGGGGTGGTGGCCACAATGGAGTTCTGTAGCGAGCCCTGCTGCTTTGGAAGATGCCGGATGTCAGAAATGAACACTCCCGAGTCGGTTCCATATAGCACCTTTCTTCCGCCGTCAATGGGAACCACGCAATTGACACGGTTATTGCCGTGGAAAAAGCCGGAGCACAGCGTGTACTGCGAGAATACGTCGCCAAGCTCTCGTCGGGCATTCTTCTGCGACTCAATGTTGTCAGACCACGCCTTTCGAGCTGCAAAGTTGGCAGCATACAAAGTCAACTCGTAGCCCTTTCGTCCGATATGCAGAAAGGTCAGAGGGTACTTTCCATTGGACGACTCCTTCGACACAGTCTTGGGGATCAGCGAAGACGGAGGCCGTCGGAATGAAGAGCTCTTAGGACCGATCTCCTCAGCCTGAGCAGCCAAAAGAAGTTCGAGGGGGATGGGCTTCTTGTATACACGCATAATTTCCCGCTTGTTGACCACCTTAACCTTGACGAACAGCAAAAAGTGGTCCAGCAAGTACACTTGGATCTCACCCTGGGTGTCCTGGGTTCGCTTCTTGAGAGAGCCCTTGAAAATGATTCGTCGAGACTCTTCCATCAGCTTGAGGTCCACGTAGTCGTTCTTCTGGAACACCAGCGACTGGTTCAGCTGCATCAGCGAGAACCGGTTCTCGGACTGACCACTCTTTTCGTTGACCTTCATCAAGTACGCCTTGATCTGTTTGATGGCTTCAGGAATGTCACCGTAGTCGGGGTTGTCCTCCTTGGTGTGTTTCAGCACAGCTTCGAGCAGCAGAGGATATCTGGCCAATCGAGTGGTAGGCTTGGTCAGGTAACCGTTAAGCTCCAGTTTTCGAGACTGCTCGAGACGCTCCGTGTCGTTGACAAATTTGGCAAATGCCGGGTTAGACGACTTTTCACGCTCGTACTCATACTTACCGTACAATTGCGAGGCTCCGTACTTAATGAACGGCTCGAATCGTGGCACGTGTTGCAGGAAAATGTCTCCGACACGTCGAACAACAGGCGCAAACTGCTCTCGCTTGGTCAGAGCCTCGGCCAGCTTGATGTTGACGGCATGCACGTCCATGATGAACGAAAAGACCATCTTGATGAATCGCTCTCGTCGAGCCTCGGGAATAATGTTCGAGGTTCGCAGGGGAGTGATCCAATAGTCCCGTACATACTCCAGATCCTTGACAAAGTCCCGCTCTGTGTAAATGAGCTCGCAAATGACCTCCTGTCGCTTCTTCTCCTCGTCATCCACACTGTTGGCTATCTCCTTAGTGACCCGCTCTCTCCACAGCTTCTGCTCTTTGTTGTCGCTGTCGCCGTGAAGAGACAGACGCGACTCAGATCGCTTAAGACCGCTGGGCTTCATGTTGAGCCGAGCCTGCTGCTCTAGACGCCTGGGACAGGCAATGGAGTAACACAGCTTGTCTCTAGTGCACGTGGGAGAGTAACACTCTGTCAGCAGCGTGAACACACCGTTGACAGGCATTCCAACAGTCTGGGCAGCCGCATCATTGGCTTCCACAATCTCGTTGAACTGGTACAGCTCAAAGGGCGAGTCTCGCAGCCGATGGTCGTAGGTGACGTCGTGGAAGAACTTTTGGGCATCCAGAGACCGGCCGAGAAGCAGGGCCAGGTTTCTGTCAGTGGTTTTGATGATATCGGCAATCACTGACACAGCCTCGGAACCCAGAAACGAATTGGAGTAACTCAGCTCGTTCTTCTTCTTGTCTGCTACCACAACGGTGAGTCGGAACATCTCGGCCACCTTGGACAGCAACGCAGGGTAGACGAGAGGGGCTCGTCGCGAGGCAGTGAGTACTGCAGAACGAGGAGAGGGGCCAAATTCAGATGACAACGACCGCATGGACGATGTGGAGGTCGTTCTGTGGTTGCCGAAGCTTGACTGCTGTGTGGGAGACACGACCGTGCTGGCAGTGGCAACCGACGCAGAGGAAGACGAGGGAAGGTGGGTTGCCGACGTAGAGGGAGTTACCGTCGAGTTGAGACTGACGGTTGACCCAGGGATGCTGTGTCCCTGTGCGTTAACTGCATGGGTGCTGCCTCCCATTCCTCCAGGTCCAGAGCCAGGAGGTCCTCCCTGTCGCGGCGGAATCACTCTACCTGAAGAGGTTGAAGTCATGGTAGAGGTTCGGCCCCCGGTTTCTCGATCGTAGACGTTGGGGTTGCCTCGCGATGTTGCTGCCACCGACTGCTGAGTTAGAGACATGGACCGTCCGTACTGCTGCTGGTGAGCCGGGTGATGCTGCTGAGGTCCACCAGACACTGATCTGCCCGGATTGAACTGGCTGAACTGCGAGTACGGGTTGGAGGGGGAGGTCGGAGAGGTGGCCGACTGGGTGTGTCGCATCTGGGGTCGCCGGGAAATGTGGTAAGGGTTAGCCTGGGTCTGGATCTGTGGCGGTTGTTGCTGTCGTGAGAACTGCTGGCCACCGTATTGCGGTGCTCCAGGAGTCATTCCCTGGCCCATACTTGTTGGGGGCATGTTTCCTCCCTGGACCTGGCCGCCCTGAGGGTGCTTCTGAGGCGAGTATTGCTGCTGATGCGGGGGTGGAACATGTTGCGGAGCATGTTGCGGAGGACCGTGCTGCAGCTGAGGAACATGATTCTGCGGGGGAGGACCGTGGTGCTGCTGGGGAGGCGCGTGGGGAACATGCTGGGGCACCTGCTGGGAAGCATGCTGAGGAGGAGCCTGCTGTCCCTGTCGTCCTACAGCGTAAGGATACTGGGTCTGGCCCGTGTGTCCCTGAGGCTGGCCTTGCGGGTACTGTCTCGGCGACTGCTGCTGGGCCTGTCCGGGCTGTGGCCGGTTGGTCGGGTAATGTCGCGGTGGCATGTGTTGCTGTGGCTGCTGGTGATGCTGGGGTGGGGGATTGGCATGATGCGAGGGCTGCATGGGGGGCTGTTTGGTCTGGCCCTGGGGAGGGGCTTGGCCTTGTTCATACCGCTCGTTGAGGTTTTGCATGGACCGCGAGGCGGGGATGCGCTTGGTTAGTATACGGGAGCAACAGGTGTGAGGGTCCGAAAGTCGAGGGCGGACAACGAGATGTAGCTAGTGGAGCAGAAGAATGGGCTGTGATAATTTGTATATGGCGATTCTTAGAGTCGATGTAGGTTTGATTTGCCCTAAGTGTGTCGTCATGTATGCTCTACACCACGTCGTGATGTGTCGTGCGATGCGTTGGTACGCCTTGGTTCCCCTCAAACCACGTCAAACAGTGTCGCTAAAATGTCGCCATAGGAACAGTACAGTCGTGAACATTCACCAAATGAAATTACTGCACATTCCACAGCAATCTCATCTGAATATATCCTTCACGTCACCCTTAAACCATCCGCTCATCTGTGTAACTGCGCGGTACGATAGGAACACCGCTTGTACTGTTGGGATATGAGCCATGTCGATGCTTCTAATTCTAGGTCTCTTCTTCTGCCTGTCTGTGTCTCGCTTGCCACTGGTTCTGTGTTCACATCAGTCTCCTTTCTGTCCATATCACCCATTGCCTGTGTCTATCAGGGTTTCTCCTCATGTCTCATCTACTCACCTGCATCGACGGAATATCGGTAAAAGGAATATCCAACACGTCCTGCGCCATTTGAGCTGCCCTGGGTCGAGTGTGACTAGTTGTGTGTCTCTTGGGGCGTTGTGTCGTGCAAACAACAACTGGTGTAGAGATTGGCGGGCTCTGAAAAAGTGTAGTACTGTACCCTAAGACGCACGAGGCTGTGTTTGTGTGGTGCCAACTTTAGGTTGCTTAGTCACCTGCGGTATTAGTGTGGGGGGAATAAATGGAGCGCTATGAGGGAGACGCATGCAACTTGACCCGGTCGGTACGGTCTATATTACTTGCTACAATGTGGTGAACCGGTGGTCTTTTTTCTCGTGAAAATCTGTCTTTTTTTTCGGCATTTATAGGACTGCCGAAAACGTCAGAAAATAGGGTTGGGGAAGACTGTACAAGAGCAGACCTTTGTATGAGTACTCGAGATACTTTTTTGGAGAGATGATGAAGAAGTCCAAACACCTCCAGTGTGTCATAATAGCCTGTGATGAACTATTTGCTGGCTTTTACTGTCACCTTTCTACCCAAAAGTACCCCTCTCTGACCCACCATTGTCGGTCATATTCACTATGTCCGTCGTATGCAGTCCATCACTTAACCTCATTTGTCCTTAATAAGCACAGGGGTACAGTAGTCCAAAAAGCAATAAACACGGAAGACTCAAGACCGTCAGCCGATGGTCCTGTAGCAGTTGAGCAAGGGAGTGGCTGGAAGCCGAAAATAGTGCCTTGTGTAGCCACAAGTAGATAACAATTCCTTTCAACTTCAAGCACGATAACCACTCAATTGTTAACTCAATAACTGTTCGCTCGCACTTGCCACACAGCTTGCTTGTACCTACGATAGGTGCAACTGTATTGTAGGCATGTGTCCTACAGAATGATCCTCGTCCCCTCCCCGATTATAGCCATTACGGTATTGACATTGAGACACTTACTACTGTAATACGAACATCGGCTACTTGTACTTGTACCAGGGTGTGATAATGAACTCTCTTAACTCCGGTTCCCCGCAAGTCAACCCGGCTGGCACTACAGTCGGTCACACCTTTATCTGACACAGTAGCTACGGTACAGTAAATCTGAAGTTCAATCAACTGAGGGAGTGATTTGAGAAAACAAACTCAAGTGCCATCCAAGTAAAATCCAAGTATGTTACTGAAGCAACCCGCACCCCCTTCCTCCGAATGTTCGCTTCGTAATCAGCGGAATTCATGGTCGAAACATTTCCAATTCACTCAATTGAATCGGCTTATGACATTCCATCAATCCACCTACCTCCGGTCACCAAAATCTCACCTCCCACCATTCCTTGCAATTTCACCTCTAACTGCGCCATTATTAGAGTTCACCAGCTATCTCCACCTCATCACACCCAAACCTGTCATTACCAACGCATCACCAACGTTAACACATCCAACCAGACACAAAAATGCCAGCTCTGAACAGTACATTTCTCGGCGAGGACCAGGACACCCGGGTAGTGGGCAATTTCGCTATCCTCCCCATCAAAACGTCATTCCGAGGCCCCAGTTACCCCAGCAACGCCGACTACGACATCATCGACGAGGTGCTGGATCTGTTCCGAGCAAACTCATTCTTTAAGAACTTTGAGATCAAGGGCCCTGCCGACCGGGCTCTCATTTACGGCATTCTCTTTGTGTCCGAGTGTCTGGGAAAGCTCAAGCCTACCACTTCTGCCAACGAGGCCAACAAGTTGCTGAACACTGCTGCTGTGGAACACTTTTCCATTCCCGGAGACGCCGGCTTCCCACTGAACTCTCTCTACGCCCCTCCCCGAGACCGAAATGAGGTCGAACTGCTGCGAGGCTACCTGATGCAATTCAGACAGGAGCTGGCAAAGCGTCTGATTGAGAAGATCTACAAGGACGACCCTTCCAAGCCCAACAAGTACTGGTTGGCTTTCACCAGAAGGCATTTTATGAACAAGAGTTTGTAAGCGAATGAATTACTAGGCACAGCCGGGTAATGTATGAGCGGTGAACAAACACAAGCAACTCCGGTGATGAATCTCCACCAAACAGCTGAAGGAAGAGGTGCATCAGAGCACAAACTAAAGCCCTGGATACACAATGTAACTAATGAATGATATGATAAGGTAACTTTGTAGGAGCTGGTCGTATGGATGAACTGTATGTATGTATAATAATGTATTGTCACTGTGTATCAGTATGTACATTGTACTCGTACTTTTTCGTACTTTTACGTACTCGTACTGTGTGCTTGTACTTGTATTGATCCAGTCTATACAGTCTATTTGTTTTATCTTTCTCACACTTTGAATATGACAAGTGGCGATAGACTACAACATACAGTAGGGATGTTGCCATAGGCACCCGTGCTAATTGCAAGTAGTCATTGTCAAGCGCCTACACTCAACTCAATTAAATCTTCATATAATACATATAAATAAACACGCTTTATCCATGCTATCCTTCCGTCCTTCGTGTCCTCCTCTCCCCTCTCTACTGCCAATAAGGTGGATAAGGTCCTGGGGGTGACTGCTGTCGTGGAGGATACATGCCTGGAGGAGCTCCGGGAGTGCCGGGAGCGCCGGGCGCGCCGGGAGCACCCGAAGGAGGACCCGCCATGGCATTGAGAGGCGGCAGGGTGATTCCTCCAGGACGTCCTCCACTCGGCTTTGAATCGCCATTGAGAATCGACGTGATCGACGACGTCTTCGAAGGCCGCTGCAGAATCGGCAAGGGCGGCAGTGTCTGCCGAGGCCCGTGGGGTGTGTGAGCGTTGATGGGCGGCAGAGAAAACCCAGTGGGAGAGCTCTGCTGTGGCGGAGGCGTGTGCGACAGCGGAGGCATGTAAGGTGAGTAGGTACTTCGTTGAAGATCTTGTCTCTGGAGGTCCTGCTGACGCTGTAGCTCCTGCTGTCGTTTAAGCTCCTGTTGACGCTGCAGCTCTTGGCGTTGGAACTCTTGCTGGCGCTGGAATTCCTGCTGTTGCTGCTGTTGCTGCAGCTGTCGCTGTCTCTCCTGCTCCTGCTGTCGCTGTCTGTGCTCCTGCTCCTGCTGCTGTCTCTGTCGCTCCAGCTGCTGGTCTTGCAACTGTCGCTGTCTCTCCACCTGTTCCTGCTCCTGCAGCTGTCGCTGGCGCTCCAGTTGCTGGCGCTCCAGATTGGGTCGCTCCTGCTTGAAAGACGAGGATCTTGGCTTGGTAGCAAAGAACCCGGCCATGGGAGGAGGTCCAGGCTGAGGTGACTGTCGCGCAGATTGGCCAAGCGGCGGCGAAGCAGAGTGCATGTGTCGCATTGACTCGGTAGCAGGTCGCATTCCATGGGGAGAGTACCGCATGGAGCCCACAGGGTCACGCACGTGATCGTAGTCGTACGAAACGGCTCGTCCGTGGGTAGCAATGTACTGCTGTTGGGGTGAACCGCTAGCGGGAGTCACGTGCTGGGGTTGAGACACGTGCGGCTGCTGCTGAGAAACATGCTGGGGTTGGGGCTGGATAGCGACAGGTCTGTATGGACCAGGAGTGCCTGTAGAGGACTGAGAACTTGACCGAGAATGCAGAGACTGGGCAGGTTGAGAAGGCCGAGCAGAGACTGGGGGCTGCTGCTGCTGCTGCTGTGGAGCAGAAGGCTGGTGGGGCACCTGCTGAGGAACCTGCTGAGGTTGAGACTGCTGCACAGAAGGCGGTTGAGATGACTGCTGGTGCTGGTGTTGGACAGACTGCTGTTGTCTCTGAAGTTCCTGCTGCTGCTGATGTTGCTGCTGCTGGTGCTGCTGTTGGGCAGACTGCTGATGCTGTATAGTCTGTTGTCTGTGGAGCTCCTGCTGCTGGGCAGACTGCTGATGCTGGGCAGGTGTCTGGTGTTGTCGCATATCCTGCTGACGCTGGAGCTCCTGTTGGTGCTTCTGCTGACGCTCCAGCTGCTGCTGCTGCTGCTGTTGCTGCTGTTGCTGCTGTTGCTGCTGTTGCTGCTGTTGCTGCTGTTGCTGCTGTTGCTGTTGCTGTTGCTGCTGCTGCTCCTGAGGCTGAACAGTCTGCTGGCGTATCTGCTCCTGCTCGGGCATTTGTCTCTGCCGCTCGAGTTGCAGCTCTGGACTCACTCGTTTCTTTCTCAGTCCCGCGTAGGGAGTGGTCAACTCCAAAGACTGCTTAATGGGAGGGGGAGGAGGCAGGGGTTCACCTCTCTTTGCCCTCTCGTCAGCCTCAATAGCCAGTCCGTGCCACCCTTTGGCCTCACCGTGCTTGTGAAAGTAGTTCTTCACCATCACGGCGGACTTGGAACGGAAGTGAGCAGCTACCTGTTCCCAGTTGGTGCCATGGGAACGGATTAGAATGGGTAGCAGGTTGACTTCGTTGACAGACCAATATGAAGAGGTCTTGAAGTCACCAGGAGCAGGAGCTGCATTGGCAACTGCTCCTGGAGCAACTACAACTGCAGCATCAGCCACACCAATTCCAGCCTCTCCAACTGTAGTCGCAGGCAGGGTATTTACAGCAATACCCCCGCCTGACGCCACACTCCCAACTGAAGGCTCCACCTTGACTCTCTTGACTTCCCGCTTCTCGCCCTCCATCTGCCGCTTCCTCTCCTCCTCTCCAAACTGAGGAGCTGCCGCTCGTCTGGTTCTGATGGCTCCGTCGAACGCCATCTCATCCACAACGTCCTTCTTCCGTCTGCCCTTTCTGGCAGACCGTCTGTTACGCCCCGCGACGATAGCCTTGTAGTCCACCCGTGTCTTGGTTCTGTAGTAATGCAAAACACAGTCTCGGAAAGTCCGCAGACCGCCCATGGCAGCAGAAATACGACCAAACTGCTTGGGATGAGCAGCATACGCCTCGCAGAACAGCTCGTGTTCGGCAGCAGTGAAATTGTCAATGCCGTCCACATCTAGGCGTCGATGGAACGCCTGCTTGTCGGCCACAAAGTTGTTAGTATCCACGAAGAACACCTTCTGACGCAGCTCCTCGTCCAAAATCATGTCTGGAATGGTGGCCGAGGTGAGCTTTGCACGCACTGACGGGTCACGTGCATGCTCCCGTTCGAGGTTGGCAAGGATCTCTAAAAACTCGGCCTCGGAACGGACGGTGTCTCCATGAGAGTGTCTGCCACGTCGTCCCGCAGCCACATCTTCGGCAGAACCCTTTTCACTGCCCTTCTCCTCGAGCCCGCTCTCAGACTCCTTGGGGGCCCCATTGACACTGCTACCAGGAAGAGCAATTCCCTTGTCGCCGGTAGTCTGCTCAGGGCGAGGCATTTGCTGGTTGGCCTTGGAGACGGCCTGCTCCTCGTCCTGCGACCGCGTCACGTGCTGCTTGCTCCAAAGACGGTACTTGCTAATGTACTCCTGCTGCAGCTGCTTCTTCTTGGCGTAGATAGCCTTGTTGCGGTCAGAAATGCGGGCAGCAAGAAGAGGTTGAATCACGGCAAAGTTGCGCGTGTTGGTCCTGTAACACTTGTAGTCACGTGTAGACTTGAGAGGAATAGACCGGAGGTACCGCATCTCAGCAACACGCTCGGAGCGGGGAAGAAGACGGTTAGAGAAGTAGGTGTTCTCCAGCCGGGTCATGGGGAACTCGTCAGGCTGGAAGTCGATGGAAGCTGTTATGACAACCGGTGAGACAGCAACTGGTGCAGCAACTGGCTCTGCCTTCTTGGTGACAACAGCTGTGGGGGTTGTCTCCTGGCCTCGTACGCCGACCGTAGCTGTACGCGGAGACACTCCATCCCCAACTGCAGCAGGGAGTTCCTCCTTCACTGCTGGAGCAGCAGGAGTCTCCTCCTTGTCAACGAGAGATTCGAGTTTCTCTTCAACGGCAAAAGTCACCTTTGCAGGTGCAGGTGCTTTGACATCCATCTTTTCAGGCTCTTCCTTCGACTCTGGCTCAAGGCACACGTCCATCTTGTCAGACTCGACATGGGCAACTGCTGCTGCTGCTGCTGCCTCATTAGCTTCAACAGCATCAACAGCCCTCTCCAGAACCGCATCCTTCATCACCACGTCCTCTGTCACAGGGGCAGGATCTACTGGAGGTGTGACGGTAGATGCAGTGGCTGCCGTGGATCCAGTAGCTCCAGTAGCTCCAGGTAAAGCAAGGCCACCAGGAAGACTAAGACGCTGGCTCTGTTGTTGGGAAACAGGGGGAACCGTGGGCAGTGAAATTGACCGCACAGGAAGAGTCTCGATGGAGGTGGCAGCAAGAGACCGAGCTGTGGTGGGAGACACGGAGGCAGAGGTGGCAGCGGCAGCAACGGCTGCTTCTTCTTCGACCTCCATCTCCTCCTCCAGCTTTTGCATTTCGAGCTCAAGCTCTTTTTCAAGAGCGTCGCCCATGTCGTCGTCAACTGCAGCGGAGGGAGCTTCAGTGATAGGCGGTTTCTCTGCCGTAGCAGGAGCTGTGGAGGGTTCATTAGTTGCGACAGTAGGAGTGGAGGTCTCGACAGTGGTCTTGGGAGCAGCCTTCGGAGCAGCATCAGCTATTAGAATATTGTCTTTAGCGCTCGTGGTCAGTGTGGGTGTAACAGTAGATACTGCAGCCATCGTAGGAGCATCAGAAGTGCCATGAGCTGAGGACTCCTTTGCATGCTCTTTAGTCTTGGCTTCCTCTTTGACACACTCTTTGACAGGCTCCTTAATAGGCCCCTTGACCTTCTCCTTGACTTCCTCCGCTGCCGCTTCAGATTTCTCAACAGCAGAGGGCTTGTCAGCTTCATTCGCCTCCGCAGTCTTGGTGTCTGCAGCTTTGTTCTCTGCAACCTTCGTCTCAGCCTTCGCATCAACCTTTGACTCCACATGATTCTCCATCGGCTTCTTAGCCTCTGTAGGCTTATCTGATTGTGTTTTGGGCCGTTTGTCCTCCTTGACCTCCTTATCCTCCTTGATCTTACCCTCCCTTACCTTTTCCTCCTTGACCTTGCCATCCGTCGATGCCATCTTTTCCTTTTGTACATAGTTTTCGGTTGTTTTTGGCGGCATCGATTCAGCAATATGGTCTGTTCCGTTCTTCACCACCTTTTCCTCCTTGCCGTTTTCAATCACTGGATCCTCGTGCATGGCAATGTCTGCGGGACCCGGCGTGTCGGCCTTGAGTTGCCTACCCTCCTTCTTGACCTCTTCCTTGAGCTCCTTGACCCTCTTGGAGTCGTCGTGTTTCACCTCGACGCCCTTCTTGCGAGCAATCTCCTCAGGCTCCTCAGGATGCGTGTCGGAGTATGTGTGGAGATCATGTTGGTGGCTAAGCGATGAGGCGTGCTTTGGGAGAGATTTTTGATGCGGCTTCCTCAGTGGCCTGCTACCGTTTCTAGCAGGACTTGCGACATCTGGGGACGCGGAGCGATGCAGGTCACGTGGAAGGGGCGATTTACGCACCGACTCACGTGATAAGGAATCTCGTGCATCCCTGGTGTCGCGTGAAAACCTTCGCTCGTCACTCGGTGAGTTACACACCGAATTGGAAGCTGAGGCCGCTGCAGAAGCTGCAACTGCGGGCGGCACGCTCGGCGACTCGTTTTTGACAAAATGCGGGAACAAGTCATCCGCAGGAGGTACACGTGACACACTGCCATCCTCTACACGGTCACGTGAGAGGTCACGCGGGTCGCTCCGCAAATCTGGCCGGTCTCGTGGCGGAAGATCACGTGGATCACCGCGCGAATCTGACCGGTCGCGCGAGTGAGCGTCACGTGGGTCCCGAGGATCTGGTCGGTCGATTCCTCGATCTCTAGGATCGGGCCGGTCTCGTGGGTCTCGTAGATCAGGTCGGTCACGTGGATCCGGCCGGTCGCGTGGATCTCTCTCGGCGCCTCCCCGCGAGTCTCGTTTAGATCCTCCTCCTGGACCATCATCGTAACGGCGTCGGTTGTCGAACCGGCGGTCGTCCCAGCGGCGGTCGAAGCGCGGTGGTGTGTTGCCCTGGTAACGCGGGTCTGCTCCTCCGGGTCCAGGAGGGCCTCCTCCTCCTGGTGGGCCGCGATAGCCCCGGTTGTCTCGTTTACCTGTCAGGCTACGGGGACCTGTGGGAATCTCTTGTTTGAAGTTAGGGCCTGGTGGGCGCCGCTCGAATCGTCGGCGGTCGTCAAAACGGCGGTTCTGTGTTAGTAAAGGTTATGGATCTTGCAACGAGGGTACTGTGGTTGTAGCAAAAACAGCATGAGTGTCTGAGTGAGGAACAGAAGCAGTCCCTACTCACATCAGACATGATAGTCAGTGGGTGCAGGGCAGCACAATGACAGCAGCGACGGTGGAGACAACTGTAACGGTGGCAGTGGTAGCATTGCATCTAAAGTCTCACTCGAAGCTCCCCAGAAGTGTCGATTGGTGGCCTACACACAATGTAAAGGTGGCACAGAAGTAGAGTTCTGGGTGCGTTGGTCCACAGCCGGTAGTGATGTTGGTGTTGATGGTGTGAACTCGTACATAGATGAGGTAGGGTATCTGACGTATAACAGAATGGTATTGCAATGTTACCTTTTTTCGATCGTTTGGGTTGCATCTGATTTGGATCGTTGAGGTACTGTGACACATCCTCCCCTCTATGCTTGGTCAAATATCTGCGGCTCAAGCAGTTGGGACCTGGGCTGCATGCGCTGCTGTATCTGAGTCGGAACACGGAACAGCAACTGTTCAACATGGACTTGAACGGCAGAATCTGAACAGTAAGTGATGGAAATTTGGTGGCGCCGTGACGGTACATCCATGTTCTGTTAAAAACATCGGGTATCGCGTGACCTGAATGAATGCAGATGGTATCTCAGAATGCCACGTAAACATGGACCATGTTGTCCTCAATACCAACGTCAAGGAACGTGCTCGCGTCTCGAATGCCACTCGCTTCAAGGCTGTCGCCCGTTTCGCCCTCTCATCTCTTTTCTCTCTCCTTGGTATCACGTTGGTATCATCTTAGTCATCATCTTGAATTGTTCATTTTAGCCCCTAAAAACACGCCATAGTGCTCAGAACGCCTGCTCAGTGTACTGCCCGCGTCTCTCCTCTAGTTACACCCGTCAACCCACCTTTTTGTCACACTTTTCTCTCCGCTTTCACTCAACCTAGGCTCTCGTTCATGTCTCTCGGGTACTCACATCTTCCCTCCTCTGTCGTTTGTACTCGGCAGCCTCGCGTTCTCTTCTGCGACGCTCCTTGTCGCGTTCCTCCAGACGTCGCACATCTTGCGCAGACGACGACGGATAGTTGCCCGACATGGCCAGTGTTGTGTGTAGATGTAGAGTGGTGAGAATTAACCAGATAGGGTTAGGGGGGTTGGGTTAGGGTTGGTTGGTGTGCTGTTACACGGCAGTGAATAATGATCTGTAGGTGACCGATGGTGTCGTCCTATAGCATGTGATCGGCTCGAGTTGGGAGTTTATGTTGGCTTATGTGTTTCCGGGCGTTGTACTAAAATAACACGTTGTTCGGTGGCGATTCCATCGGTCATATGTACACACTATTTTTGCCTCCTAACTGCAGCATGTGAAGTGGCGTATCACACGGAAGAAGACGGCCCTCGGAAGCGACGATAGAACACACTCATGCCCCGCCGATCACAACTAAAATGATACTGCCAAATATCCACACATATTCCTACACAACTGCGATGAATAAGCACGGTAGAGTTTTGAGGAAATTGGGTGCAACCAACGCACACCCACGATTGACAGAAGCAAGGAACCAACAACCTGACAGTTGGTATTGAGGAGTTAGAGACAGGATACATCACGTGACAACCCGACACCGTCATAAATATTACAAGTTTGCATTCCATTTACACGACACACGCGTCAACTCGGGTGACACAACCATCGGCCGGGTAACACCATAATTAGGTCAACACGGGATAGAGTTCTGCTACTGTAGTGCAGCATGGGGCACTACTTGTAGATTACCTAAGCAGTGAGGCGAGATAGTTACATAAGCAAACTCTGCGTTTCACTCCGCCCTAGTAAAACACAGTCTGGGGTAAACCTGTCGCAGCCGAATTCTCACAAGATTAAGGTCTTCATTATTTCGACTGGTGCATGACATCTGGGGCGAGTACAATACATATCGTATGTACTCATGAGTTACAAGGCTGATACTTGACACATATGGAGCACAAGTGAATGAACCAGATGAAAATGGGTGTGGTAGGGGAAGTCAGCTCTAGGCTCCGTCACATTGTAGACATCAAAAATGTGACTGTCGTCCACCGCCTAATCTTCTCACCTATCTTAACTCAACATTTCCCATTTCCAACCGGCATGGACTGTTTTCTCACAGCAGAGTTCTAAAGCTTCTCAGGTTCAAGTACAAGGAAATAGACATGGCCTTGTCGGACTCTAGCTACAGTACTTATAGGTGGTGATGTTCATCCCATGAATCTCCCAGAGTAGCAACCTACGGCGAACTTGCGAGCGAGGAGACGAATACGACTCGCGTGTGGAGAGTGCATGGCTCGTCATTGCAAAGTCGGACCGATGTTTGCTCCGGTAGCGAGACTTCTTGCCCTAACCAAGCCTACTTTGATCAACTTTAACGGCTGATATCGTTTGATTGTCCTATCAGCCGCGGCAGTTGGACGCAAATAACCAGGGGTCTATAGATCAGCCGGAGAGAGAGACGTCGATAGCAATGAAGAGAACGCTGAAGAACAAGGGAAGTTACAAATTCAGGACCAAACCATCAAGTTGAATAGCCGCAGAGCCGAGTTTATAGAACTCAGCGAGTTGCAACTAGTATTTGAAACATCAAGCCTCAAACCCTGTCACAGCACGTGAACCTGTGTCAGGGGTCCTGTGGGCCGATGGAGCTATTTGTTTTCCCAGTGATCAGGACAGGCTCTCCTTTTGGGATGATTTCTATCCCTCAGCTGTCTCTTGTTTCCGACCACGACATTTGTATTCGTACTCGTACTCATATAGCATACATGCAGAGGTGCAAACACATACAGGTATCTGGAGATAAATGTGCTTAAGCGAGGTTACTGAACCTTGTGCGGTGGGGTTTGCGATACTTAATGGAGGGGGCTCCTAGAGGTTGAGAGGAACGCAAACGTGTAATTCTTCTAAATCACACTATTCGATACTTGCTGAACAAGCCGCTCTACTCGGAGACTCGCACCCACGCAGCAATGAACGACATGGCAGGCCTCGGTGATGCGGACGCCTTTGTACCGCCGACAGCGGTTGGTTCAAAAGCCCAAGCATTGGAGCATGGGACAATGAGCGATGACTATGGGGAGGGTTTGGGGGAATTAGGATGGGAAAGTTCCGCTCCAGTGAAAACTAGTCTAGCCTCAGAAGGAGGTGCTTGGCAGATCGGTCTACTAGATCTGACATCGGGGCTAGATTCCGAGAAAGGGACAGAATTAGGACAGCGGGGTCAATGAGAAAGGCCGGGGAGTGCTTTACCAATGAAACGGACAGAAGACTTTCCTTCCGAGGACTCCAAAGTCCGAAAACGGTTATACAGCCCTCCCCAAGATTTCGACATTTCTCGAGAGGGCTCAAACGACCCAACCTCAGAATACGCTCCACGCGACACATCCCAAGATGCAACTGTCACAATACTCAATACCCCCTACCCCCATACTTGTTCAATGGCTAGACTTCTCGACCTGTCACTCCCAGAGCTCGAATTGATATCCGAGTTCACTCACCATACTCATCCCGAAATTCTCAAAGCCAATGCACAACCCGACTTGCAGTGGATGGGAAGGCCAGACTTACTCGCTTCTTCGAGGTCCCTGAAGCTGGCATTTCTGTTTTTGGCGTCTTCAGACCTAGCTCAAAAAAAAACGCAACAAGTCGTAGGAAGATATCCTCAGATGCCAGTCAACACACAAGAGCGGCTCCTCAGAGAGTTTACCAATCTGCTCAAATGGTTCAAATATGAAAGCCAGGAGCCCAACTCACTTTTCCGACGAGACGACATTCTTTTACCAACAGCAATCTACGTCTACCTCTGCGGCCTAGCTATCGGACCACAACTTCTACCCTTCTTCACTAGCTGTCGTCAGGACTTGGCGGGGCTCTGCAATTCGATCCACAACACTCATATTTCATTTTCAGGTGAGTTCCAACCTCCGGCAGTAGCCTACCCTGTTCTTCCAGACCGAATGAGAACCCTGCTGCCAAAAGAAGAAGACCTATGGGCTATTGTGGATCACGTGTTGGTGGACGAGAACATCCCCACAATGGCTGAAAGACGACACATTCGGACAGTTCTCTCTACAGAAATATACGCCATGATCGAGTTGTTCAATATGGACGTGGCTTTCCGTTCTATCTCACATCTGTCTTCGTGGTGTGTCTTCAACACTGAGAAGTTCAACCTACTCCGACAGGAACAGAACCCTTACTCGACAATTGTCATTGCCTATTACCTGGCATATTGCCACCTCTTTCACTCATGGGGATGGTGGAGAGACCGGGCTCAGTATGACCTCTATGATGTGGTTGAGTATCTGCCCGATTACTACATGGAATACGTTCAATGGCCTTTGGCGGTGGTGGAGAGTTTTGAGTGGACTTACGAGGATCTTTTGAATGGAAAGTTCCGAATGGATGCAGAGAAGATGAAGAGCTTTAGATGAAGGACAGACGACCACCCATACAAGAACACAACGGGATATGTCACCACGGACAGATAAGGTCTACCACAAAGAGAGGGAAGAAGGGAAGGAACTATCAATATTTATTATTTATTAGTATGTACTTGTTTGTACTGGACGCTTGATGGTTATGATGTAGGAGGTGGCAGCGGATCAACGTTTTTTCCAGTTCCATAACTACAGTATGTACATGTGTGTGTTACAGAGAGCACATACAATCTTGTACTCGCGTTTCGAGGCAACGTCACTCTCCTCAAAGGGGGGATTGAGGTGGTTGAAGACAGACACGGCCATGGTTGGTGTATCTTTCAAAACGTTCCACTAACTCGACGAGACTCGTACAGACGGGGACTGGCGACAAGAGTGAAGAATTGTGGGAGGTCCTCAACAATTTAAGAACGATTACTTGTACTAGTAGTTTCTTCTAGACACTGAGCTTGCTCATCTTATTCAATGTTGTTGTGGTTGATGCTGTTGCTCATCACGTGATGAGCGAAAACTAGGTCTGTTACATTTCGAGTGGATGCTTTCAAGAAAATGTCTCCAGAACGGAATTTCTTGGCATAGAGATGAATTGTCTTGTTTTGCGAGAACATCAGAGTAATGTAAATTTGATCTTTGCCACGGATTCCAGGACTAATCGCATCAGCCAACTGTATTAGGACCCAGATACCAGTAAGTACAGTGTAACAAGTACTTGTATGTGCCGGCACTTTCATTTGAATTATCACAGGAATGGACACACAGGAATGAACTCACAATAATAAGGATTTCAAATCAACTCAGATTCTATACAGCTACCTATCACCCAAACCACTTGCAGAACCCATTATCACGGGGCAATTATTACACAGAGGGGTTCTCCAAGTGCCCTATATCACGTGAAGTTTACACAAGTATGAGTACATACACAAGTATGTCCAAATTGTGTGTTTTGATAACACCCATTTATGGTCCCAGCGAGGGAGCCGTGAAGTTTTAAATGACCTAAAACACTAAGCCAGAAGTGCTAAGCAGTCTTGGTTGTTAAATTTGTGGTTACTGTAGGCACGGTGGCCACAGTGGTGTATCGACATTGCCTGCATTAGTAGAGCTACAGGTCTCCACTATGCCCCTTCAACCGCATCTAGGACTCGGTTTAACTCCATTCCCCCTTTGATCTGGCTCCTCTCGAATGCAGACGGAACTCAGCTTGATTAGGAAATTTCAATTTTCCCATTATTACCCCTTCAGTTCAAGACGTTTCGAACAATAACCAAAGCGACAGGCAGGGGTCTAGAAAGCTGAAAAATCGACCTTAGAGAAATCAGAGTTCGTAGTAATGACGACCGCCGGATAGCCGGCAATAGTTTTGTCATGTTTTTATTTTCATTTTTTATGTCCTCTCCTCGCCCAAAATCTGGGCACTCAATAGTGAAATTAATCCAACTACCCAATACAGTATGTACACATACTTGAATTCGTAGCCATAAGCTTCATCAGCACTTATCATTCGTACCCGTTGATAACATGTTTAGATCGACGTGTCTCAGGGATGACTGATGGTGAAGCAGATACCAACAGTGAACCCTAAAAACTGAGTGAAAACATCGCTATCTGTGTTAACAGAGTCATCGAGGTAACAATGTTGAGTATTATTAGACCTCCATCTACTATACCTGCCAGAATCACTCGGTCCCTCACGGTATCATTACTCGGGATTATTTCCGGATGCAAACCAATAGGGCTGCACCGTTACCCGTTCCACAGCGTTTTGTCTCTTGCATCATCTCATTCTGCTGTTGCTCATTCTGGAGCGATGTTACACTGTTGGGTTTGAACACGAGCTGAATTGAACGCTCATTCTACACGTTATGTGGGGCTGAATAATGTAAATCTAAGAGCCGAAGTGCCGCTGTGAAGGAATGGATAGAATAGGAGTTGAAAAAGAAACTTGACCTGAACAATATTACGTGATCAAGCGAGATGGACGAGGAAAAAATATTCGCAGGTGAGACTGTGGTATTCTACGACTGCTCACAATCATACGACCAATATCTATAGCTCACATGTAATGGAATTACGAGCCCCATGTACATGATATACTTGTAGTACAGTCCGTGTCTAGACAGCGGTACGTCAATATTCCTCGGGTACAAATACGCACTAATTGTAGCGCAGGGGGTGATAGGGGACATCACAACAAGTCCGACAATTCTAAGGAGAACAAGTTTCGAACCTCTACACAGCGTAACACAGTAACCCAGATCTAACGTCCCACCACTGGGGATTCGCACATGAGGCTCACACAATCCAGGCAAAGTTTACATTCTCGACGCGTCTTGGAGATCGCAGGGAGCAGTAAACAGCGTTGCCCTGGTTACAGGAGGAAGCGGCGTCACGTGAACGTCTCTCAAAGAAGACACAAGAAACAACCCCGGCGTAGAAGGAGAGAGGGAGTGGTAATTAAAGTGGTTAAAACCACAACAAACAGAAGGGGGGCTGGGTACAGGTTATGTCTGTGGTGGGGTATTTTGTATAGGACGCTATGGTACCAATACCATAACACCTTGTTAAATAAGCAGACAGCAACGTATAGTCACGTGAGCTCTAGCGATGCCATGCAATGAGTCGAGTATTGACATTTGAATCCGTTAACCTGGCGCACTCATCAGATTGCTCAGCCATCAGGTAAGGCTCCATTATTCGTTAATTCCGCAAATAGAGTTTGGTTAAAGTTGACAGGCCCGCCCAGAGCGGAAATTAGGTTGCCAAGAATCGAGGCGAGGATGGGGTATGTGCATTGTGATGGCTCGAGTGCAGTCTTGTGCAGTCTTGAATGAGGGATATTATGTTCGCGTAAATGGTGGTTTTTTGTGAGAGCATGTGAGGGCAATAAAATCAGGCACTAGTTTCATAGCCTTCCCGATATGTGTATGTGGTCAGCCTCCGGGGGGAGGGCTATAAATACCAGCCCTGTCTGACTTTGTTCTATTTTGGACTTTGCATTCCACACAGTTACCCTGACGTGCAGTGGGATGTGGTGGTAGATGGGCTTTGGACGGCTTGGTATGCACCGATTGCAGATATTAAGGGGATGCCAAGGGAAGCTGTAGAATAGGCGACAAGAGCCGGTTGAGGGGTCTACCGATAATTTTATAAATTTGCTGAATCAAGATATCACGTGTCGCATTCAATACGTGTGATATCGCTCCCTACCGCACGACCCATTATACAGTGTTGTACTAAAAGGACAAGCTCAGAGTTGAGATGGTTCAGGCTTGCTATGTTTGGGTTTGCAGTTAAGTTCGGACCAAGGTTCGCCAACTAGAGTTTGGCCAAACTCACCCTCCCTATATATCCCCCTTTGTGTCCTGCTGGTATTCCCTCCAGCTCAGCACAGCACCACATTCGTTTCATCATGCTCTTCAAGTCCGCTGCCGTCTCTCTCGTGGCTCTCGCCGCCACCGTCTCCGCCGCAGACGAGTGGACCAAGCTCAAGCCCACCAACACAGCTCCCTCCAACTGGATCACCTCTTACTCCAACTTTGGTATTGCCATCCAGCCCATCACCGGAGCTGTTCAGGCCGGAGCTGAGGCCACTGCTGTGCCTACTGCCCACCAGAAGCGAGACGAGCACGATGACGACGTTGTCACCCAGACTGTTGTTGTCTGCCCTTGCGACGAGTCCACCACCACTCTGCCCGTTGTTGCTCCTCACCACGAGGAGTCTGCTGCCCCTACCTCCGCCAAGGAGTCTGCTGCTGCCGCCGAGACCACCCCCGCCACCGTCCCTCACTCCGACGTGACCACCAAGGCCTCTGCCACCTCTGCTGCCGCTTCTTCTGCTGCCGCTTCTTCTGCCGCCGTCTCCGGTGACGCTGAGGCCACCAAGGCTGCTTCTGCTGCCACCACCGGCCCCAAGCCTTCCGGCAAGCAGGACGAGCCCACCTCCAACTCCGACTTCGCCAAGCTCGTTGCTTGCAAGAAGGAGGGTACTCTCGCCATGACTCTCGAGGACGGTATCCTTAAGGACGACAAGGGCCGAATCGGTTCCATTGTCTCTAACTACCAGTTCCAGTTTGATGGACCTCCTCCTCAGGCTGGTGCTTGGTACGCTGCCGGATGGGCCATCTCTTCTGACGGTAACCTCGCTATTGGTGACAACCAGGTCTTCTGGCAGTGTCTGTCCGGTACCTTCTACAACCTGTACGACCGAAAGGACAACCGAGATCAGTGCACCGCCGTTCACCTCGCCATTGTCAACCTCGAGGACTGTTAAATTTATGACTGCATTTAGATTCTGCAGGTAACTGCGGTAAATAACATTAATATATTGAAAATTACGAATTGTGAGATAATTGGCAGTAGTAGTAGGAGCTTTGCAGCACACTCCTAAAGGTAGTCATGGTGGTACAGACCCCTGTTTTCACACTATGATAGATGCTAAGACCCCAGGAGTTACCTTAGTGCCTATGGTGCATATGTTGATGTTGTAGGAACATCCGTGTTGCTTGGAAAAGCCGGAATGGTGATTCTGATCGAAGCGCTCGAAGCGGGTGAGCTGTGATTCCATCATGTCGTTGTCTACTTGAAGTTTTATTGAAGGGAGTGTATCATTGAAGGCGTTTACACTGCCCTACAAGGAATAATCCTTGCTGGTGAGATATCCACCGATTCGGCACTTGAGTCAGAACTGTTTCCGAGAGCCTTATCTCACGAGGTTTCACGAGACGCCAAAACCGTATTTCCAGCAGTTTTGTGAAAGTGGAGATTTTTGAGGAATGATAGAATCGTTCTATGGAATTGAAATATAGAGAATACAAGGAGGATACCAATGTCAGAAGATAGCCAGGAGCAGTGCTCTCGAGTTTTCAGCATTGTCATATCTTCAATTTAACCCATTATAAAACCAAATTCGCACCTTCTTGAAAAACTGTTGCCAATTTGATTTGACTCTGGACTTGCGGCTACGTCTGCCGGTACGATACTGCACATCAGGTCGCCTACATTATTTCTGTACACCGCCTCGAGCAACGAGACATAAACAAAAGACAAACGACTGCAAACAATCAGACAGATACAGACGCACCAGACCGGAGAAACAGATGATAAACAGCTCTTTGTGTTTCTTGGTTTGGCAAAGTGTGTCTCCCGTCCCGTTATTTTATTAGTTACCATCATCGACATTGCTCAGCCATTACCACGGCATTCGTTTAATAACCTTATAGACAGCTAATTACTGCGATATTGAAAGAACAATTTCGTGCATATAGTGGCCGATATTAGTTGCAGGACGTATTCGACGAAAAATTGGTTGACTCTGGAAGCCCGAGCGCCTACAGTATCTTGTCTTTTTCATGTATTTTCTCCAAGACGCATCACGGTACAGTAGATAGGACCTACGGTACTCGTACTAAAACAGCCACCACAACAACAACAGTTCAAGGGCAATAATGCACCTCGCAATTGTCGCATTTCTCCGTTGCTGCTGTCATTTGTGTCACTCTAAACTCATCATCGTTAACAACGCACTTACCCTGCTGAGGCAGCTGCCAAGAAGCCAAGAGAGCAACATGCATCGATCCAGACTCCAGACTTGGAGAAACATGTAACCCCATGTAACCCCATGTAACCCCATACTTTATCGGTTGCCCAGCAATTGCTATAAATACGGTAACAGTCAAGTCACTAATTGCTATCAAACTGTTGCGAGACCGCCAAAGTGCTCCATTTTACAAATAAACACCCACCAACTGTCGGTATGGGTTATAAATAGCTCGTAGGTTTCGACCAGTTTTTGATTTCTCAAGTTGCCGTAATATCTATCCAAAATAAGGTTCAAACGATATCATTGGACTCGCCTGATTTCAAGGAATCTGAATATCCAGTTCAATTGCACATATCACCAATCAATCACGAGAAGTTACAGCCACACAATAACCACGCGTCGGAAAGCTTAAATATGAGTTCACGTGTGCTTAATTGTAAATCCGAAATAAGTAACACAGGCCTCCAAATTGGGAGGTTGGAATGATTATTAATCACAAACACCACAGAGCAATTGAAAATGCCCCACTCGCATAAATTTGATTCCAGAGAGTGTTCCAAAGAAAATACAGCTACCTTCACGGTTTCTGTTAGCTCCACTGGGTGTGCTGGTCTGTGTTTAACACCAAGTGAAACTGAAGCAAGGTTGGGAGGGTCTAAACGAGAGCTACCCTGGAAGAGGCTATGGGGGGGGGGGGGGGGGGCTGGTGAGTGATTTTGTAATTGGATGGAGCTGATGCAGTGTGCTATTCAGCGTACAGTAGTCCAGGGGCTCTGTGGCTTTTCGTAAGCCCGTAAAATTTGGTTAGTTTTGGTGAATTCGTGCTATTGCTTGCTTGGAACAGGCATTCATCGTGGGTGTGCAATCTACAGGTACAATACACTGTATCGTAGAAGTAAGAGCACTTATACCACTGAGAGTATTGCGGACTACGGTATGTCCACTCGTATGTACTACAAGTAGTACTTAGAGGTTCTCTGGTTGTGTGCTTGTAAAGAACAATCATATTACCATGAAAAACAGTATGTACACTGGCGATCAGTATATACAGATATACAATAAGAGTGTATTTTTCCAAGAACAGGAGAATGTGCGCGTAGGTGTCCCTTGTACGGCATGTAACGGTACCGGTACAGTAGGAACTCCCACAATAACCTCTGTAGGTATCGGTGTATGCTATAAAGCCGTTGAATTGTAGCTACTGTACCCTTGAACATAGCTTTTCACAGTCGGTATGTATTGCAACATGGCTACACTCTTTCGTCCATGAATCGAGGGCCGCTCTCCAAAGCTTGAATTGAACAGGCACTACTTGTAGCACTGCAACTATTGTAGGGAACATGCCTGTTTCCTCACAGGAACTCTTCATACTGCACCTACGGATCACCACAGTATGTATGTACTGTTTAGCGAAGCTATATAAACCAACCCAAACATTGGGAATATATAAGCAACTACACTATGTACTACAATTGTACTTATCTACGATATCAAGAATCACTCGGAGTAATACTTGCACGCCAGTCTCATGTATTCATCAGGATATAGCATAGGGCTGCCAGGTTACCATCGGGTAAGTGTACAGCTAGGACAAGTAATAATTATACCGCCCAGCCCTGCATAAACTCGATTCACAGGCATCGAGGTCCCATTGTGATCTCAACTCATCCATCGGTTGGGTCTTTGTTCAATTGGATCGTCAATCGCATCATTCCTTGACAGGCCGCACGTACTTGACAAAGTCGTCCTTCTCACCGATCTTGGTGTAAAGCAGCTGGGCCCGGTGGTTAAAGTGCTGGGTGTGCCAGTAGGTCTTCTCACAGCCCAGCTTGTCGGCCTCACCGTACACAAACTCAATCAGCTTGCGGCCCACACCTCCGTTTCGCACCTTGTCGTCCACATACAAGTCATTGAGATACATGGAGTCTCCCACGGTCCACGTGTTTCGGTGGTTGATATAAGTGGCGTAACCAATGAGATTACCAGACTCGTCGACGGCCACGGCGCAGTTGACTGGCTCTGAGTCGTCCAGGAACCGCTTGAAGGTGACCTCAGTCACCTCGGGGGTCCACGATGACTTATAGAAAGTCAGATAGCCGTCCAGCAAGGGCTTCCAGGCCTCCTTGTCGGTCTCCTCAATTTTTCGGACAGTAACGGACATGGTGGTTGTAATAAAGCTGAAATTTCTGTGATCGTGATAGCTTTCAGTCACTATCTATCACAACCTGGGGTGGAATGCATATTTATACAGTAAGGTGGGTTAGAGTTTCGCGGGTAAATTATCTACAAGAGGATTTGACAGAGGGAAAGTTGTAAAAATGGCCTAACATTTCTGTTAGCCACACTAAAAGCTGTGCATAATGTCTCTCCTGATCAAATCAAGCCTATCGCATACCCCACACACTTTCTAGAAGCACTGTTGTGTGCCTAATGAGCAGCAGTTTACGAAAAACTGTAATAGAGGGTAGACCTGAGTCACATTGAGGAGGACGGCCCAGCTGAGGTCAGTAAAAGTGCTGAATGGTCCAAAATTTTGTTTAATCGTGCCTGACACACTTTCAACCCTCTGCAGATATCTCATATTGTTGAGAAACTGTCCCTGAAGCCTTTTTTAATGCCCCTTTTATTGCTATGTCATCATTTAAACGTTCACTATGGTTATGTACTTCGCACATGCGGCTGAAACGGCGCGGACAGAGTGGATTTCAGAAGACCCCAAGTAGGGCCAAGGGCCTATAAGGAACAAATAAATTATATTTTATTGTTCCTCTCAATATGAGAATCCGATTGGTTGCTTCAAATTAGTGATATCTCTACTGTCACTCATTATGTGACCCCCACTGTGACGGAGCGGACTTCTGAATAGTGTTATGCTTCACATCACTCATACCAGCGAGAGCTCCATGTGACATGGAGTTACTGTAGTACTGTAAAGTACGAGTAGTGGCCACTAAACTCGCATACATCGTATATAGATTGCTTCTGAACTCCTTTGAGCATATTCACATCCCCACTTAGCCTCATTTGTCTTGATTATCTCATCATCTCGTCAATTAGTTACAGAATCGCGCTCAATCACAATCCAGACATATGACCACAACTGGGCAGTCCCGTAGGTCTTCTGAAGCTGAAAACTGGCTTCAATTCAACATACAGTCGTAGATAGGTACAGGCATGAAATCTCACTAAAAAGACCTTATAATATCCATCACATGACTAAAACCTCAACACACAATCGATAAAGGTTTCTTGGGCTGCACGATAAGACAATCAGCCACGATAAGAAATTATAACCGCTAGAATAAATTAGTCACAAATATGGCTTACTACGATGTGTGGTTCATGTTTGCAACTCCAGCCACAATAGGACCTGTCAGAAGCGGGTATTATATATCTTGTGTGTAAGACAGGTGCAGTATGGAAAGAGTTGGAGTGAGTTGTGCAGTATGGTCAGTGAAAGAAGATAAATAGTATGGGAGTAACATACTGTAGTGTAGACCTTTGTAATAGTATCTGAACATGTGTGAGTTGGTTGAAGCTCTTGCAACCCTGCGACATACCTTACCTTTTTTTGTGTTGTTGTAAATCATTTATTTCCTCTAGCCTCCGGTTTAATATAAAATCCAACTAGGAAGGTACAATAGTTAGACTTCCTGCTTAGATTTTCTCAAGTAATCTTAGCATACATTACGGGAAGGAGATATATTAAAACGGAATGGAATGGTGTTAAACATTTAGTAAAAGGGACATTGAAACCATTTGTTGTCTATAATTGATGAAGTCTTTTCACTCAACACTACTTTCACGTGACACTACGTGAGGTTGAGTATGTACTCAATGTTCCTGTTCAGTGTCCTACTTGTAGTGTGAGGAAGTGCCATACTCAACCTCACTCATGGAAAATTACACACACTCAGAAATTTCCCATAATCATTTTGGAGTGCCAAAATCAACTGCAATAGATATTATTTAAACCCAGACACCACTTTCTCCTTGATATTACCTCGTTATTGCAGCTGTGGGATGACTTGTACTCCTCTTCCTCCCACTCTTTCCAATTTCCTACAGCTACACTTTCCGTACCTCTCGAAATGCCCTGAAACATAGCTGGTATATAACATGCGTGGTGACCGCTACAATCCAACAATGATTGTTCTACTTCTTCTTCTCTCTGTCGCGTTAAGTAGTCCAATTATGTTGGACCGGTTTGGCGATAGTGTGAACCGCATGATACGAGGCAACAGTGAGGCGTATGAGAGCGGCGAGACACGCGGGGTGTCCCAGGAGTTTGAACAGCGGCTCGTGCGGTACATGTGGTTCAACAATGTGGCTCCATGTGTCCCCAAGAAACTTCAGCATCCATTCAAGTGCATAGCTAGAGGCTGCAAAGAGCTGGGGAAACATACAGAGTTGGTCGACATTTTCACTCATTCAGACAACTTGTTTGATCGCACAATTTCAGGATTTGTGGCTTTGGATCACAAGCACAAGGAGATTGTTCTGGCGTTGAGAGGCACTCAGGATGCCCACGACTGGGTGACAGACCTGCATCTGAGGCTAGTGGGGCTTCATCCCGAGCATCTGGGTGTATCAAACTTCAACTGTCGCAACTGCCAGGTAGACCTGGGCTTTCTCAAGGGATATTTGCATTCGTTCCATGTTGTTGACAGTATTGTTCAGCGTCTGACTGAAAAATACCCCGACTACCAACTGGTGATTACGGGCCATTCACTTGGAGGCACTGCAGCTACGCTCTTTGGACTCAACTACCGACTCAACGGCTATTCTCCCCTAGTTTTTTCGGCTGGAGCTCCGGCACTGGGAAACAAGCAGTTTGCCAACTTTGCCGACCGAGTCTTCTGGGGATCGCAGAACCCCAACACTCTCAAGGTCAAGGAGAGAGATATCAAGTTCTGTCGCATGACCCATCTGGGTGACTTTGTGCCTCGGTTTCCCTTCTGGAACGGGTACCAGCAAATGTCTGGAGAGGTATTTATCAACGACGTGCGAGGTATATATCCACCCAGGGAGACACTCCAGCGATGCAACGGGCAACAGAATAGACAGTGCTCGTTCGGAGACCAGTACCGCAAGCTGGAAATGAACTTCAAGCCCCACTCGGCGTACTTGGTGCCTGGAAGCGAGTGTTCGCTCAGTGGTAGGAGAGAGTTGACATTCGGACAAGTTCATGCAGCGAATGACACAAACAAGGACTCAGACACAAACATTGAGCCTGACATTGAACCAATCTTGATACCTGTCGTGCAAATAGACTAACGGGACATCCCAACCACAGAATGGATACAACTGACGTGTACATACTCATTATACAGTGGCATTTGTGAACGCACACAATCTGAAACCTGAAGACGACTGCAGTTAAACGCAGATGATTTTGTGTAACAGTCCAATGGAAGAAGGGTATTTGAAAAACTTTTATCTCGATCGTGCCTTCAGCAACCAAAGCCCCCAAAGACGAGTATCTACACACCTCGTGTAAGATAACCTTAATTTTTAGCGATGTTCAAATTAAACCTGACCAATGTCCACCATGAAATATTAGAAGAGAGAGAGAGAGAGAGAGAGAGAGAGAGAGAGAGAGGGAGGCACTACTACTTGGTTGGTAGCAAAAAGGAGGTTGCTCTAGGTATTAATTTAGGTGGATCATAATGGAATGGGAATGCTCCGTACAAATGCTCCTCATTTACTATCAACATTAGATTGAGGAACGTCTGTTTGCCTAACGAATTGGTGGAAGGATACACTCAGACGCTGTCTTCGTATGACCTCCTTATGTTCCCAAACTCAATCTCCACAGCTGAGTAACTCCCCCTTCTCATACTCCCAATGGCTGATTTGTGCCCTAACCCAGAGTCTGTTTGTGGTGTTGGGAGAGGTAAAAACGGGCCACTGTTGGAGAGGCGAATTGGGGGGTTCTTCAAACCTGTCCGGTATTGTAGCAATTGGCAATATGGCAGTCGAAATAAACCAGTCACGTGATTTTGAACACTTTCCCATTTTTAAAATTAAATTTTCCCCCCCCGAAACGCACACTAGGTATTTCCCATCTCAGCCAATCAAAAGCGACCCAAATCCCAAGCCAATAGCATTGCAACTTTTCGCCTGCACCTGTGTAAAAGCCAGCTTGCTTGACCACACAACATCTCCACCCTACAACTAAAGATGCTCAGGACCACGCTACACAAACGGGGTCTGGCCCGACTCAGCCGAGGCTTTGCTACCACCCAGGACGCCACCCCCAAGGCCCGTCAGTACGGTGGATTGAAGGACCAGGACCGTATCTTCCAGAACCTGTACGACAACTACGGCTGGGATTTGGCTTCTGCTCGAAAGCAGGGAGATTGGTACAAGACCAAGGAGTTGATTCTCAAGGGTGACACGTGGATCATCGACGAGATCAAGAAGAGTGGTCTGCGAGGCCGAGGAGGTGCCGGATTTCCCTCCGGTCTCAAGTGGTCCTTCATGAACCCTCCTGGATGGGAGAAGAACGAGGGTCCCCGATATCTGGTTGTCAACGCCGATGAGGGAGAGCCCGGAACCTGCAAGGACCGAGAAATTATGCGAAAGGATCCCCACAAGCTCGTCGAGGGCTGTCTGCTGGCCGGCCGAGCCATGAACGCCACCGCAGCCTACATCTACATTCGAGGCGAGTTCTACAACGAGGCCGCCGTGCTGCAGACCGCCATCAACGAGGCTTACGCCGCCGGTCTCATCGGTAAGGACGCCTGTGGCTCCGGCTACGATTTTGACGTGTACATCCACCGTGGAATGGGTGCCTACGTCTGCGGAGAGGAGACCTCTCTGATCGAGTCTCTGGAGGGCAAGGCTGGTAAGCCCCGTCTCAAGCCCCCGTTCCCTGCCGGTGTCGGTCTGTTCGGCCGACCCTCCACCGTCACTAACGTCGAGACCGTGGCCGTGGCTCCTACCATTCTGCGACGAGGAGGAGACTGGTTTGCCTCCTTTGGCCGAGAGCGAAACTCCGGAACCAAGCTTTTCTGTATCTCCGGAAACGTCAACGAACCCTGCACAGTCGAGGAGGAGATGTCCATCCCTCTGCGAGAGCTTCTGGAGAAGCACTGCGGCGGAATCAAGGGTGGCTGGGACAACTTACTGGGTGTGATTCCCGGTGGATGCTCCGTCCCCATTCTCCCCAAGAACATTTGTGAGGACGTTCTGATGGACTTTGACGCCCTCAAGGACGTGCAGTCCGGTCTGGGAACCGCTGCTGTCATTGTCATCAACAAGCAGCAGGATGTCATTCGAGCCATCCAGCGTTTCGCAGCCTTCTACAAGCACGAGTCGTGTGGTCAGTGCACCCCCTGCCGAGAGGGAACTACCTGGCTGCTCAAGGCCATGGACCGATTCCGAACCGGCCAGGCCAAGGAGCGGGAGATTGACATGCTGTACGAGCTGACTAAGGACATTGAGGGCCACACCATTTGCGCTCTCGGTGATGCCGCCGCATGGCCTATCCAGGGTCTCATTCGAAACTTCCGACCGGAAATGGAGACTCGAATGAAGAAGTTCCACGACGAGGTTGGTGCTGTTTCTGTCGGTGGCTGGATGAAGGACGCACGAGTGGAGAAGGGTAAGGTTGTTGGAGCCCCTCTTCCCGGCGTTCATCATTAGGGAGAGTATTTAAAAGAATAGATAATTGCAAAGACATGTTGAGGGTGCATGCGAAGTTCATATGGGAAATGGGTGGCATGGTGAGAGTTGTTCGATGACAATACCTTTGCGCACTGGAGCACAGACAGAACTGCGTACACAGTATCTAACACATTTCGATGATATAATAATAAAAGGACTGATCATTGGGGCATGTATGGTTTTGAGTGTGGACTATTTTACACGCTTGAGAACTCGGAGGATATTCTGTATACGCATTATACTTTCTTTGAAGCATGGACACAGTATGTATGTACATAGACCCGAGTATGTACAGACACAAATCAAAGCAGGGAATGCAATAACGTCCTGATTCATAATAGGGTGTCTGTATATACGCTGGATGTGGGAGACACTGTGATGAGAATCTCACATGTCAAAAGTCTTCATTTGCTGTGACTGCAGTTATTCTGGATTCGTACTCTACAATGTACATTTTGGCGTGGAATTGTGGTCGTGGTGTCTCATTCTGGCATATAGGTCATTACCATCGTCATTATTTACACACTGAGTCTATAGCTGTGATGTTCTGCGTTTGGAATACAACCGGATGACTACAGAGCCGAGCCCCGATACCTATATTCCAGATTTTGCGAAACCCTTAGTTCATATAAGCCAACTGAGTCAGCTCCTCGATATCGTCCACCTCCTTGAGGCACTCCTCGGTCAACACAGAGTAGCCCTTATCGGTAATGGCCACATTGTCCTCAATTCGAATACCGATACCCTGGAAGTGCTTGGGGTACTTGTCATCATAAGGCACGTACACACCAGGCTCAATGGTGATGACGTTACCAACCTGCAGGTTGGCTCGTCGGTTGCTCTTGCCCACATCGTGCAGATCAATGCCCAGATGGTGGCCAATGTAGTGGGGGTACAGGGTCTGTGTCTGGTTGAGAGTGATGCCGTTGAATCCAACATTCTGCAGGTTCTTGTGCAGCTTTCGCACAGAAATCTCGTGGATATCATTGATGGACTTGTCAGTGCTGCATTCCTTGATACACTGCTTCTGGACATCAAGAACAGCCTCGTACAGGTCTCTCTGGGCCTCGGTGAACTTACCCTCGCTATCCTTTCCAACAGGCCATGTTCGAGAGATGTCAGCGCAATAGCCTCCAAACTGTCCTCCGGCATCAACAAGAACAAGATCATTGGTTCCAAACTTGTCGTCATTGCGGGTGTAGTGAATCGACAGAGCGTTAGCTCCTCCAGCGATGACAGGAACGTAGGCAGGCTTGTCGCATCCACCCAGTAGGAAAAGTGACTCCAGATACACCTGCAGCTCCTTTTCAGTGGCAAATGGGTTGGCGTAGGCGGCATTGTAAGCATTGGCACTAACGGAACCCGCTGCTCGCATGACTGCAATCTCCTTGGGCGACTTGACAGCTCGAAGCTTGGTCATGATGGGGGACAGGGGGGACACGAGCTTCTGGGTGAGCATTCGGGTCAATGGGGTCTCCACTGTCTCTGTGAAAATAGAAGCCACGTTCTTAACATCTGGCGAGTCGTGGAATACAGTATCGTTTCGCTCCACAATCTTCTTGAACTGCATCAGGTTGTTGTTGGAGTATGCTTCGTCGGCGTTGAAAAAATCCTTGGCACCCTTTTCGCCGGTGCGAGCACCACCCCATAGTTCGGCCTGGGGGTCCTTGGGAGGTACAAACATGTGAAAGACAACATCGTCAGGCTTGGAGCCGGTCTTCTCAATGATCAGAGCAGACTCGGGCTCCAGAAAGCCAGAAAGATAGAAGAAATCCGGGTTCTGGTGGAAATCGTAGAAAACGGGACCAGATCGGTACTTCGTGGTGGCTCCCATGACCACAGCACACGACTTGACAGGCATAGCATCAGCCACTCGAAGACGTCGTTCAAAGTACTCCAGAGCAGGAATACCGGGAGTAATGTCTCCGTTTTTGATCAGGTGAGGCCGAGTTTCAAACAGGGGCTGTCCGGTGGCCAGAGTTGACCGGGAGCGCACGCCCTGGAGCCGGTTGAGGTGTTTCAGTGCCCGAATCATGCTGTGGTTGTGGAAAGGTACCTTAGAGACTATTAAATTAGTTAGTTGCATATTGATCTGATTTGTCACTCAACCTTGTGGCGTGACGTAATGGTGCGTGGGTGTGTGGGTTCGAGTCTCGAGTGTGAATTCTGAATGCGAAGCACAAAGAGTGAAGTACGAGTAACCACAATTGAGAGTAATCATTATCAGGGGGGGAAAATATTCCACTAGTTATATTGGTTCTATCAGTGCCTCTATGCATACCAGTTAAATATCTGTTAATTATGTACTCCACCTCTTGTCTTCTTATTTATCCTTGGGGAGAATGTTCTCCTTGGGGCCAGCAGCAACGATTTGGTAGGGGTTCTGCTTCAGGTGAGAAATCATGTAATGCTTCTTGATGTGCTCAAAGTTGGTGGTGTCCTTGAAGGCAGGAATGTCCCAGTACAGGTCTCTCAGCCATCGGTGAATGTTGGGGTAGTCGTGTCGGATCATGCCCAGGTTGCACTTGAAGTGCATCACATAGACGGGGTCGAATCGCACAATGGTGGTGAAGAGCCGGATGTCAGCCTCTGTCAGGGTGTCTCCAACCAGGTACTTGTGCTCGCCAAGAATCTTCTCTACTCGGTCCAGCGACTTGAACAGCTGGTACACGTTCTGGTCGTATGCCTCCTGAGTAGTAGCAAAGCCAGACTTGTAGACACCGTTGTTAATGTCGTTGTAGATCCACTCATTAACAGCGTCAATCTCGGGTCGCAGCTTCTCAGGGTAGTAATCAACGTGGTATTTTTCAGGGATGAGAGAGTCCATTTCGGTGAAGAGGAACCGGATGATCTCAGCAGACTCGTTGCTGACAATCTTGCCCTGCTTCTTGTCAAACAGAAGAGGCACGGTGAATCGGCCATCGTACTCGGGGTTTACCTTGAAGTAAATTTCTCGGATTCGCTCCGCATTGTTGACAGTGTCCGGAGTGCAACCAGGCACCTCGGGGTTGAACTTCCACCCATCTTCGTCCATGTACCAGTCCACAACATTGAGAGTGATCAGGTCCTCCAGACCCTTGAGCTTTCGGGTGATCAGCACTCTGTGGGCCCAGGGACAGGCTAAGGAGACATACAGGTGGTATCGATCCTTGTCAGGAGGGAACTCGGCGCCGGGCTTGGAGGAAATGGCGTTTCTGAACTGAGAGACCTGACGTCGGTAGTGGCCATCCTTGTTGGCGAAACCAAGACCCTTGGTCTTTTCGGCGGGCTGTGTTTCGGTGCTCATGTTGCGTGTGATGATCAGGCGAGAGGTGGTTAGATGGGAACTCGTCTGTTGAATACGTCGTAGTGTAGTGCGGAGGAACATGTGTTTGGTTGGGATCTTAAATACTTGTAGGGGCAGCAGCCTTTAAGTTGACCTTAGTGTTGCTTTGAATCTGAATAACCTTTTAGTCATGGTGGGGAGATGCACGAATTGAGGAAGAGGAAGGGGGGTCTTTAATGACAAACCAATCAATGTATCGATTCTATTTCACAATCCTACCATAGAGAATCAAATGGAGTCTGACTCGTACGTTTAAGATAGGTCCATTACTAACAAGCTCAGTTAGACTTCTGTCTGGTTTGATGCAGGAACTCTATCGAGACGCTAAATAGGATTTTAGTCATTGGTGACTGAAATAAGAGGGGGTCGTCTAGAATACGCAATTGATCTTAGAGAGGACGGGGGAAAAAACATCGGTGAGTAAATCGGCCTATCCCTAATGTATTTAAAAAAAATCTAGTTTGTTCCCCTTCTCTAGCGAAATCTATATGCTCCACCTTTTCCTTGCTATAACTTAGACGCCCCACTTTATGCACGACGAAATGCAGCCGTTGGCATGGAACGTTGTGGTACATGTGAGATTACTAACGAGGAGCAAGCATGCGGAAGTAAAAGTGCAGGCCGGAGCTATAATGGAGACGTGTGGTTTCGTGCTTGTCAGCGATTATTGTGGAACCAAGAACTGAGGGGATGTAGACACGACGTGAATATTCAGCTCTAATGACGTCTGGTGGATATATCTGGTTATAGTCATGTGAGACTGCTTCTGCTTTTCTACAGCGGGGGAGGGAAATAGCAATAAGACCACCAGCACAATATACATGCCGACTGTACTGTACGTTGCCATCAAATGGTATGGTACTTGTATTGGCACTGGTCTCGTTATCATCTTTTCATAGTCACTAGTACTTCCAGCCTGCATCGTACCGTTTAAGGATATACTAATTGGGCTCTTCCTGTCTTAGACCCGATCTGTATGTAAATAAACAGAAGTACAGCTGCAGTATGCTCATAGATTAACTAATGAAATCGTGAAGATCTTAACTGAGTGCCTATCATCCTCCAAGGTCATGATCAACAACCTGTGTCTTCGGTTCTGTCCGAAACATATATTCTCATTGATCCCCATACCATCATGTCGTATTATCAATACTATATACTGTCAGCGATATTGTTTGAAAGATGAGCTAAACTCGTCAGCGTTGTCTACAAGTAGTCGTAGGCTCTTCGTTCTTCAATCTCGCCTTCTATTGTTTGCTCACTTCAAGAGCTCCTCCTGCTCTCCCTTAGAGTAGCCCAGAATGTAAAGAACATCTCTTAATGATCCCGAGTTGAGTCTGCTAGGGGCCTTCTCCTGGACCACAGGCTTGGCATTCCAGGCAATACCAAAGCCAGCAACACCCATCATGGGCAGATCGTTAGCACCGTCTCCAACAGCACACACCTGGTCGAGCTCAATGTTGTTTTCGGCTGCAATTCGCTGTAGCAACTCGGCCTTCTTGTCTCCGTTGACAATCTCTCCATAGGTCTTTCCAGTGAGTTTTCCGTCCTCATCCTCAAGGTTGTTAGCATGGGCGTAATCAAGTCCCAGTTCTCCAGCCACATACTTGGCCAGGGGAGTGAAACCTCCAGACAGCACAGCCATCTTAACACCAGTGTTTCCAAGGACCTTGCACAGTTCCTTGACTCCGTTGGTGAACACCAGCTGGGTCTTGAGCTCGTCAAACAGAGATGTAGACTCAATTCCCTTCAGAAGAGCGACTCGCTCTGCCAGAGAGGCGTTAAAATCAAGCTCGCCGTTCATGGCTCGCTCGGTAATCTCAGCAACCTGGGCCTCAACGTTGGCTCGAGCGGCAATCAGCTCAATCACCTCCTGCTCGATCAGAGTGGAGTCCATGTCGAAGATGAACAGCTTCTTGAGTCGGTTCTCGGTGGGTTGAACAATGATGTCAACACCAGAACCGGTAGAAAGGTCGAACAGATCAATCTTCAGCTCGGCAAGAGCTCCGATGGGGATCTCAACGGAGTAGTCGAGGACCCGGCTACCATCAAGCTGGATCTCGAACTGAGAAACAACAGAGAGCTTGGCGAAGATCTCCTGGACGGAGGCAATGAACTCCGCGGGAATGTCGCTCTTTCCAATGAGAGTAATCACGTAGCTGAGGTTGGTCATGGTGAACTAGTGTTGTGGTTATATTTGAGTCCAGATAGACATGATTCACGACTCTGCATGGTAGAAGTTTTGAATAGAGTTTGGCGAGGTGGTTGTATTTGAGAAGAATATAGGTCAGGTAGTTTGACTGATAGCGAACCCCAAGTTTGACAAAAACAGTAGATTGGTACCATCCGTTCATTTCCACAAATTGTCTGTTTAGGTTTGGGGTAAGTATTTCACCTCCTACAATGTGTAGTAAGGCTGACATCATCTGAACCCGTTTTTCACTCCAGACAACGCTGGGATGAATGTCCAGCGTGCACCCGTGCGCCCTCCTGCAGCCAATCTAAATGGAGATCTCAACATCGTGTGTAACCACAAGAACAGGCTGGAGCGGAAGTTATGATTTAATGTACCTGTCGGTATATTATATGCTGTTCGTAAAGAGGGGTTTGAATGATGTAAATATATCAGATGCTCGCCTAACAATATTTTGAGTTTTGTACGATATGGAGTGCACCAGGGGCACAGCATGTACTTCAACTGCCCTTAAAACTACGGTAGTGAGTGACGAGCTATGCAAGACAGATACAACTTTCTGGACTTCGCTGGGCAACTCCGTTTGTCCTCCCTTTTGAATACCTTGAGTTATATTTCCACGCATATTCGACATCAACCGATTTAGCCATAAACCACCCATTTGTCTATCATACTGAAAGATTACAGATAAAAGCACATCGTAAAACACAAGTTGTACAATACAAGTACGAAACGAAATGAACACTGTCTGATAAAGTCAACGCAGCTGAAGTCTGGATCACCATTACACGGGTCCACACACTTGTACCTTCCAGAGAGCTCTACCGTCGCCAAATGTTCAACCTATATGTCTACAGGATTCGTTTCTAGCCTGATAATATAAAATTTCGAGTAGCTAAAAAGATCGCCAGATTCTTCAGATCAAAATGATATACTGAACATTACACTTTTATAGCTTCACCATTAACAATATATCCACGATCAAACTTGGCTCAATCCAACACTACGCTTCATAATTTCTGCTGCCTGCCTCCTCCCAATGTTTTCGAAAGGTATGCTGGTACCGAATTTTGCTGCTTATATAATCTCTAAAGATGCACTTTATTCAAGCATCAATAATCTTCATAATTGAGCTACCAAAAAGTGAATCAAATCAGAAGCTCATTGTGAGTGGATCAAGCTAAAAATAATACAGAAATTATCATTTATACATCCCTAAAAGCGCGGCTCACCAGTCCATCCACATCACAGTAATAAAGTTAACCTCTGTTCAACATGCACTGCTTTCCTTTTCTCCTTTTCTGTATCACCACCAACACCAACACAAGATGATTCCCGAAAACGAGCAGCCGCAACTAAAGCAATGGGCTTTGCAACAGCTCGAGAACCTGAGTGATGCCGACACGTCGATTCTTGGCGACTACGTGATCGCCCTCGCCAACTACGACATGCCCAAGTCGGAGCTTGCGGAAATGTGCAGATCCCAGTTGTCGGAGTTTTTGCATGGCAATACGGACGCCTTTGTCGAGGCTCTAATGCACGCTATTGAGACCAAAAGTTATATGCAAGAGCCCCTCCAGCAGCCACAGCAACAGCAACAACAGCCGCAGCAGCAGCAGCAGTTCCCACAGCAGCAGCAACAAGGTCAGTTCCCTACACCACCTCCGTTTCCTCCGGGATTCGACTTTGCACAGATGCAACAGATGGGATTTCCCATGCCTGGTATGAACGTGCCGTTGCCCAGCCACCAGGGATTCATTTCCGGCCAGCAGAAGCGATACAACAATAACAACAATGGAGGAAACAAGCGGGGCATGAGCGCAATCTCCACACCTCATTCGTCGACAGAGTACAACAGAAAGCTTGTGGTGGAAAAGATCCCCGACGACTACTGTTCTGAGCAGGCCGTGCGAGACTTCTTCTCAAAGTTTGGAACTCTCAACTCGGTCAAGGTGAATTTTGCCGGTAAGCTGGCAGAGATCGAGTTCTCGACCACAGCCGAGGCTAAGAACGCGTACAAGTCGCCTGAGACTATTTTTGACAACCGTTTTGTCAAGGTGTACTGGCGCAAGACTGACGACGAGACTCCTGAGAACGAGGTCGCAGAGCAGCAGAGACTGCAGGAGGAGCGACAGGCTGCGTTTGAGGAGAAGGAGCAGCGTCGAAAGGAGCATTTGGAGAAGATGACCGGAATTCTGGCCCAGAAGAAACAGCTGTTGGAAATGCAGATTGAGCAGCAGGAACTTCTCGCGAAGATGGGACAGCCCGTTACCCAGGACGTGGAAGATCTTCGAAACCAGCTGGCAGAGATTCTGGAGCATGAGAAGGACCCCACCAAGGTCTTCAAGTCCACCTCAGCGGCTTCGTCGTTTGCTCCTCGAGGAAGAGGAGGCTTCAGAGGTCGAGGAGCTCGAGGTAGAGGTGCCTTCCGAGGCCGAGGAGGTTACCACCCTTATGGAGCTCCACCTGCACGAGAAAACGTGGATAGAACCAAGTTTTCTCTCGATCTGCGACCCAAGGACGTTTTAATCTCTCCTGTCACGGCGGACAAGCAGGAACACATTCGAGCCCACCTGGTGAGTGTTGGAGAGTACTCCAATGTTGCCCAAGCAAGTGGAGACTCTGTGGTGGTCAGCTTTCCCGACAGAAGAGCCGCTGAGAAGTTCTTCTACGGCTCTGCTGATATTCCGGACGTTGGAAAGGTGGACAAGCAGTGGTTTAAGCAGGTCAAGAAGGATGGTGAGGGGTCTGAGGTCAAGACGGAGGACGTGAAGATGGAGGAGAACTAATTTAGAGAAGTCTTCGGCATTGTATATTAAGTGTTAGAGAAATAAAATTATGTATTACAACTACAGTGTATTTGTGTATGGAAATATGGAGTACTAATACTTGTATGTACTGTATATAAATGTGTCACTCGCTCTTACGAACACCTTGGAGATAAAGAGATATACTCGTATATCACTCCAAGTCTAAATAAGAAACACTATGTCGTTATAAGTATGGGAACGGTATACATCCACTGTCACCTACCTTCATATTTTTCTAATTTCAGTTAATTATCTATTTACACAAGATGAAGAGTCTGCGAGTGCACCTTGCCAAAGCTAGGTAACATTTCGAGGGGCGAAAAAGGTCCTTTAAACCTCTTACTTCTTCGATCTAAAATCGTTAGCCACGTTGAGAAGCAGAGAGTCGTTATCCAGCATGATCTTGTTGCCGGACTTGGCAAGCACGTGGGCAATCTCTCGGGCGGTATCCAGACGTTTGAGCTCAACGTAGTCCTTGGACTTCTTGATGGCATCACCAATCAGCTCGGCGGATCGGGCCTCTCCCTGGGCCTTGACAATGGCTCCCTGCTTCTCCTGTCGAGCTCGGTCGACAATGAAGGCGGCTCGCTGGGCCTCCTGCTGGGCAATCTGCTTGGCCTCGACGGCGGCGGTGAACTCGGGCGAGAAGGTCATGTATGTGAGTGACACGTCATCCAGCAGGATGTTGAACTTGGAGGCTCGCTTGATGAGTTGCTCCTTGACCAACCGGGAGACTCGCTCTCGCTGGGTGATCAGCTGGGAGGCGTTGAATTGGGCCACCACAGACTTGAGCACCTCGTTGACCAGAGAGGGCAGAACTCGCTCGTCGTAGTCCTTGCCAAGGGTCTGGTAGATAGTAGGCAGAGCCGAGATGCTGGGTCGAGACAGCACTCGGCAGGTGATGTTGACCATCTGCAAATCCTTGGTACCGGTCAGAGAAGCCACATTTCGAGGCTTGGCTCGCACGTCGTAGATGATGGGGCTCTGGAACCAGGGAATGGCAATGTGGGTTCCCTCGGGGTAAATTCGGGGAGAGATACCGCCGATTCGGTTGTACATGATGGCTCGAGAACCACCATCCACGTTGAAAAGAGACGAGTTGATGGTGGCGGCAGCAATTGCCAGAACGACCAGGCCTCCGACGCCGACAAACTTGGGGCCTCCGGCACCTCCGGCACCCTTCTGGGCCTGTCGCTGCAGCTGGTTGAGCTGGTTGCTGAATTTTTTCCAGTTGGGGTTGTTCATTGTGGTGATGTGGTGGTACAGACTGTGGGTTTAATTTTTGACTACCATCGAGAGGGGTTAGGGCTGGTAAGGGGTGACGGGGAAGTTGGTGTAATTGAGGGGCTAATATTTGGGATAAATGTGTGGGGAACCCTGTTCATGTCAATTGATATTTCCGTGGTTTTTATTTCATTTTATATATTTTCAGAGAGCCATTTTGTGTGTCCCTATCACCCCTCCAGGCGCCACCCAGAGTTGCCCCATAGTCAGGCAGAATGCAGACGTGAACGTTGGAAGCAACTCAGTTGGTCCTAACCCTGAGTTGCTGTTGTAGTCCAAGGAGGGTTGAAACTTGTGCAATTGATATGAAAATGGCGCGAGATATTAATTAAACGATAAATTAAAGGATATTGACGGTCTGGGTGGAGTTTTGGACCTATTGGACCAGTATTGGGGTATTTGGAAGCTGACATGTTTAGTTGAACGTTAGTGACGGATATAGTTGAGGCTTTAGTTGGAAGTAAGATGTCAGTTATTTGTGTGTGAATTTAGACATTAGAGGCGTGTTATATAACATATTTCAGGGGTTTTCTCTCTATGTGAACATCTGGTAAAAGTATTTACTACTGAAATTTCCACGTGGATGTCTACCACACTGGTGTTGAAGGAAGCGTTGATTCCAAATAACAGTCTGATACTTGTCCAGTCTGTTAAAAATACTGGGGATGGGCGTTGAACGACACTGGCGCGTTTGGATTGAATTGATCCTGTCTTCCAGATATGGATAATGAATTACAGAAGATCTCGTGCTCTACACTGCTCTTGCAAGGCCGACTGTATGCTCATCACAGTCACTCTGTCCGTTCTCCTTTTTGTGGGGGGCGCCATTGACCTCCCAATGCAAGTTGTACTCGCAGTTTGATTCATCGTATTTTGGTACACCATATCTTGTCTGGAGGTGGTGACAGGGCGCTTATTGATCCCAACTGGCTGGGAAATAGATGATCTGGACACAATTAGTCATGTCGGCGATCGATTCCACTTGAATCTGCTGCGACTGACCGACCGTTCCTGTATTCATCTTGAGAGAATCAGCCACTCATTAGACTCAAGCTATACGAGCATGCGGCTTGGAAATTACAGTATGTACATACTGTAGCTCTCTGAAGCCTTCTGACATCGTGCTCGAGACATGACCAAGCACAGTTACTGTACAAGTACTGGAAAACTAACACATCAGGCCCACCATCTGTCTCACAGCATAATAATATAGTTGGAGGTCTGTGGAATTTATACTCGCTAACAATACAGTACGAGCAATGTGGGCCCTCACTCCGGATACAATGGAACTACAAATATCGACAGATGTTCACAATATCATTGTACATACTCATAGGCACTGGTACAAGTAGAGATTTCTGCAAGTTACTAGTAGAACCAGAAAAAAAATACTGTGCACACAGCTCATTAGGACAGTTCACTTCACGAGTACACGTACACGTACTCGCACCGTACTTGTACCGATACAAATAGTACATCCCGGTTGAAACACTGTAGTTCTTTGCACGATCATAGTCCAGACCATCTTTCCCGTATCAGAACCGATATGGTGTGCACATTAAATACAGTAGTCAAATCCAAGTGATAGGGAGATATCTCGTCTTAACAGATTTTTCATTTTATATTACTGGACTTGCAGCCAACATATAGATGCCCAAAAGTTATGACACTCACAGTGTAAGGTGACAGCGATGACGACTCTGCAAAAAATGTTGTCAACACACCATGTTCATTCTCGCAACCCAGATCGTTATCGACAGAGGCCTCGGACACACTTCAGGTCATGGGGAAAGGTCTGAAAGCACTGTATGATACTCGTAATCCTCAGAATTGACTCGACAGCATTATATGTGTGGATGTGATCACAGGTTATGAATAGGAAAAAACTGCATAAAATACACTACCGAAGGATCAACCATTTATATCTGCTTGTCCAATGTCAGCTAACATCATCGATTATCGATGCTCTCATTACTCCTAGGGACCGCCTTCCTTCCAGGTACTGCCCAATGGCCCCTTACATTAACGTTTCACATCACATGACTTCATCCCAATTTGTAAAAGCAGTCCTAAATAAGGTTGACTCTGAAAGTCTGACCCTCCCAGTCCCAAGAGTAAAATCACATCGTTGGAAAAACCTCTTAACTCAACAACAACAACAAAGATGACTGGTGTTTCCGTTAGGTGAGTGGAAATATGGGGATTTTGGACTTCACGCAAGTGATTTAAAGACAGTGAGTTGTTTCAGCTTCAATCTGGAACTGTCTCTGGTGCGTTCACACGATACACCTCAACGATTCTTCTTTTTCAGTACTAACAACAGAGACGTTCCCGCTCAGAAGTTCATTGAGGCTTACGCTTCTTTCCTCAAGCGACAGGGTAAGCTTGAGGTCCCCGGCTACGTTGAGATCGTCAAGACCTCTGCCGGCAACGAGCTCCCTCCCCAGGATGCTGAGGGATGGTTCTACATGCGAGCTGCCTCCATTGCCCGACACATCTACCTGCGAAAGGAGGTTGGTGTTGGCAAGCTCAACAAGCTCTACGGTGGTGCTATCAACCGTGGCCAGCGACCTTCTCACCACAAGGACGCCTCCGGCTCCGTCAACCGACGTGCTCTGCAGGCTCTTGAGAAGCTTGGTGTCCTTGAGGCCGGTCTCAAGGGTGGCCGACGAATCTCCGAGAACGGACAGCGAGATCTTGACCGAATCGCCGCCCAGACTCTCGAGGAGGAGGAGGATGACGAGTAAATTTGATACTTGTCGGATTCACAAAATAAAATGTATTTAACAAAAAATGTATAGTACAGCCAGTGGGAGCACTGCGAGTGCGTAGCACGAAAAGTGTGGGGCGTGATACCTCTTTACAGTACAAGTAGGAACCGCTTGAATAATGACATCAGAAGCATGGCGCAGCATTGCTGTTAGACACCGAACAGCTGATATTTGTACAGTTGATGTTCAAACAGCTGGACGACTTCAGAGCAAGGACGACAGCAGCATAGAACAAGAGCCCTGCATTACGATGATAGTGGACTATAGACAGATGAACTACCAGATCATAACTATACACATGATGATGATTTAACTATTTTTTCATATTGTACCTGTATGGGACGTAGTCTGTACGATACGACCGTGCAGTTCTACATTCTCATGAGCCTAGAAGGCTTCCTGGTTTCAAGTAAAATGGAGGAACAAGGCAAGTCAAAAATCCCTGTATGTGAATCAAACTGGGTAACGGAGAAGTTTGCCGAAACCAACGACCTTTGCAACTTGATGATGTAAGATGAGTTCTTTCTACGAAGAATGTCGGCATATTTGAAAGCCAGATAGGGCGAACCACATTTACTGAACTACTTGTACTTGTACCAGTACCAATAGATATCTGATAGCAAACTCCGAAGAGGCAGTAGAGTAAGTGGGTTACTTCAATAGAAGACAGACAGAAAGACAGACACAAGATGGATGAAATCAAATAGCGTTCGTGTATGATATCCAGAAAGGCGAGCACAGCCAAACCTACAGAGACAAATCAACATCTTTATCGAAATCTTGAAGATATCAAATGGGATGAAATCCCTATTAGCTTGTTTACTACCACGTAAGACTTCGGCTTCGTTTTTCGCCCTGAAAAGTCACCTCTCAGTCCGGCAGCCACGACCGATCTCGCGAGACAGTGAAAACGACACAGCCATACAACATAATTCAATAAACTTAGTGAATGAAATTTTCCTGAGAGAATAAGCGTCATTTCAAAGTCGCTTTAATTCGACTTGAATAGTGATAAATCATATTTCCTGTACAAACAGTGCTGTGAAGACATTAAACAACGGCATCGTCAAAACAAGTTGTTACGGATATTTAGCTGATCCGAAAACTATTCATGAAGATTGAGCCCTCTGTTTGCTATGATTATACTCTAAAATCACCTCTCTGTTATCGCTAATACTCTCAAAAATGCTTTTTTATTCTAAGGATTTTTTAATTTTTTAATTTTTTATTCTAATAATTCATTATGCACGTGACAAATTTGGCCGTATATGTAGGTCCTAGACAATTTTTAGCTTAACGGTTGCGGCCATATCCTGGTGAAAATACGGCTTCCCGTCCGATCAGCCATAGTCAAGCACCAGAGAGCCTAGTTAGTATTGTAGTGGGAGACCATACGAGAATCCTGGGTGCTGCAATCTTTTTGACTTTTTTGTTCCGCAATAACGCAGTGCTGCGACAGAGTTATCGTTGATACTGTACGTACAGTATGTACAACATCGTGATGACATTTTCATATCATTTGAACCGCTGTCCCGAATGTACCATTATTTAACAAGGGTAGAGGGGTAGACTTGAATACTTCAATTCTACCTTTGAAAGCCCTTAGTTTTTTTATTGTTCTAATGATCCATTACAGTGGTACTACCACCAACAAGTACCATTGTTCCAAATCCTACCTGTTTACTTTCTTTAGTCAGCCGGTTTTTGGTAGGTCCTGCGGTGTTGAGTTGGCACAAACGACTACATGTTCGGAGGGTGTTCGATGAGGTAAAAACAACGAAACTGTTTGCGAAAGAGTTCAATAGCTCTATTCAAGAAGTTACGGGCCGCATAATTAGCTAGTTGCCATTGTAACGGTCATTCGCAGCCTATATTGTGCGTTCTGTTGAGTTTGAGTGGGATGTGGATCCGATTGGAGTCAATTCTTATCGTATCGCAGTCTACAGGAGACCCAATGCTCTGTCGACGATATACAAGTAGGAGATGTGGTACGAGTACGAGTGAGACTTATTGATCTGGAGGTACCTACGGATGACGTACAACGGACCGTGTGCCTTCATACATACCCTAGCAATGAATGTATATGCGATATACTGGGCCTCGTAAAGCACGAATGTCGGGTAGTTCGACTGAAAACAATTAGTCCAACAGCGTGATTGCCCACCTTGCTAGCGTTACATCTTCGCGCCGTCTGCTCGATGTCGCGCCACACTGTAGACTCTCAGATTGTGTTGGGTTAACACTTGTAGTCTCTGTTTGAGGTGGTACAACTAAAATTACCTTGCATGCAGTCGACACGGGAAGGTGTATCGGTTTGAACGGCTCAGGTCGATCAGGGTGGATATGCTTTTGAGACAACGCGTGGGGGTACACCATGAAGAATGGGGGAAGCCCGTGGTTAGAGCAGAAAATACAGAGGCAACTGAATGGGTTGTAGCTGAAGCTTACCATAGGGACATTTTGACCATTGTGTATGCCATCAGAAGACAACTGTGCAGAGTGATTGGCCACTCCCACTGTTTCTTATATTGAACTCTCCTAGGATGAAGGTTTCGTGTAGCACTTGGCGCAGTCGGCTAGCTCTTGGCAGCGGCACTGAATCTGAACTCAATTGGACTAAACCAGATCAATAATGCTGGGTTATTTCACTCACTCAAACGCGTTGATACCATGCACCATTGTGTATATAATGGGTTTGAAATCTGTCCTAGAACGTCCGAATGTCCACCATGCACTTCTCCACTACCCTTCTCGCTTCTTTCCTCGCTCTTGTCGCTGCTGCTCCAAGCAACCCGAAGTACCTGACCTTCCCCATCACCAGGCACCACAATGACTCTGACTTTGTGCAGCAGCACCACCATCTGCTGACCCGTCAGGCCCCCATACCCGTCGACATCCTCAACAAAGGAGCATACTATTCAATTGCCCTTAATCTGGGTACTCCTGCCCAGGACTTCAACCTGCTACTGGATACTGGATCCTCCGATCTGTGGGTCTACAACATTACTGACACCACTGACTGCAACAACAACCAGTGTGATGTCACCGGTCAGTTTGATGGGTCCGCGTCCTCCACCTACAACTTCCTCAGCGATGACTACTTCATCCAGTACGTGTCTGGAAACGCCTCTGGAAACTGGGGAACCGACACTCTTACTCTCGGAAGTGTTTCACTAACAGACTTCCAGTTTGCCTGCGCCAGCAACGCTGCCGGAAACACCGGTATACTGGGTATCTCAGTCCAGGGTCAGGAGTCTGTCGGACGGTACGGATCGGAGTACCCCAACTTCCCCGTTGCCCTGCAGAACGCCGGATACATTGATCGACAGGTCTACTCTCTGTACTTGAACAACGCCGACTCTTCTGACGGAACATTCCTCATTGGTGGTATCGACACAGCCAAATACAGTGGAAGTCTCACAGTTCTACCACTTACCCAACAGGATGCTCTCCAGATCTCCTACAACAGCATCACCTACGATGGTGCTCAGGTCGGAGGCTCAGGTCAGGCTGTTCTCGACTCTGGAACTTCCCTTACTTACATCCCCGATGCTGCTTACCAGGCCCTGGCCACCAAGCTGGGTCTCTCTTCTTCCCCCGACCCTATCAGCGGTCTCATTGACATTCCCTGCGACTCAGACGTGTCTGTCGAGTTTAACTTCGACGGAGTGATCATCACTGCCACTTCCGAGCAGATTGTTCTTTCCACTGGAGGTTCTACCTGTGGCTTTGGAATCCAGTCCAACGCCAACTCTCAGGGAAACACCCTCTTTGGTGACACCTTCCTGAGAAATGCCTATGTGGTCTACGATCTCCAGGACTCCCAAATTGGTCTTGCCCAGGCCGTCTACACCTCTGCCTCTAACATCCAGGCTCAAAATGGCCCTCTCTCCAACTAGTCTCTATACTCTAACACCTTTATTGGATATCCTGTAGTATTAAGCCAAATGGATTCAACTAGTAAGTATTATCACGCGTCACTCAGATGAAAAGGCCAAGAAATATTGATCAAAATGTAAAGGCAGAGATGCAATAAAGCTGCCACTCATCACCCCGTTCGCTAAAAAATTGAAACTGGATTAATCGAATTTGGAGCCTTGGTCAAGTATGCTGCGGATTGTGTGCGCAACCTCGTGATCGCATTGAATGAAAGCAGGCATGAAAATAGCTTTTCAGAGGACAATAAAAGGTGTCAAGTATTATATGCGATGAATCTGAGGAGGCCAACGACAGGTGCGAGCAGTCATGATCTGGGTTGACTGAAGGATGAGAGAAGGCTGTTTGAAGATTTTGGCCGCGGCAATTAGCCGGAGGTGTTACGTAGCTAGACTACAAAGACTATGGATAAAACAAGGTGTTTTTTCTTGAAAATAATATCTGAAAAGATTCTCATCATCCTCAATCCCTCTACAAGCTCAGTCTGTACAACATGTACATATTGTACTTTTCAATAGTGCTCGCAATCAGTTGGAAAGCAATGTGACTAATATGGATTCATTGGAGCGTAAAAACTGGTGTACCACACGTTAACCAAAAGATGCTATAATAATCCCCCCAACTCTAGCTATATAGCTATCCAAAAATGTCACCAGCCTACAGTATGTAGCATACACGCAAGAGTACAGTATTTGTTAGATATCGTTTATTAGATACATACAGTAATTGATAATATATGGGTAAAGGAGAGTAATACCTCCTGGTACCTCCTGCCAGCCACAACCTTGATGACCCGCCGTTACACTAATAATGTGTGCTTTCTCGTAACTATTGTGGACCCTAAAATAGCCCTGCCATCCATTTTTGACTAGTTCACCTATTCAAGAGGTAACAATTCGCTCCGCTACTTTCATCAACCGTCGAAATGGAACTCCCTCCGGAAACTGTGTACAATATATTTGCCCATGCCGAGCTCGAAACGTGTGTGGATTTGAGGGAAGTGAGTACCTTCTGGTACGCGGCATTCAACCAGCTGGATGCACGGCTCTTGAAGCAGAAAGTGAAAGAGAGGAACCCTTGGTGTTGAAGCCTGGAGAAGACGGAACGGAACTGAAAACATGGAGGGATTGTGTCCGGGTGTTTGTGGGACGTTTGGGGGTCAGGTAAGTGGACGTCAATTGAGTGTCTCGAGGACATTAAATACCCTACAGAGCTGACAGAAGCGATTTCCTTGAATATTGACGGGGTAGAGACCACTCTTCCAAAAGATTACAAGCCTCTGATGGTCACGCGAGAGCCACAGTACAACACCATGTTGGAGCTGGATGACAATTACTACATGGACTTGCATACCATGATGGCTCATAGATCTCAGCCTCCTTCATCGCTACTGGACTTTCTCAGGACAGTTGAAGAGACTGACGAAATAGGAGTATACGACTGTGATGGTGTGAGAGTTGTTGTTCCGATAGACATGGTCACGAATAAAACAAGCTGTGACGTCAACGAAGACATGGTGGTGGTGTACAGCGCACAGGACGTGTGGATTTTTTGCCTCGAGAATACCCAGACTTTCGGCAAGGACGCGGATGGAAGCGTTCAGGAAAGGGAATCACTAACCGAAGAGGTCAAAGAAATATGACCTCTGGTTATACGTTTTTGGTCGAGGATGATGATCTTTTGCGGGTTCCACAGCCAATGGTGCTTGTTGTCGATCTGGACAACCGACGAGTGCTTCATATTGCAGAGACACGAGATGTCAAGTTTGATGAATCACATGTCGATACTGACGAGGTTCCCAAAACTAATTCGTTTCTATCGTCGGTCGTAGGAGTTAACTCGGTTTATAATGGACTCCAATGGATGGTAGACCGTTCTCCAGAAGGGTACATGGGGTTATTTCCCATTTTCATCGACATGAAAGATATTCCTGAGGACGATGGAAGTGGGACTACAAGAGTGAGCAAGATGTACTATTGTAAAGACCGGATCATGCTGTTCGAAAGGTACATGGACTCTCTCTTCTCTAGTATCCCACGGGGGGCTCAACCATACGTACTGTTTCTCTATATTACCGTGTATTTTGGGGGAAAGAGACAAGAATCTTTATTAATTGTGGATCTGGCTACCTGGAATGTCTGGTTGATGAAAGAAAACTTTGAGTTGAACCAAGGCTCTCTGGTATTATTTGGACGAGAATTGTTTGTTGGATATTCAGAGGGAAAACTGGGAGCCTAGATGTACAGTCAGGATATGATCGATATCTACAAGACACGTTTACTGCGAATGAAGATGTTGTATCCACGCAGGGGGGAATATGACGTGGGCAGGGACATGAGCCTGGAGGATGATTTTGAGGTACAGGACCAGTTGGAGTAGAGTAGGAGTAGGAGATGGTGTTATAATTTATTGTAATTTGTGTTTTTTATTCGAGTATGCTGTACACTACATATTATACATAGATTGAACTGACAACGGAGTCACAATAGGAAGCCTCGTATGTACACAAACTATGGTAGATATTTATGGAGGCTTGTTAATACCCTGAGAACATGTTAACACCTCATTGAGTCCGTTAAAATCAAAAAAATTATCGACACTAGAATCCAGTGTTTCTATACTGAATTATCAAGAATGTTGGTAGACAAAGCGTATGTACTGGTACAACTACAAAGTATGTGAGTAGAACTGAATTACCAATACGAGTATTGTAAAACACATTAATTAATAGACTTCTTGGGCTGTGTTATATCACATGACCATCAACAACTACCACCAGTTATAGTACAGTACCACAGGCTACTGCTATCACTTGCTATGCTTCGATACACCCTCCCACGTGCTCGGACCTACTGTCTTCATTACATCAACAGTACACTAATTATCAGTCATTGCTATGTACGAGCTCTTTAGCTATTGAATAAATACGATATCACATTCCAATCAAGTTCCAGCCTTGTGATTGGTCAAGACCAGTAACGGGTTCACTGGTTCTCCTTCTCGTCACAATCTGACTCCTCAGACATGGACTTCTGAAGTCGAGCGTTGAAGGACAATCCAGGCTTAGCCTTGTTGTTGCTGTGTTAGTAGGAACTGGGGAGATATTAGATCACGGGGTGCAACCTGACGAAGTGTTTTGTGGTTCGACAGATCTTGATACCAGGTAGATCAGTGAAAGCCATGGAGAGGAAAGGCACAACAGGTAGGTTGTGAGGTTCCAATCACGTGTGATAGGCCACATGATTGTCAGCTGACTTAGAAATACTCACATAGAGATGTATTTGTTCTTGTGGGCTCTCAGCTTGGCGGAGCATGGGCTCATGAGGTTGTCGGTTGGACTGGCAAAGCTCTTCTGCTGAAACAACTTCTTGTGGAGCTGTCGCTGCATCATGTTGCCGGAGTTACCGGAAGAAGGGTTGAGGGGAGCCTGGTTCATTTTTCTGTGTGTGGAAGGGAGATGTTGAATGTAGTGTTTAGGACCCAGGACCCTCTCTATATATCAGTTTAAGGGCCCATGTATGTGTGAGCAGGGATTTAGAGTTGTTTGGATCCGTCCTAATTGGGATTAGCCATTGCCTTAAATATGCATGAGAGATGTATATAGAGTGACCGGGAGATGGTGCAATATGGGATGTGAGATGTAAATAGAAGTCTATAAAGGGTGGTATCAAGATATATAGGACTATCTAAAAGCATCCATTGCATTATTATTTTAATCCCATTACTATTCGTCCAGATATAGTAACTATTCCATTCTTCCGCCCCATCGACACTGTATCTAGGCAACCATAAACGCGTACACTGTAGTATGCGTTAAAAATATTTTGGCTTTCAATTAAGCTCCTCAATTTAGGCACTGCAAAATGTGATTTCAAACGGTGCGAGATAGCAAGGCGGCATTGGCGTGGGGTTTTCATGAAGAAAACATCATCAATGTGACCAATGGGACTGTATTTTTGGCTGGTATGATTTTTGGCTGTATAATTCGCAATTGTCGTGGTCTTTCTGCCACTATTACCAGCCCTTTCTCATCGACTAATTGTAGACTGTATGAAGTTTCAGATTATCATTCGAAGACGATACAGTGTGGAACATGGCATTGTCTATGCCAGATCAACGAGGAGTAGTAGCAATTCTTGGTGAGTCGAAAGTGGCTTAAGTTGAGGGCAAATGGAAAGTGTACGATCTCGATTTACTTGTATAGAATGTGCGAAACGGGAGCAATAAGCATTTTCCGATCAGAGCAAGATATGCAATGAGCCGTGGAAGGCAAAGGTGCGAGCAACGTACAGTAATACCTATGCCTAACAATTCAATTCATCCAGATCACGTATTATCAGCTACTAGTATCTATCACATGTAGCAACGACGTATTATTATTGTTACAGCGCGATCGTGAGATCGTCTACAGTGTGGAGATGTACAGTGCTACTTGCAGTGACCAGTGGATCGTACAGTCAGAGACGACGGCATCCAGGGGTAGGTGCGCAGCATGTGAACCGTACATTTAATGTTGAATATTGTCATATATGGTGGAGATGATAGCAAAGACTTCTGTCATCAGGTGGGTTGATGACGTCAGGGCTGGTTCTTGAGGTGGATCATGAGCATTAGCTGTCCCGATAGTTGACATTAGTTTGGATACGTAAATTAGTTGAGAGTTTAGTTGAGATGTGAATATTGAGACTGATCGGATACAATAGAGGAATCTACATAGCTTCAAATGGGAATCTGACTGATCATGTGTTTTCATTGCACCAGTTTCAGTAGACCTGGGGTTTTGGTGGCTCATAATAAGACCCACAGAGCCCTATAGAAGCCATATCTGATGACTAACATCCCAACGTTTTGAATACTTGGGCAACATTTGGAGCTCACTTCTAAGCAAAAGTAGGGCTAGGAACAACAGCAAAATCCCACGGAAAACTCTGTGTATGAGTGGAGGAATCAGCCTGGCTCAGCGGCAGCTAAATAAAAAAAAAAAAGACACGAACCTCAAGTTTGAGCATGATCAGTAAGGGGCCCGAGGTACGTTTAGGACATCTACCATGGTATAGGCCAATATGTACTATGGACGCAAACAATGATATCCACAGGATCGAGCTGAATCAGACGAGCATTCAGATATCAAGGCTTCCACAACTTTTTACTCGATTACCCCATAATGAGGCATATTCTTAGCTTCTTGACTTTGGGGGTCGTTAACCTGTTGGTGGAGTTTGACCTTGAGTCTAATAGTACGCGAAATACAACCGAAGTATGCTTCGAAAAGCAGTCACTTCTATGTACTTGGAGTACTACAAGTAGCTCCTTGACAATATATACCAATAGGGCCTGTCACTAAGATGCAAAATGACTCCTTCCTCCCCGCCTTTTCTCCTTCCAAACTCAGTTCAATAAATGGCTGTTATTAGTTCATATCACTGGTATCTTGGTTGTAACTTTCCGTGCCAACATTCCGTCAATTGTTCCGTGCAGTTTCCATGGCGCAGCCAAATATGCAGAGCTTAAGGACACGCCAATATGGCAGCAATGGGACGACAGTTGAAATACTTGTATGTACGAATATTGATTGGATGGGGGTACGCGACACCCAAGTATATGTCTCATATATCAGAACCACTCGAGGTCCAACTCCGTCAAATAACTGCTCTGCGTTATAGCCGTTCACATATATATTTTCGGAGTTGGATTTTTCGGCGTTTTCGGAAAAAAAGCCTCGGCCGACAATCCGTAATCGCCGACGGGGATCCCCAGACCTTATGACTTCAGGACAAGGTAGATATAGCTCATGTTGCGGTCACGAGGAGGTCGTTAGAGTGCAGCGCCCTCACATGTCACTAAAACGGCTAAAATAGATCCGTTTCTTTATGCGCGCACCACGTGTCTTTTTTGTGTCTCGTTCGTGACGGAACAGAGTGGATCGGGTCAGCACGGCATAGTAAGGCTGAAGGCAGGAGTTACTAAAAGAGTAGCGCTCCAAGCACGAGTATCAGTAAGAGTACGAGTACGTATACGTCATAGTGCCTATGATGATAGCCAATGGCTGGTATAGACAAAGACAGTCTGGTATATTACCGCTCCCCCAGGACACATGACGACGTCGGGTCGTTGTTCCGTGTCCCGTTCTGGCTGTCTCGCCTTCTTTGCTGTTCCACAGCTTAATTCGGAGATGGCTATCTGAATACATGGTTGCTGTGTGGATGAGACAATCACGTGACAGTGTGATCCGTGGGGCGCTCACGCAAATTCCGCAGCTCCAATCTGCTTCTTTTCTTTGCTACTGTAATCTCATGACACGCACGCCGATTATTAAAAGTACTCTTGCCCCTTGGGTGTATGTGTGTCTCTCTGTCCTGTCAAATAAGTTCACCTTCAATGGATGCTTAGTGTTGGAACCTTGATGTTAGCGTGAACTTTGTGCATGTCCCAAAATGGCCCAAAAACGGCAGTCTCAAGTGGAACCATAAACTCGGCCGGGTAATTGCACGACGTGGAGGCAATGGGGTCTAGTGGATGGAGCAGTGTTGTAGTCGTAGGCGTCGAGGTAGGGGTGAATTGACAACGGCAGAGGGCCATATAAAGGTATATTGGATCTTCTTCAACTTCTCTACCCCCCCACCGGAATACGTACAAGTAGTAAATACCTCCTTCATCTTTCCCATTTCTATAGATACCCAAATGTCGCAGGTCACAGAAACCCCTTAAAGTTCAGATCGCCATCTCCCGTTTCTCTCTTCTGTGCAACAGATTGTACTTGACCCTCAAGCTGGGACTCACACGCCGCTTCACATCACCGCTCCAGCACCACACCTTTATTTCGACTGACCTAGCACACACAGATAGACGCGACTTGGACGAACCCCTGCTAAACACATCATGAACTCGTTCTTCAACTCCGTGTCGGATTTCATCCACTCGGTCACAACCCCAGACAGATACGCGTCGCAACAGCGATCGTCAAAGGCGTCACAAAGCGCCGGCGCAAACTCCCAGAACAGACCGCTCTACAACAATGACGACAACCAGAGTGAAATGTACCAGGCTTCCTCCTCGTACACTGGAGGGTACACAAACTCCCCTTCGGCGTCGTCGTCCAATCTCGCCGGAGGAGCCGCTGCTGACAGAGCCAACCCCTACAGCTCCCGTAACAACTCGACCACCAACTTCTCGGCCTCATCCACGTCGGTCAATAAGGCTCCCTACGCTCCTGGATCACGGTCGTCCGCAATTGGAAACAATGACCCCGCAGGAGTCACCCGAGACTCACACGAATTGCAGGAGTACGTTGACGGTCAGCCGCCGGCTCCTTCGGTGGCCATGTCATGGGAGCGAATCGACAAGTGGGCTGACGAACACTACCCCGAGCTCAACGATCAGCTCTGCTACCCTGCCACCGCCTCCGATCTCAACGAACTGGAGGCCGATCTCGACTGTTCCCTTCCCCTGGATGTTCGAGACTCGTGTCTGATTCATGACGGCCAGGAGAAGTTTGGCCGACCCTCAGGCATCATCTTCGGCATCACCCTGCTCGATCTCGAGACCATTGCCGAGGAGTGGTACTCGTGGAAAAAGGCCGCCATCCGAATCAACCGGGAGATTGCTCGGGCCACCGGCCAGACCCCCACTAAGCAGGGCGGCATCTTCATCAATCCCAACGCCGGCTCTCCCAACTCTTCCACCCCCGGTTCCCCCGTGGCCTCTGTGGCCCGACAAAAGAACATCAGCTCATGGCTCGCGTCGCAGGACTCTGTCCCCGAGGGAGCCGTCCAGCTGGTTTATGCACACCCCGGCTGGATCCCTCTGGCCAACGATCGAGCCGGAAACAACATTGCTGTCGATCTGGCACCTGGCAAGAAGGGGAAATGGGGTCAGGTGATTCTGTTCGGTCGGGAGTTTGACCGAAAATACGTGGTGGCCCAGTCGTGGGCTCACTTCCTGGCCATGGTCGCCGATGACTTTGACCGGGGCAACTGGGAAGTTGACCACGACACTGAGGAGCTGTGGTTCAAGACCGACCGAGGCACATTTGTTAGCTACTTCACTGTACTCAAGACCCGAGTGGAGCGACAGTTCCGACACCAGATGCAGCGACGGGAACATGAGCGACGACAGGCCGCTGCCGCCGCTCAGCAGCAGCAGCAGCAGCAGCAACATCACGCACAGGGAGGCCTCCACTCTCCCTCACCACAGCATACACAGAGCATGCCAGCCCCTGGCCTGGGCAAGCCCCTGACCTCTAAGCCGGCCCAGGATTTGGACATCGTCGACCTCAACGAGGACACTGCCACCATTAAGGACAAGGGCAAGGCTACTATGGGCTCTGCTCTCCGAAAGACTATTGTTGACGAGAGCAAGACTGCTCACACAATTGTGGAGCCTCTTGAGGAGTCTGAGGAGATCAAGGGCAAGGGCAAGGGCAAGGAGGAGGATGTCAACGAAGCCGCCGAAAAGGCCAAGGTGGAGGCCACCGAGAAGACCAAGAAGGCTGCCAAGGAAGCTGCTGATAAGGAAGCAGAGCTCAAGAAGGCCGCCGAGAAGGCCGCTGAGGAGAAGGCCAAGGCTGAGAAGAAGGCTGCTGAGGCTCGAGAGAAGGAGGAGAAGGAGGCCAAGGCTGCCGCCAAAGCCAAGGAGGAGGAGCTCAAGAAAGAGGAGGTAGCTAAGGCTGCCGCCAAGGCTGAAGAGGAGCAGAAGGCCACCGCTGCCGCTGAGGCTGCCAAGGCTGAGGCTAAGCGAGCTGCTGAGGCCGACGCTTCCAAGAAGGTAGAGGCCGAGAAGGCTGCCGCTGAGGAGTCTAAGGAGTCTAAGGCTGAGTCTGAGGAGAGCAAGGTCGAGAGGGATCTCGAGGAGCTCAAGATTGACGAGGAAAACGGTAATGCCGAGGAGGCCGATGAGGAGGCCGATGACGATGATGAAGATGACGAGGAGGAGGGTGACAGCAAGGAGGGTGAGGAGACCAAGAGCACAACCGCCTCAAAGTCCAAGTCCAAGAAGAAGAATAAGAAGAAGGGCAAGAAATAATGTATGTATGCATAACTTTTTGATGATGCTGTAAGATATTCAGAAAATATAAAAAAAGTGTTTGTTACAGAAAGACTGGGTGTGTTTCGTGTTGAATTACCTGTGAGAACAATAAGGTGGCTCGGCCCACTGTAATGTACATACTGTTACTATAGCTACTTGTAGCAATGGTATCAGAGAAGCTAGTTTTGGAGAACATTCTGTTGACCAAAGACGAGTCGTTTCGGTTCATCTTCTTTCCTCCCTCCCCAAGTGTATCTTGCTTTATCCCAGAGGCCATTCTGTTTCTCCACTTCTCCATTATAGTATGCTTTTGCTCTGAAGAAGCCAAATGCAAAATTGGACACAAACATGGACCCCAGGAAAAGCAGTGAAATGAGCCCCAAGGCCTTGTATGAGAATCTGTCAATGAACCCCGTGATGATTTCGGCCAGTGTTTCGGCTCCGAGACGGGCTCGGTTAACGGCATGTTCGTCTCTGTTCATGCACAGTTCCCATTGGTCACAGAGAGTCTCCAGAGCTGGACGGCGGGAGTTGGCTGCACATTCGTTAAGCAGGTACAGCTTTGCACACTTGCTTTTTGCCATAAGGATCTCGCCCGAATGAGCTGAGAACTTGAAACCAACGTCCTGTCGGACCGAGGAAATAAATAAGTAGACCACGTAGGCCATGACGGCCAGCATGATGCCGTTGAACGCGAGCTGTAGATACGAGGTAATGATGTACGGCAGGTTGGGGTTTTGAATCATCCATCCAAGGGTTGGGTTGGGCAGATGAAGGTGGTATTCTGCAGACTGATCCTGCCCCGGGCTTTGAGCCTCGGAAGTGTGAAGAGTTGGTGCTGGAGTGTGTACTGCTGCCTGGGCAGATTGAGGAGAGAAGTCGCCGTGTTTAGCGTCTGGTCGAAGATCGGGATCGATATCGTCTGCCTGATCAAGGGGTTTACCTTCATTGACAGGGGAGTAGAGGACCATGCTCATATCCACGTCTTCATTCTTCTCAATCTCCTTGACAGCAAACTGGGCACCGAGTTCAGTGGGATTGAACACAGATGAGATCTTCCATGGCGAGTTGGGTGCCGCAGCAGCAACTGACACCGAGGAAGTTCTTCTCTTACCTGCCTTGATGGGTGTAGACACAGGCGGAAGGAACTCGGGGTTCATGCGCGATAGGTTGACAGATTGAAGGTCAAGAAGATCCGTGGGGTCGTCAATGTCCATTTCGTCGGGGTCTTGGGTCTCGCTAGTTCGCAGATTGGAGAACTCCGAGGTCAGATCGTCAAACGGTTGTTGTTGCTGCAAGGGTCGGTGGTATTGTAACTGACGGTTCCGGACATCCTGGTCAGATAACGTGAAGCCACTGAATCCGGTCACCAGAGGCTCGTCGTCGGGCGCTTCGTCGATACTCATTTCTGCAAATGACATGGTTGTAGTTATGTCATACAGTGTATGCCACTTGAAACTTGATGCCAGCCGTATGCAGCCCGAGATGCATGAAAACAGATATTATTTTTGTTTAGCTGTATTAAGGTTACTTGGTACACTACAAGTAGTTTAGTCCCAACACAAGCAACGTGCGTACACTTGTGTGCCCATGCTCCACGCCACACAGAACAGCTCAGATTGCCTCTTCTCCGAGCTCGACAGTGATACCGACACAGACAAACCACTGCTTCACGATACCTCACACACCGTTCGTTTCTGCGAACCCCAGACCAAGCGGCGCATGGGCTTCCGCAAGTGGTTTTCTAGGACCAGCAATGAGAAGAGGCCTCTCATAGACCGCATCACCACACCCATGGACGAGATTTTGACCGACGAACCGCCCACGACTACAGACGCTTTGACTTCTCCTCCACGTGGCAGAAAATACAGAGACCATCAGAGAGAAGAGTATGAACGAAGACAGCATTATGAGAGGACGCGAGAACGGGACAGAGACAGGGACAGAGAGGGAGATAAGTACAGTGTTCCCCGGAGACAGCTTCAGGACTCTGCTCGTTGGCATGAACATGTCAGACAACAGCAACCTCACATACATCAAGCACACCAGATACCATACCAGATACCATACCAGATGCCACCAGGGCTGAGGCAACATATGCATCCTGCGTATCTTCAGCCACGACAGATCAGCCAGACGCCAGACGCCATATCGGGATACCCCAACCAGTCGTTACTGCGACCAATGTCTCAGGTGATTGAACCGCGATACATACGGACAGAGGGATTCCCTGTACCACCAGTGAAGTACGCACAGGTCCCCCAGGGAATGAAAGCGGAGATAATGGAGCTGAAGGACGATGCTGGAAATGATAAGAATGAGGAAAAGAAGTATGCCAAGGATAAGAAGGACGACAAGAAGAAGGAAAGCGAAAGTCCGCAAATGCAGTCAAATATTGAGAAGATGGTCAAGAACGCGTTACAGAACCATCGCCCGGCAGTCTACGAGACTCTTGTTCGGATGAACTCGTTTGTCCTTTCGCTTAAGTTAGCCCTCTGTATAGCCTGTGTGGCTTTTTATCCACTGGTAGGTATTCTTCTCATTGTGGTTCTTTTTGGGTCTGAGATCTTGCTTGAACTAGCTATAAAGTGTGGTCCTGACAGGAGTTAGCTAAAAGACAGTACATACTCGTACCTGTATGTAGCTATGTAAGAGGATATATAGTGTACCATGAAATATACAGTAGCCATTTTGGAGACTATTGTCTCTGGCCTTTAATCTGTGTGTGCCTAATTCGTTTCTGCTATTTATGTTTCCATCTCATCAATTGTAAATCCTATCAGGAAGAGTTTCCATCATATTAGTCCAGGTTCGCTCATCTACCCAGGATCTGAGATTTTGCAGAATGGCATGATTATCAATAACTCTGAAAGGCTCCACATCTCCAGGATTGAGCAGCAGTCTCTGTTTTCCTCCGCCAGTGTGGGGCCAATCAGAAGCCCAAATTAGCTTGTTGGGGCTCTCCGAGGCGAAGAACTGAACCACTTCTTCTAAGTCGCTGTATCCAGGCCCCTGTTCAGACAATCTGTAGAATCCAGAGACTCGAATGAGCACATTTTTAGCAGTCAGCTTGATGAGGGACTCGAATCCAGTGTCTCCGGGGCTCTTCATCCCACCCAAATGGTCTGCAATTACCGTTACTGGTAGGTTCCCAATGACATCAAACAGACTGTCCCAGTAGTTTGGTGGAATATAGGCCTGGATGAAGTAGCCGAGAGGGCCGACAAGAGCGGCTGTCTTGACTAGGGTCTTAGAGACATATTCAACGTCCAATTGACCGGTAGACACGACATTGACTCTGACACCTCTGATACCCAGTTCCCACCACTCTTGCAGCAGCTCCACGGGTGTGTTATCAGGATCAATTACCACCACTCCTCTCAATTTGTATCCGTTTTGCCGATCGGAGTGACCTCTGAGCGTGTCAATAATAAGCGAATTGTCTGTTCCATAAGGCGAGGGCTGGACCAGTACATTGTTACCAATCATGCCTCCACACAGATATCTGGAATGGGCCTCCAGACCAGGTAGAAGTGCCTGGTCGGTAGTGTATGTTCGTCTTCCGGCAAACGGATAATTAATTGGGTCAAATAGATGAACGTGTGTATCCCACGAGTTTGGCGAAAGCATTTTGTGTACTGTTGGTATTGCTGGGTGCACGTCTGAGGAAGGTCGCCTGGCTTATATGCACCCCACACTCGTCTAGGTTCAAAGTTGATCCGGAGCTTTTAGGTCGGATCCGAGTCGGTCTATTTGTAGTGGAACAAATGCGGATGCAAACCGATTAATGGAGATCTATCCACATGCCATCAGTCGTGCGACATTCTAAATCAAGCTGCTCATCTGTTTTTGTGTGGTTACTGAGGGCATCTCGTTGATCCTTTTATTAACACAGCCTTGCCGTCGAAATCATAAATGTGGGGCATGAAGGTGTAATCTCAACACCACGAAACACCTCAACGGAGAGGAAGGTGGAGCTCAAACGCTCAAATATGCTCAAAAGAGGCGGTGGGGGAATTTGAATCAGAAATGAGACAAGTGCACTTCAGTGCTGCTCCCCAAAGCTGCAATATGAAGCTTGAGGGTACAACGCAGACAACGATATATCCACAGGCTACTGCTAAAAGCTGGCGCGTGGATATAAGAAAACTGTCAGCTGTCAAATTCATCAGAATGGATCTAGAGTAGTGAAATTGAGGCCCAACAATTTACCGACCGTGGAATAAAAAAAAAACCAATTTCAACACCCCTCGTGGACTAAATACAGCAATTTGATGTCGCTCTATACGGCACTCACCAGTGGTTACTGCCAATTAGGTTTGCGCTCGCTAAGCGGAAAAATGAACCTTGCTAGCGGAACATATTTTAACGTGATACAAGAATACAGGGGATGTAAGATGAGGTGAGACGAGGATGGTTTAGCTGAATTGTGTCTCTACTCGGTGTCAGATACACTTTCTTGCAAGTGTCTGTTTACGTAGCTTGGTCCTGATGGCCACCTTGATCATCGTGACATCTGTCTACTTGTAGTTCCACACTATCCCCACCAAGGCAACCTAGCTCTGATTAGCTACATGCATCGTTATGGCGTCATTGGGTCATGAAACAGTAATCTTGTAACGTACAGTAATACAACATCGATGGTTAAAGGTGAGATAATTGGTGAGATAAAAGGATCTCCATTTCCTGTCGTACGACTACTGTAGCCTATACACGGTTGTTGTTTTTTTCAGATCTAATCACGTTGGGCACAAAATAGAAAAGATACTTGAACAAAAGCACAGGTTGCACTGATCCCACTATTAGTTGTCATTTTACTTCAGAATAAAAGTAGCTTGGAGCTCATTAATGTTTTATTCAATTCATTCTCGAACGTCATGGCATCCATCTCCCATGCATCTATCTCCCAATACTATATACATGTCTATCACTCGTCGTCAGAATAGTCACTGAGCTCGGCGTCCTCCAGCTCAACAGCATCGTCGTTAAGAGGAAACCGCAGAATAGCAGCAATACCTCCCAGGGCGTCAATTTGACGCCCCGAGTCCTGCAGATGCGAATACATAAAGACCTTGCCTCCGTTCTGCTGCACAGCCTGAGTGGCCTCAGCGTATCTGGATCTCTTAGCGTGATCGAATCCACGCACAAAGTTGGACGACAGGAACAACACAGAAACAGCGCTCATTTCGAGAGCGTAATCCACGTGCTTTTCTCCGTACCACACTCGATCTGGGTCTGTATGGAACATGCGTTGGAACTGGTCCATTTCGTTTCCGTCAGCAGCAATGGCCAGTTTGTTGAGTGCGGATTTGTAGGAGATTGACTTGAGAGCCTCTCGAATAGCAGTCTTGCCTTCGGACGAAGTTTCCAGTGTGATAAAGCCCTGTTGCAGCTGGATGGCTGTTTTCACCTTATTATCCACAGCCCATGCCTTGAAATACTCCGAGAAGAGCTTGTTCATGTAAGGCATGGAGATGAGCAGCACGGGAATAGTCCAGTCGGCTTTGCATCTGTTTTCAATGGTTCGCAGCAGCGTTTCCTTGGCCACGTTAAAGAAGTCGTTGTATTGCTTACCTCGAGTCTTTCCGACCGAGCCCTGTCCGTCGTATTTTCGAGGAATGGCCTTGTATCCCTGAACCAGCACTCGAGTGACACTATGACGCAGCTCGTAAATGGTGAACTTGCCAGTGGAGTTGAACACCATAGCAAGAGCGCTCATTGTGTCTGCTCCCACGTACTGGTCGAGCGTCTGGAGCGCAAAGAAATCCCAGAACTCCTTAATCACGGTCACCTCATCGCCTGGTGTAAGAGCCAACGTGTGATATTTCGTTTTGAGAGACTCGTGGTGGCCAGCATCGGTAATGACGCCTGTGATTCGGATTTCCTCGCCGTCGAAAACAATCTTCTGGGCACGAACAGTGATGTAAATGAGCTTTCGAAGCACCTTCTTCTTGCCTGCATTGCCCTGGATCTGCTCGTCATCAAAGGCGCCTGTGGTTTGTGGAACTGCTCGCAGTGTCTTGGCCTCGACCAAATCGCCTCTTTGGATCACGTTGGTCAGCGCATACAGGTCGTCAGTGGAATCCAGAGCGAGCTTTTTGTACTCCAGCTTGTTTTTCAGTCCCTTGGAGATGAGACGCATGTTGGATCAGATGTAGTAATAATGTCAGTAGAGAGCAGTTGTTGAGGTAAAAATGTCCTGTCGTGTATGTCAAGTCGGTTGATATCTATTGGTAAACGTGTCGGTTTCTGCTGAGCTTTGTCGGGGTGTTTGTGGAGGCTCAGGCACTGCTTTTATAAACTTGCTGATATATGGAAAAGGCTTGATTGGGACTGTGAGAACCTAAAGTTCATGTGGGATGTCATATAGACACCGGGTGATATGAGCACCCATACACATCCTTCCACACACATACCCTCACACATTCATTTCACCTATCATCTGTTATCATATTAATATGAGTTCATTTCGCGTTCAATATGTCGATATTTCTCCCAAAATTCATTATGTACTCCGCCCATACTAATATCCCTCCTAGCGATAGCTAAGGCCTATGCTATTTTGTAAGACAGGCAAATAACCTCAAGACGTACCGTACAGCATCCACCGTTGCATCATCACAGTAATATCGACATCACACCCAGGCGACAAGAGCGACACCTAGGCTTTGGGTTTCTCAATTCTCCACGACAACAAAACTGCGACGACACAACGACCTACATAACCGCCTCGTCAACATGTCCGATCCGTTTGCGAAAATCGGAGCGGTGTTGGAGTCAGCCAAAGAGCTGACTCTTGAAGCTGCAGTATCAGCATCATCACGACTTCTGGTAGACGACGCTCCCCTGTCAGCGGAGGAAATCAAAAAGCTTCTTAATGCGCGCAGCGACCGTGACAGATTGGCGGGTATGCGCCAGGTCATTGGTTTCATGTCCAAGGGCAGAGGAGAGGAAGCTCAGCAGTTCTTTCCGGACGTGATGCGAAACACGGCGTCCCAGTCTCTTGACATGCGCAAGCTCGTGTTTGTGTATCTGATCCGTTACGCTCCCATGGAGCACGATCTGGCTCTTATGAGCGTCAACACCATTCAAAAGTCGCTCTCTGATTCGTCTCCCACTGTCAGATCTCTCGGAGTCCGAGTTCTTAGCTCCCTGAGGGTCCCGGCCATCTCAGGAATTGTTCTCTTTGCTATCAAGAAGGGTGTGACCGATGTTTCGCCATTAGTCCGAAGAGCTGTCGCAGGAGCTATCGCCAAGTGCTACGACGTGGATCCTTCCACATTCCCACAGTTGGTCGAGTTCTTGCAGCAGCTGCTGGCCGACAAGAACGTTCATGTTGTCGGGTCGGCTATCATGTCCATGCTTCTCATCTGCCCCGACCGCCTCGACCTCATCCATCCCATCTACAGGCGTCTCTGCAGAATCATCCCCCAGCTCGACACGTTCGCAGCAGCTTCCGTCATTGATCTGCTAGTAAGATACAACCGTACCAATATTGCGCCACCAAAGGGCAACAATTCTGTCGACGCGGACACAGCTCTGCTTTTGTCGGCTCTTTATCCGGCCATTGAGAACTCATTGTCGCCTGTCTTCATCATGAGTGCAGTCAGTGCAGTCTACGCTCTATGCCCTGGACAAGTCCAGCCGGTTTACCAGGAGACCATCGAGGTGGGACTCGTGAGATTGCTCAAGAATGAGACCTTGGAAGTCGCTCTGACCATGATCAAGCAAATTATTCTTCAGAGAGACCAACCCAACGCATTTTCCACCCATGTTCATCGGTTTGTGGTCTTTCCCGACGACACCGCGTCCGTGGCTCTGCTAAAAATTGCCATCATGGCTTCAATCAAGGGCCCACGACAGTTTGTGTTGTCGGAACTCAAGCATTATGCTACCTCCACCTCTTACGAGCGCGAGGTTCAAGCAGCCGCTGTCTCGGCCATTGGATCCTGCGCCTCTGGGGGAACTAACAAGGAGTCCGACTCTCTGGTCACGTGGTTGCTTCGTCAGATTCGATCTGAAGCACCCACTTTGTCCGAGTGTCTTACCTGTGTGCGTTTGTTGATTCAACAGCAGCCTCAGAAGCACGTCGCCACGGTGACTAAGCTGGCCAGAATTTATACTACGCTTGACACATCGGCTGAGACATCTCCTGCTAAGGCTTCTGTGGTTTGGCTTGTCTCCGAGTTCGTGTCTGTCGCCCCCGAAGTTGGAGAGGCTCTTCTTTACTCGGCATTAAAAAACGTTGCATATGAGGACACACCTGTTCGAGCCCAGATTATGGATCTGGCTTCCAAGGTGTACCTGTTCCGAATCAATGAGGTTGGCAAGGCAGCTGAAGGAGAACTCACTGAAGAAAAACAGATTGAGTTTTCCAGGTCGTTTGTTGGACAGTTGTATTCGCACGCTCTCTACTGTGGTCGATTTGATCCTTCATATGAGATCCGAGATAAGGTGCGACGTCTAGGAGCGTTACTCAGCAATCCTGCATCTACTGAACTGGCTACCCTAATGCTCCAGGCTCCCAAGCAGGCTCCCAAGGTGGACAGCACAAACACCGAGGGCGGTTTGGAGCTTAACACTGCTTCTGCGGTACTTGGAACACCTCTTAGTGGGTATGTTTCCCTGCCTCCTTGGGAAAAGGATCTCTCTGTTCTTCCTGATGCTCGTCTACGAGATGAACCTGAGGAGGTGGTTCACATGGACACCGAGAAGGTAGTTACAGGTATCAGTCACAAGGAACTGCCGTCAATGTCTTCCAATGGTACTAATGGTATGACTGCCACCAAGCCCAAGCTGCAGAAGCAGACACTTGATGAGTTCTTCGCTGATACTGTTGGGAGCGAAGACAGTAGCGAGGAGGAGGAATGCGACAGTGATGACGATGATGGTGAGGAGGAAGACGAGGAGGAGAAAGACGAGGAGGAAGAAGACGAGGAGGAAGAAGACGAGGGGGAAGAAGACGAAGAGGAGGAGGAAGACGAGAGCTCGGAAGAAGATTCATCTGACGACGATCAGCCTGCTTCCCAATCTCCAGTCCCCGCTTCTCAGTCCCTTCTTCATGAAGAAAACCCGTTCGCCAACAGCTAGTCTAGTTGGCAACAAAAAATATAGCATTTGTCTATAATGAATCATGATGTTTAAATACACACGCAATACACCGTATCTGCTCCACAGCTACAAGTAGTGATCTCAGACGCTACTGTAGCATTTTTATAGATAACCGGTTCCGGATGTACTGAAATTTAGTCGGTTAGGAAAGAAGTATATTCTGTCAGCGACACTTGTTTCTGTCAAAGTTGAGGGAGGGATACTGTAGACTATTAGGAACAAAGACGCGCCAAGTCTGAGGGGCTTTCACATGGCACGTAACATTAATAATCAAGTAATCAGACATACGATTTATTCACGGTAAGTTATTTGTGCTCATTTTAACGTGGACTCCGGTCAGATGGCACATGGTTAGAGCATGTAGTTTCATGGGGGGTTCTGGACTGGCGTCTGCGTTCTCCAGAGTGCCGAACAGCTGCACGATTCGAGTCAGTACATAGCTGGTCTCTGTCAATGCGTATTGTTGGCCCAGACAGATTCTGGGCCCTCCGTTGAACGGCAAGTACTCCCATCCTCGTGATATGCCCTCTCCCCATCGTTCAGGTCGGAACTCGTCTGCATCTTCGCCCCAGAACTTTTTCAGACGATGGGTCGCGAACACACTGTAGACGAGTACAGAGTTCTTTCTGATGAGAATTGGTTGGCTCTCGTCCGGTCCCCCTCCTCTAGGTAGTGTTGTGTCACGTGTTGCGTAGCGAACATTGACGGGGACTGAAGGATACAATCTGAGTGTTTCATTGATGACGAATCGTAGGTACTCGCATCTCTTTAGAGACTCAAAAGTGATGAGAGACAGGTCCGAGCCAGAACCAAAAGTGCTCAGAATTTCGTCTCTCAGCTTGTTCCAAGTTTCAGGGTGTCTGGCTAACAAGTAGATGCACCAAGACAATAGAGAAGCCGTGGTGTCTCTTCCTGCCAGAAGAATGTTTAGGGCCTGGTCACTCAGAACCTGTGGAGATTTGACCTCACGAGCCAGCTCTGTGAGAAATACATACTTGTCATCAGCCTGCTTTTCCTTCTCGCTTTCAACAAGAGCCTTCTTGACGTAATGGTCCACGAACTTGCGGACACTTTTGCTGGCCGTAAACAGCTCCTGTGGTCTCCAGAGCCAGTAAAACATTTGAAGACGCACTCTGTAACCCCCATGGTGTTGAGCGAGATTGAAATCTGATTGGAATGATTTTCGCATAGGAATGGGCATGTCAGTCACAGTAGAGTCATCTTCAGCTGGATTGTCCACCGTCTGGCAGCTCACAGACTGACCAAAGAGAAACTCTGTGGCTGTATCGAGCGTCAAGTTAAAGAAAAGCCCTTGGATGTCAAATGAATCACCCTGTGGAATTTTGCGAACCAGGTTCTGGACATGTCGTTCGATCATATCAACGTCCGAAACTTGATCCCGGGCAAACTGTGGCCGTAGCATGGCTCGGGAGTGTTGCCAACCCTGTCCATCAAGAGTGAATATGCCGTCACCCAATATGGGGGCCAATTGGTTGTGTCTGACTCCTAAACAAAAGTCTTTGAACTGTGTAGCCAGCAAGGCTTTGAGGTTCTCAGGCTCTAGTGTAACAGTCACATCATTGCCTGCCAGCACCAGACCCACGGTCAGGTTTGGTTGTCGTTTGGTGAAGAAGTTGACAAACTCGTCTAACAAGACATTGTTCTTGCCCGACTTGAAGAAGAACAAGAACTCAGGAAAAGCCATAGGAAACGATGAGACGTCTCTCACCGGTGAACATTTCCACTTTTGGGCCAGCTTATAGCTCTGGTAGCGATATCGAAGACGGGTGAAAATCAGGTAAGACACCAGAAAGGCCAGGACGTAGAGTAGAATCATTTTATTGGACCAATTACAACCCAGCTGACATCTACGACTTTTTATATACCTTCCACTACAAGTAGCCCTTTAGTGTCCCTCCACCTTTTGACACTTAAAACAGAGTTGTCCTTACTTGGATGATGGATCAATTTTAGTGTGGGGCACGTTTGTGGGGTGCATAATCGTCAAAAAAGTAAGAGGTACTTGTAGTAGAAAGACATTTGAAGGAATATTCACATGTGTTTGAGTTCCAATGAAGTTATAAAAAAAGGCGTCGTGGCATGGTGTCATACTCGTCCAATTCCAATCGCCACTATAGTGCCTCTTCGTAACGGTCGCTTGTACGTCTAGCAGACCCTAGGCTCAACCAAAGGCTACTTCGTATGTACTGCAGCTACAGTATTGTAATGTCACATCAAAGGAAAGAGGCAGCAGGAACAACGGGTTACATATCCCACGTATAGTACGATACTGTACAGTAGTAGCCCCTGTTTCGGACAGTGACACCAACGCGGTGTACAATACCGTCTTTGAATTGTGGGGTACCTCTGACTAGGCCGCATATTTGACACCTCTCAACAATGCTGTCATTTGGTGCAAATACTGATTAGTATTAATGATTACACAGGTAGCTAGCTATATTATTACTTGATTAGCCAACTACTATAGTTTGTTGCCTCCTTGTCAGGAGAAGCAGCATGAACCCACGGAACTCTGTATTCGCAAGGACAACGCGGTCAGATGACCCGATCATGGCAACAGTATATTTTCTCCCATCACTTTTGCTCCTACAAAAGAAACACAGCATCGATCTACTGTATCTGTTCCTGAGTCACTGTGATTGCATCCATGGCAGTCTCCACTGTAGCTGCCACTGATAATTACAGTAGCTAGCTATCGTACTTACGAGTACAGTATGTACATACTGTACTTGTATATGGTCAATTAAGTGATGGGGGCAACCCCTTTCTGTAATATACATTATGCTAAATGTGAACTAACAATTCACTTGTAGTCTCTTAAACCCACAAATCCAACTCGTGTCGGTAAAATTCATCATCCTCTGGCATGTCGGGGTAGTAAGGAGTCATGGCATCGACATTATCGATGTACGCAGAGTTGTATGCCTTCCAGAACGGATCCCTGACCTTCCGGGCAGCATGGAACAGACCGGCCCAAATGTAATTAAGCACCAGGCCGGGTCCCAGGCAAAGACGAATGCCCTCAATGGCGTCCAAAATACGCACGATCACGTGAGGAGACGTCTCATAGATGTTGGGAATCAGCAGATTGAGAAAATGCACCATGGCATCCTCGGCTCCGAGACCCACGCAGTTGATGGCCAGATGGCGCACAACAGTGGCTGCCGTCTGTCGATGTACGTGGTCTCTGTCTGTAAGAGCATCTTCCAGCAGGGGAGCCACAGCGTAAATGTAGTCTTTGGCCATATCTCCAATGTACTCAAACATGAAGGTCATGGCTTTAAGAACACCGTTCTGGACGTTGATCTCAGGAACACGGTACTCGTTCATCAGAGCAGGAAGCACGGTGAACGGAGAACAAGTCTCGGCCACAATACCAATCGCCACAGCTGTACAGACACGAGACTGACGTTCCTGGACTCGCAGGTTAGATAGCAGCGTGGCCAATACATCTTGGGGGCCAATCGCCTTGGCGATATATCCAAATGTGTTATTTGCTGCCTTTTGAATGGTCTTCTTGTGTGCCTTAAGGAGATCAATGAGCTCGAAACAGATTCGCATCCATTCTCGAGCGGACACATACTCGGGACCTCGGTCGGCAATTCGACCAACCAGATCGATGGTGTTCTCCTGTACCTTTTCGTGTCGGTTACGCAGAATAGGCGTCAGACGAGGCAGAAGATCTCGAATGGGGGGAGTCATTGAAGCCAGACCAACAACAGCGACAATGGCCTTGAGGGCTCCAAGCAGAGAACCCAGAGCCTCAGGATACTCTTCTCCAAGCTGCTCGTACAGGATTTGTCCCAGCTTGTTGAGGGCCTCATCTTCTCCACAGTTCTTCATAACTCCAGCAATCTGGCCAATCAAGTCGGCAGCCTGACTTCGAACAATAGGGGACTTGTTGGAGAGTCTGAACAGCACGGAAGACGTGATCTGAGAAAAGTAGGGTGCGGCTCGTGTATCAAGAGCTTGGATAACTGTTCCGAAGCCTCGTAGCATGACAATCGAGTCGGCTCGGTTGGCATTGGCAGCTGGTGATTGCAGCTGGAACGCCGTCAGAATACCGTCAACCAGACGGGTTTCCAGTTTCGAGCCGGCCTCGATATCAGCAATTCCGAGATTGGCCACAACCTTGTCAATAGTCTCCATTGTAAGTCGTCTAAAGTGGTCAGACTCGTCCTTGAGATGGTTAGCAACTCGGTCCACGATTTCAGCAGTACCGACCTTATTAGCCAGTTCCACAGTTGTAGAGAGAATAAGCTTGTAGCACACTCGATCAGAAGCCATTCGACGGGTCCAGAAGCACTTAAAGTACGTGGGAAGAACCTCGACACGAATGTATCGAGCGGTTACACCCTCAGAGCGGGCACATTGCGTGACCACTTCCAGAACCACTCGCTTCATTTCCTCGTCAGGGGAATAGAACTCTCGAAGAACGACAGCCATAACTTCCTTGGTATAATAATCGGCATAGTCGGGATTCATCAGAGGAATAATGTATCCAATCGCTTTCAGAAACGCCACAAGATGTTTACCTCGCTGCTCTCGCACCCCAAGCCAGAGAGGTTCCAATACGTTCTCAAACGACTCAATACCGTAAGGGGCGGCAGCTTCGGCAAGAGCAGCAAGAGCCTGCGCGGTCATCTGACGGACCTTAGGGTTGTCGTCAGTCAATCCGTCTCCAATACAATCCACGAGAGAGCCGAGATATGGCAGCACTGTGCATCCGATGAGAATAGCAATCTGCTGGACAATCTTTGCTCCTGTGTGACGAGCTTCCCATGACTTTTTTGACTTGCAGACGGCTTTAATGAAAGGAACTAATGCAGGAACTCCCAGAGCACTAGCAACAATGGCAAACGATCGAGCAGTGGTGTTTCGGACAAACTCGTCTGCGTGTCCGACGTTAGGTCGGAGTGTTGATATCATATGTGGGAGTCCAGCGGCCTTGGAGATGTTGGCAACCAGCTCCCGTCCCTCGACTCGTGTGAAATAGTCCTCATCGATCAGTAATGGCTCAATGACAGACAATAGTCGGGGTGTGTATGGTCTTACCAGATCACCCAGCTTGAACAGGACTCGATCAACCACCTTGACAAGCCAGTGTCGTTCTGTATCCTCCAAGGACCTTTCTCTGAAAAGGGGGATGATTTGCGAAAAAAGGGCCTCGGGACCCAGAGATCGAGCAGAATCAGTCAACTGTCTCATGGCCTGCTTTCGCATCTGAGGAGATCCGTTCTTGATTTTTAGAATCAGACGCATCACCTGGCGCTCCTTCATTTCACGAGCACTCAATAGACCCTGTTCTTCTGCATCCTGCTGTTTGATCAGCGCTCCAAAGTACTTCATATCACTTTCCTTAAAGTACGCCAAATCTCCCACTCCAGGAATAGCGTCAGCCGAAGGAACGGCTGCCTGGATCGCCAATGCTCTATCGACCGCAGTTTCTGTGCTGCCTCCTGGAATGCTGTATCCCTCAATCTTGACTGTCACCTTGCTCTTGATTAATGGCTTGTATGAAGCAGGGGGAGTAAGTACAATGTATCCTTCCGAAGGAAGCACCGAAGCAAGAAACTCGTCTGTTATTTTGCTGGTTGTAGACGTCTCGGCTTCCTTTTCGTCGGGAACGTCCCATCTCGACTTCCGCTTTCGTCCTCTCTCACCACTGTCTTCAGTGACAGGTTTATCTGATCGGCCCTTTCTGACACGAGGACCCACTCTGGGAGGAGTTTGAGCCCGTTCGAACTTCCGAAGTTCATCCTGTTCCTTCTGGGATGTTCCATTTGCCTCCTCCTTCTTTCTGATTGCCTCCTGTACTCGCTTCTCGTCTCGTTCCAGGTCTCTTAAAGCCAGTCGCTCCTTGTAGCTTAGATCCTTCTCATCGTCATCAGCCTCCTGGCGATCCAGACGTTTGCGCTTGTAATCGTTTGCACGGTTGTAAATGCTCTTGTTGGACTCGTTAGCTTGCAGCTCATCGACAGCCTGCAAAGATACAGTCTCGTTGAGGAACTCTTGTGGAGCAGTATACGAGTCCTGAGGCAGGTTTTGACGCTCATCATCGTTAAGAGCCTGCATTTCCGATACGTCTGCCATCACTGCGTCGTCATCCTCGAAGAACGGCTTTTGCCTGTCTTCTCGCAGCCGCTTAATTTCGTCCATGCTGTTGTGTGTGGGTGTGTTAGTAGTGAGAAAACGCAATGCATAAAAATACAAATCAAGCTCTGATCTGAGATAATGTGGGAGTGCGACAAGATGCATCTTGTGGAGAATTGAGAAGATACTACAAGTAGACATAAGGAGGGGCAAAACGGGATTTTGGTGTGCACGTTCTTTATTCAATCAAGAAATACGCGTAGATGTGGTAGGGTGATGTACCAAGTGAGGTGTGTATGTCTCTATTTTTAGTTGAAAACATGATAACATTACTTTCCCTCAGTTGGGACATTTGTTGGAGTAAGATAAACAGCCCTTTCACAGACGAAGTTATAATTAAATGAATGTACAGTATATGCAGAAAGAAAAGAAAAAACAGACAGTATGCATTATGTGATTATAGAAAAAGGAATGGTGAACAATCATGTTCTCAACTGGTGGAAAATATATGTGTAGGAGGTACATTATGGAAGCCAATTATATGAGAAAAGGCTTGGTATTGCCACAAAAATGACAGCTGCTTCGCTTTTTACAATCTTAACACAGGAAGTAAAGATGACTTTTTTTACCCACAGTACAAGTGCGTACTTGTGCTGTAATCTAACAATTTACTTGACATGCTTGTCTATATTTTCTTCTCATATTCTATAGGGTTTAATGTATAAAAAAATATGAATAAATAAATAAAATATTCTCAAGAATATTGTACCATATTGGGAATATAGGGGTGATTTAAACATATATCACATACTTGATAGAGTCATAATGATCCCTCAACATCATTCCTGCCTGAAGAGTTGTTAACTGATAACTTCACATCTCAATAACGCCTCTCTATCCCACCATTAGACTCACCACGTATGATACAAGCACTGTAAACGCGCATGCATGCAATACGTAATACCCATCTCAGAGTCAGATTCATCAGCACACAACGATGAAACTGTCGATACTGCTCTGCTTGGCATTGGTGGCATGCGTGCTTGGATACTCGGAGAACCTTTCTCTGCGGCCTCTGTCGCAGAAGTATCTTCACGCCTCGTTCGAATTCGAGGCTGAGTCCGAACCCTTCAACACCCACCCGGTCGCTCATCACGACGAGTTCCCCCGAATTCTCTCACAGATCATCACCCAGAGCGACGCGCGCGAAATCCACTTGCGGTTTGCCCAGGGATTTTGGGACGCCGAAGAATGGGGCGTTCTCCCACACAATGGAGCGTTTGCTGGCGGAACAGGAATCGAGGCTTGGGCCTGGATCGAGGCCTCATCCAAACAGGAAGCCAAGAAGAAGTGGTTCGGACTGGTCAACTCGCTGTCTGGACTTTTCTGCGCCTCGCTGAACTTCATTGACTCGGCCCACACAGTGGAGCCTCAGTTCACCTTTAAACAATCATCCACAGGTTCCAACGGAGCGAACGAAACCACAGCATACCTGTTCTCGGGCGCGCTTCCTGCTGAACCTGTCTGCACCGAAAACCTCACTCCTTTCATTCGACTGCTCCCTTGCAAGGGTAAGGCTGGAATCTCTTCTCTTCTTGACGGACACAAGATCTTCGACTCCCAGTGGCAAGGTATGGCCATTGACGTTCATCGAGAATGCACCGATGAGGAAGCCTGCAAGATGGTGCTCAAGCAGACTGTAGATGCCGTGGTCGATGTTCCTCGTCAATTAAGACGAAACAAGCACCCTATCCCCGTACCTCTTTACGGAACCGACTTCAGATGTGACACCTCCAAGCCCTATGCTAACGACTACATCTGTTTCCCTCTCGGTGACCCTACCGAGGTGTCCTGGAGTATCCGGGAGATCTTCGGGCGGCCTATTGAGGGAGCCTGTAGAATCGGACAGGGCTCCGTCAACCTGGACGTCCCTGACGGATGGAAGCTGCAGAGCAAGTCTGGTGAGGACGGTGAGATTCTGGACACCTATCCTACACTGTCTTTGGCTAACACTGACTCTCTGGACATCATTCTGTCGTCCGATAACGCCACCCATGTGTCCCCTGTGTCGTCTCCTCCTGTGTTTGCCCAGCGGTCTTTCTCTGGCCACGGACAACAACGAGGAGGTGTTCGAACCGCCTTCACCAACCCTTCTTCCGAGCCCGTCACCTTCATCTACTCGGAAACTCTGCCCTGGTTCATGCGGTTCTACTTCCACACCATGAAGCTCAAGAATGTGGATGAGTTTGGAGAAGAGTCCGAGGGCACGTTTGAGGTGCTACAATACTCCAAGTCTGTGGACCGAAAGAAACCCACGCACTTTGAGCTCAAGATGACTATCCCAGCTCGTTATTCCGCTACTCTGGGCTACGACTTTGACAAGTCCATGCTATATCTCGCTGAATACCCTCCAGATGCCAACCACGGGTTCTCCATTCCCCCCGGTGTGCTCACCGTTGTAGACTCCAATGGTACCCATACCATGAGCACTCGAACTACAGCCCTGATTCTGTCTTTGCCTACTCCTGATTTCTCCATGCCCTACAACGTCATCATTCTGACTTCCACGGTGATTGCGTTGGCGTTCGGCTCAGTCTTTTCGCTGCTGCTTAAGCGAGTGCTGTCTCAGGAGCAGGCCGACTACTTGTCTTCTCAGACTCCTCTGAAGAAGCTGCTGGCCAAGTTCAAGAGAAAAAAAGTGACCAAGGAGAAGAAGAACCAGTAGTACTTACATAATATAATGATGACTTACGTTTGTTAGAGCAGTTTTAATTATACTAAATTCTATTACGAGTATTGCAAGGGGGCGTGGCTAGAAGAAGAAGGCCAAGAAAAAGGCAACTATGACAAACCTACCAATTGAAAGAGCATTGGCTGCGGAAGTCTTATCTTTCTTAACCTGTCGCTTTGTAATTGCCTGACCTCGACTCTTGTACAGAGTCTGAGTGTCGAGCAGAGAGTTGTCTGATGACACCACAAAAGAGTGAGTCAGATGAGTGGCATTGTGGACAGTAAATTTGGACCAGCCGTACTGAGTGTCCTGCCAGTAAGCCAGCCACGGCTCGTCTGTTTTTTTGGCGGTGTCCAGACCGTCGTAGTGTCCAGCAGCTCCATTTACAATGTACCAAGGAGCCTTGGGATTATTGAGTCCGTTGGGGTCGATATTTCCCTTGTCATCAATAGGGTGGATTCGGTTGTACAGGTGTCGGTGGCCAAGCAACACAAGATCAACTCCGTACTTGTTGAATGTCTTCTCGAATGCTGCCTGACATTCGAGACATCTGTGCTTCTTCTTAGCAGCAACGTACCAGGGTCGGTGTCCCATGGCAATTACCCAGGGAGTTTTAGACCGGTCAACGTTTTTGAGATCGTTCTTCAGCCACGCAATCTGCTCTCCATCTTCTCCAAACTCGCCAGAGTCCATGTTGTCTGATCCACCGACGGAATCTGGACCCGGCCCGTACTTTCCCAAGTCCGTTTCAGTGTTGAAGTTCACAAAGTGTACCAGACCGTAATCGAACGAGTACCAGAAGGGTCCCACGCCTCCAGACTCGCTATCGGGCATCCTAAAGTGGTTGATGATACCTGTAAAGTTTCGCTGACCCTCAAAACACGTCTGCACAGTATATCCACTGGTTCCTCCGTTGTCGCAATTGCTCTCATGGTTTCCAGGTCCAACCATGTACGGTTTGAAGGAAGTAATATGCTGCATCTGCTGGTAATAAGTGTTCAGCAGAGCTTCATAAGTCTGGACGCCATTCTTGAATAGGGTGTCGGTATCCCGAGTATTGACTCCCGTGTCAATGTATCCCTCTAGCTCCTCCTTGAGCCAGTAATCCGCATAGGCCAGGTCTCCCGGGTGCAGGAGGAAGTCAAAGTTGTCAATGTTTTGCAGCAGGGAGTCCATTGTGTTTTGTTCGCCGGGAGCAAGAGGGTTACTTGCTCCATTGCCAACCTTGGTACTCAGCCCGTAAGGCCCCATGACCCCGAGATCAATGGCAGCGGCAAACGTAAACTCCTTGGTGTTTCCAGCCTTTCGGGCGGTTTTGAAGTTATAGATTTCCGATTCGGGAGCTCCACCGACACGGTAGTAGTACACACGGTCACTCTCGAGACCTTCGATGCGAACATGATGGTTCCAGGTGGTGGATGTGTCATAGGTGTTGGAATCACCGGTGGATTTGCTGTTCAGTTGGTTCTTGTCTGTGCCATAATACACCGTCGGCTGATATCCTGGCTTGCCGTAGGTGTTCCAAGACACGACAGCCGCGTCCTGTTTGCCTGCAAAGGCCACTCGATACTGCACGGGTTGCAGCACGTTTTGAGGAACTGGGTTGGACACATCAGGGAGCGCCAGGACTGCTGTAGCCAGATAAACGAGACCGCTGAACTTCATGCTCACGATATTTCGACTGTACAGGTTGCTATCAGGATGACAAACAGCCGTTTCTGAATGGCTAGGTCCGCCGATTTCGAAGTCCAACTTACTCCACCCCGTCTTAGCAGAACTCTAAATAACAGACAAAGATTGGATAAGGTGGGTCAAGATGTGGTACATCTTTGGAGTCCTCGGAGGTAGGATTTGTGGGAACTAAAAAGAATAAGAACCTTGCCTGTATATTTGTGAGCGATCCCAACTCTGTGAGGCTCTCTCCTACACCTACCGGGCACATATGACGCTACTTATACCTGCCCAATTGTGCAAGCCAAGCCTTTTTCAGGAACCAAAATAAATAGAATTCACACAAGGAAGCGGGATTTATAGACAAGGAAGCTGTGTGACGCTATAACGGCGGGAACGGCTAAAGTTAGGACCAGCATCTGACTCCCCTGACTGAAACTGAGAAATTCTTCCGCTCACGTGACCCTCTCTTTATGATTTCTTTTCCTCCCTTACCCCAGTTTCACCTTGCGACTCCGCCTCTTCCCCTCTATCTCTCATGCAATTTACACATGACACCTGCATATATTGTGTCTCTCTCCTTGAGTATATATATAAAAGTCGAGCGTTTTTCAGCGTCCCCACATAACCATCATGTCCCTGCTACAATCTATCCAGCAAAGCTACCATGCTATCGGAGTGCCCTTCTCTCAGGCCCTGTCCCGTTTTGAGCCTCAGTATGTGTCCGAGGCCAACTTCGCCATTGACGCCAACTGCCAGACGGCCTGCAACTTCGTTACTGCTGATAACTCCACTTTCGAGTCTGTGATTACTGACTACCGACAGAGCAACACCACCATCGAAGAGCTTCTCCAGGAGTCTTCTACTTCTAATGAAGACTTTGCGAAGCTCACTACTGCCGGGTTCGCTAAGTTCCTCCAGTCTGGGCAGCTGCGTCACTCTCATGCCATGACGCAGATTGTCTCCAAGGACGCAAGAAACGCCACTGTTAACGACGGAGGTGACATGGGCGGCGGAGCTGGAATTGACGATCAGGATGGAGACTCTTCCTCCAGCGCAGCTGGCACTCCTACCACCCTGGCTGTGGCCACTCCTACCTCATCTTCCGAAGTTTTGGTTCAGAAACTCAAGGAGGAGCTGAGACAAGCGCTGAGTGACCTTTTTGAGCCTTACGATTATTCACAGCTGGGTCTGTCTATGACAAACGGAGACACCCAGGCTACCGGTGGTCCTCTTTCTGTCGGCTATCACAAGCGATCAGACACCTTCCGACTCCACTTTGCTACCCGAGACGTGAAGGGCTACCAGAACGGAGTTAAGATGGTCATTTCTCCGATTCGAGACGACCAGAGCGCCTATGACAAGCTCAAGAACTGGGAGGAAGGCATGATCAAAGGCATCCAGCAGGCATTGGACCTCTATGCTTCCAAGGGAGATGTCATTGTGGGTGCTTTCACGGACGACAACAAAACCCCGTGGGGCGCCTACTCTATTCGAGGAGATTCTGGAGATTTTACCGATGCGTGGGAGCAGCCTAGCTTCTGCGGGGCTCTCTCTGTTACCTTCTGCCAGTGCGGAGGTAACTGCTCCTTGTAAAAACTTTTCACTCTCAATGCCTAATGACCATTTTAGATTCCTTGTATCACACCAAACCCATCTCTATAGCATCAAATAAATCTTACTACTAGACTACAAGTAGTGGACTACAAGTAGCTGCTGTATAGTACGACGTAGTACCAAAGCTACTTGTACCTGTACTCGGAGAGTACTCGTACTTTTAGCACTCCCCAAGTTCGAAAAGTGAAGAAGTACTGGTGCAGTGGAAAACGTGCACCGCGGTCGTCAGAGATATTCCTCTCATCAGCCTACTTGTAGTGTCTCAAACTTAGCGAAGGTGCCATTGCGCTCCAAGTCTTAAAGTTCCGAGGAGCTATACCAAGTGGGGTTGTGAAGTTACTGTTCCGGACCTATCTACAGTTGTACACTCCGTGTTCCGGTGCGCAATTTCAGGAATAACTAGGGGAAAAAATGAATCAAGTATGTGCTATTTTAAATGATGCCCATCGTGACCCCACTCATAGTCCTTGTAATCCCAGATGCCCAGCGTCTCTGTGAGCCACTCTTGAAGCATGTAAGAAGCAGCTTCGGGCTGGTCATGAGGAACCATGTGGCCGGCCTCGAAGATTCGCAGAAAGGAGAGCTTACCAAACTGCTTCAACACACCTCTGCTCTGATGGTTAACCTTCCAGGGCCGTTCTCTAGCCTTGAGGTACTTGGCATGACCGTCCCAAGGCAGGGCATCAAGCCATTTCTTCTGGCCCAGCCAGTTGCAGATGAAGTCCTTGTCTCCGGCGAAAATAAGAACAGGCACATTGTAGCCGTTGAGAATCTCCGTCACGGCTCGAACACTGTCGGGTCTCATCCAATCTCCGCTGTAGGCGGTGAAGTCGTTGTAGACAGTTCGGTTGTTGGCCTTCCAGGGCACAACTGCTCCAATGGCGTCTCGAGTGGTTTGGTTGTTGAGGAACGCTTCTCCGTAGTCGGACTCCTTGTAGCATGTTCCGCTCTTAGAAGGTTCACAAGGTCGTCTGACGTCGTAGATGTTCTTTTTGTTATCGAACAGAGAGAGTATCTCAGCATTGCATAGGGACGTGGCATAACTACAGTCTGCATTGGTACCTGTATCGTAGCACTTTTGGATCAGAGGGATACATCGATCCTGCGCAGCCTTGGTTTGTTGGCAGGTTTCGTTGCTGTAGAGAGCAGGGGACACTCCTGAGGCTTGAGAGTCACAGCCGTAGACAGAAAACTCGGTGTACTGATTCAAGGGGTCCGTCATTCCGTTTCCGCAGAGCATCGATTCCACATGGAACGTCTTGTTGGTAGTTCGCAAGATTTCCAGAGTCGTTTGAGGAACATAATGGCCAGCATAAGACTCGCCCGAAATGTGGATTTTTCGCGGAAGGTGCATGTACTTTTCAAAAAAGAGGGTAAGGAAAGCAAAGACGCTTTTGGCAGCCTCCTTGGAGGTTCGGGCCGCGGTTCCGCCAGCAGAAACGTAGGAGAAACCCGCTCCAGCAGGCTGATCAAGATAAATCATTGTGGCATTGTTGTTCCATGACCAGGGGTTGTGAACAGGCGTGATTTCGGGGTTGTTGAACCACGAGGGGCCGTTTTCAAAAGTCAGTGCAAACATGGACGATGATCCCGGTCCACCCTGAAGCCACAGAACAACAGGGTCCTTGGAGGGGTCGTTTCGAGACTCAAACGCCCAGTAGAAGAGGTTTTCGCCCGAAGACTTGACTTCCAGGTAGCCAGAGTGCTGAGACACGGTATCGAGTCCTAAAGAAGCGGGATCGATCTCCTTGGTGGCTAGAGCGTACTCGGGAAAATCATTCGAAGAGTGGAAGGAAAAAGAAGAGGCCAGAATCTGATCTGGTATGTACTGTAGCAAAGGAGAAGCCAGTGCCAGAGAAAGGGCAGTAGAGAGAACCGAACGAGAGAACTTCATGGCGACTGTGAAGAAACCACTACATGTCCGGGATACCCCAATATATACACCGGGTTGGTATTTTTCATGGCTCCGTAATGTTAGCACGTTGGGGAAGGTCGGAGCAGTTCAATGTGGAAGGAATAGAATGAACTGTGGGACCAGACGCATAAACCCACATAGACTAAATTGACGGGCTGTTCGAGAGCGTACAGAACCTACAAGTAGCCATATTCTAACTAGCCATATAGTGTATGTAAATGAGAAATGACTTCAATAGCCGACATGCAGTGACAAAATATGAGGTGGTTCGCGCACAAAGATAGCTATATAGACGGTCATTATATGGTAGAAGTAATGGTAGAAGTATGATACTAGTACCGTACAGGTAGATACACACACATTTGACAGCTGGAGTACAGTAAAATTGTTGACGCCATACTGACGTCACTCTGACACATGCTAGCCACATAAGCAGGTACAGTACGAGCGTATAATGGTGCTAACACGTGTCTAAGAAATCGCGGAGCGGTTTTATTGTGTGTTTATATTTTTTTCTATGTTTTTTGTGTTTATTTTTTTTTTCGCCATTCGGACATTACTACAAGTAGTACGGTAGGTACTGGTCCGTATTGTACATACTTCACTCCCCTTTCGATTTTTTTCGGACAAAGATATGGCAATAAACATACACTCTTTGATTTTATTGTACATACTTGTATAAGTATTTGTATTCCATTACTGTAGCTAACACAAACCGTCAATTACAAGTCCGAATAACTACAGATACAATAGTATCTTGCCTACTTGTACCTATGATTTGACAACACCTTGTGTTAAACCACGTGTAGCCTCTTTATTATCCGTCTATCCATGCATTAATATTATGAAATGAAAATATATGAAAATATTGCCTAAGCACCACTGCTACCGTACTCTGCAGCCCAGTCCTCAAAGGCCTTGAGGCCTTCCTTGGACACTGAGGGCCGAATAAAGGCTAATGAAGAAATGAAGTCTTGGTATCCAATGGGACGGATATCTTCCCGGCTAGTGGTCAGCAGCTTGTCTCCCAGCGCTCGCAGAGGACCCATAGCGGCGTCCTTGGTCAGAGCGGTGATATCGGATCCGGAGAAGCCCTCGGTCAGCTGCAACAGACCCTTTCGCTCCTCCTCGGAGAGATTGGTCCGCTGGGCAGCCAATAGCTTTGTGAACTGCGCCTCTCGAGTCTCGATTTCAGGCAGGGGAATGTACTGTCGTCGCACAAAACGTCGCCGAGCAGCCTCATCAATGCCCCAGGGCAAATTGGTGGCTGCAAGAACAAGCACTCGCTGTACGTCACCTTCTCGTTCTCGGCCTGCGGCTGCTGAAGCCAAATCGGACCACTGCACGAGGAACTCGTTTTTGATTCGTCGCGACGCCTCATGCTCGCCCGAGTCGCTTCGCTGACTCAGCAACGAGTCGATCTCGTCGACAAAAATGATAGAAGGGGCCAGAGCCTTGGCCATGAAAAACAGCGCTCGGACGAGCTTTTCCGACTCTCCGAGAAACTTGGAGGTCAGAGAAGAAGCGGAAATAGAAAAGAAGGTCGAGTTGGACTCGGTGGCCACAGCCCGAGCCAACATGGTCTTTCCGGTACCGGGAGGTCCAAAAAGAAGCATACCCCGAGCGGGCTCTCGCAGACCAGAGAAGAGATCGGGTCGCAGGAACGGATACACAACCGTCTCCTTGAGCGAACTCTTGGCGGCCTCCAGACCTGCAATGTCTTCCCAATGAACCTCGTCGCCCTGCACGACAATCTCGTTGAGAATCTGCTTGGCGGCGTTTTCGTCCACTCCTCGTAGATCCTTCATAATTTCTGCCACCTTTTTGTCCCACTCAGTCAGTGGTTTCTTTTCCTCCTCTTGTTGTTCTGGAGACGGTGACTCTTGGCGGCCTCCGCTTGCATTGAGAATCTGCTTAGCTCCCTGGGGCTGCTGATGCTGTGCTGGCCGTCCCTGGGCGGGAGGAGTGTGTACCTGGCGCGTCCGGTTCTGTGCCGAGGCTGCGGCTTGTCTCTTGGCCTTGGTTCGGTCGTTGAGCTGCTTGGACTTGGCCAGAGCAGCTCGGGTAGCAGCACTCTGCTGCGGCTTTGCAGGAGTTGGCTGCACAATGTACTGGTAGGCTGGCTTTTTGGCACTGTGGTTGGCGTTGGCGTTGGTGCTAGGCGACGACACGGGTTTGAGGGCCCGGTTGTGTGCCAGAGCAGCCTGTTGGGCCTGGGCCGCCTTTTGGGCTCCTGCGCCAGCAGCAGCAGTCTGGGCTGAGGTTAGTGAAGACGTGGACGAGTTGTTGGAGTGCTGCTGCTGCTGCTTGGCGGCAGATCCCACGGAGGTGAACCCAGCCCAAGGGTGGTCACCAGCCTCGGAGGTCGTGGAGCGCACAGAGATACCGCTGGTGGGCCGGGCTCGTCGAATTTCACCGCTGCGTCGGTTCTCTCCTGATCGGCGAGTCATTTCGCCCGAGCGTCGCACCTCACCAGACCGTCGAGCCTGGCCATGCAGAGCATTGTAAGTAGCCTGGTGAGCGGTGGGAGTCTGTTTTGTGGGAGGAGGGGCATGGGTCACGTGAGGGGGGGGAGAGTGGGTATGTGCAGGAGGAGGGGTGTGTACAGGGTGTACGGGGTGTACGGGGTGGGCAGCCGGAGCGGGGGGCTGAACGGCAGCTGCTGGCTGCTGCTGTTGAACTGGGGCAGGAGCTTGGCGCACAGGAGCAGGCTCGTCATCGTCAAGCAACATGGACTTGATGTTGTTTGATTTTGTGCTCTGTGGGATAGAGCTGGTTGTCGTGTTGGTGGTGGTGTTGACAGAGGTCGTGGAGTAGTTGGGTCTGGTGGCCTGAGAGCTCACCGAGGGGGCATTGGAACGGGTGGGTTTCACCTTGGCCGGCTTGGGTTGCTCAGGTTTCTTGTCCTCCTGGCTCTTGCCAAAGTTTTTGAATTTCCAGGCGAGGGAGGCTCCCTTGAGGGGCGCCTCGTTGGCGGTGGACGCCGACGGTTGCTTCTTGGACGAGGTCGCGCCTCTTAGGGTCTTGAGCATCTCTCGTTTGGGCGGCGAGGGCGGGGCGTCGATAGGCGATGACGCTGACGAGAGGGGCTGGAGATCGGGCCGTGAGTTGACGGGCGTGTATACGGTGGAAGACGACGAGGTGGACCGTTGATGGGCGGAGATGGGAGCTAGGGTTAGTCGATGTGCGTGCGATGATGTGCGCGTGGTGGGCGGTTTCGACGCTGGAGGACTATCACGTGGTGGGCCGGTGAATTGTCCGTATGCCGGGTTGACCTCTCGTGTTATCGTCTAAACGTGGTAGGGTCTAGAGGAGACGGGGGAAAAAAGTATGTTGGTAGTGGTGGTGTGCGGCCTGATTTACAATTACACTTGCCGGCTCTGCTCACCAAGCTTTTTAACTTGGCCCAATGTTATTGTTTAGCAGGCACAACAATGCGTGGATGTGCAGGACGCAGTAAGGGAGGGTAATTTGGGAGAGCAACAAGCACTGTAGATTGAAGGGGGGGGATGATGTTGTGTTTCGCTGTATGGGGCAAGGGCGTCGAACAAAGCAAGGCACAAAAAGAAGCCTAGGCGCCGAAAGGCAGAGATGTCGAAAAGGTGTTTTGGCTCAGAAGCCTCAACCCACCGATTCGCTCAATAACCTACTGCACCTCTCAAAGAGCCCCCCAAAGACTGGGAAATCAAATTAAAACCCGCACCCAAAAAACTAGTCGCTGAAACCTTGCTATCGCCAGGAAATGGGAAATTGCAGGATTGGGCTCGTGCAACCGATTCCACCCCTTACGCTGCATGAACGATGCGCACACGACCTGACAATAACAAAACATTGCTGGCGTCACGGTGTGCCCAAACGTTGCACCGCACATGTGACCAGACACCGGCCGATGTGCCTTTGGCTTCGCACCCCAAGTTTATTTTTCTTCACTCATGCTCCATGAAGACAGCAAGTGAGGCTTGAGAGATGTTAAACCGTGAGGTTAAAGACAATGAGGGATGGACAGTTTTGAGTAGGGCGGGGAGTAAAAAAATTATCGAGCATGCGGTATTAGTCGGGTGGGGAGAACCACGTGACCAACGGACAACCCTACAAGTAGGCCGAACATAAGACATACCCACGCGACTAACCGCGAGACGAGGCGTCATTTGCAATGTAGCTGTCAACCGGCTGTCACATGAGATATGGTCAGTCCAGCTACCTCCGCCTGCCTCACTAGTCGATAATAATTCACCCCACATATCACTCACTCTTTCTTTCGTTTGACTCGCTGTGCATCAGCCCATTGCAGAAACCTCTCAGCTACGAGCACCATAGCCTGTCTTCACAATAGAGTCTGGTCACGTGCTCCAAAATGTACCAACATAGATTTTGATCCTGTATCCTCATCGTGTATCCTTCCTATCCTATCTTCATCTCTATACTCACTGAAATCGGCTGAATTGTACTGTCGTTCCTGCGATCTGTCTTCGTATCGCTCCTTGCGTACCTCGGGCTCGACAGGCTGGAAGTCCTGTTGAGGGGGGTACTGGTACTGTGTCTGAACCGGTGCCACAACGGGCTTAGGTCGATCAAAGTCTACAGGCGGCGCCAGCAGGTTGCTGGTTTTGGGGGTATCGTTTTTGCCTGGTGACAGATCCAGATCAAGCAGTTGGGGCTTCTGGGGCGACGTGTTGATGTTGGACGACGAACCAGGAACCTGTTTTCGAGGAACGTTGTATCGATTGACACTGCTAGAGCTGGGGTTGGAGTGTTGAGGCTGGAGGGCCGGCTGCAGTGACTGCTGGCTCTGCTGAGTCTGGTAATACGGTCGCACTTGAGGTGGCACCTGTTGCTGCTGCTGCTGCTGTCGAGAGTCGTAGCCCTGGAAGGGATTGTGGATGTTGCTGGAGCTGGCGCCATGGGACGGAGGGACTGGAGCCGACGAATTGCCCAGCGACAGATTGTTGAGCGACGGCAGCGATGCCTGGGTCACATAAGGGTTGGTCGACACCTGTTTCTTGCGTTCGAGATTGCCAATGCGTTCTCGACACTCCTGCTCAAGCTCAAGAATGGAGTTGAGCAGGCCTCGTTCTGTGTCGCTGCGGGGCTTGGAGTTCTCCACCTGCTTGATTTTGGCATTGATGGAAAACAGGCACAACGTCCAAGCCTGGAGAGCGGGGCCGTCTTGCTGGGCCGTCTCTAGGAGCACAGCCTGAAGAGTGCCCTCGTGGGCATCGTCGTAGATGTTTTGCAGTTGTTGCTGGAGCTGCGTCGGGCCGCCAAACAGACTGTAGTTTGCCATGTGTTGATGTTAAAGGGGCGAAGAGTACTGGGTGATTCTGAAACCTGAAATTTGCAGAAACGTCAAGTGCGGTTGCCTAAGTTAGTTTAGCTTAGATATGCAGGCGGGATGGTCCAAGGGATGGAGGTAGAATTCAGAGAAGGTGCAGAAACGCACGAGTTGAAACGTAGACGGAGAGTTGAGGAGGAGGGGAACGGCGGTGGCAGTCGATTTCTTATCGCATCGGTACATTTATCGACTATTTTCTCTCTATAAGAGTACGCCCACTTTTTTTCCACCATCCTGAGCACTCCACTTTTCCAACTATATTTAGAACACTTGTTTTCCAGCAAGTTCTGGCCATGGCAGAAAAACGCATGGCATTCATAAACACACTGAAGAGAGACGTGTTCGAGTGTGACCCTTTTTTTCTTGCGGCAATGCAATGCACTGGGCTGATCGAAAGGTCGAAATATACAGGTGCTCACGTTATCCAAGCCCCAGTTTTAAACGGCTTTTCACTAGTCCACATATGACGGATTGTGCAATTCTCGTACTTGTACTGTAGATTCAAAAGAGCACTTCCTTTAAACACCACTCTACCAGCCTCATTTCCCCACCTCTAACACCACTGTCGTTATAACACAACACGTACTGTACTGTAAGAAACCTACGGCTGTGAGACAAGTGCACATCTGGGAGCGCTCAGCCCCACAAAATGCCCTAACCTTCAGTGACCTCATACGGCTGATAAGCTGCGGTCTTCCGGGTAACAGACACACGGTCTGTATTACGCACAGTCTATACTGACCGCCTTGTCTTGGAGTGGAGGCACGTGGAACAGACCTCTTTTCATGCACCCAGTCCAAACTTTGTCTTGGAACGAAATTGCAGATGATAGGACGAGAGTGTATGGTGGGGCTGTGGTTGTATCACTACTGTCTTGCGGCATATACAGCCTCCGTTGCTGCCAGTTCTGATATTATTCTTCTTAGCAGCTCTCAACTTCTCCCGTTTACGGTTAACCTCAATTCTCTCAGCATGCAGTGTCATTTATTGGGTTTGGAGGTTTTGAGATACCATTATCGCAGTTGTGGATTGGGCATAAGTATATTAAAAAGCTGTACGTACATATATAAGTATTGCTGCTGATGTTGTTTGGTGACAATGTACGCGCGAGTACCGGTAGCAACCAGACAATAGTTGCGTCTGGTGGTATTGTTTTGTCTTGTGTTTCAGAGGTATACAACGCTTCTTCATATCACTCAGCAACCAGCTCCATATAAATGCCGCCCAGTCCCCATGGAACCCACATAAAACCCGCCGATCACTTTTTAGACTAATTACCTAGCTACACTACTCTGAGCCTGTCTATGTTGTATTTGGACCGAATACTTCCCAACTGGTAGCCTCGTTTGCGATGCGAGCCCTTTATGGCTCTCCCTGGCTCGGGTTCCTTGTACTCGTACCTGTGGCTCGTAACATCTCTCGATCATTGTCCTAACCCTGTGTCCCAACCTGGCAACCTACAAATAGCTGTATGGGAGCCATACAAACACTCACGGCTTTTTCTGTGTGCACTGTAAGCTCGCTGTAAGCTCGAAGCTGGACTTGCTATGCAAGGGGCAGTGTTCGATCGAATCAGTGAAGAAAGATAAGGGATTCCTGTAAGTAATAGGTTAAGTACCAATGGCTCAAATAGTTGGAAATTAGTTGGGGTTCTGATAAAGACAACATCTCGAAAAGTATACCAATCTGTAAAGATAGTGACAGACAGTACACTTAGACGAATCACCTCTCGTTATTGTCTTATTTTAGCCCTCAAAATCGACCCTACCTCCCTCCCCAGCATCACCGACATCAAGCCGGTGTCTGACTAAGACAATTACACTTTTGGTGGGAGACGCACTCGATTTCTCAGAACGCATCACTTGACATCACTTTTAGAACCCAAAGGAAAACATGAACCGTCATTTTCACCGTTGAAATTTCGGGGTTAAAGAAGTGTACAGAAAATCCATACGGAGGGCTAAACGACCAACGTAAAGATGAATAGAATGGCGGAAATGGAAATCCTCAAAATAAAAATGTGGGAATACTCGCCACCCAAGCTGCCTTATAACACCCAAGTCCACTGGCTCTCGTCAGTGGCAAATGTCACTCCACATTACCGCCTTGTAGAAGTCTGTAGGCCCCGAAACAAAGTATATTAGATTTTCCACTGCACATTGACTCTTCATCATCCACAATGCACAGTCTACTGCGAGCAGCCCAGATTGCACGGGTGGCACGTCCCGGTGTCAAGCGGGCCATGACCCCCGCCGTGCGATTCTACTCGGACAAAAAAACCGAGAAATCCGACCAACCGTTCCAGAGCTCTTTGCTGAACGACGATTTGCTGGCCCAGGCCGGTATGGACGTTGATGAGTCCAAGGGCAAGAGCAAGCCTGCTGCTGAGGGCAAGTCCGAGGGTGCTGCCGAGGGAGCTACTGAGGACGATGTCACAGACGAGCAGCGAGCCCGATGGGCCGGAACTGCCAAGAAGTCCACCGACCAGACCTCCAAGCAGGAGTCTCGAGAGCGAATTGCCGGCTACGGATACTACGCCTTCTTTGCTGGATCAGCAGCTTTCGCCGCCTACCTGGCCCGAGACTGGGACAATGAGGAGGACAAGAAGAAGCATGATACCATTGGCCAGGGATACACCCCCATGCTCATGTGGGCCCGTCTCAAGGCTCGAATCGGAGACACCTTTTCCTTCTACCGAGACCCCGTGGCTCCCGTTCTTCTCCCCGATCCCCCTGCTCCCCCGTACCAGCGACCTTTGACGCTTGTTATTGCCCTCGACGATCTGCTTGTCCACCAGGAGTGGAGCAGAGAGCATGGCTGGCGAGTGGCAAAGCGACCTGGCGTTGACTACTTCCTGGGCTACCTCGGCCAGTACTATGAGATTGTTCTTTTCTCTTCTCAGTACATGGCCAACTGCGAGAAGCTCATCATGAAGCTTGATCCCTACCACGCCTGGTTCTCCCACGTTCTGACCCGAGAGCACACCACTTACGAGGACGGTAAGCTGGTCAAGGACCTGTCTCTGATGAACCGAGATATGGGCAAGATCATCATCATCGACCCCGATACCGGATGCACCATGAAGCAGCCCGAGAACTCCATCCCCATCGAGCCCTGGAAGGGAACTCCCGGCGACAAGGAGCTGGTCAAGTTGATCCCCTTCCTGGAATGGCTGGTGTCTCAGAACGTGAACGACGTTCGACCCATTCTTAAGGCCTTTGATGGCACCTATCTGCCTGACGAGTTCACCCGACGAGAGGCCATTGCCCGAGAAAAGTTCGAAAAGGACTGGTACGCCAAGCACGGAAAGGACGGCCAGTGGGCCTCCAAGTTCCTGGGTGTCTCCGAGCCCAAGCAGCAGAAGCCTCTGATGCCCCACGACGTGATGCGACGAGAGGGCCAGAAGCAGTACCAGAAGTTCCTGGAGTACCTGGCCGTTGAGGGCCCCAAGCTCAAGGCCGAGGAGGAGCGAATGATTGCTGAGCAGAAGGCTATGGGACCTAAGAACCTGTCGGAGGCTGTCTCCAGCATTGGTTCTCTACCTCCTGTGCCCCAGCAGCCCACTGAGCCCAAAGCTTAGATGTATATAGTATGAGTTAACGTGGCACGATGAGTGATAGAGCCATGAGCGAGCCATGTGTGAGCCATGTGTGAAGCGAATGGTGAAGCGAATGACAACGCGATTGGATAAATGTAGCTGCTGTAGCCGTAGTCCGGGCCTATTCAATCGCTGGCTGAGAACTGTTAGTCACTGCCCCTTCTTCGCTACAAACTGTCTGATGTATGTCTGTTGCACAAGCGCATATATATATCCCGTGTCTGGTGAAGGGAAAGGACGACGGCTGGGGGAAACACAAATATATATCAAACGCGATGTGCACTTTTCATATCAACGACTTGCTGTTATCTTGAGATGAGCCAGATTGACTCTGATCTGTTACCCTGATAACGACGCACCCAGTTTATTTATATCTTCAGTATGCATTGATACGAGCTGCCTCGGTATGAGCCCTGGTATCTCTTTCATCAGACTATAAGTACACACCAAGTTTTTTCCGAAGTTGATGAACATACAAGTATTAGTATGAGTACATTATTCTGGAAGAGTGGCGACGAAACTGTAGTCTCGTTCTTCTGACTTTTCTCGCTTACAGTCCTGAGCCGGCTGAACAGGGCTGAGTTTAGATCCTCCTCATGTCTTAAACTCGTACGTCACATGGTGAGTTATATATAATGGACGATGATGGGCGATGTGAATGAGTAGAACAAAAGTAGTGAGAGGTGTTTAAACAGAACGTGCAAAGCTTCCAGCTGTTCCCTCTCACTTGTCATGCTCTTCTCAAGCAACCCTGTCTTAGCTATTCCCGCATCACTCATCTTAAATGTGTCCGGAGATAAGTAAGCTTCAGCTGCCTGTACAGTTTGCGAGTCCCAAACTATCCAGGCGATAATAATAGTTCTCCATGAGTACATTACCGCGGGTATCTGAGGTTGCTTTTGGGGTGTCATTCTGTAACAGTCTCATCTTTTTATATTGCTCAATGCAAAAATCGCATTTCCAGGTCTCTGTGGGGCCCACCACTTGTCGAAACAGGTGTTGTTATGATGTCGGATTTTCATTTACCCTACTCACGTGACGCCCAAGACATGTAGTACAGAGACTTTAATCAGACTGAACCATCAACAGCTCTGCGAACTTGCCTTCTTACGACCCCACAATGGCCCAGTTCCCGCTGTTTCAGAAATTCCAAAAGGCGATACAGCACCCGCCGGCCCTGTCGCTTGGGCTGCCCATTTTTCTGACCGTCATTTTCCTGTTGTCCCAGCGATATGTGTGGATTGAGGACGACCTGGAGCTGCGAAGCACCGCCCTGACCAATTTCGAACGTGAGTACACCGCAACAACACACCACTATTTTCCCCCTCGCTAACTAGTCAACCGAATCTCATTCTACCCCCTGGTCCATGCCACCTGGTTCCATCTGCTGCTCAATCTTGTGGCGCTACAGCCCATTGTGTCGCAGTTTGAGCGAGTCAATGGAACTGTGCGAACCGGAATCGTGCTCAACATTCTCGCTGTTGTCACTGCCATTCCCTGGTGTCTGTTGTCTATCGGCTTCTTCCCCGATGAGGCTGTCCTGGGCTCCTCCGCCTGGATCTTCTCCTTCATGGGATACTGGGCCATCCGGGAGTCCTCCAAGCAGCCTACCACCCAGCTGGCCCCCAACCTCGTGGTGCCCACTTGGCTTCTACCCATCATCTACCTGGTTGTCATTGCCATTGTCATCCCCAGCTCTTCCTTCATTGGCCATCTGCTGGGACTGATTGCTGGCTGGATGATGGCTCTGGGCTACCTGGACGTACTCATTGAGCCTTCGTCCAAGGTGGTGCTCTGGATCGAGAACAAGATCTCCAGAGTCATTGACCTGATCCCCTCGTCCATCGTCACTTTCTACCGAGAAGAGGGCGCTTTGGACACTCGAGCTGCCGCTCGAGCAGACACCAACCGGTCCCTGTCCGTGTCTGGCGGCAACTTCCTGGGCTTCCAGGCCAACTCCAGCCAGGCCGATCTCGAGGCCGGTACCCGGTCTCGAGGCAACAGCAGCGTTGACCCCACCACTTCTTTCCCTGGAACGGGCCAGACTCTTGGTACCCAGTAAAGGACGATACCAAAATGAACGTAGAACATGTAAACATGTAATGAGCCATGACCTTTTAAGTGAGTTACAGGTGTAGGGTGTTTGTGCGACTGGTGTAATACATGTACACAAGAAATATAGTGCCCTGTATCGTAGATTGACTACTGAAGATCCCAGGGTGGATGGATGATGTACATACCAGCTACACTTTGTAGTATCGATATGAAGCTGGGAACGCACAGTGGGACTATCACGATGACAAAAACTTGAAACCATGCAATTAATTATGTGTACTCAATCGTTCGTCTTCACAATCTACCTCTGTATCGTTCTCTCTCTCTATGATCGTTGCCCCCTTCATCTCAGAATCAAAGTTCGGGATATGCATGTCAGAAATTTTTCTGTTATCTCGCAACTACACCTGCACATTCCCCAGAGGACATTATTGGACCAGCTAACATGTTGACAGAAGACCAGATTGACGACGTCATGTTCGACGCCCGAGGAGGCGAGCTCGAAAGCATTGAAAAGTTCTTCTCCGCTCAGGACAAGCCCCTTGAGACCCTCAAAGAGGTCAAGGACCAGTACACAGAATCCACCCCTCTGCACTATGCCGCTGCCAACGGTCACATTGACGTTGTCAAGTATCTGCTTGGTTTGGTTGCAGAGGATGCCGAAGCCCAGGCCGCTCTCATTTCCGCCCAGAACGACTCGGGCAACACAGCTCTGCATTGGGCAGCATTAAACGGAAACCTGGACATTGTCAAGCTGCTGTGTGAGGCCAAGGCCGATCCCTTCGTCAAGAACCAGAGTGGACAAGATGTGCTTTACGCCGCCGAGAACTTTGACAAGGAGGATGTCATTGACTACCTGCTGGAGAACTATGATTATGCACCCAAGGAGGATGAGAACATCAAGATTCGATATGAGGATGAGGCTGACGAGGCTAACGAGACTGACGAGGCTGACGAGGCAAAGGAGGAGACCGCTGAGGATAAGGAGACTGAGGAGGTTACTGACACCCTCAAGACCACTTCTGTTTAAGCACATAAAAGGATATTTAATAGATTGTATGATTGATAGAGTTGTGTGTGTGAATGTGCTTGGTAGTTGATGTGTTGTTGACTCATGGACCTTGTGCCTAACGGCAGTAGAATGAGCACAGTATTGCACATTACTGTAAGGCTGGAGTCGGCGTATCACTTCTTTCATCGTAATCACATACTTGAGCGAGTACAAGTAGCTACTGTACTTGTAGATCATTGAAGTGAGCTCAGGCAGACATGCAAATGCTTCCAAACAATTAACCGCAACTGCACCACTTTCAGTTGACACTGCTGGTTTTCAGCTACTCTTTTATAGTAGTCACCTCTGTTTACAACACCATCAAACTCGTTAATCTATTGTACTCGATAATATCACTCCTTGACGCACTCAACCTCTAGTAACGTCCCATGCACTACCTATAATCCCAAGGCCTTTCGAACAGTTCCTCGGACAATCTTGACAAACTGTTCCTGGTCGTCTCGCCACATTTTGCTGGCGTCAATGTTGGCCCCTGACTCGTCGTTGGGCTCGGCTAGCATGCTCATCACCGACAGCAGAATCTTGTCTACCGACTGGATGGGCGACCACCGTTCCGAAGCGCTCTCATACATGTTGGGATCGTCACCAGGAGCATGCAAAATGGAAATACACACGGTTCCGTCCTTGTAAATGTTGGGGTGGTACATTTCGCAGGTGAACTTCATCACTGGAGGGGACAGGGGGTAATCCTGGGGGAATTTGAGTGTTGCGGGGAACAGGCCACCCTCGTACGGAGTATCATCTGGTCCCTGTATCAGACATTCCCAGAGTAGAAAGTTACTGTGTTAGTGGAGTTGTGGCATGATTGTGGATTGTAACCGGGTATCATAAGCACAAGGAAACAGCATGACATATTACTGGACAAATGTGTAATCAAACTGACTGGATGAAGTCGATGTTTGTTTGGCCCCGAAAATGGACCGTAACAATATTATCGTCTTTCCGGACACCGCATGAAACACACCATGTCAGCCTGAATGTGATTGTGTCTCCCCACTTCACTCACTCTTCGTCAGCAGGACCTGCACTGATTCCCTGGGGAGGATCACTAATGAACTGCTTGTACTCCTTCATGAGCCGCTTCTGGGCCACAGATGGTCGCTTGCCCGACATGGTGTATGGTATTTTTGGTTGTGTGTGCTGGTGAGACGTTGATTGATCTGGGGATGCGTGCTTAATGTTGTCGCGTGTACTTGGCGGCTTAGTCAGCTAGTATCAATGCACCCGAATATTGCCCAATTGAACAATCGATTTCACTTCGGATTAGCCTTATTTGAGTCATGTGACGTCCATAGTGTCCAGTATTCCATTTCCGATTTTTCCCCCCTGTTCTCATTTGATTTCCGGCGCACACCCAAAGCATGCTCGTAGTCATAGATCATGATAACCCTATTGCCCCTGTTCAGCCTTAGAGGAAGCGATTACTTGTGAATACTGGTACAAGCGCGATACTTGTGCTTACATGCTGGTGTTTGTCTATGGTTGACCGCTTCAATAATTTTGAGGCTTCCTTTCTATGCATGTGGCTACCCCGCTCCATAAATCTGTGCTCATCGTAATATTACAATCCTGCCATAACTGTGCCACTCGCTTAATGCCAGTGCCAACCCCTTGCTACAATACGTTGAGTTGAGGATAAGTACTTGAAAGGTGGGTTTCACACGTGACTTTTTCCTTCTTTTGCTCCTTGCAAGAACACCCACCTTTTTGCTGCATAACTCTGTTGGCTGTGATCAATGGGCAAAAAAAAAAGCATGCCTTTGATTGGTACAATTGAGTGGGGGATCGTTGTAATTTGACGTGGCCCGGCAGTTTGGGACACACATAAGCCATAGTACGCACCACAATGCCGCATTTAACCGGTCAAAAAGGGCCATATAATTACGTTGGGGCGACGAGGGGCGTTCGTGGCCCATATGCCGATTAGTGAGTTTCGCTCAAAGTTCGCATATATAGGGCTAGGGTAGGCCGTGTGGAAAAATTTTTATTAGGTATTTCAGTTTTGGGTCTTCAACTCTTGAACACATATACATTTGTGCAACAAGGTATATTTGATAAAAAACACCAATTGAAAACAAAATGGCCGACGGACTCACCGACATCGATTCTTCCCAGATCACCACCAACTACGACGAGGTTGTTACCTCTTTCGACGACCTTGGACTCAAGGACGAGCTGCTCCGAGGTATCTACGGTTACGGTTTTGAGAACCCTTCCTCCATTCAGCAGCGAGCCATCCTGCCCGTCATCAAGGGTAACGATGTCCTTGCCCAGGCCCAGTCTGGTACTGGTAAGACTGCCACCTTCTCTATCTCTGCTCTGCAGAACATTGACGAGAAGATTAAGAAGCCCCAGGCTCTGATCATTGCCCCCACTCGAGAGCTGGCCCACCAGATCCAGAAGGTTGTCCTTGCCTTTGGCGAGTACATGAAGATTGAGTGCCACGCCTGCATTGGTGGTACCTCCGTCGCCGAGGACATCCGAGTCATCCAGGAGGGTGTCCACGTCATTGTCGGAACCCCCGGTCGAATCCACGATATGATTGAGCGACGAATCCTCAAGACCGACCTCATCAAGATGTTCATCCTTGATGAGGCCGATGAGATGCTTTCTCGAGAGTTCAAGGACCCCATCTACGATATCTTCACCACCCTCCCCGAGACCACCCAGACCGTTCTGCTGTCTGCCACCATGCCCGCTGAGGTCCTCGACATCACCGGCAAGTTCATGCGAGACCCCGTCCGAATTCTTGTCAAGAAGGATGAGCTGACCCTTGAAGGTATCAAGCAGTTCTACATTGATGTTGAGCAGGAGTCCTACAAGTTTGAGGTTCTGTGCGATCTCTACGAGACCATCAACGTTTCTCAGGCCGTCATTTTCTGCAACACCCGACGAAAGGTCGACTACCTGACCCAGGCTCTGACCGAGGCTGACTTCACCGTCTCCTCCATGCACGGTGAGACCGAGCAGTCTCAGCGAGATGTCATTATGAAGGCTTTCCGAACCGGTTCTTCTCGAATCCTCATCACTACCGATCTGCTTGCCCGAGGTATCGATGTCCAGCAGGTTTCTCTGGTCATCAACTTCGACCTGCCCTCCAACCGAGAGAACTACATCCATCGAATTGGTCGAGGTGGACGATTCGGCCGAAAGGGTGTTGCCATCAACTTCGTCACCTCCGAGGACCACGGTATGCTCAAGGAGCTCGAGCGATTCTACTCCACTGAGATCGTTGAGATGCCCACCAACATTGCCGATCTTATTTAAACCGAGCTACCTTTTTAACCATTGTAGTGAGGCAACTGAGCGCCCCAGTGAGGTTGTTAAAGTAAAAGTAATTCAAAATTGAGAATGTTATTAGATGAATAAGTAGAGTACTATGTACGAATGTTCAGCATTGTGTTGGTAGTTGCTGTGTGTGTGGGTTATGTAGTCTTGTCTTGTGCCACGCTATGTTATTGGGCAGATTCGGGTGGCGATAATTACAATAAGGTGTATTTGAACGATAGTTAGAGATTATGGTGCTATGATACCGAGCTGTGATACGCTGAGTGGAACGCGTGGAGGGTGCAGTTACGGGTAATCGTGTACTTGAAATGTACCCCTGAAATTGACACTTGGGCACGAAGATTTCCCCCGTATTCCATGTGCATTAGCCGCCCCACACCAGCATCCATATATGCTGCCCTTATATGTCATGTAAACAAATACACATGTTGGGGGAAGAGAGACGGGTTCTAGACAACCCATCGTGTCAAGGAAGGACGAAGAATGTCTGTCATTCGAACGAAGATGATTGCACCAGTAAACCCATGAAAAAAATATTTGCCACCCACTGCATATATTCAATGTGTTCATATCACGGTATTTGCAGATGACAATAACACACGTGGTCCGGGTAAGTTACCCTACCCATACCATGATCCCAATACTTAAGCGCAGGCTCACCCATTTTTGAAAGACATACTTACCTTAGGCAAATTCCTGGCGATCAAGTTGGCCAGGATTTCGGACTAGAGGTTGGCATTGCACAGCGCCGACGTTCTCGACTGCTGCCTACGGGCGGGGCCTATAATTTTTGTTTTTTTTCACATGCCATTGCTGGCTGTGGAGCTGAGCCTATATCCATCTGCTGATGGCGTTTCTGCTTGTTTTTACTTCTGGTAAGGCGTGCGGAAAAGCTCTTGGGAGATGAAGTGGGATGATGATGTGTGGTGACGTCGTTGTTGTCGTGTAATTACAGCAGTGACGCGTGGTGGGGGCGATGCAAAAACGCTTATTCAGTTAATTCATGGGACAATACTGTAATCCATATTAAATAGAAGAATACGACTCGGAACTGCCCCGTCACAATAAAACTGAACTGTCATTGTATAGCTGCGCAACCAACTCTAAGACAATCGTATGTGTTGTTGCAGTGGAGTGTAGCGTTCTGGTTCCCAGCCAACACTCCCGATTTTAAGGCTCCGTTGTCGAGCCTTATTTGGTGTCGCTTTTTGGTGGATTCCAACCGACAGGTGCATTTCGACAGCAACCAAGAGAAGCTCAGATAAATTTCTTGAGTCTGTTCAGGAGAGTGTAAAAGCCTCTGCCACTGACCGGGCACATCAAATACGACGAAGTAAATACAAAACGGTCGGTCAAAAGAAGGGTGTTCCCGTGAACCGGAACGTACTTTTGATAGCAGTTTCATGCTTCAGCCCGTTAAACTCGGGGGGCCTGCTGATCAGTGTTTGGAATGGTGCTGTCTGAAAAGACACAAGTACGAGTACGAGTATGTTACGAGTACACATATGTCGACAAATGGAATGTGCTTTACAGGCTCCATAAGCGAGTAATTTCCTCTTGAGAAGAAACCGGTTCCTCCGGAATTGAGGCTTGATTGTCTGGTACAGCTATAGACAGTCAGTCCTGCCTGCAAAAAAAAAAAAAAAAAAAAAAAAAACAACAGACGCCGACCCATGCAGCTTTTCTCGGGAGCAAGCGACTGCAGGGTTCAAAAACGGCAAGGTGGTGTGTACACTATGCCGGCCAACACAAGGGACTCGGAACACTTACTTGTCTTCGGATTTTCACCTCCATGGGTCGTGAGACTTTGGAGAGATACTGCAGGGTGGGGAGGGTGTTTAAAACGGAGCTAAGCCGGATATCTGGCTCCAAAGTAGGGCCGTGCTAATCTACCAGGTAACTAGTGTGTGCCATTAGCTTACTCACCATCAGCCGTACAACCGGAGCTTGTCGGCTTGGAGTATTGTCGAAAAAAAAGTGACAGTGAAGGCTTAAAATAGGTGGGACGCATGAAATTAAACAGACCCTGCACGGTCTAAGCCACTAGAAGGGGTAGCCCGCGACATCACGTCAAGTGTGGAGAGAAGCTCGGCCGGCGACAGCTGGACGGGACGGGAGCAGTGAGGGGAACCTATAGATTTGGGTCTTCATCTCTGATTTTAATCTGGCATAACGTGGGCCCTATAGTGTTATTGTGCTGTGGGCTATAGGATGGTTGGCATGCACGATTTTGGCTCCTTATGGTTAGTCTAGTGCACACTCACATTCGGTTGCTCAATGCATGGAAAGCTTGTGCAGCACAAGCGAGCACTGGTCAAAACTGTGGGTTGGGCCATCTCTCGAAGAGTAGAAGCGAGTGGCAGTCAGAATTGGGTGCACCGAAACCACAGATCCGGTAATTATTTTGGCACATCCGCCATTGAGCCTCAGCACCGCACGCACAAGGCACACACCTCCGTGGCTCTAGAGCCACCTACAGCAATCTCCCTCGCCTGACGCTACACCACAAGTGCTCATACGCGACACAAACTGGTTTCGAAATCTGAGCTCACCTGAAACTGTGCTCCCCCCCCACTTGCACTCCAGCCAAAGTCAGCCAACTCTGTTGTCTCTTCTGCACACGCCAAAGGCAGAGCACCAAAGACAGTTGCACCAAGCTCCCGCACAACACTCTAAATTCACTTCCTCCTCAATCTACAACCAAAGGCTCGCAGACCTAGCCTCCTAAACCACAAGCGGCACAATGTACGCCGAGGACTACCCGTATCCCAGGTCGCCGAAGGAAACGACAGACTCGTCTGCCGAGCCGGCCTCAGACTTAGCGTCTGTGTCAGCAGCCCCTCCAGCAGATGGCAACCCTGAAGAAACGACGGCTCCGACGACTGCCACCTCGGAAGAAGACGACAAGAAGAAAAACAAGCGGCGAAAACACAAAAAGAGCAGAAACGGCTGCTTCAACTGCAAAAAGCTCCGTATCAAGTGCGACGAAAGTCACCCAGTGTGCAAGAACTGCCACCAGCGCCACAAAGAGTGTGTGTGGCCCACGGTGGCCAAGGCCAAGGACAGAGAGGGAAAGGCCTCCGAGCTGTCACCCACAGAGCTGGCAGCTTCCGCCCTCATGCATTCCACCTCCAAACAGACCATTCGACCCACATCTATGGCTCGAATGTTTGACGTGGACTTTGCTGACCTCGAACTGTTACGGTTCTACGTGGAACACACCTCTCCTCAGCTGACCAAGAGCTGTGGGGACGCAGACTACTCTTGGGTGCGGTCCATCCCGTCCATGACCATCGTCAACTCTGCATTGTACAAGTGTGTTCTCACTGTAGCATCCATCCACAAGGCTCACATGTACCTACCCGAAAAGTACACCTACGATCACGAGTACGCGCGCGAACGAAAACGACTGCGAAAACACCTGGAAAAACGACGAGATAGAGAAAACCCGGGCGTGCCGATAAAACTGCCACCACCAGACATGACCCGGGTCACAGGATACCTCAAGCCCAACTCGCAACTGCTGGAGAAGATAGTCAAAGCCTTTACAGAAGCCCTGGCGGGACATAGACAGTCACTAGTGACCCTCAACGCCTCCAACCAGGAATCCATTCTGTCCACCTCCGTAGTCATCTTTATGATTGCCCTCGCGCTTGGAGAACTGATTCCCCTCATCAACTTTGAAGGAGGAGCCGACGTGATTGGAGTAGGAAGAGGCGTGATTGAGCTGGTGTTCCAGCTGTCGGCCAAGGATAGAATGGTGCTATTCCCTCTACCTCCTCCCATGCCCAACAGATCATACCTTCCCAACGAACCTGTGCTTTGGCAGCTTATCTCTACAATCCCCGACATGGGCCACCGACAAATGTGTTCTATGGAGCTACAACAGCTGATAGAGCTCTACAATCTGGACGTCAAACACCGGGGCCAATCACATCTTCCCGGTTGGGCTACTTACATCTCTGGAGGCTTCCTGCAAGCTACTCGAGCAGGAGACCCGTACTGTTTGGTTATTCTGGGCCACTACTGCGCATTTGCGCACATGTCTCATTCATTTTTCTGGCTTCGAGATCGTCTCAGTGGCGACTTGGAAGCTATCGTTGATGTGCTTCCTGAGGAGTTCCATCACTATCTGGAATGGCCTCGTTCCATTTGTGGTAGATTCGACATGAACTACCAGGATCTTATTTCTGGCAGACTCCAAAAGCTGACCCTGGACGACAAGGATGAGAAGATCGAGCCTGCTCACTCCGAACTGGGACCCGGGCCTTCCCAAGAAGGACACCAACAACACTATGACGGCCCCATGCTTGATCTGTTGCAACAGCAACAACAACAGCAGCCCCAACAGCCCATCCCTCAAGTGTCTCAACAACAGCAACTCGACCAACTGGACCAACAGCAGCTTACACAAGACCAGATGCTACAGTCCCCACCAGAGCGACGGCAGTCCAACCACAGTCAACTGGGACTCTCCGACAACCAGGATCCACATATCCAACAACATATTCTTCACCAACAACAGCAGCAACAGCAACAGCAGCAACAGCAGCAGCATCAACAGCAGCAGCATCAACAGCAGCAGCATCAACAGCAGCAGCAGCATCAGCATCAGCATCAGCAGCAACAACCACAACAACACCATCAACATCAACAACCACAACAACCGCAGCATTCTGGAGATCTACATCACTCTGATCTGCCTCCACCTCCGGAGCAGCAGATTCCGGATATGGGAGATATGTATCAGTACAGCAACCCGGGTCCGTCAGGCCATGTGGATCATCATTCGCTAAAGATGGATCACAATTCATCAACCCACGGATCGATGCTTTCGTATGGGCCTTAGTGGATTGCGACGATGCGGTTCAATGCATTTGTTTCTAGGATGGACAGGCTCACTTCTTTGTCTTCCGTCTTGGAACAACAAATAACAGAGGCTTTTATTTAATCTCGGTTGTCAATGCCAAGCTCATTTTCGGGCTAGTCCTTATTTATTTGTATAATATGAAAACGAGATGTTCTCTTCCTATATTTCGAATTATGGATATTGTATCTGTTCCTGGTGTCTCATGTCGTAGGTACAAGTGTCGTAGCTTGTCACGGTCATTTGGGTTCCAAGGATGGAATAATTCAGCTAAGGCACTAGCGGGGGACTAATGCGGGCCTACAATAGCGCTCTGCTAAACTTCAGACCGTAGCCTGCATAGTCTTGTTTGCCGTCAAGCGGGGGTATATACTGAATTTATTGGCTGCTGGTTCCTCCATGTGGGATTATTTATTTAGCCTTGTCAACAGGAACGATATAAGATACGTTATGAGACTGCAAAATCGAGTCTTGAAAGCCAAAGAAACAGCCAAAAAACACCCAAAAGTACCCTGGTGATCCCACTACGACGGACGGCGCTCCCGCTGGACTATCTCCCTTTCTCCGAGTGGTATAGGGGACATGACACCGTGTTGGAGTTTTAGTGCCATTCTGAGTTGCTGTAGATTGCATCATCACAACCCAGCGCTGCGCTGGCTGCCGCCAGGGTCACCTTGAAACTTTGGCTATGCTACGGTTGGGCACGGGCCGTGTCCGTGTGGTCTCCTGTTCTGATCGCGATTTTCGTTTCGGTAAAAGGCGCGGATTATCATATAGCGAGACACGAGCTGGCCTGCAGATCCGACATGTCCGACCCAAGGCATGTTGGATGACATGTACTGCTGCTAGTGTATTTCTGAGGCTGTTATAGTGTGTATTTGATAATATCAATGGGATCGGAGCACAAGGGAACAAGGGGAGGCCTATGATATCTCCACACCCCAGATATCGTAGTTGCGTTTGTCTGCGGGGCCTGCATCACGTATTACGATGGAGTTTTTCTCCTTCCCGTATTGAAAGATGGTTCGTGTGCGCACATACCCAGGGCTGTAGAAGAGCGTTTAAAGGACGTATACAAGTGTCTTATTCGTTAATAAAAGGGCCGATTACAACCCTCAATAACGGTTGGATAGGTACGCTACTCACTTAATGACCGCAAGTGGCAAAAGGGAAAGGGGTACATAAACACCGCAGTCCATGCAAGATTGCGCAGCGTTATATACTTATAGAGAGAGAGGGTGGTTCTATTCATAAGCGAATACGATGTCTGCCTACTACACAATAATTGTCATACGAGAATGGGTGCTGGTGCTGTAGAAATGTCACGTTAACTTACTTATAAAGATACCCACTTACCCAGAGTAAGGAGGAGGGCGGTTGGTGTTGTCCTTCTTGTTGTCCAGAGAAGTGTAGTACTCCCCGGAAGGAGGAGCTTGGTGCTGGGGCTGCTGCTGGTGGCTGCTGGAAGGACCGGCTCGTTCGAGATCAGAAGAGCCGTAGAAGGTCTGCTCGGAGCCGTTGACAGGAGCGTAGCCGCCATGCCGACATCCATGCTCGTCACCGGGATATTTCGAGATGATGTAAAAGGCATGAATCAGGCCGGGCAGGAAACCGAGGCAGCACAAAGCCACATTGATGAAGAAATCTGCGGAACAGACACCTCGTCGAATGGCAACTGGAATTGGGGGGAAGAAAACCGCCACAATGACAAGAAGAAGGTCGGTGCAGCTCATGGTGATGTGTGTGGATGTGTGCGATGGGGGTTTAGAGGCGGACCTGGGCTGTTACTCAGGGGTTGTAACTTGTGCTTGTATATCTGTGTCGTTTAGAAGACGTCACAGGTGTATATAGTTGAGTGGGTTTGCGGTTTAAGCAAGGCGTTGGTATGGTGATATATAGGGCTTGCTTGACGATGGTGGCGAACTAAACTCCATAATTAGGGTTCGGGTATTCCCACAGCGGGTGATGTCATGATACAGCCCAAGGCTTCATCTGGAATATTGTATGGTATATGTCAATGTTTTAGGAAGTCTATATTTTTGTGTGTAGAGACCATGTAGTAGCGAAATGTGAAAAAAATTCTCCAAAGTCGCCAAAATCGAACGCTCAATCTACAGAAAACACACTACAATGTAGTTGTATCTCGCCACTGACACAACCATGCGGCTCAAAGCCCATCAGAGTTAGGCTCACGAATCTTTTGATGAGAGCCTCACGATAACAACAGAACACACCAGATGAAGCGAAACCTGGAGGAGTACACGGCAGGACCGTTGAACGAAGATACAGGCCAGCGATCGGCATTTCCGCTGGACGAGCAAGTGGCCGACCTGGACCTTGAAGGGCCCCCTATGGATGTCGCTCAGTATCTAGCCCAGGTGAAACGAGAAGCAAACCAGAGTCCAGCATTTACGACAGTCAAAGGACAGAGACGTGCCACAACACCCTCAACATACTCGAAGAAATACACGGAGATGTCTCTTGTTATGCCACTATCTGTTATCAACGAGTGGAGAGTGGAGATCAGAAAGTCATTCATGGAGTTACGGAAAACTGTGCAATCGCATGGAGATGAACGACCTGAACTACCAGCTGATTCAGAGCTACCGACAACATTTTCAAAATGGAAAACGTTCATTTCGGGCTCTTCTTCTCCCGAACCAACACTACAATTCATTGCATCGTTGCCCCACCAGCAATTGTTCATGCTCTTGGAGTACTGTCATAAATGGCTGGGACCTAAAATCAGCCGTGGTCTCAGTATATGGCTCATGGGTCTGTTGTCGTGTCTGCCCGACATTCTAGACGCGTCAGAGCAGGCGTCAGTACGGAGTCTGGGTAAACGAGCTCTGGAGATTCTACAGAACCCCAAATATGATCGACTGACAGACGTTACGGAATTTGCATTGAAATCAGTCGTCATCATTTGTGCCGACGTCTACCACCAGCATGATCTCGTCGAAACTGTTGCAATTATGGAACGAGAACGTCCTGTTCAAGTGAATGAGATTGTTCTTGACTACTAAGCATTACACGTCGGAGATACAACTATTACTTGTACTTGTACAACACATCAATTTTTATAAGTTATGCATGCTTAATGAGCAAATCTGAAATCCAACCGCCGACTTCCCTTGTCTGTCGAGTTTTGAGCGTACTCCTCTCGCTCTTCTTTGGACATGGCGCTCCACTTTCGATCTCTTCGTTTGTTAATGGTGACATAGAAGATCTTCGTCACAATGAGCAAAGCGATTGTTGCTCCACTGATAATAATCAGTTGGGTGTTTCCCCTGTGGTAGAATGGAGCATCATCCTTTCGATAGATCTGTGTGGCAGCAACACCTCCAGCTTGGACGCACATGTTGTACATGGCGGCAGACACTGTTCTTTGAGACACAGTGTTGGAGTTTCTGGAAGTCCATGCCACAACAACAGCATGGATGTAGGGCCCTCCAAGAAGAAGGACTAGAATGGTGTAGGTACACCAGACATTAATACCCGATTCAGGGTAGAAACGGAGAGCAATCACCAATACCATGACCCACAGGGGTTGAATGATACTGACGAGGGACCGCTCATTGATCTTTTCAGACAGCCAAGTGAAGGACAACAAAAGAATCATTTTAAGAACACTCACTGGGATGGTCAACAAGTTTGTGTTGAAGGGAGAAAAACCCAGGTGTCGAAGAGTTAGAGTCAAGTAGGTTCCTTCGGGACTGTCTCCAATGTATGCCAGAAGACCAATGGCATAGATGGGCCACATGTAGAAGTCAGACAGACACTTGTAGAGAGTGAATGGGGTAATTGCTTGTCGGTTATGAAAGTCACCCTTGTACGGGTCGTCTCGTAGAACTCGATTGACCACAATCTTCTCTTCTCGGTCAGTGAACCAACCGTTTGGTCTGAACCACTTCTTGGTACTGACAGCCGAAGCTGGCATTCTGAAAAAAGAGGCTAGTCCGATACACAGAGTTATGAGTCCTTCAATGATGAACAGCCATCTCCAGCCAGCCAAACCTCCAGAGTGGATTCTCAAAATTCCAAAGGCCAAGAGCGAAGTCAGAACGTTCACGAGATACAAACCAGTCCAGAAAAAGGAGAGTCTGATGGACAATTCTTTTGAGGTGTAAAAGTACGACAACCAAAGAACCAGGTCAGGAATGAATCCTCCCTCCAAGAGACCAATGAGACTTCGCGTAGCATAGAACGAAGATTTTCCCTGAAGGGCTCCTTGACACATGGCTACCGCACTCCACAGACAGATCTGGATTGGAATCCACCGATCAGGACCTAAACGTTTGGAAACCAGCTGAGACGGAATCTCAGCACTCATGAAAGACAGATAGAAGATCATGTTTCCGTAGTTGTACTCGTTGGTGGTCAGCTTCAGGTCTTCTAGAAGATTATCAGACACAGCCTGAGCCAAGTTGTTTCGGTCAATCTGCAGTCCCCAGAACATAATACATGCCCAGCCAGCGACCCTCCACTCCATCTTTCTCTTGACACGTTTCTCTTCGTCCTTGGTCCACTCGAAATCGGGATCAAACACATGTCTGCTTTCGTATTGAGAGTCCTCATAGAGCTGTCGGAACTTTTCAGCAACATTTGGATCAGTGAATGGGTTCTTGTGATCTCCAGATCCGTCGAGGACTCCGTCGAACTTTTCGTCTTCTGTTGCAGACAGGCCTTCAGTAGAAGAGACCTCAGCCGTCTCATAGTCGACGGAAGCCGCAGATACAGCCTTTTCCTTGACAAATGGGTTTTTGAACTGCATTGCGAGAATAATCCGGTCGCACACACCTCACCCAAGATTATATACTGTCTGTCAAGCCACTCTCCAGCCCGAATATAACTCATCGTGGCTTGCACAACCGTATGGACGGTGGTATTGAAAGGTGGCTTTGGTTCAGACATACGCGATAAATATAGGCTTTAATTTCGGGATCTTGGGGTCCTCGGTAAGGTAACCTTGATTCCCCGGACACCCCCACATGGTCTCTATCGTGCATATGGTGATACTCCTATCGACGCATGCCAAGAGGAGGTTAGACAGAACTTGCAGACGAAGTCTTGGCAGATATCACTCGTAGAATACTGGTAGATGATCATTCAGGATGAAAACAGGTCTCGTCAAACACTCCCCCAAATCTTAACCAACAGGCACGAGAGCGGATACACCTTCGGAATGGGGAGTGTTGCGCATGACAAGCTTTGTGGCCTCAAACAACGTTGTATCACGTCTTGTGCGTTAATGTGGCGTTTACGCCTCGTACTACTAACTGTGGAGGGCATCGTGTAACACAAACACGGCAATCACGCCAGGCTGTGTACGGTGTGGAGGGAGGTCTGAGTCAGGCAGCGCCCCTCCCAGCCTCATCTCCGGGTACAAATAAGTCCGGCATTGACGGTATTGAGTCATGTCTGACTGTGGGTTACGTATAGTGAAGGGAGGCTACACCTGTACTTGTACTTGTACTTGTACTTGTACACGTATATATTCGTAATATACTATCTGTTGCTCCAATGACTACAACTACTGTACTCATTAGTCCACCTCAGGACTATCTCCCTGATATTCTTACACAGCCCGCTCACACTCGGTTACGTGCCGCCTATAGCTTCTTGAATAGGTAACGAAGATACACGTGCCTTTTTTCGTGCTATACAACAGGCTATTGACGAAAATTTTCGCAAGAGTTTTTTCATTTGGCTCTTCATACCTACAACGTAGCTACAGTAGAAGCTGCGAGTACTGTATGTGCTTGGATAAGCTATTCAACGACTAATACCTTAGGCAAATCGACCTACAAGTACATGGTCTCATAAGAATAATATACAAATGCGATTTATATCCGACTAATTATATCCTTATACCCGTATCTCCTTTTATCGTCCAGGTCCAATGGCACGTTCCTTGGCCAGACGCTCCTTCTTCTGCTTGGCCTGCTCCTCCTTGCTGGGTGCCCTTCTCATAGCCTCCTCCTGGGCTGCAGCACTAGATCCAGCACGTCCATCCCACGCAACTACAGGCTTCTTGGTGGGCCGTCCGCCGTCTCCTTGCTTGGCCTCAGCCATTCGCTTCATGTTATGGGTGACTCCACTGGTGGCCAGGTTAGTAGACTGTGCACGGGAGTCCGCCAGGTCCTTCTGAGCCTTCCAATTGGGGTCCAAAGTGTACACTCGCATGTGGGAATCATACGAAGACTCAGGAACCACCTCTCCAGAGGGAGTAACAACTGTAGCAGGAGAGCTATTCTTGAGTTTATTGAGCTTGGACGTTCCAGCAGGTCGAATTTTCATGTTAGAAGGAGCAGAGTACACTTTTGGTTCCTCCTTGACCACCACCTCTGTACTCCCCTCCTTGGCGTCCTCCTTGGCCTCCTCCTTGGCGTCCTCCTTGACTTCCATCTTACCCTTGGTGACAATCTCCTTATTCTCTTCTTCGTCGTCGTCGTCACTGTTGGGAGCGTATTCCAGCTTCAGACCTCGCGATCGCTGCTCCAGTGAAGAGAACTGCAGCTGAGCAAGAGTAAGGGGAGCTGGGAGCTCCCCAGTCTTGTCCTTGTCGGAAAATACAATGGTTTCTGCAACCACAAAGTCATGCCAGTCGATTTCTGCAAATGCAATCCGTTCTCTTTCTGCCTCTTCGATGGCCCTTTGGTTCTTCTGCTCAGTGTGGGAGATCCACTCGGCACGCCTCTTGGCTAGACCCAGAGCGTAGAACTTGTCCTTGACAGCAGCCTCAATGTTGGTCCGTGTACTTTCAGGAAGCGCCGAGAAACCAGCATCTAATGCCTGACCTACCTTGAGATACTGTTCCACCAACAGCTGGTAAAATTTGTGCAGCGAGTGTGAGGGCTTGAGAAACTCGTACTGGGGGTTTCTAGCCTCATTTTTCGCAAGCAGCATAGAAAACGACGGCCCGTACTCGGCTGTGTGTTGGGCAGTGGTGTGGATGACCTCGTGATCCACTGCCGACATTGGTGGAAGCACTGTGTGGAACTCGAAGGCAGGTGGTTCTATTAGATGATCAGACGTGTCTTTGGGCTTGAGCTGAGCTGTATTAGCGTCTGTCTCGCGTGTTCGTCCGCTGGCGTACTCGTCACATCGCCACTGGTAGTATAGATGATAATGGTCGTCATTATTGAGGAAGGAGAAGAGGGCGTTGGATCCTTCCTTTTCCCGGATCCGGTGCTCGAATGCAATACCATTTTTGGCGACAAACTCGGCTGTCCGCTCGATCTTGGCCTTGATCTCCGGTGGCGGAATAATGATGCCTTCCGGGGGGTTCATGTTGGATGCTGACAGTATGGTGATGGAGGTTTGCAACGATTATGCATATTAAAATATGCACAGCCAGATGCAATGGCAGCAGCGAGGCAGCTTAGAGAGTGGTAATATCGCTGTATAAAAAAGAGAAGGAATTTATGTAAGTGTTATTCTATAAAAACACATGACTCGAAAGAAGAAAAAAAAAAACAAACACCACCCAGACACATTCCTGCAACATACATATACTGCTCTCCATTTCTGTGACTGTTAAAACGTCTCTTAAAACAACAGGCTTATTTGGGTTACCAAAACCCCGTCAGTTTGAGCATGTCCCAACATTAAAATCCGGTTCTAAACCTCAGCTCCCAGAGTGCATGGAGCTACAGTACATACCTGATACTGGATAACCGAAACAGACTTGTCTCTGGACTACACAGCTTGCCCAACACGACACAAGACAGGGAAGGAAAACGTGCCGAGTATATATACACACAGCACACAGCCAGCTCGCGCAACCTTGCAAGATTAACAGCACACAACGCTATAACGAACTCAAGACAAAACATCACAAGAACAACCACACCCCTGCATCAGTTTCCTCAACCTGCTATGAAGCTACTGGTGTGCCTGGAAAACAGCGGGTTACTCAAAGAAGTCAAGGTCAGTCTCGCCACGGGTGACCACAAGGTACGTGACGTGGGGTTCAGTGAAGGTAGCGCGGTGCACGTATCCAAGGTGATTTACGACCAGAGACAGTACGTTGCTCTCGGGCGGAGGGATGGAAGTGTGGAGGTGCTGGACGTGGAGATGGGCACACCGAGAAGGCTTTACCCTGCCCACAGAGAGGTATTTCACCCCTCAGAGCTGTTCGCGTCCATTGATTATGCACACAATCTGCTCTATACATGCACCACTGGAGGCATGGTGACGGTGAGGGAATGCAAGCTGGACCAGACACAGACGAGCGACGAACTGCTCAGCACACATCACCTGGGCGATGCAGTGTCTGTGTTACGCCCCCACCCTACTCAGCGAGGAGTAGTCGCTTTTGGAGGACCACAGAGAGTTCTGGAGGTGGCCATCATCCGGACCAACCGCAGGAACCTGTGGCGATCGAGCAAGGAAGAGTACATTTGGATTTCAGACGTGAGATTCACTAATGTGCGTGGGACAAGCGATAATGCCGAGCCAGGCTACTCGTTGGTGGCGGTGTCACGATATGGAGACGCCTACATTTACCAGACAAATGTTTCTGCCCGGCCGGTCCGGAAAATCCAGGTTGGCGACTATCCACTCACACATCTCCACATGAACCACTCGTTAGGCGGAGACGCCTTCTACGTGGCCAACTCGCAGAACCAGGTGTCGTTGGTGGATTATGACGGCCAGGTGCGTCACAAGGTGTGTATGCCTGAAGGGAGTGTTTTTCTGGCAGATTTCTTTAGTCCAGCAACGCGCCAGGACCCCCGAGTGCCTCAGACAGAGCCCATTCCGTCCACATCCATTTCCCGAGGGGATAATCTGCAAAGTGCGCTGTGGGGCGAGTTGCTGATGCGAAGAAGACAGCATACTCGACAGCAACAACTTCAGAACCAGAACCAGAGTACGGAACCGGATCCTGATGCAGACAACACAGACCACTACGTGCTCAACGATGATACCCATTCCGATGAAGCCCCTCGACGGCCTCCGTTCGATAGACGGTACTTTGAGCGAGTATTAGGATTATCGCGTCCTCGTATCCAGATAACTACAGGAGGAGAAGATCGAGCACGCCGGGAAGCGTCACGTGAACTGAGACGCGAAGAGCGGCGTCTCAGAATGATCCGAGCAGCCCCAGGAAATCTGTCATACTCTTCGTTCGGGCAGGGTCCTCTTGTAAGACGACACCAGAGATGGTCTCCTCTTACTCTTGCCCGTGATCTACAGACGATTAGACGACCAGAGACAGCTTCAGGGCAAGCCTGGACTCGTGACACGGACGATTTGATCGCCAATCCCTCTGCTTCGTTGCGTGCTTCTCGGGACTCTGATTTCTTCCGAGAGCTGTGGTGCGATGACGATGAGCAGTCTCTCATGTACTTCAACACCCTCTCCAGCGTCCATTTACCTAATGAGGGCGAGGAAGAGGAGGAAGAAGAAGACGAAGACGAAGAAGAGCTGACGGTTCGTGAGAGTGATACGGAAGAGTTGTTTGCACCAGGCATTCTGGGCGGCTCCTCAGAGATTGTGGACAGATTCATGCCTCCTCATCTACAGACTAGCCGTACCACAGCTCCTCTTCAGCCCTCTATGGGTCGGTTTGTAGGGGGGGTTCAGTATGAGTCCCGGGCCTCGGGTCTGGATCTGACCGTGGTTGCTGGTCTTGATCGTCATGTGCGAGTGTTTGACATTTCGCAGCCGTCTATCGCGTCTCGAGGCCGTCTGCTCTTTGATATTGCGTTCGAGTCTCGAATCACTTCGGTAGCCATTCTGGAGGTCAGTGAGGAGGACATTTGTGAAAAGACCAAGCGTGCCGCAAGTCCAGTTTCCCGCGATACCAAGAGGCAGCGGGTTTAGCTCCGTTGTATATTTATAGCTAACATATTTTAATAATGAGAGTCATACTGTAGTGAGGTGTGCGTGTGGTGTGCTCGTATACTACAGTACATACTTGTAATATAACGTGTGTTTTATTTTATTTTATTTTTTATAATTAGATATTACTGTATATGGGGCTTATTTAACGGGTCAACTAATATAGTTAGATTTAGTTTATAACTCAAATTGGGTCTATTTGAAGGTGTAGTTGAGGTCGTACTTTGATTCCAATAACTGAACAACTAAAACAGCTTCCGATTACTCTGGTCTGAAATTGAAAATCTCAGCCATTCGAGATTGCTCTTGATAGTTGCATACCCCTCATTCTGTCAGCTGAGACCTGTTGGTCTCATCTAATGTTTCTGTAACGTTATAGATTAAGGTTATATCACATGATTTATCCCAAAAGGAAAACACAGTCACATCCCGATTGGGATGTGAAAACTCTACCGTCGCTGGGTGGTCCCAAATAACCAAAAATATCTGCACGTCTCAACTTCTTCACTGAACAACACATATCGCCATGCCTACCAGATTCAGCAAGACCCGAAAGCACAGAGGCCACGTTTCCGGTAAGTATTGAGAAACGAAACTAGTGCGAATGGTGTGGCGATATCGACTGGCATAATTAAAGCAGTTGATATCAAATATCCTGCTGGGTACAGAGGTTGGAGGAGGAGGAAAGAGACTGATTGTCGGGAAGGGATGTACAAACATTCTTTTTGGACAAGAAGGTCTGAGATGCAGAGCGAGCGTCATGGCTATCATAACTCGTTATTTATGCACACATTTATCAGCATCAGACGGATTGTATGACTCCATCCAACCACCTGTACTTGGCAGGAAACCACATCCTTCAAGCACTTTTGCAGATACCCTTTTGCGCAGAGAAACACATTACTAACATACAGCCGGTTACGGTCGAATCGGTAAGCACCGAAAGTCCCCTGGTGGACGAGGTATGGCTGGTGGTCAGCACCACCACCGAACTAACATGGATAAGTACCATCCTGGTTACTTCGGTAAGGTCGGTATGCGATACTTCCACAAGCAGCCTAACCACTTCTGGAAGCCCGTCGTCAACGTCGAGAACCTGTGGGCCCTTGTTCCCGCTGAGAACCGAGACAAGTACCTCTCTTCTGCCTCCGAGTCCGCTGCCCCCGTCATCGACACTCTCGCTCACGGTTACGGCAAGGTCCTCGGTAAGGGTAAGCTCCCCAACGTCCCTGTCATCGTCAAGGCTCGATTCGTCTCCGAGATCGCTGAGAAGAAGATCAAGGCCGCTGGTGGTGTCGTTGAGCTCATTGCCTAAGCAACCCACTTGTTTGTAAAATAAGTACCCAAAAAATGTATTTCGCATAATTTATTGTGACAGAGTTAAATCTAGCGTATGAGTAAGATCGTAAGACAAATCAGGCGGCTCTTACTGTAACTTGCAGTAGAATTCTCAGAGGCAAATGTTTCCGATTATGCAGCAGAGAGTCGTCCGTTTTTATAGCCCACAAGTACAGTAGGTAGGTACTGTAGATTGATTTTGTTGTGACATACTTTGAAGCTCAACGTTTTCCATTCCAGCTCTTGTTGGCACAAAACTGGAACCACGTACAATGCGTACGGTATATAAAAATAGAGGCAAGCGCTTTCACAGAGACATCGTCGATGTTGCTTGATATCCTTCAAAATTGCTGTCCAAGAGAAGTTTGCTTACTTGAGCGAGTTGTAAACTTCCGCAACACTACTGTAGAAGTAAGCATTTCCGATACCTGGTACCAAGCCATTATGAACAGAGCATCTTGTGTGTGAAATACGCCAACCAATAGGATATGACTAATGTTGTTGAATAATGGTTTTTTTTGACAGAGTCACCCTTTTTCGCTTCTTTTGTCCACTTGTTCTGTAAAAACCACACCACTTGCAATGTATCGTATGTACTGTAAGTACATGCTATATACCCGTGGTCTGATTATCTACATGCATGATCTGGTATTAAAATTCAAGTCTCTTTTTTTCCAGAAAAAATAATCCTTCGATACAACAAACGCAGTACCCGTCATGACCGACACCAAACGAGCTCCCGAGGAAACCGGTCTGCCCGACGCCAAGCGTGCTCACATTGACGACGTTGAAAAATGCTTCCACAAGGGACTGCTTGACCAGACCTCTCAGGATGAGCTCAAGACACAGATTGCTGAGTCGGGACCCTACAAGCACGGAGTTATCCCCCAGCTGATTGACGATGAGCTGTTGAGAAGCGTGCGAAAGGAAATCATGGAAGGAGTACATTTCACCCGAAAGGAAACCGATATCTACAAGGTGTTTCAGACCGGAGACCTGGCCAACCTATCTGGTCTCAGCGAAGAGGAGCTGGGTACCTTGCCCTCGCTCTTCAAGCTCCGAAATGCCATGTACTCTCGAGAGTTCCGTCACTTCATGTCCTACATCACCGGAGCCGGTCATCTGTCTGGTTCGAAGCAGGATATGAGCATTAACGTTTACCAGAAGAGCTGCCACTTGCTCAACCACGATGATGTCATTGGTACCCGACGAATCTCGTACATTCTTTACTTGCCTGATCCCGACGAGCCATGGAACCCTCGATGGGGAGGAGCTCTTCGACTGTTCCCCACTATTCGACCCAATGTGCCTGCTTCCGACTGGACCGTTTCTATTCCCCCTGCTTGGAACCAGATGGCTCTATTCAAGATCCAGCCCGGTCTCTCGTTCCACGATGTCGAGGAGGTGTACGTTGATAAGCCCCGAATGAGTATTTCTGGCTGGTTCCATATTCCCGATGTTGGAGAGGAGGGATATATTGAGGGCGAGAAGGAGGAAACGGAAGCCCTGTCTTCTCTGAAGCAATTGACCAGCAAGAGTCTTCGAGAACACGACTTCCCCAAACGAACTCCCGGTCAGGTTCCCGAGGACGAGTTTGCTCATCTCAAGGAGGGTCCCAAGGACGATGACGATCTGTTTCTGTCTGACGACGACGTCAAGTACCTCAGCAAGTACCTCAATCCGCATCTGCTGACAATCAAGACCGTCAAGCAGCTCAACGATTTGTTTTGCACCAACTCGCAGCTCGAGATCAAGGATTTCCTCAACAGCGAGTACGTGGGTGTTCTGAAGAAAACAATTGATGCCGAGGACTCTAGACCTCCCAAGGAGATGCCCCAGGTGTCTGAGGAGATTGTACTACCCTGGAAGCTCGCTCGACCTCCTCACAAGGCCCGATACATGTACCTGGATGGCTCTGAGGAGGCCGATAAGGAGCCTGAGGTCGGAGAAGAAGAGGTTACAGTTCGGCCTGACGAGAATGGAGGCTTCGAATACTCTGAAACGATTCTCTCTGGACTCAAGGACACTGACAAAGCAGCTACTTCCAAGGTTTCGGAGGTTGCTGCCCTGTTCAAATCTTCAGCTCTGCGACGATGGATCTCGCGGATTTCTTCTCTGGCTCTAAAGTCCGAGAACATCATTGCTCGACGATTCCGACCTGGCTTTGACTTCACTCTGGCCACTGCCCAAGACGAGTCTGACATTGCTCTAGAAGCCACTTTGTGCCTGACCCCCACTAAGGGCTGGGAAGACGGCGAGTATGGTGGATACGAGCTGTGTATGGCTGTTGACGAAGATGCCGATGACGACCCGGCTGTATACCGAGGAGCCAAAGCCAAAGAGGCTGGTGAAGGAGAGGGCGATGAGGAAGATGAGGATGAAGATGAAGACGATCCCGTTCTTCTGACCTCCCAGGCCTCGTGGAACACCCTCAACATCTTTGTCCGAGACAAGGGCATTCTCAAGTTTGTCAAGTACGTGTCTAAGAACGCTCCTGGTTCTCGATGGGACATTTCTGCCGAGTGGCAGGTGGAGTACGTTGGAGATGATGAAGAGGAAGAGGACGAGCATGAAGAGTAGGGCTCAGAGGAAAAGGAGTACGAATAACTATAGATGTAATATAATGATTAATGTTCATTTGAATGGACAATGACCTTTATGTGTCTGTACCACTATGTGTCGCCAAATGAGAAGCCATACAGCCAGCTACATAGTACGATACCTGTACTAGTATTGTATGTACAGTACAGTAGCTACTGAATCGTACAGCGTACGCATTCATATGAAGGTATAGCAGAAGTATTGCTTTGCAATTTCAGACTTGTCTACACACTGCTAAGATCGCCCATAGCCGTTGAACTTATATATCTTCCCTGGTGTTCCATGCTTCCACAATGTAAGTCTTCGAGTGAATCGTGCATGACAATAAAATCGCGATATGTACACGTAGCGACGAGTTATTGGCTGGGTCGCTGAAGTATCAGACATGCCAATCCATTGGTCACGTGGATTCCCACTACAAGTATGTAACTATTGTACACAACTAATTAGGCTACTACTTCATCTAACATAACTCATCAAACACTTTTCATTATTTTTGTTGTCATCTAATTATCCCTCCTTAGTTAATGGCAGCCTCTCGAGACTCCCGGTACTTGGTCTCCTGGGTGGTCTGAAGCTCCTCGACTTCAGGAAGCAGGTCCTTGAGAGTCTCGTAGGCGAGCTTGTGGTAGGCCAACTGTGCGGACACGAGCTCAACCAGGTTTCGCAGGGGCTCGGGAGTGTCCAGAGCGTTCTTCATGACACCAACAGCCTCCTCAGTTGCAGCGACAAACTCGTCCTCAGCCTGCTCGACCTCAGCTCGAGCGGCTCCCTGCTGCTCAGGCTTGGCTGCCTTGGCGGAGGCCTTGACGGCGTCCAGAGTCAGACGGGCGTTTCGCACGTTAGCTCGGGCCTTGGCGGCAAACTGCAGCGAGGTGTTGAGGGTGGTGTGGAAGGCGGCGTTGAACTTGTTGGCGATCAGGGTATCCTGGGACAGTCGGCCCTCACCAATCTTCTCCTCGGCAATGGCGTACTTCTGGAGAGACTCGGACAGGGGGTCGTCAGAGTCGGCACCGGCCTCCTTGAGGGCAGCAACACCACCAAGAGCAGCTCGGCCAAGAGCATGGTTCATGGTCTTGGGGTCCTTCTTGGAGCCGGGGGTGGTGAGCACAGACTGGGCCTCGGCAGCAGAAGACACCTGGGACAGACCCTGCACCTTCTCGGTGATGGTCTTAGACAGGTCAGACAGGGACTCCCGCAGGTTGGGAGGGTAGTCGTAGCCCTCGTTTTCGTAGTTAGAGGTGACGGCGAGCAGCTTCTGGTGGACAATCTTGAGAGCGTCAACTCGAGCCTCCAGCTCCAGGTACTCCTGGGGGAGCTCGGTCACGTCCTCCACGTTGCCGAGCTTCTCCTGGACCATTCGCTGGGTTCGCTTGGCCCATGGGGAGAAGGTGGTGGACAGACTGTTGAGAGAATCGTTGAAGTTGAAGGACATTGTGTGTGGTGTGTAGTGTGTGGTACAAGAGTGCGTGTAAATATACGTGTAGTGGTGGCGGTGTGTGTGGAAGGGTTAACTTTAAGGTACGAGTTAATGTAGGACGTGACTAATTTATGATAGTGGGTTATTGAGATGATGCTGGGGTGCAGACGGGATAAGGGTTTATAGCTGCTTGTAGAATCCGGTTATTCGTGTGTCTGATTTTGTTCCCATGAAATGCCTTCTTGCTATGTCACTGTAGTCACAGTGGCCATCGATATATTGCTTTCATTCATAATCACACTGTACAATCAATGTACAGCTGTAATTAGGGTCAGTAACTACGACCCCCTCTGACTCAATTGATAGCGGCAAATTGGATTCAGACTCGCCCCTTGTCGCCAAACCTACCTTGCCATTGCTGCTAAATAAACAATCCCAACAAAACCTGTAATTTCCTCCTCAGATACGCACGTGACAGCATCGTATCAGATGGAAGCCCAAGTGTTACCCGGCTGACTACCTTCCCCTTGCAGCTATCCTGCACTCTAGCCGTATATTTGTCAGTTCGATATGTCTTAGTTTCATTAGTGAGGGTGTGAGCAGCCTTGTGCTTGGGATGACGAAGAAGTGATGGGCGCGTTTCTCTTGTGATTATTCAGCAGTCGTATTTTATGATGCTGCTTCGTAGTGTTGACCGATACACGTGGTTTGTACTACTATGTTTGAAAGACCACAAAATGTGCTCTCCAGGAATGATGTCTTTGAGCCATTCATACTGTGCAAACGACTTTGAACATTTATAGGCTAGCTACATGTACAAGTACCTTTCACCTATAAGTGCAGTACAGTACAAGAACTTGTAGCCTACTGTGTGTAATGTACGTAGCGCACCGGCAAATTTAGCCAATCTTTAAGACCCAGCCTCGGCTATTAGAATACCGTTATCGCTAAAGATGCAGACGTGTGGTGGAGTTTAATGAGCGACGTTTGAATGGCGATGATTTATGTTTGTTTGCTTGTTGGTGTTATTTTTCCAACCTGTTTTTTTTGTTTTGTTTGGCTGTCTTCGCCCTATTTCTATTGTATCAGCCCACTCTGCCATAGCTGTAGGTCCCCCTACCTTCGTTCGCACTCACCCACTTTTTGCTTTCCACATCACTTGATGTCTCGGATAAACAACATGTATTCCGGCCGAAATCCGTCCAGTCCGAGTCGGGAAACCAATTTATGTCCATATTCACATGTATTGTTGTAATTAAGACCCAAACGGGAAGTCTACAGCAATCGCGTGATGGCGTTACATGTTCTACTGTGAGCTACGTTCTATTAGCTTCTCATTACTGTTGGTATGGTTGTTCAGGGTGTGTTATTATCATTAGTGAGGGGAGGAGATATATAAGTTATTCGGTGTAGTTTACCTTGACAAACCGAGCTCGAAGACGGGCTCCAAAGAAGAAAAAGGCATATGGGATAGCGACCATGGCAAGAGCTACAAAGGCCAGCATCCACGAGGCCCATTGCAGGCCCATGGCTTTGTACATCTGGGTAGTAAACAGAGGGAAAGCAGCTCCTCCTCCAGACCGCACAAATACTTTGGCTGCAAGGGCCGAAGCTGCGTATTTGGCGTACGAATCGATGATGTAGTTGTTGACGGCATAATAGACCAGTACCATGCCGAAACCGAAGGCGATTCCGGAAGAGGCGGGGCCGACCCAGATGATATGCTTGTAGGAGGTGGCTCCGAGAATGAACAGTGAGATGGGAATAAAAGGGGCTCCGATGAGGGCTCCGAGAAGACGGTCTTCGGGAGTTGGCTTTCGAACCTTGCAGATGGCCTTGAACTTGCTCTCACACCAAGGAGTAACACATAGGGCAAATGCGGCACCGATGAGAATGGGAATGAACATGAGACCAACAATACCGTCGTTGTAGCCATAAAGCTCATCAAAGATGACAGGAAAGGCAAAGAAGAAGGCGTACAGAAGAGCATAGATGAGAACGACGTAGAGATTCATCAAATCGAGGATTACCTCGGTAGCACACAGATAGAGAGGTCGCAGAAGCACCTCCTTGATCACATCAGACAGGGTAGCCTTCTTGGCCTCCTGTTCAGTCATGATATTGGAATTGCCTGTTTCCTTTCGGAGCTTCTTGGCTCGGTGCTTGAGAATCACAGGAGCGTAAGTCTCGGGAACAAGAGCAATGACGATGGTGGTGAATCCAGCAAACGCCATGTTGACCCAGAAGACGAGCTCGAACTTGTCGGTTCCCACAGCGATCCATCCTGACACGATGGGTCCCAGAACAGGTCCACAGTAAGGAGCAGCCGCAAAGAAAGCGATAGCCTTTCCTCGCTCATCAATGCTCCACAGGTCAGCAATGGTTCCTCCAGCGTTAGAGAGACCAGAGGCAGCAAAGACACCACACAGGAATCGACATACAAGCATGGTACCAATGTTCTTGGCGAGGGCACAGGGGATGTTGAAGATAACGTAGATGAGCATGGTGACGGCGTAGACGGGTCGTCGACCAATCTGTTCAGAGAGAGGAGACCACAGCAGAGGACCCAGCATGAAGCCAATTACCATCATTGAGACCGACAGAATAGCAGGAACGGGACCAACATGGAGTTCTCGAGCAATTACATTGACTGCTCCAGCAGGACAAGCTGATCCGAAGGCCACACAGACCACGGTGAGTGTGGCACAGAGGGTGTACAACCATCTTGTCTTGTTGTTCCAGTTTTGGGGGTTATCGGGGTCATTGACAGTGAAGGTGACGTACTCAATTTCGCTTCCAGACGACGAGTCTCCCTTCTCCAGCTCATCTGAGTCTGTTCCTCTAAGTTCTCGAAGAGATCTCTGGGGCACAAGACCGGTTTCGGTCTCCATGGTGTACTCCTCGGGAAACTCTGCAGTGCCATCGACAATAGGAGCGTTAATGTCGGGCTCACTGGGGACGTTGGACAGTTCTCGTCTCAGTGACGAGGCTGTTTCTGTTCGTCTCAGCGAGTAGGAAGTATGAGTTCGTGAAAGAGGGGCAGGATCAGACATCGCTACAGAGCAGCTCCAGACCAAAGGGAGACACGTCTCCTATAAATATACATGTGTATATAGCTCCCGAGAGAGCGTCTGGAATCCGACTACTGGATACGACCGTGTCCAACATTGCCCTTTGGGGACTAATCTTGCGTCAGACACGCCGAGTCCATGCAACCGCCAAGGAGGTTATTTGCAAGTTAAACCAGTTGGGTTTTGCGCGGCTGGCGCGGGTATGTCCACCGAGTATCGAAAAGGGGTATCACCAAGCTCTGAGTTGGTGGTACGGCTTGTGTTTTGGGTATAGTTTGAGCAGAGACCACCCATGGTAGTCGACTTTGGGTGCCACCACAACGCAAAACCACCCTGCACTGCGCTTGAGGGTACATCAAACCTCATTGATACGACTTGGCAGTTGTCGGCTAGGCATGGGGGTTTTCCCGTGAGTTACCCTGGAGCCGGAACAAGTGGACCTGAGATCCGGTGTGCGGCTGGCTTGGTGCAAGTCACGTTGAGATAATGTCCGTTAGACTTTGGCCCTTTCGTTTTAGGTCCCAAGAAAGGCTAGGGTTTTACCTCAAGTTTGATGAGAATGTGCCGAATTTCCGACCAAGCTTCCGAGACCCGACAATCTCGAATCACACGTTGGAGTCGACACAAACGCTACAATGACGGACGCGCGCAAGCTGGTGGAGGAGTTTCGTCGGTCGGGAAAGTTCGATGAGATGCGACGCGATGCCCTGGCCAAATTCAAACAGTCTGATCTACACGGCGACATTCGACAGCAGATCCAGGAGATCGTGGACAAGGAAATCGAGAGCCAACCGCAGGTCCTGTCACGAGGACGAGGCAAGAGCGCGGCACTGATCGAGGGAGCCATCAACAGAAACAGCGGCAAAGATTCAGTCTACACCAAAGTCGATGGCTATGTTGATGGAGCTATTGATCAAAGCCTGGAAAAGAAAATCCAGGACGCGTTGCAAGGTATGGTTGGTGGAGAGGAAAAGACTGAGACTAAGACTGAGACCAAGGCTGAGATCCAGGACCACTCTGTGTCCGAGTTTCCCGCTGCCAAAACAGAAAATGCCGCCGAATCCAAACCCTCGAATGAGCCTCTCGCTGATACCAAGCCTGAACCCTCCGCTGACGTATCCATGACAGAGTAGATGCGCTGTTCCGGAGCAAGTGTCGTTGATAGCCAGCCGCAATCACCGGTATATATAAACCGGGATATGGGTTCTGAGTTTTCCGCGATCAACTTTTCCGCAGTCTGCGGTTTACCACAAGCTCTACATCTTGGGTGCAGAGAGAATGGGGGTCACCGCTGTAGCATACGCGTGTGTAAAGCAGGATATGGACTCAAAATGGCAGTCCAAGCGAGTGCAATCACGGTACTTTGGCAATGCTTATGGACTGGTATTTCTCAGATGTGTTCGTTGCATTAAGCCACCTGGGTCACCCACCACCAGACCACATCCCGATCTCTCCGTCAAAGGGAGTCTATTCAAGACCCTCTCTCGTGTAAAGATGGGCCATACACATGCCGCATATCATGCTCGCTGTTACATGGACCACGCCCTTCATTACCGCTGCTGTGCTCACTATTTCCTGCGATGCGAGGTTAGTTCAGGTTGGGGCAGGGGACATGGATATAACTTGTAATGTATTTGTAATGAAGAATGAACGATCTGAGTCCAGTGCTGCGATCATGCCATAGTGACAATACAGTAGCTTTGTACTTGTACTCGTTCTATTACTGTATTATCTCATAAGCAGCGCTCCTTTGCCTCTCTCAATCTTTCAACCGGGCTACAGGGGGCCAGAGGTTATGACAAGCTGTGATTTTCCATCTCCGGGGCATAGCTGCAATTCCTGCGAAACAAAATACGTACCAAAGAATACACTTGCGGTCCGACTTTTCTGATCTGTATGTATAATAATTCTACTGTACGCCCTGAAAGACTGGGACGCTGTTCATTGAGCCCACCTGTCATTTACGTCATACCATACTTCTGTCAACTAGATCACAACTTAACCATCAACTACAAAGTACTGCAATCACATATATTGTACTCATCAACACGCCCATAAAATCATACAAATTTGTTTCCCGTCTACAGTATTTTTTTGCCGCACATCATCCCCCTCTCAGATAAAGACGTCATATATAAACACAATGTGTGTATCCTGACGTTTAACTTTGCGTGTTTAGGATAAGAGAGTACTGTAGATAGCTCAAAAGAGGTGGAACATAGGTTACGAGTACTCGATGAAATTTATACCGGATCGTAACCTTTAATACCACTTTTAACAGCCCTTGACCAACTCTTGTATCAGATTTACACCCGTACAATATATGCCTCTCATGTTCATTCCTGAACTCTATCGCACTGATAGTGTCCCAATTGGGTCATGTCTCGAAAGTATAATGGCTCATATGCATGATCTATGACGCCGTCTTATCAAGCCACTGTTGTGACTCCTTCTACATCACCACACTTCACACACAACATCAAAATGAAGTTTCTCTCTCTGGCTGCCGCAGCCTCTCTGGCGACTGCCGCCTTCATTCCCGAACAGAACCCCATGGCTCTTCTCAAGGAAAAGCCCCTGGTGACTTCGGAAGAGCTGCAGAAACACATTTCCGAGAAAGGCCTCAGACACCGAGCGGAGCACCTATTCAAGCTGGCGGAGAAGTCCGAAAACGAGTTTGGTCACCCCACCCGAGTGATTGGCTCCGAGGGACACAGAAAGACCCTCAAGTACATCATCGACAGTCTCAAGAAGTTCAACTACTACCATCTTAGCATGCAGCCCTTCGATGCTGTTGCTGGTAACGTTTTGGAGAGCAAACTGGTCATTGGAGGCGAGGTGCCCAAGTCAAGTGCCCCGTTCTCTCTGACTCCCGGAACCCCCGATCGAGAGCCTGTCTACGGAAATATCACGGTTGCTCTCAACGAGGGCTGTGATGTGAACGACTTTGAGAACGTCAAGGGCACCATTGTTCTTGTTCGACGAGGAACTTGTCCCTTTGGCGACAAGAGTGCCAATGCTGGAAAGCGAGGAGCCATTGCTTGTGTGATTTACGACTCTGAGCCCGGAGACAACACTGTGTCAGGTACTCTTGGAGAGCCCAACGAGCACCATGTCGCCACCTTTGGTATTTCCAACAACGATGGAGTCAAGTACATTGAGGATCTGGCCAACAAGGGTCATCTTGAGGGCTCAGCTTACGTGGATGGTTACGTCAAGACCGTCAAGACCTATAACATTCTTGCTGAAACCATTGAGGGTGATCCTGAGAACGTGGTTTGTCTCGGAGCCCATTCTGACTCTGTCACTGAGGGCCCTGGTATTAACGATGATGGATCTGGAACTATCTCTCTGCTTGAGACCGCTATTGCTCTGACCAACTTCAAGGTCAAGAACAAGGTGCGATTTGCTTGGTGGGCTGCTGAGGAGGAGGGGCTTCTCGGTTCTAACTATTACGCCAACAACCTGACACCCGAGGAGAACCAGCAGATCCGATTGTTCATGGACTACGATATGATGGCCTCTCCCAACTATGCGTACCAGATCTACGATGCCAACAACAAGGAGAACCCCGAGGGCTCCGAGGAGCTGAAGCAGCTGTATATTGACTTCTACGAACGTGAGGGTCTCAACTACACGTTTATTCCCTTTGATGGTCGATCTGACTACGTGGGGTTCATTGATAACGGTATTCCCGGAGGAGGAATCGCTACTGGAGCTGAGGGAGTCAAGACCGATGAGGAAGTGGAGCAGTTTGGAGGTAAGGCTGGCGACTGGTACGACCCCTGCTACCACCAGCTCTGTGACGATCTGAGCAACCCTTCGTACGAGGCATGGCTGGTCAACACCAAGCTCATTGCCCATTCTGTGGGTGTTTACGCCGAGTCTTTCAAGGGCTTCCCTAAGCGAAAGGAGGTCAAGAAGGACACTGTCAAGGTGGAGGGTATGACCCCCAAGTACAAGTACAAGGGCCATTCTTTGGTTTACTAATCAACACCAGATATAACATATAAACAGGGGATGTATATATTAACGAATGATGATTTTGATACGAGAATACTGGGCTGTACTTCTACTGGTTCAAAATACGAGCTGCATTCTTTAGCCTTCCCTTTTATCCCTGTGCATACCAGCCCGATTCCACCATTGCTTTACAGGTGCTTGTACTTGTACTTGTATTGGGGCATCAGAGAAATTAAAATGCCATAGAATAGAGAAGAACCAGCCTCCAGTTATATCCGACAGAAAAATACGGCCGTTCTGGGGCATCTACTACACACATCTGTCTCCTAGAATATTCTCCAGTATTCCACTGTGATCCGTGAAAGATTTTCTGCCCATTCCGGAACTTTAATATGTACGTGATCTGAACTTTGGTAGGGGCACACTACGTGAATAATAGGTCGATTCGAGTGGAAAAAAGGCTGAAAAACACAGAAAACATGATGAATTTTACATGGTGATACTTTTTCTCTCGACTGGGTCACTTCTTCACCTGTCATAATACATCACTGGGCTCTCTTCTCGAATTCATGCACGCGACACTTGGGGCCAACTCAAAAACGCGACTTGCATACGACAGGCAATTTGTTTGCCACTTCCAGCCATTTTCCAAACCTAGTTTAGACACCAGAAGAATATATAAAGCCCCTCTAGTCCCTCTCTAGAACAGCAGAAGCGACCGATCTCTGGGCAGCTCGCACCTGCAAAGAATCTGGTAACTTCTGTGAGACGGACGGAAGGTGTGGTATAGCCCGCTGAAAAGCTGGAGCTGAGAAGCAAACCTATCCTCTCACAACTACATGCTACGATGGACTGATCCATGAAGGTGTCATACACGCGGCTTCGCTAGCCAGACCACCGAGACAGTCCGCTTGAGTTTGGGTCGCTCCCAGGGGTTTTAAATGTACCCTGCATGAAAATCACATCTACTGTGGGTGAAAGATTCCCACGTTGAGTCCCGGTAAAGAGCCACGGTCACGACACCCCCCAGGCAATGACGCACTGAAAAACGTGTATGAGTTTGGACGAGAGTGCGTGTATGTGCGAGAGCTTCGTGATGTGAAAACCTAGCGAGTACATATTGCCGCCTGAGCCAAGAGTCATACCTTTGAGAAATTTAAGGATGGACGCGCCATGAGCTGAAACACGCCATGAGCAAAGAGCTAGCCTGTTGATTCAGTGCAGCCGCCAGAGCAAAGAGCCAGCCAGCTGAGCAAGCTGCAGAGCCACCGACTTCGACAAGAGCCGCCTAGTTTACCTACCTGAGCAAAGTTGCCCGAGCCATCGATGCCAGCGCCGCCCCAAAGAGCCAACTGTCGAGAGACGGCCAGGTACAAGCCGAGAAGCTGCCGCGAGCAAGCTGAGACGCGCTAGAGCAAAGATCTGCACTGACAGACGCCACTTTGAGAAAAAGTGGTCAAAAGAGCCTCTGCCATAAGCCAGGATAGAGCTGTGAGTCCGAGCCATTGACGCCAGAACCATGGCCACCAAAGTGCAGAGCAGATTGCAACGCCAGAGCCAAGAGTCCGAGCCATAGACGCCAGAACTAGAGCCAGAGCATACAGGAGCCAGAGTGAAGAGCCGGTAAGTCCCACGAGGCAATAAGTGCCAAAAACCAGAGTGCCCTCAAAGAACTAAGAGCAAAGAGCCAGTAAGTCCATGAAGCAATAAGTGCCAAACGCCTAGTTTTTTTTCCTTTCGTTTCTTTCATCCAGTCAGAGCAAAGAGCCAGTGAGTCCGAAGAGCAATAAGTGCCAAACGCCAAATTCTGTGAGCCGGAGCAAGAGCCAGTGAGTCCCATCGAGGCATTAAGAGCCAAACGCCCGTGCTATTTGATTGATTGATACGCGGAGCAAAGAGCCAGTAAGTGCATAGTTCCAATAAGTGCCAAACGCCCGCGAGACATGGAACAATGTGAGCCAGAGCTGATACAGAGCCAGAGCCCTTGGCTAGGAGCCAGAGCCACAGACCAGAGCCATAACATTGTCACCGTGAAAATGTTGCAAATGTCGAACAACACACGACTCAGATGTGTTTTTGAGGATGTAAGCAGTTGAACCTCTGAGACGAGGATGTAGGCTGACTGAACCTCAATATCTAGTTGAAGGGGATTAGGCCATGGGCCGAACCTCTTGGGTTAATAAATCTTGGACCAATGAGTCCCACCCGATATTGAAATTGTAGTATGAGTTGTATTTTGTAATTGTAGTGTTAGAAACTTGTAGCTACTACCGGTGCCGGTACTTGCTTGCTTGTAGCAATAATTGATTTGGTGGACGAGAGAATACGCATATTGAGTAACACAAATTCTCCATTGTTATTTCAACTACAAGTACTCGTATTTACCCTACCGAGTAAGTACTTTGACAGCTACATACTTGATTAACAGATTTACCAGAATATTTACATTTTTTTAAACAGTGTCTTCCAAGCACCTTATCCTCCTGAAGTTCATCATCATCACCAAGACCACTCACGAAAGAGTGACCTAATACAATTAATTCCCTTATGCATGCATAACTTCCTCCTTATGCTTCTTCTCGTGGTTCAGTGAGCTGGGCAGGTACCACAGATCGTTGCCTCGAACATATCTGAGCCCATCCTGGGCCAGTCCCAGAGCCAGACCAGCCGCAGCTCCTCGTCGAAGAGTGTTAAAAGTCTGCTGCTTAGACAGCCGATACCACAGGGAGTAGACCGATCCTGCGGCTATGGTTGCTGCCAGGGTGTTGAAGAAATCAATGGTTCCTCTGGCATGATCAAGGTAGGCCTCCAGACCAAAAAATGCAATACCACAGGTAGTCATTGTAGCGGCATACTTGAAGCCCAGAGCCATTCCACCGGACAGAACGTGATAGTTTTTGTTCTTGTGGTAGTAGTACCATCCCTGAACCGTTTTGGGCATTCTGTGCGAATTTTCTGCCAGAAATCGGAGAGCATTACGCTTGTATCCAGTGTAGAATCCTGACAGAAAGCCAAAGGACGTGGTGGCGATGACCACAGACAGAATCCGGGCCTCAGGCTTTGTGTTGAATCGCTGGGTCGAATCCTGCTGTTTGTACGAGAGCATGTCTCTGACAGCCTGTTGCGATTTTTCGGCCCGTTCCTCCCGCTCAGCTCTCTCCTCCTGCTCCCTTGTTTGTGGTTGTTGCGTCTGTTTCTGTGTGTTAGGCGCTTGCTGGTTCACGGCCACCCTGGCGGTCTGTTCTGTCTCCACATCCGCAGGTTTGTCCTCTTTTTTATTCCACCACATCGTTTTGTTGTGCCTTGTGATTCAGGTCCTGATGAATTTGGAGATGCAGTGGGATGTTGAAACTTTAATTTATGGTCACGAAAAATGGATAAAAGAGGGATATATGATACTTTAGACGTGCAAGTAGGGATTTGTTGACGTTATTAAACAAAAAACAAGGGAATATATAAATCAACCCCAATTATTCTTACGAACACAATTGCCTGTGGAAATACTTGTTCTAGGGTTTTTTTTTTTTTTTTTTTTTTGTTTTTGGCACACTTGCTTCAGTGTTGGGCATGTTCGTTTGGGTGTGTGCAGGTGCATGTGAGAACGAGTCAAGTGTGAAGAGAACAGAAAGAAGCAGCCAATCAGGGCGAGAAAGTCTGGTAGTCACAAGTAAAAGTACTTGTGTTAGCAAAAACACATCGGTAAACCCTCTATCTGTCATAGAATGACGTTCGTGCAACTACTATACGTACTGTACAGTATTTCGTGTGTAATTGCCTATTTTTAGGCCTCAACAAACACCCTAACAACGCCCAACTAATGCTTAACATCTACAACTAGCAAGTAACGAGATGCCATAGAAAGGCTCCGGGACGCCGCAGCCACGCATCTATGGAAACAAGAAAACCACATTGCCAAGACCAACCAGTTATCGTAGCCAAAATCAGTCACCGAAACCACAAATTAATTGACGTGATATAGCCCCCGCTAAACGTTCCTTCTAGTATATAAACATGCCTTGTCGCCACCAAGTGCCTTGTCCCAATCCATCCCCCACATAACTCAATTGCGCATAATCGCATGTCGTCTATATCTTCGTCCCAGCAGCCCAACTTCAAAAGCATACTGCAGTACAACGCTCGGCAAGAAATGATCTACTGGATGGCTTTCGTGGCCTGCCTAGGTACCCTACAGTTCGGCTACCATGTGGCAGAGCTCAATGCGCCTCTAGACGTTATCATTTGTCACGACGCTGTCACAGACTGCATTGACCTCCATCCCCGGGACGTTGGTTACGTCACGGCGGCATTTTCTGTTGGAGGACTCATTTCAGCTCTGTTGGCAGGAATGGCAGCTTCCAAATACGGCCCCAAGAAGGTCTCTTTGTTCAACACGCTCTCGTTCATTGCAGGCCCTCTGTTCATGGCCAATGCTACAAACACCAATACTCTGGCCTTTGGACGGTTTGTTTCGGGTCTCGGAGCAGGAGCTGCCATCGTGGTGACCCCACTATTTCTCAACGAAATTGCGCCCCATAATCTCAGAGGCATGTTTGGAGCTCTCAGCCAGATTTCCGTTAACGTGGGCATTGTTGCCGCTCAGGTTGCTGGTCTCATCATCTCACAGTCCTGGAGATACATTCTCATCATTGGCTTTTTCCTGGGTCTCATCAACTTGGCGAGCTTGGCATTCATTCCCGAGTCGCCCAAATGGCTCGTCTCAAAGAATAGAGCCACAGAAGCTACTGCTATTCTAGCCAGACTCCGTGACAATCGAGCCACAGCTGCCAGAGAAGTCGAAGAGTGGCAGAAGGAGCTTCAGAGCGTCATGTTTGAAAGTGACCAGCTCATGGCTCCTGCTTCTGCTGCTTCTGCCAACCACATCGAGCCAGTTTCTCTGTCGGCTTTCCTGACCAGAAAGCCTTACAGAAAGCCCCTTTTGGCGATCCTCATTATCATGACAGCCCAGCAACTGTGTGGAATCAACTCCATAATATTCTACGGCGTGTCAATCCTGGGCCAGATCATCCCCAAGTACTCGACTCTGGTGAATGTGTTCATCTCCGTGCTTGGAACCGTGGTGACGGTGGGTGCCTCAAGATTCATTGATGTGCTCGGAAGAAAGAGATTGCTACTCTACTCTATTTTCGGCATGTCTGTCAGTGCAGCACTGGTGGCCACAGGTATCATCAACTCTTGGCCCATTGTTTCTTCATTGTCAGCTGCACTGTTTGTCGTCTCGTTTGCCATCGGACTGGGACCCATTCCCTTCCTCATGGTATCGGAGATGGTGGAGCCCAACTGTGTGGGAGTGGGCCAGTCTGTGGGCATGACATCCAACTGGATTGTCACCTTTGCGGTGGGCTACTTCTTCCCTATGGTGAACGCCCGTCTAGGCGGAGCTACCTTTTATTTATTCAGTGTGTTTGGCATTGCCTACCTGACGCTGGTGGTCAAGTTTGTTCCTGAAACCAAAGGCAAGCGAAATTTTACCGAGGTTTGGACCATGTAGGAATGTCCACTATAACATTTATTTAAGAGATACGAGATATGACTTACAAGTACTGTAGGTAGCTACGTAGTCGAGTTTTTAGTCAGCATCTACTTGTACCTCGCACTTAGGTGTACTCCCAACTGGGTGCATATTGCCTACTTCTACACTGTTCTCATCGTAATAATTAGGTGTAGCTCATAGGGTTAGCCCTATATTTAATCACGTGTTATCTAAATAGAGTTGTCCCAATGCGTAACACCCTCTCAGGCTACTTTGAATTTCACCATCACGACTTTTCTCGCCATACACAACAATAATGTCACAGTCTGCTGCTGCCTACGGTGAGTGCTAACGAACTGCGGAACCGACGGATTTTGATTTTGAGAGTGCGATTTGCCGACTACGATTTTTACGACCACAGAAGAATTTTGACCGATTTTGACCGATTATGATGACGACCGGAATGAGCGACCTATTACTATAATGTGATGTGATATCCGACGAAGTGCAATCTAGCGAAAAGGACAACTGACGGATCTGTGATATCTGGGTGTGTTTCGTTGGAATGCACAGCTGACGGATCTGTGATATCTGGATGTTTTTTTTTCTCGATGGATCAGGTCATGTGTGATGAATCACTTTCGATAATTTAGGTCCTTTTCGTTGTCCGGCAAGAGTCAATCTCAAAATCAAATCAGAATTATTCGAATCATGCGAATCAATCCTTGAATACTTACTAACTTAGCCGCCCTCATTCTCGCTGACGCCGAGGTCGAGATCACCGCCGACAAGCTCAACACCATCCTCTCTGAGGCCGGTGTTGAGGGTCTTGAGCCCATCTGGGTTGACCTGTTCGCCAAGGCCGTCGCCAAGAAGGACCTGAACGAGCTGCTCACCGCTTTCAACGTCGGTTCCGCCCCTGCCGGTGCCGTTGCTGCTGCCGGTGGTGCCGCCACTGCTTCCGGTGACGCCGCCGCTGAGGAGGAGAAGGTTGAGGAGAAGGAGGAGTCCGATGATGACATGGGCTTCGGTCTCTTCGACTAAGTGTAAATTACCTAAAAAGCGTAAAATTACAATAAAATTATTCTCTGTGTTTTTAGAATGTGAGAGGGGTGCCGTAGATGTGATAGAGGAGTGTATCTCAGTTCGACTTCTGTGTTCTTGATACCTTCATGCCCTGACCGATGTAAGCTTCAGTTCCTCGTTCTGAGATCATTTAGACTGACAAGAAGAACATTCGTTCGTGATCGTACTGCATGTACTGTATGCTTTGTACCAAGAATCTTCAATGAAAGATGGAGAGCAACAGGTTTCAAATCCTCAGTTCTGAGGTTGCAATGAGTGCATCTTTGGTACACTAAAAGTACAATACCCTATATTACTTGTGAATTACTTACGAAAAAATATGGAGATGCAAATTCGATGTTTTAAAAAAGATATACATAGAATGTAGAGCATCAAGAGAAGTTCTCGTTTGATATATACACACTCGTACAAGACTCTATATGGCTGGCTGAAATTAATACTTGTCCATTTGTCATCTCGTACCATTTTGATCTAACGCAACAGGAAAGGTCTTGTCTGTCATACTCCGACACTTGAGGCAACAAGTAACAGGTTTCAAGCGTTCAGATAGGAGGATTGTGATCATATCATACAGTACAAGTACTGTACTTATCATTTATTCCTAATCAAAAACGTATCTACCGAACTCTCGCCCTTGAGCACACCGTTCCATCCCTGTTAATGAAATTACACCGATGGAGGTGTTCTATACGGCGGTGGAGGTTCATTGTGTAGTATGCACTTGTGGTCAATACTGAATAGGCCCCGCAAGGAAATTAGTAAGGATTATCTATTATGCTACTGCTATACACTTATACAATACAAATGGTTTGGACGAAACAGACGAGGTCTGTTACTGTACCTGTATTTTACATTCAGTTGATACATGGCTCGTTGGCATTCACCCCCAAAGCCGAGCTTGTTATCATAAATAAATAAAATACATTCTAAAGGTGTTGGTTAGTTGCCGATATTGGTGGTCGGTTTGGAAGACGGTCGGTGTTGTCCACAATTGATAGCTGCCAGTGTCACAGAAACACTACAAGACCGTAAAAGGAGGTTACGAGGAAAGCCATCCACTCATAGATATACGCCCACGACCACAAACTGTCTGTGTAGAGCTTTGAGTAGATTTTGTCGAGTTCCTCATTGTCACTCGTGAACCGCTGTCTTTTCCCCGTCAGCTGTCTATTGGCTTCCAGCTGCACCTTGAGCGCCTCCATAAGTTTTTTGGGCTTCTTCACGCTGATGGTATCTCTGTCTCCGTTAGCGCAAAGAGCCGTGTACGCGTAGTTGGCTTCACCACACTTGCCAGCAATCAGTGCTTGTGTCACAAACTCCGCCAGTGTCGCGACACCAACATAATTGTCGTGCGAGAAGTGTTCTTGTCTGTCAATGTAAATACCGCATCTCCGCGCTGCTAGTATTCTAACGGAATCATCAAAGTCCACCGACTTGCCTCTGTACTCCACATACTTGTCTCCTCCTCCAAGGAGAGGCACTCTTCCGTACATGAAGTCCTGCAGACTCACCAGTTCTCGGTTGAACTTATCGGATTTGGCGCTGACAAGAGCTGTGAGGCAGAGAATGATGATTATAGCCAGTCTCATCTTAGACCGAGAGGTGACGAGTGTGCTGGTCGTGGAAGATACCGTTGATGCTCTTCGAAACTCTCTTATAAATAGTACATAAAGTAGCTATTTGCTGTTTAGTGTGACTTTGATAATGATGTAAGTCCAGTGCTTGAAGAAGTCACGTGATTATATAGATTTACATCACACACTTAAGAGACCAGTTACTGATGAATTCTAGAGTTGATAGCAAATGCTTTTCTTCATGTCTCAATGATGAGTGACTCTCTACAAGTAGTCACACTTACTCTAACATGGCATGCACTCTTGTCGATTAAGTTGTGATAACAGAATCAAAACAACACACGACTTGACACTACACACAAAACCCCTACACATATCTCACAATGCCCAAAGTGGAGATCAAAGAAGTCGAAGGCGACACAATCGAGCTCGATGGAATGAAGATCCCGTTGAGAATGCCCACCAGGGGACCTTCAGGACCCACTCTCATGGACCAAATCGACTCTCTTAAGCAGAAGCAGACAGAAAAGGAGGCGAAGGCCCAAGGAAGGCCCATCCCCGTCTATAAACCGCAACCACCTCGAACCACGAAGGAGGGCAAGCCACTTCGATACAGGAAAGTGGCTGTACGAACCCAAGACGATGTGTACGACGATGACGCCGAAGATGAAGATGAAGAAGACACAGGGATCCCCACAGACTCGAAATGGTTCGAGTTTCTCGACTTTTGCATGTATCTGATTCCCTTGATGAGCGTACACTTGGTTCTGGACGTGTTAGTACAAAAGCAGTACGGAGGCGGAGACCTGGATCCTGCTCTGTATGGGCAACCCTTCCCCAAACGAGGAGACCTTGATTCCCACAGCATCCAGATTAGGCGCCAAGAGCTGTCCACAATCATTCAGGCTGCAAAGCGGTCCCTTACCTCTATACCTGTTCTGGCTGGTCTGCATGCATTTTGTGCTCCTTATGTGAATGCCATCAGTAAGCTGCAGCGGGGTCAGGTCGAGGATGACCGGCAACTCCCTCGGGGCATTCGGGTGTTCCGAGTGGTCACATTTGCTGCATCCATCGCGATTGGGTGCTACATTCTCTATGCTGCCAACGAGCAGGGCTACATGGCTGTAATGAAACGGGCTCCTCCTCTTGGCACTCTGTGGGTATGGCTCATTGTGGAAATGGAATGGAACTGGGGTGCTCTTTCGCTCGTGGTAGTTTGCATGTGGTCTTATATGAGAGGTTATCTTAGTTGATGACAATGGTGACAATGGTATGTACAGTATGTACTTGTATATGATCTACCCAATACACGACGTCATGGAATGAACGTTTTTAGCCGTAGCTACTTCCAGTATATATGATCCAGCTTCAGATCAGCAAATACTGCAACATGATCCTTTGAGACATCCGATCGAAAAACCTCTATTAACAGAAACCAATATACTTAATTAAGATGCATTTATAAGTGTTATGAAGGTACAGTAAATAATTACAAGTATGTACTCTTACTAAAGATACATGTCTCAATACTTGAGGCAGCATATGCTCCCACCATGCCTAATATCATGTCTGGCAGCATGTCTGTGTGTCCAACGAACTCCATTGCCTTAGCCCGCAACTCCCCTTGTCCCCTCTCGTCCTAAAAGTTCCCCCGCTCCTTCGTATATCACCCGATTATGTACGTCTGCGTCATGACCTGTTGTGGAGCAATGCAAATCGGAGTTACCTGAAAATGCGGTTAGATCTCGAAACTAAATCGTCTCACACACAATTGCGGCCCGCTATTTGCGCTCTTGCTGCCAAGTGACGTATTTTTGCAGGTCGTGCCGAGAAAGCGACAAATTCAATTCCAGCCCATATTTGCTGCGCCACTGTTTGATGAACACACGTTTATTGTTCACGCCAACCTTGTCTGAAAAAAATTCTGAAATATTCGTTATACCTAATATGGTTCCATTAGAAGGAACCTTGAATCCAATAGCCGAAAGGGGAATATGACAAATTGGTGTATGTTCGAAATGTAACCCAGCCGCAATTGCGCTACGGCGAGGAAGAACTACAGGCTGTTAATTTCAGTGTAAGTATATATCATAATTCATTAATCTATCGTTCGTTAGCTTTTGGTTAGGGTCGTTAGTAGTTCTGAGCAAAGGAATAGCTGGGCAGAGAAGCCGTGAAGGGCTGCTGCTTGGCCTGGGTTATTCGCTGGGGAATGGCAATGGGAGCCACAGGAGCAGAATCGCTCTCAAAGTCGGAATCGGAGTCAGAGTCGGAATCGTCGTTAGGAGAAGACCACTCGGGAGCCTCGTCGTCAAGAGAGGTTCGAGCGGGAACAGCAGCAGCAGCGGCGGCGGCAGCCTGAGCCATGAAAGAGTCGTAAGAAGGAGCAGAGTCGTTGGCAAAGTCGTTCTCAAACACCGTGTTCTTGAGCCGAGGGTACTCGCACAGCAGGAAGTCATCGTAGTCAAACGAGGCTCGGCTGGAAGCGGCACTCAGCTGAGCGGCGAAGTAGTCGTCCTTGGCCCGGGACAGCACCAGAGGGGTGGAAATAGAGACGTCAAAGTATCGTCGCTTCTTATGGTTAGGCTTGTCAGTGGGAGCCAGGTATGAGAATCGCAGAGAAGTGAACAGCTTGTGCACCACATGCAGAGGATGAGTGTAAGAGGTAGATGCAGATAGCTTCTGAATGGCTCTGGCATCCAGCTTGAGAGTGTACTCGAGCTCGGTCTCCTCGGATCCGGGAATAAGCAGGTTGCCCTTGTGAGTGGAATCCAGGAAGGTGGTCTCGACATCAAAGCCTTGTTCTCGAGCGTTGTTGAGCTCCATCTCGTCGAGTTCTGCAAGGTCAGAAGTCATATGTCGGCTGGAGTAGTCGTTCAAAAGATCGGTCTGCTGCTTATCCTTGGCATTGGAGTTACAGGTCTGAGAAACAGCAAATTTGACGGAGTTTAGTCGAATGGGCTTCTCAAACAGAGTGGTGGTGAGCTTGATGGGGATCTCCATTCCCTCCTGCAGAGAAATGTGTCTCTGGGGGTAGGAGACCGAATACTTCAGCTTGTTGAGCCAGGGAACAGAGGCGGAGACGGGAAGAATGGTCTGGGCGTCAGTCTGGGTGTTTCGAGCCATCATAATTTCCTCGGAGTAGTCCAAGGGACCAGCCGTGGAGAAGAAAGACTTGGTTCGAGAAACCTGGGTATCCAGAGTATACCACAGTCTGCTGGACTTGTGGGATGCGGTTTCGGGTAATCTAGCAGGCAGAGTGCACTTGAGGGCGTAGTGATGCGTGGAGGGTTCGATAGTGATGGGAGTGGCAAGGTCGGAGATGGTTCCCTCGGTGGGCTCGGTTCGGCCAGAGAGAAGATCCCATTGAGCCACAACCTCGTCGGTCTGGGTCAGGCCAGGCTCGATCACATGACGGGTCAGAGTGGTTGTCATCTTCTTGACTCGGGTACTCTTGGTGTACTTGACGGTAACAGTTGGGGTAAAGTCAATGGTGAGTGCCAACTGCTCGTTGACAGCTTCCTCGAACGATGGTAACGAAGGGTCGATGGTAGTTGCGGTTGTGGAAGTGGAGTTGTTGGATGACGATGTGAGGGTGGAAGCTCGAGACCGGGTGCTGGTAGCAATTGAGGGGGCTACCGACGAGGTGGTGCTCCGGCTGGGTTGTAATTGATCATCGTATTCTTCACAGGGCATATGGGGGAGATCCAGATGGGTCTCCTGGTAGGAGATGTTGATGGACATGTTGGTTAGTTGGTTAGTAAGTAATCTTGGTGGGATGCACCCACTGCGCACCCCTACTGTATATATATCTGTCACTCTTTCTGTGTTAGATGGTCCAGCCAAAAAATGCAGGGTCCATAAGTCGGATTAGGTTTCAGGTAATGGTGATTGCATTTTTGTCAGACGTGCATAACAAGGAGATTTCTCAAATAAGGTGCAGTCAGTGCATTCGGTTAGACTTGGCGGAGAGCAAAGCGTGACTTGAGCGAGAGGGCAAAAAAAAAAAAAAGCACAAAGTGTATTAAAGTAGGGTTCGCAACAGATCAGGTGCGGGAATACACGAGTTTGTAAGGGAGGCAGTTACCAGCGTACCATAGGTCAACGCTACACGACGTAGTGGATGCGAAGTCTTCAGGGCGTGCCAGCCAACGTGCCAATCATCGATATGTGCGTCACACATACATTTATTTCGTCCAGTAGTACCTCACGGAGTCCGACCACGTGCATCCCACACGCAAAGATGACCGCTGCGTGTCCACAGCCTCACAGCAATACCGTTTCAGGATTTTTTTTGGTTCCGATCAAGCGGATGAGAAACGGTACCTGTGACCAGTTTGATCCGCTAGAAACCAAAACAATGTGGGGCAGTGCGAATGACCAGCATGCTATCCCGAAAACACAGGTGTGAGTCACCTGGAAGTGTACCTTGATTCTTTGTGCAGAAGATGGGACAACCGCATCCATTGTGGGTCTTCTAGATGCGGTGTATTCGTTGTCACACCACACAGTGGAGCAAGTCGCCACTATTGATGGTGCTAATGTTTTAGGTGCTCGTACTTGTACTGGTAGTGTGAGGTATATCCCGGCCACGACACAAGTGTTCTCAGCTCCCCATTGTGCTCATGGCGTGAGTTCATCGGGCCGGCTGGTGACACACGAAGGATCCGAGCATCATACCGCGCTCATCTCCGTCCCGAATTTCTCTGATTAATGTTTTTTTCATTTTCCCTTCCTTTTTTCTTGTCTCCCTTTCAGTTTGCAGCCACCATAGCCACGACCCGTTGAACTCTGTTCCATACGCCTCCACACAAAGCCCCAAATCCCGGGCGCCAAGCCGAAGCTCTTTTTTCTCTCGATAAATATGCCTCGATTGAGACCCACACGAGTAATCAAACCCCGCTGTCAAATTCACATAAAACGAGGGGTATGATGGTGCTTCAGCCGTATTATTAGTGCGCACGTGGCCCCCCACATTTTCTCATGATACATGTCGATACATTGTAACATCCTTGCTTGCTCTGTATAGAATTTTGCGCGTCTTAGATGTATCAAGTCCTATTTTTCACACAATACAGCTTGAATTTTCGTCCTAGCAAAAAGTCGCAGTTTTAATGTTTCGGCTTAAAAAACCTGCCTGAATTTGCTCTAATAATGATGTAAAAAGTTGAGCAAGGTTTGTGACGGTCTAAAACTCCGATACAAATCCGAAAACACGTCGACGGAGCACTACAGTAATTATGTGCGGTACAAAAAATTGTACCGCCATGTACTTGTATCGTACTACCCCTAGCGTAGCCGAGGCATAGTAGAGCACTATGCCTGCAGCAATATATGATAGTATAGAACCATAACGTGGCGCGCTTGTAATACTACACAGCAAGTTGCAACTGATCTCTGTATGTAAATATTACATAATACTGTATCGTACTCCCTTTGACCTCCTGAATATGCATTGGAGACACAGGTTCAAGAATCCCCGGAAAGCTCAATTAAGAGATTACCCCAATATTTTCAACTGCCATGCCAACTTGTCAACTCCACATGCGTCCATTTTTGCCACCGCCGCCTAATTCGGAGATGTACAGTGTCTCACTGGGCTTCTTTTAGCTGGGGTTTCTAAGCCAGAATCATGCAACTGGGTGCCTGAAAGTCTAGTTCATCCGCTCGGTGGAAACGTGCTGGAAGCTACTGTATTGTACGTCGGAATGTGCTCAGTTGTACGCACACCGTGGAGGTAACTATGCCAAGCGTAGTAACTAAACCAAAGTAATTTAGATACCTACAAGTATGAGTATTTGTACTGTATTAATGGATACTAAGAGACTTGATGTAATTACGGATATATCACGACACAGATGAGTGTGAAAGCAGACAGTGCATCACATTGGGTACCCCCACCACCTCCGCTCCACGTTCGGAAGTGTTATCGCATCGGACTCCGCTGTCTCACAGGCCTGTCAATCAGAATATGCTCGTTCTGTTTCCCTTGTTGGTTATACTAGTTTTTTTTATCAGATTCGGACTCCGACGCGGCTAATTTGTTTTGGAACAACCTCCGAGGTTAGGGTTGGTCACTCCCCAAACTGACATTGCATCTAATAAGATTGCTGGCGTCACCCATGTGTCTTCGTGTATGAAAAAATTCTCCTACACCAACTCTAAACACCTCGGTACCTTGTGGGTGAACCGCCTGTGTATGTATACGTGGAAACTGTGGTGGCTAAAATGAGGCGACAATGCCACACCGTTGGGTTGAAGGAGTAGGCTTCTTCTCAAGGTGGACTTGGACCTGTCACACAAATGTCGCACTAAGCAAGGAAATAAGGCTTAGTCACTAGTACAGGTCCAACAGCAATGGTTGCACTACGTAGCTGCCATCAAACCCATAGCTACCACTTACGACAACACGTTTTTCATGCCCCTGGCCAATGTTACCTCGTTAGCAACGGCTATCGAACTACACGCGTCAACCCGGCGTATATGCTGTATGAATGCAGGTGGAGACTACTGGTATGTATTTTTAGCGACTTTGCTTTTTGTCGCTGTAACCCTGGGCGGTGAAAGAGAAAGCTATGGACTGGAAATAGACCTTCCTCGTTGAGCTATTTCCTTTTCGGGGCATGGTTGGAGTTAGCCGCAAGAGCATCGAGCTGGACAGGCAGTCTCTGGGTCCATAAGTAGCAATTTATAGAGTGGTGGGGGTGGAGATGGGGAAGTTGGGCATGTGAACAGTATGTACAGTGTATGTAGGAGTGCGAATACTTGTAGATTCTCTTCAATTATATCAATTATATCAATGCACTCAGAAGCTGGAGGTAAGCTGTGTATAATGTGTGAGATGTGTTTCAACCTTTCGATGTCAACATGGTTCGTGCTATTGTGGTGAATGGAGGCTGAGTGAGTTCCTACACGACTACATCCATTACGTTGGAAAACCGCTCATCATAACACTGCTAACTTAGGCTGTGCTAACCTGGGCTAATTTGTTATTATAGGTGACAGATGATTCCAAGTATCGTGAATAAATGTTTTATTAAAATCCTCAAATGTGTTTTTCTTTGTTCCCCCTTTTCCACAGATATTCTCTATAATATGAATTGATATTCAGGATTTCCGAAATGAAAGCTAGAAATTATACTGGGCTTGGCAGATTATTCTGTCGGAAGGGGTAAAAACACACAGTTCAATCCCTGGATGTCTGAGAGGAGGTATTCCCGAGACGCTTTGACTCGAGAAACTGCGTAATTCACCACAGCCCTTTTTAACCCTAGAAACACGATATTGCCTCAGACTCAAGTTCGAGGAGAGCTAACATTCAGGGTGAGACGTTGTGGAGGCGGGGGAGTTGTCTCATGATACTTAGATGAGTTCCGAACGCCTTGAAATAGTCGGGTGACAACAGACAGAGTGGCCTCGATGCCAGAGTCAGCTGTCTTTCTGTGTCAGTCCAGAGGGGGTGCAGTATATACAGTTTGAGGGGCTACCCTGTGGTTCAATCCGGTGTATGGTGCTTTACAGGATGGCAGGGTTATGAGATTTAATGGCGGGGTAGAGAGGAATTGGCACTTGTTCGAGCTCATAAAGAACATTTGGGAATATGCAATTATCAAAATTCGTCAGGGATAAAGCGTGTGTGGGTGTTGGATCTCCATTGAAAGAGGCAATAAGGGACTGACAACAATCTTAGAACTGTTGCTTGGAGAGTATGTATTTGAATATACGCTCTACAGAAGGATGGTAAAATGAAATATTTTATTAAACAGCCGTAAACGGGGGCTGACACGATGAAGCAGGCATTTTGGACTTTTACTCAACTGGTCGAAAGCTGGCCGATAGAAGTTGATCTGAACTTCATTAATTGTGCACAAGTGCTCTCTTCTCTTCTTGGATTTGAGAGCTGAAAAGGCTCAAATAATGACTTTTAGTAAGCCTTCAACTACTGGTTCTTTTCTCCAGCAGTGGAAGAGATACCCCAGGAGTTATGGGTAGCATTGTCATCGCACACACAGTTGATCCTCATGGTTGCCAAGGAAGTTGAGAGTGTCTTTCACGTTGAAAGAGTTTTTACCATCATTAGAGTAAGTGCCATCGACTCTAGAGGCATGATTTTGCTCTTGATAGCCATTCCGAGGCTGGTAACCTGAGAATCCCTGTCTCGCACACTTGCTCTGCGACAAGGACGTCAGACGTCGCAATGGGATTTCGAATTTTGCTACTGAGAAAGTCATATTAGAAAAAAGATGTTCCATCCACAATGGCATTCAAAAGTAGGACTGCGAGCCCTCAACAGCTCTCTACTAAGTGATTTATTGGAAGCGGAATCCACATGTGTGTACATAGCCCTTCTCTGATGGATTCTAAGAAGTCTTGCATACCACCTGATTACAATTAAGAAAAATCTCCCCAGTCATCGGGGAAAACATCACAATGGTTTCTCATTTCACTTCCAGTGCTCCGTAACCGGCCCTCACCCAGCACCCTATATAGACTACTATTTAGCTTTCTGTAGCGATGACCTTCTCATGAAACACAACTGAACCACATATCAACAGATTACACCAATGTATACATGGGAGATGAAGATGGAATTACCTGTATCGTCCATATTTATCGTTTGAATACAATGTTTGGGTCAAAACGCGTCGCCTGGCACTAATTAAGGAGTCCCCTGCCCCTTGCCTTTTTCAAAGTGCCAAAGTAAACCTCACATAATACTTGAACAATTGATACTGTAACATAATTTCCACTCCAACATCTACCTCTAAATCAACCCCAGGTAACTCAATTTCTTTCAAAATATGTTCAAGTGTATTTTCAAGTGTATACGCACAAATTTTACTGCAATAGATGTCAAGGGATTGTCCGAATCGCCCACTTTATGGACATACCCTTCGTTAAGGGTCCACTTGAACAACCTCAAACAATTACTAAACTACGCACTGAGCTGCGCGCATATCTGAACATAACGTAATGTATTTTCCACGACCACAATCCATAATAAAAATAGTTACGTAAATAGAAATGGACAACAATTATGCCTTATTTGTCACATCAACCTGCTACAGTACCTCCACCACCCCTGGTTCGTAACACATCCACATTCTCAAACACACAATTATACACAACCCTAACCCTACACCCAATCTCAAGACACGTTGCGTCAACATCTACAGTTGGCAACATACCACAGAAATGACGTCTCTGAAATCGTTCATCAAGTCCGTGCGTGCGGCCAAGACGCTAGCAGAGGAGCGGTCGGTGATCCAGAAGGAGTCTGCCGCCATCCGAACATCGTTCCGAGAAAACTACGTCGACCCCAACATTCGAAAACAAAATGTGGCTAAGCTGTTGTATTTGTTCACCTTGGGTGAGCGAACACATTTCGGTCAGGTGGAGTGTCTGAAGCTGATTGCTAGCCCGCGCTTCAGTGAGAAACGTCTGGGATACCTCGGTACTATGCTGTTGCTGGATGAGAACCAGGAGACCCTGACTCTGGTGACCAACTCTCTGTCCAACGATCTCAACCACCCCAACCAATACGTTGTGGCTTTGGCCCTGACCACCTTGGCCAACATTGCATCCACCGAAATGGGCCGGGATCTGTTCCAGACCGTCGACAAGATCATGTCGTCCAGCAACCCCTACCTGAAGAAGAAGGCTGCCGTGTGTGCTGCTCGAATCAGCAGTCGAGTGCCTGAATTGGCAGAAATCTTCGTCGAGAAGGCCAAGATTCTGCTCACAGATAAGAACCACGGCGTGCTGCTGTGCGGACTCACTCTGGCCACTGACATTTGTGTCCAAGACGACGAGATTCTCGAGCAGTTCCGACCCGTCGTGCCGACTCTTGTCAAGCTGCTGCGCCAGCTGTGCACCTCGGCTTACGCTCCCGAGCACGACGTGACCGGAGTTACCGATCCGTTTTTGCAGGTCAAGATTCTTGGTCTGCTGCGTGTGCTGGGAGCTGGAGACGCGTCTGCCTCTGACGCCATGAACGACGTGCTTGCCCAGGTGGCATCCAACACCGACTCCGCCAAGAACGTCGGCTCCTCTGTGCTGTACGAGTGCGTGCGAACTATTTTCGCCGTCGAGGCAGACACCGGTCTGCGAGTGCTGGGTGTTAACATTCTTGGAAAGTTCTTAGCCACCACTGACAACAATACGCGGTACGTGGCGCTCAACACTCTGCTCACAGTCATCGACATCGAGCCCGCAGCCGTGCAGCGACACAGAAACACCATTGTCGAGTGTCTGCGTGACGCTGACGTGTCTATCCGACGACGAGCTTTGGCCGTGGCATACGCTCTCATCAACGAGAGCAACGTGCGAGTCATTGTTAGAGAGCTGCTGACATTCTTGGAGTCTGCAGACGCCGAGTTCAAACCCTCGGTCACCGCCCAGATCGCCATTGCTGCTGAAAAATACGCTCCTAATAAGCGATGGCATATTGACACTCTGGTCCGGGCTCTGGCTCTGGCTGGAAGTCACGTCCCAGAGAATGTGGTCTCTTCGTTCATTGCTCTGGTCGTCACCTGCGACGAGGAGCTACAGCTGTACACTGTCCAGAAGCTGTACTCAGCTCTGCGGGCCGATTTCACCCAGGAGGGTCTGTCCCTGGCCTCGCTGTGGCTGCTTGGAGAGTTTGGCCACATTCTTATTCGATCCGGCAACTTCTCGTCGGAAGATGGAGAGTCCCAGGAGGTATCCGAGGAGTCTGTTGTCACCATGATCGAGAACCTGCTCAAGTCTGCCTACGCCTCTGATGTTGTGCAAGAGTACGGAGTCAACGCCCTGGTTAAACTCAGCACCCGAATCAACAATGCTACACAAAAGGAGCGGGTGCGACGAATCCTGGAGTCGTACGCTTCCTCTCTCAATGTGGAGGTCCAGCAGCGATCTGCCGAGTATACAAAGCTTTTCTCCAACATGGGTGTGGCCAAGGGTGTGCTTGAAAAGATGCCTGCTCCCGAGCTCAAGAACGATCTTGGCAAGAAGTACGCCAAGCCTAAGAAGGCCAAGAAGGTGACTGCTTCCAAGAAGGATGTCGACTTGCTGCTCGATCTGGTCATGGACGCCCCTGAGCCTGCTAACGGAGGAGGATCTTCTTCCGCAAACAACTCGGATCTCCTGGCCGACATTCTGGGACCCTCTTCTCCCTCTGGAGGTGCGTCCGTCGCCACCCCTAGCTCCAATCAAAACATTATGGATCTGTTTGGCTCAGGCGCCCAGTCATCCCCCGTCTCCACACCCGCCTCAGCCCCCGCTGCTGCGGCATCTACAATCTCCGCATACTCCGGCAACGGCCTGTCTCTGGGCTTTTCCGCTGGAACCGCCCAGGGCCTCACGGTGCCCATCACCGCCCACTTCTCCAACACCGGTGGCAGCCCCATCTCCAGCATTTCCCTCCAGGCCGCTGTGCCCAAGACACAGAAGCTCGCTCTGCAGCCACCAGCTTCCCAGAGCATTGGTCCTGGCAGCACCACCACTCAGCAGTTGCGAGTGACGGTACAGGGTGCTGGTGCTGCCGTCAAGTTGCGAGTCCGGCTGGGATTCTCTGTCAACGGCCAGCAGGTCCAGGAACAGTTTACCTTTGACAAGTTTGGTCAGGTGGTTTAAGTGGTATAACAATAATAGAGGGATAATAATCTATACTGTGTTGCAAGGAATTCAGTTTCAATCGGTATACTGCGTTGCAGTATAACTGTCGTAAAATGTATGTGATAGATTACATAAGCTAGAGATGTAGACTATAATATGGCGCACAGATAAGTGGAGATATAGTCATGTGGCCATTGAATTCGCACCGAAAAAAATAGATCAGATTAATATAATAAAGTACCCACAAATATCCCTACTTCATCCTACAATTCCCCGGCTAATTTTTCATTCTTCATCCCACGACTTTAACTTCCAACACCTCATATCATCACCGGTCGTCGAAACTCAATTTTCTCCATTGATTCATTCATCAACACACACAAAAAAGACAAAAAAGATGTCTGACAAACGACGAGCCGATCTTTGTGTGCCCTACGTGCATGTTGTCGACAAGCAGAACGACGCTCAGTCCTTCATCACCACCTCGCTGCCCATGGCTGCTATGTTCCTTCGAAACAAGCTCATGTCGTGGACCGCTCTCTTCACCGCCATCACCGCCTTCATGAACGAGCCTCTGATCAAGCCTACTCAGAGCGACGGTGCTTCTCAGCCCGCCTGGCTGTCTGTGCTCGTCTCTCTCGTTGGTCTGTTCACGTGCTACATGGATCTGGCTTTCCCCAGCCAGGGCCGAAAGCTGGCTGCACAGCACGCTGCTTCCTCCACCGCCTCCGCTGCATCTTCTACCGCTTCTGCTGCCTCCGCCACTGTTGCATCCGTCGCCTCCAAGGCAACCGGTGTCGCTGCTGACGCCCTGGATAAGCTGTTCAAGAAGGCAGCTTAAGTTATTACGTAATGAATGTTTGTATGTCGATAGTCGATCGAATGGACTACGAGCGATCCCTAATCGTCTAGTTTAGTTGTTGTTACTGTTCATGAAAGGGTTAAGTAAACGACATTAATGATGTCTTTGCAGTCTGATAGCCTGCGTCTATACTTCTACAGGTACTGTACTGCACTCGTACGATACTCGTACACTTGGTTACCCTATGAGGATCTCATTCACCGTAACCAAGGTAGAGGAACTGATTACTTGTAATACCGAAGCACCACCTTCTTGATTACGCGTATATATTACACACAATCAATAAGTTGTCCAGGTCGACAGCCGTCGCTACCATATATACACTATCAATCATTATCATACATGCTAAAACTCTTCGTTCTCAAAAGGACAAGAAATGCTCTCATGACCAGGTCGCTCACAGAGACCGCACCATAGCTCTCGGCCAGCCGCAGGGTCGCTGTTTTTCGATGGAGTAGACGGAGAATGGTCTCCGTCATCCCCAGCGACATGCACAGAGCCATCGCCTTGATTGCTGGCTCGCTTCGCATTTTCAAGCTCCTTTTCCAACTCATACTCTTTGAGAATCTTGGTTTCCAGTTCCGATTCCAGTTTCTCCACCTCCTGGGAGAGCTTGTGTTTGGCAGAAGACACCTTATCGAGACTCTGCTTCAACTCCGAGACCTGAGCAGACAGCATCTTGACTTCAGCCTCGGCACTAGAGTTGGGAGCAGCAGTCTCAGCGGCATCCTTGGAGTCCTTAGCGATGAGCTTAGACTCCTCCAGTTGCAGTTTGAGATCTTCCAGCTCCAAGCTAAGATCCTCATGTTTTTCTGTGAGCTTGTTGTGATCCTCGAACAGCTTGTCGTAGTCCTGAGCAAGCTTGATATGTTTCTCATTGTCCACAAGGTGAACGCTTCCGTTTCCAGCTTCAGAAGCGCCATTCTTGTCGTTGGTATCGTTGCTGTAGTTGTTGGATAACGCCTCCTTGGCCTCTCGGAGCTCTTCTTCAAGACCGTAAAACTTCTTTTTGAGCTCGGACATCTGGAAGCGAATCTCGTTGGCCTCCTCACTAAGGTACATCTTCTCTTTCTCGAGGTTGGCAATCTTCTTGTTGGCAATGGCCAGACCCTTATCAGCCTGAGGCTCTTTGGTAGGAGATGACCCACCAACATGATGTTCCCCAAGCTGAACATTCTTCTCCTTGAGCTGCTGTTTCATTTCCGAAATCTGCTTTCGGAGAGTATCAATGGTCTTCATGCTCTGGTCCTGCTCGTTGAGCGACATTTCTTGAGTCTGGGCAAGCTCCTTCTTGAGGTCAGCCACTTCAGAAGACATGTCAGTGGCATCAACTGACTGGAGCTCTTGCAGCTGCTTCTTGGTCTCAGCAAGCTGCTTCTTGACCTCTTCTAACTCCTCAGAGTCACCCATGTCTCTCGACAAAGTCTTTTGGGAAGTAACCTCATTCTTAGCAGCCTCAAGCTCCCGCTTCGACTCAGCAAGCTCCTTCTTAACAGCGTCCAATTCTTCCTTGAGTTTTGAGTCACCATCGCCTCCTCCAAGCTGGCCCTTTGTAATGTCAAGACGCTCCTTTACGGCAGCCAGCTCCTGTTCCTTTTCGAGTAAACGGTTCTCAATGTCAGCCATGAGCCCCAGCCTCTCCTTGGCCTCCTGCTCGTTGACCTTTGAGATTCGTAGTCCGCTCTCGAGACTGGCCACCATGCTCTCCATTTCCACAATGGTCTCATTGACGGTATGCGCATGTCCCAGGTTGGCTCTGAGCTGCTCCACCTCCTTTTGGTACTCCTGTGATGAGTGCATGTACTCGGCCTCCAGAGCGTCAATTGTGTCTCTGAACTCGCGTCGTTTGGAGGACACGTCGTTCTGCAGATCCGAGATCTTTCTGTCTTTCATTTCGAGCTCGCTGACCAGCTGCTCATTTCGAGACACGAGTTCCGAGAATTGGTTGAGCGAGCTCTCAGCCTCCTCAATGATTCCATCTCTGTCCCTGATGGCCATCTTGAGCGACTCGACCTCATCCTTGAGCTCCTTGAGTTCATGGGAAGGTGCCATAGTTTCGGAAATACCCGAGATACTGCTGTTCAGAGAAGTGTTCATGGTGCCTGTAGAGTTGACCGAGCTGACTCGAGATTTGATTACTCCAGAGACCCGCCGTTTAGAAGGAGACTCGAACGGACCGCCCCGGTCACTGATAGGCGAGCTGGGAATCATTGAGTGGCGCAAGGGCATTGTTCGGGGAGTAGTAATATGACTAGGTCGGCCCTTTGGCGTGGCAAAAATGGGGGATCCGGGCAACGAGCCTACGGTGCTCGTACCGCCTCTGTGGTTGTTCAGGGCAACCAGTTTCGGATACGAAATGAACAGACCAGTGTTGGGGGTTTCAGTGCGGAAGTAGCTCACGCCTCCGTACACTCCTGAGTGTCGTCCATGTGATTCCCACCCCTTGAGCAGTTCGATACCTGCAAACTCGCCTGGCTTGTTGTCCACTCGGCCAACAAATCGGACCATGCCCTGCTGGCCTTCCGGCAGGGTCACCTGGTCGCCGACTTTGATGGTGTTCATGTTGGCGGTGTGTGTGTCGATATTTATTTTTGCTCTAGCGATAATCGCACGTACGTCAGCCGGTGCGCGCTCCTTGGTGTAGTAACGCGTTTGGATCTCAACCCTAATACCACCAGACCCCAATAGGCAAAGTAGAAACACTGTCATCTGCACCAACCTGTGGTGTTACGAGTGGTGGGGAGAATGAAGGGACGTCAGTTCGACCTGTATCGATGCTGCAATTATGTTCAATTCCGATTAACTACAGTACATACTGTACTGTAGTCTTAGCTGATAGCCTACTTGATCATTCCCTTGTATTACTGTAGCTACGGGTACACCACCCACCGCTCGCTTATGACTGCATGTTATTAAGATGAAGGTTGAAGATGAAGGTTGAAGATGTGGATCTGGTAACTGAGATACCGTAACTACATACCATTATATATTTGGCTTACATCTAGTCAAGCCAGCTGAGTGTTGGGTGCATCTGTTATACGTATGACTTGTGTGATTGTTTCTCAAATGTTTGAAGTCTTTTGACTGGTCTGGAACTGATGACTCATCGACGCATACAGACACTCAAGATAGGGGGCAACAGGAAATGAAATGACGAATAAAATGGTCCGTTGAAGAGTCCATTATCATGAAATATGCAACCGTCACCAACCTGGACTATGCAACCGAGATTAGACTGTGCCATTCGTGCGTCATACTTTCCCATGGGCTGCCAGGGACAACTGAAAACTGATATTATCAGACTCCTTTAGCCGAGAGGTTGATCTTTATTATTGCGACATCAAACTGATTTCGTATTCATGTTGTTCTGGCATACTGTCATATATACACTGTCTACAGTAGACTTTTAATTGATAGGCTACGAGCATTACTGTAAGTATAGTACGTACCTCTTTGAACGGGTTGTAAACGTAGAGCTGGTCAGACAGTCCTCCCCCCATACATACCATTCTCAGCCTCACCATTGTATATTAGATGTCTCCAATAATTTCCACGATATTAGAGCCCCTCGATCAGGTTCCACTTGCAAGAAAGTAATGTTAGTATTTTTGTATATAAACCTAGGGGACCCGCTCAATCACGTCCAGAAAAGCCCCCTCCCGAGAGTACGCAACCACAATCACATTACCATTGAAATCCACATGCCACACGCTCTCCGAGGAGCTGAACGTAGGGAAGCTCACCAGATTGCGGATGAACTCGCCCTTTTGCAGATCCCACAGCTTGACCGTCATGTTGGTGGCCGATGACACAATCTTGTCATTGTCCACTTGCATGGCAGAAACGGGCGATTTGTGGCCTGAAAGAGTGTGAACTAGTGCCCCACTTGGGTCCCATACTCTTAGTGTCCCGTCTGAAGAGCCCGTCACAATATGCGAATAGTCTGGAGTTAACTCCACCATGTAGACTATGCTAGTGTGGCCCTTGAGAATGTGCAGACACTGGCCTGTTTCCAGCGACCAGATGCGGGCTGTTGTGTCCCGAGACGCGGAAATGCATCTCTTTCGCTGCGGGTCTATGATAGCTGCAAATACTCGGTCCGAATGACCATCCAGAACATGGAGACATGAACGGGTGTCCAGAGACCACACACGCACGGTCCCGTCATACGAACCGGACACGATTGTGTTTTCGTAGCTGTCCAGGCAACGTACCGTGTCCTTGTGTCCCCTAAAAGTTGCCGAGGGAAGTTTGGGCTCCAGGTTGCTGCTACCACTGGAATCGGCCGTGGACAGATCCCAGACCCGTACGGTATTGTCGCGGGCTCCACTGACAACAATTAGCTTTCCTCTGCCGTCGCGAGCCACCCTCACGCACCGCACCGTCTTTTTATTGCCCTTGAGCACCGCTACACACCGTCCGGTCTCCACCTTCCATACCCGTACGTCCGAGTCTTTGCCCGAGCCGCCTGTGGCCAGCAGGTTGTGTGCGAAATGCATGGCCCAGACGCCGTCCGAGTGACCATCGAGTCGACGAATTACCACGCCGGTTTTGCTGTACACGGTGATTTCCGGCGTCTCGCAAGCGGCAATGATGTAATCTTGGGTCACCTGCAGACAGGTGATGATGGAATGCTCGGAGCGCACCGTGACGGTGTGGAACTTGGTCTTGGGGGCCAACCAGGGGTCAATTGAGCCAATTGAGTCGTTTAGCCGATCGTGGGGAGGAGACGGCATCGTTAAAGGTCTTCTGTTGCTGTATTGGTGGTTCTGACGCTGAGCTATTATCTAGGTTCGATAATGCTCCTCTGGCACCTTGGGAGAGCGCGGGACGAGTTAGGTTTGAGGATCGATGGTACCATGGTGAGCAGGAGAGAGACAGTTGCAATGAAATAAAGCATTGTTGTGTTAGCTGGTGTGTGAGTCGTTCTTTCTTCGTGTTTTTTTATTCTGCCAGTCTGGGGTCAGGTATTATATGAACTATGTAAGTATGATACTGTACATACTTGTAGTGCACTGCCTGCCTTGACTGCAAGGACGCTGCAACCAACCGATTGCTTAGTCAAACTATGGATGTCTGGGATGCGGATCGGCTGTCGTTACTTTGGATTTTTCCGTATTTCAAAATAGACATTGAACCCACGGCATGTGTCATCAAAATCACTTTATTATTGGCATTTTGGAGGTGTATCCCAGCGTCTAAAAAAATATGGCCCATTTAAACTAAAGCCGGACCTTCTTGATTGGACAGCACAACACGCCCCATAAATTTATTGTTTTGAAAAAACCTCTTGATGCTGCCCATGGTAAGGCCACCACTTACAGTACTTCAGCGGCTCCGACAACCGAGACACGTGCCACGGAGACGGCATATCCTTTCGGATGAACGTCCATGGAATTTCGTGGTGCAGCACACATGCCTGGATTGCAGATTTATGCACCTTTGGGAGTCGGAAGTTGGGTGCACAGCCGGAAATAGCCACACTGTAGCATGGTTATACTGTATGACGGCCCAGGGGTAATTACAGCAGGTGCAAGCAGCCCAGAGTCCACGGGCCACAAAAAACACGCCTAGAAAGTGCAGGAGATCCCAAACCTCCTGAGTCGACATAGATTAGACCTGTGGCGAACGATGATGTACATTTTGTTTCTCTCCATGATTCCAAGTAACTACAAGTTAGCTCTTATCTGGACACTAACATTGCCGGGTAGCTTCTGTGGGGTGCAGCCAAACAATAGCTCCAAAGATAGCACAGTGCTGTTATAAATGGGTACAGTCTTGAATGGGGCCTTGTTGCCAAGTGTTTGGGTGGTGACCTCTGTGGGATGACGTACTTGTACTTGGACCAGTGTCCAGAAGAACCTGCCGTCTCCGTAGCCCTGTAACAAACTGGGCACGGCGTAACAGCCTTGTTTCGCATCGTAATCCGCACATTAGCCCGAACAAGCTGTTGTACACAGGTAGCCTATATTCGCCATAATACACCCACTGCACCAACAATAGAACATGCCTCGCCATCCACGCATTATGACTGGAGCGATCGCCAGCCGTACGGTAGCTTAACAGAGTGTTACCTAAAAGACGTGCAGGCTCTTTTTTTTCCTGTGCCCTTCCAGAAGTGCCACCTAATACATAAATTTGGGGGTCATAAATAACAAGAAAAGACCGTTGGCCCGACTAGAATAGCCCAGCCAAACAATCCCGCGTCTAATGATACGCATTAACCAGCTCAAGAGGCCATAAATCACACACCCATCAGGGTCTACTTGTACGTAGTGCTGGGCTTGGAACAAGACAAACTCAACGTGTCGTGTTGTTCTCCTTCCCAAACAGTGTATCCAAAAATAAACCGAAGTCTAAATTATGCCACCAAAAGCTGTCTCCTGCCTCTTTACTTATAACCATCCTCTCTCTGCAAATTACAGGTCACGAAATCAACAATGTGGTGAGTATACCCCCAGATATTGCGGTGGTTACGCGCGTGCGCCTACGAGAGATACACCAGCCCTCGAGATACGCCGCCTTTGTCGCCAGCAACCGTCGCAGAACAATGTGTTTAACGCCACTCCTCCCTTTGGGCAGGTGTTGACCACACAAAAATCCTGGGACGTCTAAATGAGGACAACTATGACACGTGAGGCAACACACCTACACAGGATGACACTCTATGAGAGGTTGATGGTCCGCAGTAGTACGAGGCCAGTTCCTGCAGTTCCTGGTGTGCCTGGGAAAATATGGCGGCTCAGCTCTGTGTACACAGCCCTGATCTGTCTTTCTTCCTTCGCGTTACGTGTCAAAGGGCGTGACAGGGTTTCGAAGGGCAAACATACTCGCAAAGTCAGCGCCCAGGTGTGCACCAAAAGAGCGACATAAGCCGAGCCGACAAAGAGACTCGCACAAACACAGAAACACGTCCTTGCTTGCTCTGAAAAGTGTGCACCACATGCCAACCAAAAAGCCAATCGTGGTTTTGATTTCTAGAACCAGCACAAGCAGTTTACTAACTACAGTGGAATCTTTGGATACATCAACTATCTCGTGCCTAAGACTCGAGGACAAATCCTTAACACCCTCATCGAGGGTCTCCAGCGACAGGAGTACCGTGGATACGACTCCGCTGGTTTGGCTATTGACGCTGACGCTGACGGAACCGTCGACATCTACCGAGAGGTCGGCAAGGTTGCCGCTCTCCGAAAGCTGATCGAGGCCTCCGACGCCAACACCGAAGAGCTCTTTGACGTGCATGCCGGTATCGCCCACACCCGATGGGCCACCCACGGCCAGCCCCAGCGAAAGAACTGTCATCCTCAGCGATCAGACCCTAACAACGAATTCACTGTCGTCCACAACGGTATCATCACCAACTACCGAGAGCTCAAGGCTCTGCTCACCTCCAAGGGCATCCAGTTTGAGTCCGACACTGATACCGAGTGTATCGCCAAGCTGACCAAGTTCATCTACGACCAGAACAAGGACCAGGACCTCGACTTCTCCCAGCTTGCAAAACTTGTGGTTGTCGAGCTCGAGGGTGCCTACGGTCTTCTCATCAAGTCTACACATTTCCCTGACGAGATTGTCGCCACCCGAAAGGGTTCGCCTCTGCTGGTCGGTGTCAAGACTGAGAAGAAGCTCAAGGTCGATTTTGTCGACGTCGAGTTCCCCGACATGGCTGTCCAGACTGAGGCCCCCACCGCCGCTGGATCCAACTCTCTCCAGCTCGGTGTCCCCGGCTCCGACGCTCTGCGACACTCCCAGTCTCGAGCATTCCTCTCTGACGACGGTGTCCCCATGGCTTCCGAGTTCTTCCTCGCATCCGACCCCGCTGCCGTGGTCGAGCACACCAAGAAGGTCCTCTTCCTGGAGGATGACGATATTGCCCACATCTACGATGGTGAGCTGCACATCCACCGAGTGCGACGAGACGAGAACGCCGCCCCCACCCGATCCATCCAGACCCTGGAGATGGAGCTCAACCAGATCATGAAGGGTGAGTTTGACCACTTCATGCAGAAGGAGATCTTTGAGCAGCCCGAGTCAATTGTCAACACCATGCGAGGCCGAATCGACTTTGAGGCCAAGACCGTCCAGCTTGGAGGTCTGCGAACCTGGCTCACCACCATCCGACGATGCCGACGACTGATCATGATCGCCTGTGGTACCTCTTACCACTCGTGTCTAGCTGTCCGATCCATTTTCGAGGAACTGACCGAGATCCCCGTGTCCGTCGAGCTCGCCTCTGACTTTCTGGACCGACGATCTCCCGTCTTCCGTGATGACGTCTGTGTCTTTGTGTCCCAATCCGGAGAGACTGCTGACTCTCTTCTCGCTCTCCAGTACTGCATTGACCGAGGCGCCCTGACTGTCGGTATCGTCAACTCTGTCGGATCCTCCATCTCCCGACAGACACACTGTGGTGTCCACATCAATGCTGGCCCCGAGATTGGTGTTGCTTCCACCAAGGCCTACACATCTCAGTACACCGCCCTGGTGCTGTTCGCACTGTCGCTTTCCGACGACTCCATTCACAAGAAGGAGCGACGAGAGGCCATCATCGACGGTCTGTCCAAGATCTCCGAGCAGATTTCCGAGGTTCTCAAGCTCAACGACTCCATCAAGCAGATGTGCGATGAGGTTCTGTGCGAGCAGAAGTCTCTGCTGCTTCTTGGCCGAGGCTACCAGCATGCCACTGCTCTTGAGGGTGCTCTCAAGATCAAGGAGATTTCTTACATGCACTCTGAGGGTGTTCTTGCCGGCGAGTTGAAGCACGGTGTGCTTGCTCTGGTCGACGAGAACCTCCCTATCATTGTGCTTGCCACCCGGGACTCTCTGTTTCCCAAGGTCATGTCTGCTGTTGAGCAGGTTGTTGCTCGAAGCGGTAACCCCATCATCATCTGCAACAAGGGCGACAAGACCATGGACAAGTTTTCCGACGGCAAGTTCAAGACCATCGAGCTGCCCTCCACAGTCGACTGTCTGCAGGGTCTTCTCAACGTCATTCCTCTGCAGCTCATGTCCTACTGGCTGGCTGTCAAGCGAGGCATTGATGTCGACTTCCCCCGAAACCTTGCAAAGTCTGTTACTGTTGAGTAAACAGCATGATACCGTGATAACAAGAGAATTTAATAAATGTACAAAAGTGTTTTATGATCACAGCCTGTGTAGATGTTAGTTTGGTGTGCTGCGATACCGTGCATGGTTATTATAGAGCGTAGAATTTATTATAGCGGTCTACGAGTACTTAACTGCAGCAGGAAGATGTGGTTGGCACAGCCGGAAGCGTTATGAAGAGCTCCTGTATAGGTTCTTTATCTGGTATGGTCTTGCACAAGTATATACAATAGATTTATAGCGTACTTGTACCAGTAATCGTACAACGGTCGTTTCTCATGCGTGAGGGATTAATTGCGGTTGTAGACAGTATAGTCGTACAGTAATTAGAACAATGGAGAGCGATACGGAGTTGTCATGTCCTTTGTCGTTCGGGCAGGTCCGATTGAGGTAGCAATATTGGTTGGTAGAGTTATAAATAGGTACCGGGTGGACTATTACCTGTAGACAAGGAAGTAAGCAAGCTGATCATTTTTCTAGCAAAGTGTTTTTTGATAATGGGCGTGGGCTACTGTAGCAACACTCGTGTGCTTGTACATACAAGTACAGTATGTACCAGATTACAAATTTTTTCTGAATTCGGTATCGGCCAGTCATACCAAAAAGATGAGTATGCGTGAGAGATGCAACAAAACACGAACAAAAACTTGTAACATGGGGCTATCATTATTGTAGTCCGTTGATTACACCTTCAACTTCCTTTGGACGCTACAGAACATCGTATGATGCTCTGCGCAGCTCTATGATAAGACATAGTTTAGACCCGGATACAGGTATAAGTACAAGTATGTACACTGTAGTGTGCTTTTTGTAGTCACTGTCCGGGGTTTGGGATTAATACGTGCCTTCCGACACATCTGGGCTCGTGACCTGGTTATACTCCGTGTAGAGGAGGGTTGCCTACTGTAAGAGTAACTACTTGTAGACATGTTGAGATTCTCACGTGCTTGCACTATCCACGGTTGTACGTACGATACTTGTGCAGACCACCGTTAGTAAGTTCCAGCATTTGTCTTCACTCAGATCGGGGGCTGTTTGTTGCTCTCTATACAGTGGCCTCCGAAACAGTGCCTTCCAGTAGAGTATTTCGCAGAGCCCTAACAGCGGACTTCGGCCAATACGAGCCTGTGTGTATGGCTGTAGTCACAGTATGTACAGTACAGTACATACCTTGTGGCTACAGTAGGTGCCACTTGAGTGCTTACGAGTTTACCGGGTTACGGCATTCCGGCTCCCACGGCATATCCTGAATATATTCTCCACGGGGATTTGTACGTTTGGTCGGAGTTCTCTGGCCAATAAGATGTTTTTCTTTCTCTCGTCTCTCGTCAGTCAAACAGCGGGAAAACAACTACTCAGGATGCAGCCGCAGAGTTTGCACGTCCGTTTCAGGTATAATGGCTTTTCCGTCTCCATCATGGTTCAACTCAGTTAAGGTGGGTTGGGGAGGTTCAGGGCTATTTATCGCACGACTACAAGTAGTGAGACCATGAGATGGGCTGTTGGGTGATACGGAGTCCCCGAGTCCGTAGCAAGCTTTGTCCCCCATTTTCCCCCGTTTCAACCGGGCTGAAGCGGTCGTGCCTCGGCTGGATCCAACGCTCATTTGAGACGCAGCATGTTGCTGATGCATGGCGCAGGTAATGACTCCGATACCGTGCACAAGCACAAGTACAAGCACAAAAACGAGCACAACGTTGATTTGTAAGAAGACTAGAAAAAGTTCTATTGAAGCTGCAGCTCTACGGCGACGATCTGCGTGAGGAGTCAGCTTACAAGTGCAGACGATGGCGGACGGCTTCAAGTCAAGTAGCCCGTGCCACAGTAGATGTGTTACATGTTCGGTCCTAATTATCTGCTCTAATGGGTCTTCACATGCCCTTGTGTTGGGTCCTTTGTCCCTGCCAATAGACTTTCGGTTAGTGAAAAAAACCATCGGACTATTTCTCCAAAGCTCTTTTGACTTTCATTTATTGGTGCGAGTGAGGATTTTTCGCTGAGCTAGAGAAAGTGTCGAACGGTGAGGGCGTCCCCTGGGGACGACTACATGATCTTGGTATTAATTCACGCCTCATTCCCAGCTATGGTCCTAGCATCTTGCGTCTCTTCTGTCCAAGGCACTGTTCAGAAGCGCATCTAAGGTACCCATGCAATCTGATGGTAAATACGAGAGACCTTGTACACGTTCATATGGGACATAGGTACACTACCATAATAAAAAAATTCTCGCATCCTTGTTAAATAATCATCATTTCTATTTTGGTTGGTATTGTCTATATTATTTTGAATCTAAAGCATTAAATTGTGAGAGGCTCCATTTAGAGGAGGAGGGCAGCGGCAGCAATGGCAGCAGCGGCACCAGAGAGGCCGAGGCCAGAAGCGCCGTTGGCAAGAGCAACGGTGCCGGTGTGGGAGCCCTCGGCCTGAGAAGGCTGGGGCTTGGTGTGGTTACCGGCGTGGGTACCGTTGTGAGGAGCAGGAACAGGGGCAGGAGCAGGAGCAGTTCCGTTGTGAGGAGCAGCAGCAGTACCGTTGGTGACGGGGACGGGGACCAGCACAGCGGTGGTGGGGATGGCGGTGGCCTGGTGGCAAGCATCATCCTTGCAAGAGGTGATGGTAACCTGGACAGTCTGGTTGGCGGTGACAACACCGACCTGGGTAACGGTGGCGTTAGCAGCGGGGGCGACGGGGGCAACGGTAACGTTACCGGCGGCGGAGACAAGGCCGGCAGAAGCGGCGGCGAGAACAGCGGAGAACTTCATTGTAGATGCGTGTTTTTGTGTGATAAAGAAAGTGGTCTTATGGAAAGAAGGATGTGCAAGGGCAGAGCTATATACTTATATGGTCGGAGAGTGTGCTTCTTCGATTACACAGCCTTTGCTGCACAAGGTTCAGAAACCACTTGCAAATGGGTGGAAAAACTAAAGAGCCAGTATCTGATAGGCTTTGGTCATCTTTCCGAATCTGGCACTATAATTACACCTTGTTGCTTGTCTGCCGCTTGTCTGCCGCTAGTGGGCCTCACTTGATATCCCGTTTAGGGTCTGTTCTATACTGTCGATCCTGCCTTGGGATGGGTCTGAGTGGAGGGATTTTCCACTTGTTTCTTCTCTTTATCTTTAAATTGCGTCTTTCGAGATAGGATCGGGGTAAGTATGGTTTTCAGTGAAGGAGGTGGAAACCTCAGGCTGGGATGAAGCAAAGCGAGCGTCCGCCATGGGGAAGATGTGCCCGGGTAACTACTTCTGCGTGAAATTCTTCTTCCTCGCAATATTTCCAAGCGATTATACTGCCTCCAATCAAAATAGCGGGAACAGCAATATCTATGCGACCGACTGCGATTAGAGTTGAAAGCAAGCGATTACCATGCAGGGAACTCGCACACAGAAACTCTAAGTGCTCTTCTTGCAAGGCGACTCAGAGATCGGATTACGCACCCTCGCAAAATTAATTACGGCTGGTCACATGGCCGATAATCATTGAAGCGGCTGTTCCAGATCAAAGGGTGGAGAAATAGATCGACTTGAGATGGTGCAACTGCCAGATTTCCGTTTTGTCATTGGCCCCAATCACACTCCCCGATACGATGAACTCCAACCCCCCACTTCATCAATTCCCGCATTTATTCCGCATACACCGGCAGAGGCTATCACCGTGAAATGGTTTCACACAGACTCAAAGACTCAGACACCCAAAAGTCCGGCCTCTTGGCACACCGAAAGTTCCAACGGTCCCGGGCGAATATGACAGCTGACAGGTGGTTAGCGTAGTATCGCATAATGCGCAAAATTGAACCACAATCCAGACTGTGTGTTCCCGATGTTATCGTTTTCCAACTACAGTAGCTCGATACAGCATAAAGCCTCACAGTGTTTGTGAGATAGAGCCGTTGTATACAAACTGCGTCGGTTAACCCTAAATACGGCGGCTCCAGAACCTTTTACTGTTTCCGAACCGATCCTCTCCCCTCATGGAGCAGAGCAACTGTGGCTTCCCACTTGTCGGCAGTTGGTAGCAACCTGGGCGCAAGACTTGACAGCAATTAGGAGAAAGACTACTGGTACAAACGGCAGAAATCAGTCTGAATATCGATACTGTCGATTTTTGACCCAGTAGTTGCCTTCAAGATAATCCGCTCAGAGCAGGTACTTACACAGTAAGTTAGGGAATTGCTTCACAACGCCTTACAACTGTGGCTGATACGGGTCACGCAGATACACTGCTCTGTAAGCTATCGTACTTAGGTGCTGTACAGGTTACAGGCCACAAGTAGGTGGCGCCAAAGACTCCATACAAATTTAATCATACTGGCAAAGTCCTCTGTGCTACAGTGTGTACAAACTTGTACTGTAGGTAGTTACAGTACTTACTGTAGCTTACATCAGCTCTATTGTAAGACCAGGACTCAACAACAAACAAACAAACAAACAAGGCCCTGCAGTATACAGAGTAAGTAGCTACTCTTCGATCAAACATGAGATTGAAGTAGCAGCCTGGAGGAGCCCGACGGCCTCCTGGGCTGTTAACGATTCATACAGATCAGAGAGGTATTTGTTTCTACCACTAGATTCGCTCTTCTCTTTGTCCTTCTGTTTGGAGAGAATGAGCCGGGTCAGGTGACTCCTGAGGGCAGGATGAATAACTGGAAAGGTCCGTTTCCAGCTACTGCAAAATGAGTACCCCGAGACTCCAAAATTTTCCCATTTCGATGATCTCACCAGCAAACAATTTGACCATCTCAGGGAGCTGATATAGCTCTCCTAGAAATATCAAGCCTTTTAGCTCAGCAAAGGTCCAATAAATCTAGCACCCCCCTCTGCACGTACTTAAGAGATGAGTTTCTCGACCCACACCTTTGGGCTAGTCATCCCCCCTACTGTAGCCTCCAAGCAATCATTTCAAATTGTGGTGTCAAAATAGGACCAGTATGTCTTGAGGACCAATGCATGAACAAGGATTGTGTGGTCATCTTTACTCACAATGGGGAAATCTCAGTGAGCAGTTCGAGCACGTAGTTTACTGACTGCACGCTCGCAAATGAAGAGGACATGACCCTTAGTTGCGCTTTCAGAGTTGTCAACAATTGGCCTCTTGTATTGAAACAGCTCCAAAGCTCTTCGATATATGGAATAATCCACCAACTCAAGCACATGTGTTTTGGTGCTGTTGTGACATGTGTTTGTCAGGAATTCTATACCAGCGAACCAAAGGACATATCTCTCTTTGTATCGAACTAAGAGATGACAGGTGGTTTGGAATGATGAACCATTCCTGGTGTACAGACAGAGAGAAAGGTCCGCTTGGTGTTTATGGCAGTTTGGATACAAAGGTGACTATTGTAACGCTCTAGTCTGCGTCGAACCGAATGTGTGAATGATCACTAATCGTGATCGTTGCGGGGTTGATGGCTGTATTTTTTTTGCAAAACATAATGACCGTTGTTCTGGGAATGACGGAGGTTGCGACAAAAGAGGAGGAGGACACATCTATAATACGAGTCAGTACAGTATGTACATTTGACATTTCAGTAAACCCCTTTTTGTCATTCTATTATAATGAGAATTCCATTGTTAATTTCAACTTACTTGGACTCTGAAACGATAGTATAGTTACGGCACATACAATGCCTCAATTTCTTCCATTTGATTGCTTTACTATATGTCAATTGGCGACTATTTGATCTCCAGCTTCTGCAGCTCCTCAAGTGCTTCGAAGATACCCACAGAGTTGGGATCATAGTAGGGAATCTCTCCAATGGAAAGGACTCGATGACCTTCTCGGTTGGTAGCAGTGTAATCGTTTGTAGCAGTATGGTAGGTGGATCTGTTGTCCCAAATGGCCACATCGTTAGGGTTCCATCTGAAACGCACATGAGTATCGTGGTTCTCAACCAGATTCTGATTCAAGAACTCCAGGATACTCTTGGACTCATCCCAGCTCAGGCCGTTGATGGACTTGGTAAAGATGGGGTTCACGTAGACGGACTTCCAGCCGGTGACAGGGTTGGTTCGAATCAGGGGATGGTCTGCCTGCAGATAATCTCCCTGGTTCAGAGGATGCCCTCGAGGTCGCTCAACAATGCCGTGACCGGAGGCAGCGGCCACGGTCTTGAAGTATTCACCAGAGTGGTGGGCGGTGAGAGTCTCTAGGAAGGCTCGGTAGGCAGGGGTCAGTTTTTCGTATGCATGGTATCCCGAGGCCCACAGAGTGTCTCCTCCTCCTCCGGTAGGAGGACTGAGGATCTTGAGAACAGCGTAGTCGGAGGGCACCTTCTCAAAGGTGATATCCGTGTGCCATCCTCGAGAAGATCGAGAGGAAATCTGGCTTAGGAGTTCCTTGTTGTTGTTGATACCCTTGTTGGGCTGCAGCACCAGAATCTCCTCTCCAGTCTCGGAAGAAGGAGCCTCGGTGGGATGCACATGAAGAGTGGACTCCTGGGGCTTTCCAGTCAGCTCTCCGAGCTTGGATCCCAGAACTCGCTGCTTGGCGTCATCAATATTCTGGTTTCGGAAGAAGATGACTCCTCGCTGAGACACCAGCACGGCCAGGTCTCGGATTAGCTCGTCAGCATTGTCGGCCTCGAGAAGGTCAGTGAGCTGCAGATCGGAAAACTCCGAACCGATGTAAGGAGTAACCTCGAAGCTGTCATACTTGTCGAGCAATCCAGTGTAAGGAATGGGCTTGGGGAGGGCTACTTTGGCGTCAGGCATTGTGAAGATGAGAAAGAGGCACTGAAGGGTGATGATCCGGATCGTGGGGAAAAAGGGAACTACTTATATAGTTGAAGAATCAAAGGTCAAAATAAACAACGTGGCGTGACAGTCTGTTTCGCCCGTGGCTGTAGATTCCGGGGGCTGTTGTGGAGTAAGCCACACGTGAAGGTTGTTGAAAATGCGGTTGTGATTAGTATGGACTAGCTGATTGGTAGTAATGTAAGAGCAAACGTGTTGCAGGAGTTGCTGGTTTTATATCCCATTCCATTAATGTAACAGTAGTGCAAGTACAATCAAGTAATGATTGTCTCCATTGTCATCTACATCATCACTGCTTTGTGTGGTGCGCATACTGTGGCTTATCGCATCATAGATAGTGCACCTCAAATGCAGTGAAATTGAACTCTGTGGGGGAAATGAATGAGGCGGAGAAATATACAAGAATGGGCCGATTGGGTGGGTGGAAGTGGTGACTGCTGGTTGGTATTTGTAATAATGTGACTTGTGACGACAATATTCTCAAAGATTCTTCAAACGCCCTCTATATATACCCTACAAGCTACACACACTACCCAGATCGCTCGTGCTCAGATCAGATTAAATCCGCTAGCATACCTTTATGTTTTATAACGTTCCGCTCACCTCCACAGCCACAATTCATCACGTAATTTTCGGCTTCGATACGGGCTAAAGAGGGCCTCGCACGTGCTCTGGGGCTAGTGTCACGTGACTGCATGTTCTTCGATCGACCGGAGGGACCACGCGGGTAACAACCCAATATCGAGCAATGCGTATGGAGCAATGTGAGACTAGCCTGTGCTCTTGTTTCGGGCTGCTTTATATAAGCACACGACCCATAAAGGACAGAGCAATAAATCACTACGAGTACTAAATCTGGATATTGGTATAGGTATGGCATACTCCGGAATGTGTGAACCTAGGTGTGCAACCTTGCTCCCAATTTTTACAGGTCTATATATACACGGACATATCCGTGAATTACATGGGCGGGAGCCCGAGCTGGGAAGAGACTTGGGCGAGTCAAAAGCTCGCTGCCCGGACTGAGACTTGGTTCTGATTTAGCTACTCACAAGGTTCAAGGAACTCCTGCTATCTACTCCAATAGGGACTCTCCCAACAGCTCTCAACTGGGAGCTACAGTAGAGTTACTGCACTGGTATGGTAGAGCCGTGCAATGTGGGTACCATGACGACGCGTCGCCAAAACAAGATATATACCTCAGTTTGAGGAACTTTTGGGTGGCGAAATGAGTTCAAGTTACTCCAATGACGGGCTATTGCTCTGAAATGTTCGGTATTATGTCGGCAAGAATCATTGCTCGGAATGTGCTCTCAAAACGCAGCTCTACACACGTGCCAAAGTTTGCTCAGCCCCAGAATGAACGACACAAGAAAGAAATGTAAAAGATATGTGGTGCACTGAGACACGCGCCTGTCATGCACCATACATACATTATCATATTCGTTTTGCCCAAGCCGTGTCGTATATAATGCTGTTGCCAAGCGGCGCCAAGACGGGTAGCTAAAAGGAACCTCCACCGTGAAACACTCCAAACGAACCCCACGGAAAATAACAAGTCCAGGTTAATGACCTACTCGACGCCAATCAATTTCAAGACTCCAGAAGGCTCTGAGATCGTTCTCCAGGCCGCCAGAGAAGCTCTTTGTCCCCAGTTATGCCAACTGCAGGCTCAGTGCACGGACATTGTCTTTTCTCATGAAGACAAGAACAGATTCAGAAACCGACTAAACAGCCTGGAAGAACTTCACCCTTCTCCTAAGGTCGACCCATCTTCTAAGGAGACCGTCGTGCCTGTTCTCCGATGGTTGTATCTCTTGGATCAGACCGTCAATGAAGCCATTACACCCTGTCGAGTCACTGAGCTGTCCGCACCTTTCATCTGGCAGCAAGTTCAGCCTTGGCTTACCGAATCACTTGCTCGCGCGCGTCTTCAGGCTGGTACCTGGATTCAAATGCGTGAACAACTTTTTGAATCTATCTTTGGCTGGACAATCTCCGATTTTCTCTTCTTCGGAGACAAATCCGAACTACTTCCAGAGAAGTACGAAGACCCCCTTGAATGGCTTTATGTCGTCGGGTGGGTCTGTCTCCTGAGTGGAAACAAATCTGCCCTACAACCTTTTCTGGTCAAGGCGTCCTCTTTTACTGGCCTGGCTCAACTCAAACAGACCCTCGTCGACGCCTTCATGGTAAACAGGGATGATGCCGACGCGCTAAACGATTGGAAAAATGATGTTTCTCTTGAATGGACCATGGCCGTATCTAAGAATTCCAGCCAGTTGAGTCTGGTGAAGACGACATCTGGCAAGAAGTACTATGCTGTCGTGACCGGACGAAAACCCTGCGTTTACGCCGACAAGCACATGGCTTATCACATGTCAATGCACCATCCAAATTGTGCTCCTCTTGAGTTCGGCAGCGAAAAGGAGGCCTGGAACAAAGTGCGTTCTTTCGCCAAGGGATCGCCGTTCAAGAAACGAGAGTCCACAATGACAGTGCATACAGACGGGGCCTGTCAGGGAGAAAAGGCCGGGGCAGGAGTTTGGTTCCAGGATGGAAGCGAATTCAATTTCTCTGGTCCTGTTGAAGGAAAACAGACAAGGGAAAGAGCCGAGCTTTATGCAGTCTTCCAGGCTTTGAGACTCATCTTTACTCATAGAGTCTACGACGCATACCGATGGGAAGTGGTAACGGACTCTCAATACGCCATCGACTGCATCACGAAAAAGGGAGACAAGTGGGAGAAGAACGGTTACGTGGACTCCAAGGGTTGCCCAGTGGAAAACAGAGACCTCGTGGTTATCATCAGATACTTTGCGCGGGAATCAGAAAAGCTCTCTGGTTGCTACCACCAGATAATTTTCAAGCACACTCATTCTCGGAACCATGGAAACGAGTCTGCTAACAGACTGGCCACCAAGGGAATCGACGGGAAGTTATTTGTGTGGCCAGAAGGACTTCATCACCCCCAGTGGGTTAACGACCAGAAGGCCATTTTCAGACGGTACAGTTTTTAACCAGAACCTCAATTACATCTAATGTTCCTCCTCTATAGTATGTACATACATACATACCGGATCCGATAGGGCGTGCGCCGTCAATAGGTATCCCTCAACTTTGTCGTCCATATCTGGTGTCACCTCAGGCACATGGTGAAATTGGTGGGAGGCTTTGGCTGAACACACAATGATGAAAAATCTCGAGTAGTACGCCAAGCTGGTTCTTTCTCAATCCCAGCTTGAATGTAGTAATGTTGAACATTGTACTAAGAATGGAACAGCCCGTTGTAGCAAATACGGTATCATCTGGCATGTCTGGGTTGGGAAGGGCAAGAGACTGAAGTCCACTCTTGGTCACGTAATGGACTATTCTCCTCGAAAACAGGAAGATACGAAGAACTTTTGAGGGACTCCCTCCCCCCTTGATTAGGGCTTTGATGTCAAAAGAAGTGCCATTCTCGCTAGAATAACAGATTTTAGGTCCTTCATAGCAGCTATCAGTGCCGTAGGTTTTAACAAGCACATATACTACATGGTTGCTACTCGTAATGTTGTTATCATTGAGTTAATAAATTATTTTGTGCTACTTACTCCAGCTTCGCCTTTTTGGTATCGGTCTCCTTGTCCTCCTTGTCGGTCTCGTCTCCACTCTCGGCCTCTCGCTTCTTCTTGGCCTCCGCAGCCTCCTTCTGTTGTCGGGAAACCATGGTGTTGGCCTTCTCTCCGTTGCATCGTCGGAAGTAGGGCTGGCATCGCCAGTAGGGCACAGTTCTGTAGGCTCCTCCCCAGGCCTCTTCCTCGCCAATAACAACCTCATCGTTGACGTTGGGGTCCTCATAGATCTTAGCCACCTTCTCCTCGACCTTCTGAACAATCTTCTCCCACACGTCAAAGCCAGCCTTGGAGGTTCGTCCAATCTCGGCTCGCAGCTCTGTTTCCACAGGTAGGAAGGAATGCAGAATTTTGAAGAAGTGCGACTTCATGGCAGTGTTGGAGGCCTTTCCAGGAGTCTCTTTGACGATCTCAAAGTACTCCCGCAGCATCTTGTCCACTCGGGGAAAGTTGACATCCTTGTCGGTGGGCTTGTTGAAGATGGCAGGGTTGTACAAGTTGCCTTCAGCAGACATAACAGCATCTGTGGTAGTCTCCTCCATGCACTTTTCGATATCTTCGGAGTACAGAACGTTGCCGTTGGCAAAGACCACAGTGTCCTTGGGCAGGTTCTCCCGAACGTACTTGATGATTTCCCAGTCCGCCAGACCGGTCTGCTGGCCCTTCATTTCTCGGGTCCGGCCATGGATAGTCAGAAACTGTGCACCGGCGTTGATGATCATCTTGGCATATTCCAAGGTCTTATCTCGGTCGTCAAAGACTCGCATCTTGGCTGTGACGGGCACCTTCAGCTCCAGGTGCAGCTTGTTGATGAGCTTGTGGATCAGATCCCAGTCCTCCATGAGAAACGATCCGTAGTGGCCCTTTCGGGCAATGCCCTGAGGACATCCCAGATTCAGATCCACAGCGTCACACCTATCCTCTACTAGCTTGGCAGCAGCCAGCAGCTCATCAGGGTCGTTTGCGCAAAACTGGACCACCAGAGGTCGATCAGTCGTCTGATCTCCATCCATGGGTCCAAACATCTCCTCTCTGTATCGCTCAGAAGTGCCGAAGAGCTTTGCGTGAAACATAGGAGTGTAACAGAGGTCCGCGCCATGTCGACGGGACAGAATTCGCCAGGCCAGCTCACTCTGATCAACCATGGGAGCCACAATGGTCTTGGGCTTGCCAAGTTTTTCAAACAGCTGACGGCCAGCCAGCTTTGTGGGGGCGGACGCGTCAGAGGAAGCAGAAGCAGCAGTCATGTGTAATAGTCGTGTGAAGCTGCGTAGGGGAAGTTGCGGGGCGAGGCGGAGAATTTTGTATATAGTGCCGTTTGGCTGGATATTGGCGATTTTTTCACCGTCTCAAACTTTTTAGGTTCTATGCATGATAGAGTTGACGAGATGAGATTGATCCGGAGGGAAGTTGCACAACAAAGAAGAGATAATTAGTTGACGGTAGGAGTAAGTAAATTATTAAAATGTTAGTTGAATATTGTGAAGCACCAGTTGGGGTATTTACTTACCATGTCAACTAAAGAGAGTTGGAACATTGGTGTTCAAGGCAGTTAACCGGAGGGCTAGCTTGAGATCTTACCCCTCGAGACAATCAGACTAATATCCTTGACGTTGTCACTTATAAACAGGCCATGCCCCATGTTTTTAATATGATAATTACGACAGCCCACTTGTACAGACCATTCACTGGGATGGACGTAATACTGATGACCCTACATACCAACCACAACACTTTTAGGACGTCCTCCACTAATAAAGTGCCTCCTTCGTTGTCCGCTTACGTAATTCGACCCCATCCACACAAATATCAACGCCAGTCGACAATGTCAGCAACTCTTTGTCATGCTGAAACCCAAACACCCATCATTCACCCTTCAAAACATCATTTTCTGACACCACACCATTCCAGCACCCGCGAAATACACTTACCCTAACCCTAAATTTCACAAACAGCTACCCGGCCCCGTGCATTCTGATTGGGCGAACCTCCCAACACTGCGGTAGAAAAACTCTTACATACACAAATCGTCTTGAGAAATCAGCACACCTAAACTACACACAATGTTCCGAAGCAGAGTTTCTGGCGTTTTCCAGCAGGTGCGATTCCAGTCCACCGCTGCCTCCAAGGCTGCCTCCAAGGCCCAGGGTCTCGGAGCCAAGGTCCAGGGTGAGTATTTCTCGAGCTAGGAGACTTTTCGATTTTCCGGCGATAACAAGCAACACAGCTGCGTATATGGGGGTCGGGGATGGACAAGTGCAAGGAGAGTGTGGCACGAGAGTGTCCTGTTTTGATTGGATGTGATTGTGGTGTTTACCGGTGCTACCAGATGGTGTTTCATCAGCTTGACGTGTCGGAAGTTGTGAACGACGACACTAGACACGTGATAGAGACGAGTACACTAGTGCGACATCGTTAGCAGTTCCAGTGTCATCAGCGGCCCACCTCATTGGAATCAATCTCGTTCAGTACTCCGATCAACACCCTATCCACTCCGGGAATCTGTATCTGTTCTACTCCTCGAATCATGCCACTACTCCAAGGCAGTCAACCCCCAACATTATACTAACTCAGGCATCACCAACTGTGCCGTCTACTGGGCCAAGGTCACCGGTGAGCTCGGAAAGCAGATCTACCTCAAGGAGGGCTTTGCTCCCCCCTCTCTTTCTCAGTTCCAGTCTGTCTACCAGAACCTGTTCAACTCCGTCAAGTCTTACGCCCTCAAGCCCCAGAAGGTCATTGACTGTGCTGAGTCCATCACCAAGACTGACGCTCTCCGATACACTGCCTACGGTGTCCAGATCCTCGGTCTCTTCACCCTCGGTGAGGTTATCGGCCGACGAAACGTCATTGGCTACAAGGTCCCCTCTGCTGACAAGCACTAAATTGGACATTAGAAATCCGATTAACATGTAATTTAAAACTGACGCTTTGCGTTTCTATTGAATTGTTCCTGAGTGGTTTTAACGGTGTCGTTTTTCCAGTATCTGACCTATATACTTGTAACAGCTAATTATCTGCCTGTGTGTATGGCTTGCATCGTATGGAAAGTGAAGGGCGTACAGACACAGATCGCACGTCAGCTTTAATACATCTCTACGACAGCTCGCTCCATTTATCTGATGTACATTAGTCTATAGCATGGCCTAGGCGGTCCACAATAACTTATTCGTCGTCCTTCTTCATCTTCTTGAGACCCTTCATCTGCTGTTTGGCCCGCTTCTTCTTGTTGTTAGCCAGAGCATGTTGAGTAGAGATCTTCTTTCGTTTGATGGGTCTGTTTTTGATGTTGTCTCGCTCCTTCTGAGTCAGGGGAGCGAGGTTGTTGAGCCAGTCGGGTACCTCCTGTCCAGACTGCTTCATGACATTGACTACCACCTTGACATTGGTAGCGTCCTCCTTGGTGAAGAAGGTGACGGCCTTGCCGAGTCGGCCAGCTCGACCGGTTCGTCCGATTCGATGCACGTAAGACTGTGCAGACTGGGGTACATCGTAGTTGATGACCAGGTTGATGCCTCGGAAATCGATACCTCGGGCCAGAACGTCGGTACAGATTAGCACCCAGACTTCTCCGTTTCGGAAACGGTCGATGACGGAAGCTCGCTTGGCCGCAGTCATGTCTCCATGGATCTGGTCGACGTTGATTCCGTCGAAAACCAGCTCCTTGAACAGTGCCTTGGCTCGGTCGATGGACTGCAGGAAGATGATGACAGGGGCCACAAGCTGACCCTCTCGGGCCATTTGTCGGATAGCCACAAGCTTACCTTCCTCGTTTCCAGCATACACCAGCTTCTGCTCAACGGTCTGGGCAGCAGCCTGCTTGTTACCGATAATGATACGTAGAGGGTCGGTGCTCATGATACTGTTTGCCAGCTGCTCGACAGAGGCAGGAATGGTTGCGGAGAACAGAGTCTTCTGAATACCCGAGGGGCATGCTGCCAGAATGTCATCGACCTGGGTGGCAAAGCCCTTCTCAAACAGCTTGTCGGCCTCATCGAAGATGACCAGATCCAGGGATCCAAGGTCCAGGCTGCCGTCGTTGAGGGCGGAGACCAGTCTCAGGGGGGTGGTAATGCAAATGTCGTATTTCTGGGAGCTGACTTTTCCGTTTCGCAGCTTGTCGGCCGTGCTCTTGTCCAGCAAGCAGGGTTTCAGCTCGTCCTTCTTTTTTCCAACACCCACGCAGAGCGAGAACACAGCGTTGAAGATCTGAGACGCCAGCTCCTTGGTGGGGGCAACCACCAGTGCCTTGATTCCCTTCTTAGCGTCCTTGGAGCCCTTCTTCTTACCCAGCATCTCCACCATGGGGATGCTGTAGGCCATAGTCTTACCGGAACCAGTTGGAGCACAGGCAATCAGATCTCGGCCGTTCAGCATTGTAGGGATACTCTCGCACTGGATCGGGGTAGGGTCTGTGTACTTGTTCTTCTTGAGGTTGGCCAGAAGATAGGGATGCAAGTTGAATCGAGTGATGAGGTCTTCAAACGACCCAATGGGCAGAGGGGAGTCTTCTCCGGTGATGTTGATCTTGTGCTTGTTTCGGAAAACCACAGCCTCCTCGGGAGTACTGATAATGGGCGGGGGAGCCTCTTCCTCCTCTTCATTGTCCAGCTCAGCCTCCTCAGCTACTCGCTTCTTGGAGTAAGTGTCTGTCTTGGTCTTGAAAAAGTCGGTTTCTCGGGCAACTTCAATGTCGACATTGTCCTGGGTGTCTTTGGGAGCAGCGTGGTTGAGCAGAGTCAGGTCCTTCCTGTGTTTACCGTTTCGCTGGATCGTGGCTCCTCGAGATAGTACTTTGAAGATATCCATGGTGTATGTGGTGAGTGGTAATGTATTTTCACCTGAAAACGATGCTCATGCACTCTCGAGATTTTTTTGTATAAGGTTGGGAGGTGAAACTTAAAACGGCCTATCCTCGCTGAGTAAGTGTTGGGGACTACGGTGGCGAGTATTAGGCGGATTTATTAAGAGAGTACGTAGTTATCAAAAGTGTTTAGTTTCGGCAAATTCTGCATTGTATTATGTGAGCGTTTCTTATCTGCATGTGATATTTTCCAAGTATACGCGATTGCAACTAACAAACCTCCCTGCAGTTATCTGCAAAGGACTTCACTTTTACTTGTAGTTACTTCTCTCAACAAGCCTTCAAGTGAATTACAGTAACGTAACCAATAGCTGGCCTACAGCTACAGTAAGAATCACATTCTTCTAGACCTGCGCCAACGAGATCACGCCACTTTTCCTCTAACCGAGGCTACAGACCCCCGCGGTATCTAACGGCACCAATAGCCGATATCGTCCTTGAAAACCCCTGGTGGACACTTCGTTTTAAACCCTTCTACTCGGGTGGGCTAAAGGCTACAAGATAAGCTAATATAACGGTTACAGAATTGGATCCGAACATTTTACGGGCTCGACAAATGAAAATATTAAATGTACAACATTCCAATTGATGCTATACGGAGTGGGATGCGATAGTCGTCAACTTTGGGATTGTGGGGGCGCGCACCAGCACCTTCTTGGCTCATTTTTCATATATTATTCCTCTATACGGGGCTGATAGACCCTAATGAGTCATATAAGATAGCAGAGCTCTTATGATAGAGCGTTGGATAGCTTGTCTATCGGTTTTCATTAGTAGAATTGTCACGAACACTGTAAAGGCCTCTCTCTACTGCCACAGGGAAATATAACTGCAACAGCTGTAACAAGTCTGCGATCGAATGTCAACTTAGAAGGTAACCCTGTTCGACCCCTTGCGGCCAGTTGAGTTGATTTGAAGCGTATGTTCGAGGACGAGGAGCGGCTGTACAGTACAACTAGTTATACAAGTACTTGTACTCCTCTTCAACCCTTGTCATTGTACAGAGTTATTGTCACTGGGCTGGCAGGCGGTCGGAGACTAAGAAATTATTGTGTGCCAGTCCAGACTATGAGGCTCCTATTTTGAGCTCACAGACTGAGAGACTATTATCAAGTCTGACCAACTAAAAATAGACACAAACTAACTTGAGACCGCCGACCTAGTGGAGCAGCCTCTGATCTTCGTTGTGTAACTTATCCTCCTCAAGATGCTACATTGATTCTGGAAATTAGGGGCCACAGCGCGGTTATGTGGACACCATCTGACAGACACTCCGGAATTTGCACGTGGCGGCAAATCTCGTGTTTTCAAGCAAACTTCTGCACGCTACCGTTGTTCTCTGGTCAACGTTCGTGTTTCATACTGGGCTGTCAGATGGGCTCTATGTTGCCTATTGTACCGTCTTGGAGCTGTCAAACAAATTAGCACTCTTTAGAGGTGTGCTTGTGCGAGCTAGCAGGACAAGGACCGGGGATGATAGCACTATGCTAGTGGGGAGCTCTTTTGTCGGTGATTTGTGTCTACCATACCCATAACAAGCTGGTGCAGTGTCAAAATGGTTTTGGTCTGTGGAAAGCTCCTTGTGTAGGTAAGATTAACCGATTTAAAGGAAGCCTAAAAGTCGGACTACGATGGCCGTGGCGTTCCCCTTCTAAGCCATAAAACCATCCTCTGGACATTCCAGCATTTTCTAATATCATGTAGAGTGCGCCTTGTTCTTGTTTGGGCAAAAGCACAAGGCAAATTGCCTTGGGCGACTTGCGACTCTCCGCTATCTCCAACTGCAGATGTTATGCTGAGGCCTAACTCTGTGGGTGGTATCCCAGATCCTTTCCGAGAGATTAAGTTGGGTTAATCTTTTGTCTTTTGGCAGGGTAATAATGTATACCTGTATGGCGCTCCTCGAGAGAGGCGATCTTCTCGTTAGTTACTCTACCTCATCTTGCTGGTCGAGGTGGGGTGATCCAGAAAAAGAAAGGTTGGCAAATAACTACAGGCAGCAGTGTTTTCACAAACCAAGGAGCAATAAAAAAACGGCCTTCTGCGGCCTAAAACCACCCGTCTTGTTGTTTTAGCACAACCGCCACAGAGCCTGGACTTCCAGGAACTAGCACAAGCACCATACTAAAACACTGGTGCCGTTTTACCAGTACATCAAACACGTCTAAGCGAAGTGGAGGAATGACGAGAAAGGAAGTAATTTTGCCGCTTCGGGCAACTCTCGAGGGTCAACCATATAGGTCGCATGAGAGGCGTTGAATTTTGGCCCTCCACTAGCCCAACTGTCGCACCGCTTAAACTCTCGTATCCAAGACGGTGGAGACGGTTTTTCGCTAGACGGCACGCACAAAGAAAACGGGAGCTGGTTGAAAAATATTTATTATACACACTTTTTGGAGCTTTGTCCTAGTGAGAGAGAAACGCGTCGAGGCATTTCCTTGTCCAAAGGAACGAGACATCAACGTCAGACAGACATTATGGCACAGCTCAGTGGAGACGGTCCCGTATCAAACCTCCTTAATTTTATGTGCATCGGTCGATACTAAGTGCCGATCCCGAAGGTGGAGAAATCAACTTCAACGCTGCCATGCAGGGGTGGTTGAACCACGAAAGCAAATAAAAAGCACGTACAAACGTACCGTACAAACAAGCCCACACAAACATGCCATGTCCATGGTTTGAGACAGTCTTGAGTGATAGGCATTTATTGCTGAGCAGGTAATAAGAGACGTGTGGACTGTAAAGAGAGAACCGACGCCGCCCTTTCTTTGTCCTCCACACTAACATCGTACAGCACTAGCTCCCCTCGATGGACCTTGTACTGGTTTGTTTTGCACAGCTTGTCTTGACTGAGTTTGTCACCCCTCAAAAGCTCCCAAGTTTTGTGCTGAACGTCTTGGGTCGTATACACCGGATATGTAGACCCTTGGCGATGAGTAAATGTATACACGCTTGTGGATATATCGGTCTGTGCCTGTAAGCTGGTGGGGGTTGTCATTATAATATTTTGCCCCGTAATATTCTCCCTGAAATATGAACAACTATTATTATTTCGTCAACGTGAAAATCCGAAATTGTCTCACTCAATTGAAGACACCGGTATTGTCCCTGGTACCTGGTGAAGGGTCCTCGTGCAGTACAGGGTTCCAAGGTAGCTACAGTACTGTACTGTATATGTACATGTTTGTCAGAGTCAGGCGACTCTTAAATTGTTACAAGCTCATAATTGAGTCAGGGTATCTAAAACTTCACCATAAAGCGAACCGTGCAAGATTCGAACCCACGACCGCTCATCATCCGCTCCCAAAAGTCGATTGTCACAATGCCGATTCGTTGCTGTTTGGCTTCACATCGTCGTACAAGTACAGTAGCTACAGTAAACAAACTCAGGAACGATCCACATTTGAAAAACACAGTTGGAAAAAGTGGAGGACACAGAGGGTGAGACCACGGGTCACCACAATCCATTGTGTATGTATATTTACCTGGCAGCGTATACAGACACACTTAATCCTAACCGTGTCACTATGTTCCACTCCGTATTCACAGTCCGCGGTCTCGTCGTCCCGGAGACCACCGACAACTAACACGGCTGAAGTCATAATTAATATTGCTTGCGCATCGAAAGTGACATAAATGTGTATTTTTTGGCGTGCAAGTGGAGGGACACGGGTCTTACAAGCTTGCTGGACGACCGTGCAAACGTAATTATCCGCCCATACAACTTTGCATGGTCTTTTGTACAATTTTCAGCCAAAGACTGTCCCAGGTTCATGTGTTTGGCAGGCACAAACAGATTAAACCTAGATTGCTTTTTGCTGGCTTGCTACGGAGAGCGGATCTAAGAGAAGGCTTAGCCTACAAGTAGTCGTGTGACGACGCTAAGAGTCTAGACCGATGCCTCATGTGTCAGAGGTACGCTCTAACGTATGTTTCTTGTGCACAGCCTGCATCACGAGCTATATAGCACTCTCCCTCGGCCGTTGAAGTGTCCACTATTAATAGTGGACTGGTGTGTTCCACAGCCTCTTCTCTGCTTCGGCCACCGGGCTGTGTGTTGCTCACTGCTTTCGGCGTTAATGAGCTTAACCTTGTGTTGATAGTCCGACTCCAGTAAGTCCAGCCAAATACCACATTGGAGATGGGCTAGTGATGAGAGATTTTGAGAGCAGAATTGAAATTGATGGCGGTCGAAGATTCTTTGGTTTTCAAGTCTGTAGCCCTTAAACTGTCCAAGTTACTCCACCGCAAGCGAACAAAAGTATTGTTCACGCATCATGCAGATCAAAGCAGTGCAAGCCGCTCTTCGCTGATATAGCCCCCAACGCAAAGTTTGACGTTCCTAGACGTTTAAAGACCCGTCTCAGCTGCGCTCACCCTCACCTCGACCCAGACTTCGACCTCAGTCTCGTCACCTCTTACTTCCACTCATCAAATGTACAGATTCCTGTGGATCGTTCCGCTGTTTGCTTGCGTGGTCTGGTGGGGCATGCTCATTGCTCTGCTGGCCGCATGGGCAGCCCAGGGCAAACCCATCTACGATTTCATGGACCCCGATGACAAGGTGGCGTACATCTCCGACGTGGGAGCCACCAGCCTGAAGCCCGTCTTCATTGCCTGTGCCGCCACCCAAGGTGGTCTCTTCATGTTTGCGCTCATCTTTGAGCGATGGATGAGACACAAAGGTCGACTATTGCGAAACCACCGCCAAGCGGAAAAGTGGCTGTCTGTGGGCGCCATCATCTTTGGCATCCTGGGCCAGGTTGGTATCATTCTGGTCTCAATCTTCGACACAAAGAACCACCACAGCGTCCACGTTGGTTGTCTTGTGCTCTTCATTGTTGGCATTGGTATTTCTGCCATTCTCAACTCGGCCGAATTCACCCTTTTGGACCAGAACTACCCCGACGTGCGTCGGCTCAAAACCTCATATATTTTGCGATGGATTTGGGTCGCTATTGCCATTGTGCTGGCGATCATCTTCGTTTCGTGTAACAATCGAAACGAACCCAACGTGGCCGCTGGCTTTGAGTGGGCGCTGTCCTTCTTCTACGGTTTCTACCTGCTTATTCTGGCGTTCGACCTCATCCCCTTCAAGCGGTACCAGGAGCGAAACGCCATGGCCACTGCTCCCCCCATGGCGGAGTATGGCTACGTGCAGCAACCCAATGATCCTGGCTACTCCCCCACCGTTGGAGGAGCAACAATGGTGCCCCCACAGCAGCAGGACAAACCGTTTGATGCAGCTTCTTACGCTACCGCCGCCGATGGCTTTGCTGCAGCCCCCCCTAATTACAATGTCGCAAAGCCCGAGCCCTCGGCCATGTATCATTAAGAGAGTTGGTCTGTGCGGGCACGACTAAGACGTGATTAACGCTCTCGAAAGTGCTTTTGTCGCTCTCGCTAACAACCCTCCTACACGTCATGTATTTATTGCATATTCTCTTACCTGTTTTGTATATCAGCCCACGTTGTGTAGCCGGTGTGCATTGCTCGATTAGGCCGTGTTTGGGCCCGATTGGGTCTTTGAAACGGAGCTGGGAGCTGTATACTGCCGTCTGTGCCTAGCTTGCACTGCTCGTGTTACAAGAAAAGCAATTGTAAATTTAATATATTGGAAAATGCCGGCCTACCAAGGATGCCAACAAGTACTACGTGAACTCGCAGAGGCAAATAGGCTCCTGCAAACCCTCCAGCAGACGCGCTGCAAGAGCCTCCCTGCAAGAGCTGTAGTAGGACACATAAACACCGACCGGGGGGGGGTCAGAGCAATCAACGCCGTATCTCTCCTCGGGGTGCATTGCTGCGTTTCCGTCGGAGGAGTTGGTGCACGTACAAACAAACTAGTTTTCATTCCGCAGACAAGCAAGTATACGAGGGGGGGAGGAGAGATGGTAGTGGGTGCAACACATGCAACCCACGATCGAAAGCTTTTCTTTACGACAGCTATTCTTCACTGTCTCAGAACGCGTTCTGTACGTGCAAGCGTATATCGGGCTGGTGCTTTATTTTTCTGGCTTTCCCTCAAATAAAAGAAAACCTGAGAGAGGGCTACAAGTAGTATTCGCCCTGTGGCAAGGTTCAAATTCAAACTGCAACTAAACGGCTCGGCCCATAACGCTATCCCCTTTTTCTGCTTCACCGTTGGGCTTAAGACAAGGTGTGGCAGACAAAGAAATAACCGGTATGTTTCTGCAAAACTCAATGTGCGCCCGCCAAACGGCATCATCTGGGAAAATAGACATTGGTAACAGCGCAAAGCAGGCACAAGGAACTGCCGTGGTTTGGTCGAAACGAGGTCTTTGGGCCATTGTAGCCGAAATGAGGGGTAGCCTTTTCTCTTGTGGCTCTCGACGCCCGTTTCATTGAACCCTTCGCTTACCCGACCGTTTCCGACATCTTTACGAGTCTCAGAAAGGGAGCCAATGATGTCAGAAGGAAAAGTGTCAGACGGTAGGTATTCGTACTGTACGGGTAGATCAGTCGCTTGACAGTCACTTAGTGCGTCTCGCTTAGTGAGCAGATTGCAGGGCTCAATGTAATTGGTCGGTTTGATGAGGATGTACTCAACCATGACTCTAGTAATCATCCCATTTATTGCACACACAGACTCAGATACACACTGTTCTGTAAAAATAAATGACTGTGATGCGCTGCACAACTGAACGGAGAGAAACGAGCACCTACACTACAACTATACACCACAACTATGTACTTGCACATGAGTGGGGGTGGGTGTTCTGAAGGCGCAGCAACGCCAACGAACTGATAGCCAGCCATGGGCGCGGAACTCCGCACCACCACGCTAATACGCTAATATTTAATTTATACGCTCTCAGCAGCGTCTACAGTACCTGCACCAAAAAGTGTGGAGATTTATGGCTTCTCTGATTGCAGGGCCCTGTTAGAGCTGTCGGTCGGATGCATGCACGCCAAACCCAAGGCCATAATTTTCCTGGGAGCAGAGCTTAGCAGAGGGTCTATTGTAGGGGAGGCTGTCATGGCCCGTTTCCCTTTGCGGAAACCCTTGGTGGCGGTCGTGTTACGTTGGCAAGCGCGCAGGGTACACTTTGGGGACGTGGTTCATCTGTCATTGAGATGTCCCGTCGTGGCTTGTTCCAACACAAGGTTAGTCTTAGGGCCACACCACAAGTCCCCAGACCGAGGATATGGCACGTACCCGGCTTGGTAGTGTGGGGCAGGTCTTGTGACTGGCTCATTTGTCCGACATCGACATCAACAGCACGGGTCCCTTGTCGTAGTGCAGCGTGTGGCTATTCTTTACTTGTGGTTTACACCACCCTGAGATTACCTACTGCTTCCAACAAACGCTCACGGAACTGCAACCTGCTGCACGGTGCTGGAAGGGTGCGCACTGTGCGAAACCAGTCAACTACTTTGTCACACAGGGCCAAATCGACGTGTGTCAGGTTTGCGTCTGTTGTCATCAGAGTTTGGCTCCTACTTCGCTTCTATCTCAACCGCTCCTCTCTCCTACCCCGGACCACGGCCCAAAAGCACAAAAAAGAAACATGGCATAAGGCCGGACAGCAACCGCTGCTGCCAAAGCCAAATGGAAAAAGAAATATAATAGTGAAGGAGACGGAGACAAGTGATTAAGCGGCGATGGCAGAGTCCGGTGGAAACGCCACTTTCGGACAGCCTTCGGGCAAGACTGCGTGGGACGGGAAATTACTCACGGTGGTTATAAGACCACCTCGGTGTTGCAGTATTGGACCCACAGAAGGACTTTGCACGCACAAGGTACAAGCGTTTCTTGGCTAATTTCCCGTCTCTCTCTCTTCTCTGGTGGTACAGTCCAAAGTGGGCAGATTATGTGACATGTATGTAGAGTGCGAGTACGGGTAGATGGGGCGATGCACTCACTTGGCATCGCATTTACCTCGTTTCTGTTTGCTTTTTGGGCTTTTCCGAGTTAGTAAGAGATTGTGTATCATCTCGGCTGCTAGCGCGGTAGATCTTGTAGATGCCGCTTGTGTTATCAAAGATCTGCCGGGGAGTGAGACTGGACCTCCAGCTACACACTGCTAGATACGATGGCTCTTCAGTCTCATCTGGTACACTGACCTAACTCTTGGCAGTTAAATTGTTTGAGATAGTTCAATTGAACATGTTGGACTGGAAAAATAAAACACAAAGCCACGCGAAAAGAAAAGAAAAAAAAAAAAAAAGGGAAAAAAGAACCACACTTGTTTTGATTGCAGAGTAATTTCTACTCGTGCAGTAGGCCCTTTCCCTCTCTCTCTCTCTCCCTCAGTCCAGGAGCTAAGCTAATTTCCAGTTCCTAGATCGAGAGCTTATTTTGCGGGGCCAATCTAAGGACACGACATGTACTCGTAGATGCAAGAGCCATGTTAACCACCGGCGCTGCTTGTTCGTACCTACGTATATCAAACAGGGGATTGGCATAAAGCTGTAGGATAAAAGTTGTGTGGAGCTACCCACAGGTGGAGTCTATAGGGGGAGCGGGGAACCTACATGGGGGTCGTACGTCTATACCAACAGATGGCCCATACAGGCCCACCTAGTTGAATAATATAATCGTGTGCTGCGGTACACTGGTGGCCAAGCCCACAAAATAATCTCAGATAATTTTCCAAAGCAGACGCGCAGCCCAAATATTATTATGTCGTCGAAAAAGGAAGTCGGTTTTGAGTCTTGGGAGTGGCAGCCGAATTAGATTGGTACAGTAGAGCCGAGTCCGGGGAGTGGCAGGTGTCAGCGAAAGCTCAAAGGACGAGAGGGGACCCCTGAGCAGACGGGCGGCTAGGTCTCGACAGATGAGGTGCGCTTCTCTCGTCTCGGTAACCCTGTCAGGACGTCCAGACACTCTTGCCAGCTTGCACCACCTCCCTTCGTGGTTTATGACGAAACACGCTTAGCTAAAGTTCTAAAGGCTAATATTACGAACTCTGTGAAAAGGCGAAAAACCACAAAAGGGACGTGTGGTGTTGAAAAGGTGAAAAAGAGAAAACGAAAAGTCTGGCCGAAGTCAATGGTGCCAAACCCAGAGAAAACTCTATCCAAACTCTGTCCAAACTCTGTTGCTCATGTCTGTCTCACTATCAGTCGTAAACGTAAGCGGGTGTTACGGTTAGCACAGCTTCATGGGACAAGTACAAAAGCACCACATATCCCTCTCTCCAGCTTTTTTTTCTGGTAGGCAAAAACTATCTTGGGGTCCGACCAGCTTCCTCACCCTCACCCTCACACTCACCAGCACTCCCCCCTTCAACCGCTCCACCAACTACCCTTTCTAACCACGCTCTTTTACTAAACACACACATCTCTGGCTGCGCCAAAAAGTGTCCACTCTTCCCTCCACTCTTATTCCTTTCCAGTCACTCCTTTGCCTGTTATTTTTGTTGATACCCCTTCGAGTCATTCAACATCTTTCCCAACCACTTCTTTCAACCGTCCCACACCCCTACCACGCTTTCCCCACGACCACCACAACTTGTCACCACTAACTTTGGCCCATTCATTAAACTCTTGTCGGCCGTTATAATACTTCTTTGTGTGTCGCATCGCATCTAATCAGGAAAACCCAAACCCGGATTAGCCAATTTCGCCAAAACCATCCCAATCGAAAAACAAAAAGTCATAGTACATTATCGCCAAAATGGACCTCGAATTGGAAATTCCCGTCTTGCATTCCATGGACTCGCACCACCAGGTGGTGGACTCCCACAGACTGGCACAGCAACAGTTCCAGTACCAGCAGATCCACATGCTGCAGCAGACGCTGTCACAGCAGTACCCCCACACCCCATCCACCACACCCCCCATTTACATGCTGTCGCCTGCGGACTACGAGAAGGACGCCGTTTCCATCTCACCGGTAATGCTGTGGCCCCCCTCGGCCCACTCCCAGGCCTCTTACCATTACGAGATGCCCTCCGTTATCTCGCCATCTCCTTCTCCCACTAGATCCTTCTGTAATCCGAGAGAGCTGGAGGTTCAGGACGAGCTCGAGCAGCTTGAACAGCAGCCCGCCGCTCTCTCCGTCGAACATCTGTTTGACATTGAGAACTCATCGATCGAGTATGCACACGACGAGCTGCATGACACCTCTTCGTGCTCCGACTCGCAGTCGAGCTTTTCCCCTCAGCAGTCCCCTGCCTCCCCGGCCTCCACTTACTCGCCTCTCGAGGACGAGTTTCTCAACTTGGCTGGATCCGAGTTGAAGAGCGAGCCCAGCGCGGACGACGAGAAGGATGATGTGGACACGGAGCTTCCCCAGCAGCCCGAGATCATCATCCCTGTGTCGTGCCGAGGCCGAAAGCCGTCCATCGACGACTCCAAAAAGACTTTTGTCTGCACCCACTGCCAGCGTCGGTTCCGGCGCCAGGAGCATCTCAAGCGACATTTCCGATCCCTACACACTCGAGAGAAGCCTTTCAACTGCGACACGTGCGGCAAGAAGTTTTCTCGGTCGGACAATCTCGCCCAGCATATGCGTACGCATCCTCGGGACTAGAGGTAGAGCGCCTTCTAGTCTCCGCTCCATTTTTTTATTGTAACCAGTTAATAGAGAGTTTTTGAATGAATGTTTTAATTTAATGTCTGCTTTGAGAGTGTCTATTCCTTGTATTCCGTCCTAAGTATGTCGCCTTGTTCTCAGTAAACCAAATCTACGTTAGCCATACCTGACATCGGCACGATCCCTTCAGATCGACATGCCAAAATTCCGGATAAGGACTTTCTGATTGCGTGACAGAGTTTCGAATCTGGCTGTGGATCGGCGCAGCTGGGGAAACGACTTTTAGTTATACGCAACACACGGCACTGTTGGTGACGAGTGGTTAACCTGTTCTAGGATGAGTACTTTCCGGTACAAGTAGTGGAAGAGAAATTGAGGGTAAAAAAAGAGACGTAGAAGCCAATGATGCAGCATCTTCATACACACTAAATCTCCTGCAGTCGCTTGTCCACTTTGTAAGCTAGTCGCTTGTACCTACCTGGGACAGGTGTACTGTACACCGTGCTATTACTCAGCTCCAATTGGATACCGAATGTTTCCCGCGCCCAGATACGGCAGCTAAATCTTACGTCTCTTATTGTGACTGTCTGGAGAAATACCCCCGGCAGTGTGTGTGTATGCGGTCTCCAAGACCTAAAAGTTAAAGTGGGTATGCCAACCTTAGAGCAGCCCCGAAATACATACATGAGGTTTCGTACTCGCCTAGTGAAACACAAAAACGACGCTTGAAACCGATGGCTGCCTATGGGAGAGAGACAGAGCTAAGCCCGGACCCCGGACTTTCTGCCTGGTTTGGCAGTGTAGATTCACGTATGTCCAGTCTAGATGGTCGCCTGTCGAGCCCGTCACGCCATGCCGCCTATTTTCTTTTTCCCTTCCAGAATTTGACTAAGGATTAACACGTCGATGTCTCACAATCGAGAAAAGTGAAGAGCCCAGGACGAGACGTCATAAGAGCAGCTGTGGCCCGTACAAGCTTGTAGACCCCTCCCGTCGCTGAGAAGAGCTAATCAAACACAGTTTGAAATGGAAAGTACAAGTACATTCGTACTGCAAAGTCATATCTTGAAGATTTGACTACCATGCAATACCTGTACCTATTGGTACCTGCTGCAATACAAGATCAATACTACTCATGGGCTAATTATACGAGATGACAGCAGACTGCACTGGTACATATACAGATGACAGAAAAGATCATGTCAGCTCATCGCGGCAACCAGCTCTCTCCTGACCGAGACTTCATGACACCCGAGGTCTCCCACCCTTCACGAAACATTCACCTGCACGCGTGGACAAGGGTATAGATAGTGAGTTCGGGTATGCCACTCTGACTAAGCGAACTGCCCACATATTCTCGGGAAACAGGATATTTCGCCAAGGCGGACCGTAGCACACGTAGTCCTCCATGACCCCCACCAACTCTGTGCGTATCAATGCCCCCGGTTGGTAGCCGTCTTTGTTGGGGGTGTGCTTGGTGTTTGTCTGTGTGCAGGCAAACTCTTGGGGTTACATTTATTCGACGTGCCGCGATCTGCCAAGCAGGGTCCAGGGTGGGTGAGTTACGGGCCTGTCGTATAGTGATAATTTTTGGGCATACCCGTGGGTAGCAGTCGTCATTCGGCAGACCCTTCGCCCATATACCCCAAATGTTCAACAATTCTCAAGTATGTACCGGTACTGTAATCTCAGAGTCTGATGGCTGGTCGACAACGGCGGGTGTCTTAAAAAAAAAGAAACCACAGGCCTTTGGCAACCTTTCCAAACCTTGCGGAAAACCTCTCCTCTCGAATATGAAACACTTAGAACCCCACCTATACATGTGTACCGTAGTATTCCATCGCCGGATGCGTTCACGGCAGATACAAGAGTGAGATAAAGACACGGGTAGTCCGCGGACCGCATGGTGCGACAAGACGGGGTACAAGGTGTATCAGAAGACGAAACAATAAACAGACCCTGGCCACAGCAGTCCAGATTTATAGCCTTATACCCCTCATGATAGCGTTTCACCTCACTCACCTTGGTCTACAGGTAGACAGCACAGGTACAAGGCCAGTGACCTCATTCCGCATACATACACGTTCCTCTCTCTCTGGGATCGTCTTATCAGTTAAGGGAGGTAGAATACTCGTATAGTAGATAGACAAATTCGAATAAAAACCAGCTGATAATATTACCCCCGAAAAAGCATTCTCGGAAACATCCCAAAAAAGCACCTCCGTAAAAAGCACATAATAGCGACACTACGACGCTCGGTACGAGTGGTCTCTGCTCGTATATGTTGCCATAATATCGTCGGTGCACCTCTGCCAGCTGTCAGACAAGCAAAGGGAGTATATTTAGAGCTTTGTGAGTGTGACTTTGGGCCACAAGTAGCTGTCGTCTGCTTTGTGACTGTCACCTTGTATGACGGAATCAGCCGCCTAGGACGAAGACAACCTGAAACGGGTCTGGGCAGGAGAGGTAGGGGCCACAGTGTGTGCTAGATCCGTAGGCGATGTAGCAGTGGGTCCCTGTGGACCCTTTAGCGGTCTCCATACTCTACTTGTAGTACATACCTGTGCAATACAAGGGTATACAGGAAGAGTCTTTTTGTGAATTACTTGTCGTAGTAGCTGGTAGTATGCTGGTTTCGGCTATCAATAACCACCTTGGAATCGACTACAAACCACAAATAATTATCACCAATATTCACGCCTACTCAATGAGGAATTGGGATTGGGTTGGTTGCATGGAGCAAGAGGTCATACGAGTACTTTCGGTACCTTGTAATGTACCTTGCAATGTCAAACTGTCCTTGCAAGAGTTTTCAGCGTGGCTCTGAGTTCTTCTGAGGAGACTAAGTGGCATCGGAAAAAGAAATACCTCAAGCATTGAAACAGCCTGTCTGTACATGCCGATGTCATGGATACATATCCATTATCGTCATATTTATATATGGTCTGCTCGCTTCTTGTGTCTTCTCCCATGCTGGCTGCTTTTGATGATCGTGAAAAAGAAGTTTTGGACGTGCAGCACAAGATAGATCCTCTGCGATACATCGAGGATCCAAAAAAGAAACTACAGTATGTACATACAGTACTGTACTGTACTTTTACAACCAAGAACACAAGTAGTGGTTGCCAGATTGTCTTAGATCCCCTGCAACAATATTTTTTCAAGCCTAGGAGACAATAATGAAAGACATGGAACTTGAACTGGTTTCGAAGTATGTACCGTTCGTATAGAGAGAGGGAGTGGTTGTAAGCATTTGGTTTAGGTGTTTTGCTGTACTCGTACTGAAACTGAAGTGAAAGTACCGTACATACAGTAGAGGGCGAAACGTTTACTACAGAGAGTTCTCTAGAGATTGGTACACTCTAAGTTGTCGTATTATAGCTCATGTCTATCCCCACAGCTCTACCTCTCGTATTGGTGAACCTCGTATATAAACCTGTCCATCTTTTGACAGTTTAGCAATCAACTAAAAAAGAACCACAAAAGGTAGAGTACGGCCGTTGGGTAGTGGTTATTTACAAAAATCTAAAAATATCCATATTATTGGGCTGTCTTAAGTGTTTCCCATGGAGAATTTTACTGTACAGTATGTAGTCGGTCCGAACATTACTGTACTTGTGGTTGGAACATCTCCCTAGAGCTTGTGTCTATTGAACTACAGTGTCTGGCTGTGTTCAAGGACAAGTCAAGTGAAGTAATGGGCTGATTTTATACAGAAGCAATGACCAGAAGCAATGACCATTGTCACCCTGGTTTCAAAGATTGCAACAGCAGTACATTCCGTATAACTCAAACATCCTTGTCTGTACCGTAGGGAGTTGCACAGATTGTACACCCGCTGTTCACAGCTCGTGCTGTTACAAGTAGATAGCTGCTTGTAAAGAGTTACTCATGGAAGACTTTCTCCAATTCTTACTTACTTCCCCTGCTTCCATACATGAAATGTCTCGATCAGTATCTGAACTGTTAACTACAAATACTCTTGTCTCTGTTCTGCGGATTGTCTCACCTGGTTTTGGTCTGTTTCAGGAAGGTTCCCGAGGGATCTTGGTAGATTGTTTGGTTATTGTTATTTGTAGGGTCTGTACTCCCCTTAAGTCGGATTTCTGCCGACATCTAATTGCTTCTGTCAGTCGATCACTATTGTCACCATCTATGGTTATTTGACGACGTAAAAACCTGCTTACAATACTTACGTGGTCCGCGTCTCGTCGAAAGCCATTGTCCATAGTCATACTTGGTCAGCTAATCTCAAGATCCTTCAGTCGGCTGCTCTAAAGGTATGCCCTCACCAGCTGTGAGTCCCTCTATACACCACCAGGTAGATTCTGATTGACATCCTATTGTCTGCACCTGTACAAGTATCAATATGACTACGTGTTCGTGACTCTTCACTGCGAAGCCGTTCATAAAGAGGAAGAGTAGGATGCCCCCTCTCCCCCCCCTCATCAATTGACTGGAGTAATCTTCTGTACCATTTCGTCTACACCACCCCATATGATCTCAATGACACTTTACAGAAACTATAAGCACTGGTGCTTCGGCTCGTCGGCTTGTGGTAACTCTGTCGTGTGTTTCAATAATTTTCAGTAGCTAAAGTAGTACACGGTACTGGCGGACTACTTCATCTTGTCAATTGGCGTCCTTCATGTCTCATCACTCTTAACTATATACATCATTACTCGTAAATCATTATGGCTTAAAACTTCTCCTGGGTTTTAGCCTTAGGGGCCAAGTAGAACTTGGCCATCTCGTAAGAGGTCCAACAGATAGCGGTTGAGGGCATGTTGGCCACAATTCGGGGACGCAAACCTCGGAAAAAACCCCGAAGGCCATCTTCTCGGTAGATGATCTTCACAGCGCCTGCAAAGGTCTTGGTGGATCGCACCTCCAGCGATTCGGAGCCCATGGCTCGTCGGGTCTGCAGGAACGTTTTGACAACGTCCAGAGGGGTGGTGACGGCGGCAGCAACCGCTCCGGCGACACCTCCAGCCACACAATGGCCGAGGGGATCGTACTTTCGGCTAGGGTTGAGGATCTTGGAGGCCGATTCGTACACAGTGAAGTTGATGGCTGTGAAAGGCACGTTCATGGCCAGTGTGGTAGGGTATGAGACGTAAAAGGCGCCAAACCCCTCATTCTTGAAGATGTTCTTAGCAGTCTGTGCGAACGTAGCACCGGCAGAGCCTCCAGCAGAGGCGGGGAGCTGCATTCGCTGCTTGATAACATCGAAGGGGTTCATGAGCGCATCAGAGGATGTGGTGGCGGCGGCTCCAGCCAATGAGGTGATCACGGGGTGATGTTCATCGGAAGAGTCCTCGGTGTGGCCCTGGTACAGCAGCATGTTCTTCTTGGTGAACTCGTAAACTCCAAAGTAAACAGCGTGTGCAGGTCCAGCTCCCACAATGACGGAGGAAATTCCTCGCCACAAACTCGAGGCGCCCTCCTTGGCGCTGATGGACGACACGGCCTGTACAATTCCCTTGTACACAGAGCCGGTGCCGCCGGGTCCAACTTGCATTCGGGTCTTGATGGCATCCACGGGGTACATGACTGTGTGCTCCATGATTCCGGCAAATGCGCCGGCGAGCATGTTGGCGCCAATTCCGGTGTTTTCGCCAAGAGCTTCGTAGTCGTGGTCCTCGGATTCCATGTTAGCAAGCGTCGATGGAGAAGATGTGTTGCAGTAAAGTGTCGAGGACTTCCGGAGGAGTGAAAAATCACAAACCTAAATTGACTAGCAGTCCAACCTTGGGTGGATGAGGGGAGGTGGGGTGAATGGGAAATAGAGGGCAGCGGAGAGGTGTTATATACGCATCGAACACATTAAAACTGACACAAACACTGTCATCACAGCATTATGAATGACTCGAGGACCCAAAATACCCCCAGCCCTACGCTCTGGGCCAAACCTTGTGAGTCATGTTCCCAGTGCAGACACAGCAACTATTAAGAATAAAGAAGATCGTAGCCGTGCTCTACGTTTCAAAATTGGGAGCCTGTACGGACCCGAGCTCAGATAGGCGTGTGGTGTTTTCCCCGACTATGACACTGGAGGGTTTGGTAACAATGATCAGATGTCGATAATCCATATATTAACGGGTCGGTCTCTCCTCAGTTAGCTTCTTCCCACGGCACGTGCCAAATGCCGCTCCTTCCCACGTGCAGCCACCACACTGCACCACACTGTGCATTTTGTTAATGTCTCATGGACCGAGGAAGAGAAAGCCGAGCCGCATCCGATAGGGAACCACGGTACAAGTGGCAGTAGCAAGGCAAGTGTGGACGCCATGCGACCGGAATTGATGACTCTATGAGATTTTCAGTGGAATTTCTCTCTAGCTACTTTTTCGACCTGCTCTTTCATGTCCCACACTGTTATTAACACTGGTACAACGACATGCAGTTCAAGTGCAAAGAAAAGTCCACCACTTGTATGAATGAACCGAACCTCCCACTTCATAGTACTTCCGCCATTTATATCTCCGGAAGACACGAGAAAATGGAGCAGAAACGGCGTCAGGATACATGGATGGCGCGGTCCGGATGTAAAATGCAAATACGGACGGAGGAGCACGCTATCAAATCCTTTTATCGAACAAATCAGGCTAGCAAAAGAACTGTACATACTGTAATCTGATGATCAAGCTTAGCTGTTAGACTGTGATCTATCACCACAACCCCTTCACATAAAAAAGGGACTGGAGGAAAATATCACGACTCAGACCTATTGTACATACTGTAGAAGTAAAAACGCAATCCAATTTAAGCGGAGCATGTCCAATTCTACAGCTCACGACCAACTAACGAGGAAGTAGATGCATAGGCAACAGATATCTTAGTGAAACTGAGAACGGTCATGGATCCAAATCGGATATACTAGTGAATGAATAACTACGTTGTAGCGCCCAGGGCTATATACTGCTTCTGGTCGAGTGTGTCACTCCTTGTCTAAGATCCCCAAGCTTAGCAAATAAACAAGTACAGGTACGTATGTAGTGTGATACACCAGCTGTTACCAGGGAGTATGTAAGACAGTTATCAACCCATTGGTAAAAGGGGTGGCTGATGTCACACTGACCGTGGCAAATTGTAGTGTTTCTAGACAGTCTATAAGTCTTTCAGCCACTATGACTGAATATAACCCCATTAAAAGTTGCTGAGTTGTCAGGACATATTTACAGGCACATGAACATGGTGTCGTTCTACATCCCTCCATATACAGTTCCCAAACTTGTACTTGTGTATATATATCTTTTCCTTCAAGCATTGGTATAGGTAAATAATGAATGAATAAAATATATTGTGTAATTTTCCGGTTGGCGCCCATCCGGAAATTATCCCACAGTCTAAAGTCCAATCTCCAACAAATCTTCCAGAGTGCCAACCTCGTTGGCCTCACACACCTCCTTGTAGTCTGCCAGCACCTCCTCGTCCTTGACAACGGCAGGAAGTTCCTTGCCTGTGCCTCGGAATCGCCATACTCGTCGGGCTCGAGGAAGAACAGTGATCTCCACAATCTGGGGCTCTAGATCGTTGGCCGCCAGAATGTTCACCAGGTTATTGGTGGAAGCCATAATACCTCGAATACCTGTACCGTAAGAAGTGTAGACATAGTACTTGCCGTCCAGCATCGCGTCAGCAGGCATCACCACCTTCTTCTTCTTTTCCGTCTTCTCCGTCTTCTCGCCTGTCTCGGATTTCTTCTTCTTCTTCTTCTTCTCCTTGGTCTCGGGTTCAGGAGTAGAACTAGCGGTGGCGGCAGGAGAGGGAATGGCATTGGCAGCGACGTCAGAGTCCTTAGTATCATTTTCGACGTTCGTCTTGGCAGACTTGGACTGAATCTCAACAGGCTTGGCCTCATCCTTCGACTCCTCCTTGGATTCAGTCTTGGAGTCTGGCGCTTCCTTTTTCTTCTCCGATTCAGCAGGCTTCTCCACCTCAGTCTCGAGAGGTTCCCTGATCTCAGCCTCGGTCTTAATAGGCTCCTTGGTCTCAGCCTCAGCTATAGCCTCAGCTACAGTCTCAGTCACAGGCTGGGTACCCTTCACCTCCTTGTCCTCGCCCTTGGCCTCCAACTTGTCGTCCACAGCATCGGCATCCGTTTCAGTGGGCTGTGCGATCTTGGAATCTATCTCCGCCTCCTCCTCAGCCTTAGCATCAGCCTCAGGCTTCTCGTCAATGTCAGCCTTCTTGGACTCGGCCATATCATCCTTTAAAACAGCACCAGGCCGGGACTCCACGTTGGCAGTCTCCTTGTCCGCCTTGGTCGCCTCCTTGACCTCCTTGACCTTCTTGGTGGACTTCTTCTTTTTCTTCTTGTCCTTCTTTACCGAAGTCTTGTTGGAAGCTTCATCAGAAGCCTTCTCCTTGTCTTCGGGCTCAGGGGACGACTCCTTGGGCTCAGTAGCAGTCTCTTCTGCCTCAGCAGGCTCAGAATCAGGCTTGACCTTGACGGGAGCCTTGAGTTTCTCCTCTGCCGCCTCCTTGGCCTCGGCCTCGGGTTGCGTTGCAGGCTCATCCTTAGAAGTGACGTCAGACTTGACATCTTCCTTGAGTCCCTCAGTTTCAGGTTGAACCTCAGCCTTAACATCAGACTTATTCTTGATATCAGCTGTAGGCTCACCCTCCTTCTTCAGATCCTCCTTGGACTTGGACTTGGCCAACTCCACCTCAGGACGTCGAAGAGAAGACGTGCGGGGAGGAATCAACAGCTCGCCGTCCGCTGTAGTGACAGTGGTGGCAGTGGTGGGGGTCTTGGAGGGTGATGCAGTAATGGAAGAAGAAAGGGGTGTGCCAATGGGGGTGGACTTGGAAGATGCAGCCTTGGGAGTGGAGGGCTCCGTGGGGATAGGTTCAGGAACGGGAGAGGCCACTCTAGCAGAAGTTTCAGCCTTAAGAGGAGTCTCGTCGGTCTGGACAAGCGACTGCTTGATGGGAGTAGATGACTCAGTAGGAGTGGCAGTCTTGTCTTGAGCGGATGACTCAGTGGGGATAGGCTCGGGAAGATCATTGTCATCAGTCTGAACAAGAGACCCCTTGAGAGGAGTGGATGATGTAGAGTCCTTCGCGGGAGTCTTTACTGAGGCCTTTACTGGAGTAGAAGCAGTTTTGGTTGGAGTAGCTGCCTTAACTGGAGTAGAAGGAGTAGAAACCTCCTTGGGCTTTTCAGAAACAACCTTGGCAGGGGTTGAGGGATTAATAAACTCCTCCTCCTCTTTCTCCTCCTCTTTCTCCTCCTCTTTCTCCTCCTCTTTCTCTTTCTCCGCCTCCTTCTCCGCCTCCTTCTCCTCAACGAGATCATGCTGGACCTGCTCCTCGTCAACCTTGACTGCCTTGTCAGACTCAATGGCTCCAATGTTGTCATCTTCAACCTGGACTAGAGAAGCCTTCACCTGCTCAGTGTCAACCTTCTTAGCGGAATTGTCGCCATCGGCATCTTCCATGTGTAAAACCTCTCTAGTCTGAGCAATTGCATCCTGATCCACCAGTGCAGGTGTGGAAGCAATGGTTTCAAGTTTAGACTCCACTGGGCTAGTGAGATCAATCGGTGACGTGGCCACTGGCGAGGTGAGATCAATTGGTGCAGTAGACGATCCAGTCGAATCAGGTTTGTCCGATTTTTCCGATTTGCTTGATTTGTCCGATTTGTCGCCAGACTTGCTCTTCTTCTTCTTCTTCTTCTTCTCCGATGACTTCTTTGAGATGGACACAGCAGAGTCGGTAGATGTAGGCTGTTCAGCAGTCTTCTCCTCAACCTTTGCAGCCGGTTCAGGAGACTCTCGCTTGCCCCGCTTGCCCTGCATCTCCAATTTCATGTTTTCGAGCTCTTGCGCCATAAAGTCGAGTCCGTCATCATCGTCGTCCAGATCGACTTCCAGAGAGCCGATTTCCGGTGAAGCTGGTTTTGATGATTCCAATTTCGTGGTGGCCTTCTTAGCCTTAGCCTTGGCCTTCTTCTTCTTGTTCTTGGTGGACTTGGAGGAAGACGAGGTTGCTGAGGTGACGGAAAGGGAGTCAGGAACTGTGTCTAGGCTTGTTTTAGTATCCTGGGAGTCGACAGTCTTGGTGTCGATTGAGTCGACCGTCTTGGTGTCTGTGTCGTCGGCGCCCATGTCTAAGTTCAAATGCAAATAGTCAAGAGCAGGAGCGAGATCAGGACTGGTGTGGTCTGGGGGGTTCGTGTGGTCGGATCCAAACAGGGGAATGTGGGTAGGGGTTCTGCTTGAATCATGCACGCTAGGTGCTCCTGAATTTGAACCTAATCCGACTGTGGTGTTGCTGTGTTGTGAAAGTTTGGAATTGAGATTGGGACTCGTCGCTGGATCCAAATCAAACGACAGATCAAGTGTACCCAGCTTAGAGTCAAATAGCTGCGACGCGCGGCTAGCGTCAAACAGCTGGGAAGATGGTCTGTCTGTGCTGTCGAACAGCAGTGACGATTTGGCCGTGACAGTCTTGCTCGACGGCTTGGAGTCGTAGACGTCCAGGTCCAGAAGCAGCTCCTTCTTGAGACTCTCTCTGAACTTGCGGGTGTCCACTGCAGGTGAAACAAGCGACTCCTCCTCCTCAATGGTTTGGAAGGTGCGGTCGAACGAGTAGTCGAGACTCGGAACACTGTCGTTTCCGGCTGCTGGAGACTTGACAGGCGAGGGAGAGGTTGTAGGTCGAGCGGGATCGATGCTGGAGGAAGACGTAGTGGGCGGAGACGGACCAGAAACACTGCGTCTAAAAGAGAAACGTTTAGATCCGGTCTTGGACTTGGGAACGGACTCAGATTGAACTCGGTGAACAGCCGGGCGGGTCTTGGACACTCCTAGCTCTGAAACCCCTGCGGTGGTGGATTGGAGACGTGCGGAGGACGATTTGGCACGCTCGGGGGCTCTGGGCCGTTGACGGTCGTCTCGTCTAAAGAGGGCAAAGAGGTTTCGGAAGGCGCCCATGTTGTGGATGGCCGAGAAGAGTGAATGGCTATTGATTCGGCTTGTATATGGTCTGGGAAAACACTCTCCTTTCGGCTAGATAGAGTACTCCTCATGCACGAAATAGGGGTTTGACGCACAAGGAACATGTTGGTTGGAATCTAAAGCGAAGCTGGAAGGGTCACAAATGAATCGTCTGCCGGCGGGCTTTGTTGGTCTACGTCTTCTCCTTTGAGCATGTTTTGTTGTCGATTGTTACCTCCGATCCCATTTCGGTATACCAAAATGACGGCTTCATGATCTGCATGTCCATTAATTACGTTAGCTAAGACTTCCTGTGATAATTGCCATTTAACGGGCTGAACCTGCAACTGTCTCGAAAGGCTTGCAATATCCGCCAGCTAATCTCCAGAAAAAGCACTAAATGTCACCCTGCCCGGATCTGCTGGGGCTCCAACTGTTTAGCTCCACCGTTACCCCTGGTTTTATTTGGTCTCTGAAACTTTAGGCAGCCTTCATCCTGCACCCCGAGACATAATCTTGCTTGTAAGCCCATCCAGTCAATGCCGGAAACAGCACTCTCATGCCATCTGAGCCCGTGTAGCTCGTAGGACAGTAGACGACAGCTCTGTGGGGACCCACGTGTCCGTTGGTTCGATATAGCTGGAAATTGGGCACTTTGACACTTTTGACCACACTCTGGGTCTCACTTACAAAGCAGCCACACCAGTGCACCCAGGTGCCCAGGTACATTCTCGAGGATTGGAATGTACAACTTTGACTCAATCTTAAGGTGAATAATACGATGTGAAAAAATATATCCATGTCCAATCCCACACCACTCCAGATAAGTTCTTGTCCACGTTTCAGGATTTATTATCAGCAGACTATTACGTCACTTTTCGGATTCCCACACTCTCACTACTTGTACAAGTAGCAGCACAAATAAAGAGGTCCTATACGGTCCTGACCTGAATCTGACTCTACTTTCATCCTTTGAGCTAATCTCATGATGATCGATCTGAGCAGAAAAGGAAGAAATATGCCGTGCGCTGAGCGATGATCCGTTTCTAAAAACACGACCGAAGGTGTTTCATGTTTCACAGCGTGCAAATCAAAATAGTAGCCAAAAAAAACTGAGGTTTGCGGGCTCAACAGAAGGTGAGACGAGGTTCTGATACGTAAGTAAATATAATTGGAGTAAGTTGAGACAAATGATTATCATGAAGAGTTTGCTGAAATGATCATACCACGATGAATTTTAAGATGTATTAGCGTCATTTTCTCATCTCACGTTACATAACCATGTCCACTTTTTTGTGACAAACAACGGGTTTCGCTTATATAATCACGGAGATCTGAAAATACATAATCTAACATAACGAGATAAACAAAAACGTTTATCGCATATATTATTACTTTAGGTAAAATTTCGAGTCAAGTTTTTCCCCCTTAGAAAAACTCCGACACATATCGAAGCATTATCCACTCTGAAAAACTCGTCCAAAAATCTGGTCACGTGATTTCGGTGATATTTCAGATCCTATTGATTCAACGCAAAAATTTTATAACCGGCCGTGTGGTCTAGTAGCTATGATTCTCGCTTTGGGTGTGAGAGGTCCAGGGTTCAAATCCCTGCTCGGCCCTTTTTTGGAAAATGACATTACAAAGCTTTTTGCTTCTGCAGATGACGATGTTAGTGCGTTACAGTCATCTTTGCGACGCCAAATTTTTGCCGCGCCAAATCGGACTCATTCCTTCTCAACCATGATTATCACCATCATCGTCGTGAAATGTTGAAATATATATAAGCTCAGAGTTTCTCGGGCATCATGCAACACGAGGGAACAGAAAGTATCGTCAGAATATCGTCGTATATAGTTGTTGCAACTACAATGGAAGTTCTGCTCTGTCATTCACCACTGTTTCTTCTGGTCCGTATGTCGTTGCTCTACTTCTGAGCAACATTCAAGCACTTTTGACAGGTGTTTGGGGCTCTGTGCATTGCATCATGCTGTATTAGGGTAGCCCCCAACCAGTCGTGTCGCTATGCACAACGTGTCACCTCCACAAGACAAGGTTGGCGTCTATTTTTCATCCCCATCAAAAACTCTCTCTACCCCCAAAACCCCGTTTGGAATACAGAACTTGAAGAGTTTTGTTTGTCTGGTCCCCTCCCTGTTTGTTTGTTTGTTTTTGTTGAAGTGAGTATGAATTGAGACCGAGGATCCGAGTGTTGATGCCGCAGAGGTTGCGTTATGGCTAAACAGTGTCTCATTTGATCTGTTTCCATGGAGACCAAAAAGGAGATGCACAAGTGGACACAGTCCTTGTACACTGGAGCATGCCCTGGATAATTCATTGAATCAACTGACATCTGCCGGATCTCATTTATACATGTTACACCAACAGTTATCTGATGTGTGTGCTTGTGCCACACAAGATGCTGTCAAGACATGACGACCCCCACCACCACCCCACTAACACAGATGTCCGACCTGTCCCCCGCTGAGCTTCTCCGGCAACGACATGCTGCCGTGAGCGCTGCCGCCGAGCCCACCCTCACCGTTTCTGAGGGCTCTCTGTCCAAGGAGTCTTCTCCCGTTCCCGAGATTGCCCCTGCCGCCCCCGTGAAGTCTGTCGCCGGTCCCTCCGCCGCCTCCAAGCGAAAGGGTCTCGATATCAACTCTCTCGAGGCTTTCCCCGCTCTTAATGGTGGTGCCGCTGCCCCCAAGGCTGTTTGGGGTAAGGGAGGCTCTGCTCCCGCTGCCCCCTCCCCTCAGTCCTTTGGTCGAGCCGCTTCCACCACTATCTCCGATGTCTTCACTCTCAAGCGAGAGGAGCAGCAGGTTGGTGTGCGATCCGAGCTGCCCAAGATCATTGCTAAGGTCAAGGCCAACACCTCCACTACCATCGACTCGTCCACCTCCAAGATTACGGGCCACACCTCCTTTGTCATCAAGGGTACCCCCGAGAACGTGGCCAAGGCCCGACGTGAGCTGCACCGAGCCCTGTCCCAGAAGATTGTCGCCAAGTTTGAGATCCCCGCTAGCGTGCGAGCTGCTGTGATTGGCCCTCGAGGTTCCAACCTGAAGCCCATTCTTGAGAAGTCCGGTGCCCATATCCAGATTGAGAAGCTCGAGTCCAACGGCAACAACGCCGACGACGACGAGGAGACGGTCGAGGTCATCGTCGAGGGTGACTCTGAGGGTATTGCTATTGCCAAGCAAGAGATCTTTGCCATTGTGTCCGAGCGAGTCAAGAACATGACCATCCGAGTTCGAAACGTCAACTATGTGCTGTTCCCCTTCCTTGACAAGACCGCCGGAGACCTCACCAAGGGCGAGGACGACGTCAAGCTCAGCATCCCTGATATCTTTGCTCCCAACTTCACCACGGCCGCCACCATCACTCTGTCTGGCGACCGAGAGGCCACCGCTACCGTCAAGGAACGACTTGAGCGTCTTGCAGAGTCTCTGTCCACCGACCTTATCACCTCCACCGAGTCCTTCCCTGCTTCCAAGCACAAGTACATTTCTGCCAAGGATGTCTTTGCCGCCACCTCCGTGTTTATCACTGTGCCCCAGGCCCCCAACACCTCCGATGACACCGTCAAGTTCCTGGGTCTGCCCAAGGACATCAAGCCCGCCATGAACAAGGTGTCTGAGCAGGTTAACTCCGTCAAGATTGATCTTTTGGACATTTCTCGAGCACATGGCAAGAGCGTGCCCCATGCCCAGGCTTTGGCTTCTTACTTCAAGGCCTCTGGTATGCTCCAGAAGATTGCTGACGAGTACAAGGTCGAAATCTACATCCAGCAGCCCGATCAGCTCTACGCTCCTGGCGCCCAGGCCGTCACTATCGAGACCTCTGGTCCCAACGAGGAGGCTGTCAAGGCTGCCCGAAAGGCCATTGTGGCTCTGGTAAACAAGTACGAGCCCTCCAAGGTCTCTCGAGTGTCTGACATTGATCCTTTTTTCCTGCGAAACCTCGCTGGCCCCAAGGACCGAAACCTGGCCAAGTACAAGAAGGACCACGGAGTCACTGTCCTGGTGCCCGAGAACCCCAAGGTTAACGGTGACGTGATTCTCATCTACGAGGGCACCTCTGAGGAGGATGATTTCGGCCCCTCCGCCGACGAGATCAAGGCCACCTTTGCTGCTGTCGACTCTTCCTTTGCCGATATTCGAGAGAAGCAGGCCAAGATCATTGGCAAGCTAATTTCCGTCCCCGTTGGCGAACACAAGTTTGTCCGAGGTCCCGATAACACTACCCTTCGAGCCATTGTTGGCGGAACCGAGGGCCACGAGCCCTTTGTCCGAGTCACCTTTGGTGACGAGATCAAGGACGCTGAGGAGCCCGTTTCTGCGGACTCCATCTACGTGCGGGGTCTCAAGGATGAGGTCACCCGAGTGCTCAAGGAGATCGAGGAGGCAGTGGAGGACGGCAAGAACTATGCTGTTCTGTCCCAGTACACCACCGAATTCCAGATCCCTCCCGAGCATGTCAAGCATGTTGTTGGCAAGGGCGGCTCCCAGCTCGCCAAGTTCCGTGAGTACGGCGTCAACATCGATCTCGACGAGTCCGGTCAGGGTGTTGTCAAGGGTATCAAGAAGAACGCCGACGAGGCCAAGGTTCAGATTCTGGCTTTCGCCAAGAAGATTGCCGACGAGGTCAACGTCAAGCTTCCTGTGCCTGCTGACCACCACGCCTCTCTGATTGGAACTGGTGGCAAGTTTGTCAAGCGACTGGAGGAGAAGTATGACGTTCGAATTCGGTTCCCCAAGACCGGTGAGGAGAACGCCAACGAGATCGTCCTTCGAGGTCCCTCCAAGGGTGTGGCGAAGGCCAAGGAGGAGATTTTGGATCTCGTAAACTACGAGATTGAGAACTCGCACTCGCAGACCATTTCCGTCCCCGTCAAGTCTCTGCCCCGAATCATTGGTCGAGGCGGAGAGTTCATCAACGACATCAAGGACTCCACCAACACTCGAATCGACGTCAAGCAGGAGAAGTCGGATAACACCGACGAGACCGGCAACGTTGACATTGAAATTGTTGGTACAAAGGCCGGCGTCAAGGAGGCTGCTGCCAAGATCCAGGCTATCGTTTCTGAGTTCCAGGACACTGTCATTGAGCACATTGAGGTGAACCCCAAGTTCCACGGTGCTCTGATCGGTCCCGGCGGTCAGACTCTCAAAGACATCCTCACCAAGGCCGGTATGACCGACGTGACCCCCTCCGTTGCTGCTCGAACCGTTGCTGTTCCTGCTGCCGGCACCAAGGATAACAAGGTGCGAGTCCAGGGCTCCAAGAAGATTGTGGCCAAGATTGTCAAAATCATCCAGGACATGGTTGCCGAGCGGGAGTCCCAGATCTCTGAGGTTGTTGATGTGCCCGTTTCCAAGCACCGAGATCTCATTGGAGCTGGAGGTGCTGCCAAGCGATCCCTCGAGGAGAAGTTCAAGGTTACTCTGCAGATCCCCAAGCAGGGCGCCAAGAACAAGGATGGAGAGCTCGACACCGGCGTCTCCATCACCGGTAAGGCTGAGGATGTCGCTACCGCCAAGGCCAAGATCCAGGAGCTGTCCCAGGACAAGTGGAAGGAGGAAATTCTGGTCCCCCGAACCTTGCACACCACTGTGTCCGACAACGGAAACCTGCCCCGAAAGCTCAAGTACGAACTCAAGGTTAACGTTGACCACGGCTCTGTCCGAACTCCTCGAGACGGCAACCCCGTTGTCCCCGCTGGTGCCATTGGCTCCGATTCTGAGGACAAGGACTCGTTCCGATGGTCTGTTGTCGAGGACGCTGTCGACCACGCTGCCAACGGCACCATCCCCTGGAGGCTTGAGGGCTCTGACGAGAACGTTGCCAAGGCTAAGGCCATCATTGAGGCTGCTCTGGATGTTGCTCTCAAGCACACTCAGACCGGATACCTGTGGCTCCCTGACACCTCTCGATACCGATTCCTGGTGGGTCCTCATGGAGCCACCGTGTCTCACATCCGAGAGAAGTCTGGCTGCAAGATCTACATCCCCAAGGCTGGTGTTGCTGACTCTGCCGTGACCGTGCGGGGCTCCCCCGAGGGTCTGGAGAAGGCCAAGGAGATGATGCTTGCTGCTCTCAAGAAGTAAGCTTGTGTTTGTTTCAGGGATGCAAAAAATGTACTGCGGGTACGATTCGGTAGTATTTAGTATTTAGTATTTATATCATTTGAGATTGTATGTTGTGGTGCGCACACAGGTCGTCTGTTGTGCGTATCGTAGTGTGTGTTGGGATATTTGAAGTGTTCTCCAGGCCCACAGTGGTTCGACTATGGCCGCCGGAGCCCTTATAATACTCAATTCTGTAACCCTTCTGATATAGGAGCTCCATCTTTAGTGCGCCTTTCAAGTGAAACATTTGGGTAGATAGAACCATTCATACAAGCATCATCGAATTCAGTAAATGTAAGCTTTGTCGCCAGTAACTTGTTGGTCATCCATCAGCAAACCAGCTGTCGCCGCTGTGCCGGGTCACCTGAGTTTGATTATGATGTTCGCTTGTCTGAGAGAGCCCCATGTTCCAAATATGCTGGTCGTGTATACATAAAACTATTTTTTTACAGCACAAGTACCGGTCCGGTACTTGTAGTCAGTTACTCAAGAAAAAATCATCTCATCTCGTATATGCTCGTATTTAATTTAGCTTCCGGGTTGTCGTAATATGTAATCCTATTTTTAAATTACGTCAGCAATGTTAATCTGGAGAAGCCATGTTATTAACAATGTTTAGAGATAAATTTAGGTCTATATTCTCATATAGTTTTACCTAACTAACTGTTTATCATGCTTGTGAGCCACAATCCGCATTCAAAACCTCATCTCACGTGACCTGTTTTCCCCGCGCATTATCGTCTCGTGCAGGTGCATATGGGTAAACTACTGTGTCTTACAATTGTACTTTCTACACAATGCATGTTTATGCGTTTAGCTCTACTTGTACTTACTTAGCTACTGGAAACTGTAGCTCCCCCTCCCCCTATCTATGTTAGTTGTTACCATTTTAAAACTTGCCCTTCTGCTCAGGAACAATGGAGATAACCTTTCCAGTATCAACAAAGCTCTCGAGGTTGTCCAGAACCGCCTTCTCCATCTTGAAATGGGTCTCGTGGGACCAGGTTCCCATATGAGGCAGAAGCAGGGTTCTAGGGTGTTTCAAAAGACCTTCTTCAATGGCAGGCTCTCGCTCGAATACATCGAGACCGACTCCTCCAATCTTTCCAGAGTTTAGACCGTCCACTAGGGCCTTCTCGTCGCAAACAGGGCCTCGAGCGGTGTTGACAATGATGACTCCGTCCTTCATTTTGGAGATGGACTCTGCGTTGACGAGGTGCTTGGTAGCAGCATTAAGAGGCACGTTGATGGAAATGACATCGGCCTTGGAAAATAGATCTTCAGGCGACTGGCAGTAGACAGAGTCCTTTTCCAGCTCGGGGGCCAGGCGATTTCGGTTGTAGTACAGCACCTTGCTGAAACCCAGAGGAGCCACGTAGTCTCTGATTTCTCGGCCGATTCCGCCCATACCGAGAATTCCGAGAGTCTTGCCGGAGATGTCGTTGCCCAGGGCCACTCCCTTGAGCCATTGGCCCTTTTGCAAGTTGAGAGCTCCGTCTCCGAAGTTTCGCAGGGTGCCGATCATTAGATACAGGTTCGTGAGAGCAGTCGACTCGTCGGCCATGGACTGCACGTTGCTGACCTGAATGCCTCTTTCGGAGAAGAAGGGCACATCGATCTGGTCATAGCCTGCTCCGTAATGGCAGACAGCTTTGCAGGACTCAGGAAGAGCCTTGGCCAGCTCCTCGTCGAACCGGCCGGTCTTTTTGACACTGATGAAGGTTCGGAAGATGGCATTGATGTCCTTGTAGGTGTTTTTGAGGTCCTTGAGAAACGATTCTCGGTCAGTTCCATCCTTGAGAGTCACCACGTCGGCCTTCTTCTTGAGCTTTTCAAACTCGTCTTTGGCGTCCACCACGTTGTCAAGGAACAGGATCTTCTGTCTTTGGGTCGAGTACAATCGGGCGAGCGACTGTCGCGCAAACTGTGGTCGGATACGGAGCATTGTGTGTTGCAATTGAGTGTGTTGTTGGATGCGTACTGTACTATTAGTCTGGGGTTAGCTCCTTGGGTACTTCCTCCTTTAGGTTGACCCCCACGCTAAGCGGAGCACCCCCACAAGGTCATTGGGACTTTTGAGGGCTCTATCCTCAGGCTTTTATTGGTGGCCCACATGAGTCAAAGTCTGACTCAATAGCACGCCCACACACGCACTTGTGCGGTTACAATTGACAGTTGCAGGTTTTGTACGAGACGGGGTACCACTCCTTACAGTTACACACAGGGCATGTAACTCGAAGAAAGAAGACGTATAACCACGTATAAATGCGCAATAGTGCAGTCTGAAAGAGACATGTATGGGAGCAAAGGTTCGCCACGAGGTGAGCTACTTGTACCAATGCCAGGCTATCATCTAGCCTCCTTTGCATCTGCTGTAGCTGCTATAATAGCCCTTCATCATATAAGGGTCATATCTGTTTGGCGCTGAATAATTAGATCCCACCGCCAGCCTGCTTGAACTTGCCTCAGACGTTGTTTTTTTTCCGCCACCTTAGTAATTCATGCAGATGAGATGTGTTCCAAGGCGGACTTATCTGGAGAGCTCCCATGAGAACTGTAAAAATCTAAAGATATATATCTGTTTAAAATTATTTATTCAATTGATTTCCGAAAACTCCGGCTGGAAATGCCTATTCTCCGTCCCTCTAGCTCCTCCCCTCCCTCCTGCTGCCCTGTCTCAAATGTACCTTGCGTCCAAATAGCGTTGTATACCTAAAGCCATCAGCCCTGCACAGCAGGACTCTAATACTTAAGCCCCGGATTTCGCCACCTTTCGCAACTACACACCATGCCCTCTCTAGCCGATATCAAACAGGTCAATGCGGCCTATAAGCCCACCGTTAAGGATGCCGTTGCCGTCTTCTTCGGCGGAACGTCCGGAATCGGAAAAGAGACCGCCTACATGTTTGCTAAGAAGTTCGATAGCCCCACGGTGATCATTGTGGGACGAAGTGAAGAGGCAGGCAACAAGATTGTCAATGATCTCAAGGAGCTCAATGCAAAGGCAACCTTCATTAAGAGCGATCTGTCGCAGATGAAGGAGGTGGTGCGAGTGTCGGACATTGTCAAGCGGGACGTGACCAAGATCAACCTGCTGTTTCTGTCCCAGGGCATTCTGAGCACCGCTGGAAGAACTGAGACCTCGGAGGGAATCGAGCTGCGAATGTCGCTCAACTACTACGGTCGATGGCTCGCCGTCAAGGAACTGCTGCCTCTGGTTCAGACGGCCTACGACGAAGGAGACAAGGACAATGCACGTGTCATGACTGTGCTGGCACCCGGAAACGAGGGTCCCTACGTGGAGGACGACATGCAGCTGCGAACTAAGTTCTCCATGATGAACCAGAACCGTCATATTGTGCAGTTCAGCTCTGCAGCAGTCATGAAGTTTGCTCGAGAGCATCCTGATCTGTCCTTCATTCACGCTCACCCCGGTCTCGTGGCCACTGGAATCATGCGAGAGCTGCCCTGGTACGTCAGATACCCTTCTGCTATTCTCATGAAGACTCCTTGGGCCGTTTCTCCTGCTGACTCTGGAGAAAAGTTCTTCTACATGAGTGCGTCTTGCCCCAAGTTTGCCCACGGCGCCTTCCTGCTCAACCCTGCCTGTGAGTCCATCAAGGAGAAGCCCGTCAGCAAGGGATACTTGACTGAGCAGCATCAGGACAAGATCTGGAAGCACACCGAGGAGGAGTTCGAACTCGCTCTCAATGGTCTTAACAAGGCCTAACTTTTGAACAGTTGGACGATAGTGTATAGTTACGATAGTATTTATAATTGAATGAGTGTAAAATTACTGTATATACAGTAGAGAGTCCCTGGTGCTATTGGGGGGTGTTTAAGTCGTTTAGCTATTAGTGTTCCTGGCTGTTGTATGCTGCGGCCCGCATCCTTATGGTCAATATGTTGGATGTGTGCTGCATGTCGGTGAAATCCTGTCGTCGTGTTTGTATCGTGGTGTATCGTATAAATGCTACTGTGTCCATGCTCCCGGCGGCATCTCTCTATAGCTCGTCTTTAACCATCTTAATCGCCGAGGTAATATCTGACGTCACGAACAGATAATAGACCGCCTCGCTGAATCCAAAGGCGAGACAGATGGCGAGGAATATCTTGGCAATCACGTTGCGCTGGATCTCGTAGCGTCCCTTCTCGATGAGCCGGATCAGAGCCTCCTGCTCGTCCTTGCTGAGATTCATGAAGAAGTCCAGGAGTCGCAAGAAGATGGATCCGGTCACACAAATGATGAGAAAGTGCTGCACTCGGTTAGCCTCTTGCGAGTACCACCAACCTTCCGGTGCCTTGGTGTTGATATGTCCGGAGATGAAAAACACGTCGAGAACGGTGGTGAACAGTAACGTGTAAATCTCGTCTCGTCGGGTCACCACTCCTGGAGACCACGGAATGTATGCAAGGCCCAGGAGGCAGCCATAATCGAGAAGCACGCAGAAGATGGACACGGCCAGTGAGCTCTGAAACGAAGCCATGATGTGTGTGTGTTGGTGAGTATGACCGTCGTTGGCAAGTGTGTCGTATGATGTTTATCAAGAATCTACACCAGAGTGCAACTTCAACGCCATCTCATGAAAGTTAGCGGGGTACCCGTGCGTCTCAGACGTCGGTACAGCGTTAGCGAAATTATCACGTTGGGACCGTTGCGTATACTGATGAGATTCTGCCTGTATAACAGTTGTGCTATGTCGTAAACGGGTCTACTTGTAACTCCTCGGCACAAGCTTCAGACTACTGGTAACTTCGTAATACAAAAATATAGTCTCAACCGGCAAACTAATAAGATGGCCACTACAAGTATGATACTTCTAGCACGTTCCACTTGCTCTATCTATCCGAAAGTAACATCTTCACAAGACATGGTCCAGTCTACAAGTGTACCAGTGTATAAAAATAAACGACACCTCTGCAGCAGCTACTTGTAGCTTGAAGTGCAAAAGATTACAGCACCCAGGATTCTCGTATGGTCTCCCACTACAATACTAACTAGGCTCTCTGGTGCTTGACTATGGCTGATCGGACGGGAAGCCGTATTTTCACCAGGATATGGCCGTAACCATAACTCCGATACGGGGAATCGAACCCCGGTCTCCACGGTTCTCAACATGAGAGCGTGATGTGATAGCCCCTACACTATATCGGAAATATACGTAAAAAAATGATGAAATCACCCTTGACCCATGGTCTAGAAAATAGACTCTTAATCTATAATTATATTTACATCAGTAAATAAAGTGGTAGATACCTTTGAGTATATTCTTTATCTCAGTGTAGTCTTGGATCACATAGTATTGTTTTGCGATGTGCTTTAAGGCACTTACTGAAAACCAAAGGCGTGCCTATAGTCTCTAAAAGAGTGTAAAGCTTCGGAAGTGTACAGTAATAGATGCAACTCAGACAATATTTCTATCCGAGCAAGTTACAATTTCGATCCTGTCAGCTAACCTTTCCACTGTACCACATTGTTCTACTAACAATACTACTAAGTCTCTCCAGTTTTGGTTCTATCAAATCAATTTCTAAGGTCTATGTTATGTGTCTATAAATATGTTGGTCCTGGATCCGCTTAGCAGAAGTCGAAGTCGGGGAATCCGAGGTCAACACCCCACTTAGGCTTGGAGGTTCGGTGGATACCCTCGGTCTTGTGGAGGTCGTTCAGAGCCTTGAGGTCCTCCTGAGACAGGGTGACAGCAGACTTACCGTTCTCGATGATTCGAGAGTTAGTGACGGATTTGGGGATGACAACAGTGCCGTTACCAATGTGGTAAGAGGTGAGAATGCCACCGGGGGAGGTCTTGTACTTGTCGGCAAGCTTGAGAACCAGCTCGTTCTTGAGAAGAGGGCCTCCGACGGAACCAAAGGGAGAGAAGGCAGTCATGATGATGTTGTTCTTCTTGCAGAACTCCATGAGCTCGAGCTGGGGGAGCAGAGGGTGCAGCTCGACCTGGTTGACAGCAGGGACAACCTCGGCCTCCTTGAGCAGCTCCTCGAGGTAGGGGATGGAGAAGTTGGAGACACCGATAGACTTGGTCTTGCCAGTCTTGAGGACAGCCTCCATTTGCTTCCAGGTCTTGGGCTGGGAGCCGGACTCGTCAATGTCTCGAGATCCGTCCTCTCGAAGAGGGTAAACGGGGTCGTTACCGTTGGGGTTGAGGGGAACAGGCCAGTGAATCAGGAGCATGTCGACATAGTCGAGACCAAGTCGCTCGAGAGACATGTTGAGGTTCTCCTCGACTCGGTCATGGTAAGTGACCCAGATCTTGGTGGTGACAAAGATGTCCTCTCGCTTCACACCCTTCTCCATGGCTCGCTTGATACCAAGGCCGACGGCGTCCTCGTTTCGGTAGTTGAAGGCGGTGTCAATGTGTCGGTAGCCACCCTCGGTGAGAGCGCACTCGACAGCACCGGCAACCTCCTCGGTGGTGGACTTCCAGGTTCCCAGACCGATGGCAGGGATGGTCTTGCCGTTGTTCATGGTAAAGTCGATAGAAGTCATTGTGATTGTTGTGTGTTTGTGAATGTATTGATATCGAACCACAGCATGGAAAATAGCCCCTTTATATACATTATTCGTGGCAAACTCGGCTCTCCTACAAGCCCTCGATGCTAGAGTCTGAATGTTGATATTGGAGGTTTAGTGACGTAATGTGCCTGACTTATGTGTAACCGAACCCTAAAGGGTGACGAACACTTTTGTCCAAATGCCCGTTATGGCGTACATTTATGCCTCAACAGCAGCATTAGAGATAACGAATTGACGTCATAGCAACAGGAGGTAAAAATGATCAGCGGCATTTATTGAGTCTTTCGCAATCTGTAGATGTTTTTCTCGTCAATTCTCTATTTGTTCTAACCACCTCTTCTGCTCCGTGCGCGACTCCCGATGTCGTGTTAGTTTGGTGTTTCCTACAAAGAGTACAAGTAATTAGTCCAGAATATGAAGTGTACAAAACTTCCCAGCACAAACCCATTCTTCCCTCTTTTTCTCTCTCTCTCTCTCTTTTCTCAACCGCACGTAAAACCTGTATCTCTCTCTCTACAGTAACGCCACTTCCATGTCCTTTCGGTCTCAACTCTCTTTTGGCTCAGTTGTTACACGGCTACAAGTAGGAGAGAATATGGATCCACAGGAAGATTTAGGCCTGAAACCAAGACTCAGACATCTTTCATCAACGAAAATAGCCCGGAACAAAAGTAAACAGGATATGCTATGTAATTCTCCAGGTTCAACTTCCCAGTCCATCAACTTCTATGCACCATTTTTGTTACCCCTGAACCCGATATTCTGCGGTTTACTGTACGGCTCCTATACAGTTGGGTTATTACATCATCATACAGATATCACGGCCCAGGGACACGTATTACGACGTAAAAGGTAGATAGGGCCCTCAAAAAGTTACAGAAAGGGATAGGATTACTGGAATTTGCGATCAAACATGGAACTTTGATCAAAAGCGGCCGTGAAACGTGTTCAAGTGCCCCTTCTCGCGCTCCTGGTCCCTCGTCCCTTTCACACACTAAATATGTATCATCAGAGACAATGAAACGAGAATGTGATTTCAAACACTCTTCGATTGATTAACCACCCGAAAAAATCTGCAAGTGTTCCATCCATAAGCCCTCAGGTAGATCTGACATCTAATGCTGTGATAACAGCAATCTACCGAATTCTAGAAAGGTTCGGCTAGTTGCTCCTGCGCGCATATTCTCATAAGACGCCCTCGCGATTACCTAAGCTCGGATATGGAAAACTTATATTGTCGACAACAAACTCAAGACACCCATGCAGCTTCCAGATTAGACCGCATTCCATTTGCCGGCTTTTATCCGGTTCACTAAGCAATCCACATCCGTCATGCAATTGGCCAGGACATGATAGCGGCGAATAATAAGGGAAGAAAGGCAGGTGTCTCAGGCTAAAGGGAGAAGTTTTCTCAAGGCGCTAAATGGCGTTTTCCACACTGTTGTGCTACGCTTCTTTGATCTTCCCCCGGTGTTTAACGCAAAAGACCGCGTTTTCTCTGATTTTTTTGTATTTTCCTAGAATAATTTTCTTCCAGTATTTTTTTTTATTCTAATGATTCATTACAGCTCACGTGACTTTCTCACGGACCGACACTCAATTTTTCATATTTTTTTCAAAAATCGGTTTCTTGGTCTAGTTGGTCATGGCATCTGCTTAACACGCAGAACGTCGGCAGTTCGATCCTGCCAGAAATCACTTTTTTACTACTCAAAAGTCTGGTGCAAGTATTTTGGGCTCACGCTACAGTCACCGCTTGCACTCACCTCAATCAACACAGGAAACATACTCTTAGAAATACACTCTTACTTTCACCATACCTTTCTCTTTTATTATTAAATAACTACCGATGCACCCTATTCCTTCTTGGCATGGGCAAAGACCATCATGGAGCCCTCCTTCTCACCGGCAAAATGATCCCAGAGTCGGAAAGTGCCAATCTCCTCGCCATCTCTCTTCTTGACGTCCCACTCGTTGATCTTGCCGCCCTTTCCTCGACCAGCAACAAACTCGTCAGAGTCATCATAGCCGTAGCCAAACACACCTGAGCCCAGCTTGCCCTCAAGACAGACCTCAAAGTCATACATAAAGCAGATTCGAGCTACAGCACAGTCCAGCTCGGAGTAAGCAAGAGCTCTACCGATACAGGATCTAGTACCGATAGAGAAGGGAGCGTAACCAGCTCGAGCGTTTGCAGTTTCATTGAGAGCAGCCTTCTCGTCGATATCCTGGGCCACGTCCGAGTACTTGGACGAATCATCCACCTGGCCGCCCCGCAGCCATCGGTAGGGGTCGTATTCGAGAGGCTTAACAAAGTGCTTGGGGTTTCTGTGCATGGACCAGGTGGAAACTCCGACATCACAACCCTTAGGGATCTTGCAACCATCAATTACAACGTCTTCCAGGGCAGTTCGTGGGAGAACACCCGGCACGGGAGGAGACAGACGCATGGACTCATCAATGCAGGCTCGCAGAAGAGGGATGCCCTTGGTGAGGGTAGAGCCGGAGTGGATTTCGTCAACAGAGTAGAACTGGGCTCGAACCTGTCGAGTCAGCTCCTTTCGGACATCGGGATGAAGACCCAGGTAGTGGAGACAACCAGCCAGAGAAGTAGCAGTGGTATCGGAGCCAGCGACAATCAGTAGGTTAGATTCGGACAACAGCTCGTTTCGCTCAAAGCCCTTGCCGGTCTCGGGGTCGGTGGCATGCATCAGGTAGTGGAAGAGATCCTTTCTGTGTCCCTCATCACCAAGAGCCATTCTCTTGGAGGCCACGGCCCGGGAGTACTCGACAAACTTCTTTCGGTCCTCGACAATGTGACCAAAGAAGTAAGAGCCGATGAAGGGCAGTTTGTCTAGCAATCGGAAGCAGCCGTAAACGAGATGTCGATGAGCAGCGTTAGAAGTCATTCGCAGAGCAAAACGGTTGTCGGCAGAAGTCAGCATATCAAAGCCCTTACCGAAGCAGAGCTCGCCCATGACATCAAAAGAGAAGTAGGAAGTCAGTCGAGAGATCATCTTGGCGGGCTTTCCAGAGGGAGTAACTACAGTGTCTCGAGTGTTGTCTCCGAGAAGATCACATAGCTGCACAATCTTGTCCATGATGTAGGGCTGGGCAGAAGCCAGGGCCTGTTCAGAGAAGGCATGGGACATGACTCGCTTTTTCTTGGCATGTTCGGACTTGATGATGGCAGAATGAACAGAGGGGAAGCCTTTGACGGCAGGAAAGCCTTCGTAGAAGTCGGACTTGATGAACTCCTTCTTGTTACCGGAGTAAATGTGTTTGAGAGCAGCGCCGGTATCGAAGGAGACCTTGTTGGGGGCGTATCTGACGACTGAGCCGTACTTTCGGTGCAGTCGATAGTAGTGAAGATGTCGGTCGCCCTTCCAGGCGTGGTACACGTCAGGAATTGAACTGAGCTTGCACAAGAGAGGGCCAGGGTATTGTGCTAGAGGATGGAGAGTCAGTCTGTAAAAAGCAGCCAGGGCCAGAAAGCCGCCCACAAAGGCAGCCACTAGGGTCACAAACTGGACAATGGTTTCGAGTAGTGACATTGTGTGTGTTTGTGTTTGTGAATGCTGTGTTGAAATGTCGAGGGAAGGCGCCTCTTATATGCTGAAGGAATGTCACACAGTTACACTACTTGTAGCTACAGAGACAATGTAGTTGCACCAATGGAACAAGCTACAAAGGCTATTACTGCTTACCCCAGAAAATCGACACTCTGGAACGCATTAGCCGAAAGAGTCCCCGCATAGTATAGCCGTGTAGATTTCTCTGATGGAGAGGACTACCAGTAGGCCATACCCAACGTGGACAATTATTCGCACGACACTGACATTTAAGGCTCCAAATAACCATTAAATCACACCACCCACTCGCGAATCCCATACACAACCGCCTCTTCCCCTCCTGCTCACCCCACGGATCAGCGCTCATGGTAAGGCTGGAACTTCCCCATACTTTGAGAACCAAGACCGGCTCGTGCAGATAACAAGTGCAAGCCAAACACTAACGGAAATTTTATCTGCAACGGCTATTGAGTCGATATCCGAGGGGGGTTTTGGAGGGTAAAAGGGGGAGGATATGTGGCAATATAACTACTCCAGCACAAAAATAGAACATTTTACTTCTCTATTGAAATATCGTCAGCCCCCCAAATCTCTCCAACACTCCCTTTTTCAACCGCCTCAAACCCTCCCCTCTTCTCCTGGTATAGCCGTGAAGGTTGGGAATACGGAGGAGAACGGTAACTTTGTCTGGAATCCAGAAGAAACAAACAAGAGCAGACATAGCGTCACAGCGGACATAGCCGGCGATGAAAACCAATCGTTGCGGACAAATTAAGCACCCAATAAATGACTTGAAACCGTGGCTAAAACGCAGGAACCTCAGCCGTTCAAAAGTCGCTTCAAATACACAGTCTACACACCTTCCACAGTAGGTAAATACTCTACCCTTCATTGGACACCTCCTCTTTAAGCTAACCTCTTATAATATATACTACGGAGAACAATCAAAAATTAGCCTGGTCCCCTTCCTCGGCTAAAACTTCAATGGAGCAACTCCAACCCGATAATCTGCCCATTCTCCGGAGAATTCTCTTCCGGCACTTGGCACAATGAGCGCGCTTTACAAACGCAGTTTCATGCGGCGGGTGTGGCGAGCGTGGCGCGTATCAGCTTTATGATGATCTACAGGTATGTACTACAAGTACCTACTGCTACCTGGAATACCACGTAGTATACAAGTTTGCTCATATTTATCTGTGTATTGCTTGGCCAGGTTAATTGAAATTGCACGCCTCGTCTCTAGAGATGACTAAAGGTTGCCTCGCTTGGCCTGCTCCCGCTCAATGGCCTCAAACAGAGACTTGAAGTTGCCGGCGCCAAAACCCTCAAAGTTTCGTCGCTGGATGATCTCAATGAACACGGTGGGCCGGTCCATCAAAGGCTTGGTGAACAGCTGCAGCAGATATCCGCCCTCGTCGAAATCAATCAGAATGTTGAGCGCCTGGATATCCTCAAACTTCTCCTCGAGCTTCAGAGATGACTTTGCCAGCCGCTCCTTCATGTTCTCGTAGTAAGATCCAGGGACCGAAATGAACTCCACGCCACGAGCCCGCAGATCTCGGACGGTGTCCAGGATACAGTCGGTCCGCAGAGCAATGTGCTGGATACCGGGGCCGTCGTAAAAGTCAATGTACTCCTCAATCTGGGACTTTTTCTTGCCCACGGCCGGCTCGTTGACGGGCATCTTGATCTTCTCGTTGGGTGAGGCCATGACCACGGACTTGAGAGCAGAGAACTCGGTGCAAATGTCCTTATCGTCGACCGACCAGAACCGGTGGAAGCCCAGAGTCTCCTCGTAGTACTTGCATGCGTTATCCATCTCGTTCCAATCCTGGTTTCCAACGCAGTGGTCGATGTGCATGAGCTCAATGTTGGGCAGGAAGGCCGCGATGGGGTCCTTGTTGGCGGAGGTGTCGACAAATCCGGGAAGAAAGGCGCCCTCGTAGCTGCCTCGCTCAATCAGAGTGTGAGTGGTATCTCCGTAGGTAGAGATGACGGCGTAGGTGACGGAGCCATGTGCGTCCTTGAGCACCTTGGGCTCGGAAATCACTCGGACGCCCTTCTTGACAGCAGCAGAGAAAAGCTGCTCCACATTGTCGACCTCAAAGGCCACATCCTTGACGGCGTCACCGTGCTTGACCAGATGGGCGTGGATCTCGTCGGCTTGGGGCTCTCCGGTTCTCAGGGCAGACGAGAATGCAAATCTGACCTGGCCGTTGCCCACGACATGGGTGGTCACGTCTCGAGAGCCAGTCTCAAGACCCTTGTAGGCGATGGGAGAGAATCCCATTCGGGTGATGTAGAAGGAGGCGGCCTGCTTGGCATTACCAACGTACCAGTGGACGTGGTCATAGCCCCGATAGCTGTCTAGCGAGTTGGTCACCTCGTACGAGGTGGGTGTGTGTGCAGGGGTGACTTCGACGGAAGGTGACATGTTGTTGGTGGTTATTTGTTTGTGTGTCAAAATTGTGTAGAGAGAGAAAATTCTAGGTCGAGCCCATCTTCTATATATATTGGAGATTCTTATTTGTGTCGCATACGCTCTGAAAAAAAAAAAAGGTCCAAAATGCACATTAAGATTATCGCGGTGCACAATCAGTCTCCGCGTCTTACCGGAGGGGTACCAAACGGCGCAAAGTTATCGGCTGTTAGGGTTCATCGTAGTGGAGGAGCAAGTGTCTCGTGAGGAGGGGTAGAGGGGGGGTTTACGGTAGTGGCAAACATTGGAAATTGTGCCCCCCAAACAACACATTTTCCCACTCCTTCTCTGTACCATCTCACACCCATTGCCGAATTGCACACTAGTGCAACAAGTTATAATACCACCCACCACCTCCAATACCCGGGGCGTCTCACATGCACCGAAGATCTATCCGCACTAACAGATTATCCGAAGGAAGGTCTATAGGTGTGGATGACCCCGCGCAGTCAATAACCGGATAAAAGTAGGAACCTGCAGATAAGGGGAGTGCAGCGAATGTGGTGGTGGGGGGATGAGATGAGGTGATATTACGGGTGGTTGTATAACAGCAAGCAGGGATGGTGGGGTATCGTAGACACATACAGTGCCCATCTCACTCGCCCGGCTGTTGAAGGACATAATAAATGAACTCATTATAGGGAAGCGTCTATAGAGAAAAATTTGTCATGCGTATTATAACTCGACTCTATGACAAGGTGCAGTTATCGTGTGTCTTCTGATTGGACACTACACGTGGAAAGGGTAAGTCGGATTGATTTTGGAAAAACAAACTACTTGTACAATACTGTACTAGTGAAGGGTGCTCAAGGGATCTGTGGGGGAGTTTGAATGGTACGAGTTGTATTGGTTCGTACTTGTACTTATGGCAGTCTCTTACGTACGGATGTCTATTGCAGCTTATAGCGATCTCTTGCACAACGATAGTGTATGTCTACGTCTACAACAAGTAGCTACAGTAGCGTACTGTCAGTTGTATAAATAATGCTTTGAGACTATATAATTATTCCTCCTTCAACTGCTCCCACTTCTTACCCTCCTCAATTAGAGCTTCTCTGACAATGTTCCCACACAGACGAGCGTAGGGATTGACCTTGACAGCCAGCTCGGCAGCAATCTTGTTGCCGTACTCTCCTGCTCGTCGGAAACACTCAGACGCCTTCTCCTCGTCTCCCCACGAGTCGCCTTCGTTGTTTCTACCCTCCATGTAAATCTGGCCCAGCTGAGCATAAGCCTGCTGCAGCACCGTACCCTGCATCTTTGAAATGATCAGCTGATCGGGACCAGCCAGCTTGATTGCTCGTTCTAAATTGGAGATGACATCCAGCTTTGAGGCGGATTTCTCGCCTTTCTGGTCCAAAATCCGTTCAAGTTGAGCCAGGTTGTTGTAGACGGAGGCGTATTTGGGGGCCTCGACAATGATCTCTTTGAGCTTCTCGATGGCGCGTTTGACGTTGGCCACAGAGTCGTCTTTGTCAACAGACTCAATCACCGTCTTCTCAATCTGCACAAACTTCTCCACAAGCTCCACAGAAACGTGTTGGTCTGGGGGAAGATAGGCGTTGACCTGGATGCGTTTTTGCTGGGCCTGAGTAGGCTCCTCCAGCTCGCCCGGATTGAGGAGTTTCGACAGAACGACCTGGTCGTGGGTAGACAGATGAGTTGCGCTGGACATCAAAATTTGTCGGTGTTAATGCGGTTATTTGGTAGACGGATCATCCTCAGCCTATATACTTGTAGTTACATTTGTGTAGGCGCCTTTGGGTTTGGACCCTGCATAGGGCATACCGAATTCTGCAGCTCGGGTATCGACAGTGAGGGGTCATTGGGATGTTACAAGACACTATTGATTACTTTACTAAAGGTGAGAGCGGTTGTTATATACCAAGCGATGGGTTGTGGAATTCAGTTACCATAAGGTAAACACCGGCCATGATCGTCAACACGATTTTATATATATGCTTCCAAATTACTTGAATTTAATCCAAATTACTTGACATTATTTAAAGTACTTGGGAGTACCAACTATATTGCGCGGAACTACTACTTATAATTAAATGAATGTATATGCAGAAAAAAAAAATACTACTACAGTAATTTGAACTATGTTGTTATAAAAAAGTGAACATAATTTTACTCTCCCCAGCTCCACGACCTGATCACACTCATACGAAGACCAATGTGGCAATTTCTATGACATTTGAAACATCTACCATCCACAAAGGTGGGCTGCAGATATCGTGCCGACCGCGTATTATTCTACTGTCACTCTGTCACCCATGCGTATACACTCTTTCCGCCTTCCACCCTGCGCTGTTGCCTTCTACAATATATACAATTACTCGAATATCATATTCATGCCCGCCAAGTTACAGTGTACGTGATACTGTAGCTCTAGATTCGCTTACAATGGAATCCCGCCTGAGACAGTAGCCACTCTTGCTCCATTGGGCTCAATCAAGCTATTCCATAATGTTGCGATATTGGTTGCCTGCTGCAAAGGGGCACAGAGTGCATTCTGGGAAATTACCACCGAAGGTGATATTTATTATCCAACATAAAAGAATCACAGACACTACCGGTACTTTTAGTTCCAGTAGACCGAATGTGATCTGAGCGGAACTGACCGAACAACGAACGAGTTCACACAGATACAGCCGGCAAAGGTATATATGTACTGTAGGTACTGTACTTTGGCCACTTTAAGTCGTCTAAGGCTGATAAACATACTCCATTATAACTTGTCTGTAGGAACATCAAATTGATTCTGCTTGAGCTATGCCGTTTTTCTTCTACATGTGCCGGTACATACTGTACTTGTATTTGGATTGTCGGACTCGGCCGAGCAGAAAGTATATCCAACCCACCTCCAGGATTACCCTAGCAACCTCACATTGGTGCAGATATTGGACAGAATATTATCCACGCCCTTGACTAGCTTCCTGACACTGTTCAGCTTGTAATATTTCCCGTTTATAATATGAGTAGATGAGACACGGTGAGACAGTTGATGTCTCGTATTCCCTCCGCACATCAGGCACTGCTGCCCACCTTATTGGGGATGGCAAGATGGATATTATTCAGAGAGAGATATTCAGATGAAGTGATGGGCTCACAAGTTAAACGCGCACTCGTATTCCATCGATGATATCGTGTTACTGTGGAGATAATACACTTAGTCTACAGATTACGTGTGGTGTACTGGTACCTGTGGTGTAGCGACAGTATTGTACATACTCGTACTCCCACTCTACACACCCGCCGCCACCACTTACCCTCGTGAGAACCCCCTCAGAAACTCACAACCGTCACCTTAGCAGAAGGGTTTAGCCGCTTGGAGCCGACAGGGATGTCAGGCAATACAGCTGTCACCGAGGGGACACCGGGGTGTCAACAACAGTGTCATTTCGGTGCTTGTGGAGTGAGTGACATCACCGAGAAAGTTGTAGTATGTAGGGGTTTTTGGAATGGTTGTTTCATGATCCATTGGTACTGCTCGGCAAAAATAGCCTGATGGAATCACGTTTCGTTCTGGGGTTGACGGGCATCTCAGCTATCTCCATCCACGAGTGTCTCAGAGATAAGACCTGCATATCTGTTATCTGTTTTCAAAGTGTAAGTCGTATAGAGTGCCGGGAGGGGGTCAAGGATGTGCATGGACGTGACTACAGTGAGAGTTTTTGGAGGAAGTAAAGACCGAGTATCGACCATCCAGAAACCCCATATCTTCTGGAATTCCACAAATGGCCAAGACTGGCTTCTTTTATCCACTTTTTGATACTAAAAATGTCTAATTTGACCTCTCTTCCACTAACAAAAACAGTCTCGCCGTTCTCCAACCCGCACCACCAACTACAAGTACAGTAGCTATAATTTTTTGGCACCACTCGCTTTTCTCTTTTTAGGCGAAACTTGTCTCAAACTTATCATGCCATAGGCATTAATTTCCGGGTCTTGCAGAGCTACTGCACTGGGGGGGGGGGGTGTACAACGCACGACCGAGTGCTATGTAATGTACACAATGGCCACAAACACAACTGTTACTGATGTACCGATGACTCAGCACCTACAGTAGTCCACGCGTTTGACTTCCGGGGCTCTTCGGGCCCAATTTTTTTCTTCGTCTGCTTCCCAAATGCCAGATTTATGCAAGGTGCATGTGACGTCCCGGTCCGAGGATTGCTATAACGGGCGAAATAAGGACACAAACAACTCAAAAATAATACCAAAATATAGCTTGCAACAAGGGCTTCAGATTGATCCCATTATTGGTCCCCCAAGCCCAGGTTTGAGCCTGCTCGATACTCCCCCGTGGTAGCCATATAACGTTAACCTTTAATGAGTCAAGTCGGGAATACTTTGGTATAAGACTAAGGCAAAATAACCATCTCTTGAACCACACACAATAGTAAGAACGCCTCCAAGATGAACACCCAGGTCAGTCTGTACGACGAAGAGCTGAGGATCGTCTCCATCTCGTGGGACGTGTATCCACTGCTGTCGTCAGCCGTGACTCAGCTGATCCTCAAGACCCACAAATCAAAGTCTCCATCTCCACTGGTGCCTTCTTCATCTGCCCACCATCACATGAACCTGGAAGACTCTGTGTCGTCCACAGCGTCGTCCCAGTGCCATTCCCGCCACTCGTCCGTGTCCATGTCGTCGCTAGAGAGCACAGAGCCGTTTCTGAACGTGTCTTTCACCCCAGTCGAATGCTCTCTCATCATTGCTGATTCGATAATGGAAGAACTGCTCACACCCTTGCTCAACATGCTGGACACAAAGACAAGGGACGAGGTAAGAGTTTCACGTGAAATGTACGTGGCCATCCAGGTTGACGGAGACGGACTCGACAACGGAGGAAGGGTGGTGGATCTGACTGCCCCCTTGTCTAAGGCAGGTATCCCCATCTTCTTCCTCACCACATATTTCTCCGACTTTGTCATGGTGCCGCTGTCGGCACGGTCACGGGTGGTTCAGGCGCTTGAAGAGCGTGGTTTCTTCTTCAACAACATGAACAACTCATATGTGTCCATCACAAACCTCAACCACAGCAAGTTGACCAGTGCGCTCATGCCTCTGGCCGAGCCGCACACCGAGGCCGACCGAACTATCACAGAGGCATCACTTTCAATGGCTTCGTCGTCGCTGTTTGCCTCCCTTAAGGTCTCGCCTCAATTCTACGACCATACAAAGGTAGTTCTCGTGGGAGCCCGACACAAGCGAGTGGAAGACAATGAGCTGCTGTTCTTCAAAATATCCAAAATGCTGCTCAACCCTCCAAAGTTCTTCAGCATCTCTGTGGGACCAGACGGAGAAATGTCTTTACTACTTGAAAGCAAAGACACGGGCTCATTTTCGCCCATGGACGTGGTGGGATCCATGGACGAATACATGATTCCCACCTGTTTCGATCTGTCCCATCTGCCCGAAGACGCCACCGGTATTGTGGCTGGTGTGGCCTCTTGTCTGGTAGATGAGCCGATCCAGATGGGCTATCTCAGTACTGCTCAAAGTGGTATTGTCATGGTAGCCGAGGAGGACTTGGCGTATGCCAAACGAGTTCTGGGCGGTCGCAGTGGATCTGCCAGTCCCGCTTAAGAGTCTTGCCGCTTGAAGAGGACTTCAGAGATGTCACGTTACTGCGGACCATCAGCTGTATCTACAGCATGTACATTAAAATATTTATTTGGGTTATTTTGAGCAGGTACCAGTTGTACAAGTACTCGTAGTCGCCAGAATCCAAGTTCGTATCGCAATCAAACACGGCTCCCCCTCATTTCTTGTATTAGTGGCCTACCCTTGTGCTGCAATTGGAATGTGGAGGCTCAAGTTAGCTTCACGTACAAGTGAGTTACAAGGGGCCCAAAACGGGAACAGGTAAATAACGCCAAAGCCTATAGACAGAGAAGGGGGATTGAGGGGCGTGCCGCACTTATAAAAATAGCAGTGCGATATAAACAAGGGTCACGTGACTCTGGATACAAGTCTATGTGTCTGTCTCTGTCTGCCATGTCACGTGATTCTTTCATTAGCCAGCCAAGACCCTGTCAAGTAACAAGGTTGGGGTAATGTAACTACGGTACTTACCTCTAGCACCACCAGTACACTACACACCCACGACGCACAACATGTTCACTCACTCGCTATTCAAGACCGATACGGTCTACATCTACCAGATTCCGCCACTCAAGAGCGCCAAGGCCGGCTACCTCAGCGCAGATTGGCCACTCGAAAGCCCCATCTGGACTGGCAGCCTGGAGGTGGTGGAAACGGAGGTGCAAAACAAGGAGGAGACCAACAATGTCGAGTGCTCGATTGTGCTCAAGGACACAAAGACAGACGAAATTTTTGCCCAGGCACCATACCACGTGGACGGCAGTGGTCTGACGCCTGTGTCTGACTCATCTCGATATCACGCCATTCGAGTCCAGGGAGAAGGAGGCCAGACAGCTATTTTGGGACTCGGGTTTCCAGACCGATCGGCAGGGTTCGACTTCAACGTGGCATTACAGGACTTCCGGAAACATGCCACACCAATTGAGGTGTCCAAAAAGAGCTACAAGTTGCCCGACAAGGTGGTTGACGAACCGGCTGCAGACGTGGCTATTCCTATTCTAGCTCCTCCGCCAAGGAGAGCCACTATGGAGGAGGAAGAGGAAGAGGAGGAAGAGGATGACGACGACTTTGGAGATTTTGTCGGAGATAATCAATAGTCGGTCGCTGGTGTCAAGCCAACATTCGTTGAATAATAAGCACATCTGACTGGCTGCCTTAACAGCGGGCTGTTATATATAATGAATTACGATACTGAGAATATGATTTCAAATCAGGTACAAGCAGCTACAGTAAATGGTGTGTTTTTCTTTTGAGTAACAATTGTGGTTCTTGTGAGGGTTACCTATCTATAGATGTAGCTTCAAGTATGTATCGTACTGCATCTCTGCCTATAATCACGGTAACCTCCTGCTATGCTGGAAAATGTGTGATGTCTCTTGTCTATGTACATCAACGCAAGTGCCCAGGCAACGTCGCCAGGACCATAGACATCGTAATCATCGTCTGAGTAGTCATTGGGGAGGCCGAACGTGGGGCGTTCATGGTCTCCACCCCCCCTGGTCGTCTTCACCACCGGTACCATAGTCTTTGTAATCTTCATCATCATCTTCTTTTTCTGAAGCTTCAAAGTCCAGGTCTTCAGAGTCCAGATCCCAATAGCTCTTGATATACCCACGGACAACATGGTGAGACAAGAATCTGACGAGAAATTTGCCATTTTCATACCCAAGAAAGACTCTGCTTCGATCACTTCCAGGGTTATAGTATGAATCTGGAGTTTCCACATCAGAAATAAATCCGCTGTCAAGATCTGCTATTCGAATACCTCCACTTTTCGTCCACTCGGTGAGATATTGCGAATTTTGGGGTATAAGACAGTGAGGAAGTCCATCTGGTGCTTTGTCAGGCAAGGTGGTGATTTTATCCTGCCTACGAAACATCTTTCCGGGCTGGTCCAGGTCCAAGAAGGTTGGAATCAGACACTGGTCTTAATGAAACAACCAAACGAGTCCATTGTAGTTTTCCTCGGGACACAACTTGTTTATGCAAAGGAGGGAGTGCCATACCTGACCAATTTCTAGGTGTGAGGGTTGTGTAAGCCATAGGTGCTTCTCGCGTATCGTGTCACGTGAATATTTCCAACTTGGGAAATAGCGTCAATGTGAGGAGGATGCTTGTAATGATGCTGGTCTCTGGGGGACGCGTAGTTGTGGTGAGTAGTGGGGATCACAATGATCTCATTATTGACAACAATGGCAGCTCGTTCCAGGAAAAACTGGTATTCTTTGAAAGATGTTCAGGACGGATTTGACCAGGTAGTGTGAATTCAATGCCCTTAAAGCTGATGACCATCGCCTTCTTACTCTTGGAAACCCCCTTGATCTGACTGGGCCGCTTGGGCGGAGGGGGGGGGGGGGGGGCCCTCAAGAGTCCAGGGACTCAACATTGCACCCTGTGGGAGGTTTTCAGCATGAAATAGATCGCATGAGAACGAGTAGTTGAACTCCCGATGGTCATCGAACCCCTCGCAGTCACTGGGCAGCTTCTCTCCATGATTGAGCCACAAAGCAGTAACTCCCTTCACCGGCTTGGGTGGTGGCATTTCGTTTTATCCCAGTCGTTTATAACTTTCAACTTATAGCTGGGGTGTCGTGAAACGTACACCAACTAACAGCCTCCCCAGGTCTTCATTTCTTCTTCTGGATTGATCCAGGGAAATCGCCTGACAAGTTCAAGCTTCAGATCACGGTCAGCATGTGTTTAGCTCACTGGAACCGCAGACTTCGGCTCCTTCCTGTCCAAATGCCTTGAAAAATTGTCAGCCTCCAGCCAGACAGACCGTCTCAGGCTTGCCTCGTGATCCTCGAGCAGCTCATATATCCGCGCCTGTAATCGCTGACTTTCTGCCTTCTCTTGCAGGTCCAGAGAAGGGCTAGAGAGCATCTTCGATGCCCACGCATGTATGTTTAGTAGAGTCCAAATATACTCCTCGACGAAGGGTGTCCGAGGTGTGAATCTAACCTCTCAAACGCTTTGATGACTGTGGATGTAAATTGCTTGAAGTCTTTCAGCCTCCTGGCAGCCTCCTCTCTCCACGCGCCATTTCTGGTTGAACTCGTTGTTCTCTTGAAGCAGCTTCTGTACTGCGATTATTCCCTGGAAGCTGCAACGGGTAGTGGTGCTGTCGATAATAGAGCAACGTGATCTGAGGCCACTGCTCAATCATCTTCTTCATGTCCTCCCAGACCACTTTCTGCTCTTCCTTCACTTAGAGCAGAAGAGAACACACCACCAGGAGTTTGTTAGCCTCTGACTCAGTTCCATGTCAAGGTGAAGGCAGTCCTTGTGTTATTGCGGCTGCAGCTGTCTTAACAGACGTTCTTGGGTTTCCGGGCCATGTACTCGCTACTTGTAGATGTACTGTAGTGACACGTTGTGGTGAAACATCGATGTAGAGAAAACAATCAGACCACTACTCAGTTAGAACATTAGAACATTAGTTGACCATTACTTGGTACCCCCTCAGATCGAATCTTACAAATACCATTTAATAATACCATACCTTCTATCTATATACATATATACAATTATACCTCTAGAGGTATCTTGGCACCTCCTCGTCCTCGACGGCAATGATAATGTCGCCAGATTCAAGTTCGTCCCACTTTTCAAGAGCAATACCACACTCCTGGCCCTTGGCCATCTCAGTAACGTCATCCTTGTTGTGCTTCAGAGACGAAACGGTGCCTCGAAACACCTCCTCTCCATCTCGCATCACCTTGACGGTGTGAGATCGTCGTAGAGGACCCATGGTGACTCTGCAACCGGCAATCTTGACCTTCTTCTTGGCGATGGAAATCTCAAAGATATCCTTCACCTGAGCAGAAGCAATCTCCTTGTCTCGGATGATCTTGGGGAGCAGTGAGGTCACATGTTCGGTTACGTGCTCAATTACACGGTAAATGATGGTCTGCTCGATGATTGGCACGCCTGCCTGACGAGCCTTGAGAATCACGTCCCTGGTGGGCTTGACGTTGAACAACAACAGAGAAGCGTTCGCAGTCCTGGCAATTTCAACATCGTTGGCAGTAGGAGGGCCCACAGATCGAGACAGGATATTGACGTGGACCTCGTCGTTACCGATATCGGCAATGGACTCGGAAACAGCCTCAACTGATCCATGGACGTCTCCTCGAACGATAAAGTGAGCCAGCTGGCACTTGGCCTCGGGCTCATCCTCCTCAATAGGAGGAAGACCGAGCTTGGCTCGCTCCAGACGCTTCTCCTCGGCCTCCTGGTCAATCTTCTGCTGCTTTCGCTTCTCGTTGATGATCTTGATATCGTCCATCTGCTGCATGAGCTGAGCTCGCTTCTGTCGATTCTCGGCCACCTGCTTGGCCTGCTGCTCACTCTCGGCCTGCAAAACCTGGTCTCCAGAGGCAGGAAGTTCCTTCCAACCTGTTACCTCCACTGGAGTACCAGGACCGGCCTCCTTGATAACCTTGTTGGAGGAGTCCTTCATGGCCTTGACCTTGCAAAAGACGGTGCCTGCACAGATGACCTGGCCGGGCTTGAGAGTACCGTTGTGGACAAGAACAGTTGCAGTGGCTCCAACACCCTTCTTGACCTGGGACTCGAGAACAATGCCCTCGACCTTGGCGGTGGGCGAAGATCGCAGATCCAGAACCTCGGAAATAGCAACCAGAGTTTCCTCCAGAGTGTCAACTCCAAGACCAGACTTTCCACTAACCTGGACACATGCAATGTCTCCTCCATAGTCCTCGACATACACCTCATTGGCTCCGAGATCAGAATAGACCTTCTGGATGGTCTCTTCGGTAACAGACTCCTTGTCGCACTTATTGATGGCAACCACAAGTTCGACACCCGCGGCATGAACGTGTTTGATAGCCTCCTTGGTCTGAGGCATGACAGAATCGTCTCCTGCAACGACCAGAATAACAATATCGGTAACGGTAGCTCCTCGTTCTCGCATTTTCAGGAAAGCAGCGTGACCAGGGGTATCAAGAAAGGTGATTTGCTTGCCGGACTTGGGAGCCTTAACAGAGAAGGCGCCAATATGCTGCGTGATACCTCCATGTTCCTTCTCGGCCACGGACGACTTTCGAATGTAATCGAGCAAAGTGGTCTTACCATGGTCAACATGGCCCATGATCGTCACAATCGGAGGTCTCAGAGGCAACTTCGACTTTTCGTCAGCAGAGGGCTTGGGGGCAAGGAACAAATCGACTCCCTGAGTCTCATTGGTGTACACATCGAAGCCCAAATCGTCAGCAATCAGCTGGGCAGTTTCACCGTCTAACACATGGTTATGGTCAGTGGTTTCCTGGTCGAATCCAAGCTCCACCATTGTGCTGGAGAGAGTCTCAAGGGAAACCTGCAGAATAGTGGCCAAGTTGGAGATGGAAACGAAGGAAGGAATAGCCAATCGTGGACGCACAATCTCAATTTCCTTCACCTTCTTCTCCTTGACTGGAGGAGGAGGAACTGTCTTTGGTGTAGCGACAACAAAGTCTTCGTGTCTCAGGAACACGTTCTTGGGCTTCTCTTCCCCCTTCTTTCCAGCTTCATGTGACTTCTTTCCTCCCTCTCCTCCCTTCTTCTCTCCAGGACCAGACATATTGGGGGTATTGAATGACTTCTTTGCACGGGCCTCCTCCTGCTTTCTCATAATTTTCATCAGCGACGGCGTCTCAGCTTGGGCAAGATTGATAGTCGGCTTCTGAGATCTTTGTTGTCGGTTGTTATTGTTGTTGTTGTTGTTGTTGTTTCTATTCTGGTTCCGGTTCTGGTTCTGGCCCTGGTTCTGACCTTGGTTGGTACCTTGATTGTTCTTGTTGCCGTTGTTATTGTTTCGGTTCTGACCACCTCGCTGGTTCTGACCTCTGGGTTGATTCTGGTTCGAATTCTGGCCCTGGTTCTGGCCCTGACTTCGAGGCTGGTTTCGCGACAGAGCCTTCGCCTGATCCACAGAGGGAGCTTCCTTGACAGGAGCCGGGACTGCTGGCTCGGTCTTTCGGAAACGCGAGGAGCCGAGCTTGGCTGCAACCTGTACCGAGGAGTGGAATCCCCGGGCTCTCCACAAACTTCTACTCAACATGGCGGTGATGTTCGGGTCGTCGTCAAATGTTGGTGTCTCAAAATATCGCCGTTAATGGGTACATGCACCATGCATTAAATCTTTCATGCACCTCACGTGACCGGAACTTTGTCGGACTTAGCGAATGCGAGAATGTGTATTTTGAACAGGTGGGGAGATAGGTTCTATATATATAGAGAGATGCCGCCTACTTATATCTCACCTTTAGTTCTACTTGCTTCAAAAAGTCGACTTCACACATCCTGTATTGCCCTCGTCACTCTATTTCTCGAGTCAAACAAACTTTTCCGGCTATTTCCGAACACCATATGTGTGAGTTGGTAGATGGACGAGTAAAAGTTGACTATATGCTTGGAAAGTATTCGAATCGACTAATTCGCTCATGTATCCTCATTACTTGCCTTTCCTGTACCTCCACTTCAGTTTTCAGACCCTTGGCACTGAGTGAATAATAAAGAGATCCTGCAAGTTCGTACATCTACCAGTAGTATTATCGCACACACCATGGTGTTGGCACACACAGTAAGTTACGCATCGTACTGTAGCTCTGTCCATATTATAATAAAGCTGCGTACATAGTACTTCCATCGTTCCATGCGGTAGCTCTTCTACTACTTGTAGTACCCTTCCAATAAAAAAAATGCAATATCTATGACAGTACCTGCTGTTCACGACGCTCAAATCCTAGCTCAGCACCAACCAAACCAGAAATCCAACGTGTACCAGCAAGTTCCATTCACTGGTGCCAAACCGGGGGGGAACTCGTCGCATCTCGTCGTCTTCCTCCTCCTCATCTGCTTCCTGGGGAAAATGTTCATAGTAAGTGCCGTCATCAAATGAGTTGATCATCTGGGTGTGTCGGAAACTCCAGGCCAAACACTCGACAATGTTGAGACACACGTAGAACAGCGCCATGTACGCTATGAGCCGCGTGGGGCTGTACCAGTGGGCGCCCTGCGACAGAGGGAACCGGTAGAGAGTCAGCCATGCAACAAAAGCCTGAATAGGCGACCGAGAGCCCCAGGCGTTGTAATCCTTGTGTGTGCATCGTGTTCGCGCGTACGCAAACAGACTGTAGATGCCAGCCCCAGTGTACACAAACACCAGGACCACTAGAGCAATGTCCAGACAGACAGAAAGCCATGACCAAACAAAGGAGAAGAATTTGGTCAGCCATCGCCAAATGGTCTTGAAAAACGTAGTGAGCCAGTCCCACATGTTGAGTGTGGATCGAGAGTGTTGAACGAACGTGTGGGGTGTCAGATGGAGCTGTGGGATGTGTGGTTGTGCCTGGTGGGATAATTGTTTCAGCCGTGATGTTGATCAGAAATTTAGAGTTCAAAGTGGATCAGATATGGAAAGGTTGTTGAGAGTGTTGGGGGCAAAGAATGGGGTGGGCAAGCGTCTTAAACCAGTTGGAATGGCTCGAATAGCCTCCTTGTGCCTTGCAATTATACCCAAGATGTCACCTTCATGATGCTTATGTAATCGTGCACTGTGGCAAAAACAAAAACGGGCACTGGACCAATAGGCTATACTCTAAAGTTGTTGTACTTTATTCGATCCTCCCAACTACAGTAATTCAGCTTTACAGAGAAGGTGAGAGTCCCCAACACTACAACACACTCACTGAACAGAACTCACCACCAACTTCTCATTATATATTAATTCAAGCACTTAGCAGCAACAAAAAGAACTGTCCGGTTCCACGGGTTGAACAAAAAATGAGATCAATGCTCTACCCAACTGAGTCAAACAAGCGGGTTGTTTTCGCTGGACTTTGACAGTCAGTATCTGAGTGTAGGTTTGGTCTGCTTATATAATCACTTCAAAAATGAAGAGTTACGGCACATCTTCAGGTGTATGGAAGTGGCGGACAAAAAAAGAAACATGCCCGGTACCAGGGTCGAACTGGTGATCTTCAGATTATGAGACTAACGCTCTAACCAACTGAGCCAACCAGGCAATTTTGTGTTCCAGCGTGACCTTTGGCGTTTTATGCCACACTGAAGATGTGGGAAAAAACCGCAAATTTGCCTAAAATTTGATTTTGGATTTCTTGAAGACATTATTTGAGTAAATTTATAACGTTGATGAAGTTCTTATACTTCAAAATGTCCTCTATATCCATCCTGGACTGGTTGTGTTGTAGTGACTGGTAGAGCATTCCTAGAGAGTCTACCCGAATGGGATTGAAAGTTGCATTTCTGAGAACTGTAGTCATCAAATAGTTATTTGGAGGCTCCAATAAAGTGTTAAAGGATACCTGTGGTGTTTATAACTAGTAATTGTCTGTGAGAGCTACCTGTTTTGTAGGTCTGTCTGAAGAGTTCCCTGTAAAGCGGTCTGTTTGTACTGTCTGGTAAGTCGTCAATGACATGGAAAGATTTTGACTCAAGTAAATATCTTTGATAGCCATCAAAGGAATCTTTCAACTCCCCAAAGCCACGTGTTTTTCCATCCATTATGCGACTACCGGATCTGCGTACCTTCTAGTAGATTCAGAAAACTTGTGGATCATGTCAGATGTTATCCCCCTACTGAAACATTACGGGACGGGGAAACGACTTTGTGGCTTGGCTGTAATTGGATTATCGCCTTGAAGACTCCCCTGGACCGTGACTACTGCGCTTCTGTACCTACAGGCAGGAGTGTCCCATGGTGCCCATCTGAATGGGTACCCTACAGTACACTTAATTGAGTCGGGGAACGGTTTGACTTTCGTTTCAAATCTATGAACTAATACAACGGTTTCTCTAGCATATTTCTAAAAATATACTAGTCCATCTTCATCTTTAGAATGAACTTGTGAGTTGCGATAATGTACACCCCACCAGATGGCGAAGGGTACCGGTTTAGACGGGACAATTCTAGCTATCGAGCAACAGTGTGTGCGTTTTCCATTCAGTCTTAATCTTTGACTGTTAGTTGGCAAGCTCGGTCGATTTCAGGTTACTTCTGTGAAGTTACAGAGTGTGATGGCGCATTGTGTGTTCGTTCTGTCATTCTGTCTCTTATGCAACCTATTTCAGGCCCATTTCCCTATAGTAAATGTAGAGGGTACCTTCTTGAACTTCCTACGGCCTTACTTCTACAAGTAGGATACATGATCTCAACGCAAGTGGAAACCCCCAAACTGTTCCTACTGCAAGTATGTTAGACATCTTCAGATTACGGCAAGACGGATCTTGCTTAAGGGTCCAACAACACAGTCCATAGTGGTTGCAGTAGGTACAGTGGGTATAGTGACCACATTCTCAACACTCGTACATGTAGAGTATGTACTCATACAGTAAGTGGGTTTGGAACAGCGTCAGAAAAACACTGAGGCCGTTGTAAAAGGCGGACCTGGTATGGAAGTGCTCTTCAGGAGATTGACGTAAGTCTTTAGTGCAATGCGTGGCCACCCATGGGTAGAACTCGATACCGATCACTTGGGGAGAGGTTTTTTGTGTGGGTACTGTCCTTGAAGTGCTACAGTGTTATTTTATTGTCGGTTTTTTGTACAAGGAGCCCATCAATACTAAAAAAAAAAAAAAAAAAAAAGAAGCACTGATTAGAACCCTCTACAAAGGATAAGTACCATCAGTTATTGTCAATCCCCCCATTCCCAAAGCAAAAAGAAACGTGCCCGGTACCAGGGTCGAACTGGTGATCTTCAGATTATGAGACTAACGCTCTAACCAACTGAGCCAACCAGGCGCAATTTTTTGTTAAAAAATTGCCCTATTGTTTTTATTCCCAGATATTGCTGACTAATTGTTAGAACCAAAAAAAAATTCTTAGCGCCTTGTTTGTTGACTACAGTAGTCCCGGACTTACCTAAAATGGAAACACCATGAAAATTGCATATCTCCAAATATGTGCATTAAGTCCGATAACTCCGCGACACCTATAGCTACGCAACCATGGTAACCATGGTGTAAAGTCCGAACCGGCTCCCAGTTGCCCCCATTCTCACAGTGCAGAGGGCTTTGGGATCTCGCCACCTACACGGCTATAATTAAACCGTAAGTTAGAGTGGGAGTCTAACCTGTCTACTCGGTGCAAAAGTCTACCTCTCCTAAACCCACATTCCTGAGACGGATGATCTACAGTGTGTACGACACCGGAGCTCTATAACAGCGCGGCAGGTTGGCATAGTACGATACAGTAGCGTGGAATGGATAGACTGTTTCAGGGTTTGGAATTTGAACTAAACGCGGGGTTTGTTAAGAGGCAATAGCCGGAGATGTAAGGCCATAGATTAATGATAGGAGAGACGGTCAGTCTCATGTCAGACATCCCTCTCTTCTGGGTGGTTGCTTTTTATGCTCCACGTATCTGTCGTACATGTTTTCTGTCTATCTGTCTGAGGAGTTGGCGCTTGTTGTCAAAAAAAAAGGTAGACTTTGGGGTGGGACACCCCCGAAAGGTGTCCAGAGTTAACAGCCATTGAGTTTGGCTCTATGTGACGTAATATAGCGGCGTGGGCATTGGTCTGTGTGAACCTATAGGTGGTTGTAGCTCGTGGTCTACAAGTAGGGGAGGAAGGGGTGAGCGATACAGGGGTAAATGAAAACCTGTTGGGTCTGTGAGTGTATATCCATCGACAATGGTATACGCTATCTTACAGGACATGCTGCTGCCTTACATGAGCTGATTCTATCGGGCCTTGTAGGACTGCCTCTATAGTGCAACCCACGGACATCGGGTGTAACCCTGCCGCACACATCGGGATACAAGGGCCCGAGTTTGAAGACAATTGCCAAGGTGCGACAGGCGGAACGACAGAGGAATATAAGTGAGGGCAACGGCAGATGGCGGATAATATGGCGAGGGGATGAGTAAGCCAGTTACACTATCTGTTTGTAATTACTGTCTTTTTATCTCTTCACGTTTGTCTACACCTGTCTTCCCGGTTCTCTCCACCCACGTATCGTCGTGTTCGCCAACTCTATTGGAGAAACATAAGGATTGGTGGAAAAACAGACCTAAAAACAGCACCTAAAAACAGTGTGCACATACAAGAGCAAACAATAGAGACGCCGTTTGGGCGGTGCGACAGGCCTCGGCACGCGCCAGTCTTTCTATTGTCTGCTCTATGGCAGCAAGCGGTGTCTATGCTTCCTCCCCGCCATCCCCCAGACCTTGTTCTCCTGCCCAATGCAGACATATTCACCTTCCGTTCTGGGCGCCAAAACCCGCTCCACTTATTAAACGCAATTAAGCGAGCCCAGTAGACAGACGCGAAGGTGTAGGGCGGCGGAGACAGAGGCTATCTCGGAAAGATACAGCTCGACACAGCCAACCAAGGAGAAACCTACAATAGTGTGGCGGCATACAAAACACATGTGAAACCCCTTGCGGAGGTGGATGGTGAATTATAGGTCTCACTTGGTTGCCGTGACGATAGATTGGCAACCTGTACTTACACTTACTACACTAGTGTACACTGCGGTACCGTAACAAGAACCCGCTAGCAGGTCCACTACAGCAGACATATTACTTAGACTACAAACAATCACTTGACAGTTTAGACCAGGTTGGAACAAAAAAAAAATACGCGCAAAATATTCTTGGCTGTCAGATAGTTTCTCCACGGTGCTCCACCAAACAAAAGCAAGAAGGTCAAAGCTACACGCAGTCTCGACAATTTGGCAGCTAAGTCTTCTGAATCTGACAGGTGTGGAGCTGACAGATGCTGACAGTGATAGCGCTCACCTCGAATTTGACGTGGTTCTGGCACCTTGTTCGGTGCCATTTTGACGTACAGATGCATTAACTTCTGTAACTAAACTGAACTAAAAGTCAACCAAAAAGTGGGCTTGGCCGCCGTTATCTGCAAAGCAAAGAGGAAAAATTTTCACCCAGGCGAAAAAGGGCAAGTCCGAAATAATCAAATTCGTCATTTTACTTGGCTTCAGTTAAGACTATTGCTGCTAGATAGATATATACTAGTGTTACTGTCAAAAATTATTAAGAAAGATCTATTATTAGGTAAATATTAAAAGGGAGAAGAGAATTTTGGTATTAATTATGCGGCCTTCTCGTGCTGGGTGGAGACTCGCTGCATAGCAACAACAAAGTCCTCAAGAGATCGCTGCTTAGGCTTCTCCTTCATGGGCTGACCGTTCATGAGTCGGTCAAAGCCAACGGAGCCCTGCATGACGTAGTAGAGACCACCACAGATGCAGAAGATACCGAAGGAGAAGACCCAGACACGGACGACAGTAACAATGGAGGTCTGACCACCAATGAACCAACCCCACAGACAGAAGACAGTGGCGACCATATCGACGATGAAGACGGCACCAGCAAGCTCCCAAGAGGGGATAGAGGACCAGAAAGGACCGTTAGCTCGGGTGATGAAAATCAGCCAGTTCTCAGTAAGGGAAATCTGAAGGAAGAGAATGGGGTCTCGAACACCGAAGTTCTGGATGATACCACCGTTGTTGACAAAGGTGGTGGTGAGGGTGATCCAGGTTCCGACAGCAAGCACAACACCAAGGACAATGGACATTCCCCAAAGCTTGGGCAGGTTCCACTTGACGGGCTTGGGAGAGTAGGGAGCGTTATCGTAGGCAATGGCAAGGGTGGCAACATCAGCGAAAATGGCAATGAAGACAATGAGGTCAATGTCAAGAGACTCGTTGAGGATAGCAATCCACAGACCAAGGAAAATCTCAAGATGGAGGGACAGAGCAATTCGGTAGACGACGTAAGAGTACATTCGGTGGAAAATCTGTCGGGAAGTCTTCAGGGCATCGATAATGGCGGAGAGACCAGGGGCAAGGAAAACAATATCAGCGGCGGATCGGGCAGAGTCGGAAGCACCTTCGACGGCGATACCAGTATCGGCCTTCTTAAGGGAAGGAGCATCGTTAACACCATCACCGGTCATGGCAACAAGGTAGCCTCGCTGCTGCAGAATCTCAACGACATTGTACTTGTGCTCGGGAAAAACCTCAGCGAAACCATCAGCAGCCTCAACGAAATCGTAAACCTCAGAACCGGGCATGTCACCTCCTCCACCGAGACCAAGTCGGTCGGCGTCGTAGATGTTGGTACCGAGACCAAGCTGTCGGGAAGTCTCCTTAGCAATACCGACGGCATCACCAGTAAGCATCTTGATGGACAGACCAAGCTGCTTGGCCTCCTGGACGGTCTTGAAGGTATCGTGTCGGGGGGGGTCCATACAGGGCATAATACCGAGAATCTCCCAGTGTCCCTCGCCTCGCTTTCGGGCAACACCAAGGGATCGGTAACCTCGAGAAGCAAAGTCAGCAACCTTAGCCTTGTAGTCGTTGAGGATCTGCTCGGGGATGGGGTGGTCCTCCTCGACAGTCTTGAGAACGAAAAGAGGGGCACCCTTAACACAGATGATTCGCTCACCGGCGGGGGACTCGACAACAGCAACAACCTTCTTGGAAACGGGGTCGAAGGGGTGGAACTCAACAACCTTGTACTTGGTAAGAGTAGACTTGGCTCGGGGGTACATCTTCAGGGACTTCAGGAAGGCCTTGTCAATAGCATCAAGACCCTTGGCCTTTCGGGTGGCAGCGAGACAAGCAGTAAGCATCAGGTCATCGGCATCAACACCCTCGACAGTGAAGGGCTCGGCAAGAGACAGCTTGTTCTTGGTGAGGGTACCGGTCTTATCGGAACACAGGATCTCGACACCGGCAAGAGACTCAATAGCAGACAGCTTCTGGACAATGGCCTCCTTCTTGGCGAGGTAGGCGGCACCGACAGCCATGGTGGTGGTAACGACAGCGGGAAGACCGACGGGGACACCGACAATGGTGATGGCAAGGGTGTATCGCAGAATCTCAACAATGGGGACAGATCGGTAAAGGGTGGAGATCCAGACAACAAGAAGGGTGATGATAACGAGAACAAGAAGGGTTGTTCCGATACCGTTGAGGACCTCAGTGAAATGACCCTGGCCTCCGGAGGCCTTGTTGACAAGAGCAGCGGCACGACCGACGAAGGTGTTGTCACCAGTGGAGGTAACAATCATGAAACCCTCACCTCGCTTGACGGAAGAAGAGGCAAAGGTGTTGTCGCCAAAGTGCTTATCGACGGCAAGAGACTCACCGGTAAGAGCGGACTGATCAATCTGGAGGAAACAATCGGGGGTGACAATTCGGCCATCAGCGGGGATAATGGTACCCTCCTCGAGCTTGAGGATATCACCGGGGACAACCTCGGGAGCCTCAATCTCAACATCACGACCGTCTCGAACAACAACAGCACCGAGGGCAAGAGTCTTCTTGAGCTCCTCAACAATAGAACCAGCCTGGAATTCCTGGATGAAACCGACACAGGCGTTAAGCATCAGAAGACCGCAAATAACACCGAAATCGACCCAATCTTCCAGACCGGCGGCGAGAATAGCGGCACCCTCCATGACGAACTGAATGGGACCGATGAAGAACATGATGAACTTCAGGATGAGGTTCTCCTGCTCCTCGGACATCTGGTTGAGACCGTACTTCTTTCGTCGCTGAAGGACCTGGTCGGAGGTAAGACCGACGGAGGGGTCGGTCTGGAGAAGCTCCTCGGGAACGGGCTTGGCGGAGGCACCTTCCTCGGCGTCGTCGGCGTCCTCACCGAAAATGTCATCTCCGGCATCAGACTGGAGCTCCTCAATGAGGGCGTCCATATCATCATCGGGCTCGTCATCGAGGCCACCGGCGGGGGGAGCGGGAGGGGCGGGAGCCTTCTCCTCAATGGGGTGCTCCTGGGGGAGCTGAGCAGGGTCCAGGGAAGGGTTGGCGGACATGCTGGGCTGTATGTTAGTAAGAGAAACTGAGATGGGGAGGGGAGCTCGGTGGTTTTAATACTATGTTGTGTCACGTTGGGAGTTATGGGATACCTTAAAGTTTCTTTTCCATACCATCCATACATATGTATGGCTGGTTGGGACTTGTCCACATCGGGCTGAAACAAAATTAAGCTCCGCCGAAAAACACCGCAACTTTAAGCCAATCACGTTATTCGCGCAACGCAGAAGGAAGTAACCAAACAAAACACTCTCTCTGGCTGTGAGCTGAGTGGCCGCGAGGGGAGCGCCAAAGCTCATGTCACGTTGGTGGAGTCACCGGGTGCTCGTAGAAAGGTAGTCTGGGTCGCAATCCAAATGCGCAACCAAGCCGGTGTGATGTCTCTCTCAATGCGCCCTCTGCTGCTGTCCTTCGGCCGCCACAACCGTTCACACTCACAATCAATGTTTTGACGATTGAATGATTGAGAGCGAACGGGAGGTATTTGAAGGTTCTAAGATGTGATAAACTCTTTCGCCAAATCGGGCTAAGTTTTTCCCCTTTTGAGGGAATTTCAAAACAAGGTTCGGGAGGAAGTAAACAATCTTAGAAATGGCAGCACCCAGTTACCCGGCAACTCCCACGAGATGCGGTAAACATAGCAGGAGCGATGCGAGGCCAAAAAGGGGGCAGAAAAAAGACGGGAAAAAAAGAGAGAGCGCAAATCACAAAGGCAAAGCGAAAAACCGAGAAATGCTTATCCGCGGAGAAAAGAAACAAGCCATAATATCCACAACCTGAACCTGACCAACCAAAAAAAAAAAAAACCTAGGCGAAATCAGCCAGACTCGTCGAATGTCGTTCCATATCCATATCCTCCTGATACTCACATTAATTATGCGGGTATACTATGCTGTGAATAAATTAATGCCAATAATCGAATTGTACGTCTTCGGGGGGGTTACTGGTGTCGGATTATTGCAGTGTCGAAGTCGAAAGTAGACAGGCAATAGAAACAGTAACTAGTGTCGAGAGAAAGTCGTGGGTAAACCAATTGACACCGTTGAAGAAGTAGCACAAGACGAGGAGAAAAAAAAAGAAGACAAGAGCAGCGGACGGCTTGTGTATATATATCCTGAGGATTCTCCATTTCCTCGGGTCTGACACCTTGTGCAGCGAGGTATTAAACGGACTAAACCCAATTTCCCTGTGCTGTAGCTATACAAAGGTGTATTCCCTTTACCATTTAGGGGAGTGTGTGTATTGCCCAATTTGGAAGCACCACAGAGCCTTGTTCCTGAGTCTTAGATCCGACATAATCACGCTAAACGGAGCTCGGAACTGAGTGCATACATTTCTTCGGGCTTACTGGTCCTGGTTACGCCAGACGGGGTCTATCTCTACTGGCTGTCATTGGCCGGCTATTGGTGGCTCGAGTGGGGTCATTACTGCTCCGATTGAGCCGGATCCTGGAAGCCATACGCTCCACAGACCTCCCACGTCTTACATTGCTGTCCAGCCTTGCTGTTTGGGGTCTCCCCTCTCAGCTCATACACATGTCTACACACTTCCCTTGAACGAAGATATTGCCGCAACCAGCATGGTCCTGATAATACGCTCAAAAGTCTATCTGTACGCACAGTCAAAGTCCCATCGTAAATTCGGGATGGACGCAAGTTTGGTAGGGTAACACTGCATGTTTTGGCGCGGCTTCAGGCATGGTTGAGACCGTCTGGTCGGCGTTTTTTCGCGTTGAGACAGTGGGACGGGCGCGGGAACCCAGGTGCTGTTGAATTGTCGTCTTTACCGTGTCTACAACCCTCTCCACGTCACCGGGACCGGAAAAACTGCCTGCTCACAGCAAGTCTTTCGATTGCAATCTGCCCTGTTCCACACTCATGCTTATGCACGCCGAGTCGATGATATTGTATGTGAAGCCTAAAAAATTTGCCAGACAAAGACGACGTTTTACAGGCGATGAAATCCCGCTCAAGGTTAGATGACAATTTGCTGCAAAGAGGTGTCAAGGAGAGCGAGACAGTGCGAGAGGAAGGAGGGGGGAAGGGTGGAGCGAGATTCTGAGACGGGCTAGCGGTTATCTCTTTGTGTCAAGATGGAGGTCCTCGTACTTGCACGTCATTGCGTCCCTGTCGGAGCTGTCCTCTTGGTCACGGTTGCAACGTCTTCGCTTGTGGTCTACTGACTGGTCTCGGTCTCCATGGTTACAACATTCCCCCCCCCATCCAATGTTTTGATTATGTCGGTACTTGTACGCTTACGCTCAGGACCACTGGCCCATGTGTGTTATGTGTGTGTGTATTGAGAGCCACTAGTCTGTGTGTTTACAAAACGGTCGTGCGATAACACTCGCAAAAGGCTGAAGCAAAAGACAAAAGCTACTTGGTCGCGAAAAGCAGATTAGACGTCGTTTTGGCTGCCGGCCGTGCATCCCACTTATATCCGATAAAGGCAAGACTGTGGGCCTGAGGCTTGTATCGAGACAAACAAGGGCGCATTTGTCGCTTAACGGCGCTTGCACTGAGCTCGGCAGTCGATGAGGGCGCCCCGGTCACGTGAACGCCCCCTACAGACACTCCACAAGGCCCATCGCCGTCTTGCCAAGGGAGGTGATGCGAAGGCTAAAATCGCAAAAACGAAAAGCCCAAAAGCGACCCCCCAAAAAACCAGTACAGGTAGACAAATAAGACTGACAGCCGACGATAGCTGATAAAGGGGAAGAAGACGGGAAAAAAATGGAGAATTTTGCCGCTGGCGAGCGAGCGCGCTGGTTGTACGATGAAATAGATGACCGAGCAGCCGACCACGGGCCCCACGCCGACACACACATCACTTGCACCTCCAGGGCACCTATCTCTCGGCCCAGATAGACCTGCTCCGATTGGCTCAAATAGAGGGAATAAACCCAACAGTAGTTCCGAGTGTGGAAAAGATTATCTCCGGTAGGGATGTATCTAGGTTTGGAAGATGGTACACATGCAATGGAGTGAAAAGTTTGCAACCCCAAAGCGTGTGGAAAACGTGGAAAAAACGTGGTGTGTGGGGGACAGCTATGACGAGTGGTGGCCTGGGGCCCGATTGAGCGTCTTTGCTCGAGTTTTGGATATGTAATTGGCACAATTGAGTCTAAGGCTGCGGTCTGGACAAGTCTACAGTGTCTCCGGTTTACAAATAGCCCTATTGGCGGGCCTGTATTGTCTATTTTGGATTTGCAAAACGGTGTGCGGTATAGTTAGACCTTAGGTCCACGGCTCAACAGCCACAGGCCACTTGTATCATGTATGGTGTAACTGGCCTGGGCCGGGAAGTCGCTAGTCGATCTGCAAAAACAAAAGTCGGAGCCAAAAGACCCAAAAGTCAATCACACGCCCTTCCAATGTGATTGTCTAGTTTTCGACGGGCATATAACAACGCATGGCACGGGCATACTCATGTGGACCTGGGCGTTGGTCCAACGTGCCATTGTGCATATTTCGGAGAAGAGGAATGTGCGGAGATGGCCTCCATGTCTCCGGCGGCCACCATGTGCCTATTACATCCTCCAATCTGCGATACTCGCGGAGCCCTTCCCACAAGGTTGTCCTATCTCTCAATCAGGTATAGTCATTACGAAAGGTTGTGTAGAGTGCCAACTTTGACCTGGTGAGGAAGCGTACATACAAGCGAGCCTGCAATAACATCCAGGGCGCGAAGACCCTCTCTATCGTACAAACACAGTGTATACAAACCGTACCGACGTTGACAAACAATCTCAAACCGTCCAACCGTACAAGCCACAAGTCACAGCCCATACAACTCAGTCCAAGCTACAGTTGGTCCAATTGTAGCATACTGTAAACGATACATGTCTCCGCCAATCTCCACGCCCTGACCCTTCCCTTCTTGTGCCCCTTTACATACCCCTTCGGTTTCAGGTACCACCTCGCCGTTTGTACTTGTCTGTAGTATCCACCGTCGTCCCCCTGAGCCCTAACCACCTCTTACATTTCTTACACTGGACCTCGCAGGCTTGTGACGTTTTCAACGCCCGTCCCACAGGTGCATTACATGTCCTACATATTGGTCCCCGCCAATTACGTCATCCGGAACAAGACGGAAAAACTGCCAAGCAGACATCACAACGTCAGCCAATGATACATAGTCTGAGAGCCCTTGTTCTGGCTGATAAAAGGAGGGGAACTCCACATCTGTCACTCCACTTTGACACTCCACACATGCCAACTATACATGGTTGGGGGCCAAGAACAAAAGCCCCTTCCCCAGACCACTTTGCAGCCGTTGGGAACCAGAAAACACACATGATTGGTCTTTGGGGATGTGCGTCGTCTGTCCCAAGGTCTTTGTGAAAACCGCTTGTCTAGTGGTTCTGCCCCACTCCAATCGATCCACTTGTGCCATCCATTGGAGCTCCCGTCCGTTGTAAGGGTATTGCACCTCGTATCACTGGTCGTACTCTCGCATCCCTGCGCAGCTCCACTTTTGTCATATACCCTCGCCAAGCTCGATACTGAAACCACTCGCACCAAATGTGTACGAGTATTCACTACTTGTACTCGTATCGTACATACCACTCCTCTACAAGCACCTACGTCATAGCCACACCAGTATGGTATCGTACATACACCCTCATTCCAACCCTGTAAACTGCAAGTACTTGAATTTGTACTGTACTTGTACCATATGCTACTTTGTTTATTCATCTTTTTCGTTTTCTGTGCTCCTGCGCAAGCCGTATCATACCATACTCCCACATCTCGTCTAATTTCCGACTCCAGATCCAGAGCCCGACCCCGACCCCGACCCCGACCCCGACCCCGACCCCAAATTGGACCCAGACTCAGAACCCCCATTTCCCCCGCTGGTGCGGCGGTAGGGATGATGACGTTCAGGCTCACGCGACCGAAAAATGCGCCTCATGATAGGCTCCATCAGTCGGCTACGCAGTCCTTCTCCAGTACCGCTAGACGAAGAGCCAGAGCCAGAGCCGGAGGCACTCGCAGACCCGCTGTCGGTGCTACTGCCCGCGTTGCTGTCGCGACTGCCGCCGGAGTCCCCACCGTCGGTCCCGATTGCCTGCAACGTCTCCTGCCCCACAGGCGAAGAAGCAGAGCCTGCAGCTCCAACATTCCCAGTCCCAGAGCTTGAAACTCTGTTAGCCTCTTGCCGTGGACCCTCACCTGCATCTCCATGTAGCCGAAAAAAGTCAGACGGACGATGATAGACGTAGATGCCAGGAACTGGCTGGTGCACGTGAGCATGTGTGTGGGTGTGGTTGTGAGTGTGGGGTTCAGCGCCAGCACCTTCTCCCGTGCCAGAGGCCCCAGTTCTCCCTGCAGCTCCAGTCTCACCCCCAACTCCTTCTGTAGCCGCTCTTCGGGCGTTAGTTTGAAACTCCCGAATCACATCTACAACGGGAGGCAGATTCTGTGTGGGCCCAGTGCCAGTCTCTACACGGTGAGCGTGGAACAACTGCGGCCAGCCTTCAACTCCACGGCTCAGAAAGTGAGGCACGTTCCCTTGAGGCCCGACAACTGGAGGTCGGGCGTCAATGGTACCTACACCAGCTGTCCCAGTAGCTCTAGCTGCTGCAGGAACTCCACGGAACATATCGCTGGCGTTGATCTCGCCCTGCGCGGTCTGGGGGCCCTGGGGATTGTTGCTATTGTTGTGACGGCGTCGGTCTGCCTCAATCTCCTGGAAAACACGAGGTAGTACGTTGAAGAGGACCTCGAAGAAGCCGCCAGACCGAGACTCGTCGGGCTGACCGGTAGCCTGCAGGTATTCGGACTCGGACTCAACGGTCACTCGGCACAGAGGGCACGAGTTGTTTGACCGCAACCACTCACAGATACATAGATGGCCGAAAATGTGACCACAGGGCATCTTGGTTGCCACGTGACTCTCAGGGAAGTTAGCCTCCGACTCAGTCTCTGTCTCTGTGTTTGACTCTGCGTTTGCCCCTGTCTCAGCCCCTGTCTCAGACGTGGATCCCGTAGAAGAGGTACCAGCAGTAGCTGGCGGCGTCCGCTCTGTCGTTCCACCCGTAGTTTGACGCTCAAACTGCCGTTCAACAGTCCGTTCCATCACCCGCTGTTGTACCCGATGCAAAGCAACCTCCTCATGTGCCTCCCGTAGACCCTCGGGGATCCGGGGAATCACAAACGGCTGACGTGGACCTGCCTCCGGGTCCACACGTATGATAGGACACAGCTGTTGAGGGTTGGCTTCTCTGAAGGCAGCAGCATCTTCAGGGGTGTCGACAATGTACCGAATCTGATTGGTAGCCTCGTCCAGAGCCTGGCGCAAGTTTTCCTCGACTCCAGGATCGTTTCTAGCCCGTATAATCTCGTCAGCCTCGGCCTGAATGGCTCTTTCACTGGGAGAAGCTAGTTCAATGAGCACTGGACCGTGTACTGAAGTCGCAGGATTAACTTGGTTGAAATCGAACGACGGATCCGAAGACACAGATGCACTGGATGTGTTGGCCTCCGACGCCAGCCCTCGACTCTCTTGCTGTCGGTCCTCCTCCTGCTTTCTCTCCTGCTCGGCCAACTTGGCGATAATAGCGTCCCAGCCCAGCGGCTTCTCCTCGAATGCATCGTAGCAGATCGGACAGTTCTGCTCCACCACCTCGCTCAGCTCCAGCGTTTCGAGGTTGCGAATCACCCGTCGTGATGCCTTGGGCTTGTGTCGCCCTCCTCCTAGAACACCACCGGCAAACATGTGTGTAGGGATAGTGAATGTAGCCGTAGTAGTGCCATCAGGGCGGTGGTCGATTCCTCCGGGACTGAATGTGATGTTGGGGGCATCACCAGCTGTGTCTGGAGGCGCATCTGTTCCAGCATCATCCTCTCCAGCAGCCCGCCGTTGCAGCAGCCGCTGGATCAATGGGTTGCTCAACCAGCCTCCGGCGGCTTGGTTGAGATGCACGTGACCAGCCTCGTCTGGCTCAGCGGTGGAGTCAGTGGTTGCTGCTGCCGTTTCTCTGGCAGCCTCGGCTCCACCATCACTGACCCGTGTACGCATGGGGGATCGTTCCCGGGTGCGATCTCCGGCTCTTCGTTGCGATTGGGACCGAGATCGGTATGCTTGTGCGGTTCCTCCGTCAGCAGCACGGCCTCTAGCTTCACGTCCACGGGCTTCCCGGGCCTGTCGCGATGCCTCCGTCGCCAGGTTCCAGATGGTGTTGTCAGCCGTGCCGGGTGGCGGCGCCTGAGTTGTACCTAGTGAATATGTAACCAACATGATAGGCCGATCACGAGGCATGTGTCGATGAGGCGGTTGAGGGGGTGTTTGTGTGCCCGGAGCAGTCGAAGAAGTCTCTGCTGGCGTCGCGCTTGCCGCCTCTGTCGATGCTGGTGCTTCTGTTGTCTCCGTCGCTGCATTTGTGTCTCCTGGCGCTGCGTCTGTGTTCGTACCATCTCCATTCAGAAGCCGGTCCATGTACTCCTGAACCACCTCTCTGTTGTGCTGGACGTCCAGATTTCGACGCAGAGCGCTCCGCAATAGTTGCGCCACCGCGTCCCGGGCCGGATCAGGAGGCCCGTTGTTTTCGCTCATCTTCAGTGTTTGTCTTCTGTACCTTGGTTGGTGGCGTTGTGAGTAAGTGGATATGCGTGCCGTGTGTCGAGTGCTCTTTATATGTCCAGTCAGTCACCTCTGCCGTGTAATGGTGCAAAGTAGTGCTGACTCCTCAAGGCCAATTTTTTTTTCTTCAGACCTTGGAGTAAAGATGTACAAGCGCGGTAGTAGAGCAGGTATAATAACTGTGGAGCTTATAATTAACAATCTTGCTTTCATTAGTTCAATAGCAGTGACGTCAGACCGAAAGCATTCGGAAAATGAGAAGACAGGTCAGCCGCACGCTTTGTGATATGGAAATCAGGCCCAAATTTTTCGTCCATATTCCCCATGTCAAAATCACCATTCACCCATGTAATCCCGCTACTTGCACGTGCTGTACTTCTGCCACCCTCCACTCCATTATACAACCGACTCATAGAACAGTATGGAATGTTGGGTTTGGGATATCCCAGATTATGGTCCCGTGGTGTGGTCACGTGATGAAAGCTCAAGGTGGATGGGCCGATATGCATGTCACGTGACCGGCTTATTCCCCCCCCCCCCCCCCCACCTCCACCCGGTTGTAGCCTGTACATGTTGTATTGATGCACTCTGAAAATCGCCGTTGGGAACAGCTTAACTCCGAGTCCATGGAGATACCACCACTGTGAGCCATTTAGGTGGCATCTGAATGTGTACATGAGAGAGGGGGCGGATAACGTAGCATATAAAACAGATTGTAGTTGAGGTTGAAAAAAACAGAAGATGGATTCACACTCACCGCAGCTTCAGTACCACTCTTATACGTTCAACTAAGAAATTACCGCACTTTTCCATGGTTGCTTACTAACACACGGGTCCTCCACGCATGCACTCCCACAGCACACTCTATCTCCATCAGCAACATCCACACACACCACCATGGGTCTTCTCAACTCGGCGGACAAGGAGAAAATCAAGCGAGTGGTGCCGAAAAACACCAACAAGGTGATTGACTGCACCATCGCACGTCTCTACATTGCCTACCCGGACCCTGATAACTGGCAGTACACCGGGCTGTCTGGAGCGCTAGCTCTGGTGGACGATCTTGTGGGCCACACTCTGTTTCTGAAGCTCATTGACATCCACGGGTCGCGAGGCGTGCTCTGGGACCAGGAGCTGTATGTTGGCGTCAACTACTTCCAGGACAGAACGTTTTTTCACTCGGTGGAGCTGGAGGACTGTTTTGCAGGCTTTCTGTTTGAAGACGAGTCCGAGGCCGCTCACCTGTTCAAGCGGATCCAAAACAGAGAAAAGTACGCCAGCAAGGATACGGTCAAAAACAAGAACGCCATTGCGCTGAAAAAGGCCGCTCCAGCAGAAAAGGCTGCCGTGGGACCCAGAGGAGAACCCCGTACTCGACTGGGATACTCGGGACCCGTCTACTACGACGACGAGCCGCCGGAAGAATGGCGAGCGCTGTACAGAGAGTTGGAGGAGCAGGGAATCACTCCGGAGATGATTGCCGATAACACCGAGTTCATCAAGGAACACATTCGACAGACGGGAGGTCCTCTGGTGGGTCTGGAACCTCCAATCCCTCGAAACAGAGGCCGGGGACGAAGCACGAGTAATGCCACTTCTTCTTCGGCTGATACCAATGCCCGAAAACCCCCACCGCCTCCTCCCCCAGCTGCTGCTGCTGAATCAACCCAAAACAACGACAGAAGAGCAGCTCCTCCTCCCCCGCCGGCCTCGGCTCCCCCTAGCTACTCTAGCACTCCAGAGCCCGACTTGCCGGCCACCCCTGCTGCTCCCTCCGACCCACCAGCTGCTGTAGCACCCCCCAGACGGTTCAATGTGCCGCCTCCCCCATCTTTCATGGGCAAAAACGCAGGTGCTCCGCCTCCTGCGGCAACTCCAGCCTCTCCAACAGCAGCAGCAGCCCCACCAGCGCTTCCAGGACGGTCGCTGCCGCCGTCGCTGCCCTCTCGTGGTTCGCCAGCGCCCCCTGCACTACCAGGACGATCGGTGCCTCCTCCTCCAGAACTTCCTGGACGAGCTGTGCCTGCCCCTCCCCCCTCTCTGCCGGCACGAGGAGGAACCCCGGCAGCAGGAGGACCCCCTCCCCCTCCTCCACCCAGAGACGGAGCCACTCCTCTATCGAGACCTCCTCCTCCTCCCTCCAGATCGGCCATTCCGCCCCCTGCTGCTGCCCCAACTGCATACACACCCCCTCCCCCTCCTGCAGCAGCTTCTCCAGCGGCAGCTCAGAGCTCATACACTCCTCCTCCTCCTCCTCCGCCCCCGGCCTCGTCGAGACCTGTTCCTGGAGTTCCTGGAGGTGTGCCCCCTCCTCCTCCCCCTCCGCCCCCCGGCCCTGGACCTGCTGCAGCTGGTGGACCTCCTCCACCCCCTCCGCCTCCTCCTGGTGCTGCTCCCTCTTTTGGAAGTGCTGCTCCCCCTCCTCCCCCCGGTCCTCCCCCAGCCATGTCTGGAGGTCCTCCTCCCCCTCCACCCCCTCCTGGAGACTTTGGAGTCACTCCTGGTCCTCCTCCTCCTCCTACCGGAGACGCTGGTCGAGACGCGCTGCTGTCGTCTATCACAGCTGCTGGTGGAATCGGCTCTCTTAAGAAGGTGGACAAGTCGCAACTTGATAGACCTTCGGTCATGCTGCAGGAGGCTCGTGGAGAGAGCCCTACCATTCCTTCGGCTGCCCCGGGAGCTCCTGGCGGTGGCAACTCGCTGGCAGACGCCCTGGCCTCGGCTCTTAATAAACGAAAGGGCCAGGTCAGTAAGTCTGACGACGAGTCCGACGGTGATGACTGGTAGTATAATGACTATGTAATTAACAGATGAAACGATGGGGCTACGAGCAAAGCGAGTATGTTGTCCATAGACATGGTGTATAATTGGTAGACGCGGTCACACCGTCTTCTGCTATCGTGGATCCAATGCTTCATAGCATCTATTGAACATCTACGATTGATAGTTAATAGTCTGATTCAGTTACCGTTTTGAAGCACGTCTTTTGTGTCACGTGACGGTGGTCGAGTCACGTGCTTTATTACAGTGAACACTACAAGTATTAATTTCTTGTTGCTTGTTTATGTTCTCTGACCGTGCAATTTGGATGTCCTTTGTCTTCACTTCAGACAATCCAATAAACAACAGTCACTCGCATTGTGGCTGGCGAATCTCCGGTTATTTCAGCCTCCGGGGATCTCGTATTGATTGCGAATGATAACGTGAGCCTCGTTAACATCTTGGTGATCGTCGTCGTCGTCGTGATTTTCACTCGCTCTACCGAAGATGGCTGCATCAGTTTATCGGCCTTACGTAATGAAGTAATAGTCCAATTGGTGTCTTAGGTGGACCCCTTGTCATTGTGCGACTCGATACTCCTTCATTGACCAGCTCAATGCCTTTTCTCTCGAACCCATCCATTCTTCTCTAAGCCTCTGTTGGCCGGCCTGTCCCTTTGGACACTGCCTCCCACGGCACTGGCCCAATCGGGAATAATGTGTTGTTTAAGACACATAGGCTTGTTCCGGAGTGAGTAGGTTTGTGGGCCGCTGTGGGGGCGGCGGCATCAACAGCCCCGGTCTCCAAAAAGTCCTTCTTTTCTAAAAAAAAAAAAAAAGGATTTCTCGGACTTGGCCAGGTTGAACATAGGCTTGGCAGCGGCGAAGCATAATCCATGCATAGATAGCGAATAACACACGTTCTCAACCCTTGCCCTGGTGTCCTGATTGGGAGTTAAGTAGGTGAGGTGAGAATGAGGAAGATGTGGAATTGTGGGTCATTGAGGGGTTCAATTGGCGTCGATGAGTGTCTGTGGGTGGTTCCTGTTTGTGAATATTAGGATATATCGATCACGTGAAGTAGTGTACCATGGTATCTATACATGCTATATTGCAGAGAGATAGCTTTGCAGTGTTGAATTGACTTTGTCTGTGTCACGTGAAGGTGTTCTGAGCAAGGCCAGGTGACATTATAACCACTCAACTGTTCACTTCTGACCACTACCATCAATGTCAATCTTCACTATCGTTTATTACATGGAGGTCCATGTCTTGACACGACATTCCTTTTATGGCATAACAGGGTTGGGGTTGTAGGTGGTTATCAGTGTGCCCACACATCACATACTGTACATTCGTAGTTGAGAACTATTTAGTTGAAGATAGTTAAGAGATAGTAGAAGACATTATATTCTGCTAATGAAGACGTTCAAGAGATGCATCGAGTACACGAGTAGAATGCAGGTATACAACTCTTCAACAAAAGTGGTGACAAATATACCCCTTTTCTAACAATGTTCATGGACTCTTGACTTGTCCGTGTTTTCTCCTAAGTGAGGCTACATTGTAGTTGAATGTTTAGTACACCGTTTGTTATAAATCCATAACTTTGGATAACAAGTCCACGCGAGAGACGGGCAAGACTGAGCAACACAATGAGCCTGACATCCCCCAACTACACATCACGGTTTTCTCTCTCCATCCATTGTCCCAGGTAACCACCTATATCTACGGATACATCCGTGCTGACCCACGTCGTCACGTGCAGACAACTCTAAAACATTTTTCTGCAGCCAGCCATAACCATCATCAACAAATATGTCCGGACGACAGGGTGGAAAAGCTAAGCGTGAGTATTGTGGCGGAAAAAGGCCGCGAATCTGACGGATATGCGATGACTAATCGATTCACCAGCCGATCCCACGTGATCAACCCCCCACAACCCCCACTAACCCAGCTCTTAAGGCTCCCAAGAAGAAGCAGACTGATTTGGACGAGGAGGATCTCGCCTTCAAGCAGAAGCAGATGGCTGACGCCAAGGCTCGAAAGGAGATGGCTGCCAAGGCCGGCAAGGGAGGTCCTCTTTCCGGAGGAGGTATCAAGAAGTCTGGTAAGAAATAATCTTCTCCAGGCAGCTTGAAGATACTTAGAAAATATCACTTTTTACGTGCTGTTGATGTGTAGTCTTTGGAATGAGTTGCTGTGATAAGTAGACAGATTCAGCGGTACAGAGTCAAAGGACGGGGGAGGCTGTTTGAATCCACTCTCACTAGTTAATGATACTCGCACTCGTACACGCGCTTGTGGAGCTTCACCAAGCTCACTGTACACATTCTAGAAACTTCGATAGATGGACTGGCTCAAGTTTCCGATACGAAACCTGGCCGCCTAGAAGATCCGTATCTAGAAGTTTCTATTGCTGTGCTCTCTAATCACATCACAAGTTTCCTCTCGCCTGTCGCCACCATTACTAATAACATTCTGGCGATTATGCACGCCACCAACATGGATGTGGATATACTAGGGTGTCGTCTTCAAGTGCAGTAACTTGCACAGCTACTCATACGACATAATAGCGAGACCAGTACAAACAAACCAGCATACACGCAACAACATCAACAACATGAACCTCACACTCTCATTCAAGGGCAAAAGTACGCCTCTGACAGATCTCCCTGAGGATCTCACACTGGCCGATCTACAGGCGGAACTGGATCTCACGACAGGCGTGCCACCCAAGAACCAAAAGGTTTTTTTGGGCAAGAAGGGTCTGGTCAAAATCAGCGACAAAAACAGCTCGGATCACGTGTTCAAGCTGATTCCAGACGGATCCAAAGTCATGTTGATTGGATCGACGATTTCGGCGCTTGGAAAACTCGAGGAGATGGAAACCAGTGCTGCTCAGGAGGCCGCCAAGCTGAAGGCGCGACAGCGGCGAGATCGGGAGCTATACCGACGGAAAACCGGCAGAAATACACCCCCTCCAGCTCCCTCAGAGTACTGTTTCGATAAGATTGTGCCTTTGGACTGGCTTCCCGAAAAGGAGCGTGCCCTGGAGCTGCTGACACGTCTGAGCAAGGACAGGGGTGTGATTGCAGTGCTGCAAAAGTACAAGTGGCGAATTGGTGTTCTCACAGAACTTGATCCGGCTTCAAACACCAACAGTGATCATCAGGGAACAGAGAGATTGCTGGGGTTGAACAGAAACAAGGGCCAGGTGATTGAATTGCGGCTACGAACAGATAATTACCAGGGATGGAGAAACTACTACAACGTGCGAAACGTCTTGTGTCACGAGCTAGCTCACAATGTGTACAGTGATCATGATGACCAATTTTGGCGGCTTTGCAAGCTTCTGGAGAAGGAGGTTGTTGAGCTTGACCCCTTTGGCAAGGAGGGAAACACTGTGGGAGGTACTGCTGTCTCCACAACATCTGGACCGTACCAAGAGTGGCTGGAAATGGACTCTGATGAGGACGTTGGGGACTCTGGAGGCTGGCACGGAGGCACATATGTTCTTGGACGAGGACGCAACGAGGTACAGCAGGAAAAGGAGGACAAGAACAAGAGCATCCGAGAGCTGTTGCAGCGAGCTGCTGAGAGAAGGCAGCAGGAGAAGGAGAAGGAAGGGGAGAAGAAGAAGTAGACTGGAGTAAAACAAGGAGGATACTATTATAGTGGACAACGTATTTATAAGTACAAGAAGATGTGCTTGGCAATATTAAGCACTTTGTAGATTGTGTAGAAGTACACGGGGATATAGGGACAAGAAGGATCTCCATGATGAAGATGAGAAGAAATGTTCTTGTATACAGAGAGAGAAGAAGCTGTGTCATAGAATGTGGCATATTCGATGAACTAAGAAGTTTCAGCAGACTTGACAATGGTGTCGAGGTCCCTCCAATTCTCCTGGGATGGGGACCTTCGACACCCACTTGGCCTTTTATGGGTTTGAAGGTGGTGACGCACAAAGTTGATCTTCTTGACAGAATTTTGAGGATCTCGGTGTCCACGAACTTGGTCTCATGCAGCTCCCGATCTTGGGGATGAAGGAGGGATATCTAAGTAGACGGATTGCTCTACCTCAGTCGAAGTAGACGGCGCAAAACTGGTTATTAAAGTCGGTGAAAACAGCTGAAAAAGGGGAAACAACCAAGTCAAAGTGGTATCGGGCAAATAACTGTTTGGAGGCCTTGTCATCGGTTTTCAAAGTCTTGGACTTCAGAGAGTTGAGGTGGGGGATAGACTTGATGGCGGCAGAGGGGTTATCCCGTCCTCTTTGGTCAGCAGATCGGAGATCTGGGTGTACATCTTGCCTTCGTTGAAGTCAAGTCATAGGAGATCTGGTTAGTGATATCTATGCTTTCAACGAGGCTGTCAAATTCGACGCCATTGATTTTCTGAAGCAAAAGTAGTAACAGCAGCATTGCTAGGCAGCAAACTCGATATAACGTTCTTCTGGGAATCATATCGTTGAGCAGATTCTACAGATAGATCAGAACGGCCTCGATATCCAGGGAGATATCCTGTTATCCTGGGAAGTCGTCTGTATGTTCTCAGTAGTGGCACCAATGGAACCAATTACAGGATACCATACCGAACATTACACCGAGCCTGGATACAAGAGTCTGCATATATCTCAGCATACCGGTCACAGTGACATAGTAAATAACACTAAGGGTTGTAAACAAGTGGTATCGAGCTGTAAAATTGCAATCCTCTATGAACTGGATACAACCGTTCCTCAGGGAAGTCCCGTCTTCCTTACAATGTATTTGACAGGATGAAATTCCTGAAGCAGAAATGTTTCCTGTTTAAGCAGAATCAGATATCTCGCCTTTTTATCCTCCTCACTTCTGTATTCTCGCACTTTTCTCCAATTTCTTACATTTTTTTGAACCCCCCCCCCCCCCCCCCCCATCAACCCAGAAACAATGGCCTCGGCTCACCCAGTTCACCAACCAAGGGATATATGGAACCCGACTACTGCAAAACAGTCTGAAACACGCTATATCCTAACTACGAGTACATAGTGTTAGCCAAGTCCAGAACAATTCGCGTGTCCCCAATACATGTCTTATGCACGATCCGCATGGATAAAGCCCCCATTTATAAACGAATACGAGGAGATTACGACAGGTCAGAGATGTGCAATCGAACTACGAGATTGCCGTATAAATTGTGAGCCAACAGACCAGGTATTACCCATGACTAAGACACAACTGACACGCTGGGCAGTTGATATATTCTTCATCAAGTGGACCTAAACCATTAGCGCGTGAAAGCTACAAGGGTACGACCATTGGTCTTGTTGACACTAGGTGGAGGAAACAGTATTGACAGAATTGCTGGAAAAGAGTAACACAGGTTTACGTACCAATGTGTGGTGTACGAGTGCCTCATTCCTGTTGAGTTGTTGAAAACGTGGACTTTCTCGCCATGTCAGGGAGATGCAGCAGGGTCCTTGGGTAATATACAACCTCATAAGTACATACTGTAGTCTTAGACTAACTGATGAACCCTTGGATTACTGCCTGTACGAATACAAACACGACTATTTGTACCCTTGTATGTTCCGAAGATCTAAAGCATGTCTCGAGGGCGGCACATCCAGGGGTAGGGGTGAACCAACAGTTTAGCGACGAGCACATTCCAAGTCTTTTACTGTAAATTTACTGCATCGTCAATAGAATGTGCTACTAGACTTGCAACTTGACTTGGGCCGTAGTATATGCTGAAGAGATGGACCGGACAGGGCACTTGTTTGAGAGCGAGGACCAACACACGTATAAACAGAGCTAGATATAAACATCTGCAGTAATCTATTGTATAGAGACGTTTCCATAGTCAAAATACAGACACATTTCAGTCTAATTTCCATGAAACAAGTGTCTCTTGCCGGCAGTAAGAGTTCGGTTGGTTTGCACCCATGCACCCAACAGATAGTCTAGATCTGCTGAGTAACGACTGAGGAGCAGATAAAAACTGGTTTAGACTGAAAAAATGATATGGAGGCTGTTGCAATCTCGACTCTAGACGACATTACAACGGCACATCAACTGTCAAGGGTAGCCGAGGGTCGGTTGTAGTTGCCGAGGTGTACAGTGAAATCGACGTGCAATGGAGCTCTTTCGTAAAAATACACGTCACCAATGACTTCAAGGGAGATTACTGTATCAGTCCATATTATCCATATATCATGCCCCAAGTTTTTCTCACGTAAACACCTTCCCGTTGTGCGTGTACGAGTAGTACGCGTAGTACGAAATAGTTTGCACACAGGTGCCACAATGGACTAATAATACTCGTAATATAGCGTGCTTGTATAAACACAACAAGTCTTATTTATTGTGCCCACACCTTCCGCTTCCGCTTCCGCTTCCAGGCCTATGTCTACAAGTACGATACTTGTAGGTCTCTCTCATGTCTCCTTTCATATCGCTCAAGTTTCGTTCTCCCAACAGTCCGTATGAGCAGCCTAATCTGTCTGCCAACGGTGCACACGTGATCAGGAGTCTTGTAGACGGAGTGTGTTTTCCGCAGTAATGACGCCACAGAAAAAATTCAAACTGGAATCAACTCGCAGAAATTTGGAGGTGTCCATTCCACTCTTCAGAATTGGCCATGCCCGTTTCACAGAACACCTCAGCCCTAATCACAAGACCCACAACCTTAACCGGTACAAACCCTAACCCCCACACATGCAGTGAGTTGTCACCACCCAGAGGGACATGACGGACTAACAGGTTGTGATAATATCAGGGTGAAGCACAGAACGGCGATTTGAGCTACCGAAAAGCGAAGCAAAGACACGAAACAAGTCACACAAACCCGCGACTTTTGCCACCCGACAGTTTCACCGTTACAAGACACGCTTCCACCGCCCCAGATAGTCGCACAGAACCACTAAGATGACCGAAACAGGACAAATCCAAAAGTTCAAACTTGTCATTGTGGGCGAGCAGAGTGTGGGAAAAACGTCGCTGATCACGCGAATCATGTACGACAAGTTTGACCAGAACTACGAGGCAACCATCGGCATCCAGTTTCTGTCCAAACCCATGTATCTGCCCGATCGAACCATCCGGCTGCAGTTATGGGACACTGCGGGCCAGGAGCGGTTCCGATCTCTGGTGCCAGCATACATCCGAGATAGTCACATTGCCATTGTTGTGTACGCCATCGACTCGCGCAAGTCGTTTGTGGACGTGGACAAGTGGATTGAGGACGTCAAGGCCGAGCGAGGAAATCAAGTGGTGCTCATGCTAGTTGGAAACAAGAGCGATCTGGAGGAGTCACGAGAGGTGACGACCGAGGAGGGACAGGAAAAGGCCAAGCAGTACGACGCGCTGTTTCTGGAGACGTCGGCCAAGGCTGGCCACAATGTCAAGTCGATTCTCAACAAGGTGGCGTCCGAGCTGCCCGGTCTCGAGACGGCTCTCAAGACCGACCAGAGCGAGCTGATTGACGTGAATATTACAAACGAGCCTGAGCAGGACAGCTGCTCGTGTTAGACAGGCTGTGGAGGATAAGAGTATTATGACACTGAGCATGGATGTAAGTAAATAGGTGAAATTAATTTAACGACAGAGGTGTGGAAGACTGGGTGCTTCAGCCAGTAAAAACGATATCGTAAAACAATCTACCGTGTCGCGCTCTCCCTGCACATGCGTTATAGACATCAGGGGCTCAGGGGTTACAGGTGGAGTATCTGCAGTCTAGAACTTGCTGTAGATGTTCCGATTGTCTAGGAACACCCATGATTCTCCTTCAGTATGAGTATTCAGATGGATATATATGACGCGTTCTCTTCAAAAGCCTCCCCCGACAGAGAGTGCTCAAGACCCTAGAGTCCTGTGCAGTATGTACCAAGTACTGTATCTACTGTACCTACTGTACTCGTATCAGAGGTATCTCATGAACCATCTGACAGAAATATGGATTCTGAAAGGGGCCAGCTTCACATACACATCATACCGTCTATCCAGGAGCCCCTGGAGACTACAAGTAGGTGTAGTAGCTACTTGTAGTAGAGGGAAGGCCTTGAAGTACGGTAGAACATAAGATGAATGACCTTGTTACTCTAGCATATGGACAAGTACATACGTCCAGGTGAACTGAACAGTTTCTATGTTCAATCTGCTTTGTAGACATGATTGTGCTTGGGGGAGTCACAGTTCACCCCAGTCGCCAACAGGGGAACATTCACTATCATGTTACAAGGTCAATATATATGACTTGTCGATTCTCCACACTCATAATATGCAGCCCAGATGACCTCTTGAAACAACTTTCTTGATAATATCGCCACTGTACAGTGTACTGGTATCGCTGTAGAGGGAGCAGGAGAGCATACCAAGGAAATGGTGAACGGAGAGACGTACTGAATCAGTCTTACTGAACAGTTATTATGACTCAACAATGCTATTGTCTGCCTCTCTGGATGCTACCCTGAAGTCTGTGCTCACAATAATATCAGGATGATCTTGTGGAGTTGGACGGAGGAGCTCTCTTACGCGAGTCACGTGATAGAGAGGGAGCGAGAGGGAGCTGATACAATTCGGCTGGATGAAGGGTTACATTCCTTGTGTACTATATCATACTGGTATTGTTTGTATAGCGCAAGTACAGTATTTATTCAAAACCCCGTTTAATTTGCATTTTGTTGGTGATTACTTGAATATAGTTGAACACCATTCTCAGCTTCACTATTACGAACATACTTGACCACACCCAATCGAGTTGTAGTGGGGATCTTGTTTAAACTCCCTATGACGTACTTTCTGCATGAAAGTCATTCCGCAAACCACTTCCTCACCAAAACCACCCCTTACATCTGCATCTGCATCACCAATCGCCCCGACTACAACACTGTACACCAGAAATGACATCATCACCTCATTCTTCCTCCCTTCCATAATTAATAGAAGAACCATAACCCAACCAGTCTCGCTTACAGTTGTGATCAAGTCTGCATGTTGTCAGGCATTGTTCACAGAGATCACGTGATGCCATTAAGTACAATGGTGAGTCCGAAATCTCTCCAGATCCTCCAGTTGCCACAGTCTCCACAGTCTCCACTCGCCACTCCCATTCTTCTATCAGCTCCCCTATCTCCCTGATCCGGGACTTGCTCGCATGATGGGCTTGGCTCTGCACGGGGATGTGGCAAAAAAGCACGCAGACTTTGGCTTTTTTTGGCGACACGCGCGATCAGCCCGTCTATTTGATAGTCTATGCACGGTCGGCCTCACGCATTCTTTGGGTCCAGGACAGGTGTTCTTTCAAAGCATCTCTGCCGGCTTTTGCGCAGTGCCAGTATTTATATTTGTATTGAAAATAAAGGGACCTATTTTTCAGTGGAAAAAAGAACTTCAACCGTTGACGAAACAAACTCCCAACGGTATTCAAGTTTACTAATACGTAATAGGAAAAAACGTAATATGAGACACAGGACAACAATACGAAGTATCCACCAGATCCTGTACAACCAAACCTCCTTATTTCTCATGTGGAACGTTTGGACCATAATCAGACCCGTTCCCGTTTCCCCTCGTCTTGTCCTCTCATAGGTTCACGTGACTCCACAGACATAATGGCGTGCACCGCGCAGCAATCATGCAGCTCCATCTGCAGCAATGTACTCAAATGGCCTTACTTTTTTGAAGCCGTCGGAACACCGCGGGAGGGGTCAGAGCTAGGAATGGGTCCGCAAATGTTTACGTCACGTGATTTCCCCCCAGACCAAACCATGGAATCAGATCTTTGGCCGTTCCGTTTGCCATTACTAAGCTTTTCCGTCTTTCCAGAGAGACAGGACCCGCTTTAAAATGTGACGATCAGTTGTGCACTCCCTGCCTTATTCCGATTTGGGAATGGGGAAACGGCAGCGGCGCGCGTTTATGCTTGGAGCTTAAATTCGTGTTTTGAGTTCTGGGGATATTTGCGAGAAGCATAATATCCGTCGGACGCAAAGAACCAACCCACACACCAAACACGTCTTCAAACAACGACAGACGGGTTAACTTATATGTAAGTTCACGACCTCTGGAAACAGGTCTGGAGTTGCTTTCAAAACCCCCTCAACCTGCAAGTAATTACCCCTCATGCCGTTATCGTGACACTCCTTTTTTTTCTGCCAATCTCTCGTTTCTTAAATTAGCCTCCCAACAACGACATTTTAATGTACGCTGCAGGAAAAAGAGTAAAAAGAGTAAAAAGAGAAAAAAAAGAAAAAAGAGTAAAAAGATCACCGCGCCCAGAGATATACTTGTCTGTCACGTGATGGGGTTGTGTGTAAGACACTTTTTGCGCACATGGTTTCTTTTTGCCGACTTTCAGCCAGTCCCGCCCAGCCGCTCAGTTGAGTCTTGTGCGTGGTGGTCTGAGAATAGGAGTGGTTTGTTGGGTTAAAAACGCCACGCGTGGTTTAACTTGACAAAAAGATGTCCAAGGAGTCTCCTATTGAGTACTCCGGGTTCTCCGAGCTCTTCTGATATAAGTCTGGATTTTTTGCGATCTTTGCCATTTTCTACGCGATTTTAGCCAAGACGGAGCGAGACATGTCTAACTCCGGGATGCCTGGAGTGTAACCTGCATATTTGATGTCAGCAAAGGCGAGCATTCAGGGGGCTTGAACACACGCAAAAAAAGGCCATAAAAAAAATAAAAAATTTGAGACGTACAAGCAGAGCCACAAGAATCGGCTGGGGAGTTTTTCGTGTCAGAATTTCCGATTTCGACCCCACAAAACTGCCCTCAGTTGCAATGAGCAAATTGTTGAGACAGTCGACGCATGGAAGCTGATCAGTTAATGTGCGGGGAAATGCACTTTAAACGAAGGACGGAAGCTAAAAATGCAAACGCCAATAAAGGAGTGGAAAATCCAAAGAAATTGGAAAATATTAAAGTAGCGATCCAGACCCCCAAAAAGGATCCTCAAGCAGCAACATGCGGGCCCAGATAGTCCACTTTTTTGCCCAACGTCGGATCACTGACGCTATTTTGATTAGAATTATCCCTTTCAGCTAACAAAGCTGCTTTTTTTTTGGTTCGAAATAAATGAACGAAAATTTTTCGTCAATGTCGATCAGTGGCTCTATTGTTAGTGTGGAGAGGAGTATACAAACAGAGAGACGGGCCCACGGTGTGAGAGTGGACTGTCGCCCGCCAACGGCCATGTCAAATACGATCTAATTATTGTCCTTTTATTTTCCTCTCGTGTCATTAATTAGTCCCTCTTTGACTATCTCATGTATAGACCCCCACAGGGACCCTACAGCCACATACTCCAGCTAAACGACGTTATACTGGCTAATAACATTATGGTTGTTGATCGGCACAGCTAGGGACCAGTGCTGCATGTTACAGCCAAGGCAGATCAAACACAGCGACCAGTTTTTTTTACCAATTCTTGTGAAGCAGGGTTAGGAACGCAGAAAAGGGTCTTTCGGGAAGCCGTAGATTTACGACGTATTCGCGAGGGCTACGAAGGAAGCAAGGACCGGAACACTCTAATTCCCGTACGCTGGAGATGTCCATCTTCGGTCCGGAGTTTTCTATCTTCCGCTCGGTGTCTCGTGAGGACTTCGAGATGTGTCACTTGCCCCCTTTTGTCTCAACACGGACTCCGAGGGGCACTTGGAGACACGGGGACACATTCCGGAGGTAGTCTAAATATCGGATAAGCTGAATTGAAAGTGTTTGTTCGGTTTTAGACTGATCTGGGGGTTGAGATGGTATATTCTGTAAGTAGTGCAGTATGTAGTGTGGAGGGAGGCGTTTGTGGTGATGGGAAAAGGATATAAAGTCAGGTAAAATGTACTAAAACGATGCAAGAGAGATTATCAGCCATTTTGTGTTGTATATAAAGTGACAGTATCTTTATATCGACACTTTTAGCGTGTGCACGAGGCCAGTATACATCTACTTCAGCTATTATAGATGTGATTGATAATGCATGCAAGATATACGAGTTTATTTTGAGGAGCTGATTAAGAGGAGGGTTGCAATATCATAATGGTAGCGATTTGGAGTGTTTCTAGAGAATTTACTGAATAGAGCGATTCTAACGATACCCACATCGGACCACTACGACTATCGCTACAAGCTCAAGCATCTGACGAGCTTTATTTGAAAGGAAGTGAGAATTTCTCGATGGACAGCAAAGGTAGAGAGGGTTTGAATGGTACAATTGAAACCACGAGCACGGGACCACTCCAAAGACACCAATTAGTAACCTCCTAGATGATTTTATTCGCCGCAAAGGCTCGGATGAAACAACAGCAAGCACCGCAACACGCACGAAAACAACAAGAAATACAAAGACAAGAGTGATTGGCACTGTGACAGACATTCTTCTTGATGGTACAAAGACCCTGTTTATCAACGTAGCCCCCACATTACTGCCCCGCACTCTTGTAGATCTGATCAACACGAATACAGACAATCGTGTTGTTGAGTGAAGATCACCAGATAGGAGAGACTGGCGGGGAACCTACGGGAACCTACATGGGGCCCTGTCGGTTTGGTGCCCGTGATTGGGCCATGTTTCGAATCATAATGCCGCTAGACAATACGAGTGTACTTTTAGACAAGCAGGTTTATGTGCAGTTGTTAAACCAAGTCCGACCAAGTCACCAGGCGTGGAGAGAAGAGAGAGAAAATAATTAGGCGATATGCGAGAGCGACAGCGAGAGAGAGAAAGAGCACTAGAATCGCCTGTGAGAAAAGCCAAAGGCTTGTAAACCTCCGATTCTGGCCCCCCACCCATGCATACGAGCTACGTCACTGGTTTGAGATTATGTCGATCGGAAATGAGGGGTAATGAAGATCTCTGCCCAAAGTAGACGGCCACAGAGTGACCAAGAAAGGCGCACCAGGAGAAGCGGGCTCTCAATGACTCCGCATTTCCTTCTCGTATAAATTTTAGTGTCTTTATCGTTTCTTAGTCATGGTTAAGTGGGTCTGACTAAGAGCTGATCATCTCACAGTATGCACATGCTTGGGTGATTGAACGGGGCACACACTGGACGGAGAATAGGAAGCAGAATCAGACGCAGCGGTAAATGAGTTTTTTTCCGGACTGTTTCAAATTTCCCAGATTTTTTCCCGCTCTTGCAAACCTCTTCTTTTTGCTACCCTGTGACTTCTCTGCAGCAACCTCCTTCCTGTGCGTGTGGTGATAGGAGGCCATTTATGAACTTTTTTGGGGTGGAGTGGGTTAAGTGTGAACACTATTCGGAGCCACGGAGCCAGGAGCAAGAGCGTTTGGCTCACGTGACACGACTTCGAGACTTATGGAGAGCGGCGATGGTTGCGGCTGAACCGGTCCGATTAGAATTCTTTTGTGGATTTTCTTTGATTTTCGCCTTACAAGCCCATTTCAACTATTTCGCCCATTTCGCCCATTTCGCCATTTTCGCCATTTTCGCCCTTTTTGCCCTTTTTGCCCTTTTTTCTGTCCGTCTCAATCAGGCCTGTCTCCATTTGCGGTCACCCAACTTCCACACACCCTCCCCAAACCCCCCTTGTCTGCCAAAGCCAAACCCATGTTACATTTGTTCAAACCTTATTATATTTGACTTTACCATACAAAGTTTAATTATCCAGGAAATAATGGTCCCCAAAACGCAAAACCCAAGACAAAACCAGACGACTCGGAATACCGTGCCTGGGACCAGGAACCGTGCCTTGACGAACCAGGTCGCCAGAGAGGCACCAGGGGTTTAGTCCCGACAGGAGATGGTGTGAAAAAAAAAAGTATCACACACGCAGAGATTACATATTATATATATAGGTGGGGATATGGCTTACTGATACCTATCACGTGATTCCCACGTGCCCGTTTGCGCCGTTTTATATTTTTCTGCCTGTGGTGGTGCCGTTCTGTCGCCCAGCTTTTTTTTCTTTTTCATATTTTTTTATAATGATTTTCCTGTTTTGTCCTCTCCAGTATTGCTCCCAGCTCACATGACGTCATTAGAGTTGACGGTTGGACCAAACAAAGGAGCCAAGAAATCAGGGCCATGGCTGCACTAATTGGTTTGACAGCTGCTAAAACGCCGAATAGTGGCGCTAGACCGACGTTTAGTGGCGGAAAAAACCAGTGGCGCGGTACAGGGGTGCGACGGGCAAGTCCGGGCGACTGAGGGGAGACCGTGAAACCGATACTGGGAGATTGGCGAATTTATGCGAATTTATGCGAATTTCGAATAAAATATCGTGAAAATAAAAACAATATATATACAATCATACAACAAAGACTCCGACCAGGAACTCTACATAGATGCTAATTACTGTTCTTGTACGGTACCACAACATCAATCTGCCCTCCAAGGTTACTCACTCATCACCCGGTTGTCTCATCTGCGTTACAGACGAGTACGAGGACCGACTACTGGTCGTATACAGTCCAAAGCCGTAGCGAAGCTGTAGTGAATACGTAGTGAAGATGTTACGAAGACGTAGTGAATACGTCGTGAAGACGTGGTGAAGATGTAGTGAAGATATAATGAAGACGTAGTGAAGACGTAGAGAAGAGTGAAGGCGTAACGAAGCGTAATGAAGACGTCGTGAAGACGACCCAGTCCGGTCCAATCCCACCACATCCGGTTCAACTGGTATCGGTACCAGCTCTCCTTGCTCAACTGATCTCTCATAAGTCGACATGTCAGCTGTCCATCTATTAATGTCAGCAGCCTCCTACCCTCCAGGTCATTGTTACTCTGTCCCACGTTAGGCCCAGGAACAGGGTCTGCTACGCAACGGGTCGGTCATACGGCACCTTGTTATTGAATATTGCAGAGAAAATTCCGACGTCACGCTAGCACCGAATACTCACACAAATACAACGCAGCCCTCGTCCAGCTACACCGTTTCTTGCGTTAGCTGTTTTCACGGCGCCAACTGCTGCATCGCAATGTAGCGTTGTGCCCGGTAGAGTAGTCTGATTGTTGGCATCTTCAAGGTGTAGTAAAGCCGTTTGATGCCTAAATGGACCTGGACAGCCGAGGCAGACGGGCATTCAACCAACAGAGCGTGTCTGTAAGCTCTAGTTAGATAACAGGTTTGACGCAGAGCACAGCAGAAGAGAGGGTTAATTAACACAGCATGAGGCTCCATCAATATTAGCACTACAGGTGACAAGATTCAGTCACTAAACGACAGCATACGGACCACCCTATAGAGCTCATTTATCCCTCTTAACTGTAACACGCGTTATGCTCTTTTGACTAGGTAGGATTGGCCCATGGGAAACGACTCATTCTCCGCAGTACCGCAGCTATTGTTAAGCCGAGTTGAAAATCGGAATTCGAGCCTCTCGAAGAAGCCCGTAAAAGTGTCAAAAACAGCCCATATCTCTCATAATCAGCTTCTACCCCTTCCCCCATTATCTCCATGGAGCTGATGTCACGCTCGAGCTTAACTTTTTTTTCATGGAGGAGGGGACAGGACCACGACGGTGGATGGTACGGCCACATAGAGCCACTTTGGCGCCTATTTGGGACGCACAAGAAATCTGGAGCGAGCACAGCAGTTCGGCTGACTCGTTTTGTGAAACCATGCCATTGTGGAGCTTAGAGTTGCAACTCCCCACTGATTAGTAAAGACAGATGACAGATGGTTGCTGATTTGGAGGCATCAAGACGGGTTGACACGCAGCCAGACACGCAGCCGGCCACCTTGAGAAGAAGGCTGGAGCGGCCACAGTCCGAGAGGGGAGGTTTATGGCGTCTTTTGGGCCTGAGACGATTCGCAATAAGACTGTGATGGAATGTTGCGTCCCCAGAGAGCTGGAAGAGCCACAAGGGAGCATCAAAGGCATTTTGAACATTCCGGATGAAGTTAAACAGGTGTAGAGAGAAGTATCTGAATTAACATAACATACTTGTACGAGTACTTGTGCTCGTACTGGTGAAAGTAGCTGTTTTATGGCTGCACATAGATTGTAAATCCAATCAAGCAACTTCACCAGTAGTAGACTAATCTATGGACTCTCAGGTACAAGTTTATGGGTACCTTGGGCCTGACCACAACTCGTTTCAGTCTACACTATGGGCACTTTATGATGCTGGTGACAGCTCATGACGTCTTCTATCCCTTACATTAGATGTCCCGATGGGGATGGTCCCGGGGGAGGGAGGTGAGACACATTGTTACATCAGTATATCGGTCACGGCAGGATTTTCAAACCCCACCAAATCGCACTATGAAGCAGTTGTAGTTCGTCGTCTTGGGCTTACTAATCAATCGTTTCCACCCCAACAGCTGACTAACACATCCCCACCGACAACCTCCCAGGGGCAAATCTATGGACTCTGCCTTTTCCTTTTTCCCCTTGCTTGGGCTTGCTAGGTTGACTTTGCATGACCGGGGACAGGGGTGGAGAATGTGTCCTACTAGACGAAGAGAGACGTGGATGGCGTGCGAGCGCCCGTGTGTTTGTGTCACCTTTGGGCGTCCGTCGCGCCAGTATTTCCGCTTTTCAAAGCGCGCGATGAAAATACTACCACCACCCTGTATCGTTATAGATTTTGTTCTTTTGCGTTTCCGTACAAGGTTACGCTTTTTGCTTTACTGAGAACGATCCTTGGAGTTTAAACCAAAATCTTAACCCAAAACTGCCTCCCTACTTTTTTCTTTTTCGTCACACAAGTCTATTTGACCGAGTGTGTCCACGAACCTTGTTTGCAATTGAAACACGTCCTTCTTACACCTATTCCCAAGACTCGTTTTTGCAAGTTACAGACCGGTATTGCGGGAGACGAGAGTCGTGACAAGTTGCTACGGTGCTACGACCAGACACGACACAGACACAGCTTCGCAAGAATACACAGCCACACCCACCCTCACGCGGTTTGCAACAGTCCGAGGCCTCTTAAAGCACAAAACCACTTCCCCAGCGACTCCAGGACAGGACATAAAGGACACACACAACCAACGACACAGACACAGAGCCACAAAGACACACAACCCACAGACGGACACCTCCAGAGACAACACACACACACACATACACCATCATGAACTCCCCACCACCGGTGCCAAAGAAAACCAAAACCAAGTACCCGAAAATCTTCCAATGTACGGGGTACGGCGACTGCAAAATGACCTTCACCCGGTCGGAGCATCTGGCTCGACACATTCGAAAACACACGGGCGAACGGCCGTTCCGATGCCACTGCGGCAAGACGTTTTCGCGTCTCGATAACCTGCGGCAGCACATCCAGACGGTGCACGCCAACGACCACCACATTCTGCATGCCCCACTCCCTCCGCCTCCCATGCCCCAGGGCGACCTCCAGGCCATGGGCCAGGGCCAGATAGGCCAAATGGGGCAGGTACCCATGCCGCCACAGATGGGCCAACAACAGCAGCAACAGATGCACCCCCAACACATGGCGCCTGGCCCCGCAGGCCATGTGCCCTCGCCCATGATGTCGCATCACGGAGCACCCCATCCTCATGCAGCCTACCCCCAGATGTACGACTACCAGTACCCTCCCGGCCAACCCCAGCAGCAGCCACCACCTCAACAGGCCCAGCAGCAGCTGCACCACTACTCGTCAGAGGAGTCGTTGCCGTCGTCGGTCAACTCGTCCCAGACGTCGCTGCAAACAGCATATTCGCCCCAGGTGGGCAACATGCAGCGTAAGCGACGACCCACGCCCATCTCCACGGAGCAGCAACAGCAGCAGCAGCAGCAGCAACAACAACAGCAGCATCAGCCACAGCCACCGCATCAACAGCAGCAGCAGCAGCAGCAGGGTCCCCCTTCGCCAACATACCCAACTACCCCGACGCAGTACTCGACCCACTCCAACCATAGCTCCATTGCCGGAATCTCCATTTCGGACATGCCGCCAGTCATGGCTGGACAGCGGCCTCCATCTCTAGGCGGCGACGGCGACGCAGCCTCTGTGTTCTCCTCGCCCTTCCAGAGTCGTGGCCACCACGTCCGGGCGTCGGTGTCGTCCACGAACTCACTCACGTCGGCCTACAACTACCCCGTGCATTCGTCCAACCTGACGACCCCCGTGAGCACGCACTCCGCGTCCAACCAGCCCGGCAACACGAACTCGTGGCTATCGTCGGTGCTGTGTTCGGGCCAGGACGGCACCGCCTCGAACCGTCACTCGTCCGCGTCGTCCACCTCTGCGTTCTCCAACTCCCCCCAGCCCGACGACAACCGACCACGAACCTGGGGCCCCTCGACCAACACAAGCTCGATCGCCGGCAACGCATCACCGCACCAGCAGTACCGCGGCTCAGGTATTATGACGGGCGATCCCGGCTTTGATTCTCACTCGGGCCGACAGTCGCTCTCGTCTCTGGTTATCAACGAAAGCATGGACGAGTCGGACGACGACATGAGCGGCAGCGGGGGCTCCAGCGGCAGCGGCGTCGCACCTCTGCCCCCCAACAAGGACAAGCCACTGCCGCCATTCTCATCGCTGTTCAACGGCGCCAACGGGCCCAACTCAGCCAACCGCCCTCAGATATCCGTCAACAAAAGTTACACAAAGAACCTCATCCTGCCGCGGCCCGACTCGTACCCGCCCAAACCTCCGTCCGCACAGGGTGGAGGGCCCACCGAGTTTGGCGACTTTTCGTCGTCGCATGTTTTGCCTATGGCGGACATGCGGCCTGTTGTGGGCCAGCCGCCTCAAGGCCAGAAGGACAAGCCCCTGCCTCCTCTTCCTGTGGAGGCCGACGATGTGGAGATGAGCGATGCTCCTCAGCGGGGCGGTATGGATTACCTGCTCGAGGCAGCCAGTTTGTCCTCGAGGGCGTAAGACAGTGAGCATGAATGGCCGAGTAGCGCCAGCGGTGCATACAGTGGTACAAATACAAGGGTACTACTACAGTTTCCAGGACGATGATTTTGGGCGGGTCACCAGTTTTCATTTGGACCTGCCTAATCTGGATCTCTTGCTCTGGAATAGGGAATATGGGAATTGTCTAGGCGTTTTGGATCGAGCTGATTCGATTCGGCGTGCTGGACCACCGGGTCACCCTCTCTTTATTTATATTAGGTGGTCGAGCATTAGTCGTCACCGTTGAAAATTTAGACATCAGGTTTTCGTCTGAAAGGACCGTGATCAGGGCCCAGGCTCTGGTTGCATCTTGTACAGTAATACAGTAATTGAGTGTATGAGGCTTCTATAGGAGGTAGATATGACAAGTGCGAGTGTTATTGACTGGGAGGATAGAAAGGGGGGTTTGAGATTTTAGCGATTTTGAAGATTTTAGCGCTTTCTATGATTTTAACGATTTTGATGATTTTGGCGATTTTGATGATTTTGGCGATTTTGATGATTTTGGCGCTTTCGGCGCTTTCCGGCGAGTTTTGATGCTACAATTACGAAAAGTGCACCACTGTGTAGCTCTGATCACGAGCAGTCTACATCTGTGGTGACTTTGGCTGTAGCATCATTATCGGGCTCATTTCAGGTCTTCATGTAAACCGTCGCTCCAAGGGCTGATCTATAAGTTTTTTAAGGTAGGCACGGCACGACTTTTGGGCTCTCGACTACAGATTGGTACTTCCTACAAGTATACAATCAGAGGCTGAAGTACAAGTACAAGTACAGTGCTTGTAATCAAACCGTGGATCAACGCGGTGTGGACCATGTGTGACTCAGATCAACGACTTGTACACTCCCTTCGGTTCACACGTATACTTTAATAGACATGTTTTGGATTCGGTCTTCAGTTTTTCTGTTTCTAATCACGTTTGAGGTATTGTTAAGCATTGGGCGATACATTTCGGCAGTTGCACTGATCGACCGCTTCGTATGTACCATTATTTTCGCAGATCGCGGTGTATTTGTACTTGTACCGAGGGAAGGTGGATAGACGGACCATTCCAGCTCCAGTCGCGACTTTTTCTTGCAGTATAACTCGGACCTATGGAAAAAACCATGCCTTGGATAAAGCTCCCATGACCCAGGCTGTACTTAGAGATATGCCCACAAAAGCAACTGCTGGAGTGTGGGTACTTGTACATAGATGCTCAGCCGGTGCATTCTCTTGAGTGTCTGTGGCAGCAACTCGGAATCCGACCGAGGGATGAACAAACATGTAAACCTACGAGGAGGACTGGTTTTTTTTTGTACAGAAATCGACAACGACTCTCCACCAGATGATCGTAGCCAAGTCTAACTTACGTCTGGCGTTTTGGCTCCCTCAGGGTCATCCCTTGATTGGCGCGTATACGTTGATTTTCGGCACCGTTGCCGCAGAGGTCCGTGGCAAGACTGCGTCTCAGCGGCGATGTTTTTCCGTCGGATAAACCATGGACAGGTTATAGCAACAGCCATAGGAGCACGTGGTGTCTTGTCTGGGCGGTCCATTGTGTTTATATGTGCTTTTTTCCCATGGAAGCACAGCTCTAGCTCGGTGTAGGATTGATTAACGTCTTTTTGGAGACCATTATACGATAGCAGAGTGCATTAATAGGCGCCACCGACGATCTAGATCTGCCGTGAGAGCTGCTCAAGCATGTTAGCCAGCTGTGGATAACGGGCCAAGCTAAGGTGATGCGAGATTAGAAAGTGAGCAGTTTTCGGTTGAGAGTTATACCAGTCTGGTGACAGTGGAAAGCTGGTCAAGAAGCAAGCCTGCTCTTGTACTTAGAGTAGATTAGAGGGTGAACTTCGTCTACAAGTAGCTCACCACGCTTGTTCAAGCTCAGCATTGCTCTACCGTGGTACCACAACTTGCACAGTGTGTACCTTGTTGCCGTTACCGCCACCACCGCCAGCCAGAAGCCAGGGAAAGGGTGCACCTGTATAGCACCGCCACCGCTCTATCGTCTCCGATAGTCGTTTCAGATTCGCCTTGCTTTTGCTGCTTGCTGTGTGCCGTTTGCGTGGCACCTCGGCAAATTTCTAAATATATCCACCATGCAGGTCCAAGCATCGGCAGGGGTAAAAGACAATTCCGACCCGAGCAAGAAGGATGGTGGAAAAAAAATGGAACCGCAGAAACGACACAAAACGAAAGCGGTTGGCGAAAAGTAAGCAGAAACGAAGACTAACGGATCCAGCCGAGACCTGGCCAGTCCCAGGGATCGTCTCCGTCCGTGCATATACGGCTGTAGAGGGTAGTGTAGGTGGGGATTATGTAGGTGGGGTGGTGCGACGATTCTGTAGATGAATGCCATAGATAGTACTTGTAGTACGGCGATGGTCTGTGCGAGCAAACAATGCTTCTCTGCTTCGCACTTCATACGGTACATACTGGTACGTCAGGTGAGACCTTTTCAAACCATTGTGAGCGCTGTTTGTATTGTTCAAAGACATGTCTTAGGCCCCCAAGCACCTGGTCGTTGCTTTTGGCACCTGACGCTGAAACATGTTTCCAAGGTGGGCATATGTGTATTGGGGTGGGCCGCACACAAGGCCGTGACTCAGGAGACTTGAGAAGCTGAGAGTGGCCTTTGCAACGGGTGCCTTGTGCCTGGCGATTGGCGCAGATATTAGTTTTGCAGGGGTATGTAGGACAAAGAAGACCTACGTCTGACAGATACAGCTCTGATGGTGTTGTTGGATGTAGCGTAGATTATCGTACACTTAGCATCGTACTTAGCAGACTGCAAAGCCGGTGCTATACATCACGCACGTTTCATAATTACTCTGGAGTCACATGTGGCAGAACATGATGAAACAGGGTGTGTTAGGCGAGTCTGGGAAGCACGGTGGTTAACGGTGAAACTGTTGAAAGCGGAAGTGGGCACAAGTTGCAAGGTGCCTGCTTACCGACGGATTAAGTTAAGTAGCGCCAAGTAATTTAGTTGAAAATAAGTGCGGAGGAAGCGCTCCGAATGGACTCACGCAGTGGTGAGCAAAATACAACCACCAATAACGGCACAGAGGCCAAAAACAACGACAGAAAACAGCCATGAAGACTAACCCAAAGAGTGTAAGATAGTTTGCAATAAAGAAGAACACAAACTGTCAAATATACTCCTCCTGAACACCCACTCGCCTCGTACTCGTACACTTGGACTCTCCCCCCACCCTCCACAACCTTGTCCGCCTGTGCAGCCCACTGTCGATCAATGCACATGCAATGAGCAATCGTGGTCCCTCTCATTGGAGTATCGATGAATATCACAAGTGGGGTGCACATGTGGAAGATCACTGCGACTATCTTTACTCTATTGACTACCGCACGGCACCATTTTGTTTGTTTGGGGCCTCAGGAACCTCCATGGTGGTTCTTTGTGCGGGAGATAGAGTGAGCGCTTAGTCGCAGCGGTTACATCTTTCGAATACGCTGCTCAGGCGTGATTGTCACGCCTGTTGGCCCTGTAACCTATCTACGGCACCTCAGGCATCTCAAACAGGGTTCCTTGTGGATCTCCGGTTAGTTGACAGTGCAGAACATCGACACATCGTGAGTCATGTATAATGGTGGGCTGGGGGTGTATCTGAGGAATGGAAGAGCTAGAGCGTAGCCAATCCACATTAAAGAACCATACGGAGTTCAATTGATACCTCAGCATCCCACAGACTCCACTGTCTTGTGCTATAAAGGGCTTGGAAAGTTCCTTCCTCACACATCTACTGTATGTCCAAGTATGTACATACTGCACCCGACAGTGTATCAGACGCCTCCGGGAGACATTGCAACAAGTAATTATGACGGTACTGCATCGAGTATTTACATCCGTCGCTCAACAAAAAGTCGGTACAACTCCACCTGTATCTCCAGTGACGTCAGGTTGCTCAATCTGAAAGACATTGGAAGATGGCAAAGTGGACGTTTATTTTGCAGGTAAAAACAATAGTAGCAACAAGGAAAGCATTTATAGGTGATTTGCGGTTGCAATGGAACGACAAAGAGAGTGCAGACTTGGAAAAGTGAGCATGAAGAGCTCATCTGTGTGGTACGATGTATGGCTGGAGTGCACTGTCAATTGAAGAAAGAAGCCAGAGGCTAGAGTAACGTTGTGTCAGCAGGTTGAAATTCTCGCAGATTGAACTCATTTGACACTATTCATCTTTCTAATGCTTCATTCTTGTTCCTCATATTCGTCGGTTCTGCCGGAATGTCCTTTATTGGTATTGTACTTGTACTTGTCATTTACTTAACTTTTAGTTGACGTAGACACAGCACCCACTTTATGGACCCTCCATTTTACCACCAGATGGAGGTATTGAAAATCAATAGTAGTTTTCCATAAATAATGGCCATACCAAATAGCATACTACAGCAAGTAACATAATAAAATAAAACTGCCTTCCCAGAGTGACATATTCTCTTCCTCACCTACAGGTAGTTCATGATAGTTGCAAGCATGATCAATACCTGCCACTCCCTCTTACAGTAGATCCACGACAGGAGCTTCCAAAACCGAAATACCGTAGCAATTCTGTCAATGGACGTATCGACTATTCATCCCACTCTCAATTGACATTTAATAGGCACCACTACATTCATATTAGCCACCATAAAAGACATCAAAAATACCCACACAAGATGGTATCCATGGCAACCAAGACTTCGCGTCTGGTCTCAGAGGTCCAAAGTAACTGCCCCGGTCATATCCAACTATTCCACAGTATTTTCCTCGCTCTTGGTCAACAACTTCGACTCAACACGTCCAGCCACACGGTCCAAATAGGGCAAGTGTTGATCCGGAAGGTGCACCAAAAACCACACGCTTCCAGCCTCCTAAAGTACGTGCGCACTTGCAGTCTGGGGTATTGCAGATCACCAGCATTTTAAATAATAGTATGGAAAAGTGCGGGCTAAGAGACTAGTAAATCGATGTAAGATGTCCTGGAGTCCTCGCAGGAGCTGATTGATCTTGTCTTGTCCCATTATTTTCCCCTCTTCTCTACATTCGAAAATATCCACCCATAATATCCACATAATATCCACCTCCTCCATTCCTCACCTCAACCGCCGCTACACGTGGATTATGCACAGAATAGACATGGCTCCACCAGCCTAATCCCAGCACAATGCCTTTGACATTTATGCTTGATCGGATGTGATGGTAGGATACAATGTGTACATGGGCTTTAGCGAGAGGCATGGACGTGGTCACAGACACGGTCGCACAAACAACCGGATATTTCCTCCTACTCCGTACGATACATGCCAATCCCCCCCCTTACTTGTCCACCCCATGTCCAACTCCCCCTCCAGCGTACATTGTGTCCCGGTCCCAGATATTTAACCTTTTAACGTACCAACCATGATTGGCCAAAAATTGCGCAGCAACACAAACCTGCCGTTTTAAGAATGTCGTATTCCCAAATTGCACATTATGCCCTAACCACCACAGTCCCGATCGGGCCATCCCCCCAACCTCTACATTATCTTGATGCGATATCTGCGTCAACATTAGACAACACAACCGCACAAATTTCAAACCCATCAACAATACCAACCATACCCCTCCGCTAGCCACGCACAAATGATGTCATTTTATCCCGAAGAAGACCGACAGAACCGCTACTCCAACCTGGTATCGGTACCCTCTTACTCGCCCACCTTTGGCAACTCGTCGCTGTACCAGCAGCAGCAGCAGCATCAGCATCAGCAGCAGCAGCAGGTCCAGCAGCGATCGGTGACGCCCCGAAACCAATACTCGGCCGGCGCATACTCGTCCATGGGCTCGGCGTCGTCTATGGGCTCGGCGTCATCCTTCTACCACTACAACAGCCCAACCTCCATGCACGCACGGTTCAACGCTTCTAGAGGCTTCGAGGCGGAGGACGACATGGAGTTCTGCCCCGCGCTATCCCCAAGTCACATGGGCTATGTGTCCTCATCGTCTTCGGACTCCAACTCCCCCTCCCAGCTGCCATCCCAGCTGTACAATGAAACCACACCAGACACCCCTTTCTCGCCCGAGCTGGCCCACACGGGCTCGCCCAAGGTGACTGCTCGAGTGAGAAAGGCCATCCAGATTGTCGATCCATCCACTGGCCTGCGAGTCTCGTCTCCTACCATGAAATAGAGAGGAGATCTGAGAGTCAGACTCCACAGCAGCCAGTGTGACATTCCATGAGTTATGACTGATGACACTAAGATGTATTATTTAACTGTTATTTATTGCATAAGAGATATGATTATGATTGAGAATGGGTGTAGCTAAAAACTAGTATTTTCTCCGTCTTTTCTAAATCAATTCTATTGTCTTCTCCGCGCTTCGAACCGCCCCTATCGTCCATACTCGACAGGTCAACTTATGTACGCAGTGCATTATCTCGACGTATAGTTGCAACCATGAAGGTTGATTGTGTGAGCGAATGGGGGCTCTAAAGTCGTATTTCGTTTCAGACACTGGTTCCAGGCACGCCAGAGTGTCTCTCTGACTTACCATGGTATGATTGCTGTTTGTTGCATGTCTCCAACGTCGCCTGAAAGCCTGGTGAAAATCTGCTGCTGCAAAGATGGGCCCACGAATCGAACCATGGTCATGAGACTCACACGCTGTACAGGTTACTCGTACGTACGATATTCTATCGTTGTACATACGCAGATAATTATTCAACCGTGGAACGGAGGAGTTCACCCACTCACTCACTTACACACCGACACATTCACCTCCGCCGTTTTTCAACACTACTGTATTGCCTATTTTTATCTCCCGCCATCTCCCGTTTTTTTCCGCTACTCGCGGTGTCTCAGTTTTCTGGGTTAAATTAGCTGAAAGCCCAACTCAACGGTTTGATCAAAAAGCGACCCAAAGTGGAAATCAGTGTATCTTATTTGAAGAGCATATTGGGCAAGATAAGGGCGACGTCTGGAGACGGTGACTGTGGAATTTCACAAGCGATTGTTCTGCTATTGTACTTGTCTTAGTAGCTTGCATCACCTTTCATATACCAGAGCGTGCAGAAAGATGCATGCAGATGCCCCACACGTTGAGTTGTATGTACTGTAGCTGTTGAACAGAAACAGTATAGACTGACCGAGGAAGTGTTCATCTCACACTGTTGAATTGCACTAAAAAATAATAATGGCGGGTGAAAAAGAAGTCCATGAAGAAAGAACAGGAACAGAGAGCTAGAGGACAAAGAATGTACAAGTAGTGCGAACTTTTACCCGTACAAGTTCAGATAGCGCGCTCAAGTGAAAGACACGAGACGAACACACGTGTTGAGACATACACTGGTTTGTAGTCCACAAAGCGGTTCTTTGTACTTGTACTACAAGTAATCAAACAGCTTTTACGAAAGGCTACAGTACGAGCACTCCTACCGGTATCGTACTCGTACTTGTATGGCAGAAAGCCATAACTTCATGCTGAGGGGACAATGTCTTCTTTCTATATCAACTTGACACCTACAAGAAGGGGGGAACCTTTCACATCGAGATATATACAAGACAATGAAGTGGGTATTGCCACAGTTCAAGGACAGTATCAGTATTTGTTCTCCCTAGTCGATCTACGCGTCCAAACTAATTACTTTATTACACTACAACTCATCATGATGAGAGAAAGCATCAACCTCCAAGCACTCGTGCTTGCATTACCCACAACATCCCTCAGTCCAATTTTACCTATAAATCATTCCTCTCAGGGGTTTCACCCACCTATCAGTTCACATTCTCCTTGTTGAAGGGAAAGGAAGGAGTGAACTCTCGCGAAAACTCACGTCGCACCTGTTTTCTTGATCCACCTCGCTTTGACATTTCCAGAGCGCCGCTGCTATCGGGCGAATTGGCTCCGTCACGTGAAAGCCGTCCTTCCACATCCATCTCGTTCTGTCGCTGTTCAAACAATCGAGCTTCCCGAAGATGGTATTCGGCTGAGTACGTTCTAGAGCCGGAAAACGATCTCTGAGACGAGCCAGACACAGAACGAGGGTCGTACTTGGCCCGTACTTTTTGAGAATATGAGATTGTGGGCTGTAGATACGACGGTACTCGTTTCTTTGGCAGATTCAGCACTTCCTGCTGGTCCGAGAAGTCGTATGAGGTATCAATCTGTGGAGTTCCCGCTGACTGAACCGGCTCAGCCGTCTTAGGGTCCACGTCCATCGCCTTTTTAGCCTCAACCTGTTCCTGTTGCAACTCCTCCTGGTCATCATTGACTTCATACTCCTCCATTATCGAATCCTCCAGCTCTGGAACGTCGTTTTGGTCGTGGTTCTTGTCGAGCTGCTCGTCTGCCATTTCCTGTGGGTTGGTTTCCAACTCGTCCACCTCAATGCGGTCGCTTTTCGGGTCCTGGTTGTTGGTCGTCTTGGTCCCTACAACCTCCTTGTCCCTCTGTTTGGTCGCGTCTTCACGTGTCTTTTCAGCCTCGATGAAGGTCTCAATGTCGGGCACCGAGCCCAAACTGAGCTCATTGTCGCTGGCGGGGGCGCTCATCTCGTGTGTATTTTTTATACGGCGTGTTTTGTGTGTTTTTGTGACAGTTAGGAGATGCTCTCTGGTAGATAGGGGAGTGTCGCCAATAAACCTACAAGTGCAGTATGTTGACTTTTACCAGTTAGGACGCACTTGCAGGTGGTATGTACGGGGGGTTGTCCCGGCAACGCACATACCACGACCCAGACGACTCTATGCTAACACTCATCCTGAGTGGCTCACTCGACAACTCGATGATAACACGATATTATTATGTTTGTGTAGTTTCACCCGCCCATTTTTCACCCTGAAGTGTGTTTTCTCCCCGTTCCGTAGAAAAGTGGGGTTTACAGCATATTCTGACATGTCCGCACTACGGTAGATACGATACAAGTATATCTTCACAATGTTCTGACATATTGAGGTAGTTATTGAAGCTGTATACATGTATATATCACCGATAAATCGGACATTACGCCCACTGATCTCAATCACATTACAGCAGGTAGCTAAGTACAGTATACAGTAGCATTCTGCGTTACAGTAGCTATTGTACAATAGCTTCAGTAGGAGTTTACTGTAGCCTACGACTGTTGGAGCAAGAGGTGCTGAGGAGGGGGACCCTGAGAAGCTGAATTCATGTGATATATATATCCTGATGATATTTGATATCTATAGATATTGGTTCAGACAGGAGATCCAGTATAACGTCCACTTCTCTCTACACTCCAGTTCTTTGGGCCTTTCTTTGTAGCTTCCTATGATATTTAACTGAAGAAAGTCACAAGGAGTTATATCACGTTCTGGTCACGTAATGTAGTCAGTTCATACAATGTCTACTCATTTTTATCGCTAATGAACATCCTGAGACCGTATAGCAGTCTCCACCTTGTCTCAATCGTAGATCTGAGTCAGGGGGCCATAAGGAGTTGTAGATCGAACCTAAGAGTTTGATTTGTGATATGTGAGAGAGACCAAGGGATGAAATCAGGTTGATAAGTCAGAATATCTTTTCCTCTTGGACAAAATCATTTTAGTGGCTAATTAGTGGTCATTTTGAGTGCTAAGTAACTAGCGTTTGTTGGCATAAGAGTAACTCAACAAATATACTTGGAATTTTCAACTATGCAACCATGAAATGGGAACAATCTGTTGGAGAATTAACGAGCTAAACGAAGTACCACCCCTGCTCCTCCTGAGCGCCATTTGTTCCAGACTGAGACATATAGAGGGACATTGAAAGAGCTCAATTATGTATGTCACGTGAGTAGCTTCATCTACTTCACGTCCGCTCACCCCACCTCACGACGAGATATTCAGGTCTCTATTAGCGTCACACACCTTAACCGTCATGCATACCACAGGCACATCGCAATATGTTTCATTGTGGGACGGCGCACTGCACCAACGAGCACCATGTCGTCGCTATTCATTCTATCTGACGACGAAGAGGACGGTTACGATGGAAACGACGTGCAGGTTGAAGATGCCGAAGTCGATGCGCTTTTTGTGGAAGAGAATACTCAGGCAGCAGTACCAGCATCGACTACAGTGCCTCGAACTTCTTCCGGAGAGACAACAGCAAGCATGCCAGAGGTTCCCGAACGACGTCTGGAGCGCGAGATCGACAATGACGAGGAACCAGAACAGCCGCTGTTCATTTCTCGACCGACAGAGACCATTGAAACGGCCACTGACACCAATATTAAACCTGTCAGCACCACTCTTCCATACGCATTTCAGCGAACCATAGTGAGAGAACTACTCAAGGACGACGCGCTGTTGATCCTGGGTCGAGGTCTGGGTATTGATCTGATTGCTGCCAACCTGATTCACTCGCTTGATCTGGCTGGAAACAGTGTAATCATGGAGGGCGAGGAAGACCCCAAAAACTCGTTGGTTCTTGTACTGGGAGCATCGGATGAAGACAATGAGCGGCTTGAACAGGATATTGGCCAATTGGCCGCCTTAGATGGATTCTATGACTATCCTAACGATACAGATGAGGATTTTTCAGGTGCTGATCCTCTCAAGGATGTGGCAAATACAGACCCCAGACCCAGCAGGCTGCAATTCATTACCAATGAGACAGGTCTCGCCAGTGAACGAACACGCATGTACAGGGCTGGGGGAGTGTTCAGTATCACATCTCGAGTTTTGATTGTTGATATGCTCAGAGGGTACATAGATGTGCCTCAAATATCTGCTGTGGTCATTCTCAACGCCCACAGAGCCACTGAGGCGTCTTTGGAGGCGTTCATCTTGCGTGTAATGAAACAGGATAACCCCTGGGCTACTATCAAGGCGCTCTCTGACCAACCTGAACGGTTTATTCGTGGATTTTCGCCTCTGACGCAGATGCAGAAGAACCTGTTTGTCAAGAAAACACGTCTCTGGCCCAGATTTCATCTCAAGGTAAAGGAGTGTCTCAATGGTGTTCCTGGACGAAAACCGACCAGAGGAGTTCCCACAGTAGTGGAACTACAGTGTCAGTTGACACCCAAGATGCAACAGATCCAGACCTCCATCCTGGAGCTAATTGGTTTGTGTATTGGTGACATCAAGCGAAAGGTCACATCTGTGGACATGGAGGATTGGAAGGTCGAGAACCTCCTGGATCAGTCTTCTTCCAGTGCATTCTTTGACGATCTTGTCCAGCGCCAGCTAAGTCCTATCTGGCACAGAATCCCGCCAGACACTCGAAAGATGGTGGGTGATATCTCTGCACTCAAGGCTCTTCTTCAGGACCTACTCACTGAAGACTGTATTTCATTCTTCCGACAATTGGAGCTGCTACGAATGTCCAAGGGTCCTGAGACACCTTGGTTAGTAACTGAAGACGCTTCCAACCTGTTTGAGGCTGCCAAAAGTCGTGTTCATGCGAGAACTGACCCTAAGGACCCCAACTCAATCAAGAAAGTTCTTGAGGAGCTTCCCAAGTGGCGAGAGTTGGCCATCTTGGTTGATGAGCATCTATCTTCTGGAAAGGAGGGTCCGCTTTTGATAATGTGTTCTTCCTCTCGTATCAAAACACAGCTGAGAAGGTACATTTGCAGTCTGAGAGACGATAGACGGCATGGCAATGGCCAATGGACATCCAATTACCTCAGTAGAAAGTTCAGAAAGTATCAGAGATGGCGGGAGGGGTATTTTCAGATGAAGAGACGGGTGCAGGAGGAAAAGGAAGCAGCCAAGGATGACCAGAGTAGCGGGTCTGCCCCACAAGTTCACCACACCAACAAGCGAAGACGCGTGAGAGGAGGAGGATCTATTTCTACCGGTGCTCACAAGATCGACGATCATGCTGAGCTAATTGAGATCGAGAAGCTCAGCAAACTGATTGAAGGTACCGATGGAACAGGTGAAGTGGAAGAGATACAGGATCTGGACGAGTACAAGTTGTCCGATGGCGAAGAAGAAGACAACTTTAGCTCTTTCAAGTTTGAGGAAATGACGTTGCTTGACACTGTGGTGATTGAGACGTTTGATGACGTTATTAACCTCGAGGAGCTTGGTCCCAGTGGGATAATCATGTACCAGCCCAACCCCGAATTTTTCAGGACTATTGAAATCTACGGAAGAAACCGCAAAGTGGCACCCAACGTCTATCTTCTTTACTATGGTCTCTCATACGAAGAGCAGGCTTTCTTAGCGGCTGTTCGAAAAGAGAAAGATGCCTTCTCCAAGCTCATCAAGGAGCGTGCTAAGATGCCCATGTTGTTGGCTACCACTGAAGATGACCAGCGGGGCCTCAAGATCATTCGGGAGGCCAATTCTCGAATTGCTGGAGGTCAGATATCCACAAACAGCTACGGAAAGATCCTGGTCGATGTGCGTGAGTTCAGAGCAGCTCTGCCTTCCATTCTGCACTCGTACGGCTTCCAAGTATACCCCACACACCTGACAGTCGGTGACTACGTGCTCAGTCCTCACATGGTCGTTGAGCGAAAGAGTATTCCTGATCTGATCAAGTCGTTCCAAGATGGACGTCTGTTGACCCAATGCGAAGCCATGTTCCGGTACTACAGCTATGTCGTCATTCTGATCGAGTTTGAGGTTGGTGGGTTCACATTTGATCCTGCCAGTGACACTCCCGGTGCTGCATCTGCCAACATGGCTACTCTAAAACAGGCGTCCGAGCTTCGAGGAAAGATCTCGCTGTTGCTTCTGACCTTCCCCAAGCTGAAGATTATTTGGTCTTCGTCCCCCAGGGAAACAGCTCGTATTTTCGACGAGTTGAGAGGAAACAACAACAAAGGAGGAAACAAGCCTCCATGGGCAGGAGAACCCGACCCTGATATTGCTGCTGCTTATGGCACTAGTGGTGTTGGAGACTCAACCACCGGTCAACAAAACCACATGGCTATCGACATGCTCCGAGACATACCCGGAGTGACTGCTAAGAACTTCCCGCTTATCATCGCTAAGGTGAATAGTCTGTATGATCTGTGTAAGATGACGGTGGCGGAGCTGGCTGAGATTGTTGGCAGTGAGCCTGCCAGGGAGATTATGGGGTTTTTGGAGCAAGAATTGTAGTATATTCGCGAGAATGTGAGTTGTCACACGCGACCATCTAATTAATTTATTGTACATATCGCACGGTAGGTTGTAGATACTCTGTATTTCAGTACGGTATAATAGCTCACTGAGTTGGTCAGACTGTAGCAGCATCACGTCTATAGCTACAGTAAATCGAAGATGCGTATATCAACACATGGAATACACAAACACCGTATAGCTAATCTGAATTTATGTATATAAGTAGATACACCAGCTTATTACTACAATACAACTGTCACCTTCTCATGTACCCATATCCCATACCTCCACCACCGGTACCAACATACTATGCAGACGACAATCGCATTGTTCGTCGATACGAGACTAACGGACGACCCGAACTGACGGGACCATTCTTTGTCGTCAAGATGGGCCATCGACCTGGAATTTATCGCGCCAGACATATTGCTCGCAGAATGACTGAGAACTTTCCAGACACTACTCCGACGTCGTGGGACACTGAAGAGGAGGCTTTAGCATGGCTCTATTCGCCCTACATGCACGAGCTGGTTCTGCGAAACGAGTACTCCATCATCAAACGAGTCGTATACTGCCATGGAGTTCTTCAAGGTGTTCAGTCTGGAACCATGGGCGGTCTGGGCTGTTACTTTGGCCAGTCAAACGAGTGCAACTTTTCAGGACCACTAGTAGGAACAACGCAAACCAAAACTCGGGTGGCATACGCAGCTGTGCTCCAGGCTCTCAAGATCATCTCGTACAGAAGAGAGCACTATCTGTGGCAGATCAGAAGCACCAGTGCTGGAATTCCCAAAACAATTGCACAAGCCAGACAAGTCTGGAGAACTTCTCAGTGGCACAACAGTAAAATTGTCCCAGAAGAAGGGAAAGATGTGCTGGAAGCGATAATGACACTGTTGGACCGCTTCATAATCACGGTCGAAATCAATTGCCTGCTGGATTTTGGACCCGTAGAGAGACAGGCATCTAGTATCCATGCTGTAGAGAAGCTGGCTATGGATGGCGTCTACGAGCCTGTCTTCTACATGCCTGAAGGGAATTGACCATGTAAACTATATAAATATCTCAATATATATCTACTCATGGTTCTACAGATCATATCCTCACTAGTTATCATCATCTACAATTAAGATCTATGTTCATACATCTACCACCTTACTTCTCAGCACCACTCAGTCGAACAGCAGCACCGTACTTTTGCAGCTTGGTCAACAGAGCGTCTCCCTGCTTAATCAGAGCCTGGTACTGGGCGTTCTTGGAGTCGGGTCGGTTGCTCTCAATGATACCGTTGACCCGGTCAATCACACAGTTGAGCTTGTTCTGAGAAATAAACTTAGAGAGGTCGTTGTCCAGAAACTGGGACGACACTCCAAATGCATTGGCCATGCTCTTGAGAGACAGCGTTTTGTAAGACTCCAGAAGCTGTGCGTAGGCCTTTCGTCGCATCTCCCGCACGTAGAAGGCTCTGTGGGGTGCCAGGTACTTTGATGGTCGCAGAGACTGGGTCTCAAGCTGGGCCAGAGAGGTGAACAGCACAGAGTACTCAGCAGTGTACAGCGAGTTGGTGAGAGTGGCAATGGGACCAAGAGCAGGGGTGGTGGGCAGCAAAGACAGCACCTCGGGTGAGTCGATGATCTTTCGCTTCAGATCGACTCGATCCAGAGCCACAGCTCCAGCAATGATAGCATACTCCACAATCTCCTCGTAGGAGGCGATTTCAACAGAGGTGAAGGTAGACAAAGAGTCAATGAGACACGAGGAAGCCTCCTCGAACTTTCGGATTGACAGACAGTGCAGGCCCCAGTATGTCTTGTACTTGTTTCGTCGCTCCCAGTCTCCTCCTCGTTCGATAAGCACTTTAACGGCCTCCAGTTCTCGGCCCACAAAGGCGCAATCGAGGTAGAAGAAGCCCAGGCGCACAATGGTGAATAGGATGTCGATCTTGGCACCAGTAGAGGTGGTCTCTGCGGCCTTTCGCAGGGTCAGGATGGCGTTGAACCGGTCGCCAATCTCGGCGTAGTACTCTCCAAGCTTGACTCGGGCCTGCAGCAGCTCCAGTTCTCCGCCGTCGTCCTTCTCCACCTGGGCAATGGCTTCTCTCAGCTCGGCCACGCGTGCGTCATTGGCTGCCACCATCTTGTCGTACTTGGCTTTGGAGAAAGCAGGCACGGACTGAGCCAACGACTCGGACGGAGTGTTGGCAGGCACGATGATCTGTGTGATGGGCTGCGGCTTGCTATCCACAATCTTCTCCTCCACCTCCTCCACGGTCTTGCCATCGGCCACCTCGGCCTTGACCTCCTCCATATCAACGTCCTCGGAGGGGCTCTCTCCCTCGTGGCCAATCTGGCCCTGCTGGTCTTCGGGAACATCCACCACGACGCCTCCAGACGTTTCTGTGCTCTGGCTCTGGTCAAAGTTGTAAAGCGACTTGTAGACGCCAGCGAGGTTGCGATCAAAGATGGCCGTCATGAGGGCCTCCTTGGCCTCGGGATGAAGGTCCTTGAGCGACGGGTTTCGCAGCACAAACAGATGCTTGCTGAGCTCGTAGTCGGGGATGGCTTTTTTCTCTTCTGTCATTGCAATGTACCAGTGGTTGTAGTGTGTTGCGGGTTGAGAGGTTCGTGATACGTGCTGTGTGATGTGGTGGTTGATGTGGTGGTAAAGTTTGGGATCATTAGGTAATATGATGATGGTGGTGGGTGGCGTTGGGTGGCAACTAACGGAGGTGAATGGTGGTCATAATTGCAAGTAAAATCTGTTTGATAGACTCAATTGGCGGCATCAACTTCATTTTAAAGGAGGTTTTAAATTTATACAATTTTTATTCGAATTATTTTGAAAATTTCCCTCTCTGCTAAATCCATGGTTAAAGTGGTTCGTGCGATGGTGCGTGTGTTGATCTGGTAGTATTATTCAAGTGGGAGAAATAGGGCGCACTCAAACTTGTTCAACACTCTCAAGAAGATCAGAAGCAACACTGTACAAGGAAATGAAAAAGATGTCTTTGAAAAGAGACATACAGTCAGTAATATGAACAATTTCCCCTTATATACGCCCAATGACTAATCAATATGCTCCCTGAACTGACTTGTTTCCTGAATTGATTGAGGGCTGAGGTTAGCTACAGTATGTACGATCATTACCATAGTGCGAACAGCCCTGACGGCACAGTTGGCCCCATTATAACACCAGAAAAAGAGCAATTGCCCTGACACTCTCTCAGTTATCCCCACCTTTACATTCTCTTCAGTGGGGTAATAATAAGTATGTCAAACTTGATTTTGCGTGGTGCAATATGTAAGGGTGTAATGGTATGAGGGGTGGGTATGTAGACAAACTACTTGTAGAAGTACAATATGTACTGTACTTACATACTGGAAACTTGTATAGAAGGTGGGTCATTCCAATTGAGACGAAGACAACATATAGAAGACATTTGCACTATACACAGGCTTCTATCACACATATATCAGTCATTATACCGGTTATTATACTCTACGACTGTATAGCTGTTCAAGATAGGAGCATCCCATCCAGCCTCGTTCGAGACTCTTCTAGACTTCGAGACCTGCAACAAAGAGAGGTGTGGGGTGGGGGGATGACGGTGAGGGGGGGGGAGGACATCGGACGTTCCATCATGGATAATGTTAGCAGGGTGTAAAAATATCACAATTCCAGACCCTAAGAGTATCGTATCGTAATCGTGCCAGAGACTTACTGTAGTCTACCTCGGTTTTACCTTCTCTCCGTAGCTTGTACCTGCAGTGGAATCCACCTTAGTGAGGGTAGAGTGTAATGGAGGGGAGAGCATGGAGCAGAAACGGTTCGATGCTTCAAGTTCGAGTACAAGTGCACAGTGATGTTGCAACACAGTCACCACTGCCTGAGTCACTCTGGCTGCCTATCAGGATGTACTCTCACACATCTCACGTTCGGCTCACCTCTTCTTTGTCAAGGCATAAAGTTCTTAGACCATTGTGACTACGCAGTTTGCTCCGAAAAGATGCATGATCCCACCCACTTGCGCCTGGAACCGGTGGACGTGTGCTACCAGCAGGACGTGTATGGCACGCGATTTATTGTTGAGTACCAAAATAGTACTTGTAGAACGTATTCCAATTCACCTTTGGCTTCACCGTTGTTGTGACCCGAGCTACTGTACTTCCTGTACTTCCAATCTAGGCCTATTCGCCACTTATAGCAAGGCAATGGTATCAACGGTGCGTCGTAACTGCGGCAGTATGCGGAGAGCAGGCGTATCTATGACGTCGGTCGGCCCGTGGGCAGTGGGGAATCAGGTCATGTGTTTGTTTCTTTGCCATATTTTGCTTGTCCAATGAGCTGAGTCAGAAGTTCACTAAGCATCGATCTTTATGGAACACCACGGGTACTGTAGCTATGGTGACGTAATTGTTAGACTACGTAGCACACCAGACTACAAGTCCATACATCCAGACAGAGAGTGCTAAAAAGAAAATATGGGGCAGCATAGACATCGGAAACCATGGGCGATGATAGCTACCCACCACACCCAAACAGTCAGGGTACCGTACGTACCTGTAGTGTGTACTTAACCAGCTCGGGTCCAGTCTCGTGCCAAACCTCCGATCCACTCTTCCTGGTCATCTCACTTTATCTGGCAGTAACTCTGGTCCCCATACCTTGCTGTCAGACTCTCCGCATTTAACCTGCACAACCCTAATTCGGCCTCACACACTCTCCAAATACAGATAAAACACAAAGGTTTCGTTCACCCTATACTCCGAATCAACGCTACCTACTGCATTTCTCTACCGCAACAATGGTTCATCTTGGTCCCCGAAAACCCCCGTCCCGAAAGGTGAGTATGATTGCACATTAGGGGGATGAGCGATTAGCGACATGCAAAGACAACATGGCATAGCGGTATTACAGGGAGCTCCACAGATACACGGTTCTGGCGAAAACAGATACACGGCTCCGATGGTGCAAGGACGTGATAGTAAACAGACGTCCAAGTCGTCGCCTTGGAACATGACGAGTCATACCCTCACACAACCACCCTGTCACGTCCAGCACGCCGTCGGACATGACTTCCGTCTGTGTTGATTCACAGCCATTGTGAGGGATGTGATTGGTGCTGCGACATGGAAGGAAAGGTGACTGTCTACCGTTGCCACCGGTTTGGTTCTGTACACGTTCGGTGTCCAAGTAATAGCCACCTTGTCACATGCTGTTGCCTGCAGGATGTTGTCTTCGCTCGCCAGAAAAGGCAACTCGCAGCCATACTAACACAGGGCTCAATGGCAGACGTCCCGCGGGACCTGCTGGAGCAAATCTCCCAGCTTGAAACCATCTTCACCGTTTCGCCCGAAAAGCTGCGTCAAATCACCGACCACTTTGTGTCCGAGCTCGCTAAAGGCCTCACAAAGGAGGGTGGAGATATCCCCATGAACCCCACCTGGATTCTGGGATGGCCCACCGGAAAGGAGAGCGGCTGCTATCTGGCTCTCGACATGGGTGGCACCAACCTGCGAGTTGTCAAGGTGACTCTGGACGGCGACCGAGGCTTCGACGTCATGCAGTCCAAGTACCACATGCCCCCCAACATCAAGGTCGGCAAGCAAGAGGAGCTGTGGGAGTACATTGCCGAATGTCTGGGCAAGTTCTTGGCCGACAATTATCCTGAGGCTCTTGATGCCCATGAGCGAGGACGAGATGTCGACAGAACCGCTGCGCAGAGCTTCACTCGAGACAAGTCTCCTCCTCCCCACAACCAGCACATTTCGTGTTCTCCTGGCTTCGACATCCACAAGATTCCTCTCGGTTTCACCTTTTCATATCCCTGCTCTCAGCCCGCCGTCAACCGAGGTGTACTGCAGCGATGGACCAAGGGTTTCGACATTGAGGGAGTCGAGGGCGAGGACGTGGTCCCCATGCTGGAAGCTGCCCTCGAAAGAAAGAACATTCCTATTTCCATCACCGCCCTGATCAACGACACCACCGGAACTATGGTGGCCTCCAACTACCACGACCCCCAGATCAAGCTGGGTAACATCTTTGGTACTGGTGTCAACGCCGCCTACTACGAGAAGGTCAAGGACATTCCCAAGCTCAAGGGTCTCATCCCCGACAGCATTGATCCCGAGACCCCCATGGCCGTCAATTGCGAGTATGGAGCCTTCGACAATGAGCACAAGGTTCTCCCTAGAACCAAGTGGGACATCATCATCGATGAGGAGTCTCCCCGACCCGGTCAGCAGACCTTCGAGAAGATGAGTGCTGGCTACTACCTGGGAGAATTGCTTCGTCTGGTTCTTCTGGACCTGTACAAGGACGGGTTTGTGTTCGAGAACCAGGGCAAGAACGGTCAGGAGCTTGGAAACGGCAACATCAACAAGTCGTATTTCTTCGACACCTCTTTCCTGTCTCTGATTGAGGAGGATCCCTGGGAGAACTTGACTGATGTCGAGATTCTCTTCAAGGAGAAGCTTGGTATTAACACCACTGAGCCCGAGCGAAAGCTCATTCGTCGACTGGCCGAGCTCATTGGTACTCGATCCGCTCGAATCTCTGCCTGTGGTGTCGCTGCCATCTGTAAGAAGGCTGGCTACAAGGAGGCTCACGCTGGAGCTGACGGATCCGTGTTCAACAAGTACCCCGGATTCAAGGAGCGAGGCGCCCAGGCTCTCAACGAGATTTTTGAGTGGAACCTGCCCAACCCTAAGGACCACCCCATCAAAATCGTTCCCGCTGAGGATGGTAGCGGTGTTGGAGCTGCTCTGTGCGCTGCTCTCACCATCAAGCGAGTCAAGCAGGGTCTTCCCGTTGGTGTCAAGCCCGGTGTCAAGTACGATATTTAGATGACCAACAAAGATATAGATTTCGAGTGGCACGTGTAGTTACCGTTCTACAAGCACAGGATCAGGTGCTTAATGTTTGTAACTGTTGTATTTGTGTATTTGTAGAGTAAAGTCTCATGGCACATTTCTCCAGCTTAGCTCGCCTCTCAAAATAGGCTTCTATCTCGATATGCACGTCTAATGCTAGTTTGGAAGAATCAGTGAATTTTAACAGTAGCATCAACAGCGACCATGAGCAGCACCAAAGTGTGAGTATGAGGACGACTGCGAGTTTCCACAGTTACGCGACTAACCACAGACTTGTTTTTGGCGATATTTCGTCGGATCCTAAGACCGCCATTGCCAAGGCCAACACCATCAACGGTGGTAAGAATGGTCCCTTCCGCGCCTTCATTGTGGTGGGCAAGGTGTTCACCAAGAACAACTTTGAAGAGGTGAATGGCGCATTACAGGACGGATCTGTATCTGTCGATCTTCCTATGTTCTTTACGGACGGTGAGGGTCTTCCTGAAGACTCTGCAACTAATCAGACTGATGTTGTGGACATTGCACCTAATGTGACTTTCCTCAACCAGTGGGGTCGACTGATGACCGACGATTTCATTATCCAGAATGCCACCAGCGGCAGTAACGACAGGAAGACTGCACCAACCGATATTCTCATCACCGATAAGTGGCCCTCGAATCTGCCTCGGCTATCTAAGGTTGGATTTGCCGTACCTCAAACGGCTGAGCGAGCCACCAATAACGACAAGACTATCGATGCAACATCAAAGGACGCGTCTCCTCTTTACCACTTTTCAGGGTCCGAATCTTTCTGGGAACGAGAGCCGTTTGCGAACGAAGCAGGTAAACATACTCGTTTCATTGGTCTGGCACCATTTGGAGGTAAACAGAGATGGCACTATGCCTTCACTTTAAAGAAGGACGACACATCGACGCCTGTTAACGCCACAGAGTGCCCCTATCTTAAGGAAGACAAGGTAGAAGAGGAGCCATTGAAACGAGCCAACGAGGATGATGGCGATCCAATGGCCAAGAAACCCAGAATTGCGCCCTCAGATTGCTTTCTGTGTCTCTCCAACCCCAACTTGGCTGCTCATCTGGTGGTGTCTATTGGACAGGAATCTTACATGGCCATGGCCAAGGGCCCCCTATTACCAGGCCACGTGATGCTTATCCCAATCAAACACAATCCTGACTTTTGCACAGAATCAAGACCCTCCACTAACCCCCGTCACAGACATCCCGTTCGGTTTGTTTCACCTAAACTGGCCCTGGAGCTGAGAAAGTACCAGATTGCTCTCAAGCAAATGCATCCTGGAGGAGTGGTATTCTATGAAATCGCAAAGGCCAAGGGTGTCCACGTTCACCAACAGGCCGTTCCTATTCCCCAAGAGAAGATTAATAATGTGGAGAATCTTCGAGAGTTCTTCATCAAGGAGGCCAAAGAGTGCGGGTTCAGAATGGAAAATAATGGAGAGCTTAGAGACGACCAAACTAACTATTTCCGCATCGAGTTCCCCAACAGTGACCCTATTGTCATTAAGCTGAATCGTCAGAACCCCAAATTCGACGTGACCTGGCCCAGAAAGTTGCTCGCTCAGTGGTTTTTTGGTAACAAGGAGCGAGGGGACTGGAGAAACTGCTCTCAGACGGAAGCTGAAGAGACTGAGGCGGCGGATAAGATCAAGGGCGACTTTGAAACCTTTGATTTCACTCGATAGAATCAAACTAATGGCATTTGTATTATATAACGTAACAATAAAGCATGAGTCAACAGTGGAGATATAGGACTAAAACGTAATCAAATAAAGAATAAGGGTAAAAACAAATGTCTTTGACTCCCCTCACATTTGTCCCTATTCCCCTCGGATTTATTAAAGGCACTCAGAACCATTTTTCCCCTCAGAATAACTTTTTTGCCGCTCACGTGATGTGTTATGGGTCTAGCCATGGAATTTTTTTCAATTTTTTTAAGTTCGGTCGTGTGGTGTAATGGTTATCACGTCCCGCTCACACCGGGGAGGCTCGGAGTTCGATCCTCCGCATGATCACTTTTTTCTTTTTTTCTTCTTCCTCTGACGCGGAAATGCTTTTGCTTTTGCGATGTGCTTCTAATTGACAACATTATCTACAAGCTGGCATTACAAAACACTATATACTTCTACACCCATTCACTCATAATTAATGCATTCAGAGACATGATCTCATTATATCCTAATGTTCCCAATCCGCAGTTTCCCTATTAATACCATTCCACCACAACTTCCACTTTTCTTCCCCCAAACTCCTTTCGAAGACGCTTCATTCGCTTTCCAAGACCGTTGATTCGGTTTCTCACACTGGGGGCAGCCAGGTTAGGATGTGACTTGCTGGCTCTGATGGTTAGCTCAAAGCCAAAGGAAGGAATTGGTGATGAGTTGGACTCGTTAGTTGCGGCAGATTCCCACACGTCCGACACGGTGATCTCGAAGGGGTATCCCTTAATGTTCCCACCGGGGTAGACTCCACAAACCACATGCATGATAGCTCCACAGAAACAGGCCCACCAGCAGAGATCCTTGGGCTGCACAATGTCTACCAGGGAGTTGTAGAAAGTCTTGTCAGCCAAATCACCACCCCATCGATGACAGAGAGAGAGTCCCAGAAGGGCTCTTATCTCATGGCTGAGACCGTGAGCGCCAGAAATGACGCCCGAAGATGCAACCTGCAGAGCAATGAAGGGTTGCACCTCCTTGGGGTACGAGGAGTGGACAAAAATGGTGTTACAGAGCGCTCCAACCAGTCGCTGAGTAATGAGCTGAGGAGCAGCAGGAGGAATGCAGCCTGTGAGAACCTTGGCGTAAGAGGGGGCCAACAGACCAGCATAAGGAGAAGTAGCGACTATGACGGGGTCCAGGTTTCGAATGGACTCAGTCATCTTGGCAAAGAGGACGCCCTCACGAATACCACCCTGGGAAAAGAGAATCTTTCTGATCCGGGGGAATGCAGCCACCGCAGCCGAAATGAAAAGCGACACAGCCGGAATCTGGGAGGCTCGTCGAGAGGAGATTCGGAAGTTCTTCTTCTTTCGGGCAAAGATTTTCTGCAAATCTGCAGGCTGTGGCGGCGGCGAGGAAGCCGGGGTGTGAGTGTTTGAGGCGCTGGCAGAGTTCTGGGCAGAAGTAGCCAGTGAAGGGGGCTCAGATTGTTCGTACAGCTCCATAACCTCCGACTTAAGGCTCTGGGAAAGCTCACGGATGGCGTGACCGGTGGTAGAGAAGCCATTGATGACAGGGAGAGGGTATTGGCCCGATTGGGACAGTAGGAGGTGCCCCAGACCTCGGAAACCTCCTCCCGAAACGTACAGCTTGTATCCTCCAGTCTGTTTGGCATATTTATGCATGGATTGAAGCAAAGGAGAGCTGTCGTCCTGTGTGATATGGTCTACGGCGTGCTTAAGAGCAGCCTCCATTTCATTGTACAGGTCGGTAGGATCTTCTCTATTAACCATGAGACGTCGGGTGATGGCGGCAGCGCCATATGGAAGTTTGACGGGATCTCTGCACAGGGAGAACTTTCCGTTCTCACATACCATCCACGAGATCACGGCCGAGCCGCCTCCGAGATCCATGTAGAGTCCGTTGACGTGGAAGAATGCCGATGCGACTCCGTAGGCTTCGTAGAGTGCCTCGTCTCTGAGAGACATGATCTGGACGTCCCAGCCGACAGTTTCCTTGACCATGGCCCGGAACTCTTCTCCATTGGGCGCCTCCGCCACGGCTTCGGTAGCTAGCACGTCAATGTAATCTTCTCCTACTCCAAAGTCTGCACAGGTGTTTTTGAACCGGAGCATGGACTGACAGACGTCCACAACCACGTGCTTGGGGATAGATCTGGAGGTGTGGCCTGGAGCGGGCGCCGGTGGCCCTGTATTTGTGTTGACGGAGCTTTGGCCGTCGTTTTCATCCTCTTCTGTTTCTGTGGGAGGTGGAGAGTCGTCAAAAAGATTGATGGGGGCGCGATCGAGATAGAGACAGGGGATGATGCGGGCGTGGTTGGGGCTGACGGACGAGATGCTGAACCGGATACCGTTGGAGCCAATGTCCACTATTGCTCGGAGACTTGATTTCATGGTTGACAATAACACTTATCACTCTGAGTTTAGCAATGCATGTCAAGTGGGAGTGAGGTCTCTATGCGGGGACTTTTGGTGGTTAGTTTATTAAGGGTAAGGTAAAGTGGGACAAGACGGCAGAACAGACGTGCGAGACACTCTCTCTCCGATGTGGCGGTTTGGTTTAAGACATCGAGTCGGGTCATGCGATATTAAACGAGGCAAGTATGTGTATGTGGTGGGTCGAATCCGAGCCGAGTCGATGTGCAAAATATTATCCAGTTCGATAATCTCTTACTCCGAAATATCTAGCTTGCCCCTCGCTCTACAAAGTAGTCGAACGGTGGGGTAAGTTAAATACTGTACTGCTGAGTAGGCGGGTCCCATTATCCGAGCTACAGCATGGGAGTACGAGTAGCTAATTACGTCAGATGTACAAGCGGGTGGTGGGAGACTTGGAATGAAACTATGCTAAGATTCCAAATTTGGCTAGAGCGTGTGTTTTGCGCAGTTCTAGTAGCCGCCTGGTGCCCCGCTGTCAAGAGCTGATTGCGTTGAACCACAATGTAGCTGTAGGGCGTCAGAACACGTCCATAACTGGGATTTATGATCGTCACGGTACATTTGTACGAGTACAGGTATACATTTTAGGACATGAATTGCTGCGTTTTAGCCTTTGGTTAGATTTTCTTGACGCCGATGATGCTGGAGGTACTGCACCAATATATTGTTCACGTGACCCGACTTCGATGGCAGGACGTGAAGCAGAACGAGCCGTTGTCTAGAGTGCAAGTTGTTACATGCAGCCGCTGCCTGTGTCTACAGCATGCACTTTCGTCAGTTCTCAATTATCGGAATTTCAGTCCACCCCCTAACCTTCACTTCACACCTAATTATTAGCCCAATCTGACACCTGGCGCTTAGTAAGTAAGATCGCGAGTGTGACGACGCACAGTACTGTAACGTAATTCTGAAGCTACAGTAAAGCACCGCACAACAACACGGATCCACGATCTTCCCACTCGTGACCTGAAACCACACAACCAGCAGATAATGACCGTGTATGCACTCTACATTCTCAACAAAGCCGGCGGTCTCATTTTCCAGCGAGATTACGGCACAGAGCTCGCCAAACTGTCGTCAAACGACTATCTTGTGCTGGCCGGTACGTTCCATGGAGTGCACGCCATCTCTGCCAAACTGTCGCCGATTGAAGGGTCATCAGGCATCCAGACAATGGAGACGGAAAAATACGCGCTCACGTGTTTCCAGACGGTCACTGGCATCAAATTTTTACTCATCACAGACCTGCGACAGCAGTTTGTCGACTCGGTGCTCAAACGGGTCTACCAGCTGTTTGCGGACTACGTCATGAAATCGCCATTCTACCAGCTAGACATGCCAATCCGATGTACCCTTTTCGACCTGCATCTCAACAAGTACCTCGAGTCGGTGAGCTAGGGGAGACGTACAAAAAACTGCATAGAGCCAGGGATGTGATGGTCGTTCCTAGCCCTTTTGTATAACCACGATTCACCATCGTCTGCATATAGAATAATGAACTTATGAAAGGACCCGAAAAGCCTAGCTGCTGTCAATACTTTTATAAACAGTGCGAACTACAACTGAGTGATACTTCAAGCGTCAGTATCATGGGGGTCGCGTCGTCACAGACACCAACATTTACAACAAAAAGACTCCATGACAAGGCAGTTTATTTGAAATGAGACTTTTGGGCGTAGCGAGTCTCTCGATATATACTGTAGCTTATACTGAACATACAGAAGCCACATTCCAAGCTACAGTAAACACGACAAATAAACAGCCTCAAATGTACTCATTTCACACTCATATATTAACTTGTTGTTCCCCTAGGGAACGGCTCGTATTCACCGAGACTGGGTTCACGCACATCCAGCCGCCACATAAACAAACCGGCAGCCAGCCAGTTGTGGATGTCGCCAAACATATCAGACATTGCTAATGGTAAAATGAACACGAGGGAACATGCCACGAGGGCGATTAGTAGTGGGATTGTCTTCTCGGCGTTGGGGCCGAAAGTTACGAACCCGCTTCGACGTGAGTTGTCGAACGCGGAGATATGCCGTCACAATGTTAAATCCGTCTCGCAGCAGGATGAGCAGGACGCCGCCCAGAATGTTGCGTCGGACACGTGTTGTGAACACGTTTCGTACCAGAGGAATGCCGGACAGAAGTCCTCCCATGGCTCCACAGTACAGAGGGAACAACAGCGCGTTGCCCACCCGGGTGATGAGGGAGTATTGGCCCAGGATCCACGAAATATCGGGATCCGAGCTGTTTGTAGGCTGGGGAGCCTGCTGTTGCTGCTGGTTGTTACCAATCGCACCAACGGCCTGTTCCAGGATTCGGTTGAACAGGCCCAGCTGTCCAAAGTTGTTGTCTTCTTCAGCGGCTGCGTTCTCTCGCTCATCCCGATACTCCTCCAGCCGCAGCATTAGCTCGTCGATCGTGACGTCATTTTCGAGAGTCAGTTCATCGAAGAAGCCCTCAAGGAATCCCATGACCTGCTCTGCGTCCACAAACCCGTGCTCGTCACGTGCGCGATTCACCAGCGTTTGCATCACAGCATCATACGCAGCGTCGTCTCCATTTGTTCGCAGACGCATCAGCTCTCGGCCAATGTCCTGCAGGCCGGGTGCAAGGCCTGGAGCCTCGTTGTTGCCCCGAGGGAAGGCCCCAGGCACATTGTTCTGCTCTACCTGGGCCTGAAGAGCAGCAGCCTCCTCTTCCAGCAGAAGTGTGGCGTCCTCTCCCTCGACAGGAACACCATTTGTGTGCTCCTGGAACAGCTGAGGGCGAGCCTGGACTGCAAAGTGTCGCAGAGCTCGATATACCGTCACGCTGTAGATCTTGTCGTAAATGACCTTCATGAGCGGCAGCCACGTGAAGATGTGGTAATCATCAAAGTATCTGTGAGGGGGCACGGAAGCCAGACGGGCCAGAGGTAGAATGCCGCCCAGCATGTGTGTTCCAAACCGAGATCCAACCAGAACCACAGGGATGAGAGGAATCAACATGGTCTGATTGAGGGTGGGAGGGAGAATCTCGATGGCTGTGGGTGTGATTCTGATTCGAAGAAGTTCTGTGGCCATATCTGGCGTGCAGAAGCTTCGAATAGCCAGGGCACCGAGTCCATAGAGTGTGGAATGGACGAAATAGGTGGCTGCAGCTCCTGTGGTGGCAAATACCGTGTACATGAGAGCATGCCCCATTCCTTGCTCCACCTTTTGTCGCACATAGAGAAGCCATGGAGTTTCGTCTTCGATGACAATATCGGCCTTGCACTGAGGACAAGGCACAATGATTCTGTGGTTGTGGCGACTAGAGTCCGATTCGGCCACCTTTTCAGGATGGCTCTGGACCACCTCCTGGACCCAGTCCAGTAGGCACAGCTCGTGGGCCGTGAGCGAACATTGGCAGGGGTGTCTCCACTTGTATCCCTGGTCCGAGGGAGGCGGGTCTTCCTCAGTGCCCAGACAGATCCAGCATCTCTGAGTGTTTCCCATGATGCTGAGTTTGCTGTTGGGGTGTGTGGTGAGTTAGTTGTGGTTAGTTTGTGCGGGTTCACGTGATGTGGGGATGGTGTGACTGACTTTTGTGAGATGGTGAGGCAATAATGTGGTGGGTTTACAAAGTGACCCGAAAGTGTGACAATATTGTCACTAGCCAGCTCTGGATCTTGCGGGGTAAGTTTAAAGATATCACGTGGTGATGTCTGTGTAGATTACTATGCAGGTCAGACGAGGGGCACTTTGATGGAGCTGAGGCAATAGTACAATACGATAGACTGTACCACAACTTGTATTACGATATTATTATTATAGCAGAGCCCACAGTAATACAACCGCCGGACTACTTAACATCATCGCAGACGAATATTTTATCTACCCGATTTATTTAATACGTATACGAGGATTGCGGTCTAAACTGACAGCTGTCATTGTACCCACAATGTCAACCAGCCACTATATCGTTACTTGCTGCTTTTTATCATGCTCAGTTGATTACCAACTCCAGTGTCTGGGTCCTTGTCTGCTCTTTTCTTTTGTCTGTTGTTTCTGTATTAGGCCTCAACAGCACCCTGCTGTATTTTTTGATTATTACGGTCTATATAATTTTTCAGCAACCATGCAGGGCTCTTGGACTTGCTATGAGTATGAGTATTGAACGTACGAGTACATACTGTACGTACGAGTACATCCCGGTATGTACGACGTACGAATGGACAGCTCTGTCAGTCACAAATCACCAGACAGCCGGATAATAGTTCCATGCCCGAGATCGACACGCAATCCACCTTTATTTAGGAGCTCAGGTGTGAAGCCAACGTCGAGACCTTCAAAGTGAATGAGCCAATTCCCTCAAGTAATATATACAATACAAACCTAAGTAACCGCGATTGGATTGGGCGAAACAAGAAAGGAGCGGTCACCGAAATAAGCGGCATATGCTTGAGTGCGTTCCGCCCTGACAACGTTTTGACGTTGCACCTAAGACTCCTAACCTGAACGAAGGGTTGTAGAGCACCATCACCATGCTGTACTTGTAGAGGCACGGAAAAACCTGTTCTTAAACTCATCCAATTGAAGTTAATGTGTCATCAACGGAACACATGTGTGTGGCATGGTGATTGTAAGCAGCCAGGCTGAAAACTGCTAATGCACACCAAAGGCAGCTAGCTGCCAGTGTCCTGGACTAAATATGCAGACGACTGTCCCCCATCCACTCTTAAAAGCGACAAAAAATAGTCATGATCAGTCACTGTACATGGCTCCTCTTTTTCTGCCACATCAAATCTGCCACATTGGGTTTCATAATACAACCTTGTCTGGGTTGAAGAGGGGTGTGTATACAAGTACGAGTACAACTACTTGTATCCACTATAAGTGCCTGAGATAGTCATGAAAACGCACAAAAGTGAATCAGATCGAGACACTACGCCTTTAGAGTCCCTTGGACATCTTATTGCGTCCATTTTCCTCCCCGCAACCCCCCAATACTACCCTACATTAAAGTTGATCCGTAAGCATGCGGCTATCGAAAACGCTCTCGAATTCGGTGTGTAGAATATTTCAAACTCTCGTCTTCTCGAGACTCAGTCACCACCAGAACCATGCCACCCAAAGTCGTTATTACCGATCCCACGCCCCTAAAGGCCTCCGAAGGCGCAAAGTCCGCCGCCAAGCTGCGATCCAAGTCCAAGGAGGCTGCCCAGCTCCCCAAGCCCAACCTGGGCGACGCCTGGGCCCCCACTTCCTGGCAGTCCAAGCCCATCACTCAGGACGTTGTCTACGACGACTACACCGGAGTGGAGGCCGCACTGGAGAAGCTGGAGTCCCTGCCTCCTCTGGTTTCGCCCTTTGAGATTGAGAAGCTGCGAACCAAGCTCGCCCACGCTGCTAACGGCAAGGCCTTTGTTCTCCAGGGAGGAGACTGTGCCGAGCTGTTTGATTACTGCACACAGGACCGAATTGAGTCCAAGCTCAAAGTTCTGATGCAAATGTCGCTGGTACTGCTGTGGGGAACTGGACTTCCCGTGGTTCGAATCGGCCGAATTGCCGGCCAGTACGCCAAGCCCCGATCCAAGCTCACCGAGGAGGTGGACGGCAAGACTATCAACTCTTTCCGAGGAGACAACATCAACGGCTTTGATGTGTCGGACCGAAAGCCCGATCCGGCCCGTCTGGTGTCCTCCTACTTCCACTCGGCAGCCACTCTCAACTACATTCGATGTGTGCTTGCGTCTGGCTTTGCCGATCTGCGAAAGGTGGACTGGTCGCTGGAACACGTCCAGAACCCTGAGACCAAGGAACGATACCAGAAGACTCTGGACGCCATCACCGAGGGTCTGCAGTTCATGCACACCATTGGAGCCGACACTGCCCAAGATATGCAGACCATTGACTTCTTCACTTCCCACGAGGCTCTACTTCTGGAGTACGAGCAGTCTCTGACCCGAGAGGCCAATGGGCACCATTACAACACCTCCGCACACTTCATTTGGATCGGAGATCGAACCAGACAGCTCGACGGAGCCCACGTGGAGTTCTTCCGAGGAGTGCGAAACCCCATTGGAATCAAGGTCGGACCCACAATGAAAGCCGACGAGCTGGTGCGACTACTGGACATTGTGGACGCCAACCACGAGGACGGACGAGTCACCCTTATCACTCGATACGGTGCCTCCAAGGTGAAGGAGCTGCTTCCTGCCCATATCAAGGCTGTTCAGTCATCTGGACATAAGGTTGTATGGATGTCTGATCCTTGCCACGGCAATACCCAGACTTCTACCGTCACCAAGCTCAAGACCCGTCACGTGGACGACATTGTTGAGGAGCTGCGACAGGCTTTGGAGATCCACCGGGAGTGTGGTAGCAAGCTCAACGGCGCCCATCTCGAGCTCACCGGAGACGCTGTAACCGAGTGCATTGGAGGTTCTGCTGGTCTGTGCGACGAGGATCTCGTTGTGAGATACGACACTGTGTGCGACCCTCGACTGTCTTTGTCTCAGTCTCTGGATGTGTCCTTCCTTATTGCAGACAGCATGAGAGCCCAGAAGTAGTCTTTTCTACCGAGTCTAGCAACAAGTACTAGGTGTGAGTGACACGACATATAATTCTGCTCACCCGTTTACATTCTACTGAGTCCGGTCTATGGCCAGAAACCTATCTGATGAGTGATGATTTTGACTATTTGGAAACAACATGATCTACAAGCTACAGTGCAGTACTCGTACTCGTACATACCGTCGCTGCCGGATCCACTTTATGTCTCAACCACCATCGACAATACATGTATATAGCTAGTTTTTGCAAGTCTAAGAGCACGAGTGTATGTATGTACATACCTATATACAGTAGCTACCGTAGAAAGGGGCAAACTTGTACCAAAAGGGGACCTGTGCAGTATTTTACACTCATTACTGTTGCAACAACCCCACAAATTACTCTTTCCTTTGGGGTCGAAAAAATATCTCAGGCGCTAGCTAGAGCTCCCTCTTTTGGACCGTCTTTTTGAGCTCTGACAGCCAAAAAAACAGCCGATCAAGGTTCGGGTGCTTGAGATATGCACCATTTACGGCCACTCCAAAATACATTATTATCTACTACCAGCCCGACCACTAAACTAGACGATATCACGGTGGTGCGACCAAGGCAGCAATTTTTTTTTCTGTTTCTACTAACACCACTATCCTTTATTTATTCATTCTCGCCATTCGACTCGTCATATTTGTCCACACTCACCCTACAGTGTAACACGACATATCCCAAACAATCAAACACACACTACAGCTACCCACGACCTTATCCACACACCACCCCTGCAGCATAGACTAACAAGATCGCTCAAATCTACAAGTACAAGTAGAACTCTTTTGAAAGGGCCTGTGACACCAAAAACAACCCACCCACTCACATTCACACCACACTCTCAGAATGCTGTCTCTATCAGAACACATTTACTCTGCCGGCTTCCTCAGGGGAGAACTCTCTGATGTCAAGATTGTGGCGTTCCAGAAGGAGTACAACCTACACAAACTCATCCTCGACCGCTCGCCATACTTCCACTCGCTGTTCTCGGCTAAATGGGACACAGAAGGGCGACCTGTTCATCATCTAGATTTCTCCATCGATCACAACATCACAGAGCAGGCATTTGACCAATGTCTTCAGCGGCTATATGGAGGAGCGGAGGACCCGTCGGAGATTCTGGGGTTCCCGGAGCGAGTGTCTGCAGCATTCGAGCTGTTCGCCACAGCCAACTTCCTCAATCTGACCGACCTAGTTGACTTCTGTCTGTTGTTGATCATAAACTCGCTGACGAAATTCACAGTGGCCGAGACCCTGTGTTTTGCATTGGAGAACCACTACCCTCAAAGTGATACAATCATCGACTCCTGCAAATCCTTCCTGTGCGCTGAGGGCTCAGAGATGTCCTACCTCCAATGGTCTCGTATCCCCATTCCCATTGTGGTGGAGGTGGTGTCCTCAGACGGCTTCTTCATCCAGTCAGAGTGGGAGAGATGCATGTGGGTAGTAGGCTTTCTCACCGAAGAAGACTACCTCAGTGATTTCAACAATAACGAGAGTCCCATCGAACCCGAAGTTGAGGAGGACTCAGACTCATCGTCCAACTTCGACATTGGTCTCGAAAAGCTCTCATTGAATGCAGAAATCAACCTCAGCACGCCTACAGGCTCATACACCGAACTGAATCGTCTTGGGACCGAGCCAATTGGTAGTCCTGAGCAAGTCAAGAAGGCCTCCTCTTCTACTGCCTCGGCCCAGACCGAGGAGGATGAATGTGACATCGAGACCCAGTCCACCTCATCGCTGGACTCAGAAATTGCATCTCAGCTCCACGAACTCACAAAGGCCATCCACTACTGTCACCTGTCTCTAGCTCAACTTCAGCATCTAGAGAAGATCAAGGACAAGCGTGGAAAGCTGCTTTTTGACAAGAGCGTGCTTCAAGAAGGTCTCTGGCAGCAAATGAAGCTGAAACAGCTGGTTCTGAGCACTGGAGATGACCGTCTGGACGTGTGTATGTCCACCAAGCAGCTGATGGCTATGGGTGCCGAGAATGAAGACGACGCCGAGTTGTTCTATCCCGTTCCTTCGCACGATAAGAGTGTCGCTGGTCGACGATCTAACGATGCCATCACAGCCAAAGACTACTATACGGGTAGATGTGATCCTGAAGCGCCTCTAGAGACTTCTGATCCCGATGCTCAGGTGACCTTCTCCCCTTTCCCCCCCTTTAGATTCTCTGTCAAGTTCGACGACATTAGTCAGCTCAAGGGAGAGAGTAAACTGTATACGGATAATGCAGTTTGGTACGCAGGTACATGGTGGAGTGTGTATCTGCAGAAGATCAACAAGAAGAGTCCCCAGCTGGGTGTCTATTTGCATCGAGAGGCTCGAACCCAACGGGATCTGGCCACAGGGGCCAACTCGTCCTACACGCTACTTTCGGGAAAGAGCACTGCCAAGTCAACCGTTGGTTTGGATGACACGACCACCATGGAGCTCAAGACTGAGCCTCGGCTGGTGAGTTTCCCTGCCACTGAGCAGCCTGCTGATTACAACGACGACCGGCCTCAGATCATGAGTTATTTTGAGATCTACACCCCATCCAAGCGGGGTAAGAACCTCACCTGTTTCTCGTCTTCTCCGTCCGCCTTTTCCTGTGCTCAGAGCTGGGGCTGGAGATCGTCTTCGCTTTATCACTACGCTGAGGAGAACGCCAAGCAGCATACTCGGGCCAGTCTCAAGTTCATGGTAGTGATCGGTGTCGTTTAGGACTACTACATGATGGTAGTCCAGTAATAATTTAACACATATTCAATAATACCAGCAGGTAATTATCGTAATAATGTATTCACGAGAGTCACCATGGTTGATTTCATGAAGGTGGGCTGGACTGAGCTATGGGCTAGGGATTGCCTCTTGCATATTTCAGATCTGGGGTTTCAGTAGATCGCAACTTTAATGGCTGGTTTTGAAAAAAGAACCCCGTACAATACTCGTAGAAAGACAGGGCCAGTGAGCACTAAAACAGGGTAGTCTACAAGTAAAATTAAAGGCCGACCCAAGCGGCAAGACGGGGCTATGCATTGTATCCGAGCTTTTTGTTTCTCTTCCTTTTTGGCTGCCGCGCGGCATGCAATGTCTTTCAAAGATCAACGTCTCTGCACCGCACCACACGTGCTTTCTTGCAAAACAGAACCCACTATCTGTACGTAAGGAAACAGGAAAACAGGGTGCGAAAAAGCAACGCAGGGAGTGTGGGAGCTGTCAGAAATAACACTAACTAACATTACAAAAGTCAAAAAAAGCTGAAACAGGCCCAGTTCTCAGGTTTGAGTGGGTTGGAAGATCGGTCCGTGTAACGTTGTCTTTTGAGAGGAGGCCTGAGACAGTCTGAGCACAGGCCCGTGGGATCCTGCGGGTACGGTTTAGAGATCCATTGTCAATGCTCCGTGTGCATACTCCGTTACAGGGGAGAATACAGCCTGTAAGCGCGGAATGAGACACAGTCACAAATGGCGGCCCGTGTGGAGTGGTGGTGTCTCCATCTGCCAGTTGGCTGCTTCCTGTTTGGCTGTAATGTATCCGAACTTTGTTGCGAAGCTTGGGGTGGAGCTATAACGCTGTTATAGGAGCTTTCGGGGCTTTTCCGAGAGGGGAAGTGGCCATGGCGATGACTAAGAGGGTGCGATGGGGTGCTACAGTTGTTTTTAAACCGATACTTGTTTGCTATCGTATTATCTCAGGGACACGAGTGCTGCTCCGTCAGATCACCAATAAAGGTAGATCCCGGCGAGATCGCTTAAGGTACACTCTGGTGTGCAATTCCAAAGACTTAGTTTGACGCTTTAGGTTCCTTGGGGGGTGGTTAGGTCTAATGCAAGTTTGGACTGGAGCAGGAAGCAATGGGAGTGCAAGGCGGGATCTAATTTTTTGACGGCTTGACCACAGTGTCCTCCAGCGGTCGCTCGTTGGTAAAGACTGATTTAGGAGGGGAAAGCCCAGCAAGCTGGAGCAGTCCTGGCACCTTCGATGCTACGCTGAATCGATCTCACTCGTAACCCAAATTATTACAACGGCCAAATGAGCACAAATTGGCCGTAAATCTTGACTCTTGGCCTCCCCCATATGTTTCTTTGCATTGTTCATGTTGATGGCACACAGGGGTGGCAAGTGTGCGGGAGATGACGGCTTTTGCAGCAGGAGGGATGCCGAATGAAGAGGTGCCCCCAAACCGGCTCAAAAGGTCCGAAGCGGCCGATCCAGGCATGTATACGCAACATCAATACCACGGGCCCGTCATATACGTGCTGTAGACCGACGGGACCTAGTATTGGGCCTCATTAACTAGCCCCTATCCTGTCCCATGTAATTAGACGCGGCTTTGTTTGGCTGTACAGCTGCAAGTTTATTTCGGCCTAAGCGGAGCCTAAAAAAGACTTACTGATGAGAGGTGCCGGTCTTGTATCAAACTGAGACTTTCATCTTTCACCGACTACAGCTTCAATTCAACTCGATTTTATTCCGGCAATGTGAGTAATACTGTGGGGCCAGCTACGGAACGACCCAAAGCTCTCCAGAACGCCGACACCGGCACAGACGTCCTCCCTCCTTTTTCGGTTTGTCTCTGCTCATCTGCTCACAACTTTTTGATCTGTCGATTTGAGTGGTCGATGAAGTGCAAAGAGTGAAGTGAAGAATGTCGAGTCTAGACATACGAGGTGGACGGTGCTAATGCGAGTCAGGGGAGTCAACAGGAGGTGCTGGATAGCCAGTAAGCGACTTCACACCCTCATTTTCAATGTCAGCTGATACTGATTGATTTGCATTGGTTAGGTTTGGGTCAAGAGAGCTACTTGTAGCTACTTGTAGGAGATGAGTATCATCTCCACAGACTGCGTGTTGCAAGAGAAGCTGCGGCGGAAGCACGCAAACGAAGTGATTGATGTGATAACCTCACTACCTTACTCACATCTCTATATCTCCATCCATACCTGTGGTCTCTATCCTCACCACCATCCCGTACCTGAAGCTTATTTGGGCTTGTGGGCATTGCCAGTGAAACTATTACTAACCCAGGTGGACCCCTTTGCCTAAAATCGGCCGTGGTGTGCTGTTGAAAACAGTCCGCCTTGACGGCTTGCATGCTGCTGAGGCCGTTTCGGACATCAATGGCACCTACAAGACCAGTAACAAGGATATCCGTATTGGAGAGGAGGTGTTCGTGTTCGAGCAGCACTCTGGCGGCGAATGGTACCGTGCCTACGTCGTTTCCTCTCCTTCGGCCATGAACATTCTCATGGACGTTCTGGAGCACACTGACGTTGTTTCTGACGAGAACGTTAAGCCCCCGGATGCTAAGATCATCACCGCTGTCTTCCCTGCTTCTTGTGTCAAGATCAAGGACTACTTTGAGATCAAGGACTCCCCCAACCGAGAGCAAAACAATAATTCTGCCTACAGCCTTGGAAAGCCCTTTGCTCCTCCTGTCCCTGCTCTCCGACTGGGTATCGAGTCTCCCATGCTCGAGGGAGAGCCTCTCGTGGATGATATCATCTCTGTCATTGGTGAGTGGAACAAGGTCTACTTGTGTCGATTCTTTGTTAACCGAAACTACGGTGTTGTTAACGAACTGAACGCCATCATCAAGGAGCTCTACGTCATCCGACGACAACTTCTGTACCAGCTTCTCACTGAGGAGGAGACTCTTCTCACCCGACGACGAGCCATCTGGCTTATTCTCAAGGCCAAAAAGATGATGTCCCAGGGTATCCTTGTTCGAGATACCGTCACCGGAGAGATTCTCACCGGTCGAGAGGATCCCGTCAAGCTGGCCAAGGAGCAGCTGCTCATCAACCTCTCGCCCAAGTACCCCAACTACAACGCTCTTGACGAGCGATCTGTGCAGGACGTGCATCTGCCCACCCATATTTCCGTCAAGCTGGTTGAGTCCGATGGTCAGGCTGGAGACGGCGCTCTTACTGCCTTCATCTACCTGCGATCTCGAACCAAACGTTTGACTGAGGCTTTCCGAATCTCCGTCGACTCCTCTCTTGTGCTGTCTGATCTCTCTACAGTGCTGTTCACCAATATCCCCGCCCAGACTGTCAAGGACGAGATTTACATTGTTGTGGTTCTGTCCGAGGAAGTGCCCGTCTCTGCCACTTCCAAGAAGCGTGTGCGACGAGGTATTGCTGCTGGTGTTCAGTCTCTGTCTCGAATCTTTCAGGATTTCACCCACCGAGAGAAAGAGCTTACTATCAACATGTACGCTTCCTACTCCGAGACTGGCCAGTACGGCCAGTCCAACCGAGGCTGGGGTGAGCTTGTTGATAGAATCATCAAGGGTGAGACTGTTGGTGTCGGTAAGACTCCCCGAGCTGACAAGGTCACTCTCGCCGTCAAGGACTTCCAGGCTCCTACCGCCTCTCAGCTGGACTTCAAGGCCAACACTGCCATGTTCCCTGCCACCTCTCTGTTCGTGGACTCCCTGATCCCTAAGCGAGATGATCTGTACGTCTACCTCAAGACGATGACTCTGGCTAAGGGCTTCGATGGTGCCGATCTCATCTCTCTCAACCTTCAAACTGCTTATGGAAAGGTTGCTTTCACAAAGGCTTCTAACGTCGAGCCTGTTGGAGGTTGGTTCGCTGCTTCCGTCTACAACGGTGAGTCTATCGGCGAGGTTGTTCGAGTCACCGACTGCGGCCACGGATGGAACGATACTCTTTACTTCAATATCTTCCTGGGAGCTGACTTCCTGGGTCGTGGTATCCTCCAGCTGTGGACCAACGACAGAATCACCTCTGACGGCCACAAGGTCATTGATATCATCAACTCTGACCGACTCAAGTGCGCCACTCTTGAGGTGTCTGTTGACTACGTTGGAAACTCCTTCAACGTGCCTGCCGCCATTGTCACCGTCAACAACTGGAAGAAGTACTTTAACTCCGGCCTTGGAGACGAGCTCATGACTGCTTGCAACGCCATTTCTCAGGTTCCTGATCCCGAGTTCACTTTGCACTTCCACCGAGTCGTCGACAACCTGTGCCAGATCATCCTAGCCGTTGACAACGAGGCTTACAGAGACGCTGCTTTTGGTGCTCTGATCCACGCCCTGGAGGTTGTTTCTCTCAAGCACCATGGCAACCACGCCTATCTTGCCGATGACTGGCTGGCCCACTTCAGCTTTGTTGGTATTGCCAAGCCTCTTCTGGCCTACATTCACAAGACCAAGAAGGTCCAGAAGTGTGGTCAATATCTCGCCAACCTCATTGCCACTGCGGCCCGAGTCGACATTGGCGTTTCCGAGGACAAGCACGCTGCTCGAAAGGATCTGGCTGTCAGTCTGCACCACGTCATTGACGATGTTGTGGATGCAATCAAGACTGACACCCCCAACAAGCAGACCATTGCCCTGATTTCCCATTTGCCAAACTGGTTGGAAAACATGCGACCTCTTGTTGGTAATCGAGATTGTATGGAGACCTACATTCGATTCGTCGATTCGATCCGACCCGGTAACGACAAGCTGACCGTCGCTAAGCTGCTGTTCATCCAGGAGATGTCCCGATCTTGGATGTTCCGAGAAGCCAAGTACCGAGCTCGACTTGCCTCCTTTACTATTCGATGGACTCTGCCCTTCATCACCAAGGTTGAGTCAGGCACTATCACAACTTTCAAGAAGGATCTCTTCCGACTCGTCTGCGCCATTTTCGCCAACCAGATCTCCATCCTGTGGCCTTCTCGAGAGACCGAAAAAGGTATCATTGGTATGTATGTGCCTCTGCTGCCTCTGTTCGCACGAACTTACGTTGCTCTCCTGGCCCACTACAAGGAGTTTGGTCGACAGCGACGAACTTACACCGAGCTATTCCCCAGCAAGTACCCTTTCGTTACTGTTCCTGTGGACTCTCGGTCCGATTCCAAGTTCGACGAGTGTCTTATTGAGATGGGTACCATTTTCATGTCCATCGTTACTTTTGCCAACATTTCAGGCATGTCTCTGCCCTCCTCTTCTCTGTCTCGTTCTGAACTCAGTGAGATTATTCTCAACATCCTGCAAGCTTGTTCTGCCATGCTGGCCAACCAGTCGTTCCCCAAGACCTGGACTTCTCTTGTTACCCTCCATCACGACACCGTTTTTGGTACCCTCACATACCTGAACAGTCTCCTGGTCGAGAAGTTCATTCCCTCCCCCGAGCAGGCCGAGGAGTTCGATGCCTCCATCTGGTACACCTATCTGTCTACCCTCCTTCAGGTCACTGGTTCCGACATCATCGCCATCGAGTTCCTGTCTGAGCAGAAGCGAAAGGCCATGTGGAGTCTTCTGGGAGATATCCGAGGTCGAGCTTCCACCATGCTCCAACAGACTTGGGATCTTCTGGGATGGCAGGCTTCTCCCGAGGAGCAGCAAAAGTATGGCCTTTCCCGCCTTGGTGGCTTCCAGGTCAACCTGTACGTTGGAGACACTTCTTTGGTTGTCGGAATCCTGTACATGTGTCTGGGTAAGCATGCCGGTGCCCAGGCTGTTGCTGTTAACATTCTCAAGTCCATGATTGTCGGTGAGTGGATTCTGAACAACGACCTTTCTCAGATCACTCGTGAGATCATTGGTGGTCTCGACTCTGTCTTCCAGCACAAGACCTTCCTCCCCGATGAGGAAGACAAGAACCGATTCCTCCAGCTTCTGCGCCAGTCTCTGCCCGACGAGGTATCTTCCATTGCCGAGGATATTGAGGAGTTCACCGATCTGCTGTATGATCTCCATACCATCCCTGCTGGTGACCAGTACAACGATGACAGAATTTTCCACACCCTCAACGTTCTCAACTTCCTGCGATCCCTCGACAAGGTGGAGATCTTCTCTCGGTATGTCCATGACATTGCTCAATGGCACGTTGCCAAGCAGAATCACGTTCAGGCCGGTTTATCTCTAACCCTGCTGTCCAACGCCTACTCCTGGGACAAGACTGCCATGCTGGGTCCTTCCAAGTTCCCCAAGCTACCAGCCCAGTCCGAGTTTGCTCGGAAGGAGGCTCTTTTGAAGGATGCTATCGAGTACTTTGACAGGGCTGACTGCCTGGAGAGTTCTGTCGATGCCCTCAAGCAGCTCCAGGTTGCCTACGAGCAGAGCTACGACTTCTCAAAGCTTTCTGAGATCACCCAGCTGCTTGCAAGAACCTATGACAAGGTAGACGGTCTTCAACGAACCAAGCCTCTGTACTTCCGAGTCACTCTTCTTGGCGGAGGCTTCCCCAAGTCTCTGCGAGGACGACACTTCATCTTCGAGACTTCACCCTTTGAGCAACTGGAGTCTATCCACGATATTCTCTACCGAGTCCACCCCAAGGCCGTGATCATTGCCAACGAAAACCAGGCTCGTGACGAGGGTCAATTCCTGCATGTCACTGCAGTGCAGCCCATGTCAACTGCTTCCCACGCCCTCTCTCCCGCTGCTACCGATGGTGCTCGAGAGTATTACGATCGACAGAACATGCGACTCTTTTCATCCACCCGGGCCTCAGGTCCTTCTGAGAACCCTACCCAGATGTGGACCGAGAAGACCATCTACGAAACCTATCAGCCTTTCCCCACTATTGTCAACCGATCCGAGGTCAAAAGTATCCAGGTGGTCAAGCTTTCTCCTGCTGAGAACGCTCTACAGACCCTCAACACCAAGATCAACGAGCTTCAGGCCATCGAATCTTCGTTCCGTGTCGGAGGCCGAGGTGATACAAACCTGCTGCCACTTGTACTGGAGGGGGCTATTGACTCTGGTGTTGGTGGCGGTATTCACCAGTACCGAGTCTTTATCGAGGATGGTGATGCTTCAATCCAGCAGGCCTTCATCGAATACGCCCAGGTTGTCAAGAAGTGTCTTGCTGTGCACGACCGGGTCATGTCTCCCAAGATGAGACAACTTCATGAGAGTCTGTGTGAGCGGTTCCGAAAGGGATTCGCCCCTGAGCTTGCCATTATCGGTGACGATATTGCCGGTGCTCGAGTTGCCATTAAGCATCCTACTGGCCAATTTTAGTTTAGTTGTTATTAAAATGTATTTGATTGCCATGTTTGTCTACTTTGGAGTTCTTCTGAATGTATGTACATACTGTACTGAGAATAATATGTACAACTTGTACACGACGTGTTCAGTATATACGATTGCTACGGCAGCTTCTGGTAAGTCTGGGCAGTTTAGTAATATTAATTAGTACAAGTAGTACCAGTAATATGATATGAATTCAAAGTAATTAGCATAATGTTCAAGGGCGACGATTGCCTTGCATATCGAGTAAAGGACAACTTGGAGTGAGGTCCGTTCAGAAAGAAAAAAGATAATCTAGAGGGGGGTATGAGAAAAAGTTAGTAACAAAACACCGCAAGTGGGTGAGAAACCTAGCATAATGGCTAGTAGACAAATAATAACAAATAAGAAACATAAGCACAAAAGAGACGTCAGGGTGCCAAACAAACGACTGCAACAGAGAAGAACGAAGCGAGACAGCGAAAGGTCGGAGATGTGAGAAGCCAGAACTAATCGAGACAGCGCAGGGTCAGTATGAACTGTGGTAAGTAGAAACGATGTGACATGGGGGATGGTGTAATATGAAGGGCTGAGAAAAACCGAAGAGAACACAACAGATGAATCACCGATAAAAATGAATTAGCGGGAAAGATTGTGGATGGAGAGCGTCTGAGCGGCAACGGTGAGAAGATGAAAAATAGAAAGACATGAATATCAAAATAAGAGCTCGAATCACCACATACGGTGAGTGTGTGGTCATCACACGGTCGACGAAGTGACGGTCAGCATAGAAAAGGAACATGTCAGGACAGGGCGACAGCGACACTCAAGCTGAGATGAGAGAAACACACACGGTTAGTGAAAGGGTGCGGGCACAAAAGGAACAATAGAAAACAAGAAGATCATAAATTATGGGTAAAACTGGTATACAGTTGTGCGTCGCTCAGAGTCGACAGAATTATCACATGATGATAATGGCGAACGAGTCGCTGGAAGACAAAAGTAGAACAGAAAAATGTTGCAGAGTCATGGCGTATAAAGGACACCGAAACAAGAAAGAAACGAAAGTGGTTGGGAATGTGAGTGGCAAAAGGGAAAGGAAAGAGTGAAATGAAAAGAAAGAAGGGAATAGGAATAGAACAAAAAAAGAAAAAAAAGAGGGAAAAAAGAAACAGAAAACATAGTCTGGCCATAATAAATGGCTCCGTGAGCGGCAAAAAGTCGGGAGAGTAGGAGAAGGGTAGCCGTCGAGAAAGGTGATGGAAAGTAGTTGGGTATAAAGACTCGTTGGTCGGTAAGGTGTCATCAAAGCTCGAATGGCAGAGTAGGCAGATAAGCAAGCATGTTGACTATGAAGAAGGAACATGACGCCCTCTCGATAAATAAGGCAGTGAAAAATGAAGTCACAATCGTAAGCACTTGATGTCAGCGGGGCGACGTTTGGTTCGGTTCGGTTCGGCTCGGTGGCGCCGGGTATTCGGTGGCATGTTCACACTGTGCATGTTGCCTTGGGCACCCTTCTGTCGAGGATAGATCCAAAATAAAATGGGGGAGGCCCATATTATATACGGGCCGTCTCCTTGATGGTCCCTCAAGGTTTTCGGAGAACTCAAACAGGACCAGCCCGTATAAGATTACGGTGGAACGTTAAAACAAAGGCTTTTTGTTACATGAGTGGTGTACATTCACAGATACATACAAGTTATTATGCCATAAAGGGGGAAAAAATAGCCAATTTCCCGGGGAAAAAATATGACAGACAGTTTATACTACTGTAAGGGCTCAATCTGATTCAAACAATCAACGGCTTTCGGATATTCTCATTGTTGAAATTCTAAGAATTGCGGAAGGCGAAATAGAGTTATCATCCATTGCATCAGTACAGAAAAGACGCGAAGAGAAGTTTTGACAGAAAGGGACACTGCAACTGTAAATATGGGGCTCTGAAACGGAAGGTGCTGGCACCTCCATTGCGGGGGTTGGGGGTCACAAGGGGCTCCTCTTTCTAGTTCTAAGAGCCTATTGTTATCTGCGAGTATTCGTGAATAATACAGGCTAATTGTTATTGATGAAAGAATGGTGTCTGAGCGGCGTTGCAGCCTAATGCTCATCTTGCACACAGTGTCAGTCCCGTGTACGTTGCTTGACAACCTTATCTGAAACCAGTCATTCTTCGTGTGATTTTTTGCTCTTATAGGTAATAGGGAGATCACACCATGGGTTATATTTCGTAAACCAGTCATGCAGCACGTACGTAGTGTTTAGAGGGAGGAAATCCGGGCGAAGGGAAGAGCACGGCGGGGTGGATTATGGTTCATACTACAAGTAGCAAATCATAGGCCTCACACTCCAAGTGTTGTATCGTACATGCTCTACTGTGATTCCTCCGTACTTGTACCATACCCTTAGAAGTACTTGTATTTGCTGGTACGCTGTTACTGTAAACCCAATAACAGGGTCAACCACTGAGTGTTTATAGTTACAAGATTTCCCACTTCCAGCTGTGCCTCTTTTCCTTGCCACCACTAAAGCGGTCGCGGGACGTGGTGGAAGATGCAAGAACTGCTGTCAATGGCAAACTACGTTTGTGGGGTTGTAGGTTTATCAGTCTGACTTGAGAAGTCAAGGCATTGCTGTGCGAAATGGTTGCGGCGACACGTACAACTTGTACGTTCCTCAACCGTATTGTAGGTTTGTCACTGGGAATACGGGGGTCCAAATCTTATCCTATCTCAACGACATAAGCGAAATGGATTGGGGTTTGGGCTCGCTGGTGTACGTACATGCCAAGAAGCGATGTGAAGACATCAATATTGCGCTATCCTAGAAAAAGTTGCTTCTTGGATCTTTACCTGAATATTCAAAACTCAGCCTGGCCTCTGTAAGCCCAGACCCAAAGCTACAAATGTGTGAGTAAGAACTGCTGCGTCCACAAAGGAAATAATGTAGAAGTGGCGGCTTCACCGATATATTGGACACAAGGAAAAGTATAAGAGGCATATAGAGCAGGGATACATACGAGTACTCATGATGTACTTGTATTAGTAGTCAGAGAATGAATGGAAAAATCCCACTGAGCCATTGTTGAACCGGAATCAAATATATCCGGAAAATTGATTTTCTCTCAAATTGGCCCGCCCGCACGTTTGCGCCCTTTCCTTCTCACTTTCAATATACACCCACACACCCTTTCCGCACTGTGAAACCTTGGACGTGAGAGCTTCCGGGCGGGCACAGAGTTCAGACAAATATTTTGACAGAACCTTCTTTTAGGACTGCAACAGAGAGGCACTCTTGAAACGTGCAAATGACCAGCCATCGAAGGTGTTGGGTGTTATTGTTTGGCAGTGTCGCTACAAGTAGGGACCTTGTAGCAGCTTTCAATTGGACCCGTGAGTACCTACGATACGATACTAAGACACAGAAGCCTCCGTAGACAGGCCCTCCTGTGATGCTATATATTTGGTTCGGGCTGGCCCAACATCCCAGTCCAGATCTCTTTGGTTACGGACAAGGATATGTACCCGTACGTATATACTATGTGCTCCGGGTGTGGTAATCAACAAATTTCCATGGGTATTGAGGATGGATCCGTCATATCTCATTGAGAAGTTCCATACGGTGATCTTGGGGTGATTTATGAAGAGCGTTGTGTCTATTCACCACCAAACGAGTATGCTGTACAACTACAGGCACTGTAACTACAGTCTTATAGCTACTGTACACGATATGCGGGTTTCGGTCGGAAGAGGGACTTCTCTGAAGAATGTCTTACGCCACGAGAATCGGAGAGTAGAAGAGCAAGAGAAACATACTCTCAGGACCACAAAGCGGTGTTCAGAGTGGTGTATGTCATCTGAACAGTTATTGGGAAATGTATCTGCAATCACTACGACATATGAACGGCCCACCTTGTTGCTGTCTGAGATCCCTCGGCACATAAAGAGCGTTTGTTTCTTTTCCCAAATCTCCGAGTTCAAGTCTGTGCCTCGACCGATGTACAAGTACGCGCGTACATACATACGTGCGGATCAATATCTAGCCAAATGAAAGATGGACATCCACCACAATCGCTGCCGTTCACAGGGGTGACTTTCAGTTCTACATCGCAGTACGAGTATCAAGGTCGTCTCAATCAAGGATCGGTATGCCATGTACAACGAATTCCTCAACGTACATGCAGGGCTTCCACAACATTTCTGCCGATCTTACTGCTCCAGGCATCGAGCGTTTGAGAACTACAGTAGCGCGCCACTGGGGAGAAATTGTGACAGAAAGACGCGGCTATTTTGGTACAAAGCGTGCCGAAAAATCAACAGAAGCTGACTCTGTCCGATATAGCGGTTCCAGTATTCTTTTCGTATGTACTAAACGAGGCTCATCTAGTATTTGCCTACAGTAGCTCTGATGTTGACATCTGATAGGAGTTTAACTCGCAAACAAAGAAACAGTCATCTGCTACACATGAACATGCATTTCGGGTTAATAAAGTGGTAGTGCAGATAGCCGAGGCGCAACTCCTCAATACAATCAGCAGCACGAGATGATACAGGTAATGACACAAGCCAGGAGAAATTGTAGCTACAACAAAAAGTGTCAAATCTGCAAGCAACCGTTGCTCTAAACAATATTCCGGACATATCTGGGGGCACTTCTGTTGGTTTCATTTAACTTTGACCTGTAATTCCTGTCACGATAACCCCTTGCTGATAATGATACTTCATCGCGGACAAGTATGTCAATTTGACCCTATTCCCTAAAAAGGAGACAATATTGATGGTCGGTATAGTTATGATAGATTCTTGTCAGAGGTTGTTGCAGTTTAAAGTGGTTTATGTTTCTAAACATAGGACAATATGAAATTATTGTGTCTTCCATAGCTGTCTGTTATACTGTGTCTCTATCGCTCCATATTGGCATAATCTTACATTTATTTGGGGCTACGGTATGTTATCTTATCTTATCATTAAACTAAAAGAGGTTTAACCTGATACTACCAGTAGTATAGGTACCTGTGCGCTGAGAAGAACGTTGGACGGATTACTTCTTGTCGACGACCTTCTTGTCGTCTCCGTAGGCCTTGGTGCCGTAGTTACCACCGTAGCAGATAATGTCCTGGGGTCGGTACTGTTCTCGGCCGGAGAAGAACTCGTCGAGAATCTGCTTGACACCAGCAGCGTATCGGGCCTGGGCGTCCAGAGAGGTTCCAGACATGTGGGGGGTCATGGCGTTACCGGCACCGTACTTGTTGACCATCTTTCTCCAGGGGTGGTCAGCAGGGGCAGGCTGGGGGAACCAGACATCTCCGCCGTAGCCTCGGAGCTGACCAGACTTGAGAGCGGCGGCAACGTCCTCCTTTACACAGATGGCTCCTCGAGCGGTGTTGACGAGCCAGGCGCCCTTCTTCATGTGGGACAGCAGCTCCTTGTTAAAGAGACCCTTGGTGGATTCGTGCAGGGGGCAGTTGATGGTGACAACATCACACTGGGCAAGCATGTCCTCGAGCTTCTCAACTCGTCGGGCGCCAATCTCCTTCTCGTCGGCAGCAGACAGAGGCTGATAGTCGTAGTAGAGCAGCTCCTTGGGGTCGAAGGGCTTGAGTCGCTGGAGCACTCGCTTGCCGATTCGGCCGACTCCGACGGTACCAATGACCTTACCCTCAATATCGTAGGAATCCTTGGCAACACCGGCAACGTCCCAGCCGCCGCCTCGAACCTGCTCGTTGGCAGGCACGAAGTTTCGGACAAGAACAAGCATGGTCATGACAACGTGCTCAGCAACAGAAGTCACGTTGGAACCAGTGACCTCGAGCACGGCAATGTTTCTCTCGTTGGCGGCAGCAAGATCAACGTGGTCAGAGCCAACACCGGCAGTGACACAGATCTTGAGGTTCTTGGCCTTGGCAATTCGCTCTCGGGTGATGTAGCCGGGGTGGAAGGGAGTGGTGATGACAACATCGGCATCAACAATCTCCTTGTCGAGAACAGAGTCAGCACCCTCCTTGGAAGAGGTGGTGACCAGGGTATGGCCCTGGGACTCGAGCCAGGATCGGATGCCGAGCTCGTTCTCGGTGCAACCTAGCAGCTTGGGTTCGTCAGCAGCGTGGGAGCCGGCGTCGTAAAGGATAAGGAGAATCTTCATTGTAGTGGTTGTGTTTGTGTTTGTGTGTGATGATTGTAACTGGAGGGGGTATCCAGTGGTATTTATATTGACATCGGAGCTGTTAAAATAACCATGGGTTTCGACTATTCCGTCAGTCTCCCCCACAAGCCCCAGTCCTTAGTGCTTGTTGAGGCCACTAGCCATTCTCTTGCATCAATGCATGCATATGGCACATTATCGCGATGCTGGAGACAAGTAGCGAGCACTCTCAAGCCCAGAGCAATGGCTCACGTGATGCGTGGATACAGGACAATTGCAAAGACATAGCTAACTCGATGTTTTTTGACCGAGAATCGTTCCATATTCACCTTCTGATTTCAACCTCATTCTCCTGAAAGCAATGAGATCAGTCCCTCCCCGCACTAGTGTTTCCCCATACAAACCATACTACTATTGCGTATTTCCGAGCCGCACGAACCGGCTTGGAATTGTATCCAGGCCCGCTTACACTAGTCTGCAGCTGAGGAGACTAATGCAGAGCAATCAGCTATGTCTGGACATCTATCACACACGATACCCATCATTGTCTGCTACAAGCAGGTCCTCCTTTACTCGTATACAGACAGTGATACCCTGGTGACCTTGTACAAGACCTCATTCTGCTGCGACTTCGAGGATCCCAAATCGCAACTTTTAACCTTCTTGGTCTCGTGTAGAACGTCGTCTCAAATATTTTGGCCGCAGTGTGTAAAGAGATCATGCATCCTTGGTGTGTACAGTCGTAGGTGTGGACTTTGAGGGGTTAAGAGCTGCAGATAATGGCTCTCGGGCAGACGGGTTCCGGCTGGGCTTAGGAGCTTATGAGACCGAACACCGACATGCTCCGTACCGCCAGTTGGCACGATTGTATGAAGTATTAACGGAGGACGAACGTATGTGATGATAATGATAACGTGATCAAGATTCTTTCAAATGCTGTACCCCGGAACCTAACTGTGAAATTAAACGCGTGGTGAATAAAACGATGCATTCTTACACATATCATAGCTATGGAAAGACAATAGCCGGGAACCCCTCCTCCGAATATAGTACGACTACAAATACAATAGCTCCAGGAACTGCTCGGCAATTCATGTGCGTACAGTACGTGCATGGTTGGATACTTCTGCATCATAAGTAGTCTTGGTGACCACTTTGCTGCTAAAAAGAGATGCGTCACGTGGGCTTTCAGATTACGGCAACTACATACTGGTGTGTTAGTTTATCACCGGCGAAGTGGAAGTTCATGGCTGACGCAAATGACGTGTTAATTTCCTGTTCATCAAGCCGGTTCATTTTCCCATGTCTAATAATACACAATAATGAGCGAACCCGTATAGCCACCGGTACGTGCGTACGATACAATGTGATACATCCTCATACAGGTTCAGAGACACTTGACCCCCACACCAACTTTATCGAAGAGGGGATACTGTTACATCTGTTGGTGTTTGAAGGTGTGAAAAGATGATTCAAGACCGGGTTGCTCTTGATTCAGGACACACAACATTGCGAGAGTTGATTTCTACACACAGTCGTCACTGTGCCATTCGCTCCCTCTATCACACCGCTAACACGCCGACGTATAATGTACCCTAACCCTGTTACGATTGGCTCTTGAGTATTTCTGTATCCACTAAGCTTACACCCAAACGCTTCCCTGCTAACAACCATCGCTACTACGGCGCGTCGTCCAGCAACAACGAACTAGGTGATGGCCCGTTCATCTAGCCACGGCGGAGGGACGAATTTCTTGACCTTGGAGCAGCCCGTCCACGTTTCCCCCTAATGTCTTTGTGAGCAAAGACTCATTTTGAGGCTGAGCGATTAACCAATCGTTGCCAACACACCACTATCGTACGTACGTACGTGCGTCATGTCATGGAGATTGTTCCTGCGGTTGACTCTCGTGATACTGTGACTCTTGTGGGTCTCTCCCTTTTGTGAGCGCAGGCTCTTCCGTTGGAGATATGATCGTCGTGGGTCACTGGTTGCTGTGCGCCACGCGCACCTCTGGTGGCCCAGCTGCTCCTACCATCGCCATCCCCATAGTGGAGATGTGCGTTTACCTAAGAACCAGTGGTTTAGTTTTTACCTACACACCACTGCTGGCTGTTACAGGCCAGTCGTAGAACCATTCATTGTTCATTGGATGGACCACCTTCTGGAGGGCATGTCAACATTTCTGTCTTGAGAAATGCTGCCTGGATGTTTTTGGATGGGTGTTGGCTATTTGGTGTTCATCGGTTGCCACCCTGCTACACTGCTGAGAGTGACTAATTTGGCCCTTCCCCTCCTCTCCTGCGCTCACATACGGCACCACCCTCCCCACATTCAGTAGTCTTTTCAGACGTAGAAACCGGTCTTTGATCATATATATGCTTGAGTCATACCCACGGCTTTGGACGGCCCTCTTAAATGGGAACATATTGTTGCAGTGATGTTTTCTCTGCTCTGTGTCTCCTTTTTTTGCTGCTTTTGGTTGCCTCTCTTCTCATTCTCTCATTCTCAGGCCCAGTGCGCCGGGTAACCTTCACATGCGTCGAAATTTAAGATACTTGGGTCTGCATCAAAAAAAGAGAACAGGATAACCAGAGAAGCACGCCAAAAAAAGTTAGAGGCAAACGCAGCACAGCTTTCCAGCAGCTAAACACACCACCACCACATTCACGTTGCAACCGAAGCATGGAATCTACCCCACGGGCGCCCATGAGTTGGAACAAGCGTGACGACCGGGATACGAGAGATCCTCCAGATGACCGTGATCGCAGTCACTGGAGACCCCGAAGTGAGCAAAGCAACAGAGGAGCAGGAAGCTCGCGAAACGACAAGTCCATAAGAGGAGGACGAGGTGGCCGAGGAGGAGGATCTCGCAACAACAGCAGCAGAGGAGGTGGATTCAGAGATGACCATTTTGGTGGAAGCAGAGATGCGCCTCCCCCACCTCCTCCACGAGAACATGGTGATACGTACCGAGACGATGGCCCTGATCTCTTTAGTGATGGAGCCTGGAGTGGAGGTCGTTCGACCTGGCAGGATCCTCCTCTTCGAAAAGACTCCTACTCGGGTGATAAGCCCTGGGATCGACTGTCTTCTCGCTACGACAATCGACCTGATGATACACCGCCTCGCCAACAGCGTTCAACAGGAGGAAGACGACCTGGAGCGGACAACAAGGACTGGCCGGATAGATCTCGAGGCGACAGATCGTGGCAGAACAGCAGCAGCAACGCGCCATGGCAACAAAACAAGGGTCGAGATGACAGAAGAGACGGTTCAAGCTATAGACCAGACAGTGATCGATACGACAGGGATAGAGACATCAGGGATCGGGACAACAGGGGTAGAGACAGCGGGGATGGACGGGGTAACAGAGAAAATAGAGACAGAGAAACAACCCCTCTGTACCGTGATAGAAGAGTCTCTGGCCCACCACCTTCTCTTCCATCAACACCTTCTCGTGCGTCCTCTACAGGTCCTGTTCCCCCGTCTTCGGCTCCTCGACCAGGCCAGCGTCGACCTCTTCCCGACCAGGTCACTTTTGCATCACAGTCTGACAGCGGACCCACCTCCTCGGCTAAGCGGAAACGCAAGAAGGCAGGTGCCAGCACCACGGCACTCACAGACTCCAACATTCACAACCCCAACAACCCCAACTACATTGGGTACACAAAAAAGGAAGCTCGAGAACGCGAGCGCAAGAAGCAGGAGACTGAAGAATTGGACCCCAGCCGGTCGGGATCGGTGGGTGATATTTCTCTGGACAGCTCAAGTCTAGGAAACGGGGGAGGTGCATCGAGTGAGGCGTCTGTGGCTTCACGTGACGGAAGCAGAGATGGACGAAAACGGCTCAACCCTACGTTCAGTGATTCTTCCGAGTCTCGAAGCCGGTCTGACTTTCAAAATAAGAGACCGAAACGAGAAGCTTCTACAGGACCGCAGTTTGATGATGACGTACCCTGTTATGGTGATGATGAACCTGGTGAGCCTGTTGTTGCAACCACTCCTGTGGACACAACAAAGCCACGAGTCACCCAACATACCCTTACCAGCAGTATCTTCGAACGTGTTACACAAGTGGGAGAAGGTACGTATGGTAAGGTGTACAAGGCTGTCAACCAGGTCAGTGGTACCACCTCAGCTCTCAAGCGGCTGCGTCTGGAAACTGAGCGTGAAGGATTTCCAGTCACAGCTCTTCGAGAAATCAAGCTGCTACAATCTCTTCGCCATGACAATATCATTTCTCTCAAGGAGATGATGGTGGAGGAGAATGGCGTATTTATGATTTTTGGCTACATGAGTCATGATCTGAGTGGTATTCTTGCTCAGCCCAACGTGAGGCTTGAAGAGGGACACATCAAATTCTTGTTTCATCAAATTCTGTCTGGCTTGACATACATTCATCAGCGAGGAATTTTGCATCGTGATATCAAGGGTTCGAATATTCTGGTGGATGGAGATGGAAACCTCAAGCTAGCTGATTTCGGTTTGTCTCGAACCATCGACCCTTCCAACAAGAGAGCCCGATACTCAAACCGAGTCATCACTCTATGGTACAGACCTCCCGAGCTTCTTTTTGGGGCTACTCTCTACGATGGAGCAGTGGACAACTGGGGGGCTGGATGTCTGCTGGTCGAGCTGTACTCTCGACTGGCTGTGTTCCGAGGAGCAGACGAAATTAACCAACTGGATTGCATTTTCGACATCATGGGTACCCCAACCAACGAGTACTGGCCTGATCTGGAGTCGTTGCCGTGGTTTGAGATGCTCAAGTTCAACTACAAGAAGCCCAGCAAGTTCCTGCAGATGTATGACCAGGTTTGCAGTAAACCTGCTCTAAAGCTTGCGTCCAAGCTGCTGGAAATGAACCCCGCATACCGGATGACATCACAGGAGGCCATGAATAGCGACTACTTCAACGTGGAGCCCAAGGCTGAGCGCCCTCTTGTTCTGAGAGAGCTGGTGGGCGAGTGGCACGAGTTTGATGCAAAGAAGCTGCGACGAGCTAAACGAAAAGAGGAGGATCTTCGTCGAGGCAAGGAGCGTCGAGAACGAAAAGAGGCGGAGGCTAGGGCTAAAGCCGAGGGACGGCCTGAGGAAAAGCCTGAAGGATTGGCCACCGGCGGGGGACTTGCTGTTGGTACTTCCGGTCAAGAGAAAGTGACTGCGGAAAACACTACCGAGGCTAACGCCGAACCTCCGTCTGCTCCGGGTTCTTCCCGGGAACCTACTTGTACCACGGCGCCTCCCAGTGTGCACCCCTCCACAACAGACACAGACACGGCATGATAAGAATTGATCATACCAAGATAATACAAGTTTCGTGCTGTACAGCATGTATGTACTGTACGACACGTCCATCATATAAATTAATCAATCTATGCATTATTTACTACTCCATAACTGTTTTGTTGCGTACAATGTACTGTATGCACTGTACCGGTCATTTGGAGAGCGTCAACCAATCGTCACCAAACTCGTCAAAATCAAATTTTGGCCTGGTTCTTGGTCCAGATTGCTCGACCGGCTCGGGATCCGTTGGGTCGACCGAGCTCCTTGGAAATCCACTCGCCAGTTTCAGCCAGTAGATCCAGGTTGACACCAGTGTCGTAGCCACTTCCATGCAGGGCATAGACCACATCTTCAGTGGCAACATTGCCAGTAGCTCCCTTTGCGTAGGGACAGCCTCCAAGACCAGCTACAGAGGCGTCAACCACACGAACCCCCATATCGACTGCCTTCATGACGTTGGCAACACCCTGGCCGTAAGTGTCGTGGGCGTGAATAGCCAGCATCTCAGCGGGCACCCGTCGCATCACCTGATCCAACATCATCTCAATGGTTCCGGGAGTTCCAACACCGATAGTGTCACCTAGAGATACCTCGTAACATCCCAGATCAATGAGTCTCTGAGCTAGCTCTGCCACACGTGCGGGTTCTGTGGGACCGTCATAGGGACATCCAATGACGGTAGACAGGTAGCCTCGGACCTTGACTGGGTGGCCAGCGTTACGGGCCAGTTTCAGAACTTCCTCGAATCGCTCAAAGCTCTCATCAACAGTGCAGTTTGTATTCTTTTTAGCGAAGCCATCGGAAGAAGCAGCAAAGATGGCCACCTCCTTGGCTCCGAGCTCCAATGCCTTCTGCATGCCCTTGGCATTAGGGGTCAGCACTGGGAAGTCGACAGTGGTTCCTCCATGGGTCTGGTTGCAGTGTTTCAGAATGGCTTCATTATCTGCCATGGCAGGGACCCACTTGGGCGACACAAACGAGGTCACCTCCACAGTCTGAAGGCCGGTAGCTACCAGCCGGTCAATCAGAGAAGTCTTAGTTTCGGTGGAAGGGATCTTCTTTTCGTTTTGAAGACCGTCTCGAGGCGCAACCTCGACGATTCGAACAAACGCGTTGGAGTGGTGCTGGAGACGGGCAAGTGTTCTTCGCATTGTGTGTTTAGCAGTCGTTAGGATCGATAGTCTGAATCATCTTGCAAACAGGATCGGCTATCGAATTTATACTTTGAATTCTGTGGGTCACCTTCGGCGCACTGTCGGAGTATGTGAAGTGTCGCTGGGTCCGGAACCTTATTCGACTGCTCTCTATAATGAAGCAAGCAGATACACTGATATCTGGAGAGCGCAAGCCATTATTATATATTTACCGTACAAAAGTCGGCTTTATGAAGGTTCTAGAACAGTCTTGTCTCGGCTAGGCAGAACCCAGGCTGCAAAACAGCCAGTATTAGTGAGTACAAACTGTACGAGTAAATACAATAACCGCCTGCACGTGCTGTATTTTGCTCAGTCGTCTATTAAATGATAATTTACAATGCATTTATAACACCTTCTAAACCTCCTCCTCCAGCTTGGCAAGAGCCTCCTGGTATCCGTCGTTATGGGAACTGTTGATATGAGTGGCATCCACCTCCTGGGTTCGACCCACAAACTCGCCAATCTCCCGGAACCACTTGGCTTCTCCAGAGCCAGTGAGGAAGGTGTATGCGTTACCTTCTCTGCCTGCTCGGGCAGTTCGACCCACTCGATGCACATACTCTCGCTTTCCACTAGGGATATCGTAGTTGATCACATTATCCACCACGAAATCGATACCTCGAGAAACCAAATCGGTACAGACCAGAAAGTCGATCTTGCCATCAATAAACTGCTTCATGGACCGTCGTCGGTGCACAGAAGAAGTCTCGGCAGAAACAGCCGCTATCTTCCAATCCTTGTGGAAAATGTCCGCGTCCATAATCTCCATCATGCGAGCCACACGAGCAGCAGTTTCGGAACTCTTAGTGAACACCACGCCTCTGTTGATATCTCTCTGCACTAGCAGCTCGCACAGCATAAGAGGCTTCTCGGCAGCAGACACGTGGGTGACAATCTCTGTAAGACTCTTGGGAATAGAGTAGCTGTCAGAACTACCAATGACAAAAACGCCAGGATTGTGGATGTCCATGGATGCAATGTGTTCGGGGTTGGCTGTGAGGGTGGCTGAGAAAATAAGTGTTTGCATGTTTCGAACGTAGTGCTCAGTGAGGTTGGTCTTACCAGCCTGGGCCCGCTGCTGGTTGTTCTGCAACACAGAGGCCCAGTCGTAGTAGTCCTGGCCAAGCAGACGATCGGCCTCGTCAACCACCAGAAATTCGATGTAAGAGAAGAGCTCGGGGTTCTCCTTCACTTGCTCCACAAGTCGACCAGGGGCTGCCACAACGATATCGGCAGTCTCCAGAACAGCCCGTTCACGTTTGGTGCTTCGGTCGTTTCGAAGAGCCACAACAGACAAAGAAGATCCCTTGGATAGGTTTTCAAGCACGTCTCGGACTTGCATGACCAGGGGCTTTGTAGGGAGTACAACCACAGCTCTGATTCGAGGAACAATACGGTCTCGGAGCTTCTCGATAATGGGGATTCCGTAAGTGGCGGTCTTACCGGAACCGGTGGATGCAGAAACAAGAAGATCGGGCTTTCGATCGGGGGCAAGGAGCTTTTGCTGGGCCAGAAGCCAAGGAATGACTGCCTTCTGCACAGAAAATGCCTTTGTGTATCCTAAAGTGTCCAGGTTCTTCATCATATTTTTGCTCAGATCAAACTCATCAAATGATCCAACATCGTCAATTTCCACATAAGTAGCATTTCGCAAAATGGGCTGTGTCTGAAGTTGGGTCTTTCGAGAGATGGTTGCACTCTCATCGGGTTTATCCTCATAGATTTCAGTCTGGGGAAGCTCCTCGAAGCCCTTAGCTCGAATGGTTCCCTTAGCAAGCTTGATTTTGTTGTTGCCAGAAATCTTGATAGGCGCCAGATCATCTTCACTATCAGAGTCCTCCTCGCCCATATGCTGTTCTCGCTTTCGCTTTCGCTCTAGAGCCTTTTCCTCCGCTCGCTTGGCCAGGTTGGCGGCTTCCTGCTTCTTCTTTCGCTTCTGGTCGGCTGTAAGGTTCTCATCTTCGCTCTCCTCCTCGTCCTTGACCTCCACGGGCTTCTTGGCCTCCTCAGCCTCATCCATGGAGTCGTCCCCAGACTCCTCCTCATATTCCACCTCAGAGTGCTCGTCAGCATTGGTTTCAGGCTTGCTTTCCTCCTCCTCGTGTTTGACCTTCTTGAATGGTACAGGCGACGCCTGTCCGCCCTGGGTAGGGTCAAATCGACGAACTCCAGTGAACATGGTGATGTGTGTTTCGTGGTGTGCTGCAGGCTCGAAATAAATTTATTTGTATGTAGGCCTAAGATTTTCATGCACGAGTATCAAATAGAGTTTAGGTGTAGTAAGCGTTTTTACATCACCCTTTTTGCACTTCAGACCACTCCGAAAATGCTGCCAACACGGGTTCTTTGTCGTTCCGCCTGGAAATGTGAGTATTTCATTTGGTGAACCGAGTGCAGGGAAGAAGATTTTTGCCACTCGTTTTCACCATACTCGCGTGATTCGCCTGTACTTCGTTGCAATACGAGTGACACCACAGGCACAAAGGTATTGGCGATTGTCAAACCGGAAATTGATTGGTTGGACCGGGTGATAACACGGGCCAGTCAGGTTGTTGCCTCTCGATTCGTCGTCAGAACACCTCTCAGCTCTCGCGACTACGCACAGAATCTGCTAGTTGTTCTCCATTGACCAGATCAACACATCGCCAAATCAAGACATGACACACATCCTCCAAAGCTAACACAGGCCCTCACATTGTCCCTATCGACCTGAAGCCATGGGCTACAAAGAAGCAGCCTATCCAGACCGATAAGCGAGCCGCAACCATCATCCCCCAGTTTGTTGGTGTGACCTTCCACGTCCACAACGGTAAGGAGTACGTTCCTGTCAACGTCACCCAGGATATGGTCGGAACCAAGCTTGGCGAGTACGCTTACACTCGAAAGCCCTTCCGATACCGACAGACCAAGAACTAATTTGTATATAGCCAAGATTCATGCCTCAGAAGCTGTACATACTGTACTGTAGCTTTACAGTGCCTGAAGAGCCACCTGACTTCACCTACAAGTAGCTATTCACATGGTGATACGCTAAAGTCTTTGTATCTATCCATAGATACAGCGACTTTTTCCACCCAATACGTAAGATGGGAATTTTGAGCCAGGATAATAAATCTCGCATCTTGGCTCTAAGAGTAATTGAACTTTTAGTTAGATTTTTAGTTGATACCGTAAAACATTAGTGGAACTTATCGGTGGGGGTAGTATGTACACTACACATCCACTGAATACTCGTGCTACATTCTTCAAGTCACATTGCCAAAGTTACTGTTTATAAATATACATGCCTACATTCGATTTCCACGGGAGTCGACATTTTTGAGTCGGTATTCTCGTAGCTCGCCGGTTCGGTCCACCTGCGAGCCATTGCCCCATCCTCTTAGACGGATAACCATGCAAGTGGCATTGTCCGAGCCACCCAAAGCCGCTGCGTACTCAACCACCTCCTGGGCAGCCTGCTGTGGCGATCCTCGTCCAGAACCGCTACTGTTGGCGGTAATGGTTACCAGGTCCACGATCTCTTGATCAGACACGTCGCCAGAAACTCCGTCGGAAACCAGCACCAGGAACTGTTCGTCCTGGAGTGCAACCTCTCGCACGTCGGGCTCGGCACTCACACCCTTGGCCTTCATAAGTGTGTCTCCAAAGGCTCGGGTGTTGGCAAAGACACCGAACCGCTCCTCGCCGAAGGAGTCCATGAAGAATGAAGATGCAAATCGACGCAGACGATCGGCCTCGGTGGGAGCGCTGGGATGGTGGTCGATGGTAAGAGGTGTGGCCTCTCCTTTGGCATCACAGATGATGCATCGAGTGTCTCCGACATGGGCCACTACTAGAGAGAGGTCGTTCTCTGGGTCAAACATGTTATCCTCAGCCCCCGGCGGTAGGGGACCGGCCTCTGAATGGGCCACATGGCGACAATACAAGAACACCGATGTGCATGTACTTCCTCCTTTACCTTCAAAATCGTAGTCGGCCTCCAGGAACGCCAACGGTAGTCGTAACTGGAAGTCGTCGTAGGGGCTCATTCTACCCCGGTATTTGTCCATCTGCTTCCATCGGCGCCAGTAGCCTCCAAACCGCTCCTTGTACTTGGTGGTAATGTCGTCGGCGTCGTTGAGGTCAGCCTTCTCGACATAGGTGGCCAGTTTGTCCTTAAGAAACTCGGAGCACTCGTCGGATCCGTGGCCATCGTAGACGGCAAAGTTGAAGACCTGACGCTCGGCAGACATGCCCTTTCGCAGAGATCGAGGCGCAAAAGTGCTGCCTCGAGGTAGTTTCAATACGGAGGCGCTGTAGCGGTCTTCGTTGTAGGGTCTGTTGACTCGGCTTGTGTAGTGTCCAATGAAGCCCGGAAGCGAAAGCAGGTTTATGCGGCCCGCCACGTCGCCCTGGCGATAGTGAAAGTAGTTGCTGACGTGTCTCGAGAATATACGGGGCAATGGCGCCCCAATTGTGGCTCCTCGTCGAGGCACCATTGTATGGATAGATGTTTAGGACAGGTCCCAACGAAGTTAAACAATCCCCGCATGGGCCAAGACGGAGGTGAAACCCTCAATATTAGCAAGCCTTAGGGGGTACATGGGGTCTTGTTGGGCGGGGCAAAAGGGTTTTTGAGCGGTATTTCTGTCCACTATGAAGTGAAGCCGTCATATCCCCCTGGTTACATCCCCTCGTGTAGCTATAGCTGTGTACTTGATATATGTTCCTGCACATTTTTCCGACATTAACAGCAAACCATATCCTCAAATTTGTATGACAAGCAACGGATAAACCCAACCTCCATGCCCACACGTTGAGTCAACTGAGTCACGCTTACAGAGCTCCACGAAAATGAACCCATGGAGCTGACTAATGAAAAATGGCTTAACTTTGGGGCTGTCATAACCACCAAACATTGGACAGGAGGGAGAAAAAAAATACATCTATTGACTAAAACATGCGAAAACCGCTGACCCACAAGCGTCACGCATACATATGTTATATTTAATGTTTAGTCGCGTGAGGGTGGATCAGCTCATCTCGGCCCTTGGATCCTCCTTCAAGACTCCAGTTCTAAAGTCCTCCAGCATCGCGTAATGCATTAATACGAACGCCGAGTATCACTCTAAGCAGCGTACTTTTTGACCTGCTCGGCCACCCGCTTATCGTACTCCTCCTTGTTCTTCTGGAAGGCGGCAAATGCATCGTTCTGGGCGGGAGAGTGGGGGTTGGGGTTGTTCATGAGCTCCTGGATACCCATGACAATCTCAGACAGCGTGATGGAAGGTCGCCAGTCCTCCTCCTCGTTCAGAATTGACAGACAGACGGTGCCCGAGGGGTAGACGTTGGGGTGATAGAACCCAGCATCAAATCGGCATCGTGGGGGTTTGGTCGGGTAGTCTTTGGGGAAGGTGATGAGCATGGGGTATGTGGCACCGGCCCAGGCGGTTCCTTCCTTTCCGGGGATGCCGGCGTTCCAGTTAGTGAGATCCAGGTTTCCGTTCTGGTCCTTGGCGGGCTTAGCAAAGAAGCCAAACGGATGTGACTTTCGCCAGGTTTTCCTGAGTTAGTTAAAACGGGGCGTCTAGGTGAATAAAGATTGGTCTTTGTAACTCACCGCTCTTCCATGAGTCGCTTCTGCATCAACGAGTCTTCCGACATTTTTGCTGGTTGTGTCTTGTGTGTGGTGTGTGTGGAGAATGCGATGTGATGATGTCTCCTAAAGAGGTTTTGTTTGTGGCCGACTATCTCCATAGTAACGTAGCTAACTTTCAGCACTCGGTTCGAGTCCTATGTGGGTATGGAAGTGAGGTGTTTTTATTATTCACGTGGGAGAGTCCAATCATAGAATTATTTACTTCATTTGGCGTATATTCTACGGAAAACCTACGCCCAAGATATTTGTTGGTGGTTTGGCTGGATTACTGACTTTCAATATTACTAAGCGTCAAGCCTCTCCCAGAAGGATCTACACCTATCAGAGCTCATTTAATGAAGATGTGGAACAAGTACGAGTACAAAAAATTGTCCTAACTAAGAGACCTTCTTGAAGCATCTTTTTCATTCATGATCCTTTGCATTCCGAGACCCCCTTGTTCCAAAGACACAAATTTGCACACTCAAGGGCCCTCTTTCTACAGCGAGACAGCTTGACTGACACTTGCCCCACGCCCCTAACCCGTACCCCACACACACGTTTGTGCCAAAAAATAGAAGCCAGAAGAGGAGGAAGTGGAGGAAGAATTTTCCATTGAATATTCCGTGGTATTAATTACCACTACTTCATTAATTACACCTGTCTCACCTCCTTGGTCCAAATCTAACCACTCAGACGGCTGATGATCATAGACTCCCCCTGCACACCCCACCTTGTGAAAGAAACTAAGTTGACCAACACCTTGATTTCCATCGTGTTCGCTTCTTAACCACACCCCCACACAGTTCACACCCACAAAAACAATGTCACACGAAGAAGATCTTGATGACCTCGATGACTTTCTCGACGAGTTCGACGAGCAGGTGCTGAGCAAGCCTCCTGGAGCTCAGAAGGATGCTACCCCTACTACATCTACTGCTCCTACCACTGCCGAGGCTAAGCCTGATGCCACTAAGAAGAGCACCGAAACTTCCGGGACCGATTCAAAGACTGAGGGAGCCGATACTGCTGACAAGAATGCGGCCACTGACTCTGCGGAGGCCGGTGCGGAGAAGGTTTCTCTGCCCAACCTCGAGGATCAGCTCGCTGGGCTCAAGATGGACGACTTCCTTAAGGACATCGAGGCAGACCCCGAGTCCAAGGCCCAGTTTGAGTCTCTGCTCAAGGAGATCAACAACGTTACCAGCGCCACCGCATCCGAAAAGGCCCAGCAGCCCAAGTCATTCAAAGAGACCATTTCCGCCACTGCTGACCGTTTGAACCAGAGTAACCAGGAGATGGGGGACATGCCCCTTGGTGACGACATGCTCGCTGGCCTCATGGAGCAGCTGTCGGGTGCTGGAGGCTTTGGAGAGGGCGGGGAAGGCGACTTTGGAGATATGTTAGGAGGAATCATGCGTCAGCTGGCCTCCAAGGAGGTTCTGTACCAGCCGTTGAAGGAGATGCACGACAACTACCCTAAGTGGTGGGACGAGCACGGATCCAAGGTGACCGAGGAGAAGGAGCGAGACCGACTTAAGCTGCAGCAGGACATTGTTGGCAAAATCTGTGCCAAGTTTGAGGACCCCTCTTACTCTGACGACTCCGAAGCCGACCGAGCCGTCATCACCCAGCTGATGGACGAGATGCAGGAGACCGGTGCTCCTCCGGATGAGATCATGTCCAATGTTGCCGACGGTAGCATTCCTGGCGGTCTCGATGGTCTTGGACTGGGAGGTCTTGGTGGCGGTAAGATGCCCGAGATGCCCGAGAACATGCCCGAGTGCAACCAGCAGTAAGTGATAGATTATATAGGCGAGTGATGAAGGACACGAGACTGAGTCGTCTCAATTGATGTTTATATTTTATATCTACTGTAGCAACGAGACCGAAATGATTGTACCAGCAACGGTACACTAAGACAGTAGCCGCCTTGTTTAAGTAATAGGCTCACCGTTTTCTAATTAAGCAGAACAATATTTATTGTGCACACGAAGAAGTACAGTAGTGTGGGTGTGTAAATGTGTGTTGCTTCAGAGGTAAAGCCAATCCTCCGACAATAGCCAATATCTTCATTGTATCTGCCCTTTCAACTTCAAGCGCTGTGTTCACAGACTCATATGATAATATCTTGTGTGTCTCTTTGCCATGCCGTAGACACAACTCAAATGTCCCACTACACCCAGATACGTTATCAACCTTAGCTTCGTATAATCACGACGACACCATGGGTGAGTATCAAGGGACACCGACAAATTGAATCAGACCCATAAACAACATCGCCAATGCCACGTTTGCCCCTCTAACACAGACAAGGATATTCATAAGGGATTATCCGACCGGCTGTACGACAAGCGAAAGGCTGCAGCCCTGGAGCTGGAGCGCGTCATTCGAAAGAGTCTGGCCGATGAAGACCGAGACCGAATTCGAGCAATTCTCGATACCCTTTGTCGAGAGTTTGCCTACGCGGTCCACCACCCCAACGCCCGAAACGGAGGTCTGATTGGTCTCGCAGCTGCTACGATTGCTCTGGGCCAGGTCGAAGTGGCTACCTACCTCGATGACATTATTCATCCTGTTCTGGCTTGTTTTGGAGATCAGGACGCAAGAGTGCGCTACTTTGCCTGTGAATCCATGTACAACATTGCCAAGGTGGCCAAGGGCGAGATTCTCATCTACTTCAACGAAATCTTCGACGTGCTGTGTAGACTAAGTGCCGACTCGGACCAGAGCGTGCGGTCTGGAGCAGAGTTGCTCGACCGGCTCGTCAAGGACATTGTGTCTGAAAAGGCAGCCACTTACGTGTCTCTGATCAACCCCAACCGTTCCAGAGTACCTGATCTGGCCCCCAACCCGGACCCCACAAAACCCACGATTGCTGCAGATACCCTACCTGCATCGCCTCTGGTGACTGAGGGTGACAAGGTACCCGCCTTCTCACTCGCCAAGTTCATTCCGCTGCTTCAGGAGCGAATCTACGTCATTGATCCGTCTACTAGAATGTTTCTGGTGCTTTGGATTGGTGTACTAGACTCCATTCCAGACCTTGAACTGGTCACTTACCTGCCAAACTTCCTGGCTGGCTTTATGCTTTTCCTCTCAGATCCTTCCAAGGAGGTACGAAATGCCTCCAAGAACGTCTTGGATGGGTTTCTGCAGGAAATCAAACGTATCCACGACATCAAAGAGACCCTGGCCGCCCAGAGGGCTATCCGAAAGAGCGACGATAAGTCAGACAACTCTCCCCTTGAGGAAGACATGTACATCCCCGGACAAGACACTGTCATTGACTATCCCCGAATCGTTGAGACGTTGCTGACCCACCTCACATCCGATCCCGACATCCAGATCGCCGTGCTTATCTGGATCGAATCGTTACTGGATATTTCGCCAATGTCTCTTCTTCAGTATGCACCCAAACTGCTGTCTGTTCTCTTGCCCACTATGGCCAATGATGACGTCGATCTCAAGAGTGAAGCGGAGCGAGTCAACGCAAAACTGCAGAAGCTGATTCTGTCTCTCGATGACGACGCGAACATTGATTACTCGGCAATGGTCAACGCTCTGACTCTCCATTTCCTTAATGAACAAGAACAGACCCGTGAAGCTGCTCTTGAATGGCTTATTATGCTGCACAGAAAGGCCCCCACAAAGACTCTCAATGATGGTACTTTCCCCGCCCTGCTCAAGACTCTCTCTGACCCAAGTGAGCTTGTCATCACCAAAGATTTGCAGCTGTTAGCCCAGATTTCCCATTCTTCGGACGACAGTTATTTTTCTTTTTTCATGACCAACCTGGTTCAGCTGTTTTCCACCGACAGACGGCTGCTAGAAACCCGAGGCAATCTCATCATCCGCCAGCTGTGTGTTTCTCTCAACCCTGAGCGCATCTACCGTGCTCTGGCTGAAATTCTAGAGAAGGATGAAGATAAGGAATTTGCCTGTATCATGGTTCAGAATCTCGGAAGCAACCTCATCATAGCTCCTGAAATGGCAGAGCTGCGACAACGACTGCGAAAAGCAGCAGCCTCCGACACGCTCTTCATCACTCTGTTCAAGTGCTGGTGTCATGACGCAGTGTCTGCATTCTCTCTGTGTCTTCTCGCACAGGCTTATGAGCAAGCGTACACACTTCTCCAGCTGCTGGCTGAGTTCGACATTACGGTCAATCTCCTTGTTCAGATCGACAAGCTGATTCTGTTGCTGGAGTCGCCCGTATTCACTCATCTGCGTCTACAGCTTCTGGAGCCGGATAGATACCCTTATCTCTACAAGTGTCTGTATGGTCTGCTTATGATTCTTCCTCAGAGCACGGCCTTTAACACTCTACATAACCGGCTCAACAGTGTTTCCTCGCTGCAGGCATCGTCCCGGCCTTCTCAGACCATGCAATCGTCTTCTAGAAACGACATCAAGTGGAATGAATTGATGGACACCTTCAAACAAGTGCAGTTGGCCCACCAGAAGCTCAGACGAGAGTCCATGTCTGAGAAGTTTGTGGAGACGACTTCTTCGCCTGTTATTGTGTGTGATCACTTTGAGGGCCCTGCAGAGACTTCCTCGCCAGTAGAGAACAAGAAGAAGGGGGGCGACAAGAAGTTTGGTAAGCTGTTGAGAAGCGTTGACAGAAAGAGAAATTGAATATATTTATATGGTTGGATTTCAAAGGTCAGTGTACGCTGCCGGGTACAGTATGTACATGTACTCGTATGTACACTGTACATACTAGTACACCACCTGGTTTAACACAGGGCTGCTACAGTAGACACGAGGATGTAGAAGGTGTCATACAGTGTACGTGTGGATACTACTTTACTCGATTATGGGCAGATTTCTCGTAAAATATCACTTCAAATTTCGACTTCAAATCATCTCTTCCAGTTAAGTAACGATTGGTCAGTAGGTACTACAGTAGTCACCACACATTGGTAAATACATCATATCATAATCATTAATTTAGTTTGAGGTTAGCACGTCGGGAAGATCGTCGAGGTTGTCTTTTAGGAGGACTGGGAGCAGACTTGCGGCTACGAGCCGCTGATCTCTTGGCCTTGGCCTTGGGAGCCGGCTTAGTCACCTTATTGGCAGACTTTGCCTTTGGTGGTCGGCCACGTCGTTTGGGAAGCACAGGAGTTGGTTCGATTTCCTCTTCCTCTTCCTCTTCTTCCTCGTCGTCGTTCTCAGGCTCAGCAATCTCCTCCTGCTCCACCTTCTCCTCCTGCTCCTGCTCTTCCTCCTCGGGCTCAGACTCGGCAATCTCCAGGTGAGCTTCATCGGCTAGAAGCTCGACTTTGGGGGTGACGTACTCCTCGGGGATGGGCTCGGGTTCGAGTGACCTGAGTCGTCTAGACCGTCTGGGAGACTCCGTGTAGTTTCGAGTTCGCCGACGACGTGTAGGAGGAGGAGTAGAAGGCTCGGGGACAGATTCTTCCTTGTACTCCTCCACATATTCCTCTTCTTCGCTCTCGGTCTCCACATGGGCAACTTCTTCCTCAGATTCAGCTTCAGCCTCAGATGCGGCATCGATCTCGACTCCAGCCTCAGGCTCATCCTCGGCCTCGGTATCAGATTCGGCCTCGACTCCAACTTCCTGGTCTTCATCGTCCTTCTCCACCACCTCCTCCTCCTCCTCCTCCTCCTCAGAAACAGCCACCTCACCATCGTCACTGCTGATGTCAACAACGACTGGGACAGCTGCGACCTCTGCTTCCTCTTCGACATCACTCTCCTCCTCCTCCTCTTCATCGTCTTCTTCTTCTTCTTCGTCTTCTTCTTCTTCTTCTTCGTCTTCTTCTTCTTCTTCTTCCTCCTCCTCAGCCTCCTCAGGATCGGTGCCAGCTTCGTAGGTATTGAAGTCGATTGTGACGTGTCCACGCATTTCCACATCAGCCTCTTCCTCCTCAGATTCAGCCTCGGCTTCAACTTCAGAATCAGACTCGGCTTCGACTTGGGCACTTTCCCGAGAAACTTCAATTGCAGCCGCCTTCTCCTCCTCCTCCTCCTCCTCCTCATTGGCAATTGCAACAGGATGAACATCTTCGATCTCGGCTTCTTCGGCCTCCACATCGTTGTTATCGCCATCAGCAATTTCCTCATCATCCTCCATCACCTCGGAAGCGTCGTGAAACTCCTCAGGGGATCCAGAAACATCTAAATCAGCACCCTCAAGAACCTCAACAAACTGAGCAGCCTTGTCAGCAACATCATGGATACCATCAACAACGTTCTCCACGACGTTTTCGACCATTTCGCCAACCTTCTCGAAAATAGATCGGTCGCCGGCCTCGTCCACTTCGGCCTCCTCGCCGAGGTCCATCTCAACGTCCTCCTGCTCCTCCACGTCCTGCTCCTCCACGTCCTGCTCCTCAGCCTCCTCCTTCTCAGGCTCATCTTGTTCAGGCTCATGTTCAGACTCCTGTTCAACCTCAGTTGTGACCACAGCGTCAACATCAACAGAGGCATCACCGTCAACCTCTTCAGGCTGCTCGACAGCGTGAACAACAAACTCTTCTAGGGGGAAGACGCTCACCTCCTCGGCTTCCTCCAGAAGGGTCAGCTCGGAATGGGGAAGGGCCCGAAGAGCAGCTGTCACTCGATTGGTAACATCCTCGAGAATCATATCGTGTTCTGAAGCAATAGTCTCGTCGTCGTCGTTTTCGTCATGCTCGTGGAAAAGGTAAGAAGACACCTGAGTATCTCCAAGCTTGACGGTCAACTCCATGACACAGAGGGTATCGCTGTCATATAGGGTAGAAAGGATCATCTCAGCAGGAATCTCAACGGGCTCGTCAACAACGTGCACAATCATGTCCTCGTCGAGCTGAACATCTCGAACCTCTTCATCTTCCGCCTCTTCAACAAGAGACTCATCATGCTCGACATGAGGAATGCCACGGAGAGCAGAAGACAGCAGGTACGACACCTCCTCGGTAATAATGGTGTGTTCAGTCTCGAGCTCCTCGGCATCCTGGTCCTCGTCGTGTTCATGGATGAAATAGGCAGAGACCTCGCCATCGTCTGTCTCTACCTTGAGCTCCATAACACAGAAGTCAGAATTCTCGTATAGGGTGGAGATGACCTCAGGCTCAGCGGCTTCAGCCCCGGTCTCAAGAGCATGGTCATTCTCTTCCACGATCTCTACAACATCATCATCGGAAATAACAACGTCTTCAGTGGCTTCAGCACCGCCCTCAATCTCAGCATCGACCTCAATGACATCCTCTTCGGCAGCATTAACCGCCTCAGGAATATCTTCAGTCTCAGCCTCGGCGTCCTTCTCCTCATCCTCACCCTCATTCACAGCCTCCGCGTCCTTCTCCTCATCCTCATCCCCATTCTCATCCACATCAATCATCGAACTCTCAGCACGCTCCTGTTCCAGCTTCTGACGCTTCACCTTTTCTTCCTCAGCTAACTTGGTGTTGGCCTCAAGAATGTCAGCCGGGAACCCTCGCTTGCGGAACAAGTTCTCTCGGATCGAAGAAATGCTCTCTGAGACGTTGCTAGATGACTCATCCCAAGACCGCTTCTTGGAAACCTCTGCAGTAGATGTCTCCTCAGAAACAGGAGACTGAGAGAAAGAAGAGCCGAAGGCAAAGTTGAGGGAGAAAGTGGGAGGGACAGGGGTACTAGAAGCCCACACATCCTTCACCTCGTCAAGGGTTTGAGCCTGGGAGTATGAAAACGTGGCGGGGTTCAGAGTAACAGAGGGAACATCAGCAACTGCCGTCTCTTCGGAGGCTGTCTCAGGGGAATCCCTGGAAGGAGCTGTCTCAGGAACTTTCTCAGGAACTGTCTCAACCTTGATGTCTGTCTCCTCCTCATCAAGATCCATGGGTTCAGTCTCGGTCATGGGCTCGACTTCAGCTTGAATCTCCTCATTCACCTCAATTAGCGCAGGCTCGTGCTTCGTCTCCAGCTCGTGATAGATGTGCTCTTCGTCTTCCTCCCTCTCGACCGCAAGTCCAAGAGAAGGATCAATATGCATCTCCTCCTGATCCTCCAGATCATGCACATCCTCCACGTACTCGACTTCTGGCTGAAAATGAACACGTCCTGGCTCCTCGTCCTCGCTCAGGATCTCAATGCTCTCTTCAACTTCAACCTCAACCTCAACCTCAACTCCAACGCCAGCAGGCTCACTGGAAACCACTTGGTCTTCGTACATGTGCATGGGACGAGAATACTCTTCATCAGAGACTTCATTGTTGGAGATGTTGGGGATGGCTGCCTGGGCAATACTCTGAGTCCAGTCAATACCAACCTCCTCTTCGAATCGGCTAGCATTCTCATCCCGCTGGTACTCCTGCACATCGAACCCTTCGTCATCGTCGTCCACAGGAACGCCCTCAGCTTCCACATCCTCCACACCAGCGTAGTCCTGTGTGATTCCGTCGACATCAACCACGTCAAGGTCCTTTTCGGTGTCAAATTGGCTCGTCTCACCGATATCCCTCTCCTCCTCGTAGTCAATATCATCCACCCTGTCAGGCACCCTCACTTCCTCCTCCTCCTCCTCAGCCTCCTCCATCTCCTCATCGTCGTCATACCCATCGTACTCGTCGTATCGGCCCTCGAAATCCTCCTCCTCTTCGTCGTCATCATCTCGAGAACCCATGTACGAACTGGGAGTAGATTTAGCGTAATTTGGTCGACTGGCATAGGACTCCTGCTGAACCCTGATCATATCTTCAAACTGTTTGTCGCGAGAAGCATACTGAGGCATTTGCAGGTACTGGTGATTGACCTGATCTTCCTCCTCATCCTCCAGTTCCTCTTCTTCCTCTTCGTCCTCTTCGTCCTCCCCATGCCCCTCCTGCTGAGGTTCTTCCTCTTCATCATCAGAATCAATGATCATGACACAATCATCGTCATCTGGTTGCTGCTGAGGGGGTTGAAACTGTGTATGTTCCTCGTAACGATGCACTTGATGATCCCGCATGCGCTGCAAGTGTGCATGCATCTCCTCTTCCATATCCTCTTCCCTAATCTCATCCTCATCCTCTGTGTACTCGTCAGCATGTCCATTGTCGGTGACTGAGAACGTGAAAGGCTCAGGGGACCCTTCGACAGCCACAGTCATTTCAGTGGCTTCGGTCTCCCTCTCTCTCTGCAATGCACCAGTGAGGTTCTGACGAGGAGAACTCATGAACATTGTCTGCTGGTGGCCATTATTTGTATCACCCAGCACCTTTCCCAGCTGCTCAAACGCCGGGGAATTAATCTGAGCCGATCTGTCGGCCATTTCCTTCTCCCGCGCAATTCGCTGTTGTTCCAACTCTCGCTCTTCCTTCTCGGCAGCCTCTCTGTTTCGAGCCAGAGACTCGCGCGCCCGGTGCTTCACCGAGTCGATCCAAGAGGTCAGAGGGTCTTCGGGATCTCCGCTCACATGTTGATACGTGGCCGGAGGCAGCGACAGTCGAGAAGACCGCCGTCTGTTGCCCAAAGAAGAATACGATCTAGCAGGTCGTGGACCAAATGATTTTCGCGATGCTGGTCGAGAATGTCGCGGAGAAGATCGGGGAGAGTAAGACGTAATGTGCTGGGGCACGGAACTTGGGGTTCGGAAAGATTGGTCAGGTGATTGTGTTGGTGTCGTGACATTGAGAATGGGGTTGTCGATTGGAGGTTTCATGCGCTGCGTCGTGGTTATGGGTGTAGAGACGGCTGGTGTAGGTAAGGGAGCAGCATCGGTAGCGGCGACCGGCAATCGGGACGCCTGCTCCGAGCTCGGTTGCTCGGCTTGTCTTTTTTTGCCAAATAACCAACTGAACATGGCTGCACTGGGTTGGTACTTGTATTTCGTAGGGCAAAATGTAGTCTATTCCACTATCACAGTGTGCTCAAAATCAGTGTGCTTGCTGCAGTGCGAAAACTCATCTAGCATTAGAGTTGCGTCATGTGATCGCGTTATGCCTAAATGGGGCTTTGGAGGTCCAGCCTACAATTGGAGAGGTGGTCAAAATGCGCTGAAACTCGCAATTCGATAACATGAATTTCCAAATTGATTAACTTGGATCACTGAATCAAATTAAATAGCCCTGACGCAATTCATCCATTTGTATTTGTTCGAATGTGTGCTTGCACCCACAGTGATCACTCGTACAAGGGCTCATCTCAGGTCAATGAACACTATGATACTGGGCTCTACACCTGGTGGGTTTATTATACGAGGGGGATATAACTGGAGGAAATGCTTCGTGCGTGCGTGGTTAGTTGGTCGCATTCGCCCAGCTTCTTGTCTCTTCTCAGTGTCTTGCTGATAGGACTCTCTCTCTCTCTTTCTCTCTCTCTCTCCACGGAGCTCATCTGTTACTCCAATTTAGGTTCAAACTTGTTACTGAATCGGGCAGGGCCGTTCCTGGTTGAGCTCCGTAGATCAGAGACATTTTGAAGGTGTGAAGAAAGTGCGATTACTGCTATATTAAGGGTTTCTGCAGTTGATTGGTGGAATTTATTTTGCCAAGTCCACTTGCTCGGGATCTTCAATCTTCTCAGAGGGCTTTTTGTGAGAAGTACGAATACTTTTTTTTTCTGCATATACATTCATTTATATACAGTATCAATATTTGTTGTGAAAATTAAGTAACCTTATTTCCTAGTTGAGAAACCAATAACAAAACATGAAAATCTGGTCAAGTATCGTAACATCATTTCAAAGGTTATTCTTTCACAGCAAAGTTATAATTAAATGAATGTATATGCAGAAGAAAAAAAATCGTAACTCCACGTTTGAGAGTGTTACAAAGATACAGCGAAGACGAAAAGATATATTGAAGGTTTATTTACTTGTATATTCATGGGTCAGCTGGGATGGGTGTTCAGAACCGGTCAGAGGTATTATCACTGCGGGCGGTTGGTTTATCCATTGTCCTCTGCCCACTTATCCTACAGTAACTGGCCAGATGCAAGCTCTTATTGGAGGGGATACTCTTTGTCATTAACACGGAATCAATGTCAAACCGTCTTTCGACATAGCCTCTCTTCTTCAGAGATTGTCTTTGCTGGGTACAGTATGTACGGTATCTCTGGTATAATCCGAGGTATCTGTCTATTGCTGCGAGCGTTTCAAACTGGCCTTAGGAGTCCAGAAGTATACGTCTTCTGATCAGGGACCATCTTTAGGTGGTTTTCCACGTTGGTCTCCTTCCCTGCGACATCAAACCGACGTACTGGCTGCCCTTTTGTTGAGCTGCTGTCTTGTGAGTATCCTTTTGTTGTTCTTGTCTTTGTGAACTCCCCTGCTGAATGTCTCTTTCGATAGTTATCCATCACCTTTAGCCCTACCCTCCGAAAGGGATCCCAGTTCCGTTCACAGCTTCAACTTTGGGCTGCGCGCTTCGATCAAAGTCATTGCGATGACCACTTGAGATTGTGCCGTTGCTCGTGGATATGAACAGAGATTCGTTGGCCGTTTACCGTTGAAATATGTGCCATTGTGGAGGCTGACTGATTCCCATACAGTACAGTACACCTTTTACCTTATTGAAATTCCAGGAATTGGAAGGTGCCTCTTTGAGGAAATATATCCAACAGAACCACGACATTCAACGAGCAGGCACCCAAGGGTCTGAGCACCTGATTCCAGCAAGAGTCTGTCTAAACCAGATCAATGGTATCGTTTGTCCAACTTACCCTTTCGTCAGCATCCATCGAATCGGGCTCAGTAGAATTTATTTATTTTTATTTTAAAAAAACATTCTATATCATTTGTTATTAGTCAGCAAGATACATCCTAAGAAATTAATAGTCTGTTTTAAGCCATTGCACTGACTCATACGTTGTACAAGAATCTTGGTCCACACTCTCTTTCAAACATGAAGAAATGGCAACTCTTGCCATTGTACTACAAGTAGTAATCATTTCCTCCAGTTTACTGTAGCTAATTGTTCTGCTCCATTGCACAGCCATTTACGTATGTACGTGTTCAAATAAGCGCATCTGAAGTTGAGACAGCCGAGAATGCTGAAAAGTTTGGATCCGGCTTGGTCAAGCTGTAATTGCAAAAGACATATGAAGGTTGCAAGACTGTATCGACTTTTTGAATGATATAGCTGCGAGCGATAACCCTCTATAGTACCCATCATTCACAAGTACAAGTACAAGTAGTTACAAGCCGCGTCACGAAACGAAGCTCTGCGCCATGCGTGTCCAGACTGTCTAAACAACCTCTCCTGCATGACAAAACTCCCACCACCGCATACTGTATCAAGACAACAACGCGATAGGCACCACGACGACCAACGATGGTAGCGGAGAAAAAGACACGGATCACCTACTTTGATCCGTTTGGTGTTTTCACGGGGAACCTCGAGGAGGGCCTGCGCAAACGGCTACCGCTCCAGAACCTCCATTGGAGCGCTCTCTCGGGCGACAAGCCTCTCAGATCGATCCCTAGGCTGGATGTGGAGCTGGTGGAGGATGTGGCACAGCATGGGGAGGCCGAGGCATCCAAGCCGCGGCTGCATCAGATGCAAGGTCTCTCGAATGAGCCCTACTTTGCCATCATGTTTGTGCGGTGTGATGACACCGAGACTTACAAGTCCAGTGTTCGGAAGGTGATTCGAGATTGGTTCAACAGAAGCGTCAGCCACCGCAGGGAGCCGATAGAATGGATGATTGTCAACTGGAAAAGCAACAAGTCGCGACCAAAGAGCTCGGTATTCGACAAGATCAAGTCCGACTTCAACACTGATAACAAGAAGGATAGATGCATTCAGGTCAGAGAGGACGCCAGTGCGGAGGATCTCATTGATTTTTGGGGCGACTTGATATCACGACTCAAGGAGGGAGTGCTGGATACTTTTTCCATGCGCGTGGACTCGTACGAAAAGGAAATTGCCAAGTTGGAGGCCCAGAAGAATGTGGTGGGATGGAACTATGGAGCCTTCTTTGTCGCCAAGGAGGGACTCGGTGTGTCGTTTGAAAATGTGGCACTGTATGATGACGCTCTGCAAGTCTATGATGAGCTGGAGGCCTCGTATCAGGAAATGTCGGCCAACAAAAACGTCACATTTGTCTCTAAGATTGGTTTCGAAAAGGTGGATGTCGGTATTTTGGAACCCCAGCATGAGACTGACATCAAGCTCGAGATTCTGGCCAACGAGGTGTCACTGTTCGATTTCAGATGCTACCTGTTTGGTCGGCAGGTAACCCAGCTGCTTCTGCAGTCTCGATCTGCTACTACTCCCTCTATTTCTGCATTGTTTATGAGTCAGGTTCTGTCTCGTGTGCTGTCATTCCAACGGGAGATCCGAACTCTGCTTTATAGCAACAAGAAGGATCCTCTGATGGTGGCTGACTGGGCATACCATGTGTCCAACGAGTTCCTTGAAGTGTCTGATACCATTGAGACTGAGGGACGAGAGATCAGCGAGGCCCGTGGAGAGCTGCTGTTTGCATGCAGAGAAATGCTACTGGCCCTGGCCGAAAACAGAGGCTGGTACCTGGTTACGGCCATGCGAGAAGTGTCTCTTAATGACGAACCCAAGAGCGAATATAAACCCACCGAACTCGTGGCTGCTCTGCTTTCCAATGAAGAGGAGTTTCTGGAGTCTTACCGAGAACTCACCGTCCAGATTGCGGAGGAATACCGACATGCTGGCCGAGAAAGATCCATAAAGGCTTTCACGTGTGATTTGGCCCTTTTGGACTTCCAGCAGGGTCGTTATGAGCAGGCTGTGACGCAGCTGAAGACTCTACCTTCTCTGTTTTCTACCCAGGGATGGGATGCTATGGCAGTGTCTGTCTTCAAATATTACACAAAGTGTCTGCAGGCTCTTGGACGAAAGGAAGAACTTCTAAATGCTGTTCTGCTGCTGGTCTCCCAGCGAGAGCTCATCACATCCCGCGAACTCGATGAGTACTTCAAAATTGCTCTTTCTCTACGAAGTGAGCAGCTCGAGTTTGACCTCACTGGCACTTTTGTAGTTGATCTGGCTAGTGGAGTGACGCATTCCAAGGAGGAGAATGACGACTCTGTGCTTCTCGAGGTCGCAATTAACTCCCCCTTGCCTAAAGCAGTGAAGGTTAGCCAGGTCTGTGTCACGTACTCATACGACCAAGACGGAGCAGCAGATAACAAGGTGATCAAATTCGAGAGTCTGGCGACCACCATTGCCCCAGGTGTGAACAAGCTGCAGCTCGAGACTAACCAGTTCACAGAGTATCCGTTGTACCCTCGAGAGCTTGTTATTTCCATCGATAAGCTGTCGCTGACTATCGACATCGTTTCTTCAGCTCCCTTGTACATGTCTTCTGGCCCCGGTAACATGAATGCTCGTATTTCTGTGCCTAGAGAGCTTCACTTGAACAGAAAGTGTGTCGCACTCACTGTCTCAAACTCTTCCACGGTCAATGAAGGTCTCATTACTGTCTCTTGTGTCGACCTCCAGAGCAAGCTGTATGTCAGGGACGCAACACTAACCATTGATGGTAAGCCCGTGGACGATATGGACGACGGAGAAATTCTGTCTGCTGACGAAATCGTGTTTGAGAATCTCGAGAAGGGCCAGGTCTTGGAAGTCCTCATTCCCTACGAGAATCATGGCCCAGCTATTATGGAGTTTGGAATATCCATCAAGTACAGAACTTCAGAGGGCGAGTATCTCTACGACACTACCGATTCTGTCGATGTGCGATTACCCATCTCCGTGTCTGTTCAGGACGTATTCCGAACCTCCTTCCTCTACTCCCGGTTTTCTGTCACATCTACAGACGCCTCTCCCATTCGAACTCTGGGTGTCACCCTGTCGGAATCTGATGGAGAAGATCTTTATGCCATCTCTACTCCCTCAATGTCTTCCGACGTCGTCTTCACTAACCAGGCTGCGTCTTTCACCTTCAGAATCGAGCCGCGAGACTGGTCCAGGTTCATTGCTGCTGGTGCTAAGAAGCCTTTGACTCTCCGAATCGAGTTTCGGCGTGTCGCAGACGAACTGGTGGAGTTTATCTGGGCCAAAATCACAGCAAAGCTTGCTGCTGCAGGTCTGGAAGACTGCATTGTCTCTCTGCGTGTCATTAAGTCTCTCATAGAGGCTGATGTCACTTCCTATGCTCTGCGACTGCCTACCATGTCTGAGCCTATTGTTCTTCCTGAATGGACAGAGGCACTGCAGGCAGTCTCCAAGGATAATCATGAGAAGGTAAAGGAAGTTGTCAACGAGGCTTTGGCTGAGTCTACCTCGTGCTCCGATGAGTGTCTGCTGCCTAGTCAGTTTTTGTGCATCTCTGTGCCTGTGCCTCAGGTCCAGATTGTTCTTTCATCCAAGCTGACCGAGGACAAGCCTACTACAAAGCCCCAGAGAGTCGGTGAAGCCATCGACTACACTCTGAATATCAACTCAAAGCTGTGGGATTCTAACCTAGCCCCTGATACACGGTTCTTCTATGAAATTCTGCCCCTGCCTGATACTTGGACAGTTTACGGAAGACGGAAGGGCCACTTTGTGCCAGCCGACAATGTGGTGGAGAATCTGCAGCTGGTCCCACTCAAGACAGGCCGAATCGCACTGCCTGAGGTGGTTATTCGGCCTGCTGACTCTGAGACCCCCATTTCTATGGAGGTGGACAACCGAATCGGCGTGAAGTACGTGGTTGTTGCTCCTGAACTGGGCCGACTGACATTCTCGTTCTGACGAAGATGGACTAAAAATACATGCATGCATATAGATTAATGAATTGCGGCACCATGCCCCTATTATATACCTCCAGCAACTTTTAGTAGCTACCCTTCCCTCCTATGCATCACTCTATATTGTCGACGCGCGACTGGAGGTGGAGGGGAGTCCTTATTCCATGTGGAGATGTCCACTCGACCTTGCCACCCTTCCCAGTCGTCTCCGGCTTTCCAGGACGGGACTTCTGAGAAGACCTGAGTAGCAAACCACGCCTGGAACTCCCAGCTAAACGACCAGAGATGAGGGATGTTGTCCACCATGCCAAAAACCTGCTTGGCATCATCGTTGGGTGTCCATGAGTGTCGTTGAAACATGGTCGTGATCTCCCAGTTGGGGTAGTACCGGTTGACACGCAGATTATTGTCGTCGGTGACCTGGAACCAAAGTAACTTCCCCAGCTTGTTCATGACCCGAAGTTTTATGCTGCCCTCGTTCATGTATACGAATCCATTCTGAAACTGAAAGTAGTTTGAGTCCCAGACTGGAGTGGCCGCCAGAAACTGGGTGGTCATGGTCTCCCAGTTTACCAAGAACAGCTGGCAGTTGGAGTCCCTTCTATCTCTGGGTATGAAGCGTGCAATGGAGAACCGGTCGTTGAAGTTCCACCACTTTTTGGCCACGTCGTATTTTCTGTTGACTTCGAACTTGAGTTCCTGGGCCTCCCCCAGCTTATAGGCCATTATTCGTCGTCGGTGCACCACCGCGGACTTGCGGTTGCGCGAAACAAACTCCACCGCGTACGGATGATGAGAGGTGCATTCGGGGGCATCACTGAAGGTGAAATCGAGCTTCCACTCGGCGTCTCCAGACACCAGCCAGCCTTCATTTGATCTCCACCAGGAATCTTTCTCTGACAAATGCATCAGCTTGATGCTTCCATCTGTGTAGTTGATCTCGTAGATGGCAAAGAGGCCATTTACAGACAGAACCAAGAGATTCGAGTCCTGTGCAGGCTCGTACTCAACTCCTATCCAGGAATGGGTCTTTCCAACTGCCAAATTGGCATCAGGGTGCACAAACTCGTCAGTCTTCACCACTAGGGGCAGATTGGAGGTGCGATTCTTCTGAATAGCCAGGCTGCGGGTTATAGCCTCTTCGAGAGTGAGAGGGACGGATACTGACATTTCCTTGCTGATCCGCTTCTTGAGCCCGAGATAATCATAGGATGCAAAAGCATCTTTGTCCAGGGGAAAGAATGTTGTGACTAAGGAGCTCTTCAGGAGCTGTGGCATCCACTCCAGAAGAGATACTCTGAGCGATTTCGAGGTATTTGACAGTTGATAGATGCTCCAGGGATCGCAATCCACACATATTTGCTCCAGAATCTCCTGGGGCACCGTGTCCAATCCAGGCGTCATTTTTTGGGGCTTGCCATATGAGAGTGCACAATCTAAGTCTGATAAAGCTATAAGCATCCCAAAAAGTGCCGTCTTGTGGGGTAACAGAAGCTAAAAAAAAAAAAAAAGCCGTCTAATAAAGGACAACAGCGGCTATTGAGCCGTGCCAGACTAAACTACCATTACACCATGTGATTAACTATTTACAGGGTCTGATGCAACGATATTGAAATTCGTATGCAAATAAGTTATGAGTACTCGAGCCGATTTACCGAACAGTACTTGTAGTTCCCCTACCCCAACATCTCCTCCGCCTTTGTGTTGTAGAGCATGCCTTCTATAGCCGGGACGGCATAATTATCAGGGTCGTACTGGCTCAAAAGTGGATCAATCATCTCAGGCATGGCCACCTTGACAAACAAAATGGGCACATTCAAGCCATACATCTCCGCTAGTCCTTGACGTGTCAAATTCTTGTTGCTGGCCATGATGGCAAGTGTGTTGGGGTCATTGTGAGCCAGCCAGACTCCGGCGAGCTCCAGGAAGTCCTTGCCGGGCATTCGCTTGGCCTTGGTACGGCATTGCACAATCACATTGAGCGCAGGGGCATCTGGTCGAGACCACACGCCATACATGTCCACACCACGATCACCTGCTCCTCCGGAAAGGACCAGATCAACCACATTGAGATCGTGATGCAAAACTGTTGCCACCGTATGTTCATAAAAGGTGCCCAGTAAAGGCATAACCAGAGGAGACTTGTTTTGGAGTTCGTTCTGTCGCAACCACGTTCTGCAGCCCTGATTGAAGCTCACATTCCTCTTGGCAAATTGCGATACCGTTGACAACCATCTCATTTTCCTCATTCTGTCGTCTGAATCACCACTGAGATGTTGTAGTGAACATAATTGGTGAAGAGGTCTATTGTATCGTGCACTCTTTTATCAGCCCAGCTGGAACTCTATTCAGAGGGTGGGTTCTCACAAGTTCATACAAGACACTTGATATTATAACCATGCTAAACATACACTCACGCTACAAAGTCCATATCCTATCTCATTATTATGCTTATTAATTGCTAAGTAATCTATTCTAATCAAAGAGTCAGATGTTGGTAGTTTTCGATACTGTCACTGACATGATGCTATGCGTTTTTGTGTGTTAAGTAGGCTTGCCGTTAGTTGTAGCTTGCTGTTGATCACTCCATGGACCACTTGTTGGAGCCAATATGCAGCTTTCGCAAGACAAAAGTTCGCGACGTGGGCCGCTGACGCGACAGAATGAGTTCCTCGAGCACATCATCCCGTGACTGGATGCCACCAGTACCGCCGTTACCACGCTTCTGCCGGACAATCTTCCGCAGCTGCGCAATCTCGTCTTGGCTAATGTGGCCAAAGTCGTTGTAGCGTTTGAAGCAAGACTCCATGAGGTGGGAGGCGTCCAGCATGGACTTGGGCGAAGTCTGGACCACCTGGAAGATCTCCATGGGATCGTTGAGACCCACAAACTCCGGCTCGCTTTGTTTCATTAGTGTCAACGCGATTCGGAACAGGGTCTTGGACCCCTCGTAGAAGAGACAATCCCAGATTCTCAGAGTAGTCTCGATGGGAAGAGTACCAATGTAGACACTCATGAACCACGAGGCTGTGCAAAGGGTGATGGGAGGGAGATTTCGGACCAGGTCCATGCCTTCGGAAGGAGCTCCCTCCAGACCCACTCCGATATGTCGCCAGACAGCAGGGAGCGACTTTTGCACCAAGAGCATCAGCACGCCCTGATCCACGTTGACTCCCTCGAGGTTGGTGTCATGCACTCCGGGAAGATACTTTTGGGTGATAATGTGCAGCATCCAGAAAGCACGTTCCTCGTCCATGAAGAGGAGAAGTAGCCCTGCCAGGAAATTAAGCGATTGGCAATAACCAACCTTGGGGTGGTGCAGGGCAAAGGCTCGCAGGACTCTTCGCAAAGCCATGATCATGGGCGTCTCATCCACTTCTCCTTCAGCTTTCCGGAAGTAGACGTTGTCGGGGAAAGTTCTGTAGAGATCACGCTCAATGAGCTCAGCGTCCACAGTGTCCATGGTAGCGCTCTTCTCGCAGAGCTTGTCGTACACTCCGACGTTGGCGTTGAGGTATTCGTAGCCACGGGCAAACCAGAACCAAGCCTGGCCTCGCCACTCGGCAGGAATGCCCTTTCGCACGTACCGCTTCAGCTTTTCCGACTTGGGGGGGAACCTAGTGGGTCCAGTGGAGGGAACTCGGGCCTCGTTGGAGTCCTTGCCCTTATCTTCGGCGGCCCCAATATCGAGGCCGCTTTGCTTCATCAGAGACACCCACTTCTTCTTTCGTCGCTGTAAATATGGCTGGTACTTGCCCCACCACTTGTCGTAATCGTTCATGCGAATATATGAGTTAGCCTTGAGGAAGCCGTATCGATCTCGGGGCCCGTCCTCCATGGTGTTTGTGCGCGACGACGGTTTGGATCGCATGTCGATGGTCGATCGCACTCGGCCGGCCTCTCGTCGGGACTCCTTGTATGATGAGGCCACGGAGATTGCTGAGCCAGGGGCGTCGTGGTTGTATGGAGTCTTCTGCAAGTCAGGGGTTCGAGGATTCGGCTCGGGGTGCAGGTTAGCTACGGGGATAGCTTGTAGCGTCTCCAGGGCTGGTGTTGTTTCTGTGGGGTTGTTTGTCTGTCTGCTGACAGGGACCGAAGACGAGCCTTGAGAGGTCATGCCCGACTCGGGAGATTTCGAGTACAAATCAATGATGCCGATTTCGTCGTTAGAATAAATGGAGTCTCGTGAAAGAGGCGGGGTGTCGCCAATGTCGACAGGTCGACGTTGTATGTGATGACCTGACGTGTCGTTAGGGATGCTCTGTGGAGGCGGCATTTGGTGGGCACTCATGTCTAGTTGTGTATCTGTTGAAGCGCCTGCCTTGCCGTTCTGTAGACCCTTCCCTAGCCCGCTAGGGCCAGGCTGGACCGTTTCCAGACCCATGGCGACCCCTATGCTGTCCACACTGCGCTCAAATTCAAAGGCTTCAAGGGGCGGAGTGTGGAACTCGTCGTCGATGCCCTCTTTGTCCTTGTACACCTTCTCAAACGCCACCGGCATGGAGCTCAGTCCAAACGGCTGTCGCGTTGTCATTGGTGTTGTGTACGTATCCTGATGGTGCATATTTCTTCCAGGTACAATTAAGACAATAGAGTTGCAGGGGCTAGGGGGTGAGAGAATTGAAGCAATAGTCTGCGGTGAACCAAGGACTAAGGTAAAGAAAACACGTACGGAAAAAATATCCGTCGATTTTCCTGCTTGCCGGTTATCCAACACCAATCCAACGTAGAGACTCTCTCTCTGCACCCTTCGGCACGTGAGCTGTACGGGGTGCAGCTGAGTTGGGTCACACTGTGTACAAGTAGCTGTGTGTAGCCTTTCTGGACCCGCTGTGCTGTGTGGTGTGCTGTTGGGACTCCCTCATCTCACTCCAAGTACGTACTGTACTCCACCTTGAGATTTCGCTAACAGAACTACAATGCACCTAACGTTAGACATGACTAACGTCGCTGGGATACTTACACCATACAGAGTTGGGCACGTGTTACATGTAAGGCTGGTTTGATAGAAGTGTATTTCTGTATATATTATACCTGTGCGGCCAACGTCCCATCACTCTCGGGCCCCGGCGTCGTTTTCATCTTGCTGGGTGGCAGCCGCTTCTCTGCAGCTGTCTCACGTGACAGATCGTCCAAAAACGGCCAGTGCAAAAAATATAGCGTCTCTCGCTGGCGGGCTTAAAGGCTGAAAGTACAGAGAGAAGAAAGTGAGTGAGGAATAAACGCTCAAACGCTCATGGGCCCACGCCTCGTGTCCACATGCCTCGGAAACTGTCTCTCGCTTATTTCCACAGATTGCCTGGAAAATAAAGATTAAGGATTGGGACATGAGGAGGCTAATGGAACAAAAGTTGCTCCGGGTCGTAAGGATGCGAAAAGGCTGTTATTGTGCCAAGGGGACACTGGCTTCTATACTTTCCATCATCTATAGCGGTGAGACCTGATCCGAGGAGATAATCTCGCTTTTCGCTGCCGCCAAGAGAGCCAAGAAGCTTGTGTCTAAAAACACCTTGCGTGGCCCTTTGTCTGCATCTAGGTTAAGCTGTGGGACAAGCCTGCAAATAGACTTCTTCTTTCATCTCCTCATCCGTAGTATCCGCTGCAACTCTTTCCCGCACACCCTCAACAGAAAGCCTGGCTCTACACACACACACACACACACTCCCCCAGCAGGTCCATTTCTCCCATGAAGCGCCTGTCTGTCTGGCGAGATCCGGTGTATCCGACAGACCACCCGGGATGTGTGCCCATCATCATAACAGAAGGAGCCGTCGACCTAGGCACCACCACGATAACATTACAGGGCATGATCGCCACCTTCACCCCAGCATGCTACCACGGCCACCCTGTCGCGGCCGTCGACTCGAGCGCCATGCATTTTCCGCTCTTCGACCAGATCCAGGAAGGCTGGAAACAATGGACTGATACTCACCAAGGCAAGTTTGGAAACTCGACAATGCCACTGACGTACTCGATGTTGATATCCATGGTGGTGGCGTGGATAGTGGTTCTTATTCTCATTCTTGGTGAAAACAGCCACGGCTTTAGAGCTCCTGTGGAGTCCAACGGTGGGTCAGAGACGACGGAACCATACAAGAGCTCGCTACAGTCTGATGGAAGCAGCTCTGCAGACTTTGAGGAGGAAAAGAAGGAATCGAGGATGAAACTGCTGTGGATGATATCGTTTGTCATGCCGCATAAGCGACCACGGAGACCGCTGTTGCTGCGTCTGGGTGTACTGGCTGGAACCATATACCTAACGATCATTTTGGCACACTCGACACAGCTGATTAACGAACAATACAATAAGGGATACCTCGACAGAAGTGAGCTGGTGGAGCGGCTGTCATCGTACGTCTATCTGGCTGTGCTGGAGCTGGTGTTTTACTTCATCATGCTGCTGGCACAGGTGCAGGTGGTTATGAGAGTCTTCTCCAGACGTATGGAGCAGCGGATGATTTTCTGGTTGGGTGGAACCATGTCTGTGGTCTGTCAAGTGCTGAATGGAATCACATCTATTGACATGGCTCTCCAATACCAGTTTTCCGGCTCGCTACCGGCCTTCCAATACCTCTTCCAGGTGGCCATCCAAATAATGTACGCCTGCTCCATGGTGTACTATCTAATCACCAACTCGAGGTCCACCATGTGCATGGAAATGGTGCCCATGACGCTCATTGCTATTTTGGCATCATCTTCTCCCGTGGTGTTATTTGTGGTGGACATTGCTAACGCCTGGCTAGTTGAATGGAGTGATTCGCTCACGTGGATCTCTACGTTGCTTGCTATAGTGTGCGCCTGGGAGTGGATTGACCGTGTGGAACGTCTGGAACGTCACCACGAAAAGGAAGGCTTCTTGGGTCGCCAGCTGCAAGAAGACGACGATTATCTCGGATTCGAGGGTGGAAAATCAATTATGAACCCCAGCGAATTCAGGGAATTCACGGACGTGTCTCTGGACGCGGATACACCAACTCCAAATGCCGCAAAGCGGTTCGTTCAGCCGCTCTTGGTGCTGTCGGACCGTATCATCGAGGCAGGACTACTGTTCTCACGTGCTTCGAGTACCTCTTATGACTCTGTGGACCAGCCAGATCCCCAAGAACTTCAACACAATACTCACGCAGCTCATGCTCGAGGACATAGTTCGGTGCGTTCACAACTGGCCAAAAAGCTCGACTATTACTACTCGAAAAAAACTAGGCCGCCTCCGGAACTGCTGGACACTCAGCATATGCCTGTTCATCGGCACTAATTTATTTATTTACTAACTGTACATTAGACTGAATACATTGCAATAGCTACATACACCACCCGTTTGAGTGATAAATAAGGTGGGCCCAACCCAAAGCGAGTTTACACTAAAGCCACAGCTTTATTATTGTACGATGTTTAGGCACCAAGCAAGGTGAACGTCAAAATCAAGCGCCAAAATTGGGTCGCGAAAATCATATACAGAAATTACGTAATTACACAGTGCTTGTCCTGATACTGTACATACTGTACGAACTGAAATAATGAAACACTCGTGTGGAAATATGATACATCATCATTTGGCTATCGCCGCTATATACATTATTATTTATCGAGCTTTCGTCGAAGAGCACGCTGAGCCTTTCTTCGCTTCTTGTACTTATGCTTGTTCATCTTAATCTTTCGCTTTCGCTTGACGGAGGTCATCTCCAGGTCGGCGTCGGTATTCTTGGCCTCAAACTTCTTGACGGCCTCACCGATGAACTTGAGAAGGTCCGCGTCAGATCGAGCGTTCTCAATCACCTCAAACTCGGACTTCTGAGGAGAGTAGTACTTCTCGTAGGGGTAGAGGTCGGCGGTGACGTTTTTAGAAAAATGCATCATTTCGGGGTTGGTAACCTGACCGGAAACGCTCATGGCATTAGGGAACAGAGGGTTGTATCCCTCGGTGGTTCCCTGTGCGTACTCGTTAGGCCGAGACTTGATGAAATCATCCATTCGCTTGGTGGCGGCGGAATCGGAGAAAAGGTGCGAGACAGAAGTGTCGAGGTACAGAGGTCGGTGTCGGCACAGAGCAATCTCAAAGAATCGGTCCTCGGGAGTTCCCTCACCCACCAGTGGCGAAGGGGGCAAATCAAAGTCCTTCCATAGCTTTCGCTTATCATCGCCACTCTGGGACGACATGGAGATTCGACGGGTTCTAGGGGCGTTTGCTGGTCGTGCGGTGGCCAGGGATCCTGCTCGCAGCAGCGATCCGGTGGGGCTGGCCAGCTGGCCAAGTCGTTTTGCTAACATGTTGTGGTGTTGGAGATAACCAACTGTGGGATGAAAATGTGTAGGTTAAGTAGGGTAAGTGGCTGAGATTACTCAGCTGATTTACAATTGATGGAGCTGTGGTTCGTGGTTGGGAGCAACCTTAATCAGACGAACACGGGTAACTTTAATTGATTATCGATAAAGTCAAGTGCAGAGTCAGTTAAAACTGGATGTTTTGTTGAAATTTGAGTTGGAAAAAAAAGAGCTCAGCCGAGGAATATATATAGGGGCGAAAATATAAAAAGTTGCTCTGTATTTCTGAGCTTCTAAAAATAAGTCAAGGGTTTTTTCTAGGCCTTTCTATTTTTGCGGGGTATTAATTGAAACCCCTTAATATTAGTCAGGTACAGTGTACACCATAACCACACCACAACGGCCACCGTTATTGCTGTAGTAGCGAAGACATACTGTAAAGAAGAGCGTCACAACACAGACAATAGGAAACCTCGGAAGTAAAATGGTAGGCATGTTTTCCCCCAATACATACTCAATCAACATCAACCGCTACAAGTACTTCTCACAACTGATATCTTGACAAACTAAGTGCCAGTGACTTGGGGACAACTCTAAATGCAGTCCTTCGCGATGTAGGCTACGTCAGATGTATGCACAGCTAAAGTTAACACCCACCAGTATCAGCCAGTATGAATCAGCAACTGGTTGTGGAGTTGTCCAGTCTGCTTGCCGAGAGCAAGCGAAGACACCCTGAGCTTCGTCAGGTGAGTATCTCCAGCGTATTGACGCGAAGGAAGTGTCGGCTTCTCTCACACGTGCCTCCCATGCGACACGGACACATGGGAAACAGACACTAACACAGGCTGCCGAATACACACTCGATGCTGTAAAGAACAAGCAACCGCAAGACCTGAAGAAGGACGAAAAGATTGCCCAGCCTCTGGTGTTGGCCTGCTCGTCACGTAACGCCAAACTCACAGCAATTGCAGTGCCATTGATACAACGACTGCTGGCTATCTCTGCGCTCTCCGACAAGTCAATTCCGTCAGTCCTGGGTGCGTTGGAGGAGGCTACCCACTTGGGCGTCGAAATCCAGCTCAAGATCCTTCAATGTCTCCCTACACTGATGGCAAACTACACCAAGGTGCTGCAGGGTCAGAACTTGAGCGCCCTGTTGGCGATCTGCTCAGCCCTCAAGGCCCCCAACAAGCCCCCTGTGGTATCCAATTCCGCAGCGGCGACACTCCAACAGTTAATAGTGTCTGTTTTCGATAAGGTGCGAGAAGAGCAGGACCCTCCCAAGACCTTTGAGGTGCCAGTCGACACAGGAGACAAGATTCTCGTGTCTCCTGCAGCAGATGACGCTCTATCTGTGTTGTCTGATCTCTGTTCTCTCATTGAATACCACTCATCTACTTTCCTGAAAGGCCATTACAAGGACACTTTCTGTCTCGAACTGGTGGAGAGTATTCTGCAGAACCAACACATGGTGTTTGAGGAGCATCCCGAGCTCATTTACTGTGTTAAGATGAAGCTATTCCCAGCACTGCTTCGTGGTCTTTCTTCCGAGGCACCGTTTCCCGTGGCTGTTAGAATCGCTCGAGTCTTGTATTTGTTGCTACGAACCCTGCTTGCGTTGGTGCCAGCTGAGTGTGAGGTGACATTGACTCTGTTCGTCCATCTGTCAAGAGAGCCTACCGAATCATGGGAACGTGCACTGTGCATGGAGATTCTTCAAGGTGTCTTCTCCGACTTTGACCTCCTTCTGGCCATTTATAAGGAGTATGACGTAGCTGAGGGACGCAAGAACATTCTTGCAGATACTCTCGGTCTGTTCCGGGACCTGCTGAAACATACCAAGGAGGGAACCAGGTTCAACAGTGCAACCAAGACACCTTTCATTGACACACTGGACAAGACAGAAGCACCGACTCTACCCGAGGGGTACGAGCAGTATCTTGCGATAACGTGTGCCAATTCCCTATGCGATGCGCTTGCAAAGTTCCTTCTTCAGAAGAACCAGGACTCTCGGGCAACTCTGTGTAAGCATCTCATTGACCACTCCTGGTCTACCATTCTGGATCTGTATAGTCCTCTGGTTTCTGGACCCTTTGAGGAGTCCCTGGATCTTCACAGCGTTATTCGTGCTGTCCAAAAACTGGCACATGTTGCGGGATATGTGGATAGGAAGACGGCGCGTGATGCATTCATGTCTCTTCTTGCCACAGGTGCAGAGAAACCACCCACTCAACGGGCTATCTTGTGTCTTCGGGCTCTAGTCAACCTCGGAACCGCCCTCGGAACTACATTGGGCTCATCATGGAGCATTCTCCTTGATACCCTACGGGAGACTTCGCAGTCCAAGGTCGGATCTGACCCTGCGGTGCTATCTGCAGAGAAGAAGCTGCTCGACTCGACGAAAGACTACTCAAATTCTGCTCTTTCAGACCTTGTAAATGCATTGACTCGATCAGCTTCCGAGTGGAACAATGACAAGCTTGGAATTGTGGCAACTTTCAACGTCACCAAGATTGTGGAGGAAGAAGTACTGTGGCAGAAGCTGTTAGGTCATCTCATCTCATGTGAGAGTTTACAGTGTGCCCTCATTCAGAGAAAACTCTCGGAATCTTCGGAGTCCGAAATACCCGAGGCTCATGCTCGAATATTTGATTCGCTTCTGAAGGCTGTAAAGAGCGACAAGTCGGAGATTGTCTTGGCTCATCTACAGACTACCCACTCGCTGCTTCAGCAACTGGGTAAGTGTTCCTCTTGGAGCACCATTTTTAGCATTCTGGACAGCGGTCTGAGAGATGACATGTCTCTGGAGGTCACCAAGGCCGCTTTTGACTCAGTCAAGCTGGTCTGCAATGATTTCCTTACCCAGTTGCCTTCCGATGCTCTTCTGACACTCGTGGACCTACTCTACAAATTCTGTCAGCATTCTTCAGACTCCAACTTGTCATTCACATGCATCTCTCTGTTCTGGACTGTGTCCGACTGCATTTTGCGCCAGGCCAAGGAGACAGACGACATCAATCGAGTCCTTACTATGTCCGAGATGCGAGACTCTACTGAGCCTCTTGCTCTGTGGCTCATCCTTATGTCTTCTCTGGCTCTCATGTCGCATGATTCTCGTGCTGACGTCAGAAATGGTGCCATCCAGACCTTCTTCCGAACTTTCGAGTCTCTCCCCAAGGACAAGCTCCAACCCAACCTGTGGCAGACCTTTTCCAGGGAGATTCTGCCTAAGCTCTTCTTGACACCCACAGGAGATCTGATCGAGAATGATCCCGCCGGAGCTGCAGCAAGGTACCCTTACACGGTCTCGCTGCTGCTTACTGGCTTCAATCACATGATGAGTGTTGTGCAGACCGTCTTGCCCGACCAGGTTGACATTCTTTTTATCCAGCTGCTCTCCTACTTTGAGCAGCTAAACACCACAAGCCCACATCCTGAGTATGCCGTAACTATCAGCAAGTCTTTCGGAGAGCTTCTGACCATTACGCCATTGAGCCGTGAGAGCATTGCTGCTGCATGGAAGTTCTGGCTCTCTCCTCCTTGGGGAACTGAGTATGTCAGCCCGTGGAACCTGGGCTCTGCATCTAGTGCCATTGCTGAGCATGCATCTGTGCACACCATTATCTACGATTTGGACAGAAATGTGCCTGATGCGACTTTGGACGCTTCCCTGGATGTTCTTTACAACTGCCTTCTGCATCCCCAACTTCCAAAGTTCGCTCAGGACCAGACGTCCACCTCTCCTGTTCAGACAGCTGTGCTGAAACAAATTTCGAATGTCTCTGGCCACCACGCCAAGGTCTTGGAGATCCTTGGTAGGATTTCCAAGCTATCCAGCACTGCCTCCAAGGAGGAGGATGACTCTCCCAAGTTTGGAGCTGCATCGCTGAAGGCTGTTGAGCTTTCCAGGAGCCGACTTCCTGAAGTTCCTGAGGCTGTAGATGACAGCGTTATCTCACTGTTGCTTCAGGACACCACGTTGTCATCGCTTGGTAATGATGCTACGGAGCTGTTCCTGGAGACTGTTGAAAAGGTGCTGCCTCGGTTGTCTACTGAGGAGACATTGTGGCCCCGTGTTGTCGAGGGTGGTTTGTCCATTCTGGCTCAGCGAAGTCAGGGTTTCCATAAGTACGAGAAGCTCATTTTTCCCATTCTTGGACTTGACCATGTCCCTGAGTCGCTCATTGACTCCCTTCTCAAGTCCATCTATGAGAACTCCCTGGTGTGGAAGACCAAGGCTTCTTCTCTGGGCTTCTCAGGCACTTTACAGGCCGTGTCAAAGCCTGATTTCTCTCTCTACTGTACAACACTATTGTTCAATTTGTGGATAGGAGAGGGGGATGGTACCGGGAGCGCTCGGGAGCGGCTCTCTCTGTCGTCGCGACAGTACGCCATGTCTCGAGCCCAAGCATGTATCTCTCAGTTTATTAACGACTCCGTGATTCGAGGCTCCATGCCCATTCCTAAGCTGCAGAACCAAGAGCTTCAGGTAATTCTCACGCATCTTGGTTTGCTAGTAAAGAAGAGCCCGGATAGTAAGAAGGAGCTCAAGGCGCTGTTCCCCTTGCTGTTGAAGCTCCAAATGCGTGGAGAGAGCACAGAAGTGATTCTACAGGAATTTTAACCACATTAAATAAAAGTATTTAGATGAATAATGACGTACAAGTACAAGCACTTATGTTTGAATGATGGATTCGTGACGTACAAGTACAACTATAGGATTTGCACGAGCAGCTGTCATTGACTGGAATGTGTGGGGTTTTAGGCTCAACTCTATTGCATGTCTTATCACAACAATATGTGGAGCTGAATTACCATGCACATAAGATCATCAATCTCAGTTGTTTCATCTATTTTGCCCAAAACTTTAAAACAGCGCCATTCATAACATTGGCATGAGACAGGGTCCGATCGGCCGTGACATCAGATTATGTACAATAGCTACGCGTACAAGTAGGAAGGAAGTATGAGTATTTTCGATAGCTGCTTTCTTGAACCTGAAGAACATAAGGAATATATAAAACTACAAGTACAAGTACAAGAATACAGGAAACATGGAGTGTATCAGAATCTAATTTTGATTAGGTATCATTAAATATGTTTTTCCAAACGGAGCGTCTAGAAAGATGCTCGGTTCCACAGGAAGTTGTTGGCAGCTCCACCAAGGTCTCCCTTAACCTTGCCAGTAGAGGCATCCTTAACCCAAGACTCCAGCACAGCAGCGGGGACAACGCCATCAGCAATAGACTGGAAGTAGGCAATGGCACCAGACACGTGGGGAGCAGCCATGGAGGTTCCGCCCATGGTGGCAGCAGCATCGTCGTTAGTAATCCATAGAGACAGAATGGTGACACCAGGAGCAAACATCTCGACACACTGTCCCTTGGCAGAAGACCAGTCCTGCTCAACGGCAATGTTGTCGAGGTGGTCGGTGGCTCCAACGGTGATGAGACCGGGGATACCCTTTGAGGCTCGGGCGGGAGATTCGTTGCAGGCATCCTGGCCGTTGTTACCGGCAGCAACAACGGTGGGGATACCGTATTGCTGAACGGCCTGCTGGAAAACCTGGTCAAGACCGGGAGAGGAAGCACCACCTCCGGAGAAGTTGATGACGGATCGGGGCTGGCCGGCCTTCTGGTAGTCAGAGAGAACCCAGTTCATACCCTGAATGATGGTGGAGGCATATCCCTGGCCCTTCTGGTTGAGAACCTTGACAGCGACAATGGAGGTCTTCTCTCCGGAGACTCCGACAGTGGAACCAGCCACAGTGCCGGAAACGTGAGTACCATGGCCGTTGAGGTCCTGCATGGGCTCGCCCTGGACAAAGTTGGCTCCCCATCGAGCTCGTCCGCCAAAGTCTTGGTGTTGGACGTAGGTTCCGGTGTCGACGACGTAGACGGTGGTGTCGTACTTGGAGGACTCTCGGTTGTAGGGCACTCGGACGGTGGAGGGCTTGTCGGGGTTGACGCCCTGGACGTTGTTGTTGAGGTGCGAGATTCGGCTCAGACCCCACTGAGCGACAGTGGTGGACTGGAAGTCTCGCTTGTGGAGCTCGGTCAGGTTGACGGGCTGAGCGGCGTGCTTGCCGAGGGAGATGAGCACATCCTTCTCGACGGAAGCGACATCAGGGGAGCTTCGAATGGAGTCCAGCACGGAGGAGTTGAAAGATCCAAAGTAACCGGTGAATCCCTTACCATCAGTGAACGCGTCGACGTCAAAGGCGCCCTGGATTCCCTGGTTGCTACTGGTAGCGGCAAAGCCGTTGGTGCCAGCCATGGCTCCGACCTCGGGAGAGACCTTGGAGTCAAGGTCCTGGATGTGACCGTTGATGGACTGGATGGAGGTGCCGTTCTTGAAGAAGACGAGGTATCGGTCCTTTGCGGAGTCGGCCAGGTCACGCTTGGCGTGGTGGCCCTGGTGCTTGTTGATGATGTTCAGAACATTGGAGTAAGCAGAGGCATCAGCGTCAGCAGGGGCGGCTGCCACAAGAGACAGACCAGCCAAAAGGAGTGTGAATTTCATAATGAGTGGCTAGAGGCGAGTGACTGATTGCGACTAGAGCCTCGATAAAAATGGGAGCGCCATCCTTTTAACTGCGCCTAACGTGATCGACAGTGTTTTCGTCGATCAACTGGGGTGTGTCGCGAAGATGTGGTTCGACAAAGACTTCTATCGCAAGCATAGGAGGAAAGATAGGTCTGTTTGCGGACGGATCGTGTCACTAATTGAATACATAAACCGAGCTCATACCAGAGGTGCTTCAAGGAGTGGTCACCTCTGCATCATTATTCCTCATCGACATCCACAATGCCCTTTCGCGCGAGTGCAAAATAAGTTTGATCGTCGCCCCCTTCGAAAACTAGTGATGGTTCAAAAATGCAGCGAACGCTGTTCACGGTCGCCGATCACTCGTTCCTTTCAAGCAACCCTCAAGACCCTGCAGTAACGCGCCAGTGAGGAGAAAACTGGGCCCTTTGTGCGCGTGTTTCACCTGGGTGTCTTCTTCACAACATGTGGAGACCCAGGAATGTGTAAGTATGAAACAAAGAGTGGTGAAACCAAACCACCTAAAAGACACCATTGTGGCCTTGCTCGAGACATACAAGAGATGATAATCACAAACCACACCATGGCTTGAATTCTATAAAATGGCTTTTTTCGATTGCAACACTGCGATACGTTTGCTCTCAAAAAGAAGACAGCTCAGAGAGGTGGGACGTGTCTGCTGTGAAGATTTTCTAGAGGCTACCACGAAGGATCAACAACAATAGGGCTATCAATGTATACGAAGTGCCGTTGATATACACTGGGTTACACTGGCAATGCGGTCATGAGAAGCATCTAGTTAATTTGGGGGTCACTTCCGTTTATATTATAGGTGATCGTTTCTCAACATGGCCTCGTCTACTTTTTGGTGTAATAGTACAGTATGTAGCTACATACTCGTGCAAATGGACGTGTATATGAGAAGGTTCCTCTGCGTGTCAGCCGTTGCCTCGGAGACAGGCTGTTGCGAGTTTATCCCTCGCTTAAGACGAAGTGAGCTCACGACTCTTAGTTAGCTACAGTATATACTGTATGTACTGTACCGCAGCTCGCTTACGCCAGCCAAGCCTGCGAAACATTTTTAGTCGAGTTTGAGACCGGTTTCCACCGGGTCATATCCGGGGTCTAATTTAGCCGGGGGGAAAATCACGTAGTCCGATAACCCAACAGAATGGAACACCAGGACCAAAGGCTAGCGCTGGTTCAGTGTAGATTGTGGGGTTCACATTGTGGGGTCCAGGCCAGCAGGAGATGTCAAACGAGCTATTTCAGACCCAGTCCATGAGTCTGTACGCATTAGGGCGGTAAATTGCAAGCCGCATCAGCCGGTTTCTCTGGGCCAGGGAATACTAGCGATTGTACAACGATCTACTACTGTACTGTACATACACGAGAGAGAGTCAGGGCGTTGAGCAAAGCATCTTGTTTCCAATTAATAAATGCCAAGCTCTCTCATGTAGGTACAAGTACAGTGCAACATGACATGACTTTCGGTGATAACAGTTGTATGTATCAAGCGGCTCTCGGCTAATAGCTTCAATAGCCGCGAGATGGGAGTCAGTGTGGAGAAACCACAGACGACGCCGCAGTCTCCGAACGCCTCCACCACAGCAACTAAAACTTCCCCACCTTAGTGAACCTTACGCTGGTTCAGTACGATACATGCCGTAGGAGGGATTTTACTATGTGCTTTAAGTAATTGTAAGAGTATTACGAGACTATACTTACAACAACAGTTGAGAGTATACAGAGTTACAGTTGGGGATAATGAGTCGTGCCTAATGACGACCATTACTTCCAAAAATGCAACATACTGAGCTGCCCAAGCAACCCGGAAGGCAGTGTTGCAATCTACAGCAGCGATTCAAGAGTAGTCTACTACGCTGCCAGCATTAGTGCAGGGTGATCAGTGTTGGGATTGGCTAGCGCAGATTATTCGGACATACCGGAGCCGGGAAAATGGGTCCCCAAAAACGACTATTTCGCGAACGGATGCTCGTACAGAAAAAGCATGGGTACCATCTGTTTCGGCGACCTCAATTTAGTCAAAGTGGGCGGGGTTCCAACGCAAAAAGAAAAGTAGGAGTGCGAGTTCCATCCACCGTGATGGAGTAGCTCTGCCGCATGCCTATAGCCTCGCAACTCTAACACTTTCGAATCATGCACTACCCACCATGCATAACCTAGATCTGAGTGTCTATAAAGTGAGAGACGAGATCCACCGACAAGAGCTCCCCAGATCCTCAGCATCGCACGGATAACACTGTCCAAACTAACCTCTAAACTCGCTCTTCTGAGAAACAACAGACTCTACTCTACAATGCCCCTCAACTTCCGAGATCGATTCAACGTCCCCGTCCTCAAGAACGGAGAGGAGGTTGCCTACCTCGTGGGTAACTCTCTGGGTCTCATGCCCCACAAGACCCGAGACTACGTCAACCAGGAGATGGATGCCTGGTCCCAGCTTGGTGTCAAGGGCCACTTTGTCTCTGGCAAAGAGGACCTTGGCCAGGACGTCCACCAGGGTCCCTGGTACTCTTGTGACGAACCTCTGCATGGTCTTGTTGGCCCCATCCTCGGTGCCTCCGAAGATGAGGTTGCCATCATGAACACCCTGACCTCTAACATTCACTCGCTCTTCAGCGCCTTCTACAAACCCACCGCCAAGCGAAGCAAGATCTTGTTCGAGGCCAAGGCCTTCCCTTCTGATACCTACGCCATGGAGGCTCAAGCCCGACTCCACAACCTCGATCCCAGCGAGGCTCTCATCAAGCTCGCGCCCAAGGATGGTCTTCACACCCTTTCCGATGACGACATCATCAAGGTCATCGAGGAGCAGGGTGACGAGATTGCCGTTGTCTTCTTCTCCGGTATCCAATTCTACACCGGCCAGCTCTTCGATATCCCTCGAATCACTGCTGCTGCCAAGGCCAAGGGCTGTGTTGTCGGCTGGGATCTTGCCCACGCCGCTGGTAACGTTCCTCTCAAGCTCCATGACTGGAACGTCGACTTCGCTGTTTTCTGCACTTACAAGTACATGAACTCCGGCCCCGGTGGTATCGGAGGTCTGTTTGTCCACGACAAGTACGCTGATGACCAGCGACCCCGACTTGCCGGATGGTGGGGTAACAACGCCGAGACTCGATTCAAGATGCTCGACGAGTTTGATCCCATCCGAGGTGCTCGAGGCTACAAGCAGTCCAACCCCTCCGTTCTCTGCGTCCTAGCCCTGCGGGCCTCTCTTGAGCTCTTCAAGGAGGCCGGTGGCATTGAGAAGCTCCGAGAGCGATCCATCGAGCTTACTAACCGACTCCTCAAGGGTCTCCTTGCCTCCCCTCACTACATTGCACCCGAGAACATTGAGATCTTTGGTAACTCTGGCAAGGCCTGGTTCACCATCATCACCCCTCAGGCCGAGCACCAGCGAGGAGCCCAGCTTTCTCTGCTGTTTGGTCCCGACGGAACCATGAAGAAGGTCTTTGACTACCTTGATGACCATGGAGTCCTCGGTGACGAGCGAAACCCTGACGTCATTCGACTGGCCCCTGCCCCTCTCTACAACAACGAACGGGATGTTGATCTGGCCATCAAGCTCATTAATGACTCCATTAACCTGATTAACGGCTCTGCTTAAATTATTCGTTAATTACTATTCTGATTTTATCGAGTGTTATGTGGCACAAGTACGTATGTACCAATGTGTGTGTAGAGTCGCTGTATAATAGCTTTTGTGTGCCTGGTGATATAAATCACTTTGTATGTACACAAATTTGAGTTGTGCATATCGTCAGCGAAGCGGTTGAGATAGCACATTTTTAGGTGTAAGCCAAACCACCAAATTTTTCAAACCAACACCACTCCAACAATGTCTGTTGTTTTTGTCACTGGAAACGCCGGAAAGCTCCGAGAAACCAACCACATCCTCGCCCCCACCGGAATTGAGCTGACTTCACACAAGCTGGACCTTGAAGAGACTCAGGGAACCATCGAGGAGGTGTCCATCGCCAAGGCCAAGGCCGCTGCTAAGATTGTGAGTTATAGCTAAGCTTAACCTGCTCTGTTTACAAACTACTAACCCAGCTCAACAAGCCCGTTCTGGTCGAGGATACCGCTCTTGGTTTTGCTGCTCTCAAGGGCCTCCCCGGTGTCTACATCAAGTGGTTCCTGGACTCTCTTGGACACGAGGGTCTCAACAAAATGCTCGCTGGCTTCGAGGACAAGTCTGCTACTGCCTGGTGCACTTTTGCCTACTGCGGAGGCCCTGACGAGGATGTTCTACTGTTCCAGGGTACCTGTGAGGGAACCATTGTTCCTCCTCGAGGCGAGAACAACTTTGGCTGGAATGCTGTGTTCGAGCCCAAGGGCTACACCGAGACCTTTGCTGAGATGAGCGAGGAAACCAAGAACGCCATCTCTCATAGATTCAAGGCCCTAGAGAAGCTCAAGGTCTTTCTTGCCGAGAAGGCAGAGCAGTCCAAGTAGACGCAATCCCGAAGCATGAATTATAGACGCCTACACCCACAAAAAACAATTAGAATAATATATATTACAAAGTCCAGATTCCACCGCGAGCATTTTATTTGTTGTCAGCAACCCACTGCTCCTTCCAGCTGACAATACGGCTGACGTTCGAGTCGATATCGTCAATAGTGTTACTGGGAAGCTCAATGACAACTTCCTCAGCGTAAGACTCTCGGGCATCAGAGAGGACCACTTCCATGATCTCGGCGTCTAGGTTCTCCTGCAGCTTAGTCTCCGCGTAGTTTCGTTTCTGGAGTCGGTCGTAGATCTTCTCGGTGTCTGCTCGCAGAACAATAACCAGATCAACTAGGTCCTCGGGGAAGATATCGCACACGTGCCAGTCGATGATGAGGCCGCCCTTCTCCAGGTCGGGCTCAATGGCGTCAATGAGCTTCTCCTCGTCCACAATGTGGGATTTTCGCTCCTCATCGTAGCCGTCGAAGCAGTCTCGGTCCTTAGCCACCTGGTTAATGGAGAAAACCTTCATGTCGGGCAGCTCCGAGGCCAGGGTGTCGCAGTGAGACGATTTTCCGGTTCCGGGGGTACCGGTGATCACAATATTGGGGAGAGATCTCATTTCTGATCTGTGTATGGCTGTGTCGGAGAAACGATTCTGGCAAGAAAAATAATTATCCGATATAATTTTAATCTTGTCTCCTGCTGCTGCTGCACGTTTACAGTGCGTACAATATCAGGTGGCGATGCTATACGATAGCGTGGTCCGGATTAAGGGTGAGGAGAAAGACATAAGCTGAAACAGAAGGTGTTCACCACACGCTATTATAGATCCATATCCGTGGAAACGTGGCATGCACATGGTATATTGGCTTACCGCCACTTATATCGTCATGCTCAGGGTCCGATAGCCTTCCGTGGTCTTACCAGCTTTGTGTGTGAATGGGGTTCCAGGATGAACGCTGTATCGGTGTGAGTCCCATGGTAGAGAGAGGCTGAGCATGTAGAAAGCGGCCTATCAGTATATAGATGCTGATACTATAAGGTCATTGCCTCAGAATAAAGCCTCGGTGACATCACATCACATTATGGGACGATCTTAAAGTCACGTGAACTGGTCACTCTGCTCTTCTCCCATCCGGTTAATAAGCAGCAGCAACGATAGAACCGAACAAAAGTGAAATCCAGCAGAGCCCCATATACGAGTATATCACGTAGAGCTCTATTTGACCACTAGTTAATTTACATCATCATCTGTTCCAGTGTCGTTGTCATCCTTGGGTCGTCTTTGAAGCCTCCACCGCACATAAACTTTCTGGTGTTCAATTTCACTTGTCACTTATCACCACGCAACATCAATGAGTAGAAGTGAGTATTGCTGCTACAATGACAAGGAAGGGATACTGTCGATGGATCGAGCGAAGGGAGCAGACTATCTGTGCGACGGAGCCATACCCGACAGAAGGGCTAACAGTGTTTTTTGAACCCCACACGTGCAACACTAACGACAGACCCTTGGCCAGCAAGAGCATCATTTGCCGAAACCGCAGCTTCACAAGCAGAGAAGGACGGGCCGGCTCTCGATATGTCGGAATTCCCCGCTCTCGGATCAGCTGCAGCCGTGCGAACGGCTCCTCCAGGACTCGATCTGGAGCCAAAAGTCGCTGGACACCCCGGTGCAGGCTCCTCAGGCCCCCACGGACAGCCCGGCCAGCAGCGGAAACCTATCCCTGCTGATCACAAGGAAAGATATGGTCTGAACGGACTTTTGGGAGTCATTCGAATGGAGAATAACGACCAGACGACAGTGGCCATAGGCAACGACCTGACTACTATGGGACTCAATATGAACCCCAGTGCCATTCCGCTGTCTAAATCGTTTGGCTCGCCATGGACAGAAACGTCAGTGCATAAACCTACCCCGGAATACAGCCTGCCGTCATGTTACAATGTGCCCTCGGCACCACCACAGCAAACTAAGATCCAGAGCTTCACCGACGAAACACTGTTCTTTATTTTCTACACTATGCCCCGGGACTCTATGCAAGAAGCTGTGGCTGTGGAGCTGACCAACCGAAACTGGCGGTACCACAAGGAGCTCAAGTTATGGTTGACCAAGGACCCACTGACCGAGCCTGTTCAGCAGACAGCACAAAGCGAGAGGGGCCTGTATATTTTCTTTGATCCCAGCAGTTGGACAAAGATCAAAAAGGAGTTTGTCTTATTTTATCAGGCTATTGCATAATGGGATTCAACTAATAGATTGGACTATATCATGAAGTTGTGTACTTGTAGCTACAGGTAGATCACTGTGCGTAGTACTGAAGCCAAGGGCTTGCTTAAAGTAGCAGTTGTCTGTGTATTATTCATGTTACTTATTTCGGTTCTTCTATAAGCATCTTTGTCTCTCTAACTTGTTTGTCGACCTTCCATATACTTGTATTCATTATGGGGACCTGCATATCTGTCTCGATCAGTTTGCAAGGGCACAGTTTATGCCCCTGAAAAGTCTTAAAAAGAAATAGAAATACTGGTAGGAGAACTTCATATAATGCTTGCAATTGCCCCATGAATTGGTAGACAATGAGACTCACAGGCCTACCACTTGTGCTGCTGGCCACACTCGTGACAGCTTCCCCCGACTACGATGCCGTCAAGAACATCTTGGCGTCTCACCAGCGGCATCACAATTTGGTCAAAAGGGACCTTGGACAGGACGCCTCTGCAGTGTCCCAGCAGCGTCGGATTGTCATGTTCAACGATACTGCTACTATATCCGACATCCGAGTTCAGCTCGAGTCTCTCGACAAGACCATCAGCCAGTTCGGCCGAGGCTCTTCATATATCGAGTCTGCTGTTGACATTGGCAACAATGGAAATGGTTTCCTCGGATACTACGGCATCTTCGACGACAAGGTAGCTGCCCTTCTGGAACAAGACCCTCGAGTCGATGTCTACGAGGATGTCAAGGTGACTCTTCCTGCCTATGGAAGAAGCAAAAAGATGCTCAAGATGGCTTCAAAATATTCGGGTAATCTTGAAGAGGACAACGACTTCTCATTTAACAGCGACTCCACAGTTTCAGACCCTCTAACTGAGCCCCGCGACTTCGACATCGACTTTGAACGTCTCAAGTCCCTCTACTCCGATGACGGCCATTATGATTACGAAGTCGGTGTTAGTTATGAGAACCTGAAGGTATCACAGATGCAACAACATCCACCCCGACCCAAGCCTCAAGCCTCGTCTCGACCCCGACGGCAACCTCAGACGAGACCCCAGCCCAAGGCGCAACCCAAGCCTCCACCCAAACAGCAGCAACAGCAGCAGCAGCAACAACCTAGACCTCAGCAAAGAAGACCTCAGCCAGGCAGACCCCTTCCGGGCAGGCCTCAACCTCCCAAGCCTCAGCCCAAGCCTCAGCAACCGCAGAGATCCCAGCAGTCTACCACCATCCCTGCTCATATGCTGACTCAGGAGAAGACCACTCAATGGGGTCTGCATCGTATCTCATCCCAGAAGAATACCGTTTCACCTGGAGTGGCCAAGATTATCAAGCCCTACGAGTTCATGATCCCCCAATATGACACTGTGGCTTATGTGGTCGACTCTGGTATCAGAATTACCCATAAGGACTTCGGTGGGCGAGCAGTCTGGGGTTACAACGCCATTGATAACATCAACGAGGATATGAACGGTCATGGATCTCATGTTGCTGGGACAATTGGTGCCAACAAATGGGGTGTCTCCAAACGAACCCTGCTCGTGGCAGTCAAGGCATTTGGGGAAGAGGATTGTGTCTCTGTTGGCACCTATCTCCATGCTGTCAACTGGGCCATCAACGACTACATTGCCAAGGGCCACGACAGAGCCGTCATCAACATGTCTGTGGGCGTTCCTCGTGGATTTGAGCCGTTTGACAGACTTGTTAGACACGCTATCAAGGTAGGAATGCCTGTTGCTATTGCTGCCGGTAACGATGGGCGAGATGCTTGCAACTACTCACCCTCTCGAATGGGCAATCATCCTGGCGCTATAACAGCAGCCGCCAGTAGCAAGGACGATAGACTGGTCCGTCGGTTTGCCGGGTGGATGTCTCGAGGCTCAAACTTCGGCGAGTGTGTTACCGTGTTTGCGCCGGGTATGAACATTGAGAGTGTCTCCCACCAGAGTGACACTGGTACGGATATCATGAGTGGTACGTCCATGGCAGCTCCTCACGTTGCTGGTCTCATGGCATACTTCCAGAGTATCAGCGACCAGCTTCTGACTCCTATGCAGTTGGATTATCTTATCACTCATGCAAACCAGGGCACTATGAGAGGCAGACTTAAAAACAGCCCTAACCGGTTGATCTACAACGGACTCTAGGCATACAGAAACCATTTTGATACTCAATAGAAGTGATTTTTTAAAAATATCTATAAATAATGACCTGTACAAGATAGTCTCGAGACGTCTGTTTATTCATACATTAATCCTTGCTCCGTACCCCCCCTCCCTACTCTGCCAGCCAATAACCTCCTTGTACGTCCACGAAACAGGTGTTGCCCCTCAATCGATCCCATCTCATATATTGCACAGAGCCAACATGTCTAAACACAACTTACAGTATGATAGACACGCCATACTGACACTTGTACGAGTACATATTGTACATATTCTGTACAGTCCATAAACACCTGTTGGCCTCATGGGACACTCTGTAGCTATACGTGAAGATGTCTCAGTCGTCGCGCGTCGTATATTTGAAACAGGCTGCCTCGAAGACGAGGGCTATTCAATCAGTCAGCAATTCATTTTTCATTGACCAACCGGTTGTGTGCTGCTTGTAGTATTCCAAGCTCTCTACATCTCGTGAGCCACCACCAATGAGTGAGTGTATTGGAAAGAAAGGACCCCACCATATGCATGAATTGCGGGGTAACTTTCAAATCATTCCATGCGTATGCTCTCTAAGCTCGCTTATCGACACTTGGCACAAATTCGGTAAGGGTGTAAACAGCGGAGTGGACTAATTTTTTTCCATTCTTTTTTTCAAATCATATCAAGCCACATACTGTAATATGCAGTTCCCTCGTTCCTACATTGTGAGAAGACGCTCTAAGAAATAAGGCTTTTTGGCACCCCCGTATCCCACACACACTATACATGCCTTGTTGAACTCTGGTTAGACTTTGAAACTCACACGTCACGTCAAATCCTCCACCCAAACTCCACACCACTATCTACACCACCACCACACAACATCACAACATCACGATGGAACAGATCACGTCCGAGAAATTGTGGGCATGGGGCAAGCCATTTCTGCCTGTGCTTCTCACATGGTTCATCCCCAAGCTCACGCAAACATACCACAAAATCCGAAATCCCCCTGCAAAACTCCGGGCTCTGCGGTCACCACTCACAAAAACACATGCATTGGTAATTCTGTTATTGCTAGCAACAGCCGCCCTGCAACTAGCCTACGCCTACTCGCGCCATTATGAAAACGTGGTTCTGCTGACCGGCTCCCGAATGCAGACCTCTGGATCGGTCGTCATGTCGAGACTCAAGAAGATCCGAGCTGTGGCGGCTGGCATGAATCCCAAGGACTACCAGCTGAGTGATCGGGAGGAGGCCTTCTTCAAGGTGTACCAGACCGATAAGGGAAGGGCCCTGTATACTGTGTTTGGTCCTGACGTTCTGGCCGACTGCAAGTGGTGCCACCCTGAGTCCCAATCGTCCTATTTCCTCTATTCCATTCCCAACGCTGTCGCCGCCTACGTCATTAACCTGCTCGTCACCGGAATCGCCACCTCATCGTCAATTTCGTTTCAGGCCAACTCGTGGCGAAAAACCGTGCTCTACATCTCGTTCTTCCTTCTGACTCTCGATCTGCTTCGAATCAACTCTCAGACCGGTCTCGAGAACCTCACTCGGCCTAACAACAAGGTGGAGTGGTACTTCCAGATCCTGCCTGTGTGGCGAGCACAGATCCTTGCCGGTATGGATGTCATTCTCGGCATCTGTATGTTCCTGTCCACTACTGGTCGTCTTTTCCACACTCCTGAGCCCCTGTTCCCTCGTGTCACCAAGTGGTCAAACCAGCTCAAGACCGCGGGAGACCGAGCCAAGGCCGCAATTATGATTAAGCGATCTGTGCTCAAGCACCCTGAGCTGGCGGCACAGGAAGTGGACTTCTTCGACAAGTTCAAGGCCAAGGAGCTGGAGATTGCGTCCAACGAAAAGATCCAGCAGTCGCGAGAGTCTGCTATCCAGCGAACCAACATGAACCAGGCCAGAGCCGACCTCACCTCGTTCTACGATAACGCCGTCAACATGTAGAGACGGATCAAAATAGAATCCAATAAATAAATATATACCTTGTTTAAATAGATTTTTCTTCGCCCATAAGAATGTGAACGTGCTTTCCAATGTTCGCCACGCTAGTGTTCAACTGCTCGAGCTTCTCTTCTTGTCCCAGTTGGTGGAGATACCCCTTCTTCTTCTCTCCAATGACATAGGCCCACACACAGTCCGATTCAGATAGGGCAGTTCTGAATGCGTTTCCAAGCTCCAGATTCTTCTCTGCAGTAGATCCAAACATGTCCACACAGGCAAGCGTAGTAGCGTATGAGAGCTGTTGAGTCATACCCAGATGGAGGGCTTTCTGTGCCTTCTTCATGCTCTCTTGACGGTCAAGAGAAGACATGTTACTAGTGTCATGCACCAGTCGAATCACCTCAAACATGGCATGTTTCAATCCGTGATGTTCTGGTGACATCTCGTTAATAAGCTGTTTGAGTGTGTCCATGTTTGCTGTTGAAGGGTTGATACAGCAGATATTGGCTAGAGCTGCTGGATAGAGTGGATCATCTGACTCAATACGTTTGTAGTACTTTAGAGCCTTCTTCCATTTTCCCGATGTCTGTGAAGAAAGAGCAGCCACAAGACAGCTCATGGAATATAAATCATCAGAAGCTTCTTCAGGTAGACCCTTGGAAAGGGTCACAAACCGTTCAAACGAACGGTGGCCCTTCTTGTATGCCAAGCCACTGAAATTCACCAGAGCAATGTACAGATGGACATTGCATCTGAGTGCTAGCTTCTGCGCTGTGTTGTCTGATATGTGCGATATACTGGCACGCGGCAAAGGCTCCTTGGGTATATCCTCCTGATCACGGTCCAACAGCTTGAGGCAGTCCTTTAGTAGTTCACGTCCATACTTTAAAGTCGTGTGGTGTCGAAGTGCGGCCAGTCCTAGAAGATAATAGCAATACTGGGTACACTGGCTTTGTGTGACCCACTGAATGTTGAATGTACTTCCCCGAGCTCCGGCCAACTTGATGGTTCCATCAATGTTCCAGTTCTTCCACACCATCTCCCTCTTGCTGGCCTTTCTGTTCAAGGACCGAAGCAGCGTTTCCAGCGCCTTGCTGGCCTCCTTAACGGGGATGTCACAGTCTCTACGCAGAGCCACCAACACAGTCATCATGCATCGAAGCATGGCCACCTGGGGGATTGTCTCAGTGCACTCTGAAGCCTCCTCAAATGCTCTCATGTGATCTAAGGTGAGTAGAGTCTCTTCGTAGTTGCCAACATTGTAGTCTAATGCCTTTGAAATACCGTACAGTTGCAGGAATGACTTGGGTATACTGTCTGGAAGGGTCTCCCAGGACTTGAAAATGTCAAAAGCCTGTGGCAAACTGTTGTCAAGGGTCAGATCAAAGCGTAGCAACTGGAGAGTGTGGTATGCATAGTTGTCGTACATGCCCTGGTACTTATCGAGGCATTTGTTGCAGTGGAGGAGAGCAGCATTTCTGCTGGTCTTACACAGAGCTCTCACATTGAGACACTCCATCTGTAGCACCAGATCAGATAAGCCACTTCGTTGAGCAAGAATCATTCCCTGACCTAGCACAGACACCACACGGTCCAGACACTCAGTCTCGCTGAAGAGAACCTGAGCAAGAATGTATGCCGAGTATGCTTGAGTACTCTGAGGGCAGTTGGCGTCGCGGATCACTGTCTCAAGCATCTGAATACCTGTGGCTAGCATCTGGCGGTACTGTACCAAGTGTTCGCGAGTTTTAACCAGAGGCGCCACAATCGAGGCCTGTAAAAGATGCTCATGAGCGAGATAGATGATCAGGTCTCGACATTCTGGGCTGAGGTCGGAAGGACGATCAAAGGACAAGCTGTGAGGCCCCATGCTGGTCGAGAACAGTGGGAGTTCCTTTGCATGAATAGAGTTGGATAACGAAGTACAGTGTCCTTGGCTTACCGAGCACCAGACATGTGCTGTGGATACCAATAAACAAGGCAGTACAAAGGTATAACCCCCTCCGACCATTTTGCTCGTAACTTTTGGACCCAGCTGTGCGTTAAAAAATATATATTATGCGACATAAATGTGCGCTATCGCTCCTACAAGCACACATGACCAGAATGATTTTTTTTATTTTTAGTTCGTAATCGGTGTGAGACTCAACAGCCCTAACCGTATATTTCCAATTCCAGGCATGTAATCAAGTTTTCATCCAAAACTCTGTCGAAATTTTTCTGCAGAGGTGTAGTGAGGCAGATGGCTCGAAACAAGACCTCTAGAGGTAGGAAATGCACACAAGTAGTTCTGGCTAAATATGAGTGCATTATTCTGTTATTTTCCCAGAAAATAGAACCCCGCGAATGATGTATTTTTAAGGAACAGAACCAATTTCGATGGTCTTCTACACCATTTAAGGTTTTTACCCTACCGAAGGATCGTGAATATATATAAGACCGCGTCCCCCCGATTTCCCAATTTCGAAAATTAGGCTTTGGGTTTGGGATACACACTACATACAATATGGATGCCCTCTCTGCCCCCACCAACCCTGCACAGGCACAGCAATTCGTGACCCAGAACAATCTCTCGTTCCCTCAGGATGCCGAGGCCGACACCAGTCTGATTGGAGAGGTCAAGCGAGAGCAGGTCGACTCTGGTGTCTCCGGTATCGTCCCCACACTACAGAACATTGTTGCGACCGTCAACCTGGATTGTCGGCTTGATCTGAAAACCATTGCATTGCATGCTCGAAATGCCGAGTACAACCCCAAGCGTTTCGCTGCCGTCATTATGCGTATTCGAGAGCCCAAGACCACCGCTTTGATCTTCGCATCCGGAAAGATGGTCGTAACTGGTGCCCGAAGCGAGGATGACTCCAAGCTGGCCAGCCGGAAGTACGCCCGAATCATTCAGAAACTTGGATTCAATGCCAAGTTCACTGACTTCAAAATCCAGAACATTGTCGGTTCGTGCGATGTCAAGTTCCCTATCCGACTTGAGGGTCTTGCATTTTCACACGGTACTTTCTCGTCGTACGAGCCTGAGTTGTTCCCTGGTCTCATCTACCGAATGGTTAAGCCCAAGATTGTGTTGCTGATCTTCGTGTCGGGTAAGATTGTGCTGACTGGTGCCAAGCAGCGAGAGGAAATTTACGCGGCCTTCGAAGCCATCTACCCTGTGTTGAACGAGTTTAGAAAGGGGTAGATTATTTATTGCATAGACGCTGGTTCTCGGCGAAATAAAATACTAATGATACGAGGTAAGCCGAGGGACTAACGGGAGCTTCAAGGTAAAAGAGGTACTTCACAAGAAAAATTAACATAGCATATCACCAAAACCACATAATCCAAAAAAAAAACAAAAAAACGGAAAAACCACCCATTCATATCTGTACAAGTACAGTACAAGTACAAGTGTAGCTAGAATTGTGTTCTCCCTTTTGAACAGCTGGAGGATTGACGTGTTCTGAGAGAGGCGTGGTGTTGTCGTTTAATGCCGTCATGTTGTTGGCTCTATCTGCTGAGTAAGTAAGGGCTGTACAAGTACAGACGTACTTGTAGGAGTACAGCACTGTCTACAACAGGTGTACTTTTACCGGTAGGTATCAAACTCCTTGTACTCTTACTAATATTGGCACTTGTGCTTGTACAGTACTGTGGATACACATTGTACAGCCTGAAGCCAGAGTTTTAGCGTGTCTATTTTCTACAGTGTTAGCGTGTAAGGAAACCTTATTCGTGGGTGCGAAGGTGGCACTGCCAGGCTGAGCCTTATGCACACTTGAAACAGCTTTAATAGGTGCGCTGTCAGCAGCGCTGCAATTAACGAGGAGGCACGGAGACGGGGGTCCCGTTTCAATTCCAAAAAGTAACTCTATCACCTGATCCAACGGCTCGGCTTTACTCTTATGAAAGTTCGGATTACTCTCTTGTGTGTGACAGACCACAGGAAGCATGCAGCTCGTATAGAACACATTCCACGAACCGTTTTCGAAGTGACATACCCGGTTAGATTGGCCCACCAAGGTTGTGAAGTTATGACACCCCAGACTGGTTGTTTCAGACCACAGACTACTGTATAGACAGTACTTTCTTGGACTAACAGCCTTTCAAAGCCTACAGTAGCAGAAGCCCTTCTCCCCCTACCTCCTTCCCAGCATTAGAGTTGTCCGTTACCAGGGCCACCAGCAGCCCTCTGCACCTGACTCTCGAACTCCTATCTCAACTCACAACACACAACACATTATACGCGACACCGAGAGAGCCACACGCCCAAATGAGTGCTCCTCCGTACGACAACCCGTTTGAGGTCGGCGAGTACGACAACTCGGACTCTCTACACAGGAGTGGCTCCACGCGAAGCCAAGGCAGACGGTCGTCCCGGTACGAGTACCAGTACACCAAACCTCTTCCAGGAGCACCAGGACAGTCGCAGGATCAAGGATTTTACTCGGCAGGAGGATTTTCGGGCGCACATCACCAGATCCATCCAGATAAGGGCGACCTTCCACCACTACCCGGCGAGTCTCAGGAGTATGGCGACTCCAACCTTCGAACTAGTCAAGATGGTAATTCTCTGGCTTCCTATGGAGACTCTTTCAACGGACACTACAAGGCATCTTCGCAGACCTCAAATTGGTACGAAGATGTCGAGACGACCCGGCTGATGAGAACACACACGCAGACATCGCGAATGAGCATGAACTCCAACAAGCCTCTGCCTGACCCGCTAGATGTCGCCAACCCGCGCAACAGCCGAATATACGGCACCAACTATTCAGCATATCGCGGAGTGACTCCCGCGCCACCACCAAAGGACCATTTCGTCATGGAACAATTTGAGATAGAGATGCCTGACGACGAGGAACGAGGACGAGAAGATGGCAGAAGACGACGAAGAAAGCGACGAACACCGTCAGAGGAGGAAGCGCGACAAAAGAGAAAACAACGACGACACAGAGCACGAAGATACGAGTCAAGGCAGACACAGAATCATCCGTACTTCACGTGGTTCATGACGACGGTTCACATTGCAGTGTTTGTGGCCGAGATCATCAAAATGGGAGTCCTAACTGGAATTCCCATCCAGACTCAACCCTCTTTTAACCCCATGATTGGTCCCTCCAACTATGTGCTCATCAACATGGGGGCCCGGTTCACTCCCTGCATGATGTATATCAAGGGTGTCACAGATGACCCCACATTGTTATTTCCCTGCCCCAACTCCACAACGCTTGAAACTGACAAATGTACACTAGAGGAGCTTTGTGGCATGGGAATGAAGCAGACCCCTGGCTCTGACGGCGGCTCCATCACCTCAGGGGGCCAGTGGTGGCGGTTCATCACCCCCATTTTCATGCATGCTGGAATCATCCATATCGGTTTCAACATGCTTCTGCAGATGACTCTAGGAGCCGATATCGAGAAGCAAATTGGTATTATCAGATACTTTTTTATTTACTTTGCATGCGGTATTGGTGGGTTCCTGTTTGGAGGAAACTATACTCCCGACGGTATCGCGTCCACTGGAGCATCTGGTTCACTTTTCGGCATCATTGCCATTGACCTTTTGGATCTTCTGTTCAACTGGTCCATTTTCAGGAACCCTGTGCGGATTCTGATTATTCACATCATCGAGATTGTGGTTTCGTTTGTCTTGGGTTTGCTGCCTGGTCTTGATAACTTCTCCCATATCGGAGGCTTCATTGTTGGCGTGCTTTTGGGCATCGCCATTCTGCGGTCCCCTCTAAAGGTTGTTGACGAAGGCACTTCTCTTTTCAACCAAGGCATGAGTTCTGAGGAACAAGCTCGGTTGAGACGAAGACAGCTGATTCAGCAAGAGGAAGACGACAAGAATCATCTGCTTGCGGTCTTTCCCAAGAGCAGAGACCAACTTGACCGAGATATCGAGCAGTTCAAGTCGCGACCTCGGCGATGGTACATTTGGTTCTTAGTGCGTCTTGCATGTCTTGCATTGGTGGGAGTCTTCTTTGGCCTGTTATCTCGAGATTTCCAGAACGGTGGAGGCGATTGCCACTGGTGCAAGTATCTGTCCTGTTTGCCTGTCAATGGCTGGTGTGACTTGGGCAACATTACTACTGGCGACAATTAGTCTTGGCCTAGCTAACTGCATTTAGATGAATTATGATTGTATGACTTCAGTATGTACAAGTATGTACAGTATTCAGTATTTACATAACTGGTTACATTTTGCAGAGTTATGGATATAGATTATTCAAAACATATGTATTGTATTTACACTTACAGAGACTTCTCGAGATCGGAAATATCCTTGTACACCTTCTCCCAGTCGGTCCAGTCGACCTTGCCGCTCATGGGAGGTCGAGAACCATTCTCACGGCCGAATCCAGTCGCTCGTCGGGTCAGCTCCTTGGTACCGAGAGGTCCAAAGACGTCAACAATCTCAGCAGCCCAGGACACAACGTACTGAACGTGGGCAGCCTCCTTGACAATTTCGGGGGTTCCCTTTCCATCTCGAACGAGCACAGACAAGTCGTAGAGTCGCTTGAGGGTCTTGGGGAAGGCACCAGAGACGGCATCAATGGCTCCAATGACACCAACAGTCATACAAGGCAGCAGCATCTGGCCGAGGCCGGTGAGCACAGAGAAGTCGTTCTTAACGTTCTCGGGGTCCAGGGCCAGCAATCCGTGCCAAGAGCACTCTGAGTGGGACAACTTGGTACCAACAACGTTCTTGTGCTGGGCCAGAGTGTTGAAGGTGGAGTGGTCGATCTTGAGGTTGTTGGAGACACCGGGGTAGTAGTAGAGAATGATGGGGATCTTGGCAGCATCGGCGACGGCGGTGTACCACTCGATGATACCCTCCTGTGTCAATTGAGTGCCGGCAAAGTAGTTGGGCGCCAACACCATCGCATACTGGGCTCCAGCCTCGGCCTGCAAGTTGACCTCGTCAATGGCCTCGCTCCAGTTCTGTTGGGCCACTCCAACGACAATGGTGAAGTCCTTGTGGCCAGCGTCTCGAACGGCCTTGGTGGTGGAGCGCACGAGAGACACTCGCTCCTTCTGAGTGAGGTTAACAGCCTCTCCGGTGGAGCCCAATAGGACAACACCGGTCAGTCCACTATCAGCCAGGAAGTTGGCGTGTTTGGCCTGGGTGTCGAGATCAAGCGCGTAGCCGGCAGCTTTGTCCTGGAAAAAAGTAACAACGGGGGTGTAGACTCCGTGGGGGATTGGCATTTTAATTGTGATTTTTGGACTTCGAAAGAGAAAGGGGCCACCTGATAGGACCTCCACACTTTCTACCCCCTCGGCTTGGGTTAGGGTAACGGTAACTGCACGTGCGTTAGCTCGGCATTATCACTCACAACGGCTGGTCAAGCCACGATTGTACTGGGAGTATCCTAAGCACGGCAGATACGCGGCGTCTAAATCCTCCATGTAGAGAGTGAGAGAAGAGTGAGAAGGTTTTCGGAATGCCGAGGAGTGAATAAACAGTAACGGGCGTTGCTTTTCCTTGTCTCACCATTAAAAAAGACTCTTATCGGGGCCATTAGTGGAATATAAAAAGAAAGTCCTCAACGGTGAAACACGCGCACTATAACAGCCCCGTCTCCCACTGATATGAATTTCATTGACTATACTACTTGTAGTACAGTAGCTACAGTATATATTGTAAATGCAAAAATACCTCAGATTATAAAGAACGTTCAGAATTGACTCCCCGACAAAAAAAACAACCACCAGTTACCACATAACTGGTGGTCAGCCAAGTCACTATGCGCGCTCGTAACCATATCAAATATCCGATATTCCTTCCGACCATGCACTTAGAGTTTGATTAAATCCGTCCCGATGAGTCATGTGCACAACAGTCTCCGTCGTTAGGACCCTTAGACGATGATTATCGACCTAACGAGACGCATGGATGCATGTCTACAGCTGGCCGCGCAGAGCTGTAGAGTCTTGGATGGAGCCGTTGAGCCGATTGTACGCCAGACAAATGTCTAAAAGTAGCTCGTCCTGCTCAGACTCACTCAATTTTTCAAACTCTCTTGTGTGGCAGGTATCGCGAAATTCCAGGTAGATGGGCTCCACAGCCTTCTGCGCGCCCTTGCGGTCTCCAGCCTTGTATAGGACCGACCATTTGCGGACAACCTCCTCGATGTGCTTGAGAGATTTGAACAAATCCGTTTCGTATCCCGCTTCATTGTCCAGCAGCTGTTTGAGATAAATGTGGTGGCTCCTCAGAGCGCGCTGTCGTGTGCGCACATTGGAAGATCTGACTGCCATTCGGTACTGTCGTAGCGCAGTGTTATGGCAGGATTGGACGTTGAGGGCTTGCTGAAAAGGATCCGTGGGTCTGCCAAATAGGGACATGTTGTATGCTGGATGGTTGATGTAGTTGGTGAAGATTTAAAGACACCAATATGCTGGTACGGGAGGGGAAAGAGGGACGCCAACGGCCACCACTTTTATGGTATACTATCTTATTCCGGACGCCGGTACGTAGCTAATTCCAAGCCGCATAAAGTTGCGGCATAAACCATGTGAGCTTGTGCATAATCTTGCACAATCGGGGGCGCGATTTACAGCATTATATGGCTCGGGAATATGCAGGAGCAAGCGTTATGGACCCATTAGTATCTCTCTGGGGGTGGTTTGATTTTTTGTAATTGGTTTACACCCCCTACTATAATGTGCGTTGGTGCTGAATAATTAGCTTAACATCAGCTGTGCAGCAACTCTTTCTCGCATTCAACCATGCTCCGAGTTGCAAGAATCATGAAGGTGAGTAAAAACACGATTTTTTCGGGGGTTGGAACTGGCTAACGCAGTGCCTTACATCATCCAAAGCAGCAGCGCTCGACGCTGAGCTCATGGCCCCCTCTGGAGGCTTCTCAATTGACCAACTGATGGAACTTGCTGGGTTAAGCGTAGCTCAGGCGGTTTACAAATACGACAAGTCGCTAGCGCAGGGCAAACAGGTTCTGGTTTTGGTTGGTCCTGGAAACAACGGTGGCGACGGTCTTGTGGCTGCTCGACATCTATGTCACTTGGGCGCCAAACCGGTCATTTATTACCCTAAGCGAACTGATCGGCCTCTGTTCAACGGGCTGGTGACCCAACTGCACAACCTGGACATCAAATTTCTGGACGACGTGAATAAATCTACTTTCGACTCATCGGCTCACGTTATCGACTCGCTTTTCGGTTTCTCCTTCAAGCCCCCGATCCGGGAACCGTTCCCCAAGGTGATTGAGCTGCTTAAGGAAACTAAGACCCCAACCACCAGTGTGGACATCCCATCCTCCTGGGACGTGGATCGAGGACCAGAGGACGACAATGCCTTCCAACCCTCGTCTCTGGTATCGCTCACCGCACCCAAGGGCGCATCTAGACACCTGCTACCTTCAACCCGGCATTTCCTGGGCGGCCGGTTTGTGTCCAAGCACATTGCTGATAAATACGATCTGGAGGTTCCTGCCTACGAGGGGTTGGACCACATTGTTGAGCTTACCCAGAACAATAAGGAGGCTCAGATTTAGTGAGGTGAATAGAACTCTTCATTTTTGCTCAATTGGATAGCACTCTTCTATTTGTGGTCACATATCTCGTTTGTTTGGGGTAAATTTATCCGCCTTGATAGAAAATCCGTTTTAAGGTTCCGTTGGGTTGAGGATGTGGTCTGACATACAACACCCATTGTACATAGCCCCAAAACAAGTGCTCTTGTGATCATAATTTACAATGCAATAAATACTATATACAATCTAATGTATCTGCCTTGCGGCTTTTGCCATTCGCGGCTTTTGTTTTTGTGGTGTGAGTGCCATCATTTTAGCACCTCTCGAATAGACCGCAGGGGATCACTCACAACCTTGGGGTTGGCATCGAGGTAGGCCTCAATGGCCCGCCTGTGAGCCTCGAGCTGCTTCTTTGTCTTCTCGCAGTCACGAGGCCAGTTGAACTCACCTGTCGGAATGCTACAGACCTTGTTAGGATTCAACAGAAAGTCCACCAAGGGCAGCCAAATGTCCTGCTGCCAGTATCTTTTCCAGCCTCGGGCAAACTGGTGACGGCCATCCCTAAAAGTGGTCTCGATGAAGGACCCGTGGAGCATGGTAAAAATACACGCAGCTACCCCGTAAAAGTCCGTCTGGTAGGTCCATCTCTGGCGCTTGCGCATCTCGTAACAGTCCTGATTGTCCGTATCCCAATCTGCCACAAAGGCCACATTATCGTGGAACATGCTCATGTCCAAAGAACGTCCATAGTCGATGATGATAGCTTGACGACCCTCCGAGTTGTCCACCATGATATTGTCAGGCTTGATATCACAGTGTAAGATGCCGTTATGGTGCATGGACTCCACAGATATGAGTAGATCCAGGGTCCACATGAGAGCAATACCCTCACCAATCTGGCCTGACATTTTGTTGACAGCATCTAGAATTGTACCCTTGAAACGATCCATCACCAAGACAGACTCATCCTTGAATAAATGAGCGGAATGAATCCTCAGCGGCGGGGTCTGAAGCGGGCCAATTCCCATGTTCCCACGCAACTTGAAGAGGATATAAAACTCCCAGATCGAAGCTGGTTTTTCCACCTTGAGCGCCAGAGCCTGGTTCTTCTTTCCGTTATTCACCTCCTCAGCCAGGTAGACGCTTGCAAATCCTCCCTCTCCTAACTTCTTGTTCACCTTGAGCGTGCCATACGGCTCGAGCTCCAGGAAAACAGCATTACGAGGAGAAACCTTGGCCGGAATTCCAAGACCCGTCTGTCTGCTCTGGTACAGAGACTGAGCATTTTCGACTCGTCCCAGAGCTGTCTGTGTTAGTAGTGCCCGCAATCGCTTGTCGAGCGGGTTGTATGTCGGCTGTTGCAGAGTTTTGAACGGAGGTGGGGGCGCTGCAAGCTTGAACCGCTGCTGTTGGATAACAATGGCCCGCTTGTCTGTACCTGGGGCAGTGCGCTTTGCAGCACCAGCACTACCAGGAGATTGCTGTAGCTGTCGCACTCGGTTTTGTTGCTGCATCCTCTGCTGCTGAATCTGGTGCTGGTACTTTTGGTGCATCATCTGCTGCTGTTTCACGTTCAGGCGGTTCTGCTGGTCGCGGGAAGGCGTACGTGCTGCCGGACTCGTTTCTGCAGCTCTCTCAAGGCGCTTGCGACGTCTCACAGAGTCTGTGAGCGATGCACTGGCTGGCGTTCTTTGTGGCGAAACGACGGAGGCGGCATATTTAGGCACCTCATATGCAGGTGACTCACTGTATGGCGTACTGTTCTTGTCGTAGCGATAGGGTGTTTTGCCGGAGTAGGGTCGGGGGCTCTCTGTCACGTCGTATCGTTTCGCCACATGTCGGATGAATTCAGCCTGAGGTTCGCTGGGCACTTTTCGCTTGAGGCTTTCTGTAAAGTCAGAGGTGATCTCACGCTCCCATATCTGGTCTAATTAGTAAGTATTTGAATTGCGTACATACGTGCTGTTTCAATAAGAAGAATGCATACCTTGATCAGACTCATTGTCTAAGTCGCTGTCGTCTTTAATGTCGTCGTCGTCGTCGTCGTCGTCGTCATTGTCATCATCATTTTGTTGCTTGGTGTCGTGCTTCTGACCCCCAAGCGGCTGGTTGAACATGTCGTAAATGTCATCCATGGCGCCCTTGGTGTGGAGGGTCATTGTGGGTGTTGCTGGCCGAGGACCAGTGGGGGAAGAATCCTTGACCATGATTGTGGTCGTCTTGGCCTTGGGGGTGGCCGGTCGTGCGTTGTATTTTTTCCCGTACAAACCACGCGACTTTGCGTACACTTCCTCGAGACAGAACTCGATACCTCCATCATAGAGCAGGTCCATGTCGATGGAGATGCGCTCGTTCTTTTTATCAGACTTGGGCACCTGCACCTCTCTGAATACGGTAAGCTTAGGGTGTGCAGGCTTGAGCGCTGAGGACGATGGCATGGTTTCTCCGGCCCACGGGGTAGCCTGCATGACATTTTCCTTACGTCTGACAGCGTTAGTTCCGAGGTAACCAGGTCCAGATGAAGCACTAGTGTCGGGAATTTCTTCGTCGACAAACACAGACAGCTTCTTTTTGCGTGGGGCCGCAGTAGCTGGTTCTGTTGCTCCCCCTGCTCCCCCAGAAGCGAGGGCTCCTCCAAACTTCGACGATAGAGCAGGTCTCACTGTTGGGAATGCTGGGGATGTTGATTCGCTTGGGTCAGGAGGGTTGGCGGCGCACCGCTCACAAAACTGGTGGTATCTGCGTTGTAGTCGTTCCACGGGGTGTGCATTGTTGTCAAGGCCAGCCTGATAGACTTCATTAGCTTTGTTTTTGTAGCCGTTGGTTTCTAGCCAACTGGCGTAGTCTTCGTAATAGAGAGCGAGCTGAGAGCCGATACCAAGGGATGCGAGATGGGTAAAGACTTCTCGAGGTGTGTCTGCATACTTGACATAGGTCATCCACGTTCGCACATATCGAACGTCGTTCTTGTAGTGAGGTACATTGACAAACTTGGCCGTGGCCCGCTCCAAAAGAGGCACAAGATTAGATTGAGACGTTGCACCTTGCGGATACCGGTCCTTGGTCCAGTTAATGTAATCCAGCCAGATTTGAAGCGGGTCGTCGTCCAGGTCCGAGTCCTTGATGCGCTGCTCGAACTCTTGTCGCTCAGGTTCTGCGTCCGAGGAGTTGTTGCCGAACACAGCTGCGAGCGACGCTGCGGAACGGCCTTCGCGTGTCGGCTCAATGTTTTCTTTCGCGTGCTCGAACGCTGCAAACTCCACTGGTGCCGACATGGCTGTAAGTGTGTAGGGGTTGTTTTGTATCACGAAGTTTATAATGTCATGACAACGAACATGCAGAAAGGTGTTTTGGGACTTTTTGAGTTGGCAGAATGACTAAGCTTCATATTGAAACTGTCACCAGAAATGAGAGATTGATAGCGAGTGGTGGTTGAAAAATAAATAGATAAAAACATAAATTAGAAAAAAAATTAATAAAAAAAAACATCAGAGTGGTTGTGACTGATTTGTTCTGCAGTTTTTTTTTTAGTCTTCTCTGTCCATTCACATCCAAAAACACATCTTTGGTCACTGGAAATTGCACACTGAAGTGGAGACCCCATGAATATGTGACATAAAGTAGATACAGAAGGTACGTGAGTATACTAAGGCAGCTTATATACGTCAAGTCGACTGATGCCATAGCAGTCTCTGTACAGTACAGGTACATTCCACTTTACTTCTTCACATCACTTCTGGCCAACTTGTCCCCGTCTGCAGCTTTCGAGAACCGACGCCTGGGACCTGTGTCTGATTTCAAGTGCATTTGCCTGCTTGAAAGAAGTGAGTGGTATGCTCGGGGCATTGGTGTCTTTCAGGCATGGTCTACGCTGACATTATGTGCACAAGACGTTATTCGCTTTTGCCATCTTGCTATTGTCCTTATCACCTCAGTCCTCTATAGTTAGTGTTCAAGTGCCTGTAATTTCAGGATCGGAACTTCGCACACATTACTGAGCTTGCTTTCACAATGCTGCATTACTGTACGAGTAGTGAGATTCTCCACAGAACGATAAGCTACATACTGTGGGGTAGGTATAGTATGTCACCTGATATGAATTATACCACAAAAAATCCAAGATGACAAAGATACTACAACCTCATCTTTATCCTTTTATATTTTCCCACCATCCTCTATCACCTCTTCCTCTGACCCTGACTCAGATCCCTGCCAACTTTATTAATATAAAATCTTGCATGCAGAACATGAGTCAAGCGTAGTCTAGTTTCACAGAAACCACCCTCACAATCCCCAATCCCTTCAGCAATGGACTCGAAAACAATTGGTATTCTTGGAGGAGGTCAGCTGGGCCGAATGGTCGTGGAGGCTGCCCATCGACTCAACGTCAAGACTGTCATTCTAGACGCCCCCAACTCTCCCGCCAAACAGATTCATGCTGGAGAGCATGTCGATGGCTCCTTCAAGGACCCTGCCGACATTGCTAAGCTTGCCTCCAAGTGCGACGTCATAACCGTTGAAATTGAGCATGTGAACGCCGACACTCTGGCCGATCTCCAGAAGACTGGTGTCGAGGTTCACCCTTCTCCTGAGACCATCCGAATTATCCAGGACAAGTACCGACAGAAGGAGCACCTGATCTCCCACGGCATTCCCGTTGCCGAATCCTACGAGGTCACCGAGTCTACTGAGGCTGCCCTTGTCGTTGCTGCTGAAAAGGTCGGCTATCCTTGTGTTGTCAAGGCCAAGACTCTTGCTTACGATGGTAGAGGCAACTTCGTTCTTAAGGGTCCAGAGAATGTCAAGGAAGCTCTTGAGTTCCTCTCCGACCGACCTTTGTACGTAGAGAAATGGTGTCCCTTCGTCAAGGAGCTCGCTGTTATGGTTGTCCGATCTACCGACGGAACCACTGTTGCTTACCCCACCGTCGAGACTGTTCAGAAAAACAACATCTGCCATACTGTCTACGCCCCCGCTCGAGACGTTTCTCCTTCCACCCTGTACGAGGCTCAGCTCGTTGCCGAGAACGCCATTAAGTCCTTCACTGGCGCTGGTATCTTTGGTGTCGAGATGTTCCTGCTCGAAAACGGCACGATTGTTCTCAATGAGATTGCTCCTCGACCCCACAACTCCGGTCATTACACAACAGATGCCTGCTCCACCTCGCAGTTTGAGGCCCATGTCCGAGCCATTCTTGGTCTGCCTCTTTTCCCCGAGATGGCCCAGATGCGAACAGCAGACACTCATGCCATTATGCTGAACATTCTAGGAGGTGACAAGCCCGACAGCGAGCTTGAGTACTGCAAGCGGTCACTTTCCGTACCTGGGTCCACCATCCATCTCTACGGCAAGACCACGAGACCCGAGCGAAAGATGGGACACATCAACATTGTTGCTAGCAGCATGGACGAATGCGAGCGACGGCTGGCCAAAATATCTGGAGAGGACATCGAGGAGGCACCAAAGACTGTCGAGGGTGTAGCAGGAACCTCTAAGACCCCCCTCGTGTCTATCATTATGGGCTCGGACTCCGATCTTAAGGTCATGTCTGCCGGAGCCGACATCCTGCGGAAATTTGACATTCCCTTCGAACTGACCATTGTGTCTGCCCACCGAACCGCCCACCGAATGGCTAAATTTGCCGCTGAGGTTGCCAGCCGAGGTGTCAAGGCTGTCATTGCCGGAGCTGGAGGAGCCGCTCACCTTCCCGGAATGGTTGCCTCGGAAACCACTCTGCCAGTCATCGGTGTCCCCGTTAAGGGCTCCTCTCTGGACGGAGTTGACTCTCTCTACTCCATTGTGCAGATGCCTCGAGGCATCCCCGTGGCCACCATGGGTGTCAACAACTCCACCAATGCTGCTCTGCTGGCCATCCGAATTCTGGCTGCTTACGACGCCACCCTACACATTCGACTGGCCGAGTACATCAAGAACATGGAGAAGGAGGTTCTTGCCAAGGCCGACAAGCTCGAGACCATTGGATACGAGCAGTACCTCAACCAATAGTTCTAGACGCACAAAATTATCTATATGCACACTGTAAGACGTTAAATAAGAATAAATTGAAATTGCTGCAATATCACATCGCTATCTGTGGGTCATCTTGTCTTTTAACAGGTCGTGGCAATGCAATGCTAGGTAAATGATTTTTTCTCATTCTCTAGCTTCTGACACTCCTGTAGTCGGGTGGCCATCCTCTCTTTCCTCCTCTTCTTGTTCAATTTCTGTCGTAGATTGTTCCAAGCCATAGATTCAGTCTCCCGAACTGCTTTGAGAACCAAGCGCATTGACATATTGTGTGCCTTGGCTGCACTTTCTAAGACAGCCATGTATAAAGGAGGTCCCTGGAGAAAGAGTTCTTTATGGGTCGTCTTAAAAGATTCTATTTCTTTTGGCGCTGGCCCTGGTAACGGAACTACTTGTTCGTTCAAAATCGTCGCAAGGTCCGTGGGAGTCACCAGGGGCTCTTCCGATGGGGTATGAAGAGGGAACATGTCGTTGACACGCTTCCATTGAACAGGAATAGGCTCGCGTTCAATATTCATCATGAGTGACCGGTGATATATGTCAAGAAACTCGTTGTATCTTTCGTCAGTCCAAGCCGGGATGTCCACTTCGTCAGTGTAGAGGGGGTCTTGAAAGTAGATCTCAGCCAATTCCGACCAAAGCTTCCAGTATGGAGATTTGATATCCTCGTCGTAACTCTGCCACGACTTGTAATAGGCGATTCTGGCCGCGGTTATTACAAAACTCGCAGTTTCCATAAAACTACTAAACCCTCCGGATGTCGACATGTCGCAGTACTCATCAATATCACATCCCTTTGCAAGGCATATGGTTCGATCTATGATGCCCAACGGAAGCATCAGAACCTCCACGGTGTGCATGATTGGGATTATCTTTGGCTGTGAGATTATGACGCCTTCCCTTGCCAGTGCCTTAGCACATGCAAGAACTCCGCGCCCGAAACTTTGGCTGGATGGTGGTTTCTTCCAGGCACACCAGGAACGCGAGCCCGACATATGCAGACGTGCTTCTTTTGAAGTGAACCTTGCACCCACATCATCATATGGCAGTTCCCCCGACATGATCCATCCCAGTATCTTAATGAATGAAATAGGATAGCCGACTTGAACGAGAGCCAAATACATGATTTCAATGGCCATTTTCTGAGAGAGTAGCAGTGGAGTGCTTGTACCTGTATCGCATGGCTCGGAATGCACTCCACCCTCCAGGTCGTAAGACGATCGTCCGAAGTCGGTATACTTGATCAAGACACTCCACAGTTCCTTCACCACCTCCTCGAAGTCGGTATCCAAATCGAATTTCTGCATGGCCCAGTGTGTGTAAAAGCGAAGCACCTCCTGGAAGATTTGTGCACGAAGCGCATAGACCCGTGAACCAAACCATCGTTGCTCCTCCTTCTCTCCATCTTTCATGGCACTCACCGAACCTATAGTCACCTTTCGTCCTCCACCCAGGTCTCCTTCGTCTTGATTGTCGTATTCATACTCGTCTTGGCGCTGATGACCGTATCTGCAGAAGGTACGACCAGCAGCCGACCGCCACAAGTCCGAGGGACAATTGTCGATGCCACAGACGGGACCCTTTTCCCAATTCATAGTGGTGTGTATGTGTAGCTTTCACTTCATATGAAGAAATGTAAGTACAGTAGGTTGGTGGACGCATCTAGCATGCACGCTTCTCAAGCCTACTTGTACACACTGAAGGCGAACAAGGGGAGCATATAAACACAGTGGAAGCATTTCTGGAAGAAATTCTGGGCATACAGAGCCTGCTATTCTGTTCAGCATTCAAATACCACTAGTTTTGTGTAATCATATATCGACTCATTTTTCTTTATTTCACTACATACTAACCCTGGTATCGCATGTAGCCCTGAGGGGGCTGTCCAGGAGGCATGGGAACTCGGTAACCAGGAGGTCCAAAAGGTTGCTGCACAAATTGGGGGCCATACTGATACATCATGGGCGGTACTCCCTGAGGCATCTGGTAGAACGGCATCATCACGGCTCCGCCCCGCTGGGGAGACATGGCGTTGTGAAGGAAGGGGCGCTGCATGGTCAGTTGCTCTAAGGGAGGGAAAAGAACAGAGGAGTCTGCTGCCGCTTCCACGGTGTGCCAGGTCGGGTGGGTCTCAAATGCTCGAGGGAAGGGGGTGTTTTCGGCCTTGGGTTTCTTGAAGGGGTTGAACAAGGTGCTGAGAGGCGCCCGGTCCGTCTTTGGCGTAGAAGAAAAGAAAGCTGGAGAGCTGGGCTCGGGAGCGGCTGCTGTCGCCAGCTGGGCGTTGGTGTCCTTGGGAGTGAAGGGCTTGAATTCGGGCGCCTTGAAGTTCATCTTGAACTTGGGTTTTGATGGCGACGACTTAGCCACGGGTTCAGGCTTGTTGTCAGCAGCTGTTCCACCATTCTTGTCAGCGGCAGCTGGTGAAGACGACTTTTCGGAGCTCTTGTCGGCCTCCCGGCTCATCTGGATGGACGAGAGCTTGGAGGACAGTGAGTCGAACATGGGCGAAGCCACTCGGTCCAGATGTGCATTGGCCGCCTCGGGGGAAGTGGTCTCGGAAACGTCTCGAGACTTGTCCTTGGCCAGGATGGGACGCAAGTCCTCGGGAACAGGGGTATTGATCTTGTAATCCTGTGAGAACTTGCGCAGGTCGTTGAGCCGGGCGGTATCATGGTGAGTTTTGGCAGCCTCCTTCTGCGACACCATTCGGTTTCGCTCTAAGTCAATGAACTTTTGGTATCGGGACGCCAGCTCCTTCTCGAATCCGGGTTTCTTGGAGGCCGAGGGAGCGGCTGTTGCAGAGGGGTCGTTGAGAGGCAGTCCGGGGATTCGGTTGCGCTTGGGCACTGCAGCCGAGTCCACCAGTTTCTGCTCCAGTCTCGACATGATGTCCGGCTGGGAAGATGTGGGGTTTGGCTTCCTGAGTCCTCCGGCAGAAATGATGGCCGGGTCATGGGGCAGCTCGGCTCGCTGAGAAGGAGGAACATAGGTCTTAGTTCGGTCCACTCCCGAGTACTTGTCTTCCTCGTCCATGCCCGAGTCATCCACCGTGTCTCCTCGCTCCTCTCGCTGATGCGCGTTTCCTCCAGTCTGGCCCTCAATCTCGTCTGCCAATCGCTGGGCCCGTCGCATCTTGGCCTGGTAGTCGGGACCTTCCGTGTTGATACGGGTGGTGTAGAGGTGTTCATCGTAGGTGGAGGGCACTCCAAATCGGTCGGCGTTGACTGCAAACTGGTCCCAGGAGCCCGTGCCCGATTCCTCGAGTGTCAGAGCAGAGGTGGCGGAGTCGGCATCCGGAGTCCATCGCTCCAATTCTCGCTCAGCCACTGCCCGCCGGCCACTGATGTCTGTGTCGGTTCGGAACTTGCGCTGGTCGACCTGTAAGGGCGCGGATAGAGCCACAGCCACGTCGACAATGTCTTCGGGCTGGAAAACCAGCTGCTTGGCCCCCGAGTCAGCAAACCGCATGCTGACTCCCAAGTCGCCCTCAGTGCAGGCTCCCTCCAGCAAGCCGTGGATAGAGTCGCCGGAGGCGGTGGTAACGGTAACGTGTTCACCCACGGACTTGGCTAGCAAAAACAGCAGTCGGTCGTGCATGTGGCGAGCGTGAGTGGGGCTGGGCTCAGGTCGCTTCCACTTGTTGGCCGTCTTCTTATCGCCCCGGTCTCGGTCGGACCGGTCCAAGCGATCGGAGCGGTCAGAGCGGTCCCCTCCCACGGACTTGCGCTGGCGGCTTCCGCTTTGGTTCTTCTTGATCTCTGCCATCTCGTATGGCTGCACACGCCGATGCTTCCTTAGAGTGGTGATGTGGAAGATTGGAAACTCAAATGCGCCCCCCTCGCTGGGACTATTTACTGTACTACGTACGTGATGTTGATGTGACGCATGCAGTGGGGCAACACACAACAGTGCACACATGAAACGAGGTTCAATTTTATGCGAAATATATATATGGGCCGTAACGGGGGCCCCTCAATTACAACTACACAGCGGGAACACCCACCTGAGGTCATATTATTCGATTCCCGTGAACCTAGCCCGAATCTACAAGTAGTCGCTTTTTGGAGTGTGAAATACAGACACAGACTACATACGTATTGCACATACTGTACTTGTACGTACAGTACTGTAGCTGTACGAGTACCGCTAATGTGGTCTCAATTCTGATACAAGTCCACGAGTTTTTCCTGCGTTAGGCAAGAAATATGGGCACACACCTTTTTGCACGGAATATACAGGCTTAATCCGCTCTTAGTTTGGCAAGCACAAAGACCCCAGAACCCTGACCTTACCTATCCCACAGATCCTTAATTTAATCAACCGTTGTCAATACAGTAGCTATCATCATGTCTACTGTATACACTCTCAAGGGATAAGGAACGCGGGAGTTTCACACAGCCAACGCAACATAAGAGTTCATATCATTCCATTATATATCTCGCATACATTCTGCGTGGCAGGTGGTTCCAATTGACCTCAAAAGAACGAGTTTCTAAGACCAATGGACCAGATGAAGGCTACATTATTGGGGCTGGCACACTACCAGTCACGTGCCCATGACTATTTGTACAGTCCATACAGATCGGTAGGTCTGATGTCACTCATCGGGTATGTTCGTCTACATTGCAGCATGAAGTAGTATTGTATAGCAATTAGTTTGATAACATTTCTAATAAATAATTCAATAAATAATTTCTCTACAAATACCGGATGTACTGTGTGAGTACTTGTACTGTAGCTACAGTACGTTGGTGGGCAAGGATGTGTTCACTGGAACTCGCAGTCCTTCACAAGAATTCATCCACCTTCGCAGACACTTCTAGGACTCTCGAATGGTCTAAAATATCAACAATTTTGGTAAGATCTTGATCCAATGGCTCCAGCACTTCCTTATCGATATCTCTCTCACAGTATCGATAGCTGATAGCTGCGTTTTCCTCAGCCACATTCTCCGCACTGCCTTGTAAAAGTGCATGGAGGTTCCCCCTTCGTTCCTCAATCTGGTTGTCCAATTGTAGACTCTTTTGAGCCAGTTTCTGGTGCTGTTCAATAGTTCTGGCCAGCTCGTTTGTCCGGCGACGCGTCACTTCCTGCAGTGCTTCAATCTGCTGTGCCAGCTTGGCTCCGCTGTTTTCAAGCTTTTCCATCTGAGTGTATTGATGTGAAGCGTCGAAATTATTGCCGAGCGACTTCGGCACGGGGAACCGGTCGAGACGTCTCGAAAGACGTCGTTGCAAGTGTCCCAGGTCCTCTGATATCCGCACCTTCTTAGGTTCGCTGTGAGCTCTTGCCAGTATGGGGAAAGTTGCTTCTTCGAGAATAGTTGCAACCTGGAGCCGTTGATCGGTCTCCAGAGGTCTGTTCAGTGCGCTCCTTCGCACCGTTTTTCGCTTCTTCGTCAATTTCGGCTTCATTATCGCGTTCAGTGTGGGTGTCAATGTTAGACACGCACGTCTCATTTTCATTTAGCTTTGGCATCAAGGTTCACTAAGGGCAGGCTCCCGCACATCACCACGCTACAATACAGTAAGTTGGACGTCGAACATCAGAACACACACATCACGCAAAACAACAGACACATCACAAAATGGCCGACATCCCAAGGTGAGTATCTGCTACCACTGCATTGGGTGGCATTGACTACTTGGCTGTCGCAACAACTAACACAGATCCGTTCTCAACAAGCTTGTCTTCTTCACAGCATGCATGATCCTCTTACCGTTGACCTGTTTCTTCACCGCCCAAATGTTCACTGACAATACTCTCATTTCCGGCGGTCTGGCTGCCTTTGTGGCCAACGTTGTTCTCATTGGCTACGTCATCGTGGCCTTTCTGGAGGATGTGCCGGTCGACGAGAAGAAGGAGCAGTAAATGAGGGGGAAGAAATAGGTGACAAAACTGTGGGTTTAGACGGGCGACCTGATTGATTGGATTGATATAATCCATCCATCTACGTTCTATTTATCCCAATCTGATGCTACGTACCAGAGACCGCTACCATACGAAACACACAAATAGATCAGTATAATTTAAATAGTTATTTATACACCTTTGTACAGATTTTAGTAGATGCCTGGGATGATAGCGCTGGGAACAGCCTTCTTGTATTGAACCCAGAGCTCCTTGTACTTCAGAGCACACTTGTGGTCATCTCGCATCTCTCGATGGACCAGCAGCACTCCAAAGTAGGCCACAAAGAAGTAAGGGAAGATGCTCTCGTAACCAGTGGCAAGACACCAGGCCCAAGAAATGAGCCAGTCTCCTAGGTAATTGACATGTCGAGCTGCACCCCACCAGCCACTGACGATGAGCTTGTTGCCCTTGTCGTTCTCAATGTACCTCAGGTGAGGAGCGTCTCCGTGCTTGAACGCATTCTTCTCATTGTTTGAGGCTCGGAAAATGTAGTATCCGGTAGCAAAAAGAGTCACAATGATACCAGCATACCATAGAGGGTACTCAATCGTTCGGGTAGACAGGTATCGGGCCTGAACGGTGTACACAAAGGGGACCCAAGCAAGATCTCCAAAGGCCAGCATGAACCCGAATCCATCAGTGGTGATATCCATCATGTGGATGGCTCCATACTCCTCCCAGTTTCCCTCTACTACATAATAGATCTCCATCAGAACAACAAGTGCCATGGGGAGAGACACAAAGCCCTTGGTGATGTACTCATGGTGAGCCATTGCAAGATTGAGCACAGCCCACAGAAGCAGACCAGGCCGCATCTCGCAAAAGTACTTGATGTCAAAGGAGCCGATTCGGGGGTTAAGCTCTCGGCCAATGAACCAGTCGAAAATGGGGTTTCCAGAATTACCTCCAACAGACAGAATGCAGTCGTGAGTAAAAGAGGCCACGTAGACGTAAGTGGCAACAATAAAGGACCACACAATGGCAGACGTGGCAATCTGGACGTAGTGGTCGTAGCAGAACACAAGTTCGGGCATAGCTCCTCCAGTCTGCACCCATCGAGCAGCCAGAATGACTGCCAATGTGGTCATTACGGTCTTTCCATTCAAATTGTACTTGAGTCGGGTCTTTCCATCTCGCAGAACCACCCCTTCAGCCACGGGGCCAGGCAGGATCAGATCACATGCTGCCAGGGAGAAGAACCAGGTCAGATAGACGCCGAAGACATTGATATCAAACAGAGGCATGGCTCTTAGTTTGGTCATCTCCGCTGACCAGTCAATATTCAGCACACCAGCCACTGTGCAAGACTCTGGAGTGCATCCGATCTGTAGAAACAAGATGAAAAGCGGCAGCGTAAGGGTGATAAAGGTGGCTCCAGGGATTCCAAAGAAGTCGAGGTCCGTGGTCTTGGGGTTTAGTCGCTGGGTTTTGCCGTCAATGACCGTCGTTTTGCTCTTGGCTGTCATTTTTCAAGTGGTGTCTATGCTGTGTGCGAAGACATGATGGACCATCTCGTGTTTATAAAGTCAGTTAGAGTTGCATGTGCATACGACGGAAACGACATGACCGATATGAAGTTAGCGAGGGGGCTGTACAAGTACATCAAGAGCGCGGCAAACAATCCGCACCGTCTCGGATCATTCAGGGTGAAATCGCCAACAGCTTTAATACAATACTAAAACAAGGGGACTAATTGAGTTGCAGGGTATCAACGACTTGCATTACTCACTCGATCACGTTGGCGGGAGGGGGGACTAATGATGACGTAATCCGGTTTCCATGAGTACAGGTACAATACCACAAGTAGGAGTCTAGTTGTTTTTAATATGTTTTGTTTTTTGATCGATAAAGAGTAATTATTAACATAACTGGCTTAATTTGTTTGGTTTTAGTGCTCTAATTATTATTCGGAACCTTTCCTTGAATTTCCATAATTTTCCTCCATTTTAAACAATTTCACTCCAACATCACCAACCTAAAGTGCAACACCACCCCAATCCAACTCATCAAGACAACAGCAGCTAGCCATCACATCTTCATACAATGCAGCAAATATCGCTTTACGCCAAAATCAGCAACTCACAACTCAAGATATGCCTCCATGCGCTCGCTTCGCTGACAGGAATGGACCCCATAACTATCCTACAACACACCATGGTGTGGGCTCCAGCACAGAAATACACCCCTAAAATCCTGCCAGGACAAGGAGGGCAACTGGATCAGTACAGAATCCACGTCACCAACGATAACAAGAACGAAGATAAAGAGAAGATCATCAGTTACGTGCAGAGCAAGGATTCCAAGGAGGATATCCATAATCTGGCAAATCGACAATGGCACTTTCAGATCATGGAGATGCCCGAGGCAGGAAAACAAAAGACCACATCACAGAGCATTTCATCATGGAGCGTTAAGAAGGGTGACTCTTTTCAATTTTTACAGTCGCTCGCCTACAAGTTCCAATATGAGTATTGGCAGAAGGGCTTTCAGTTTGTGTACGGCAATGCAGTGATTCAGCTGACTCGTATTCATATTCTGGACCAGACCACAAAGAACATCAAGCTGCTGGACCCTTCGAAACAGTGGCTGGTCAAGGTGTACATTGATGTAGGGCATTTGACGGACATTGAGGCTCTCAACAAGGCCGTCAAGGAGCTGGAGAAGGTCAAGACAGAATTGCATGGACTCATGAATCTCGAGATTCCCGATAGAAACGCTTTCGACACTCGAATTCGATAATCAGATGCACTTACACAAGTACAAGTACTTTTACGAGTACTGTAATCTGTACTCTGTGCCTTGCATTTCCTCACCAACATAGACTTACAACACTTAATAAATTAGACTATAACCATTTATTATTTATATTCAAAAATAGCAACATGAACACCTACATACACCTGTGCTAGTATTGTACCGGTACAGTACAACTACTGTACAAGTACAACCCCACACACTATCATATTCTATCAATCAATTAGTTATGGTTTTATTTTATTTCCAAGCCGTGGCCCAGTGCCAATTTATCTCTTCTCCTTCTTCTCGTTGAGCTTTCGTCGCTTCTTGAGCTCGGCCTCTCGGTCGCTCTTCTTGTCGTTGGAGTACTGCATCTTCTTGTACAGCTTCTTCTGCTTGTTGGACATCATGATCATTCTGAGCTTCTTGTCCTCCTCTTCCTGTTTTTCAGCCTTGGTCATCTTATCAGCCTTTCGCTTAGCCTTCTTGGGAGCAGCAGCGGGGTCAGCCTTGGTGCCCTTAGCCTCAGCCTCAAGCTCTCGCTGGTGCTGCTTAGCCTCGGCCTCGGCCTCTTCCTCCTCATCGTCCTTGTCGTAGTCTTCAGGAGCAACCTCAATGTCCTCATCATCCTCATCATCATCAGAAGCATCAGAAACATCAGCGGTAGGATCGTAAGTACCAGCATCTCCCCAGGGGGAAAGATGGGCAGGGAGACGCTCTCCAGGGGCGTACTCAGAAACGGGAAGAAGCTTTCCTTCATTAATGGAGTCGAAGACCCACTGGGGCTGAACGTACGTTCGACCAGGGACTTTCTCTCGAAGAGTGGGTCGATCTGTGATCTGGTGAGTGACGCTGGCGAGATTGAACTTCTGCTTAAGAGTCTTCTCATCAATGACGTTACCTCGGGTCTCGTCCTCATTGTCGATGAGTTCGTCCATGGCAGACTCAGAAATGACCTTTCCTCCAAATGCGATGATCAGGAACTCAATGATATCAAGGGGAACCTCTCGACCAATGAAGATAGTGAAGTTAGAGAAGAGCTGACCGGCGGTAGAGTTGAATGTGGGCTGGGCAAGGGCGTCACCCTTCTCGGCGGAGAAGGAGTCCAGTCCGTCGTCCTCGACTTCCTCCTCTTCCTCAACCTCCTCCTCCTCGCCGGCATCAGCCTTAGCAGCCTTGGACAGAACGGCAGCAGACACGTTCTCGACCTTTGCCTCGGAGTTACCCTCAATCTGGGGGACAACACCGGCGTTCTGTCGAGACTCCAGCACGTACGCATTGATACCTCCAACACCACTGAGCTTGGTGGAGTTGATGATGGGAGGGAAAACAAGACCGTTCTCATTGTAAAGCTTGTAGAGAACGAAATGCAGTAGGGTGGTGTAGAACTCGAGGAATGTCAGCATGACTCGGAAGTCAATATCGGCAGGAATGTTCTGGGGGAATCGGAAGGGCACGAGCCACATGACCTCGACTCCTCGAATGTTGGCAGAGTAGTAGACTCCCTTGATGGAAACAAACACTTTTCGCACAAGTCGTTCTCGGGCAACAAAGGCCATCCACTGGGTGCAAATGGCCTCGGCTTCGGAAACAAGTCGAGCAGAAACGTCGTCGGAAGCAGGCAAAGCGGCGAAAAGGAACAGCATGGACAGAGCATCGTCAATATCTCTCAGAGCGTCCATGAAAGTGGGGTATCGCTCCTTGATGATATGGTCCAAATGGTATCGAGGTCGGTTCTCGTCGATTCGCTTGGCATCATGAAGATCGCCTCGACCAAGAGCTCGGGTCAGCTTCTTGGCAAAGGTCTTGTGCTCTCGGAACTTGTCGAGAACGGGCTCATGCAAAAGGTACTGAATGTCCTTGGCGTAGTAGAAGGTGACGGGAGCTGTGGATCCCTTGTTGGCCTTCTTCTTGCTTCGGGGCTCTCGAGGGTAGATACCCTTGAAGATACAGAGCCGTCGGAAGTCGGCAAGCGAGACCTGTAGCTTTCGGATAGCCTGAGTTCGAGTGATGAAGTTTCGAGCGGCTCCAGCGGTATGCTTTTTCTTGATCTGGCCCATTGTTGTGTGTGTGAAGAGTAACAGACTTCTGAATATTTTTTTGGGATAGGATTTTTACAATGCATAAACTCTATAAATTTCTGCTGGGACATTTTTTTCGCCCAATGCATGGATTGCTTAGTAATCAGGGAGTTGAATGGTGCCAGGTGAATATAATATATTTGGTAATTTCGGATGCAAGAATGAATATTACCATGTCTCACCATGCCATACTCCTCATTATATAAGGCCACATACTTATACAGTAAGAAGTGTACATCACTTATCTGTGGATTAGGTTTTGCTGCCCTCATCGCCACTAATAAGGCAGTATCTTTTCTCAAGTAGACTTGATAGGCATCGTCTGCAGCAACATCCACCTCCACACCTCTTCTATCGCAACCATACCCATGAACTTCTTCAGAGGCAACATCGTTCTGGGGAGACTGGCTCCTGGTTTCTGGAAGAGTACTCAGACTCTGGGCTCCACCTCCAACCCCATTGTCAAGAATGTGGTCGGTCCTACCCCTGGCCAGATCAACACCATGTTCCGGCAGATGCAACGACTTGGCAAGCGGGGTGGCATTGCTGACATGCTGAAGGAGACCCGAGGCAAGTTCAATGCCCTGAGGAACGATACAAAGACGTTTGCATACAACACAAAGGGCCTCTTCACGGCTCGACCCTTCACCAACTTCGCTTACGGCGATGGTGCCCGATGGATTTACCCCGGAGGTGATCCCACCAAATACATTCTGGCCAAAGCTCTGGCCTTCTCTATCGGTACCATTGTTGTCTCTTACTTTGCCTTTCCTCTGTTGTTCAAGTATACACCCATTGGCGTGTTTGCGCAGCGGCCTGACTGGATGATCTCTGCCATCATCGGTGTCAATGCTGCCTTCTTCTTGCTGTGGAAGTCCGGTAACCCCTGGATCATCCGATTCATGTTCGAGAACATGCTTCTCAAGACCGGGCCCGGTTTCCGACCTGCTCAGCTTATTGGATCAGCCTTCTCCCACCAGGAGTTCTGGCATTTCTTCGTTAACATGTTTGTGCTCTATCAGTTTGGTATCCCTGTTGCTATGACCATGGGATCTGCCTGGTTCTGCCACATGTACATGACCTCTGTTGTTGTCTCTTCTTTCACCTCCCTGCTCGTGCCTTCTCTGCTCGGCCGAGCAATTATGTCTCTGGGTGCCTCGGGAGCCATCTTCTCCGTTGTTGGTGTTTTCTGTTCCGTCTTTCCTGACGCCACTATTGGTTTCTTCTTCGTTCCTCTGCCTTTTGGCGCATGGTGGTTCTTCCTCGGTTCCATCGCCATGAACGTTGGAGGTATTGTTGGAAGATGGGGTCGGTACGATTATGCTGGACACTTGGGTGGATCCCTGTCTGGTCTGTACTTTGGCTGGAGAGTTAACCAGTTCCGATCCGAGATGCGAGAACGAATGAAGCGACGAGGATACCCCGGTTTCAACTTTTAAACATTATGTAAATTATAGATCCATGATATAGATAAGCAGGTCTCTGTTCCTTCCACTATCGTAGTACATACTGTACCTACAGTACATACTGGAATGTATGTACAATGTAGTCTTAGATGAGAAAAGCGCGTGCGTGTGTGTGTGTGTGTGTGTGTGTGCGTGTTTTGTATGCATTAATCTACTTGTATATCCATTGTATGTACCGGTACTGTTAATTTCATTGGGTGGGCTCCTCCTGCTTAATATCACGGCTGACAACGAAGAATCGGCCGTCCTTCTTCTCGGCACAACTCAGAGCATCCCATAGAACCTCGGGACCAGGCTCTCCAGAGTCCTCAGCTGTGAGCTGCTCGTATGTAAAGTCCTTGATGGGAGTAAGGCAGGTCAATGGAGCCACTCCGCTGACATCAATGTCGTGAATATGAGAGACCAGGTTTACCTGAGTTCGGAGAGTCTTGATGAGAGAAAACATGGTCTCATCGGAATCAGGCATTGGCAGTGCAGCACTCTTGAAGATGGGTGCCAGCTTTTTTGAGACCTTCTGGAGGGTCTCTGAGGTGATTTCGTCAGAAGAGTGGTCTGAATGCGACAGAAGTTCATCTGTGGACCATTGGTTTTCCGGGCTGTTCATAACCTTGAGGATGTGCTTTTGGTCCTTCATTTTGATGAATCCATCGGATGAGAAGTGGATTCCCCGCGAAGAGGCCATCTTGACAGCATTGTGTGACACTCGGGCGATTCTAAGCATTTTCGTGTTTGTGGTGGTGGGATTGCTCTTTTTTGGCTTCAGATCATGCAGCCCACAGGTTAGAGATGGCTTAGTAAGCGCTAAAGATGGAGACGTGGAAGGATATCGGAGTGAGTGGCCCCCGCCCCCCTACTATAAAGTGCAGGAGAGGCGTGTGATTGAGAGCACGACGATTGCGTTGAGCCCCTACATCGAGCTGTTGGCCATCTCGACATGCAAATGCTGTTGTAAGACACGACAAGTACTGGTACAGGTACGAGTACAGTATGTACATACTACACAGTACAGCAAGTATCCTAATTACATCAATCGCCTGTCATTACAAGCCCACAACGTGTCGCCGGTACATTCCAGTACAAGTACATACAAGCATTTATTTTTATTTTATAATAACATAATACATTAGATGTGTGCTTGCTGTCTACTCCCGTCAGCTGTCAGCTGTCATCCGCCACCAGCGCACTTACTTTCCTGAATCTGACTACGAGTCGTAGCTACCAATACAGCCACTTCTGCCTGTGGCCGATTTTAAAGCTTTTCTCACATCTCCAGCTCGCTGTGTTCTACTACGGAATGCCTTTCGACGACAACTGGGTGGGACTGTCGTGCCTGTGATTTCATCACGGACTGCGATCATCAAGACGGTTTATGCGACGTACAGATTGATGCAGTGGGTTTCGCTTCCCACTCATTGGGTATCAAGGGCGGAGTGCGGCATCTATGTCCTAGTACTTACATTTACAACCCTCCTGGGGAGCCACTGGGACCATAGATTCTTCACATATTCAATGGGACATGTCGACGAAGTTTTTATTGTGTTCTATTGCACTGTATGAATACCTGGTACAGTTCAACCTATTCCTACCCGGCCCTCCGACCAATGAAATGTGAACTTAGCCCACGTGCAGAATCCATGTGGGAAGTTTCATACATGCAGGACCACATGTGTGCCCTGGACGTGTGCAAAGACCATTACCAGTATACACAGAGCTCAAGTAGCATCATTCTGGAGTCCTCGTGTCTCAGTATTTGCCGGTTACGAATATTCCCGTCAGACCCAGCATATACGGCCGTATACTTTCCGCATTGTGAAGATTATTGTGAATCGTATTTTGGGTTCGTGGAGATAGGTCAGTGTAAAAAGACTGGGGGAAGCTGTTCGCACCCTGGATCACCGACGGTTGGAAGAAAACGGTTCACTTGCAAGCCTAATCCACCCGATAATGTCGTTTCTGCAGTCCATTGCAATTTTTCCTCATTTTTCATCCTACTCTTAGCGTATTATGACCTTCAGAATTAGTGCGGTTTGGCTAGGGTAGAAACTCTATATGGTTAGGTTCAGATCGGGAGGCGTAATCTGGTGAAAAAACGTCGGAAGACCAGATACAGCGTGCTGGGGAGCAAGAATCAGCCAAAAGGTTATGGTAACTCGTATATATCCCCCTTTTTTCTAGAATCAACCTGTTTCATATTCCACGCTATCTGGCGTAATCTCCAAACTTCCCACGGTTTTACCCTACCAAAAACGTACATCGAACTTTATGCTGGTTAGCGACGACGCTAAAGTCGACGAGGATATCAATCCTTCTTCACTTGGTAACGAGCTTCACAGAACACACATTCACACAAAAGTGAGTATTCCTGAACGGCGCGGGGTGGGAGAAGACATGGGTCAGTCTCGTGATGAGCATGTGACCATGGTAGAGCCCTGACAAGTACCTGCTTTTTCATTTCGAACTTCCCTCTGGACAGCCATCACACATACAACATCGACGACAATGACGAGTGAGACCTAGGACAAAAACTGCGTGGTTTCAAGGAGCCCAGACAGAGTCCACAACAATGGAAAACGCCTCGATATTCTCTTACTCACACTCGCGGCGACTATCAACTTTGACCATACCGACATCAGCACCTCATATAGCATCGACGACCTTAACTGAGACACGCCCAGCAGCCCAGAAGAGAGCATATGCCCACTGATCTACATATCTCATGCCTGTACTATGAGTCAAGTCAAAAAAAACAAAAACCAGCGTACTAGTTGCTACAGTTCCCTGGGTCGCAAACATCGTGTTTTCCTCCTTTGCCGCCATCTCATACTAACTCAGTGTCCACAGCACCTCTGCTCCAGTCTGCTCCCGGTAAGCGAATCGCTCTGCCCACCCGAGTCGAGCCCAAGGTCTTCTTTGCAAACGAGCGAACTTTCCTGTCGTGGCTCAACTTCACCGTCATCCTTGGCGGTCTGGCTGTTGGTCTCCTCAACTTCGGTGACCGGGTCGGCCGAATCTCTGCCGGCATGTTCACCCTCGTTGCCATGGCTACCATGGGCTACGCTCTCGTCACCTACCACTGGCGAGCTGCTGCCATCCGAAAGCGAGGCTCTGGTCCTTACGATGACCGATTCGGCCCCACCATGCTGTGTATTTTCCTGCTGGCCGCTGTCGTCGTCAACTTTGTCCTCCGAATGGCCCAGTAAATATCATCTTTTAATCAATGCTAATGTTTTATACTATTCTATAACTAGATGTTTCCACTTTAGAGCTTGGCGAAGTTGTCGTTCTTGTATGCCACCTTGAGCCCCTCCAGTATCTTTTTGGCGGCCACACTGCCACTGTCAAAGGCTCCGTCAGCAGCTCCCGCATTATCAAAAGCGCAGTGCTCACCAGCAAACTGGAGGTTACCAGAGACCGCATGCACAGCCTCAAGCCAAGCTCCTCTATCGTCACCAACCTTGGTAGAAGAGAAGGTACCGTTGCCAGCATACTTGTCCTGAGTCCAGGTGGTTCGCTCCACGAAGGTTGGCTTCTCGTCTTTGTAGCCCAGAACAGAAAGCACAGGCTTGATGAGGTTGACTATGTCATCCTTGGTTGAGGTCTTCTCCAGCAGATCAGAGGTCTCCTTGGAAGTCAGGAAGCACAGACCCTGAGCCTTTCCGGAGGCAGCCAGGTTGACAATCACGAAGGGTTGATTCAGAACGGCCTCTTTAGCATTCTCGGAAGGAATGTAATGGAACTGGTCAACTGAAGTGTCCCAGAAGGGCTTGTCGAAGGTGAGGTAGATCTTGCTCATTCCTCCGTATGACATGTGCTGAAGAGCCTGAGAGACCTTGGAGACATCAGAGGGCAAAGAAATGTCGCCCCGTTTGAGTACATTGAGAGGAGCTGCCACGATGACGGCGTCGGCAGTGTAGTCACCCTTGGATGTAGTCACCTTGTAGCCACTGGAGGTCTTCTCGATGGCCGAAACATCGACGCCGAGCTTAATATCGTCAGCAATCTCCTTCTTGAGCCAGTCAATGACCTTGGTGTAGCCATTGAGAATGTACAGATCTCGAGGTCGGGATCCTCCAGCTCCAGAAACAGCTTTGCCGGAGATCTCGGAGAAAGGCATTCCAAAGGGGATTTCAAAGAATCGAGCCACAGCGTAGCCCTGCTCCTTGGCCTCGGAGTCAATATGGGAGACACTCTCGGCGTACTTCTGGTACAGCTTCTTGGCGCTCATATCCTCGGCGGTAGGATTGAGCTTGAAGTAGTTATGAGCCCATGCAACAAACTCGTTCTTGACGTTTCCTCCAGAGCCCTTAGCAGGTCCGTGCTCGGTAAGAGCAACAACAGAAGAGTCGTCAAAGTAACCTTCAATGTTGAGAGTCTTCAGCAAAGGCATCAAGTTGTTGGTAGCCGTCGAATGGAACCATGAAGCCCCCATCTCGTGCATGAACGGTTCGGTCTCGGTCAGGATACGTCCTCCCACTCGGTCTCGTCCTTCCAGGATAGTTACCTTGAGTCCGTGTGATTTGAGCACATTTGCGGCCCGCAGACCGGCAATTCCTCCTCCGACGATAATTGCTGAAGACATTGTCTTGTGTGTGTGTGTGTGTGTGTGTGTGTGTGTGTGTTGGTGTCCGTGTTGAAGGCGTTATAACCTGCGCAACTTACGATGACCCCCACCAACCTAATCCAGATTTATGACCTCTGGGGGTGGGGGCTCTTCGCTGGACAAGAGATATGTTGGGTTCGGGCAGAACGTAGTTTTTAAGCACTCTGTTGTGTTCATTTACTTCAATCTTTTGGCAACCAGGAAATAGACGTCTCTCCAGCATGGCCCTACTCTTGGACCCACATAATCGCGTTATCTTCACGTGACCTTGTGACAGGAAATTAGAGTTGCCAAGGTAGTGAGACCTGAGTAACGAAACAACGATCTTGAAAGAAGACGAGTCAGTTTGTTAGCGGCGTTTGAAACACTGTTGTTACTCATTGATTTACTCCTTCTCGCTTCTGAATTAGTAGGATCTACAATGTCTTCGATGACGCCATGTCGATCTGGTACGTGCTATGTTGCAGCGCTGACCAAAAGGAGTGCTGTTTGTGTCACTATGGAGTCGGTACAGCACAGGGTACAACTCGTGGCTGCTTAGTGATCGTATAAGGGGTACAGTACCTAGAAACCATATTCTCGTTTGCTTGCATCTAATTATCGTAGCTACCAGTGCACACGGATACGAGTATGAGTACAGTACGAACGGAACTCGTATCAATAACCCGTTATAGCTGACGAGGTGTGGTAGCTTGAAATCTATGATGCAGAGCCTGTATGGGATGAACTGTTCTCAGACATAGAAAGTTGTAAAGAGATAAGGGCCTGTATAAGTAAGAGTGTGGTACATACTCATGCTTGTAGCAGACATTAATTCTTCTCTATTCAATGAATCCTCTCTGTCAGAGATGTTGATGTTTCTTGAAATGATCATCTTGCACTTTTTGACATCAGTGAGTCATATGCCGGACATTCGAATTTTGATCTCTCAACTCAGCGATGGTGGGATTTTTCAAGGGAATAGATGACCGGAGAATGCATTGGAACGAAAAGGAAAGGTCTTTACCACATTGGTAATAGCGGGGCGGGGTTCAGCCCCATGCGGTGATGTAATGTGCTTTTAGCCCCATGGAGCTGTTCAGTGGCAAATATAGTGTGTACGTATGGATGCCGTGTTACTACTGTATCGCGCACAGAAAAAGTCTTACCCGGAGTTTGATACGTACTTGTACATGAATTGCGTGTGTGTATATGTGTACACTTACTATCTTATATTCCTCCTCTTTGCACGTCCTGATCCTCATATCGTGAGAATAGTTTGTTTTTTAAAAAATTAACGGAAGCGGAATGATATTCGGAACAGAAATCGGAACAAGAATCGTAATTCTACGGGCACGAGTAAAAGTATACCCAGGGCTGTTTCGGAGCAGTTGGACTCTGGAACAAGTGCACAAGTCGCATCCTTGCACGAGAAAGAAAACATGAGCGTGCGGCGCCAAGTTCTTAGCCGCATCCTCTCTGGTGCAGTCGTGCATCTGGGGCGCCGCAACTATAACCTTCTGTTGCCATAATCAAGTTCTTTAAGTTGAAGGAGGTGTCGGAAGCACACTACCGACTGATTACCAATTTTGCGAGCTCAATTGTTAGTCACATGGCTGGATAAGTAGTAGTTTTTGGAAAAAAGCTGCGTTGCAATAGGTGAGCCACATGTCAGATACTCAACCTTAAGTGCAATGGCTTGGAAACCTGAGTCCAGGAGCAATTAGTCACAGAGAATGATTCACAGCTATATATATATATATATATATATGGCAGCTGGGGCCTCAATTAGTTCATAAAACATGTACAGCCATCCCCGTCTGAATCCATCACCCACTCAGAACTACATCCTACACTCCACAGCAGCACATTCCATGGATTTCCTGCTACTCGAAGCCACCCACAGACTAAAGACACAGTTCAACCCCGTCGACATCAAGCTCAACCGAACCCAATACGACTCCAGAGATGAAATCGTTGGCAGCTTCACCGTTCACAGGCTCACTCCCCGCCTTCTCAGCTCGATAGAATTCAATGAGAGTCTCATTGAGTTCTACCTCATTGGCACTCATCAGTACAAGAAGCAGAAGAAGGAGGTTATCAAGGAGAAGATCAAGTTCACTTACACATCTACCTCGACTGATTATCTACATTACTCATTTGTTCACAATCTAAACGTCAAAGCGCCCACTCTATATAATGGAGATGCCATGGTTAGCTACAAACTCGCCCTGGAAGTCAAAGATCGAGCCAAAGACCCTCGGTTGTCCTGCTTCTACCCCATTAAAGTGGACTTGACGACTTCTGAAAGCGATCTCGACCCTCAAGACCTTGCATCTCGAAAGTTCCAGTTCTCACTGTACAGCCTAAAAGTGCACCCAATCACAAAGGAGAACAGCTACTTTGAACTCACGTCACTAACGTGTCCAGGCCCTGTTGTCAAGACTGTTTCCTACAAGTTGTATGCTGTCACAAACGGTTCGAGACAAAGGATCTCAAAAGGCGAGGTTGAGCTAAGAAAGCCATTGTCTGACATGAAGATTCCCATCCACCTCAAGTCTATGCCTCCTGCGAGCTTTGAGACTGAGCTTATCAGTCACACTTTCTTCTTGGAGGTCAAAATCAAGGGTCAGTCTAAGGACAGCTCTAGCAAAGTAAGTGTTCCTGTTGATGTCTTCGCCATCAAGAGTGACCCGTCTCCACCACCTTACGCTCTTTAGATCAACCTCACTTCGAAACTAACATAACTCAATACATCTCAACATTAATTTATAGCATGTGTCTTAATCATGTACGAGTACAGTATGTGTACTGTATATACGATAGCCCGCTAAGACAAAATCATCTTGCATTCCTTCTTGTGTTTGGACTCTTCACTTGGGGGAAAATGTTCGCCACAGTGAAGGCATATCATTTGGCCCTCCAAAGATTGGGACATTGAAACGAGTGTAGCTGGTCGGTAGGGGTGAGTTAGTATGTTTGTGGCTCGAGAGCCAGGAGATGATGCAGGTGTTGCGAGAAGTGATGGTTAGTTGATGGGCTTGGTGAATGCCAATTATCGATGTTATATATCGATGACGTTGTCCTCATGTTGTGGCTCGCTCGCTCTCACAAGGACACAAAATGCACATAATATTGTTGGATTTCCTATATAATATTTGGCCGGGTGATTTGAGGCTGCAACAGAATGCCAAACAATATATTGCGTTGCCCCCAGAATGTACCGGCATGTACTGGTAGATAACGTCATGATGCTAGTCAGAGCTTCATCCCCATCATTTTGAAGCGCCACTATGGTCAAAAAGAGGTCGCGATTTATTTTTTTGGCGAGAACTCTTGAACACAATCAGGCTGTAGCCTCTCTGCAATTACAGCATCCGCATGCAATCTTAGCCTTGGGAGGTGTGCGTGTCATCGCATGTGTGAAGGAGTGACACTGAAAAGGAACGCTTCACGAATACTGTAAGTCTCTTACAATGACCTTTCTGTTATAGTACGAATACGTACTACAACGTATTACGAGCCGTACTCCTTCTTCCCCATCACCCCCAATAACTACCGTACGAGGAACGCCCCTCATCTGACAAGAGTGTGATATTTTTGTCTAATGACTCTTGCGGTAGATGTTGGGTCAGGTGTGAGGCATTGTCTGGTGGTCAATTTTGGAGCATTGAAGGAGGAAGCTACGCACCGTACGTAGGGGACATAGAAGGAGCTATTGGTAGTTACAAATTCTAAGGGGACTGGCGAGCAACAATTAGTGTACCAACACCTCCATTGGACTCAGCATAACTGGTCTTCACCTGAATTTCTACTCTCTGACACGAGAGCAAAACGGAACAGACCGCTGAACATCGCTTTGTTGGTGACGGTCGAACTATCATACTTATGGACAACTCTTTTCCTTCTGAGAGAATATATCCTCTGGATTTGGCTACAGTACATACTGAAGCCAACAATGCGAAGTTCCCCGCTCTCACAAGGAACTCTATTTCCACATGTAAACACCGCGTACATAATGTATGCGAGCGATTTATCCGTCACCGATTCGGTGTCAATTCGGCCGTTTTTATCGCTCACTACAATGTAGCTACCTTGATTTGTGAGATAACCTTCCTCTTGGTGGGGATGCCGTCCTCTTGATCCGGATAATTGCTCTAAAGTCCGTTTCAAGTGTTAGCCTTTGAAATGCAGATGTTGACCAAGTGGTAATTAGTACGTACAGTACCCCATCCGTACTGTACCGTTCTGGTTTCTACAGGATACGAAGCCGCCATTCAAGGATATATCCCCACACTGGATGTTCCTTGTAAACATTCCACCTGTGACATTCTCCGAAACCCGTTCTGGGCTACAGCATGGGCCCAGATTGATGTCATTGTCGCATGACCAGACGTCCAGGTGTCCAGACACTTCGTCAACAGTATTGATGTAGATATACTGGCGGCACTTTATGTGGTATTTGCATACAGGGATAAGTGTTGTATACCAGAAATGTCTATTGTTGCATTCGTGAGGTTGTAGAAGTACAAGTCCTAATTTGAGTGCACATATTATGTACTTGTACAAGTACTTTTTTATTATCAGAAGTGTAGAAGGACAAGTATAGTGCATCAGAACAATATCTGATTTCTCAAACGAAATCAATGACTTCATGAAACATAATAACAAAAGTGTGATCTCAACGATTCCATTGACTTACTCATTCCATTGACATGCTTGGGGTATCGATCTGCAGGGCTTAATTTATTTATTTTGCTTGGGACTTGTTTGTGTGGGTGCATATATGCAAGGGCCAGAACCTAAAATGTGCTCTATATTAAGCTCTGTGATATCGCTACCGGGGGTGGGGAGGGGGAAATAGTTTTTGTATAGTATACTATGCCACCAGTGTGACACACATTCCTTACAAAAAAGACAATATTGACTCTCTAATCTTGTAGCAGTAATCGATGGTGAATTGATTTGCTTGAACAAATCCTGAAACCTATATCCGGTGTCGTAGAAAGTGAGTTAAAGTTGCTCAGTACATATTCCGCATAATATTTGTCTACGCGCTTCATGCAAAACTTGACGCGTCACAAACGATGTCGTCAATGGAGGCCAGACAAAACTACCGCAGCAGATATGGTTCAAATCAAATGCACCGACGAGACACGATAGTTTTTACGACCTGAGCTGAGCTTTGAAGCTATCCTGGGGGATTTCCTATGGGACACTCAATCCAGAGGATGATTCGAAGTCTTATCGTGTCTCAATCACGAAGGGGTGGCAAATTATGCGCTTCATAATCTAGCGTTGGTGGGTGCTGATATCATTGGCTATGTCTGCATGCTTATGCGTAGAATCGGAAACTTCTTCTGCCCGGCATCGTCCAGTAACTTCGTAGCTCTCACCCGGAATCATCAATTCAGGCTTCTCGCCTATACGTTCATAGCTCTCTGTTGGCTCCAGCGATGTCAGACTTTTTCATGAAGCCCGATTTGCCGGAGACACTTGACTTGCTACCAGAACCAGATATCTGTTCGCCAGACAGCAACGCAGGCCATTCCACCCATTCCGAGTCGTGTCCAGAACAAAGCTGTTGTGGACCAACAATTTCAGCCACCTCACCCTGACCGTTCGTCACCATCACATGCTTTCGGCGCTCCTCAACCATCCCAAACCGCTCAGCCACAACACCAGCCTGTTCAGCATACACAGCCGCTTCATGCCGCTCGACCAGTTCAACAGGCTCTCCAGGGTCAGCTGTCGGCCACGAATGGAGCCAGCGAGCAACATCAAGCAACAACAGCCGCCCCTCCCATTCGCAGTTACGGAGCTCCTGCCAGACGTGAGATAGTTGACTTGACAGACGATTATGGCCAGCCAAGAATAGAGAAAACAGAAGCAACACAGACAGTAAAGACAACACAGATAGTCCAGCCTACTCAGACAGCTCAGAATGCACCTACAAAGAGATAACTTGAACTGAATCGTTAACTATTTCTTTTCCCCTCTGTTCCACAAACATCTCCGCCAGCACAGAGCACCCCTGCACCTTTGCCTACGCCACCGGTTGAAAAGCATAGACACCATGACCCTGCCACTGCCACGCATCTCGACAAGGTAATTTGTTATTGGAACAAATGGCCAAAGGAATCAACTCGAACCCCTTCACTTACTTGGCCGGATGACATACTTCCAGCCGAAGGAGATGCCTCCTTCCCTTCAATTGAAGTAGTCATTGCGGATGTCATGCTCTACGTTCCTCCTCAGCGTTACCAGGTCTTTGTTGAGCTCAAGGAAGACTATGAAATTGCACCCATTATTCACCCTACCAAACAGCCTGACCATATCGATTTGTATGCCTTGTTTTGTACACCACGAGACGCTTCCGGGGCAGCCATATTGGATCGTTGGAACGCGCTCATAAAATTGACGTACTGGTCAAGGTGTCGATTCTCGCTTCATCATTTCAAGGAGAGGTACGAATTCTTAGTTAGGCTCCGTGGGACCAAACAACATACTGCTGCCAAGGCTGATATTAGCGAGCACCTTGTCGATTGTATGGATGTGATATTGTCTGAAGCGCTGCGTCTAGCCTGTCCCCTAGCTGGTAGCAAACCGAGATCGTCTTCTTACTGCGGCTGTCCCCGTGACGACCCTCTAGGATATCCCTGTGAGTACAAGATGTCCACTATCGTGCAGCAGAGAAAGCTTTCGCTAGACGATTTCAACCCCCATTGGAGAAGTTTTTACGTGGACCTGAAGATTGTGAAAGTTAATGACCAAGGAAAAGATGCCAAGGAGCGCATTAGAACCTGGTGCCAATCTGTACTCCTTGGAATTAGGTAACCAGGATGCTGGAGTTTTGGACCAGCCTCTCAGAAAGAGGCATAAAGTAGGTCATGCAGATTCATACTTAGTAATACAGGATAAATGACGCGTATCGATTATGTATACCTGAGGTTCGTTAGTACTCAAGTCTAAGTCTGATTAATACCGATACAATTGAATACAAACGAAACCCCCCAATTAACATGGTATCAACCTTTACCTGAATTCTAGCCACCGTTTCCACGCTCCACAGCCTCAATTACCCCTCCGTCCTGTAAACCAAGGGTGGCAATTGTTTTCTTGGTGTTCCTGATGCTTCTTCCGTCAACGGAATACATGAACCTCAGGGACCTGACATCTTCTGGGAGCAACTGCATCAGTTTGATGAACGTAATGCCAGGTGGAACGGCACGGAACAGAAGCGTTCTTGATTTTCCATCTCCTGAAACATAGACGAACGATAACTGAATGCGATGGCCGTCTTCGTCGCTTGTGTTAAGGTCATCACTGTCGTATTCTGCTGTCATATTCGGAATAAATTCCGATAGTGAGGTCATTTTGAGATGATATCGCAGTTAGAATAAGTTAGGACGCAGTTTTGGAGATACTAGCTGCTCAGTTCATTGAGTTCCACATCAACCTCAGATTTTCCCTACAAAGTAAGTCCAACACAAACGGTGTGTTTATAGTAAGTACAAGGGCGCTATTGAGCAATGAAGTGTGCAAAGAAAATCAAATCTGTTGAAAGAATCTCTTAATAAAAACAGTTGGCCTCCGTCATTATTTAGTTTTAAAAGGGGTGACCTGTTCTAGATATGAAAACTACCACTACAAGTAGAATGACCAACAAACGTAGGATAACAGTGGGAACCCAAAATTATTCTATCTAATTGTAGTGCGGACCTCATTTCAGATTTTGTTAAGAGATTGAATCGCTGAAACTTATAGAGGGACATGACAGCATCAAGTAATCACGAGAAATTGGTTTAAAAAGATACCGACTTAACAGTTCCGTTCTACTCACAATGTTTCTCGCTTATCAGATAACCACATTCCCGTGTGCTGATGGGCTTAACGCAAACGTCTACCTTCACTGACAAGACAAATATCATATCAGTAATTGATCAGTAATTCTTCAATTTCAAATGCAACATTAGTTGCACATGATTGTACAGTATGTACTGTACACTGTACTGTGCACCTACGGTCATACACTACGTAGCTGCCATCTTAAGAAACAAGAGCGATATACCTCAACAACCTCGAAAATTGCGCCCGTGACCATGACCTAACTGAACAAAACACATCTGGCATTATTCTAATCATGATCGACCCTAGAAGTACTGTGACTGCTTCAACAAATCCGGAATTTCTGGTTTCAAGGAGAGTGTCGAACAAGACGGCTGACGTGGAAGCAGCTACATACTGTGGTTGGTAGGGGCGGGCCTGTATAGTGTCTTATACACGAATTGTCGGTGGGTCGAGAGTAAATCTGCTCCGTCGGTATAAAATGCCGATGATACTGCCCTTGAGTTTTGCTACGCCTGACAAGAAAGATCCCGAGTTAACCTGAGACTGGTGCCATGCCCAATACGACCTCCTCTATTACGTACAGTACATACAGTACATACAGTACTGTACTGGAATGTTCGCAACTGCGTGAGGTGAAAGTCGGGAAATGACTTAAGCTTGTGTACAATATATTGACAGTATGTACTTGTACCTTTGCAACCATGGGGGAGGAAAGTAAACGCGAAGATGGGAATTGCAATCACAACGATGTGCTAACAGTATTATGCGCAATTGGGTTTCTCCTCTCTAGTAAACCAGTGTATCCGAGTATGCTAAATCGGCAGTTCTTCGTCTTCTTCATGAAGTATTTGAGTCTCTTTCCCGTTGTAGATCCTGATACTACAAATAACTACGTTTTTGACAAAGGAGATGCCTACATGTTTCCAACGACCAAAACAAGTGCAAATAGTGAAACGAGACAGTTCATGAAATTCATCAGATTGTATGTATCGTTACAGACACAGTCTCTTATCCTTGGTGCTTCGTCCAAAAACTCGAACTGATTCACATCCACGTTACTTTGATGCAAGAAAAGTTCTTCTACCAGATATTACGCAATAGGCATTCCAGATTCATTGTATTTTTGCCGGTAAAATGACTTGTTTGGCCAGTTAAATGGAATATTACATTTGCCAAACCAGTTGCGGCCATATCCTGGTGAAAATACGGCTTCCCGTCCGATCAGCCATAGTCAAGCACCAGAGAGCCCAGTTAGTATTGTAGTGGGAGACCATACGAGAATCCTGGGTGCTGCAATTACTTTTTTGCTCTTTTGCTCTTTTGCTCATTTTCAAATGGGATGGTACTTATTTTTGCCACCTTCATGTTCCGTTTCCAACCCATGTTCTCCGTATTAGTCATTGTGTCGGCGTGATGGCTTCTACGAGGCTATTTTTAGATCAGTGAGAAGCCAGGGGTACGTGACGGTTTGATAACGGGGATCTCACAGTTGAATCAATCGGCGTTTTGCCATTATCCTGTTGCACAAGTTCACATATAGGTCATCCGTTCCAGCCTCCTCATCATGCATGCATTCTGAATACCCCAAGGGAAGGAAAAAAGATGGATATTTGGGAGCTAAGAAGACAGTTTGTTGCACAGATGATGCCACATCCTTCCAGTCGGAACCTTTATCTTCCGAAATCAAGATTCAGGTGGCTTCGGTATCATGGAATATTCTCCGCTATTCTTCTCTGTCAATTTTTGTTGCCCAGGAGGGCTGGTGCATAATTAAAGGTTTTATGATATGTAAGGAGGGATGGCATCTTTGGGGTCTACTAAGTAGCAGGGAAACTGACATGGGACTGTTTAGAAGAATGAAATCATAATTTTACCACTAAAGTATGCCATCATTGCAGCATTTGTTTCAAAATATCTCTACCATCACATTCTGGAGCTTTCCATCTGATTCTGACGACTTCTTTCTCCTGCACCCTAAAGAATGGTCGGCATAATGCATGCATCAACGATGCACATTTTTTTCGCCACTGACCAACCTCTCCGAACCTAAACAGCCTCGGCAAGAATATATATAAACCCCCTCTACGTCCCTCTTTTTCAATCAGAATCAGACCAGTTCACTCTGAGTCATTCTGGAGATGGAAGGTGCCTTTGATAGCCTGCTGAGATGCAGAGCTGATAAGCAGACCTGTCTCATACAACGAGGACCGCTTCGCTAGCCATGTCCGTTGAGTTGTTTGGGCAATGACGCGTTTACCGCATGAGCCCGTTTCGGTCAAGAGACTCTCGCTATGACGCATTGAAAAAGATGTATGAGCCTGAGAATGTGCGACAGCTTCTGATTGGGCGTTTGAGCTGAGATTTGGTTCTCGGCGAGTTCAACACAGAGGCGAGTACGACCGCCTGCGCCAAGTGTCAGTAAGTCCGTGACTGTGCGTCCGGTTGACCGCCATGAGCTGAAAATGCCATGAGCCAAGAGCGAGTTTGGCCTGCTGAAATGCCTGAGCCTACTCCGTGTCTTGTGAGTTCTTGAGGACCACATGTGCAGCCGCCAGAGCAAAGAGCCAGACAGTGAAACATCTGCAGAGCCACCGACAGAGATTTTCAAGGGTGAAACTCCTTTCGAGACTCCTTTCCCACAGGTGAAATTCCTGTATGAGAAGCCGCCTAGAATCTGAAGAGCCAAGCTGAAATGCCAGAGCTGCCAGTTGTAGAGCAAAGATCTGCTTTGACAGACGCCATACATGGTCAAAAGAGCAAGCCAGAGCCAGAGCTATAAGCCAGAGCCAGAGCGACATGAGCCAGAGCTGATACGCCAGATACCACAGAGTCAGAGCGATAGCCAGAGCCACAGATGCCTGAGTGTGAGCCATAAGTCCAAAGAGCAAGAGCCACACAGGTCAGAGCCAGCGCTGAAATGCCAGAGCCAGAACCCATGCCACGAGCAAAGAGCCAGTAAGCCCTTCAAGGCAATAAGTGCCAAACGCCGTGAGAGCAACGTCAATGCCACTAAGTCCAGAGAGCGATAAGAGCCATTTCGCCTGAGCAAGAGCCAGTGAGTCCACAGATGCAATAAGCGCCAAACGCCAGAGCACAGACAGAGCCGAAGGAGCCAGGGCCATAGAGCCGAGGCCAGCCAGTTGCCAATAAGTCCAAAGAGCAATGAGAGCCTGAGCACGAGCCGAAGTCACACTATTCAAGGAGTAGGCAGTGAACCTCTTAGCCAGAGGATGTAACTGACCGAACCTGTTTATCTAGTTTTTAAGAGGAGTAGGTGAAAATCCGAACCTCTTGGGTTAATAAATCATGGACCAAAGAGTCCCCCCGAATATTTGAGTTGTAGAGAGTTGAACAGTATTTGTAGTTGTAGAAGCGATCTTTTGTAGAGAACCATTGCTGAACCGCCTTGATCTCGTGATTATTCACCTTGTTGGAGTTGGAGAATGGTGTTATAGCCAGTACACAGTTGCACGTACACAGCGGAGAGGCCAAGTATTAGTAACGTTGAGGAAACTTAGCCTCGACAAATATTCGTGACTCCCTTGGGCAGAGAACAAGTCAGCGGACTGATCCCACGGAAGACTTCCTGTGCTATGGGAATGCTCTTATGGGCTTCGAGCACGACACCATTGGCCTCACGTTCATATATCCCCCTTAGAAGACCCCTGTGGCGCTCCCAACGTGTCAATCAAGACGGCACAATATCGCTAATCATATTGTGCCAGGTGGTACGAAAGACTCCTAGAAAGAGGTCATGAAACAGCTACCGTCATGAACAGATGGAGGTGGCGATAGACAAAGATATACCTTTCGTTGAAGAATACGCCCACTTCGAATAGTCTTGGTCTCGCGATCACGGTCGGTGCAGTCTCAGCTGTCAGCTCCGACTCCACAGGTTTTGTCGGTCCCTCTAAAATTCACGGTAGATCCGAGTCCTCCGAATCGACTGATGACTTCTCTCCTGGCTCCGACATGGACGGTGAAGAGTAGTTCTACAAGTAGCCTGACGGACTTCGTAGGCTTGCCATCAGCACCTCTCTTTTCCGCAGGTACATCTGGTGCTGTCACTTGTCGTAATCCCATATCTTAGATCGTAGAAACTATTTTATGGCCCATTATGAGCTATACCTGTTCCTAGTCAGGCAAATAAGTAATCATCGAAGTTATACGTGACTTCTAAAAACTACCGATGATCTTGTAGATGAAGTCGCAATCCAGAAGGTACATGGGTTGACTACTCTGTGCTTCAACACCAATTATCCCACTTATACATTGATGAAGCCACCGTAAACCACGAAGTAGAGTCAGTTGAACTCTTCATGCCATATGGAATACGCTCTTACGACCATCTTGAGAACCACTAGAGCACGCCTGAGAATGTCTTGATATCTGTTATAATCTTATATTGAAGCAAGGTCGTTGAAAGCATCCCCTTTATTATCTGCACCTCCTAACAGCTTGGTTGAATGGAGGTGGGGGACCGGTGGAGGAATTAATGTACACGAGTCGCAGCCCTCGATCTATTCGGTTAGTATACAAGTAGAAGTGCTTTATTTTAACAATCGGATGGGTTCACTACAATCTGTTCATCATGAAGTACCAACCCCACAGTCACCAACCAGGAACCGTTCAACATTCTGACTGTGACCCATTACACCAGGATGTCAACAGGAAAAGGATGTTATCGATTAATAACCCCTTAAAATTCGCACAGAGCCTTTAGAAAAGCCTTTGTACTCCATTACTTCATATTCTCGCTGTGAGATCAATAAATTCTCGATGTTCATTGGTGAGTCCGCCATCCTCGGCAATCTCTGGTGGAGGCTATTGCGGTGATATTGCGCCTGTCCAAGCCCTTGTTTATCAAGAATCTGACATTTCCGGATCACCAGGTCGTCCAGACTTGACTCTAGATAATGTACTCATACAAGGCAGGTTCACTCTGCCTCGATTACTGCTGCACCTTCCCGATCTGTTCCACGGTGTCTAAACCAGTAGCATTGACCATCATGCCACAGTAAACGAAGCTCGATTCATCGCAATCATCCAATGGCCTAATACACCTACCGCCAGATTCCCGAGAATCAAGTGATACTGTGGGCCGCCTCGTATACACAGGGCAGAATGAGTCATGAAAAGCGTCGACGGGTGCGATGGGAAGGCCCAACTTTAAACCATTATTCATCGCGCGTCAGTAGTCGATCCCCATACGTCAGGTTGACAGATGTCTGGTGGAGCTGAAACATGTCAAACGTCATTGTAAGTTTTAGCACCTGACGGTTTTGTTTGCGTCTGGCTTGCTCTCGCCCCAGTGGATCGTGTATGCCAGACATCCTCGCCAAACATCCTTGCTTATTGCCTCAACACATGAGAATTCTAACATATATGGGCTCAGGCAACCTCCTGCCAGATTTTACCGAGGCATATCCTTCCAGAAGACCCTATCATCAATCATGGCGGCATAAAGCCTCTGGATTGTACTGTCTAACCTCGCTGTAGAAGACTCGACGAGCTATGACAAATGTTATTTCCGGTGACTAAAGAGCAATGAAGATCAGCAGGTCTTATCGGACGAGGTGGCGTCTATGGTGTCGGCGACCCGTCGGAGTTCCGCTCAGCACTGTCACCGAGAGAAACGGCTGAACGAAGTGGTTGGTGCTGGGCGAGAACAAGAAGCAGTTGAGCTACAGTAGTTGCTGGGTCAGCTTGGACTGGATGGCTCACTGCGGAGGAGGATAGATATTCTACCTTCATGTGAATTGCCTAAGAGCAAGCCGTCACATATGTCCCATAGTGTAAAAAGACAAGAAGGATGTGTGAGCATCTGACAAGCCCGCTGTCCACAAGATCAAAGGGGATAAGTTCCATAGAGATGAGTAGGAAGCCAATTTCTATTGCAAAATGTACATGAGCCGTCAGAGAATAGCAAAAGCCGACATATGAATTCGCTATATAGTAGAAACTCAAGCCTTTCGCTTACTTTCGTAAAAGTGTCAATGTCCAACATACCAAGGTGTCTAAACTGAGTCCTGAAGTTCATTGCCAGTCATTTGAATGTTTTGACAAGGCAGTTGCTGAAATAAAGCTGAAGTCCCCTTTTCTGTTGTGTCATGAGCAGGAAGAGTTCTTCCAAGCTGGGCAGCCCTTCAAGCCAGATATACTGCTTCCTGACCAACCAGAGTCAAGAAAAATGAGCGAGGGGGGTCAAACGACAGTTCCAGGAGCTCGGGACAAGTCTGAATGGTAACCCAAAGCGTCTATTATGTTTTCATGACTGAATGTATCTCTTCATGTTGTGATCTGTCGTTCTCGATAAAGAAAGTTCAAATGTGACGTCTTGGAAGAGGGAGTGTATGGAGCATAGCCCTTGTCGTGGGGGCGCAAAACTTGTTGACGGTGTTATACAATGCCTACCATGGTGTCTAGACCATTTTAATTGTAGTCATCGCCATTGCTCTGAGGTCTTGGAAGGTGTTTTATTCACTTTACAGTTTCAGGGCTGAGCTAAATTCATACGATATGATCACTTTACCGTTTCTACATGTTGAAGTAATGGAGGTGTGACTTGAGATATGGAGCTTGAACCAATTCGAAAGTCTTACTTCCAGTGCCAATTCAAGATCAAAAGGCCTTGGCTGTTGTATTATTGAATACCACGATTAATATCTTGTCCCTATCGTGTTTCCTCAGTCAATATTGATGAGGGAGTTGAGAAGAGAGAAGAGTAATGGTGAAGGCGTTGCTAGGGAATAGACCACTGGAGAACCAGCACAGAACACTCGTGTGACTTTTGAACTGGCGTTTGACGTCTAAGCTGATTTAATTGTGATATCACTTGATTCATTTTCGTACCACTTTACGCATTCTGAGAAGTATTGGGGAAGGTGCGAGAAGATAATGGACTGACCCCGGGATGGATATGAAACCGTTCTCTCTGAAATACCTCCAAATATAACCACTCTACCGCTTTACTGATGTGTCTGATGATTTATACTGCTATATCAAACAAGGGATTGCTTCCATTCCATTATCAGATGTCCATTTGCCCTGTTTACACTGTACATTGTCCTAGAAGCATCACATGTATTGCACTCGATATATGTAAAGAATTTAGCTGGTGCATTTTATATAATCATTCATTCATGTTAGTCTCACAAAATCCCAAGTAACAGCCCACTAATGTAATGGCGCCTACCTGCAGAAGGACGGGAGAATCCAGGGCACTACCATGGTCGAAGAACGGCAACCAGATCCATGGCACACGGCCATGACTTGTACACGTATGTGTTCTATCCTGCCACGATCCCATAAAGCAGGTGCCTAAAACATTATATGGAGAAGTTCCATCATCCCAAAGGTTGTCACCTCGAATATCACTGTACAGATGGTACTAGAAAATGGTAAAGCAGAACAGCGGCAGTGGTGAAAAAGCTTCAAAGTCTAACAGACACTCGACGAGGACAGCGTATAGACCGAGGTGTTCTGGGTTGTCAGGTGATACAAGTGCTATTCACAGGGGCTACCACGTGGGTAACTCGTTGACTGCCTGAATAAGCATAGCGACGGTCTACAGGTAGCCGACTGTAGATAGCCAGATGATTTTCCTGAGAACCAGCTGATGGAAGACCATGCCTCGGACCGAGACTTTGAGGGAGCCGCGATGGAGATCCGTGCCCGACGTATAAATGAATGGGGAGTGTCATGAGCGGAGGACTGTAACTCGTCTCGAACTTCCGAATGGGGAGAGTCATGCCCTTGGTGAATCCTGAATTGGACCGGAAGGACTAAATCTTCACCAACTTCCGAATGGGGAGATCCATGCCGAGCCCTAACCTGTGCCTATCACTTGCGAATGGGGAGAACGTTGCCCTGA